GCCGACGCCTGCGTAACAGCGAACGTCGACTACAGCGTCAACAACAACGAGAGTTGCGTCTACTGCCTCAACGCCAAACGTATCCATTGCTGCCTGTACACCAGCTGTCTGAGGAGGTGGGCACATTATATCCAGACAGAACCACAATTGGACCAGTCAGCTTATCACACGCTGAGGCAGTTGCTGTGTCACAGCTGCGAGAATCTCCTGTCGACAACACAGCACCGCGAGTCATCTCCTCCGATGGCTCTTTGATTAACACTGGTCAAGAAGACGTAGCCATGGCCTTTGGGGTCGTTGATCGATCGCAGCCCGTGGTCAGGTGTGTGCAGGGCCGCACAGACGGGTACGCTTCTTCAGCAAAAGCAGAACTCATGGGTCTCTTAGCTGCCATCCTATCTGCGCCACCAGACCAAAACATTATTGTGGAGCTCGACAACCAAGCGGTCGTGCAACAATACCAGCAGCTTGTGCGTTCCCGTGCGGACACGTTACCTCGTAAGCGGTTCCGTAGTACGTACTCTGGACACTGGGCAGCACTACACAAGATTGTCCAGGATCGGTCTGGGTCGGTGGAGGTGAGGTGGGTCCGTGGGCACAGCACCAACACTGGCAACAATATTGCAGACACTGTGGCGACAGCCGCCGTCCGAGTCGAGTCAATGCCCTGGTCGGTTGATTTAAGCGAGCAGCAAGACATCCGCTTTTTTGCACATTGCCACGATCATCTTGTGGAACATGATCTGCGGCAGCTACTCAAGCAGCAGACGACAATCAGGCGTCATCAGGCCTGGACAACCCAACGTCGTGTCAAGAGAGCGATACCAGATCTTGCCGACGTGGAGTGGCGGTCCACCCTTGCCCATGTCCACGACAAGCGCTCTGTGCACACGTTCTTCAGCAGTGCTGCTGATACGTCCCAGAGGACACATCATATTAAGAAGCTGCATGGTATGCTGCCTACCCTGAATACCATGAAGGCTCGCCACCCGAGTCTATATCCTGACCGTGTCTGCTGCGTCTGCGATGTTCAGGACGAGGACAACCATCACCTGTGGACGTGCAGTGCTACTAGAGATGTTCACAAGGAGATCTGGCGCGAAGGGCTACAGCAGATTGATAAGTGGGGACGAGCTGCAACGACCGCATACAACAAGAACAGCAAGAAGCAGCAAGAGCGTGATAGGATCCGCGCTGGAGCCGCCGCTGCTGCACCGAAACCCATTCGATGGGTTTGTCCTAACAACGAGACCCACATCCGAGGTCTATCCTGTATCGCCGGGACCCGATCAATGCTCAAAGGCGACGAGTATTATGACCGCTCTCCGGATCTGACCTGGAGCATCAGCGATTTATGCCGTGGCATCACACCAGTCAGCCTTATCAAGGAGTGGGGCAGTCTATTTACCTCGCCATCGTCGATTGCGCGCCAGGTCATTCACAAGTTCGTCGGCTTTATTGAGGAGAAAGCTACGGAGCTGATCTGGAAACCACGCTGCAAGGCCACCATTGCTCGAGAGCGAGAATGGGGGATCACAGCCAAGATGAAACGAACTCCATACAAGGGACCGAGAGGGGACTGGAGTGATGGGTATGGATACATTAGCGACGATGACCAATGTCCGTGTGGTGCATTACTCGCTGACCATGTAAACGGGAGCTGCCCTGGCCCCGTGCTTGACCCAGACGCAGCGGATCGGACGCTGCTGAATTGCCTGCAAGGGAGGAGGCGGTTGACAACCATGGAGGGGATGGGGAAGATACCCTTCTTGTAACAAGGTGTTTTCAGCTTTTAACACACTGATGAGGTGTGGCAATTGTCGCGCAGGCCCTAGGGGCAGGCCCGGGGAATGTGACCTGTCTTTTGGCGACTGTGGATCGGTTCCGCTTTGGTGGTGAGGACAGCGATAGTAGATCTTTGCTAGTTAGTCTGATAGATTCGCAGAGTCAATTAACTTTTTTTTTTTTTTTTTTTTTTTTTATTAACATAAATCCCCATGAGCACAAGACGCATGGTCCGCAAAGGCCTTGAAGCCATAGATGCCTTCCATGCACGGCAGAGCCGCATCCCCTACCAACTATGTTGGCTTGAGGCGTCAAATTCATAACCCATGTCGCATAGCTAGCCTAACCTAACTCCTGCGTGACCTGTTGCGCGATACACGTCTCCTAATCCAGATCCAATGTTAATAAAGTTGTTTTTAAACCGAATAACCCCTCCATTATGTCCAACTTCCCTCGCCCCAAGCAATGCTGTAGCACCCTATAATCCGCGGCCCGTCTACCTTCCTGGATCTCCGCTGCAAGTAACCGTCTCCCTTTCAAATCAGAGAAATCACCAACACTACGTTGGTGTCCCCGATCACCGTTGCGTCCTCCGGCGCGTTTGCTCATGAAGGTGATTCCAACTGACTTTTCCCAGGCGACAGTGTCCTCGCATCGTTTGTTCCATATCTTGGTCCTGCCAAACTCTTCGATCCTGCTCACGAACTTTGTCACCATGATCGTCGCAATCCACTTGGTGGTGGTAAATAGCTGCTTCCAGGTCTCAATGAGTCCCGTTGGCACCAAACCTCGGTATAAGTCCTTGACCTCCCAATCTCCCTCACTCTCCGGCTCCTCTCCTTCCGCAACCCGATATGTCCCTCGTCTTTCCGCCGTCCCCTGAATCCACTGCATTGACTCCCAGATAGCCTTCGTTCCTGTTGCCGAGAAGTTGGGACAAGTCGCAGTGAAGGGCTTGTCCTTCCGTTCGGCCTCCTCTCTCTCCTGTTCCCATTTTCGCACTGCCTGTCTCCATGCACGATATCCATTCAACTCCACTTCCTCCACCGCGTCCCTCCACTCTTGTCGCTGGTCGCACAAGGTAGCTGAACAACGCCAAAGATGATCGTTCGTCTCTGGTTCCCTCTCACACCTACGACATATGTCCGTTTGGTAGGTATCTGGATGTCGTTTCTTCATCGCCTGCAATGTCGGCAAATCTCCATGCAACTTCTTGATCCTGTGCGAACGTAAACGACAGTCTTCCAGGCTGGTGTATAAGCGCATTCGCAGAGTCAATTGACTCGAGAGACAAGTTATAAAAAAAAAAAATTTCCTCGCCCTGTGCTCTAGTTAGTCTGATAGATTCGCAGAGTCAATTGACTCGAGAGACAAGGGGCGGGCGAGCCTGTGTGGTACAGTAGTATCACGCGAAGCTTCCAGAGAACAGTGCTGTGGATCCTAGTTTCGGATCCAGCTTGATGCGGTTGTTTTTCGGCACGGGGGGCTGTGTATATATTACCTTTCGGATCGCGGGCAGCAGGGGATTGGCTCCCTCCTGAGAGAATGTTCTATTCTGCTCAGGTTCGCACGCCACCGTGGGCTACGAGGAGATTTTTCAGAACTGTCACTCGGATTTGCCAGAGCCGTTCTCCAGCACTAAGGTTACGGGGGGGACTATTGAGAGAGGAGACTAAATAATTTACTTCAGAAATCACTCGAGGGCCGCAGTAACATCGTAAGGAAGCCGTACATATATGCCGGATCGAAACATAAGTTGAATATTTGCCGAATCAAGTCACACAGGAGAGAGCCAGTCCAAAGGATCAAGATATCAAGTTAGCAGGAACAGGACGACCGAGGCAGGCTTGCGGGAAAATACGCGGGATTTATATGGCGCCTCCTACCATTGTTCGGGACAAACAGGAACATCCTGACCAGCGAGAAATAGTAACCCCCATAAAATAACCAATAAACCCTTGCAAAGATTGTCCATTGGAAAAAAAAAAAAAAAAAAAAAAAAAAAAAAAGGGAGGAGGCAGTTGATAACCATGGAGGGGATGGGGAAGATACCTTTTTTGTAACAAGGAGTTTTCAGCCTTCAACACACTGATGAGGTGTGGCATTTGTTGCACAGGCCCTAGGGGCAGGCCCGGGGAATGTGATCTGACTGTGGATCGGCTTTACTTTGGTGGAAAGGACGACTGTAGTAGATCATTGCTAGCTAGGTCTGATAGATTCGACGAGACAGACGAAAGCAGGCACAGCAGTGAAGCAAGTTGGACCGTTCAGGATTTGTACCATGGACTGGTGCCAAAGAACTTTACTACGGAATGGGCAGAAGCGTTCAAGACGTCAAAGTCAGTCGCAAGGTACATGGTCGCGCGCTTTGTCAGGGCCATCGAGGAGCTAGGAAGGACTGAGATCTGGAACAGACGTTGCAAAGTCACTGTGGACTGGGAACGAGATCGTGGAATCACTTCTGTGAGCAAACGCGCCAGAGGACGCACTTGTGGCGGAGGGCACAACCGTAACAGAAGTAATTTCATGGGATCAGCCCATAGTCAGAGACCAGCAACAGACATGGAAGAGATCAGGGCAGAGGCGGACAGGCGCCTAGTGCAGGGCTTTTGCCAGCAGCTGGAGCTGACTCTGATGGAGCGACTAGGCGGATGCAAGTTTTTGATGACAGTGGATACTGGCTAGAGGATGACCTTCGTGCACAACAGGCCAAGTAGGGAGCAGGGCTCTTCGAGTCACCACTCATGCTGACGAGGATTGTGAAAGGGACCTGGCAGCAAAAGCTTTACGTCTCTAGCAATAGGGGTCCCTAGAGGATAGTATCACGCTAATAAAGCCCACACGTCCCCGTGGATCCTAGTTATCAAAAAAAAAGCTAGGTCTGATAGATTCGCAGGGTCAACCGACTCGATTTAAATCAGGTCTCATGACCTCTGTACGGACTCAGAAAGGTATTATGATAGAAAAATATGAAAAAGGAAACTGAGAGTATTGCCTGGGGCTCAAATGAGAACCAACGCCGACACAGAGGATTGTAATAATGATAGCAATAATGATAGCAATAACGAGTAGCAGGATGAATAGATCGCGACGCGATTTATGACGGCCTCAAGCGCTTCAGTGCAAGTAGCGGCGATGTGTAATGGCAGCATTATATCATCAGAACCATTTGTATTACGGAGCTGACGATATGCGTAATATGCTGTAAGTAGAGTCTAATTGTCGAAATCGTCCGCCGGCATGTGGATGTCATCCTCCAACCCAGTCTGCCCGGTCACATAGTATCCTTCCTCCCCTTCGTCATCCTCGTTACCGACCACGACCAAGCCGTTGACGATTACATACGCGATCATGGCCACAACGCCAAAAGTCACCGCGTAAATCCTCTTCAAGTCAAAATCCCGCTCCTCCTTTGTCTTCTTGGGCTTCCCATCTCCTTCTGTCGTAGAATGCTGTGATGTGGATGGTGTAGCAGCCGGAGTCAGGAACATGTTCCTGAACCATTCCTTGGGTGCCGAGATCGGGTTAGTGAAGAAGGGCGAGGGCTCTGATGGTAAGGTTGAGTCCGGAAGGTTGGCAAAAAACTCTTCACGGCACCGGTCACAGTACGCAACCAGGCGTGGAAACTGGGTGGTGAGAATAATCTGAAATCGTGGGTTAGGAATCTCGGGATAGAGCTGCAGTGCGAGATATCCAAAGACCTTAGCATCCAAGGATGTAGGCCTAGGGAAACAAAGGGACGCTTCATATTAGACACATATTGGAAGGCATTCATGTCCTGCTTTCATTCTTCTTTCCACTGGCCTTAAATGCCTTACTTGACTCCAAAGAAAAACTCGTTCTCGCCCAATTTCCTATCCAAGACGCGGTAGCAATCCCTTGCCAGATCATAAATCTATCGTCAACAAATCGCAAAACATATTAGTACGGATGTATATTCGTTGAGATCAGCCAAGTTAGATATTGAGCACATGTTTCCATCGCGCAATGAAATACGTACCTTGGTGTTGTCGGCATGAGTCAAGGCTCCAGACTCAACCGTGCCGCCATATTTCTGGACGCGTTGAACTGCAGCCTTGCGCATTTGGATCGGCAAAATATACTTTGAGGGGATCGAGAACAGATTCGAATATGCCTTGCGAGTCGCGCCCAAAAAGTTGTCTGCATCGGCGAACCATGAAAATAGCTGTGCACAATAGAGAAGACCGTTAGATGCTGTTCTTTCCAAGTTCGCAAAATCGGCACGACACAGCGAAGGAACGCCCGCGACCGTAAATTAGAAAGAAAGTGATGACGTACAATGGCATCTGTCAAGGACTCATCGACAAGAGATGAGTAAGCAACGGACTTGGCCAGCTCCTCGGCCGACAGGTCCTCGTTAGCGTTGTAGCCCTAAGATTATGCAGAGATTCAGGCCGTGAGGTCAGCGGACGATGGTTGCACACAAATAAACAAGACGGAAATGTTCATGTAGGCATGACAGTCGAGAAGAGAGGTCGTTAACTCGCTCCTGCAAAGAGAGAGAACATAAAAGCAGCGTACAGTTCTGGAGAGGTAGGCAATGATTCTGTTGGCTCCTGCGATCCAGTTCCTGCCGTCATGGAACATGGGCAACTCGCCTAGATTAAAACGCCATCGGTAGGATAAAAAGGTGAGTTGCAGTTGACAGGGCTGAGCCGCTGCAGAGCACAGCGCCATGTAGAAAGAAGTAATAATAGCTCCTTTTCGTTGTTAGCATATACCGGTGGGGGAGATGCCGACGTCGTTGCATTCGACGATGGTGTACTCCTGGTGCGAAACGATACTGAGGTACGAGATCAGGGCCAGGCACTGGGGGTCGATCGAGGGTAGCCCAAAGGCGCTACCGTAGATGTAGAGCTCTGCCACCATTGCTATTCCTTGCTCTTTGTATACGAGTGGGATGGTCGAAGAGCAGAACCGGACGTTGTGTGTCGGAATGAGGATGGCAAAGGGCGAAGAGAGAATCGTTGGATCACGATCCCGTCGCCCGAGAAAGCTTAAAAGTGGACACCGCATACGGAAATTTTTTATGTGGACGACGCTTGGCATGATTCCAATGGCGTTCCACAGACTATCAGACTATGCACCATCGCTAATTTATTATTATTGCATGTGCTTCACGTCTACGCGTAGCTGAGGTGCACAGTCTCGGATCCCACAGGGACAACGGCTGGTGTTCTTGAAATTAGTGCCTGGTAAAGTCTCTCCCATGTCGAGCCCTTCATCTTCACCTCGATGCCATCCTCTCTGGCCGCCACATTCTCATGCACCGTCGCCTCCTCATGCGGGCCAATCCCAGTGAACGACAGCCAACATCCATGGAAACTTGTCGGGTTCGGTCGCGCATTGAAGATGGCGGGCCCATCCTGTCCGGTCCTCCAGGTCAGATACGCCTGAGCGCCTGCATCCAGATCCAGCATAAAGGTGATTCTTGCCAGGTCGTTAATCACCCCTGGCTGTGCTGGCGGAAATCTTCTGAAGTCCGCTTGAATCAGCTCCAACGCAGTCGACGATACGACGAGGGTCAGCCGATGCGAGATCGTATCCAATGTCGCCACAACGTTCTTTGTCGGCAATACCAGCACCATTTCTGTGAGAGATCCTTGGAAATCGTTCAGATTCACCAACGAGGGACGCGACCAATCCGACCAGAGGGGGATCGGCCATGTCTCGAGATCGTTGCCCATGTTCGTCAACGTCCTTGCAGCGCCATACTTTGAGAAGACCGCCATCTCGTCCAATGTTGCGATAACTCCATATAACACGTCCTTGTTCTCTAATGTGGATTTGCATTCTGGTGGGGCATGGACCAGAAGGATCGCCAGATCCAAAGACCCAGCATCAGGTGTGTTTAATCGACAAGGAAATACTTCTCCTGCGGTGAGTGGCTTTCCACCAGACGCCTGAATATGAGAGTTCATTTGATGAAAGAGCTGATACATGATCGGCTGAACAGTTTCGAGGGTATAGTTGCTGGGTCGTTGACGCAATGTGATCGCGATTTCCTTCTGCCCCGGATTATGTGCCAAACCTAATGAATAAAACGTCCAGGCCGAAACGCTTTCTGAGGATGTTCTGAACGAGGTCATTATACTTGCGAATGTCAACCCAACAGGTGGGGTTGGCGGCTGGGCTTGTGGTAGTGGCTGCGGTTGTAATTGGGGTATATATGTTGAAGGCGGGTATGCATGTGAGGCGGGCGGTGGGTGCATCGGTCGCTGATAGTGTGGACTCGGGATCGGCATCTGGTGAGGCAGGGGCATGGATGTTTGAGAGATTGGGGTTGGTGGAGCAGGAGAAAGCGGCACAGAAGGGGGTGAGAAGTGGTTGGAAGAGTGTTGCGACGTTAGCGTATTGTGCCTCGAAGGCGGGGTCGGTGTTCCATGCTGGTAGTGTTGCTGCTGTTGTTGTTGCGATAAAGCTGGACTTGAGTTGGCCGCTGCTGGTGGGGAAGGAGCATATGGTGGAGGAGGAGCTGTTGAGCGTTCAGGTACGAAGACAGGAAACCCTTCAGGGGAGATGAGCATCTCGAGGCCCAGAGGCACCACAATGGGGATCCCGCGGACGGCAGTTCCTGGAGGAGGGGGAACGAATCCCGGTGGGAGTTGTCCTGGCGGGATGGGGTAAAAGACGTTTGGATCCGGTGGAACGAATGCCATGTGTGTGATGAGGAAGAAGAAGGGTCAGGTTACAAAAAATAAAAAATGTATTGCAGTGCAGTGCGGCAGTGCGAGGCAGCACAGTCGCATACTCGATTTCTGCATGCACCTTTCAGAGACCTTTACCACCGCCGCGCTCAATGGGCCCAAAGGGAGCCAGGTGAAGTTAGGATAGTTTCACAACGGCATTCAGTTGAGCTCTTTATTCCATGACAACCGCTCCTAAAGAACATAATAGGTCCGTTCGCAACACACTGTGATCAATATGGCCCGAATGTTGCCGGTTGCTGTGCCCATGTACTTTGCTGCTGTTGATATTGGAGTTGTTGCTGGTGGTGGTGTTGTTGCTGCTGCTGTTGCATGTGAAGCTCTGCCTCTGAATACGGATTAGGATAATGGAGGGTTGCTGCGGGGGTTGAGATGACTGGATCGCGGTAGACGTTGCCGGAAAAGTGTCCGTCCATCATGCTTCCTGGCCCATGCTCCTCTTCGACTTCCTCCTCGTGCTCCCCGGCCCCTTTGAGTTTTCTACTCTCTTCCTCGGCGGCTTCCTTTTCGGCGCGACGATATTGCGAAAGAGTGAGCGACAGTTTGTAATGGCCTCCAACCTGGTTCTTCTTAGATTTTCTGGACGTCTTGACAGAAAAGACAAAGAGCATCAGGGCGATCGCGATAAAGAAGAAGGCTGTGATGATACAAAAGGCTGTGGAAGCAAACATCGACTGGCAGGCGCGAAGATAGTTAGGATCGGAGGTCTCTTTGCCACTGGGTAGAACCTTGCAAGAGATGTTGGACATGCCATTAGGTGGACGGGCGATTCCTCCGACAGCTGCAAGAATCCACATGGCTATGGCAAAGATGATCCAAGCACTCTCGAAGATCGCACGCTGAGTCCTGCCAGACTTTTGGCGCAAGATGAATATGAAAGTGACGAGGGAGCTGAGGATAGAGAAGGCAAGTGTGCCACAGGCTAGTGGTGAAAGCGAGGTAGCTTCGGGCGACTTTGGGTAGGACGACACATAGAGGCCACAGCAGACGGCAACAATGAGTCCCGAGAAGAGGGTGCCGATCTGGACCAGAAAGAAAGTGATGGATGACGGAGAGAGCTTCATAGCTGGTTGTTGTTGGTGAGCGAGTGTCGATGGTGAACGGGAAGAGTGGATCTGAATCAGCCCTTGCGGACAACCAGCCCTTTCCTTGCCCTCTTGCCTTGCGTCCCCTGTATCAATGCTTGCATGAAAAAAAAAAAAAAAGAGATCGCACGTCGCGATACACACACGCACCATAACCACAGCCATGCATAAGCATCGTTAGATGATAAAATAAATATGTATTTCAGTCTATTCCTCTCCTACTATGCCTTAGCACTTTCGACAAGGCGATTGCATGATCAGTTGCCTCAGAATCGCTTCATGTTGTTGTTCTTCTGGGACATCTTGTAGGCGACGGTAACCACTGCAGCAAACACTCCGCCCGCAACAATGAATTTGAAGATCCATCCGAGCCCAGACTTGCTTGAAGGAGGAGGAGTATTGTTACGGCGCTGTTTGTGATGCATGCAGAGACAAGAGTAGTAGTAGTAGTAGTTAGTGAATATGAAAGTAGTTTTACAAACAATACATGGCGTCAACGCCTCCTCAATCCAAAAGATGTCCATCCTCACCTGGCCAACCTGGATGTCGCTCTTGGACAATAACCATGTAGAGACGCTGATAATGTCATGATTGTCGTGAACTTCGCCTGTGATGGCACTGAATCCAAGGTAGAAGTTAGAGGGCAGCGTGACATCTGTCAGTGTAAAGCACTCTTCCCATTGATCCCACTCCTTGGTCTGGAGCTTGAGCTGTTTGATTTAAAATAAGATATGAAGTAGATGAGTAACAAAAGTCTTGCAAAAGAACTAATTTACAATATATATGTAACCCACTCTACCTTGAGCACTTTGGCATCCGCGCTGTAGGTGATATGACCCTTGGTAGGAACGTCCTTGCCTCTGAAATCAGACTCGCAGCCTCCGGCCCTATTGGAAAGACCATCGTGGTCGTTATCATAACTTGTTCTTCCATCGCCCACCATAGCCATCACATACGGGAACGAGTGCTGTTGTGGGTTCGCGCGATGACAGAGACTGATTGTTAGCATATTGATCGATTGTTTGCTTACATTTGACATTGCGCGTATGTAAAGGCGCGTCGCTTACCGATTGCCGAGAATTAGCATAGGTGTCAAAAAAGATGCCTACGCCTTCAAACCGATCACGATTTCCAAAGACAGGGCCTGGCTCAGCGCGTTCCTTGGTCAGCCAGACAGCAAAGCCGTCGCCAACGAGGCCATCGCCCTTGCCTTCAACTTTGAAGTCGAACTCGATTTGAAAATACGGTGCTGACATTGGCTGCAGATAGGACCGCGTATCAATCAACAACGCATGTTAAAAATCATTTTCTGGATTGCATGGGCTAGGTTAGTCAAATGCATACTCCAGTTTAGCAGACTTACAAGACGGCTCCAGAGCCAACCGCTTTGCGAGGGTTTATCCTGAGTCAGACGAATATGCCTGTTTGTGTTGATGATGGTATCGCCACCAAAGTCGAACCAGCGGTTTTGCAGATCTTGATCTATGTTGAACGTTTTTTGTAATAGTGCAATAAGGAGAAGCACCAGGGCAAAAGGTTATTAGACAGTGTGTTGATCCCTCTTGCTCTTCACGCCCTTATCGCCCAGATGCCTTTTCTTTCTTTTCTTTTTATTCCTCAGTGTACTCTTTTTTTGTCCTCCTTAGCCTCTTGCTTAGTTGTCCAATCCCCTTCTCTGCTGCTTTCCATTGTATTTGTTTCATAAAAAGGTTGACGGTAGCGCGTCTTTTTCATGCAGCTGTGCCATGCTTTTTTTTTTAATACGTGTATGTTTTGACGTCTCAATTGGGAGGACAATGTTTTTTACAAGAGAAGAAATAAGACCTGTTTAAAGAGAAAGCTAGAAGCAGAGACGCCGGGAAATCGATTTTGTTTATAATAAAGTCACTTGAACACCATGTCAGGCTTCCTGTTCTTGGGACGATAGAGTCTCAGCTTGGAAAGGCCTGTTGCTGCCTTCATGCCAACCATGCACAATTTTTTTTTATCATCCCAAAAAAAAAAAAAAAAAAAGAACATGGCAGTAATTCGCTCCATACAGGTATTGTTGGTCAATCGGTACCCAACGCCCAGACGAATCCAATCGAAATATAAGAAAGCACAACGCTTTCAAGGAAAAGCAGATGATCTCTCGCTGTTTAACAGCAAGGCTGATTTCATGAAGAAAGAAGACGAGGCTGGGCCATCCTTACCGATGTATGGCATGTAAATGGAATGGGTCCTGAGTGGTTGGGCAATTTCCGAATCCTCCGCCTGCACCTGATGAACCAAACAGGCCGTTGCCGAGAGGAGAGCCACGGCTACAGCGAAGAAGAAGTGTTTCTTAGAAAGGATCATGGTAATGTATTTTGGCGCTGTTTCTGCGATGGGGCGGTATGTATTTGCGAGGGGTTCCTTGAGCGGATGTATGGGTTGGGTCGTGTCAAGGGAGATGAGATGATCTCTGTCGCTTGTAGGATGAGAAGTAAAGTGCGCCCAGAAGCCCTAAAAATATGTTGGACAAACTGCATTGTCGCGCGCTGATTGGCTGGATTTGCCACGCGTAATAGTACTCTTTTTTATTGTCATCAAGTGAGGTGAAAAACTACACTGGGAGGGGGAAAGGGGGAGGGGTCATTAAAAGTCGTAAGCCGGGGCGAGGGGATGCTGAAACGAAGATGATGACGAGGTTCTATGCTGCTATATCTTGCTGAAGATCCGAATCGGTCGCTTTATCAGTTGTTCCTAGTGCTATTATCCTGTTTTCGCCTGTATGAAATGCGCATCTAAGTTTATTAAAACAAGGCACTGGTGCCAAAAGTCCCGCCTGAGGCTCCAGACATGTTTATACCTCCCATTCCTGTCGGGTTTACATTTAAATAGCCGCTTGAATTAAGGCCCCCTGCCTGTAATGATGTTTGGAAAGGGTTGCTGTTGTTGCTGCTACCATTGTTCCCAATATCAATTAAACTGTTGCTGACATTGTTGTTCGCACCGCTGTAATTGATGTTAGACCGTTGGAAGGGATTAGAGGCGCCCGTGATTTGAGAGGCTAGGGCAACAGGCACTCCTTGTGTATGATGGCTATCGACAAAGGGATGTATACGCGTGAGCATGGCTAATGTAATGCATGAAAGAGGAGACAATATATTACCCGCAGATAGTTGCTGCCTTACCTTGGAACGCGAAGCTGTCCTATATTACCAAATGTGTCCATACCATCTTCACGGTTCGCAAGAGCCATGGCCAAGTGAGCGTATTTTTCGTCGTTTGGGTTTGACGCCTTCGTCGCAACCTATTTCGTGCGCCATTAAAATTCAGAGTGCTGGTTATGATTCCACTCTGGCATAGGTATCCAAGAGAAGCGGACTGAACGAGTTAAGCTGAAGACATACCGGCTGATTAATGACAGGGGACGAACTATTCATGGCGTTTTGAAGGAATGCGAGCTCTCCCAGAGCACCGTTCTTTTGAGTTGACGTAGATGCATTGCTAACGCCGTTGCCGTTGCTATTGAACCCGTCCGTATTATTGAAACCGCTGTTATTATTAAAACCATTGCTGTTGGTGCCGCTGTTACTGTTATTCAATCCGAATCCATTGGAAGCCGCGCGGAAGGAATCTGGGAAAGGCTGATTTGCCTGTGCTTTTTGTACGTTACTAGAGCTGAATGGGTTGTTCGATCCAATCGCTGGAGCTCCAGTTATTTGGGGCATGAGTTGCTGCTGGTAAGGATTGTTCATTGTGTTTAGGAAGGCCATCTGCTGCTGCTGCTGCTGCTGCTGAAACTGCTGTTCCATAAGTTGCTGTTGCATCAGCTGCTGCTGCTGTTGCTGCTGTTGCTCAAGTTGTTGCTGCATTTGCATTTGCATCTGCTGCTGTTGCTGGAGTTGTAAGTACGGGTTGTTGAACCCAGTAGGCTGCGATTGCATGAACGAGTTGCTGCCTCCAAAATTGTTCATCGACGACAACCCTTCGAGATTATTGTTGCTGGTGTCCGTGTTATTATTTCCGCTGTTGCCAAACCCCATCTGTCCTCCGAAGTCGTCACTGAAAAAATCCGTGTTGCTGCTTTCTTGTTGTTTATTGGCACTGTCAAGAGAAGCGACGAAAAAAGGTTATTAACATCTCATTCCGCAAGGACAGCGCACTCTTAATGCATGATAGGGCGATAGGGCGCCCAAAATAAGTACCTGGAGCGGCCTTCCCAGTCTTCTGTAGCGGGCAGTTTGTTGTACTTCTCCATTTTGTCCAGTCTATCTTGCTCCTCCTGCTTGCTTAGTTTCATGGCTTTCTTGAGGTCATCGTCGCTATAACAACAAGCGATGCAATAGAGCCAAAAACGTCAATAGGCAGCTACTTCTTGAGCACGAATGCACAAAGCTCAGCCCGACTGATATAGTTCTATATGTTACCTGCTATCGCCATGTGCCTCGCGTGCCATGCGCCTGCTCTCTTCAAGTGCCCTTTGAAGGTCACGCTCGTCATCGCCTGCTCCTGGTCGATCGTACACAGGGGTAGTAGCGCCATAGCGCCCTTCGCCTGGGGTTCTTCCGCTCATGCGATCTCTCATGGCTGCTCTGGACTGTCTCTCCTCCCTGAGTCTGGCCTCATCCGAGAGTAGTGCTGTAATGTCCTTAGCCTTTTGACGCACTATTTTTGTCAAGGATATACGAATGGGTTAATAAAGTTCCTGTCTGTATCTCTCGAGGGCTCATTATCTGCATAAAGACACTCACCATTGGAGCCCTGGTCTTTTCCGTCCTCGTCAATGAATTGGAATTCTTTCAAGGTTTTAACGATGTACAGATTTTCGCGCGCGTATCGGACCACATTTTCCGATCCTGAGCATTGTGACGAACAGAGTACATTAATAACCAGCTCATGCACTTATAAATAGGTACAGCCAAATTAACAGTTAAATGAGTCTGAAACAGACATGGACTGACATACCAACATGAAGCAGATAGTCCAGCACGGTCAGGGCCTAGTAGACATCCCAGCGATGCAGAACAGAAAGTCAATAATAAGTATATTTTCTGCTACCTCTCTGAGAACCTGATTACGTTCCAACATGGTAAGGGGATATATCCTACCTTGAACACATGTCGCCAATTCTTGCCCTTGTCGTTCATTCTTTTATCCAAAATCTCCATGATTTCCAGGAACTCTTGCCTATCAAGCGAATTATAACGAGGATTCGGTGGGAAGCAATTGATATCAGTTTGAGAACTCTGCCCTCATTTAAGTCCTCATGAGGGCGAAACTGATGCTGTGTTCCACTTACTGATTAAACGTCGCCCGGGAGAGTTCATTCATTTGAGTGCCGCTAGGACCCCATGGGTCATTGGAGGTTGCCGTGCGGACCTTTGCCTGAATGTCTGTATAGCCCTTGGAAAAGTTTTTGCTGTGATGATGAGGACAAGGCAAGAAAGTGAGAATAGGGACAGCAGGGTAAAGTTGGTTGCAATGAGCGCTGACAGCCAAACAAAGACATACAGAGAGCGGATGGTGCTCTTGGCGGCATAGATGGGTGTTGATGTCGTGGCCATGGTGTCGTTTCTTGAAGTGTCTCAAGAGATTCAAGGAGTTGTGGCTGTAGTTCTAGCTGGCCTGGGGAGAAATTGTGAGTGGAGGTGTGAGTTGTGGAGGGGGGGTATCTTTGGGCGGGAAAGAGAAGGGCAAATTGCTGCTGAGTGCGGCGACGCGAAAAAAATGGACACATAAATTTGAACGCATTTTTTTTTCACGGCTCCTGTAAGGCATGAAACTAACGACATAGTGTACAGAGCATAAGGTCCCAAGAAACCCTCCACAAACACTAAATCAGTAGTTTCACTTAAATGAACTGTCGCTAACCACACCCATGAGTATCTTCTCGAGAGAATACGAAGCCCGAAAAGCCTTTTTTTTTTATAACTAGGACCCACGGGGACGTCTGGGCTTTATTAGCGTGGTACTATCCTCTAGGGACCCCTATTGCTAGAGACGTAAAGAAAAGTGGTGTTTAATAAACAGCTTTTGCTGCTAAGTCCCGTTCACAATCCTCGTCAGCATGAGTGGTGACTCGAAGAGCCCTGCTCCCTACTTGGCCTGTTGTGCACGAAGGTCATCCTCTAGCCAGTATCCACTGTCATCAAAAACTTGCATCCGCCTAGCCACTCCATCAGAGTCAGCTCCAGCTGCTGGCAAAAGCCCTGTACTAGGCGCTCTGTCCTGATCGCTTCCACGTCTGTTGCTGGTCGTTGTCTATGGTTTGATCCCATGAAATCACTTCTGCTACGGTTGTACCCTCTAGCACGAGTGCGTCCTCTGGCGCGTTTGCTCACAGAAGTGATTCCACGCTCTCGCTCCCAGTCCACGGTGACTTTGCAACGTCTGTTCCAGATCTCAGTCCTTCCTAGCTCCTCGATGGCCCTGGCAAAGCGCGCGACTATGTACCTTGCAACTGACTTTGACGTCTTGAACGCTTCTGCCCATTCCGTAGTAAAGTCCTTTGGCACCAGCCCATGGTACAAATCTTGAACGGTCCAACTTGCTTCATTGCTGCACCTGCTTTCGTCTGCCTCGTTGAGGTTTTCGTCCGTGTACCCGATGGTCGTCGCCCCTTTGATCTTGCTCTCAAGCACCCTCCAGATGGTTGTCTCTGCCAGTGCGGTGATACGAAGCCTGAAAAGCCGAGCAGCATTTTTTATTTATTACTTTATTGACATAAATCCACACGAGCACGAGACGCATGGTCCGCAAGGTCTTGAAGCCATAGATGCCTTCCATGCACGGCAGAGCCACGCCCCCTACCAACTATGTTGGCTTGAGGCGTCAAATTCATAACCCATGTCGCATAGCTAGTCTAACCCAACTCCTACGTGACCTGTTGCGCGATACACGTCTCCTAGTCAAGATCCAATGTTAATAAACTTGTTTTTAAACCGAATAAACCCTCCATTATGTCCAACTTCCCTCGCAGTCCGTCTGCCTTCCTGGATCTCCGCTGCAAGTAACCGTCTCCCTTTCAAATCAGAGAAATCACCAACACTACGTTGGTGTCCCCGATCACCGTTGCGTCCTCCGGCGCGTTTGCTCATGAAGGTGATTCCAACTGACTTTTCCCAGGCGACAGTGTCCTCGCATCGTTTGTTCCATATCTTGGTCCTGCCAAATTCTTCGATCCTGCTCACGAACTTTGTCACCATGATCGTCGCAATCCACTTGGTGGTGGTAAATAGCTGCTTCCAGGTCTCAATGAGTCCCGTTGGCACCAAACCTCGGTATAAGTCCTTGACCTCCCAATCTCCCTCACTCTCCGGCTCCTCTCCTTCCGCAACCCGATATGTCCCTCGTCTTTCCGCCGTCCCCTGAATCCACTGCATTGACTCCCAGATAGCCTTCGTTCCTGTTGCCGAGAAGTTGGGACAAGTCGCAGTGAAGGGCTTGTCCTTCCGTTCGGCCTCCTCTCTCTCCTGTTCCCATTTTCGCACTGCCTGTCTCCATGCACGATATCCATTCAACTCCACTTCCTCCACCGCGTCCCTCCACTCTTGTCGCTGGTCGCACAAGGTAGCTGAACAACGCCAAAGATGATCGTTCGTCTCTGGTTCCCTCTCACACCTACGACATATGTCCGTTTGGTAGGTATCTGGATGTCGTTTCTTCATCGCCTGCAATGTCGGCAAATCTCCATGCAACTTCTTGATCCTGTGCGAACGTAAACGACAGTCTTCCAGGCTGGTGTATAAGCGCTTTGGCGGGTTGTTATCGTGTAAGATCCGTAGCGTGGGCGCCCATGCTACCGACCGCCAATCCTTGATGTAGGTCCTCGTTCGATGCTGCAATGTCCACTGATAATGGTGCCGTACCGCGGACTGCAACTTCAGTATCCTCCTCAAGTCCAGGTCTGCACTGTGTGTTGCAAACTGTGCGTGGCATTTCAAATCATGGTGCTGCGTTGCGTCTAGCCTCCATAGTCCTGTATCGATCCCATGTGCTGCCTTGGCAACAGTGTCTGCAGCCTCGTTGCCACGGTGTCCAGCATGTCCTCGTACCCAATGCACAGATATACCTTGTCCTTGTTGCAAACCTCTAAAAAAACCCTAAAAAACAAAAACAAACAAAAACCCTCAAATACATGAAAGTTTTTTTTTTTTTTTTTTTTATTAACATAAATCCCCATGAGCACACCCTCAAATACATGAAAGTAGGGCTCCTTGTCTTCTTTGGCTTTAAAAAAAAACCACTAGCGGGTGCAAAAGGGACCAAAAGACCCTAATATTGCCTAAATCATGCAATTGCGTTTATTGAATAGATATATATAAGTTTGTCAGACCAAAATTTCTGCGGCTCAAATGGTGTAGTTGGTTATCACATGCCTCTCACTAAGGCAAGGTCCCAGGTTCGAACCCTGGTTTGAGCATTTTGTCTCTCTAGACAATGGATTGACTCTTTTTTTCCGCAGGAGTGGGTCGCCAGCCTTATTTGACAACCTCCTGCAGGGGATGAAGGCATCATGGAACGTAAGAAGTAGATGCCGTGTGAGCACAGGAAAGGTATCAATTAGACCATAGGCCCAATCTTCAGGACTTGCATGCCCAACGTGGTAAGTGGATTTCTGGATGGGCTGTTAAATACAGCTCGCTCCCGTCAAGTAGGCGAGAGGAGGAGAACTACCAGAATATCATTTTTGAGCGAATGGCACTACAGACAAAGCTTTGGGCAAGTTGAGAATGGTCGATGCTTTTTAATGTTTATCCGCGGGCAGCATTGAGTGCACTTCCCTTCTTAAACCACTCGATCTGGTCTTTGCTCATGGTATGAAGGGCCTTGATCTCAAATTTTTCTCCGTTGGCGCGGCGCACAACCAGCGTAATCTCGCCTCCTTCAGCCGTATCATTCTTTCCTGGACGTCCTGCAACAAGGTCAGCCACGCCAACAGTCGACTCAATCACATCTCCTCCGTGGATCCTTTCCCAATCTGCTGGGTCTGCGAATGTGAGGGGCAGCACACCTTGCTTCTTAAGGTTCGTCTGATGGATACGAGCAAAGGACCGGGCCAAAATCATGGGGCAACCTAGGTAGCGCATCTGTAGTGCGGCATGCTCACGCGCAGAGCCTTCTCCGTAGTTGTGCTAGATGAATGAGAATGGGTTACAATTTAGTTGGAGTTTCTTTTCTTTTTTTTTTTAGTGGAGTATCAAAATGCCTCCAATACTTACATCGGTCACAACGATCCACGGCTTGCCTCTCTTTTGATAGTCGCGTCCAACTTCGTGAATGGCTCCTTCTTCGCCTGTAAACACGTTTGAAACAACGTTGACCTTGTCATTGTCTGCATTCAGTGCTCCGTTGAGGGTATTGTGAGAGATATTCTCCAAGTGACCCTTGTACTTCAACCATGGGCCTGCAGCACTGATATGGTCTGTCGTGCATTTGCCTTTGACCTTCAACAGAACTTCTAGATTAGTGAATTCGCCCTCAGGGCCAGGTCCGAAGGGCTCCAAAACCTGGAGACGCGTGGATTTGGGATCGACGCTGATCTCGATAGAAGGGTTAGGTTGGCTAGCATCGGGCGGTGTGTACGACAGGTTGCCTGGAATGAATCCGTCCTTGGGCAGGTTATCACCATAAGGAGGCTGCAGCATGAATTCTTCTCCAGACGCATCCACAAGTGGGTCGGTTAGAGGGTTAAAGCTCAGCTTTCCGGAAAGTGACATGGCCGTCACCAACTAAACATGTATGAGCAGACAAATTTTTTCCAGTGTTAGTTGACCGCCTTGAGATGACATATCAAACGCTTGAGTGTAGTACTGAGCGTTGCTATATTTACCTCTGGTGAAGTCAAAAAGTTCATGGTCTTCGCATTTCCATCGTTACGGTTCTTGAAGTTACGATTGAACGAGGTCAAGATAGCGTTTTCTTCCTTATCATTCAGGTCGTCGCGAGTCCACTACATAAAAGACAAGTAGACACGGTAATGATTGAAAAGTAGTTAGATCCCAAGTCAAATAGAACCATCACAATATCCCCTGTTTTCAGTTCCGCCGCCATTACCTGTCCGATGCATGGTCCGCACGCGTTTGCGAGAACAACGCCTCCGACCTTCTCCAAGACAGCCGTCTGCCCATCCCTCTCGATCGTGGCCCTGATCTGCTCGGACCCTGGCGTGATAAAAAATCCGGCCTTTGACTTGATGCCTTTCTCCAAAGCCTGCTTAGCCAAGCTGGTAACTCGATCCATGTCCTCGTAACTGCTATTAGTACAGCTTCCGATCAGTCCGACCTTGACCTCATCCTTCCATCCATTCTTCTTAACAACGTCCGCAAACTTTGACAAAGGTGTTGCCAAGTCGGGGGTGAAGGGTCCGTTGATATGGGGCTCTAAAGTCGAAAGGTTGATTTCGATCACCTTGTCATAGACAGCGCCCTCATCTGCCTTCAAGAAGTGGGCGTGCTGACGTGCAGCCTCAGCGACAGGACCACGACCGGTTGCGTGCAAATATGAGGACATGCTGTTGACAAATGGGAAGAGCGAGGTCGTTGCTCCGACTTCGGCGCCCATGTTACAAATGGTACCCATGCCTGTGCACGACAATGTGTCAATTCCTGGTCCGAAGTATTCAATGATATGCCCTGTTCCGCCCTACAAGAAATAGACACCATTTTCTCAGAGTTTAGAAATCCCCTCCATACCAAACATAATAAAGATCTATCTTACTGGAGCGACATGTTGATTAGCACTTACACGAACGGTCAGCTTGCCGGCTAGGTGCAAGATCACATCCTTGGGCGATGTCCAACCATTCAACTTGCCCGTCAGCTTAATACCAATCACTTCAGGGGCTTTTAGCTCCCAAGGAATGTTGGCCATAGCGTCTACGGCATCTGCACCGCCAACGCCAATCGCGATCGCACCCAATCCTCCCGCATTGGGCGTGTGACTATCGGTTCCGAGCATCAGCAGACCTGGGGCGGCATAATTCTCAAGCACAATCTGGTGAATAATTCCGCTGCCTGGCTTCCAGAACGCCATCCCATACTTCTCGGCAGCAGATTGCAAAAAGTTGAAAATCTCTTTGTTGTTTTCGATTGAGTTGACAAGATCTTGATCGGCACCCTTATGGCCGACAATGAGATGATCGCAGTGGATCGAAGATGGGACAGCGGTCGTAGGCATGCCCGCCAACATGAACTGCAATATAGCCATCTGGGCGGATGCATCTTTTTTTTTTTTTTTTTAAAGAAGATCAAGAGTATTTGGCAATGTCAGAGTGCAATTCCAGAGACGGCAGGGTAGATCGAACAGAGTTATGAGACTACAGTTGGTTACCTTGCATGGCGACACGATCTTTTTATGGCCATCGATACCGAGCAGTTAAGTAGAGCAATGGATAAAGTGTGCAAAAAGTCGGCGAGTGTGTGTCAGTATTGAGCTTACTTGACTATCAAATCAAGATGATCGGACATCTCCCTTTTACCCCACATGTCATATAATGGCAACTGCCAATCGCTGCTCATTAAATCTCGGTGCCGAAAAATATAGAGTCACGGAGTCTGATCCATCATTAATTACCTGGAGATAGCTTCAAATACGTCTGACCACGAATGGGCTTGACCTCCTCAGGTTCTGTCAAATGCGAGTAGAGAATTTTCTCCGAAAGTGTCATGGGGCGATGGTCCAGAACTCGCTTGACCTTCTCCAAATTGGCGACCAGCTTCGGGTATGGAGGAGTGATCCGGGTGCAATCTTTAGCGGGGCGAGTTGATGCCGTGGCTAGACTCCTGACATGGCTCCAGTGTGTGGAGTTTCGTGCTAATGGCTATTAGTACCAAGAAGCATTGGTATTGTGGAGACATAGGTTAATATTGGGATACGGCACAGGTTCGTTGGTCCTTGAAGGCTGCTGCCACTCTAAAAAAGAGGCGAGATTGCTGATACCTTAAGAAACGACATGGTCAATGATTATGCGTGCTTGAGTCTGCCTTTGGCTGAGTATGAGGACGGAAATGAGGATTGGCGAAATGGGTTCCCGAGAAAGAAGAAAACAGGGCCGGGGAGGAGGGAGGGAGGGAGGGACAGAAGGTAAGGGTGCTTTTCAGCTCGGTCGTGCCACCAATTTATATCGAGAAATATGAGATGCTGTGACTTGAAGATTACGATAACCTTAAAGGAGGTGCCCTGAAGTCGAGGAAATGGATACATTTCCATGCAGTTTTATTAATGACAAAGACCCGTAAGAACTACATGCAGTATTGATATGTGGGATTGTTCTCCTGGGGTGGCCACCTTTGCTCTCAGGTAGTCCGCTTAGCCAAGAGCTTTAATTGACGCTGTTGCCGATGATGACAGCGCTGATGGCGGCTCTAGCCGTCAGCTTGGCGTTGGTAATAACATGCAGGATCTCTGCCAGCGACTGCTTCTCTGTGCTCAATCGCTGGTTCAACTGATGCCATTGAGAAGCGCCAAATGTTCTATAGATCGATCGACTGATGATCACCACCTTGGCGACCTGGTTCAACTTGGCCCCAGCGCTAATCATGTTGATCACTCATAGCTCGACTTCATCCTCTTCAACCTCCAACGCCTTGGCAATCTCCTGATAACTCAACTTGCGGAGCAGGTTTTCCGACCCAAGGAAGTCAAGGATAAGAGACGGATCTTGCGCAGCATCTCCTCCTTATCCAAGCCGAGCTCCTTCACAAGACCGCCATTCTTTGTCACCAAATTGCGGAGGTCCTGAACATCGTCGCTTATGAAGATGGAGAGAACCTCACATATCTTCCTCATCTTCAGTTGCTGAACGGCATCAATCCTCAGCAGATTCTCAAAAGCAAGAGTCTCAGGCAAGGCAAGCGACTCCACAATGGCATGTATCGCATAGACTTTCTGCGTATCCAGTTCCGAGGCACCGTTGAAAGTTGTGAGATATTTGAGGAAGTCCAAGGATTGGCATCTGTCGCGCGATGAGCGTCATTGAGAGTGTTCGCTTAACGGTCTGTGGAGACCTGATTTGTGGAGACCTGATTTGTGGAGACCTGACCTATGCCATTGAACGATCGTGGTCCATCAACTGCGTGTACTACCTACGTTTTTCCAGACTCCTGGAGACGATCAGACAAATGCAAAAGAAAAGTGTGCTCGGCCTCGATCCCAACGCCCCATTCACTGACTCAGTAAGGAACATGTTGAAGCTGAGGAAGGACAAGATCCATGTCGTCACTGGCGACAGCCAGACCCACAATGGATCTGAAAACCGAAAGGCGAAGAGGTGAGTTAGCAGGGAGTGTGTTGAAGATGTTGGGCAGGCTATTGAGAGAAAGCAAAGATCGGATAAAGATTCAGAATGAGTGCTCTACATACTCATTCCGACAGTCCCTGTCGCTCACCGCACAAAATCCTTTTGTCAGCACACACATCATGAGCTTGATGGCGATCTTCTAGTTGGGCTCGCACTTCAGAGCGTCCAGAATCCGCTCCAAGACCGCTTCGTCAGATTCGACCAAGGCAATTGCGACCAACAGGTTGTACGCGGATTCAAACTCTAGACGAGAAATTGAGGGACAGAGAGGTAGTTGGGATGGATATATGGAATGAAATTGTCGCAATATATCTGAGGTTTTCGCAGCAAGAACGATGAATCAATTGACTTTCGCCTACCCCTCTCAGGAGCATTCAGCAATGCTTTGCTTTCCCTTGCGAGGACTTCTGTGGCCTCAAGAACATTCTTAGCCTCGACAAGACGGCAACTTTTTTCATTAAAGTCTCCTGCTCATCGCCGCGCAGTTAGCTGATGTAGGTGGCCAGTTCAGGTGACAACTACGCGCCAATTCCCTGTATTTGTAAATACTAGCCGATGTTGCTGGTTACTGGTTGCTGCAGCTGCTTTTAGGCTGCCTTTGTCCCTGTACATCAGCAATTCCATCTGTAGTAAAGTGCAGCGCCTGTTGGAGTGATTGCACAAAAGTAGGCTGATCCATGGCCAGAGTAGAAGTGGAAATAGTGTCAGTCGTTGTACCTGATCGTGGATAGGGGCGTCAATAAAGATAATCGAGTTCATTGCTTGAAGTAAGGAAGAGCCACAAGCAAAAACCCAGGCTTCTTTTAATCCATGCGGTGTATTTGTCGCGGTATTTACCCTTAATGTCGACTGACAAACCATCCCCCAGGTCTTCTGAATACAAGGTGGTGCAAGGACATGGGTTTATTATTCTGAAACCCTGAAGGCAATCCAACCCAGATTTTTTCACGCCACCAAATTTAAGTTTGTCTTGACTCTGGCCCATTGAGCTGGATAAGGAGTTGCGCCTCAAGAAAAGATCTAGCGAAGTGCCTCGACTAGATCATCTTGAGTGGAATCAATCCATTTGGGGAACTGATCGCACCAAACGATGTGATCCCACTGGGTCCTATTAACTAACAAAATGCTGTTATTTTTGCGCGTGGACGCCGGTTTGCTATGCGACATTGGAGCCCAAAGATCCATAGTAGCTGGAGCAGTGTACTTTTTTTTTTTTTTTTTTTCGTTGGACGAGGTCTTGAGTTGGATGAGATTCGTGATCTGTCCGCTCCTCAAAAGTAGCTATGTCAATCAATCCAGAAGAAGAGTTGTTCGGGACCTAGAAAACTTATGGGCCTACTGCAAGAGACAAATATACAAATATAATTTTGTCGCTTTTTTCAACTATGTTGCATTGCCTCATTGTTCATGCGATCAGGAGAACGTTCACTCCGATTGCAAAAAGAGCTTCAATTGCGAAAACACAGAGGTTCGGATACACTATATGGCTAGTATTGTTCTATGGTGGCTCCTATTCCTCTTTCCTTGCCGGGACACTGGGCACGGTGCGCGGTGCAAATACGTCCTCCAATGACCGCGGCATGTGGTGCACAGTTGAGGAGACAGTCGCAGTAGCGACTGGAGCACCGGAGGTACTGATGCTACCCGCTCTCGTCATAGGAGTCGCCAAGGATGTCCCCTCCCCAGCAGTGTTAGCTCCACTTCCTCGATCGAGACTACTTGTCGAGGATGATCTGCTGCTTGTGTCTGTTACAGAGCCTTCCTGTGGGGCTGCGATGGATATCGAGGGCACGGCTGAATGCTTCGCTAATGATTCTAATGAGGGCTTTCCGTCCTCCTCACAGACCTCGGATACTGTCTCTGGGAGCTGGGTTCCTAACGTCGTGGCGTGTTGCTGAGAGGGTCCGTTCACAACAATTGGTGGTTCACCATCAACCGTCTGCCCATGTTCCCTCAGCATGACCTTGAGACGAGCGACAGAGTCAGGACCTGACTGACTCACAAGACTATGGAAATAGCCATCCTTATTCTCGATCAACTTTGTCGGGTGTTCAAACTCAACCACACGCCCATCTTCCATTACCAGAATCTTGTCGCACTCGATAATTGTATTGAGTCGATGAGCAATCATCAAAATGGTGCAGTTGGCAAAGTTCTTCTTGATGGTCTCCTGAATCAAAAGATCAGTCTGCAGGTCGACAGCACTTGTTGCCTCTACAGAAGAAAAAGAGATGGGTCAGTTAGAAGCAAAGCAAAGACAGATCAAGCACTAAACTGAGCATACGGCAATAAACGGCACTAACCATCAAGGACCAAGATCCTGCTCTGAAATAGGATAGCGCGTGCGATACAAAATAGCTGTCGCTGACCCAGCGAGAAATTACGCCCATTCTCGATGATTGGTGTCTCCAGCTTCAACGGCATGTTTTGCTTGATGTTTTCTGACAAATGTACGGCGTCCAGCGCTGCCCAAATTTCCTGATCTGTTCTGCGATGAAAGGGGTCGAGATTCGATCGAATTGTGCCCACAAAAAGAACCGGTTCCTGGGGAATGATAGCAATCTTGCTTCGTAGATCATGCAGACCAATCTCACGTACGTCCACATTGTCGATCAAAATCTTGCCCTCCGCAGCCTCAACTACACGCAGAAGTGATATTAGCAGCGTCGTCTTGCCACTGCCCATCTTTCCGACCACGCCGATCTTCTGGCCTGGTTGGACAATGAAGCTGACCTTCTTCAGCACGGCCACTCCATAGTTTTGGTATCTAAGGACAACCTTCTTAAACTCGATTTCACCCTGGCTGGGCCAGTCGATGGGCGGCTGTGTCTCAGGAATGTGATCGGGAGCCTCGGCTGGGATGTTCATACCGTATAGCTCCAATTGGCAGACGGACTCCTTGGTTCCTTTGACCTCCGCAGACATGCGAACAGACCATTGGACAAATATCAGCAGCTGAAGAGCGTTCGTGATTGCCAATCCGACTTGTGAAGCGTCCAGGGAGCCATCCTGCGAGAAGTAGACCACAAGCATAGCGGTCACTAGCACAAAAATGGATGAGACAATGTCCAAGTAGAGGGCCAGCCAGGACCGGACTTGCATGACAGCAAAGAACGCCTTGTGATTGTCGTCAATCTTGCTTAGGTTGAATGCGTCGAACCGCATCTCTGCACCATAGATTCGGATCGAAAACAGGCCATCAAGCGTCGCAGCCATGTGCGCAAAGATGGGACCCTTGGTCATTGCCTCCATGCTCCTGAGCTGCTCGTCGGTGTATGATGAAAAGCGAATCAAGACCCAGACAAGCACCAGTAAAACAACGACGGCAACGGCTGACCAGGGGACGATCACGATAACGAGGATGGTAGTACCAATGGCCAGGGGCATGTACTGCAGCATCTGAAGGATTGCGTCGGGTAACATCTCGTCGACAACATACAGGTGCTTTGCGAACGCGTTCAAGATCCTGGCAAGAGGCGTCACATCGAAATAGCTCATGGGTGCATGCAGAATCTTGCGGAAGATACGGTCGTGGTAAGTGAGTGACTTTTTAAAGACGACCATCGACAGGAAGAAGGCGCGGGCGTACGCTCCGATGACCACGGCGCCAACAAGTCCTCCATAGACTCCGAGATAGTAGTTGAAGTCGGGCTTGGGATCGGGTCCGACAGTAAAGCGCAACCAGTAGTCTGAGAATATACGCAGACCATGGGTGGCTAAGAAAACCAGGGCGACAGCAATCGAGACTCCCATTCCAGTCCCTTTCCGAAGATAGGCCTTGGCGACAGACCAGCCGGAAACAACATCTCTGCTCTTGACACCATATCCCAAATCCAGCCGCTCACCGCGTCCACCTCCAAGCATGCCGCCCTCCCGACCACTCAGGCTGTGAATTGTCAGCTGGTTCCTCTCGACAGCCCTCGCCATAGAGTTCTCTTCGCGGTTTGTTGGGATAGTAGTGAGCCGATTTTGCCCCATACTTCCGAGGATTGTCATCTGATTACGCTCAATCATTCTGGAAATGGTCTGCTCGTTGATCATCTGATTTTGTATTGTGTGTGCGTTCAGCTCCCTGAGGCGGTGAATGGTGTGCTCGTTTGCTGCAGCATAGTTGGTGTTGGGTGTCCCTGGGTTTGACATTGAATGAGAACGCTGAGAGAGCAAGTTGGGGCGACTGTGGACTGAAGTGGTGCCGGCAGAGAGTTTTCCACTCTTGCTGATGCTGGGACGTCCATGGACATTGATAGTGCTAAGTTCTTCGCTCTCGCCCTCCGTGGCCTCAGAGCCGGCCAAACGTGAAGTGGCATTCTTTCCAGAAGAGCTGCGGTGAATGGTCACGTTCCTGGGGATGGTCAAATGACTGTCGTATCCCTTTTCCATTGTGGGACCTGTGGGAACAGATGCCGATCCTGTATCCATGTCGGTCGCTGTTGGCTCCAATCTAATCTCGCTCGTCAACTCCTGGATTTGGTCCGGGTCTTCGATCTCCATGGACTCCTCGACAATACGAGCGAGATTAACATCCTTGGCCATGAGCTCATCAAATGTGCCTTGTGCTTCAATGGAGCCGGCCTTCATGACAATAATGTGATCGCAGTCGCCAAGATGTTGGAGCTGATTGGTGACATACACAACAGTCTTGCCGGCCAGGAATCCTTTGATGCACTCCTGGAAAATATGCTTGCCGATCTGAGCGTCCATGCCGCTGAGTGGATCATCCAACAGCATGATATCTGCATCCGAATAAACCGCACGCGCCAAACTGATGCGTTGTCGCTGTCCCTGGCTCAGGTTGATTCCGCGCTCTCCAATCTCGGTCTCGTCTCCTGCACTCAGAAGTGTCAAGTCGCGATTGAGGGCGCAAACGCGGAGAATGTCGTTGTACTTTTGGCGGTTAAAAGGCGAGCCGAACAGAATGTTTTCCTTGAGACTTGCATTCACCAACCACGCATCGTGAGGCACATAGGCTAATGTCCCATGAACTGCACGGTCTCCTGCCACCAGCTTAATCTGCCCCATGATAGCCGCCAGCGTTGAGGATTCTAAAATATATACGGAATAAAACAAACAGGTTATGGTGAGGCTGTGACCATTGATTGTTGTACCGGCCACCTGTGCAGAAACGCAAAGTACAACTTACTGCCGGACCCAACGTCTCCCACAATTGCTACCAGCTCCCCAGGTTTAACGCTCATACTGATGAATTTCAATGTTGGATTGGACTCTTGAGATTCTGGCCAGCCGAAATCTGCATCCTTGATATAGATTCGAAGGCGGGAAATCTCGCGGCGAAGCGCCAGACGCTCCATCTCTTTGGCATCTCCACTACCGCTCGTAGAGCCGTTCATCACCAATCCATCCGCCACGATATGAGACGACCCTGAGCCGCTCCTTCCTGAATGCACAGTGTCAGCTTCACCATGGACGGGAAGAGGCTCCACTTCTGGGAGGCGCAAGAAACCGTCAAGTCGATCAAAACTGAGCAATGCGCCCAGTGTCGTCTTGACAGCAATAGGGAGCATGATCAATGGGTACCGCAGGGTGTTGAAAAGGGATAGTGTTGTGAAAACAACACTCGCTTTGATGTCGCCCCGAAGGCCTCGGCTGTCGCTGAGCTCATAAACGCAGATACAGGCCAAAGTTGTCACGACTGGAGCTGCGAACACGAGCGCAAACGAGGTAATTTTCAGGTACATTCCGCGACGGAGCTCTCTCATCTCCTTGGCTCGCACGCGCGTCACTCGATCCCTGAAGTACGACTCCCATGCATAAAACTTGATCAGCTTAATGGCTGTTAGAAGCTCGGACATGATATGGATCCTAGCAGTCGTCGAAATAGTGGCCATGGCATTGATGCGGGCGGTGTAAAAAGAGAGAAGATACTGCACAGGGAACAGCAAAATGAGGATAACCAAGGCCGGAACAGCGGCAATGTGAAGCTCGACAAAAGCCAAGGCAATCACGACTAGTTTAAAAACGTGATGTTAGCGTGCTTCTCAGTGTCTGACATGGATACGAACAACAATAGAAACGAGCATTCGTTTTTGACTCACCTAAAATCTCCAAGGCAGAGCTCCAGAGGAAATGAAAGTTGACAAAGGACTCGGCGACACGGTTGCAGTCATTGGAGATGAGATTAATGATGTTGCTAATGCCGCCGTGCGCCGAGGACAGCTTGAGCGATTTGCGATAGATTAATACCATGAGACCAGCCCGCACCTATGCGTAACCACCAAATTAAAAGATATCTGTGTCAAAATGTGCGCTCACTTCCAAATGTGTCTGCAAACACAAGCCCTCGTCGTCCTCACCTGAACTCCGATACGCGTGCACTCTGCCATGACCTGCTGGATACACACACTGCTGCCGATGCAGGTCAGGAAGATCCCGAGGGCATAGAGATAGCCCTCAGTCAGGGACCTTGTGTTACTCTCGTTTGCAGGCGCGGATTCCACGAAGCTGATGAGTCGCTTAACAAAGAAGTAGGCGCCCAGATATGTGAAGATGATCCAAAAGAGCTTGTAGAAGGCTAGCATCAGATAGGGTCGGCCAAATGCGCCCATCAAGGCTCTGCTGATCGAAGCTCTATTTTAAATGGGAGCGTGAATAGAATGCGCACATTAGCATGGAAACGGACCGGAGCAACAAGCCAGCCTAAAATGAAAAATAGAGATGTTGTGCGACGTAGGAAAAGGTCCGTTGACTGGAATGAGACACAGACATCTTCACTTCAAACAGCGATGATGATGATGCAGACGGTGGTGCAGATACATAAAAACAGAGCCCTCTCCCCGATACACTGCACTCTGCACTCTCACTCTCAATCGCCTTAGCACACAACTCACAAAAGCCAATGATGGATACATTTATCGATCCCTCACCCCGTCTTCTCCTAGCGGTTCAGTTGATTGCCATTGAGGGGACAAATTTGAGATATAGATAGCACGACCACTCAATAAAAAATAGAATCTTTGTCGCTTGTGTTCCCTGTCTTTGTCTGCGTGCTGCAGGTCCATCCGCCCCCTCTTAGGTTCTGTGACCATGTGCTGATGCTATTACGAGATGAGGCAACCTGTCTGTACATTATGTGTACACCTTGCCTTGACATACTCATTGAAATATATCACTATCCTGATTGAACCCTCTGTATAGACTTCCTCTTATCAGTTCAAGGAGCTAATTAGGATGGCAGTCGATAATGCCATAGTAGCTGGAGACTGAAGCATCAATTGACCGACCCTATACGCAATTGCTCTGGCCTAGTGAAGGTGAATACTCAATGTAATCCAAAGGAAGGGTGACAACAAAGTGTACTTACTTGTCCTTGTAGTCGATTTCCTCCTGACGCCACCGTTCGCCGAGTTTCTCGCCCGCATACTCGGCCGACTCTTCCTTCTGCAGTTTAATGGAATCTGGATCGAAATCTGGGTCAGACCTTGACCGTTTGAGGAGAGGAAACACCCAGAGAAAAAACCATTGGGAAATGAGGTTGAAGGAGTGGCCGCCTTTCAAGAGAATAGGTGCTTCTGAAAACGAGGACGATGTCTCATCCTGAGGCCCGTACTGCCTTTCTTGTGATCTCCGTCCGGATTTTGAAAAAGGCATTCCGTTGTAGAGTGTTGAATGTCAATATTAAGGTGATTTTGGGGGTCTATTCAGGTACGAAAAAAAAAACGGTATATGTGCTGAAGGGGGGAGGGAATAGATGGCTGAGCTGCAGAGTTGTCCGTTGAGGCTGGATAGAATTGGAATGCAAGGCAAGTTGGGTGCAAAACGATCCTAAGGGCGAAGGAGGACAGGTTGAGAGAGGATGTTCGATGGGTCGGGCAAAAAAGAAGCTGGGTTGAGATGCACACAAGGATCCGAGCAAGACCGATCACGATGCCTTGAAAGGAAAGAAAAGATTATTGCTGAGGAAAAGACATGCGGATAAGAGGAATTGTAAAGGTGTATATGATTGGCAGGCAGGCAGAGAGAGTGTGTGTGCGTGTGTGTATATGATGGTGGACAGGGATGAGGATGAGGATGAGAATGAGGATGGTTGATGAGACTGAGAAGGAAGGACGGATATGAGTGGTGGGGATAGAGACAAGGTGTATGTCAGGCACACATGGAGTCTATATAGTTCTGCATGGGGCGACTTCGTGCAATTGAAAGTGTTTCTGTAAACGAGGGTGCCATTCTGGATCCTGCCAATTCCACGGACTCGGACCACAGGAGGTAAGGAAGAGGAGGCAAGAACGAAATGGAAGGTACCCTGACCTGACCAACACGAACCACCACTACCCCCATCACCACCGCTCTATATCCTCTATATCATCGCAGCACCCATCTTCGGTGACCCGGAGCTGATTCCTTCGTCTTTCCCTCCCTCTCTCCCCTCCCTCTCTCCCCTCCCCCCCGCGATAGTCTCTGCCTAGTACGCCTAGTGAGCAAAACAACAAACGCGTCCATTGTTGAGGCGGATAAATCTTTTTTAAGGCACACCTAGGGATGATAGAGAACGGAGCGAGTGGATGTGTGTTGTTCCTTGAAAAAGGAGCGACAGCAGCACTGCAACATCAAGCATCTTCATGTCTATCCCCTATTTGATATCCTTTTTTCACACCCACAAAAGATGAAAAGGCACAATAATTAAACTAGATCTGCAAAGATTTGTCTCCGGGAGAACTTGAGCTCTTCAGCATAATCGCGAACGTCTCGCTTATTATCTCTACACCAGTCAATTTATACAGACCAAGTGGGCCTGGATTACCATACTTTGCCATGCCATCGATGGTGGAAAGTACTCCATGAAGTGGAGGGTGTGCTTTTACGTGTTCAAATGACATGAGTACCATGCACAAGTGGACCATGGTACCTGCAGTTAGTCTCGATTCACTGTGGGGCGTGACTGCAACACGCAGAATGCAGGCATTCAATTAAAAAAAAAAAAGTCCGGCCACTAGGCACAAGTCGTTTTCTGTCGTCCTCATCAATCGCCACCAACCATCCCCATCAGCGGCGCTAACCAGCACCGGACCTACATCACCGCATGCTTCCAAAGCGCGCAAACCCTGCTGGCAAGCCTGCACTCAGCGTTAAGGTACACAGGAGGTTCATTCGCATAAGACTCCATCCATTAGAATCATCCTACCGATCTCAATAGCCTGAGTCCCGTGTTTTTGTTTTTCGTTCTTTCCTTAGCGCGTCAAGGCGGCATCGTATGGCAACTCTGATTCTGATTCAGAGGGTATGCACAACAGTACCTGGAAGCAGCGTGAAGATCATATTCATTATGCATTGGCATAGTCTGGATGTTGATATGTCCTCTTTCTTGGCTGAACAGACACATATAGACCCCAGAAGAAGACTCTGGCGAAGATGGACCTCCCCAATATGGACGATGCGGCGAACGAGGAGGAAGAGAGTCTTATTAGGCATTACAGCACAAAGCAACCACAAGCCAAAAGCAAAAAGAAAATCTCGCCCGAATACCCCACCGCAGCTTCAGAGTTGGCACTCACCAAATCACAGCAACAGCAGCGAAAGCAACCAAAGTCAGCACCCCCTGCGGCGCTAAGCAGACAGTCGTCAGCCCTGAAGAGCAAAGCAAGCCACGACAATCAGGAGAACGTGGAGAGTCCCTATTCGACATTCGTCTCTAGCACCAAGTCCAAAGGCATTGGAAAAGAATCTGCACGCACAACATCATCTATGACTGCCGAGCAAGTATGTTACATTTATTGTTCGTGAAAAACTGATCTCCTCAACGGACTCACGCACTAACAGCACGCTTTCTGTACGCTGTAGCTTGTAGTGGCGCTCGATGAACTCAATGTCAAGTACAAGCGTCTGAAACAACTGCGCATGACTGAAGCAGAGAAAAACTTGGAGGACTGCCGCGCAAAGTTGGAGGAGGCCACCCGCAGTGCCGAGAATTATCGTGCCCAGATGGAGCTGCAATTGGAGTGTATGTTGACATATCTAGTGGAGCCATTGCGCCAGCAACTGTGAGCAATATCTACACTCTAACACAAGATAACATCTGATGCTTCGAAAAATAGCCGCGCTCAGGACCCAGGAAAAGTTACGCGACAACAGCGAGGTCATGAATGCAAAAGGTATAGCTGCATAGCCACGACCTTCACAAGTCCTTTATAGATGTTCGGCCTGAAGGGCGCATCAATTAACTTCAGTATTTTTACGTACACATGGCAAATCGATAGTGCGCACTCTTCAGCGTCAAGTGCGAGATTGTGAGGGAAAGCTCAGACAGCACGAACAAGAGGATCGGGTCAGGGCCAAGACTGCATCGATGCAATCAGTTCTTGCCAGTCCGGATGTTACGCCGAACACTGCAGCAACTGTCAGCACTATCAAGATGTATGAGAATTTGAGTGGTTTCAAGCTTGTTCCTCGGGACATTTTCCCTGGTTCATCCAAAAACAAGCTGCCGACTATCTGGGATTGTGAACAAACGGGACCTCGCGGTAGTACGTTCATTTGTTATACAAGGTTTAGTATTCGACAGCGTTCGACTATCGCAATTGAAACCTAACCAGATCTACCATTCAATCTGCTCATGTTTAGCACTTCATTTCACGCTGACCTATGATTATGAAAACAACTTGGTGTCCTATTCCCCATCAATCGATGAAAAGCGAGACGAGAAACTGCTGAAGAGTCTTCCTGACTACTTGACAGACGACATTGAGTTTGAGCGGCAATTCGAGAGTAAATTCTTCTGGAGAATGCTCAATTTTAACAACGAGGACGAGATTTAGGCGATCATCGACGCCTCGGCTGGCCTGGGATGCTCGATTTCGGAAAATAACATATATTTTATACCAGTTGTACTTCATACTATTTGTAATAAAAAGCGATATTTCCCTGCGTTCAGATCGCTATTTATTAAATAGTTCTCATGGCGGCCAGAGAACAGTATCATAAAAGAGAGGGGAGTTATTCTGTCGTAGCAGCAGAACGTAATGAGTGGAGAGTGAGATTGAGCGAGTGGGAGAGTATTCAGAACCCGGACGAATGCAGAATACGGTCCATAGGGAATCGACAGCAGCGAAGGTCCCTTAAGACGACCCGCCGTAATAGGCCTTGCCAAGGACAAGGACCTGGAGTTGTTCGTAGCCAGACAAGGCGCCAGCTCCAGCGACCGCGCGGAGAATGTTCGCTCCAGCACCCTTGAAGAGGGATCTGTAGCCCTCCTGGGTGACAATCTGTCTGAAAGCATCAAACGAGGACTTGTACTTCACAGCTTCGCCCGAGGTCATCATCATGCGGCGGCGAACAGTGTCGAAAGGGTATGAGACCAAGCTGGCCAGGTTGGTGACGCCGAAGCCAAGGATGAACGAGGCAATGAAGGAGCCTTGAAGGGCGCCAGGCATGGAGGGCTTGATCGAGTCGTACAATCCAAAGTACCTGTGTATTTGAAGAACGAAGCATTAGATACCTGTGCTCAGGTTTGGATTTCACCTTTTTTTTTCAGTGTGCATTTATGGGTGAGGGCTTACAATCCACGATAGATGACAATGCCGACGATTGACAAAGAGAATCCACGGTAAAGGCCCGCGATGCCGTCCGAGGCAAGGGTCTTCTTATACACGTCCATCAGACCCGTGTACTGGCGCGAGCCCCCATTCTTCCCCTTCCCGTCGCTGGAGAGACGCGTGCGGGCATAGTCAAGCGAATACACAAAGGTCAGGGAGAAGGCGCCAGCAGCAGCTCCAGAGGCCAGATTGCCGGCCAGCCACTTCGCATAGCCGTCCTTGTCCTTCTGGTAGTTGAACATGGCCTTGAAGTAGTCCTTGAATGCAAAGTTCAAGGCCTGGGTAGGGAAGTAACGGAGCACATTCGTGCCGTTGCCGCGCCAGAGTGACACAAACCCCTCGTCGACGACGACGCGCTTGAAGCAGTCAGTGACGCCTCGGTATGGGTGAGAGAGACGTCCAGCCTTGATCAGCTCATCTTGATTCTGGAGGAGCAGCTTGACACGCTCGATGGGTGCCTAAAAAAACGCATTGTGGGTCGATTTTTCAATGAAAATCGAGCTTACTTCGCACATTTTCAAGCGTTGCTGCTGCAGATGACTTACGGCGGCGGTCTTGGAGATGCTGGCAGACACTCCTCCCTAAAACGGTTATACCAAGAAAACGGTCTGTCAGCTCACGCAGACAGGCGCAATTGGTATTGGATAGATGTAAAGAGAATGGCGATAAAATAAAAAAAAAACGATCCTGTTACCAGGAGGAAATCGGTCATGAAGGCATTTATGCCCTTTTTCTTGGGTGCAGGGGTAGCCATTGTTTTTGGTAGTTTCTTGGATGTGGGTATTTGATGAAGAAAAAACACGGCGTTATTTATCCCTCCCAAAATACGTCCATTACAAGTGTGGCGGTTCCTCCGCCTCGAACAGGACGTGGCCACATTCTTCAAACCGAATCGTTTCCGCCCGAATATGTTACTGCGCTGCGCTGCGGCTGAGCCTATCCTTCGTCGCGTTGTTGTGGACATTGCCTGAAAAGGAAGCGTGACCGATGTTCACTACGCGGCAGAAAGCGTAAGGCTACTGTGCACTTTTAAGAGATGCAGAGGAATTGAACATCACCATCAAGACCACGCGTCAAGATCAACAGGGCTTTGTTACGATGTGGTCCGAAAGCGGATTTGATGTATCCGTATATTAAATATAGTGATTCAGCACCCGTCCCTCTCGTGAGATAGAAACGGCGCGATGGTGAGGTAGCCCTGACTTTTTTTTTTTTTGTGGAGCAGACAATAACTACGCCGGCCAGACGCGACTTATTCAACTCGACACAATTGAATCCCTGGCTTGTTGGGCTTCCAGCAGCGCTATAGCCATTAACATCAAAGCGCTCGAGGCCACCTACCATCGTCTGCAGGATACAAGCGTGCGAAGGGCAATTTCATAGCCTCACCCATATCCCATTTGAAGACTTCGGAACGCTAATGGAACGACATGTACGATTGTTTACGAAGTATGAATCGCTGGAAATACGTTTTAGCAAGAAATTCGGCAAGTAACGCATGAACGGTCGTCTACACGAAGTGCGTGATCGTCTTGCTCATCCGAGAAAACCACACAAACTCTACAAACCTGCACACGAGATACCTCAAGCATTTCAGAAAGCATATCACAGACTCAGCTTCAAACGGACAGTCATTCCTGAGCGCCAATAATTTGAAAGGACGCATTATTCCGATGGAATATCCTCAGGCAATTGGTGGAGGAAGGATCGGGAGCTTCCTGTACACAGCAACATGGGAACATGGCTGAGTGTCTCAGGACGGAGGCACATTTAGTGAATCCAAGGCAGCTCGTTGTTAAGGCGCCTAGCTCAATATATATTTTTTTTTATTAACTAGGATCCTCAACGATATGTAAGGCGCCTAGCTCAATAGATAACATGAAAGGAGAAACGATGTATGCAGCAGCAGGGAGCACGATGAGTGATGTGATGTGCAATATAAAATCGCGGGACGCGCACGGCTCACTCCATTTATCAGCTCTTGATAAATTTAATTATTCAACAACAAAGATATCTCTCGCTCATTTTTTTTTTCTTTTTTTTTTTTTTGAAATCATGAGTCCCGGTACATGCATGCGGTCATCATCCCCGTTATATGTTACAGCCATTACCGCTTTATTTTTACCCTTGTCTATTTCAAGCCGGAGATAGAGGGGGAGGGAGGTTTTTTTTTGCAGCAGAGAATGGAATTATGTGGACTTGACACGTCCCTCGCAGACGCAGAGCGGCCCTTGAATGTGGACCTAGTGGTTCGTTCACGCTATTTTTTTTTTTTTGGGCGATTCCCACTCAGGGCTGTATCCGGAGGAAACAGGATGCGAAAGAGAGAACCGAGATGATGCTTATCGCAAAAAGAACAAAAGCACGGCCATGAAGATATGATGACCATGACGACAGACATGAACGTGAGTTTTTTTAGCGAAGGGAAGGATGGTGCACGAACACATGAACTTTCCGGTGGGGACTAATCTACATGCAGGAGCGTAGTATAACTGGCATATGCTTTTGTAGCATGCTGATTCAAGAAACAACTAGGGCCCCTCCGGATCCCTTCAGATGATATCCTTTTACCTGGGACTTGTGCATCAGGTCGTCGTGCAACAATGTTCTTTTTTTTATTTTTATATAGACACAAAGAATTGACCGCCTTCACAGCCTGAGTTGAGTGCCATTTGATAGGATTCATGACCCCGTCTCTCTTTTTTATGGATCAAAGCCATCATCTGGATCTCCGTTATCCAGTCAATGGGTCCTGGTTGGAGCGAGGGGAATCAGGTACACCAGACATACCACACAGCACGCAGTCAGCTTAATGTGCCTGCGGCCACATGCCTTTGCTCGTTCCTCATTCTCATATGCATCAGCCTGTCGTTGCTCCGTTAATCCGTTACCGCTCTCGCAGCCGCAGTTGCGTGCGTCCTTTCTCCGCGCTTCGGTCATTTACTCATAGTGACCATGGCAGCCATTTTGTGCCGTTCAGTTGTCTTTCTGTGGATCCCGAATACAGGGTCTGTCTTTGTGCTTTGTGCTCTGTCCTACCACTGACATGTCGCACGCTGTGTATATCCACCTAGGTAAGGAAATCAAGCGGTGTTGAATGGCTGATGAGGGCGGCAAAGTGTGCCCGTCTTTCTTGTCGGCTGTGGCATCCCAATGGCGTATAGTCCGTGAGTCGGCCAAAGAGCGAGAGGGGTGCACACGACGTCAAGAAGACCGAGTGTTGTTGATTCGGACAGGTCTCTCTTGCGGATAGAGTTGATTCGGTGGTAGTTCGATCACCACTCGGCCCAGGGGAACAGAAAAAAATAAATAAAAAATAAATGCCTCAGTGGGGGGGCAGTGGTTCCAATTCTATTTTATTTTCTGATACCGCTCACTTTTGCAGCCCACTGTCGACAGCCTGAGCTGCGAGCGAGACAGGAGTGGAATGTGCGATATATTTACTTATTTACTTATTTACTTATTGGCGATGTATGTACACAGTACTCCATGCGATATCGCAGTAAACAGAGCAATCATATTCCGAGCATCTGGCCCCGATCTTATTTTTTGAGTCTTTTTGGCCATAGGCTTTTTTTACGGTGCAGTCCACGCACACACGCACAGGGTCGACAAAGTGAAGGGTGTCCCTTGAAGTCTATTCGCAGCTGCCACTCTCCCAAGCAGCCAAATAAATAGCTCCCAACGCTGCACCTCTGTGCCCTCAGTTCTCTTTCTCTCTTATCTTGATCCTCCCCACTCTCACTCTCCCCGCCCTCACTCTCCCCACTCTCGCTCCCTCAGCAACCAGCCAGGCTACCAAGCCAGCCACACAACCTCACACCATGGCATCAACCGCCGGTGCTTCCACAGATCCTTCGACTCAAGAGTCCAAGCTCGAATTCAGCGAGCCCCTCAAGATGACCAGGACCAGAACCATCCCCACCACCGCTCCACCCTCCCAGGACCTGTCCGAAAAGGACAGCGGGAAGCGGGAAGCCCTCAACAAGAAGGAAAAGGCCCTCGATATTGTAAGCAAAAAAAGCAGCTGTTGTGTAGACTTCCCAAGGAGAGTGGATTCAAGGCAAAGCACACCCATTACGACTCCATGCCATGGCAAACCCCACCCAGCACTCGCAACACACTGCCTTTGTTTCTTTTTCTACTCGATGGCGATGGTGGGCGGAAAAAAAAAAGGAAAATCTTTTCTGATCGAGATGGAAATAGTCCGCACCCTTTTCAGCACCATTTCCTGCCAGTTCAAATTGTGCTCCTTCAAACCATAAAAAAAAAAAAAGGGCTCCCTCTTAGGACCTGTTGCTGTTCGCAGCCGTCCTCTCGCGCGCTCTCTGCTCGCGCTCTTCAGCCTGTTCTATATATTCTCACAAATTCCAATTTGTTAACTCAACCAATCCCTCTCCTTTTTCCATTTCCGGTTCTGGTTGAACATTAGACGGAGCACCTCTTCCCAATCGAGGAGATTGCTGCCAGACACGGCGTCAACATCGATGCTCATAAGGCCGCCAACAGCAAAGGACTGGACCCCTCCGTCGCTGCTCAGCGGCTAGCAGAGAACGGGCCCAACATCCTGTCGCCCCCCAAGCAGATCTCGCCCTTCATGAAGTTCTTCCACTGTCTCACCTCGCTCTTCAACCTGCTCCTGATCCTCGCCGGTATTCTCAACTACGTCCTCTTGGCTGTCGACCCCAAGGGCAACAAAGTCAACGTAAGTGCTGCATCTATTCCGTGTTCCGCTATGTCGGATGAGCTGTGGGCACTTTATACCAATCTTTAGCCCCTCCGTTTTTTTATTTGCCGCGGCACGCGTCGCTTCTCCGGCTCTAAAAATCCTAATTTGGTCTACATGATATACAAATATATTTTTTTTTTCCAATCGTTGCAGACATACTTGGGAGCTATCCTGATTCTCGTCGCGTTTCTCAACGCAGCCATCGAGTTCTACCAGGCCCAAAAGTCCGCTGCTGTCCTCCAGTCGTTCCTGAACCTCATGCCCCAACAGTGCTATGTCGTCCGCGACGGAAAGTCCGTCCAGATCCCCGCCTCCGATCTTGTCCTGGGTGATGTCGTCTTTGCGCGCATGGGCGACAAAATCCCTGCCGATATCATGATTTTTGCATGCACGGATATGAAGGTCGACAACTCGTCCTTGACGGGAGAAACCGATCCTCAGGACCGCAGCCCCATTAACGACCAAAAGAACCCTCTCGAAGCCCGCAACCTCGCATTCAACGGATCCCTGGTCATCAACGGCGAGGGCTATGGATTGGTCATCAGAACAGGGGACAACACCGTGCTTGGTCAGATTGCCGGATTGACCGCTGGAGAGGACTCTGGAAAGTCGCCCCTCACTCGCGAAATCGATGACTTTGTCAAGATCATTGCTTCGATCGCCATCACCACCGCTATCGTCTTTTTCCTCATCGGTTACTTTGCCGTTTACCGCGACCAGGCCGGTGGAATCTCCAGCACACTCAACTTTGCTATCGGTGTCTTCGTCGCCTGGGTCCCCGAGGGTCTTCCTGCCACGGTCACCATGTTGCTCACCATCGCTGCCAAGCGCATGGCCACGCAGAACGTCCTGGTCAAGGATCTGACCGGTGTCGAGACTCTTGGCGCCATCACTCTTCTCGCCACCGACAAGACCGGAACATTGACCCGCAACCAAATGACCGTGACCAACATCTGGTCCTCCAACAATATGTACTCTGCTTTCCGCAGCGCCGCCAATGCCGGTGCTCCCTTTGACGCCAGTTCTCCTGGTATTCCCGAGGTGCTCTCGATCTCTGCCCTGTGCTCACGCGCCAAGTTTGACCGCACGGATGTGCCCATTTCCGAACGTCAGGTTGTCGGTGACGCCACCGAGTCTGGATTGACCCGCTTTGCTGCTGCCAACATTGCCAACTTTGATGAGCTCTCTGATCTCTACCCTAAGGTCTTTGAGGTCCCCTTCAACTCTGAGAACAAGTGGGCCATGACGATCCATCGCAAGGACCATGCCAACGGAACGTACACCCTTTTGATGAAGGGAGCCCCCGAACGCATTCTGCGTCTCTGCAGCACTATCCTGATCAATAACGAGGCCATTCCCTTGACGGCGGAGCACTCGAAGGCATATGATGAAATGTACACACTGATGGCTTCCAAGGGTCACCGTGTCCTCGCTTTCGCCCAGTTGCTCTTGCCCGGTAGCCAGTACCCCGACGGCCATGTGTTTGACAAGGAAAAGAAGAATTACCCCACCACAGAACTCTGCTTCGTCGGTCTCATCTCTCTGGAGGATCCCCCCAAGCACGGTGTCCGTGAGGCTATTGGTCGCTGCCGCTCTGCTGGTATCCGTGTGATGATGGTCACTGGTGACCACCCCTTGACTGCTGAGGCCATTGGACGCAAGATCAACTTGGTGCTTTCGGATACAAAGGAGATGGTGGCCAAACAGCGTGGTTGCTCTGTGGACGAGGTCGGCGACAACGAGTACAATGCGATTGTGATTCACGGTGAACAAATTGATTCTTTATCGGAACAGGACTGGGATTTGATTTTCTCCAAGCCCGAAATCATCTTTGCCCGTACTTCGCCCAAGCACAAGCTGCAGATCGTGAAGCACGCTCAGGCCCTTGGCCACATTGTCGGCGTCACGGGCGATGGTGTGAACGATTCGCCTGCGCTCAAGAAGGCAGATCTGGGTATTGCTATGAACATTTCAGGATCGGATGTCTCCAAGGATGCTGCTTCCATGATCTTGCTCGACGACAACTTTGCTTCGACTGTCCGCGGTATTGAGGAAGGTCGTCTGATCTTCACCAACTTGAAGAAATCCATTCAGTACACGATCACGCATTCGATGCCCGAGGTTATCCCCAATTTGCTCTATGTCATTGCCTCCATCCCCCTGCCTATCTCTGCCATGCTGATTCTGGTGATCGATCTTGGATTCGAGCTGTTGATCTCGTTGACCTTTGCCTGGGACAAGCCCGAGACCAAGTCCGGACTGATGAAACTCCCTCCTCGCAAGCCCGTCACCCCGGCCTCGATCGAGCGTCGTCGTCGTATGGCCCTCCGTGCCTTGCCTCCTGTGGTCGACGCGGAATCAGGCGAGGAGGTCCAGCCATCGTTCATGGCTCGATTCCATCACGACTTCATGGCAATGTTCACGGGTGTGTACTGGCGCGAGAAGTTTGAATCGACTGAGGATGAGGTCCTGGTGGATGCTGGTCTCTTGTCCTGGGCTTACCTCGAAATCGGTATCATCGAGACGATCGGTGCTTTGGTGACCTTCTTTGTTGTCCTCTACAAGGAAGGCGGAGTCACCCCTGCGATGGCTGTGCAGATGCAAAAGAACGGCGATTTCACGACGGATGACGACAACAGCGAGCCCGCGAAGTTGTTGGCGAAGGCCCAGTCCAGCTTCTATCTCGGTATCATGATCATGCAGCTGTTCAACTTGTTTGCGTGCAAGTGTCGGTACCGTCTGCCCTTCGGCATGTACATGTTCTCGAACGTCCGTACCTTCATCGGAGTGGCCCTTGGTTGCGCTCTCGGATTCTTTATTGTCTACTGTCCTGGCTTGCCAGTTGTCTTCAAGACGTCGAACGATACCGCTTTCGTGTATCTGCTGATCCCCTTTGCGTTCGGCGTGTTCATCCTCTTTTATGCCACCCTGCGCACGTTGATCCTCCGCAAGATCAGGCCCACGGCCCTCAATGAAGAGATTATTGGCTTGAACATGGTCCCGACTATGAAGACGATGTTCAGCAGAACAAAGTCGATCCAGCCCAGCACCAAGGATTAATGCAGGAGTTGGAAGAGTACATTCTCTTTTTCTCTCTTTGTTTTTTTTTACCCACCTAGTCCTTGAAAATGCCCTTCCCCATCCCGTGTACATCATCCTAGACACTGTTCTTAAAACTAATAAATAATAGAGCGCCTGTTAATCATTTCATATTGTGGTTTATTGTACGATTACATGCAAAAAAAAAAAAAAAAAAAAAAAAAAAAGGAATGGCATATTGTTGGATGCCAATAGTGTACAGAGTCTGGTATAGAAGTACATATTAATTCCAAGGAGGCCGAGACCTGCCATTGCTCGGTCCAGAGGAGGGTGCGGAAGATCCAGGAAGGGAGGGTCGTCGTGAGGAAAATGCTTCCGGTATGGCTGTCGAAGAAGCAGACCATGAAGAGGCCGGTGATGGTGACCTGCGTCCTGATCTGGCATTGGCTGCTGCTCCTGCAATGGGGATCGGTCGCGAAGGTGTCATCTTGCCATTGAAAGAACCCATTCTCTTGACACCCGGTGCAGCCAAGGCCGACGAGGATGGGATGGATGATGAGGTTGGTGTTGGTGTTGCCTTGGTCTTGAGATCTCTAGCCATGTTGCTGCTGCTGGTTCCCCCCGCGTTGTTGGCATTTTTTCCGGCACTACCAATCACTGAAGTTCGGGCGTTCCTTCCCGAAGCTGTTGTCGTCGTCGCCGTTGCTGATGTTGCTGAGAAATGGGACTTTTCACCCCTGGAAGAAGACGAAGGATTGGTGCCGGATCCACTGGCAATCGGTGGTTTCGTGTTTGTCTTTGTGATCACGTTCGAGAGATCCGCAGAGCTGGTAGCCGACAAGAGGTACTTGAGTCCCAAGACCCCGTGTGAGTCCAATGCTGTCCGTCGTGCTCCAGAGGAGGAGATCGCCGATGAGAACGAAGTATTGGCGACATCAGAAATCGTCCCTGACCCAGATCCCGTTCCAGACCCCGATCCTGAAGTTGCGTTGGGTCCAGACATTGAGCCCGCCTTGACCATCTCTCCCTCTGCTGTAGCTGTGGAGGCCGCAGTATTGGAACGAATCGGTTTTTGCGGAAGCTTGATGTTCATACTTGAGATTGATGAGGAGCTCTTCTGGTTTGACAGCGTCATCATACTGAGAGTCTTGCCGATATCCCGGATAGAGCTGGATGAATGCTGAATCGGGCCCAGCACGCCAGAGATCCCGATCCCATTGGCGGAATTCCATGTCGGCTTAATGGTTCCTGCGAGGACATTCTGGAGGATATTGTTCTCCTCGAGTCGTTGATGAAGTTCTGCGGACAATGAGATTCGTTGTGGGAAAGACGAGTCCGACATGTCCTCGTTATCATCCAGTGAGTTCCTGTGCTCGTCCGTGTCAAAGATCGGGTCCGTCCGCCCTTGTAGGTCGTACAAAGAAGATCGGTTCTCGATGGCCTCAAGTTCGCTTGCAAGTGTGCCCTGCATCCCTGAAAAGAATGGTTCATTGCCGGCGAGTTCTTGACCGAGCGAGGGTACCTCATTGCCATATCCTGCAAGTTCCTGATCTAGCCCACGAGAGGCTTCTGCCAGCTCCAATCCGAGGTTGCCAAGTCCCATCTCTATCCCAAGGGAATTACTGTTGGTGCCAGCAGTATCCCTTGACACACTGTCGAACATAGGATCGAGCTCCTCTGTCGTCTGGGCCTCCATGTCGTCGCCATGATGAGTAATGCTGCGGTTAGATGGGAGGCGACGAGGTGCCCTTGGTCTTCCATCCTCCATCCCGTGCATATACTCCCCCGGATACTCCCCAGTCCTGTGGTCCCAGATGGCTGCCTGTGGGCCGCGAGAGGACCAAGCTCGTCCCTCCATATCAGATTCAATGCGTAGGGTGTGGATCGTCTCTTGTGCTTCCTCGAGAAGTTGAGCGTATTCTCTGGTGTTGGTCATCATCTCTATGACTTTGCCTTCGCATTTCATTTGCCGTGTCTCAAGCTCCTCTAATGTCATCCGCATCGTATCGCTGTCTGAGAACACCTAAGGGTTGTCAAAGAAATAAATAAATAAATATCAGGATCTGTATGAAAAGCGGCACTTCACCCCGAGAATGCGCACATCTGTTGAAAAACTCACCTTCCCAAGGTCCGACTGGATCATCTTGACAGCCTGCGTTGTATTAGAGTGGGTCTGTTTCTGCTTCTGCAGCGCATTATCGAGCTGAATCTGTAGGTTCACATTGAGTTCCTGGGTCGAGGCCAGTTCTTGCTCCACCTCTCCAAGACGCCTTGCATACGAATTGACCTTGCTTTTAGCATCAAACATCTCGGTGCTTATCTCTGCCATGTGTTCCGAGAGCTCATCCAGCTCCTTGCGAAAGGCCTTCAGCTCCTGTCGACAGGTGTCAAGTTCCCTTTGCAGAAAACGATTGTGACCGGTGAGTTCCTTAACTTCATGTTCATAGCTGGCGAGTTGATACGAGAGACCCTGGGAGTGATTCGCCTTTGCCTGCAGCTCATGGTTCTCTTCTTGGAGTGATTGCAGCTGTATATGGATAGGGGGTTCACGGGTACGAAAGAATGTAGAGAGTAGGAATTAATACAGATAGTATCCACTCTGCTGTGGCGCATGAGACGAACTAAGCTCACTTTATCCGTCCACACAGATTCAGCAAAGTGCTTTCATTACCCTGGCAGACGACTCGAGCTCCAGTCTTTGCATCTGCTGATGCAGGTCGAGTCCCAGCCTTGCAGCAAGATCCAAGTTGGTGGCGAGTGCTTGACGTTCCTGTTCGTTTTGAATCAAGAGCTGCTTCAGTTGCTCGGGGTCGTTTATCTGCTCAACCTGCGCCAGCAGATCATCGTCGTAATCCTGCGCCATCCCATCATCGGAGTATTCCTGTGCGAGTTCTAGCTCCTTGCCTGAATGTATTATGAGAATCCAAATGGGTTGGGCGGGTTGTTAGTATATGGAGCTGATGATGGCCGCCATGATATTGCTCCTCGCACTCCCCTTCCCCTTATTTAGGTTCGAGGACAATCCTGAATGGAGGAGGAGTGTCCAGGCACTGATCAGATGACACTCTGAGTCGAAGCCTTTGGAGCCTGTTGATCCCTTATTTTGTCCCTACCCATGCTCCGCCCTGATGTAACGTCGCTGTCCTGTGCTGTGTAGATGTCGTTTGGGGATTGGATATAGGGCGGTGGTGTATTGCTCTAGATAGATGGAGAGTGAGAAATGAGTTCGTCAGTATAGAGAAGGAAAAAGAATAAATATGGCCTTCTGCTGCTGCCCCTTTAGCTCACCCACGGCACTCTCCACATGCCGCGGAGCCATTGGTCCACCCAGTCAAAAGCAGATGGCGCCTGCAACTTTGATCTCCATACAAACTGGATGGGTGCAAATCATATAATCTCTTGCAAGCATTCAGTCTCAAGGCGAGACTTTAAAGCAAGCGATAAAGACAAAGAGAAAGAGAAGACAAGGATAAAGACAAAGACAAAGACAGAGACGAATATAAAGATAAAGAAAAGAATACCAGAAGAAAAACGCGAGCCAATTACTTCGTTTGTATGAGCAGGACGGATACAATAAAAGAACAGACTGATCAGATCGACAGAGCATATTCGATATCCTGAATAGATGCAGAAAGAACACTTTTACTGTCCCGATCACACCCTGTACAGTTGGCTGCTGTGCGTTTTTTTATTTCCTACTTTTTTTATTTTCTTTTACCTCGTATGAGTGATTGCGACTTTGTGCAAGGTGTGCTGGTTTGAGCATTGCTTTGAGAGCGCCTGGCTGCGGGGTATGGTGTTGCGGCGAACCTTTTCCTCAATGGTTCCTGGATGGGGAAGGGGCTGTGAGACTGGGTTTGGAGGACAGAGAGACACGTTGCGGCGAGACCGAATTGACGTATCCTCAGGTCTCACAGGGAGGGAGGGATATGAATTGGGGTGCTGTTTGTTGCTGGTCGAGTGGGGTAAGTGTCTGAGAGCAAGGGAGGAGGGGGAAGGGGATCCAGGATGTGAGCGAGTGTGAGTATGGATGGGTATGGGGACGAGAGGGCTTGGTGCAGGAGGACAGGGAGGGAAAGAGAGACGGATTCCGGGCAGGGATGAGAAAAGTGATTTGATTGTCGGTAGAAGGAAGAGGAAGATTGTGAGGGAGGGAGGGGGGGAATGGAAGGACGGAAGGGATGGGGTCAAACAAAGGGAGAGGAGAGAGAAAAAGAAAGAGAGGAAAAGAGAGAGAAGGAAAGAAAGAGAAAGAGAAAGAGAAAGAACAGGAACAGGAACAGGAACAGGAACAACAACAGCAACAGCAACAGGAACAGCAACAGCAACAGGAACTGCTGCAGCAGCAGGAACAGCGGAGGAAAGAAGGAAGATGTGCTTCTTTCTCCCTTTTCTGGTCTGCCTGAGGAGTAAAGAGACTAACTAGCATAGCGCGTGTGCTCTGAGGCGGTACAACATACATACAGGTTACAACACCCGAAGCAGAGAGAGGATGGGGTGTACTCTCTGAGAGAGAGAAGTGACATCATCGTCATGGCCTTGGTCCTTCTTTCCCTCTCTTTTTTGTCCCTGCTGCTGCTGCTGCTTCTGTTGTTGACTCTGCTGCTGTCTGTCTGCTGCTCATCACTCCACTCCACTCCACTCCACTCCCACCATCCCATCGTTTGACTCCCACTATTGCCACTATTACCACTACCACACACATCTAATCGTCCTCGATAATGAGCCATCATGATATGAACAAGCAGTTTGGTACGTGCCATATACGAACACGAACACGCCTTGGAGCAAAGACCCAGCAGAGTGGTGCAGATGCAGTGATGAGCAGATGACCTTCGTTTTCTTGGCCCCTGCTCACGAACCGCTTCAAGTCTCTCGGTTTCCGCTACCATCCATCTCAAGAACCCGCAGCATTGACCGCGTCGTTCCCGTCTCTGCATCCCTCATCCATCTCAATAGCTAATATGAACGTCAGCAACGACGCCCGCAGCAACAGTCGTCCCTCGGGCCAGCGAACCACCTATGTTCCGCCGCATCTAAGGAACCAGGCCCCCCCGCCCTCTTCTCAGCGCAGCAACACCGACAGGTATGTCCTCTCTCTCTCTCTATTCCCGATTCAGGACCTCCTCTTCCTCGCCAAAAGACTATTCTCAAGACGAACAATCGGCTTGTTTGTCTGACTTTGTGCCTCTTTTTTTTTTTTTTTTTTTTTTTTTTTCCCTTCTGGAATGATCATCACCTGCACTAGCTGGGATGCCCCTATTCGCTCCAACAATCGCCCGAACGGATGGGGTGCCGCTTCGGAGAGTGGATACAGCCGCGGCTGGCAAAACGATCAGTCAGGCCCGCGTCATTCCTCCAGCGGCGGTGGCGGCGGATGGAACGAGCGTGCTTCCTCGGGCGGCTATGGTGGTCGTCGCAACGATGGCCCCTCCTCGGGCCACTCTCGCTTTGATCGCGATGTCGGCACTTTCAAGAACGGAGTCCAGACGCCTGCCCAGCGTAACCCTCGTCTGGAACGTGAGCTGTTCGGCAGCGAGGACAAGGAGCGTCAAGGCACCGGGATCAACTTTGAGAAATACGACGACATCCCTGTGGAGGCTTCAGGACACGATGTTCCCGAGCCAGTCCTGGCCTTCACCAGCCCTCCTCTGGATCCCTTGCTTCTCGAAAACATTGAGCTCGCCAGATACACCCAGCCGACGCCCGTCCAAAAATATTCGATCCCAATCGTCGCATCTGATCGTGATCTGATGGCTTGCGCACAGACCGGCTCTGGCAAGACAGGCGGCTTCCTATTCCCTATTCTCTCGGAGCTCTTCAAGCGTGGTCCCAGCCCTTTGCCCGAGCAGCAAGGCATGAGTCGATCTCGCAAGGCTTACCCAACAACACTCATTCTCGCCCCCACGCGCGAGTTGGCCTCTCAAATCTGGGAAGAATCACGCAAATTTGCCTACCGCTCCTGGGTCCGCTCCTGTGTTGTTTACGGTGGTGCCGATATCAGTCAGCAGCTTCGCCAAATTGACAGAGGATGTGACTTGCTCACTGCCACGCCAGGGCGCCTTGTGGATCTGATCGAAAGAGGTCGTGTCTCCTTGGCGAACGTCAAGTACCTTGTTTTGGATGAGGCCGATCGCATGCTTGACATGGGTTTCGAACCTCAGATCAGACGTCTAGTCGAAAAGGAGGACATGCCCGGAGTCAACGATCGCCATACTCTCATGTTTTCGGCCACCTTCCCTCGCGACATCCAGCATCTTGCCAGAGATTTCTTGCGCGACTACATCTTCCTGTCCGTCGGTCGAGTCGGCTCTACCTCAGAGAATATTACCCAAAAGATCGAATACGTCGAGGATGGGGACAAGCGCTCGGTCTTGCTCGACATTCTCCATGCGCAGCCCAAGGGCGACGCGGGCCTTACACTAATCTTTGTCGAAACCAAGCGCATGGCTGACACGCTTTCCGACTTTTTGCTTGGTCAAAACTTTCCTGCCACTTCAATCCATGGCGACCGCACCCAGCAAGAGCGCGAGCGTGCCTTGGACATGTTCAGGTCTGGACGATGTCCCATTATGGTGGCGACTGCCGTCGCTGCCCGTGGTCTAGATATTCCCAATGTGACCCACGTCGTCAGCTATGATCTGCCCACGGATATCGACGACTATGTCCACCGAATCGGTCGCACTGGTCGTGCAGGAAATACAGGAATGGCGACAGCTTTCCTCAATCGCGGCAACAAGGGCGTTGTCAGTGACCTGATCGACTTGTTGAAGGAGGCGAACCAAGAAGTTCCCGGCTGGCTCGAAACCTTGGCTAGAGAGTCTTCCTACGGCAGCAGTGGAGGGCGGGGTCGTGGACGCGGTCGCGGTCGCGGCGGCTCTCATTCAGGTGGTCGTGATTACCGCAAGTATGGGGGCGGTGGAGGATCTTCTGGGCATGATCACTGGGGCGGCGGCGGCGGCGGCGGTGGTGGTGGTGGTGGTTACAGTGGCGGCTATGGAGGACATACTGGAGGCGGCGGCAACTACTCCAACAAGGACAGTTGGTTTTAAGGTGCTGGAACCAGAGATTGATGTGTGTGACGATGTCCCTTTTTTTCAATTATTCTTGTTTCTTTGCTCATGCATATGGACATTGGCCCACTCTTATATTATACCCCACCCCTTCCTTTCAATCGCGTCTTCGATTCGGACACACGCACGTCGGGGTTATGGTGTAATTTTGCAACAGCTCTCTGCGGTCGGTCCTGCCTCCATCTTCCTCGCTATATCTTTTGTCTCTCTTTTTTTATTGTTTATTGCCCTTTCCTTTAGATCTGTGTGAAAAACTGTCTTTTTCGTTGTGGCCATGTACACTATACTAAGTCTCCTCTATACCTTGCTCATTGTACATTATTGCAACATGGGAATCCTCGCTCCTTCCTGTTTTTTTTTCTACTTCTGCAAACCTCTGTGAGGAGATTACTGGCACCATTTTGTTCCTTCATCACTGTCGCACAAATGCGTATCAAAAATAATAAAGTTTCTTTCATCAGCGAAAAAAGAAGCGCCACCAATTTTGACTCAGACACAAGCTTTCTTCCATTCCACCGTTGGGTTGATTCAAGATCAGAAAGAACCATCGCGATGCCCGTTTACAGCTGGCTGGACCCTCATCGAAAGGAAAAGGATCTTTTCAGTTCTTGGAAGCAGCTCTTGCATGACCACGACAAACGGACCTTGGCTCGAACTGACCCTGATACAGCGGAAGACACAGCTGGACGCGCGATGGCCGGTGACATCGCTCTGGACGACAGGACAGCCATATTGTCTGAATGTAAGGATAGATACAAAAGAGTAGAAGCAGCAGCGACGTCCTTCCGATTTTTTCGTTAATTGTTGACTGGAATCGACATGGATCTTTGATTCCTAGCACATCGCTGCCGGCAGGTACTAGCATTTGTACCGAGACCGAACCTAGCGGACCTAGTACCAGGTATCAGAAGCAACAGTTGGGAGCAGGGGCAAGAGCAGGAACAGGAGCCGCTGGCTGCACCAATGTCTGCTGATGCGATAAGGACGCTAAAGCAAAAAAGGCAAAGAATTAAATATAATTCAGGACCACGCCCAGTTATCGACCACTTTACCGGCAGCGGACAGAATAGTGCCGATGCACCTACGAATGACAAGAGAGAACTTCAGCAAGTCCTTTCCGGCATGGATTCAGCGCAGGTACTGGAAAAAATGGAGCTCGTTGACTCGATAGAAAAGCTGGCGGCCTTACAGGATCTTCAGGCCGCAGTTACATCATTGCGCCCAAAGCTAGAAACGGTACAGCCTGAAGGCATGAGGCCATCCGACATTTTGGCAGCTGCAGTATGCACTTCTGTCCATGGCGAGAATGCCGACGCAGGCGAGGCTGTCGAAGCAACAGGATCTACGGTAGAAGGGGCGACAGATACTGAGGTTCTTCTATCGCAGGCGGCGACATCGCAGAGGTCGATTCTCTTGTGGGACGAGATCAGAACAATTGTAGAGGCCATGAGCTCGCCTTGGAGTCAGCTCCAGGACATGGTATGCGGCACTACCAGAGCAGTTTTTTTTTTTTTGAATGCCAATTATGTGATGACGAGCATTCTAATAACTCTATCTATCCTTCTTTTTCGTAATTAGGGAGACTCTGCTATACGCGAACTCGGAATCGATAATCTCGACGACGACGTGATTCATCGGCTTTGCATCAATGAGATCTTTGTTCAGGAGAAAGAGGAAGAGCTGGAACGCTCCTCAGATATGTCCGAAGACATCGATGCAGTCTGTACTGAGCGGACGAAACCATCACAGCTGTCGTACCAAACCAGCCTGGCCTTATATCGCGTGTTGTTTTGTCGAAAGGTAGACCGGCGTTATAACGCTATACTATCATATATTATATGGAGAAGGATTCGAGAAGCGTATTCTGACCAATATGTGTTATTAATGTTTGATGAATAGGCGTTGCATCTAAAATCCATTCCATCACGTCTCTTTCTGGACGCGATCCTACATGCTAGCAAAGCTCATGGACGGGCCATTGTGGACGGTGTCCTGATACCAGTCGTCCGCAATCACGCGTGTTTCTCGAAACTGACATCTGAACTCGCTCAAAAGGTCATAAAGGAGCAAATACCGGCTACCGTGATCCATTTTCTAAGGTAAAAGCCGCAAAACAGTTTTTTCTGAGAAAAAATGCAAGTCTTTCATACCTCGCTAATGGTTTGTTCTTTCTGGCCTTAGCAATATCTTTGACGCTGCTGTTGAGCAGGATATGCCAGAGAGTAGGGAACAAGACATGCTCGATCGCCTTCCCGTGCTTTTTGTATCAGAGATTCACCTGGCAACTGTTCAAACCATTCTTGGTTACAGCAATGTTCCCTGTCCGTTGCCGACTCGACTCTGGGCTCGTTTCAATTTAATTCTCGATGTGCTATGGACAAAAGTAGCTTCACTAGTCACATCGGAGCCATCTTTGTCGCCCGGGATATCAATTGCGACTGTAGGCACGTTGAAGGAGGCAATCAACACGCATAGCGGCACCGCATGGATACTTAGGATGTACTGCCCTTCAAACCTTTGGGATAATCTTGTAAGGAGCGATAGTTCCATGACCGGTAGTGTGGAGAAAAGTGGCAATTTGAATAATCAGGGACCGTTTCGACTTTCGAATCCTAAATTGGTTCAGCTTTTGATGACCTGGACCATTCGGCAGGGACCCTTGTGTCCAGACGTGGAGAATTTACAGCGACTGCGGGAGTTTTGCGCCAATAGGTTGGATATCAAGCAGGCGAAGGGGCTCGTAACCAAGCTGGATATCTACATCAAGAAGAAAAGGTCCAAATAAAGTGCGGCGGCCCAATATCTTTTTCTCCACGCGCACGGATCGCAGTGTGGACTGTGCAACCGGAGGTGATTCACGTGAACCTTATTTCCCTGCGACTCACACGGGGGAGAGTGTTCTTCATCCCCCAACTTCCATTTGCTCTTCATCCATTCCTCATCGTAAAGAAACCATGTCTGCTATTATCAACGTACAGCCCTGGCTCAAGTTCACGGCAACGACGGTCGGCCGTGACAAGCTGTATAGGGCAGTTCAGTACTTTTCCCGCTTTTTGGCCTGGTACTTGATGCGACAGGGCTATTCCAAGGAGACGGTTGTTCGATTCAATAACCTGAAGAAAAGCCTCGCCTTGTCGCGAAAATGTAAGTGAAGGACTGGAAGAAGAAAAAGTTAATATTTGTCAATGACATGCTTCCGTGTTCTAACAGGATTTGCACATTTTTTTTGTTTTTTTCCTATTGCGATTTAGTGATGAGAATTGGTATGTATACATTACTCGTTCTAATACATGATACGGCCTAGATACGCCATTAATGAAGCTTCACTGACACATTCGGCGTCGCCACACTTATCACCCTCATTGTCATTCTTTTCTTACCCCCTTTTTTTATTTTTTTTTGTCTGGGGCGAATAGGCAAGCCCATTGAGCATGTCGAATCGGCTGTACTAGCCTCTAACATCAAGGATGAGTTCCTGCGTTTCTGCTCTGTCGGCAAGCAATTGTCCTATGCGGGATACCTTACCTACGATGCCCTTATCTTTGTAATATCCCATGAAAGCTGCAACCAGGGGTCTATCGCACTTCTGGCCAACATTTTTAATTACTAACAATTTTTTTTATTTTTTTATTTGGTTTTGATTTGATTCTCATTCTTTTGTCATAACATAACGGTAGTTGGATGGAGCGGGAGCATACAGGTTCCAGAACATTAAGCGCTACAACGAGCTGGCGAGCAAATTTTGGCTGTCGGGAATTTTGTTCAGCTTCGTGATCGGACTGTACCGGACACGTCAGATCCAGATCCGAAGGGAGACTGCGATGCGTGGTCTGAGGCACCAAGGGGAGAACGAGAAATCGACAGCACGTACTGAGCTCCAGGGATTGGCTAGGTATGTGGAACGATTGCAGAGCCGACAAGGATGTGATATCTTTATGCGGCAAAAAAAAAATCTCATGAAGCGATATATATATATATATATATATATATATATATGTCGCAGGGTGTTCATTTGATAACAATTGATTTTTCTTTCGACTGTGCATTAGGGAGCAACATGGGGTGAACAAACAGTTACTGCAGGATGGTCTCGACGCGTTGATTCCGTCGTCTAGTCTGAATTATGTGGACTTGGATGATGGTGTTGTCGGTCTTATTGGGTAAGCATTTGTTTTTCTGCCTTTCTGTTCTTCTGTTCTTTTGTCATGAATGGTGCTGATCCAAGTTGTAATATATTCCTGGATATCTATAGTACCGTTACATCAATCATGGGTGCTCAAACTCAGTGGGCCAAGGTTAACAAGGCCAAGGTCTAGGACGAGGTACATCAGTACAAAAGGAGACATCGAAGCACCTCACGCTTGGAGATTAGGAGGAGAAAAAAAAAAGAAGGGATCGGCGGACAAAATACATAGCAGGTACCGGAATGAAACCAGAAAGGAAGGGAGCAAGGTCGATCTCTGTTGTTACTTAGCCTCGTTGCACTGCTTTTTGAACCAAGAATTAAAAAACGTTTGTACAGATTCTATTTCTGGCCGAGGAAGAGGATGGAGGAGAATAAAAAAAAAATTGAGCACCCAAGGATGACAGTTTGCGATGGAAGATGCATTGGTCAAAAGGGTTCTGTAGTATCCATCCAGGACTTGACCGGTTCCTTGGTCCTTGGTCATTGGAGAAGGAGTTTGCCTGACAGAGCAACAGAGCGGCTGTATCGCGGAACGGGGGTGAGGCATTGGCGAAGGCGGATGGATGCCTTTGGAGCGACTTGTAGTTGCTACATGCTATTGCATGCTGTTGCATTGATGTTCTATAATTGGCTAGGCCTAAAAAAAAGTAGCGGGTTAACGATCATTGGGTCGACATGGACGCGGACGTGAATTGTTGTTCCCGCGCAATATTCGCCGCTGGTTGCTGTTCTCTTCCCATCCCATCCCACCCATGGGGAGAGAGACTTCTCTCCTTCCCTTTCTCTCTTCTTCTCTCTTCTTCTCTCTTCTTTCTTTCCTTCCTTCCTCTTCTTCTTTATCCATCACGCCATCCACCCTATCTTTCCCTCCTCTTTCTCTCGTTACTGTCCTCGTCCTTACGTTATCTTTATCACTCTTACGCCCATCGCTTCCAACACCTCCGTCCTCCCCCACCCGCCTGGAAAGGACTCGTTGTCATTGCCACCATTCTTTTCTCTCTCTTCATTCTATACCCTCCTCATTGCATCATAATCTCGTCCTCAGCATCACACTACATTCATCGCTCCTCATCACCTGTCCCACTCCACATTCGCAAGCAATCCTTCATCCCTCCTCGAGACTTTAATTCCATCCATTACAGATCAGGTTTCACTCTGGTTCGAGAGACCTCATATCTTATTTATTTCTTTCCATCGCCACCCCCCTCCCCTTTCCCCCCCACGTCCAACACCCCCTTCTCTTCGAGCCAGTAGTGCCATCCGCTCTCACGGAGGTGCTGTGCCCTCAAAAAGGAGTTGTGAGCCATGGATGTACAGGTAAGCTGAGGTTTCTGAACATGCAATCGGATGCACACAGTTAACAGCATTGATAACGGACGAAGGGGTGATTATCTTGCTGGGCAGGGAAATTAGTGGTTGTCGAGATGGGCGCGTTTTTTATTCTATTACTGTTACTGTTATTGTCCCTGGTTGGCTCTTCAGATCCCCCTATGCTCTTTTGCTTAGCCAGATGCCAGATGGTTAAAATTAAATTTGGTGCAACGGGTGGTGTATTTGATTATGCCTGCGCTTCATCCCCTCATGGACAACAAACAGACCCATCATCTGTCAATGGATTGTCAGTATCGTTGCGGAGAAAAAGAGAACGAGAGAGGGAAGGTGAGAGGGAAAGGGAAAGGGGAAGGGAGGGAGGGAGGATGACCCGTTCGTTCATCTACAGGCGTTTTACGCGGGAGAGGAGGGGGATACAGGGAAGGAGAACAGGGTTGATCAATATTTCGACAGATGATGCTGACTGGACACGCCACTAATCATGGAACTCAATCGATCATGTTCTTTTTGCCCCTCCTTCCATGCATGGCAATCCAAACTAGACGCTCGAAATGCTGGACGACGACGTTTCCGCCTTTGTAAGTGTCAAGTCCTCGTCATCAATCCCATGCATCATGACAACCAATCTTCCCGCCCGTCAATCCACCGTCATGGTCAACATGGGCCATATTATCCCGTGTTGCACCTACATATCCTGATTAACAACAGCAGCAGCTCAAGCATCGTCTGCGAACTGCAACTAGAGAGCCTCGCTCTCGCTCTCTCTTCACATTCTGTCCCGCATCTCGCTCCTGTTCATCCGTTATATTCCCTGAGAGCACTTTTTTTTTTTTTTTTTTTTTTTTTTTTTTGGCAGGCAGGCAGGCAGGCAGGCAGGCAGGCAGGCAGGCAGGCAGGGCTTAGCTTGGGCTAAATAGGCCTTGACCGATGTTCTAATATCCCGTTCTTTTTATCTTGCTCACTATTTCTTGCTTCCATAGGCAAAACGGGACAAAATCCCTCAGGCCCGAAACGATTTGCAGATGCATATCCCAAGGACAAGAAGGGCCACAGGAGAGAGCATGAGTCGTCCTAACTCAAGCAAAAGTAAAGCTACAACTGGAACAGCAACAGAAGCAAACTTTTCCACTTCAGCCCCACGGCCGATCCCCAAAAGCAACAATAGCAAGAAGAATTTGCAGTCCAGCGCAATGTCTTCATCATACACATTTGACGAGAGCATCGACAATCCATTCTTGCCGTCTACACCTCCAATGTTCACGCCTTCAATGGAACGGAGTGGATTCTTCAAGCCGAATTCATCTGAGGAAGGCACCGTCCCTGCTTCGACAGCAGACAAACCAATCTCGTCCAAGGAAAGAACCGCTCGCGCCCGCATGGCGAGCCAACAGACCTCTTCCAAAGAAATCACTACCTCCGCCCCCACACCTAAATCCTCCACGCAGCCACCAGCGACACACAATGAGGCGACGCCCAATACCCACATACCCAAGTTTGAGAACCCCTTCAGTATCACAACAAGATCCCGTAATGGATCCTTGAGTGGAATCCCTGGGTTGCCTGGACCCAGACATGAGGATATGATCTTACCGGCAGTCGCACGGCGTATCAAGGAGCAGGGTTTGTTCGACCATGATGTGATTGCATACAGCGATGATTATAATGCACCGCTCTACAAGCTTCCGACGTCACCAGCTACGCAGGGCAACCCATTTGCTAGCTACGACCGCGCAAAGGCAGCATCGAGTACGAGTCTTGGTCATCCATTGTCTCAATCGGAGTCATTGTCACCTGCCAAGGAGAGCGGCTCAATGGAGACAGAGTTACCGCCCAGCCCGCCCGTGCCTGACGTGTACGATTCACGACCGCGCAAACAGCCAGAAACAGAGGCAGACCAAACGGTACCTGAAGCCAGGTCGACGAAACAGTCTCGACAGCAGGCTGAGCCAGAGACTCAGTCCAGGCTTACTGAGCCAAAGAATGATGTTACTCGACCTGAGAGACCACGCCGTACAAGACGGGACACGAATCATCAGACGCAGCAAGAGAACGCTGTTTCTGCCGAGGATCACCGGACACGGCGCACTCCGCGTCCGATGATGCCTGAATCTGATCAGCACAGCCAGGGCTCCAATCAATCGTCGCCAACACACTACCAAGACCAGAATGGCATGAAACAGGGCTCCAACCAGTCCTCATCCAGCCACTATCAGGATCAGTATGATGGGGAGAATGGTTGGAATGATGCATATTCTCGACAACAGCAACAGCAACAACAGCAGTCGTACAGATCTGACGCAAGGGACCGCCGTTACCAGAATAATGAGTATGGAAGACAGGAGCAGTCCAATGTCAACGATGGCAGTTATCAGAAACAGCAACATGGTTCGCCGCAAATGGGAGACAGATATGAAGGTCGTAGGCAAAAGCAGACACAGGGAGATTACCCACAAAACGACGGATATAACCGCACCCGAAGGCAGGAGGGACACGAATATCACCAAGATTCATACAATGGTCGTCAGGGTGGATACAACTCTCAGCCGATTGGATACCATACTCAGAATGGCGACTATAATGGACAGCAGGGCCGATATGATACCCAGCAGGACCATTACAATGGTCAACAAAGCGGTTATAATGGTCAACAGAATGGATACGATGCTCAATATGGCAACCACGATGCTCGATATGGAGACAACAACAACTATAGTCGTGGCGCCTCTGCTCCAGGACATGACAAAGCCAACGTTCAGCGCCTGCAGCAAAGACCCGACATGGCGCAGATGGAGATGTTGGAGGTCAATGCTGGTTCAAGGGAAGGTGGCGCTGCGGATGAGGTTGCCAAGATTGATCCCAAGGACATGGAGCAGATGAAGAAGAAGGGGTCTGTCTGTTGTACTATCATGTAACAACTTTTTTTTTTTCATCTACCTTGCGCTTTTACCTGCATTCATGCCGCCACCACTCTACCACTCTCACTCATTCTGGTTCATGCGGAGGGAAAAGAAAGAAAAAAAGAACGATTTGTATTCACCTCCACATTTAACTACAATCCATACCACGTATCTAGCGCATATTTTTTGCTGCATCCTTTAATCTTGTACTTGTTTCGCTTTTAGCACTAGAAAACTCCTTGCTCGTAGCTCGTTGTTTTGTTCCAATACAATCATATTCATCCTCGTAAGACTTTGGCGGCACAGTTGGGGGTCTGACCGCCGTAACAGCAACGGGCTGCGCCCTTGTACGACGTATCCACAATTTTCTTGCTCGGAGAAAATGAAGTCCGGCTTGCCCCCTTTTAGATTCATGTGCTTTCAAATACCGACCGCAGCACTCAGTTGAGAAAAATATGGTTAATTTCACTGGTTTACAATGGCCCTTCCACATGAGCGTATTGGTAAAACCTTTTTCCCCATGAGATTCCCCATGAAAAACTAGTAAATAGAGATGTAGCTGTGGTACGGAAGAGAAGAGAGGGCTGCCACCTTTCGACGACGCGTTGTCTTGGGGAGCGATGAAGATATTGAGGCTGACTCTATGGGAGCATGCAAGCGATCGACCAGTAGGCTGATAGGAAAGAAAAAAAAAAAAAAAAAGGGATTGGCCATTTATGGGAGAATGGTGGGCGAATGCGGAAGCAAAGTGCAGGGCGCGTTCATTTAGTACGGACTGCGCAAGATAAAATTAATGGCCTTTCGGGCAAAGCTCCTCAATTCCGTAGGCCCTCCCTCCCCGTAAGCTTAATTGATGGTCGAAAAGGGAGGAGGGGGGGAGAAGAGGGAAAGAAAGAAACGCCTAATGAGAATAAGGTGTTGCCTTGCTGTGGTCTGCGCATGTTTGTGCTCGGAACCAAACAAGCAGTGCACAGCACGACATGGCGTTGAATAGGATGTGGGCAATGCGGATACGAAGAAAGGAAGCGGAGGAGTGGCAGAAAGGGGGGGGAGAATGCTTGCTCCAGGGCTGTAACTGCACCATTGCAGGGATCGGTCCTTGGAGTGGATCCAAACAGGGCCACCGAAAAAGCGGCCTATATTTACTCGACCGATATGGATACGATTCCTTTTCTTTTCTACCACTGCTCTTCTTCTTCTTCCTCTTCATCTTCTTCCTCTTCTTCCTCCTCAAATCTTTCGCTTCCCTCTTTGCTTGTCCCCCACTCACACAGCCACTTTTGTTCAGTCGCTCTTCTGCGCGGTACGTTGATTGCCTGTACCAAAGGGACCCTTGATTCCTTCATTCTGCAGGTTTTGCACAGGTCCGCATCTGCAGGCTGTGTCCCCCCGTTGGCCTTTCGACCCCTGCGTCGAGTTGGATTGACGTTGTTTTTGATGGCGCACATTCGCATTCGCACATTTCTTCATTCGCTTTTTTTTGCTTTTTTGCAGACCAAAACCCCTCCTTTCTCATTTTTATTTTTGACAGTACTGGGGCCAATTGAATAGATATCTCGGACGGAGGAAAATATCCATTTCTGGGAACCCTTATTTCATAGATTTCTAGGCAAGAGCATCGCAAACAGCCCTCCATTCTCCTTCTTCTTCTTTCTTCTTCATTCTTCTTCTTCTCCCTCTGTCTTCTTTTATTTTTACCGCTCCTTCTTCTGCCTTCTTACCCACTATTTTCTACGGTTACCGTGGGTTTGTCTTCCTTTCTTCTTTGCTTGTTGCCGCTAAAGATTTTTGGTCCACATTCAAAGGAAGGTTACACAAAAAAGCAGATCGATATAAAGACATAAAGTCGGAAAAAAGGACCAACGGATGGCAGCGGCGATCATGTCTGTACCGGAACATCTTCCTGAACGCAGATCGGCCCTCATGGTCCCCACAGATGAGGACCACCAGGAATGTCCTTCGTCATCTCCTACAACCATGCCTACTTCTACGGCGGCAATGTTGACTACTCGGATCACGAACGAAAGAGTGCTTCGCCCAGGAACAGGTCCCACCTCGATTGCACAGCTGAACACGGTCCTGAAGGGCCTCACCTGCGCAGCAACTCCTGTTATTCCCTCTTCAGCGGTGACAATAACAGCAATGGGTATTACGGATGCCAAGGATATCACGGATATAATGATGGTCGATACTACATTTCCGGGTATATTACCACTGTCGTCCTTACCTACTCCCACGAGCCCATTGCACCCGACGCTCGCGCCTGTAGCCACTACACCTGACTCAAGCGCATTCTCAGGCTCTGCTTCAGCTCCAGTCTCAACAGCAGATTCCCGTACCTCTACTACAGACCATCTCTCTTTCACCTCAATCGTGCCAGCAACACCAGTGCCGTCCATATCATCGCCACCATCTACTTCGACCTCAGTTTTGGCTTCATCTCCAACGCCAAGACCGACACCACCATCGACATCAATCCTCACGACGGAGGTACTGTTGACTACGCCCTCTATCTCGATACCCGGAGATACGACGACATTCTTTGACGACATGATCAATGGCAATGTACCTCAGATTGGGCAGTTGTTGTCATCGTCTTCGACAGACCAGTTGACACGAAGGACTGGTGTGGCCTCGATACCAGAGTTGTATCACAACTTCTTTGATAACCATCCTGAGCTGTGCGACTCTGATCAGTCGTCGTCAGATGGGGATTTGGACATGGATTTGGACGAGGATGTGCCTGTGATCCGCGCGCGGACGCTTGCAGAGATGAGACAGGCGTCGATGACCGCCTTGACAGTGTAAGGAAAAGGGGACGTCTTTGTTTTTTTATTTATTTCCCTGACCGTGCAACATGAATTTCGTTCCTGACAAGGCTGAACAAGTTGACCCCGCATGCTGAACCATAACCTTGTCCCGCTCCCGGTTGCACACATCCCACATCCTCCCCGCCTGCCGAGAGATTCTCGCTCTGGGTCACGTTTCGAGAAGGAGAGTGACCCGGGCTGCTCCGCGCGACATTCTTGTTTCCCCACCTTTTTTTTTTGCTGTTTGACTGACACTTGACAGCCGTTGGGAGGGACAGCAGGCTTGACCAGACTTGACTTGACTTGACTCGACTCGAAGCTCCTTCATTGCTTCATTGCTTCATTGCTTGTTTTCGACAGACTTTTTTTCTCTCTCTGCTCCTTCCTGAATTCGACTGCCTGTGTTCGTGCTGCGTGTGTGTGTGTGTCTCTTTGTACTGTATTGAATTTCTCACCGTGGAAAAGAAAATCGGCGCGCGAGAGTATCCAGTGAATAAGAAAACATCCGCCCAGTCTCATTTTTCCATGCGCGCGCCCACTTCGCTGCCCCTCGTTCCTTTTTTTGCTTATTTCCAGTCACCCTTCCCGGAACTCACTCACACTCTCTCGCTTATCCTCTTTCGAATCCAACATACATTCCATCCATCCCCATCCCCATCCCTTTTCTTCTCCTCTCTTTCCATACACTGCATCAACAATATTCTCTCTCTCCGCAACCAGCCAGGTGCCCCTGATCGCCGACAGACGACCAACCAACACCCCCGACACCATCGACACCATCAACCTCATGAACCACCCGCAGCATCAACAGCAGCGGCAGCAGCCCAACGGCGGCGGCACACATAGCCACTCAGCCTCCAACGGCACTGCCCCACATACCAACAGCTCCTCTCCTAACGATAACGCCAACAACGCCAATAATAACAATTATAATAATAATAACAACGGCCGAGCGGACGATGAAGGTTCAGGGTCTCCACCCGATCAGGATCACCAGAACCAGACACCCCAAAGGCGGAAGAAGGCTAGCCGGGCGTAAGGACAGCATTTTGTTGTGTGCATTGCAAGGCAAGGGAGGGTAGAACACAGCTGACTGTTGAGACACATCGACACCAACGCTGACGCCTGTTGTTCGCCGTGGTTCCTTTATCGTCTCTGTTCACTTAGGTGCTTCCACTGCCAGAAGGCTCACTTGACCTGTGATGACTGTAAGTTTCGTGAGAGAAATAGTGTGGAGACGAAAAGATGTGACTCTGCGACCATGCGGCAGGAAGGAGTGCCCTCTCCTACTTCCCACACCACAACAAACGACAGCAGTAGGATTCAGGATACGACACTGGACGGAGATACAGTATCGGCGACAGCCATACGAGCCAGCCAGGCAACAGATAGAATACAGCTTTCCGATCCAATGGCTAGGAAAGGATCGAACGGACAGGGATCAGCGGATAAACCTCGGGGACGAACGATCAGATCTCGGGCAAGGGACAGGACGAGGAACAGAGCAGTTGACAGATCAGGGAGGAACAAGAGTGCATCAGTAGCAACAATAGCAAATGACAACCATCGGGTTCCTCCCCAGCTCTCTTCTTTCAAAACGTCCACTGAGCAATGCTGCTGCGTACATGCGTCTGTCTCCGGACAGGTGGCGCATACGCTCGCTCGCTCGCTCGTCGTGTTTTTACCCTTTACCCTTGCACCAGTATTTCAAAAAAGCCCGTGTGTACAGCAATTATGGGTATATCATGCAGGAGAGCAGAAGACTCTCGTGAGCAGGAGATTTTCTGTGTGGTGGTGCTTGAACGGGTATTGGTCGGCCGGATCTCATCTTTTCTTTTTTTTTTAGTCTACTTAGTCTACTTAGTCTACTTTCTCCACTTTTGAATGGTTACTGTCCACGTCCCGCCCCCCCCCCCCCGTTTCTCAATATTTATTTCGATCGTTCATTTTTGCTGTCCTCTCCACACACGATCCATGCTTTCCTACCAGGATACACATGTTTCACGCTCAAAAGTAGATGGAGTCGCTGCGTCTTTGTTTACAGTGGGTCATATTGGTTTTGTACTTCTGCTCAGTACCATTGGTGAAGGGAAACAGGAATGAATTGGCCTGGGGGCAGTCTGAGGAGGAGCGGGATTCGGAACTCGGTCAATGTTTTTTTTTTTTTTTTTGTGATAGGTCAACTAACGCGCCTTTGTCTGTTTGCCTCTCTCCCTCGTTATCTTAGCCCGTCCATGCCAGCGATGCATAAAGCGCGACCTCGCAGCAACTTGCGCAGATGGAGTGAGGAAAAAGGCAAAGTACCTTCAGGATGCATACGATGCTCAGCAGCTGGCTGCTGAACAGTCGGGGCAGACTCCACAAGCAGGAACGAACATTGACCTCACTGGCATAGACCAGCAACAGCTCTTATCGGATCAGGATCAGCCTGCACGGTCAGGCGCAGGCAGCATGGATGGTAAGAGCAACCTTTTTTCGAATTTTACTGACCTTTGAATAGGTCAGTTTGCTTGCTGGGTAATAAGGTGGGCGTAGCACTCACCATATTCTTACAAAATATACTAGGTTCTTTGACGGACACCAGTGCGCTGTTCAATTTTCCAATGTCGGCAGACTACAACTTTGGATCTGAGGCCGTCAACTTGGAATACTCAATCATTTCGACCATGCTCTCGTCGCCTACTGCAGAACTCAATCCCATGTCCGATCTCTCGATCGTGGAAAGCTGGCAGCGCCAGGGATCTTTGGACGCCATGGCGAACATGGCCAATAACAACCAGCTCCAAAAAGCCCTTGCGGCTCAGAGCGCAGCGGCAGTCGCAGCAGCAGCAGCAGCAGTGAGCGGAGCCGGAGCAGGAGCAGGCGTCCCCGGTCCAGCAGGAGCCTTGTCCAACGGTGGATCAGCACATAACAATAGCAGTAACGGTGCAGCAGGTAGTGCCAACACGGGGCTCTTAGGTCCTGGCGGAGCGCCAACAGCAAATAATGCGACGAATTCGACATCTTCATTCCAACATACCAGTGCGGCAAGGGTCAGCAAGCGCAAATTTCCGAGCAATACACCTGAGAATGTCTATGCGAATACGAAGCAGCCATTTAATTATACGGATGGCTTTCATTATCTACTGCGCTATGTCCGAGAGCGGTAAGTGAGTGCGATCTATGGTCGGTTTTTTTTTATTTTTTTTTATTTTTTGCGGATGGTGGAATGTCGGGCTCCATATATTTGATTAAATTAATCCTTATATTTTAATCCTATTGATATTATAGCATGGACAAGGAAGAGATGATGCGTATCTGTAGAGCGATGGCGATGTTCCGACCTTCTTTCATTGCGTTGATCATGAACCTGACGCCCGAGGACCTAATCTTTATGGAAAAGTGTTTTCAGCGCACCATACTCGTGAGTATTTGATCTTGTCAGTGCATCGTTGAATTTGTCGCCCGCCCTCCATGTACATCTCCTTAACGCGTTTCAACTGTTTGGTACTATTTTGCTGTCAACTCTCAGGAATTTGAAAAGCTAATCAGTTTTTCGGGGACACCGACGGTGGTATGGCGTCGAACGGGGGAGATTGCGCTTGTGGGTAAGGAGTTCTCGTTGTTAACACAATGGGGCCGTGATCAGCTTGTGGGCAAGAAGACGTATATCTATGAGTTGATGGACAATCAGTCGGCGGTCGAATACTGGGAAAAGTTTTCGACGCACGCGTTCGAGAACACGGAGCAGACGGTGATGACGACGTGTATCTTGTTGAGTCCGACGAACCGTGTGGTGCCGTGTACGTTCTGTTTCACGATCAAAAGAGATATCTTTGATATCCCGTTGGCGATCGTCGGCAACTTCTTGCCGATCTTGTCATAGTAATTGCGAGCTGCCCTATCCCATGCCCTATCCCATGCCCTATCCCATGCCCCATCCCATCCTCTATTTTTTGCACTCGAAGGAGGGTTAGAAGGAGGGGAATGGAGGCCGTTGAGCATGTTTCTACTATATTATTATATTCAGCATTGGCAAAAAAAAAAAAAAAAAAAAAAAAAAAAGTCGTTCACGCGCTTCTTTCTCAGGCTATCTTTCCCCTTCTCATCCACCTCAATCTCAACCTCGTCCTTCAAAGATATGGTATCCTCAATTTTTTTGCGTTCCTCGTTTATCAAGACGCCGGAAGACAACGAAGGGGCAAGGCAACACATCACAACAGCATTTAAAAAATAAACGCATGTATTATAGTCCACATATGAACGCGCGGGGGATTTGAAAAACTGAAAAATAAAATGTATGGAGTGCATTTAGAACAAGGATGTCGAACTTTATTTTCTGCTGAATCCTTGAGGTTGTTGTTGCTGAGGTTTGAGGATTCGTGCAAATAAGTTCATTGACCAATTCAAGAGAGCAGCGTTGACGTTGCTCCGGTGACCATGCACTGCATTTGTCCCTGCTGCACGGGTAATAACTCACATGGGGTCCTGTCGCGGCCGTGCAGAAGGAGTGCTGTGTACAGTTGTCTCTTGCTTTGATCTGAACCCATCTTCGTCCTCGTCCTCCTTAGTTACTTCAGTTAACAACGATCCAAGCAATGTAGGCGATGCAGACGAAAGTTGTGTGAGGGCAGTCTCGCTTTTCCTGAGTGGTATCTCATCGTCATTGTCCTCATGGGTCACTGGAGTGCCCGAAAGCACCTTCGTAGGGGTGACTTTCACCAGAACAGGATCCTCTCGTTCTTGAGTATTCACAATGTTCTGTTTAGACGTCTGCTCTAGGGTTGGAATAACAGGTGATGTCAAGGTGAGATGTTCGCCAGGATGAAGGTGGCTGTCCCCGGCTTCGAAGGGATTGACCGTGGTGGGAAACAGTGGGGATGGGGACTGAGGGTTCGACGCGTTCGCGCGTGAATGGTATAGGAACCAGGCCAGCAAGACCACCGAAATCGAGACGACTGCAATGATGATTTTGTACTGTCGAAACAACCGGATCGACCGTTGTTCGAGTTCGATTTCGTAGCGAAGGCGGTTCAACTAAAAAGATTTTAGCATAGAAAAAAAAAAAGGATGCGTGCGTTGGCAAAGAATGTTTACAGCGAGAGAAGTGATTGAATGGAACAAAGAAAAAAAAGCAGAACGTACATTGTATCGCGCAGCGTTCATGATTCGTGCACAGACCAGGATTCGTTCTTGAACGTCCCTCAGTTTCCAGTCGACCGTCTCTGCCAAGGTCAAATTAGTCGATGGGGAAGGCCTTAGTGCCAGCTGCACCTCTTGACTATCGGTAGCTCTGATCATCTCCGTCATTCGTTTCTATATTGAGTTGTAATAGTATCCAGGGAAAGTCAGCATCAGCATCTGTGAAACCTTCATCTCAGGAGAGAAAGAAAAATCGTACGCTGATTTTTTTTTCTGTCGCATACCTTAGCGCCTTCGTCCAAATGGTCCAGCCTTTCAAGACAATCTTTGATCTGCCACATGGTATTTTGAATAGCATTGCGCATTGACATTAGCTTTTCTTCCTGTTGAGCGAGTCGAATACCGATCATGTCAAGCAGCAAGTCTGTCTTCCTATTTTTTTTTTTTTTTTTTTTTTTGGATCAAAGGTTACACAGCATTAGCCCAAGAGTGTTTTATAGAGCAGGTATCGTCAAATAAACGCATTGTCTCGTAAACTTACTCCCCGGCATCCTCGCTGTCGTCCCGTTCAAAGTCCATGAACATGACATGGCGCGCCTTATTGATCAACTTGGATTGATAGACAGACGTCGTCTCCTGCTCAGGTTCAGGTTCGGGTTCTAGTCGCCAATAGAACAGTACATGTGCAGATGAGCAAGGGAGTGGGGGGCCATAGAGAAGAGTACAGCATCGTTATTCAAAGACTCACGTCTATGGTCCATAGTAGCAATGGCAATCCAGTTCAAAAACTCGTTCTTCAGTTTCGCAGAAGGCGATTCTAGCCACATCACATTTGTTCTGTCGCCGTTAATGATAGAAAATACTGCCGTGTTCCCTGTAACATACAGTTAAAAAATATGTTGTTATATTATTAGCACGAAATGTCTCCAATGCAATGCAAGGGCTATCTTTTATAGAAGAGATACAACTTGGAACTTACTGTTTTCGTTTGCGATACTCACTGCGGCTGAAGAGTCGAATCGCTCGTACTCTTGGCCCTTGATGATCTCGTTTAGATACAGCTCCAGCCCATAGGTCGCCTGTTTGAATTCCTCACGATACTTTCGCTCCATCTCTCTCCAATATGCATCTTCCATTGCCTGATGTTGCTGTTGCTGGTCAAGACGCTGCTGGTCATTGATGCTCGACCACGATCGTCGTCTACTGTGGTACAACGCCGAACGCTGTGAACCTGGTTGCGACACAGCGCTGTTATACACCATCGCGCCGTTTCTTTCCACGGGGGCACTGCTAGATCGATCCGTAGGTCTGGTAAAAGCCTTGAATATCGGACTATAGCTGCTTCCAGTATTACTCCGTTGATCCATTTGTTCAGGTGTTCGCCTTCCTTGCGGATTCGGTGTTCCGACCGAGCTCTCACTCAGTGTGGTGGCGGCATCTGTCAATGCCATTTGGTCCCATGCGACCGCAGAGTTTTGAATCTTGCTGCCAGGGCCAGAGTCAGATCCCCTGCGTTCAATCTTGGCTGCAACTCCAGCGCTCTCCGGACCCTCGGCCCAGAACAGATTGATCCGTCTCCGTGCGCGCTCTTCCTTCAGAGTCTTGGCCTTGTTCTCGAGTGCTCGATAGGTCACGTAGGCCTCGCGAAAGTATTGTGAGCAGGCCTGTTCCAATGCAGAAGGCAAAATCTTGTATTCGACACGATCCTCAACCACACGGAAGACGTAATGTCCTTGAAATCTTGAGTTTTGGTAAAACTTGAAGAGGAAGGTCTTTGTGTTGATCGTATCTGAGCATTTCGCCACAGGTCGGATGAGAGACGCGTTACTCTGATGGTTCGTAAAGGTTCCGATCGGTCCGGCGAGCAGATGCGCGAATCCAGAATTGACTGTTAATGACGGCGTAATGTGTGTGGTCAGGGGTCCCTGTGGATGCTGAGCCCTGGATGCTGAAAGTGCCGTGAATGCGTTCACAAAATCGGTGGGTAGTGGTTCCAACTCGACAAGGAGCAGATTTGGATCCGGCCTCACATTTCGAGCCTCTTTTAGAGCAGCGGATAAGGCTGGTCCTTGTCTCCAAGCCAACGGTACCTGACCACGGCCCTCTTCGCCCGTAGACCGGCTACGATGACGATGGTGCAAGTGATGCAGAATGCTGTGGTTATGGAGCTGTAAACGACCTGATTTTGACGCTGAAGAATCCTCGTCGTCCGTGGCGACCGGCGCAAAGGTAGCGAACACTCCTGCAGCAGTATGCGACTTTTTCGTGAATCGTTTCTTACGTTTCCCTGATCCCTTAAGTCGGAAACCCTTTGAGGCAGCAGGCTGGTCATCACCCGACAGAAACTCGCCAAGCGCATAAAACGCACTGCGGGACTGGATCGCCTTTGAAGGGCCGATAATGGGACTATGATGTTCAGTGGTCGATGGGATAGTCGAGGCGGGTCCTGCGGAGTGTTGGTTGGAGAGACCTACATTCTTGAACAAGTCCTTAAATCGAGCTGCTGACGATTCCTTGTGGGTCTCATGTCCTTGCTCTGGCCCAGATAGACTCCCCTTGCCATATCCTATGCTACTGATGGGATTATAGTTGGTACTGCCGGAGCCGTTGCGAGGTGGGAGTTGTGGTGGCAGACCAGAGTCGTTTTGGGTCAGTTTCGATCGTAAAGACAGGGATGATTTGCTGCTGCCTGTTGCGGACGGCCCAAGTTTGTAGGCTAGTCCCCCAGTGTTGAACATGATGTCGTGGTCGGGTTCTAAGGAAATAATAGGTTTCTTTGTCAGACCTTTCTGTCCGCTTCATTGCCATGGCCTTTATAGCCTTTGTAGATGTCTCGAATCCACATATTCACATAGTCGTGTCATCCACAATAATGGTTCTATACCTAAGGCAGCCTCAGAGTCACTCTCACCACTGGTGATGAATGCATTTGCTCCGTTAGAATCCCGTGAACTTGACCCTTGTCTGCGTCGGAGTTTTTTGAACCGATTCTTGATACCCTTCTTGGCGGGTTTGCCCACTGTCTGGCTTTTCTTGAGGGTGCCCGATAATGAGGAATGACCAGTGCTCCCTTCCGCGGAGGGTATGGCAGGTGGCACCTTGGGGGAATGTGTAGCGAAGCGGATACTGCTGGGATTACTATTACTGTTGTTGCTGCTGGTGGCTGGCCCATTGAAGGATAAGGAGCGTCCAGGTTGCGTCATGCTCATGTTTGTAAACGGATGAAAGATAGGCCGCATCAGCTCATTATTTGTCTTTGAGACCTTGCTGACGGCGCTGCCATTGCTGCTGTTGTTGCTCCTGGCGATTGCTTCTACGGAAGTTGGGGGGTCTGAACAGTAGTCGCCTGCGACAAGATAGTTCCGGGTTGTAGCATCGTTCACAGGTCCCTCTCCATTGTTGACTAGAGAAAAATGAAAGGCAGGGGAGGGCGAAGGTGAGGCATAGTGTGGGGCATAGCTGGCCCCTGGAATGGATGTGGATGTGGGTGAGCTCAGGAAAGCGCCAGGGATGGTTCTACTAAGGGTGGCGAGGTCTGTTCTAATCGAGTTCGCAGAGAAGGGTCGTGGTGGACGTGTTGCAGATTGTTGGGCTGTGGTCGATACGGGGTCAGTTCCCGAGGGGAAGCTGGTGGGGGCTGGAGCAGGAGCGTCTTCAGGTCGAGACTGCGATAAGAAAGGAGAATGAGAGAGAGAGCGAGCGTGAGGAGGACGTGGAGGAAGCGAAGGAGGGACATCCGAGGAGGTTGAGGCTGTAGCTGTGGAGGATAATGGCTGTGGCTGTGGAGTATTGTTGGGCGTAGTAGAAGTCGTAGTAGTAGTCGTAGTTGTTGTTGCCCTGGATTGATGGAGATCGCCGAAGGAGTTGATCAGCATGTTTGAGCCTGGAGAGGTCGGCATCCGCGGAGGCCAGCTGCTGAAGTGCGCATTATGCATGAGGGTCAGAAGGAGGAGGAGGCGGAAAAGCGATGGGATGAAAGAATGATGCGCTGAAGCTCAAACAGCGATAACCTTATTAGTTTCAGGAACACGGTGACCGCATAGACGCGTTTGCTGACACTGTCGTTCCTTTGTTCTTCCGCTTCTTTCTTTCTTTCAACGCTCGCTGCGAGTGCTATAAAAAAGAAGCGGATATGGGACAACCTATAATGGTTCTATTTGATAATCCATCCAGAAATCCATTTGCCACGTTGAGCATGCAAGTCCATTCCTTCAAGAAATCCATCTAGCCCGTTTAGCCTAAAAACTAAGCCTATGACCTGACTGACACCTTTCCTGTGTTCGCACAGCATCTGCTTCGTGAGGGGACCTGTTTCTTACGCTCCATGATGCCTTCATCTTTAGCAAATGTACAAAAACATCCTATATGAATCTCCTGCAGGGGGTTGTCGAATAAGACTGGAGACCCAGGCCGCCAAGTAGATTATTCCAAAAATAAAATGTGGGACAACCCGGGTTGCCACTGCTATTGACAACCCCTATACTAACTCCAACATTTTTTAAATGTCGATTATGCCAGTAGTCCTTATGGTACCTGGCCCCGGCTCTTTAAGCTAGATCGTCATCTGTCTCTTAAAGGACTCCACAATGTAACTGATTTCCCATTTCGTCATCGCTGAGTCCATCATCGATAAAATCCTGTTTTCCGTCATGAAGAAGGCTTCTCCCGAGGTCGCAAAAGGTTGCATGAGGTGCCAGGTGGAGGAAGGAATGGTTCCCAACCTCTCGCCTCGTTGTTTCGACTTGAAATTCGCAAAAGATACGAGTCTTGTTTTACATGGGATTTGTGCAGGGGTTGCCAAATAGACTATTCCAAAATAAAATGTGGGACCTGAGCTTCACAAACTAAAGCAAAAGGACATCTGGGCCTGAAGCCCAACGCGGGGATCGAACCCGCAACCTTCAGATTAGAAGTCTGATGCTCTACCGATTGAGCTAGCCGGGCGCGAAGAGGTAAGTTTTTAAGCTATACCTGTATCCGTAATTGAATTTCGTTATATCCAAGCAGATAATCCTTTATTTCCATCACCTATTTCCCACCAATGTGATAGATTCGCAGAGTCAATTGACTCGAGAGACAAGTTGTTATAAAAAAAAAAAAAAAACCTATTTCCCACCAATGTACAAACTCAGGCACCGTGCCTTCTCTGGGGCCTGGGGCACGATTTGGCTCTAGCAAACCATAAATGCTGATGGTATTAACAGAGCTGGGTTCAGAGACGAGGCTGTAGTCTATGTATGGGTGTAGTGTGCTGCTTTGTTCGGGCTGGCGGCTGGTTTATTAAATCGTTTTGCTTGGCCCATTCCAGCAGCGGTCTCAGCCACAAGGCACCACACCACAGCTTGTTTCGAACAACGAACGAACATGGAGAACAGACCTCCTTTCTTGCTTCTTTGATATTCCACACAATCAACTGCCAATACCATCGAACCGCTGAGCCAGCACCAACAAAGTTTACAGCAATCAGAACAACGCATGTCTGGAATTTGCCGAAGTCGTCTCGCCGAGGAGCGGAAGCAATGGAGAAAGGACCATCCATTTGTATGTTCATCGCGCCGCTGCACACAGTTTTCAGAGGATAAAGTCGCTATCTTTTTATGCGATCCCATCGAGCGCCTGTGCACATGATAGGTTGTAATATCCACTCGCGGCTATGCAACTGGGTGCAGTGTCAGAAGCATGGAGATAGACTGAACGCAACGGCTTCTTATGAAAGGGCCGTCTTTGTTCATTTGTATTGAAACTAATGTAGTGGGCGCTTTTTTTATTGTATTTTTTTATGTTGTACCGATATATAGGGCTTTTATGCTAGGCCTGAAAAGAAGCCAGATGGTACTCTGGATTTAATGAACTGGCAGGTCGGAATCCCTGGAAAGACCAACGTAAGGACAACGTGGATTACGGATCGGGATGAAGGTTGCTGGAGAGCTGGCGCTGGATATTACTGTGAACGAAATGGCGGCAATTGATGCTCGGTACCGCTTTGTCTTTTCCTCTTCATAGACGCCATGGGAGGGCGGTGTCTACAAGCTAGTGCTCATCTTTCCTGACGGTACGACCCAATCTTTGACTGGGCGCAGTGATACATCGATTCTGGACGATATGATCGTTGAGACTGATCGATGGTATTTTGTCCGATATTGCTGTCATTTTAGATTATCCAAGCAAGCCTCCAAAGTGTAGGCCACTCGGCATGGAATCACCGGCGATAGCTTTGATTTCATCAGAAGATTTTGTTCAAACATGGGGGCAGCGTCGTTTTCTTGTTAAGGTCTATGGGGATTGTATCTAATCTGATTCCTTTATATGAACTGTTTACTAGGCAAGTTTGTTCCGCCACTCTTCCACCCTAACGTATATCCCTCCGGAACTGTGTGTCTTTCGATCTTGAATGAAGAAGAAGGATGGAAGCCCGCCATCACCATCAAGCAGGTGAGCATTCGTGTTTCTATCTTTTTCGACGATGCACGTTTCGCCTTGATCATATGAGCTTGTACTCAGCAAACCGGATTACTCTTTTTTTCTATTACGACAGATTTTGCTTGGAATTCAGGATCTGTTGAATGACCCCAACCCCGAAAGCCCTGCGCAATCAGATGCATATGTCATGTTCAAGTACGTTTGAAGATCTGGCGAAAACAGGACGCAATGCTGTTATTTTCTTCAATGCCGTCCAACAACTCAACTACCCTTTTTTTTTTTTTTTTTTTTTTGTGCGCATTGTACCTTGCCTGCGATAGAAAGGATAAGGTCAGCTACGAAAAGCGCGTGCGGCAGCAAGCAAAGGAGAACGCACCATAAATGGCACAAATCCAGGGCGACAGCAACCGAATCAAACGTTCAAATATTGAGATGCATTTCACTTTCGCATCAGTACTTGAATAAGTGGAACGCTAGTTGGTTGTGTCTCGGTGATAATGAGGAGATAGAAAGAAAGACTCGGAAGTATTAATAGCGAGGCACACAACCACACGGACGCATCAAACACTCATAAACGAGCTAGTATATATTAAAGGCCGTTTTTGTTTTGTTGAGATACTTTTCTTGAATGCATTCATGGCTACCGAAAATGGGCGCAAAGGACTATTCTCAACATATGCTACTTGTATGAGAATGGCACTGGATGTTGATCGCAGTGTGGTATAACATATACTGGCATCCACAGATGACTATTGAACATAGGAACACGTACAGGACAAATGTCCACAGCGGATGCATAGTATGTGTGCGCGAATGTGGATCCCCATTTACGTACAGACACATCAAAGAAGGCCGACGAAACGCGTCGCATCAGTCATTGTCGTCTTCTTTTCTTTCGTCCACCCTTTCTCTTTCTTTTTCTTCCTTTTCTTTTCTTGATCCCTTCAATAGCTAAGACCATTCCTTACTTCTCTTCTTCTTTCTCATCTCCAACCTTCTTCTTGTTCCTCTGCTCCTATTGCTCTTCCAACAGACACACGCACTTGGAGCAAAACAACAGCACCTTCTCGTCTGAAGACGTACTGGTTAGTGAACTCACGTATCCATCTTCTAGTTAACCTCCCAAATGTCATTATCCATCCATTGTATGCGTCTATCCTTTGACATTGATGGTCGGCTATTCTCTTTCTTTGTTCTTTCTGTGCTGGCCATCAATCTGTGTTTCTGAAGGCGTAGAAAATAATTGCACATGTTTGTCCAGCGTCCTGATCGGTTGTCTGGGTTGTTTGATATTCGATCATGGCAGGAGGGGATGACGATCGCTTTTTTTCTTTTTCTTTTTTCTACTCCAAGAATCCGTCTATGTATTGCTTCCTATCCCTCTTGTTTGTCCTCGGTCTTTTGCATCTTGTTCGAAGCACTCTCTTCGCCTCCATCGAGCCGAATACATTGTTTATTTGTCTACTATTTCTGAGCATGAAAGCACGAACTTCTGTGATTTGCCACCAACTGACATCTTTAACAATCCTTCCTGCAGTTCTGATTATGAGTGACTTGAAAGAGCTTCGCGAGTCTACACCGAACCCCATCGGGCCTAGTCCACCAGGGTCACCCATGCCGATGCTGACCTCAAAGACCGAGAAATATCTTCCTATGGCTGACTGTACTGCAACAACGCGCTGTGAAGGCGGCGACCCTCGCGAGCCTTCTAGACGACGTATAGATTCTCAGCCTGCTCATAATGAAGGCCTTTTGAATGATGTGATGTGTAAGTAAAAAAAATAACGGTCCATGGAGCATATTCTGTTGGTATCTCGATATTGACCATCCTATGCTGCATAGACGACCCCCTAGTACATCTCAAAACGCGGCCTGTTGATTTCCAGGCACAGCACTTACACGCGTCTTTCAAACGTTCCTTTTTTATCGATGGTTGTACAACAAACTTTAAACATATGCTAGCGCAACTAGACGTCAACAACGCGTCTGCATCTTCCTCGGGAGTTCAAAATCGAACAAAGTCCCAGGAGACGGTTCGAACCCTGCATGACCATCCATCTCACCGAGTTCACAGTGCGGGTGATATCCAAGAGCTTGAAGAGTGGGTTAGAGCTGATGCGCAGGATCAAGGAGATCAAAAAGGTTCTGAGGTGCAAAAGAGTGGCTGGAATCAGGAGGAGACAGAAGAGCAGGAGCAGTCAGAGCAGAGAACTAAGGGCGAGCCGCAGGCATGTCTCTTCGTCGCCAGGTATGCTACTCGCAACATTTTTTTAATGTTCTCTAATATTCCCCTTGTCAGCTGGACTAATACCTTTCTCTTTTTTCGCCTTTGGCTATTCACCTTATGAAGCTTGGCCGCATCTCGAACGGATGTTCAGCTTGTAGATTCGGTCACGGAGCACTTCAAAAAGTGGGGATCTCTATTGAACGTCAAAGTTATGAGGGACTGGATGCAGCGACCCTACTCATTTGTTCAGTTTGAGGTACGATCGCCAGCCTATTCCTTCGACAACAAGGCAGTTGAATCCGGGTGTTATTTGTGATAAAACGTCATCACCTTACGCTTTTCCTACATGTCTTTGTCCATTTGCCTTTTTAGCATATCGAGGATGCCGAAAAAGCCATGGCTGACGCGCAGAACACGGTCATCGATGGCAGACATATCCGCATCGAGCAAGCACGCGTGAACCGTACCCTTTTTATTCTCAAGTTTGGCCGCGCGACCACTGAGCAGGTATGCAGTTCAAGGGGGCAAAGCGCTGGTGCGATTAACAATGCCCTTCATGATAATGCCAGGACTAACAGTGGCATGTGGATGACGGAACATGTTCTGTAGGACCTCATTGATATGTTGGAGCAGTACGGACCGATCGAGGATGTTTCCATTTTCCATGACTTGGGTCCAGCTCGTAACAGAAGATATGCGTTTGCAAAGTTCGCCTACCGTGATGATGCCATCAGGGCGTACATGGTATGCCTTTAGTCAATGTGAATATGAATGTGATTAGAATGATTGATGTTATTCCTTGCTATTCATTGTTTTCTTGTATAAACAGGCCCTTCGTAACGGTTCAAAGTGGACAGTCGAGTGGGCGCCCAATCTTTCTACCCAGAATCAGGTCGAAAAGGAATCTGTGTTCGTCGGCCAACTGAACCCAGAGTTGACGACCGAGGCTGTCCTGCATGATCGCTTTAAGAGCTATGGTAACATTCAGTACCTTCACTTGGTCAAGCGAAACAAACCTGGGACAAATCGCCTCACTGCGTTTGCATTTATCGAGTTTGATGACGAGCAATCGGCCAAAAGAGCCATCGATAATGAGGTATATTGCTCTTTCTATTATTTTGGCGGTAAAAAAACGACAACAAAAAGGATGTGCATTGGCACTTAAGCTTTTTCTTTATTGTGCTGATATAGAATAACGCAGTGTTTCTGGGAACAACGATCCGCGTCCAGCATCGAGAGGCGAGTGAATATCGACAACAACGTCAGAGTGCTGCTACTCAGGCAGCCCGCAGCCTCAACGTGCCTCATTCAATGGCTGGTCCTCCTCCAATGGGAATATCAGCTCCACCCGTGCATGTCCCAGAATACAACGAGGGGTATCAGCCCTACCGAGCGCCAGGAATGGAAAGACCCATGTATTACACAACATATTACGCCTATCCGGCTCCGGGTATGCCTATGACAGCGCCTGGTTTTGTTTCTCGACCACCATCGGGGCCGATGTTTGTCCAGCCAGGCGGTATCCATCGAAGGACTGTGGCTAATCACGACGGCAATCAGCCGCATTATCAAGGAATGGCAGCCTACGCCGTCCAGACAAGCAACCCTGTAAGTTATGGACGCGCGTTATGGATTGACGAGATTCACTTCTTTTATTCCTTGGCTAGCATATTTACCGCTTGTCTATCGGATGTATTTGACTTTGCCAGGGTACATCCTCTAATCCATATGAATTGATTCAGGAGACAGGACCAGGTATTTGCATCAGCTGTATATTGTTCGCCTAGATTATACCATGCTGTGTCTATATCAGCATGAGAGCTGACCTTCGGTTCACTGACATCATTGATCATCATGCAGGCCAACAAAGATGCGACTATATGGGCTACGTCCATTCGCAAGGGGGAATATGCTATCCATCAGTTGTCCCAGCGCGAGTTTATATGTACGATCAGGGACCAGCAATGGCTGCGGTGGCATCAGTGGGTCCTGCTGCTGCCTCGGTCACTCCTACTGCTGCCTCGGTTCCAGCTACACCTCCAATTGCCCCGATATGGTACACCCCCTCATGGAACCCTGGAAACCCTCCCCGCGTAGGCAGTCAAGAGGCATCGGCCAACTCACAGGCGCACTATGCGATGCCGGTCCAAGGACGACCACCCAACCCGAGTTCCCCCACCACTCAAAACTCGTCTTCTCTTGACTCGCGCAGTCAGGCTCATAGACAAGCTTAACACTGGTATACAGGAGTCTTATTTCACAGTTTGACATGAAAGATCCAGTCGAAGGCGCTGATGTTTGTTCCTTTCTATCCCAGCAACAATCAGCTGCTGCTAGGTCGCTCGAATCGAGAATTCGTTGCTTGGCCTAATGGATGGATGCGTCTGCATCCTCTGTCCACGATAATACTTTTTTTTTTTTTTTTTTTTTTTTTTTGGGCACTACGCACTACGCCTTCCGTGGATCTCATTGCTTATCCTACATAGCCATCAAAGCGCTATGCTTCTGTGACGCTTGATGCCTCTTTGACTTTTTTTTTCTTTCTTCATTTGCTCCTTCTTGGCTTTACTACGTATTAAGGATAGGGTTGATGACGATACTAAGCCGAGCATAGCACATCATGCACAGCTAATAAAAACTAGCACCGAAACGCAGCATATTGCATTCATGGCAAGGTTACTAAAAATGATATAGTACATCCGCTCTATTCAAGTTCAGCTTTATTATGCATTATGCGTTGGCAATGTCCCGACCACGTTTGATGACCAGGTCTCCGTGTTGAATGCCCTCCAGAAGCGAAACACCCTCCTTCTCCAGTAGCTGTTTCCTGACACCTTCTCTTTCCCACAGGATCTGAATGCCATTGCCCTTGCTTTCCTTGATCTTGGGGTTCTCATTCAGCAGCTCGACCATTTTGACAAGGGTCTCGTCGAGCTGGTTCATCTCCTGAGGTGCGCGCAAGCGACGGGGCTGGAGCATGTGCTTCTTATCCGCCAGCTTGGCGGAGTGCAGGTTCAGCTGGTGATCCCGGAGGGAGTTATGAAAAGCAAGGGCATCCTGGTGATGGGAAAATCCTTGGATGGCGATGAGCGGATGCCAGTGGTCTGGACGCACATGCGGTGGGCGGCGAGTCGTATCTGCTATTTGCTTGAGCGATTGTTTCTATATATGCAATTTTTTTTTTCAGGATACCATGAAGATCGAATGAGATGGTGACTAGGTACGCCTGATTTATGCGTATTCAACTCAGTATTCAGTATATCATGTCCTGTTTGATACTTGTTCCTTGATCTACTATGGTAACATGTGCCCTCAGGAAAAAGTGTTCAAAGCTGCTTTGATGTAGGTCCTGTCTTCTTCCTGATCTTCATAGTTCCGACCCCATGCAGCACTAGTGGCGCGGTTGCAGCTTTTGAAATGGGTGCTGAATCCATATTCTCTAACAGTTATTCAGTCGTGCGCAATTGCCCTGCTCTATATGCCATATCGACTAGAGTGCTTGTTGAATCCTGTAGCACCTTTACATCTGAAGCGCCGATTTGATGTATCTGTATTTATGTGCTTAACCGATTCCTCCTAAGCTGCGGCTGTGCATTCCTAATTCCATTGCTGTGCTCCATATTGCTGTCCAGTGTATAGCGTGATCAGCAGGTTCATTACTCCGGTGAGTCAAGTCGTACCTCTACAGAGCTCTTGAGGGAGATCAGGACTTGAGATGTCTGGATGTGACGGAAGAGGTAGACGGCGTGGTTGGGCTTGGCTGCAGCAGACTTGGCTGCTCCTGCTACTGCTGCTACAGACATAGTGTGATGGCGAAGAGCGTGTAGGTGAGTGGTAGAATGCAGTTGTCAGGGATACTTTCCGGAAGGGATATGCGAGTGAACAGTCCGTCTGGACTGCAGATGGTAAACAAAAGGGAATAAGGTTTACTATGGAAAAGGAGCGCCACCAAACAATACATTTTTTTTATCCCACTCCAAAGCGCACCGCAACGAACTATCATCAGTTCCGACTACATCCAAAGCAACCATTAACAGCCATGAGCAAGAGAAAGGCAACAGAAAACCAGGAGCCAGATGACGTGGAGATGGCTAGCCACGAAGAACAGGACGACGATGACTCTGGTTCAGACGGCGATATGGAGGTATGCGATACAACCTACCACCTTCGAAAAAGTACATCACTCAAGGACGCGGACGCGCCACAGTGTCTTGACTTTCGTCTTTGCAAAGACCAAAATGGAGACACCGTTGTTCAGAAAGAGTATATAAATCAGGCGTCAAAACTCAATTGCGTGAATTTTTCGCTTTATTACTCGTTATACTCGTTTTATCGCTCTAGGATATCATCAATGTTGATTTCGAGTTCTTTGATCCTAAAGAGATCGATTTCCACGCTGTCAAGAACCTACTTGGCCAGCACTTTGCCAGCGATTCTATCCTCTTTGGTCTCTCAGAACTCGCAGACCTAATCGTCTCCCAGCCCAATGTCGGAACGACCATCAAGGTCAACGGCATAGAATCCGATCCATACTCCCTCCTCACGGTCCTCAACATGAACCAGCATCTATACAACATCCACAAGATTTCCAGCACTTCATCGCAAACATCAACAACAGCAGCAGCAGCTTCATCATCAGCATCCTCATCGTCATCACCAGTAACATCGAAACCAAGTCAGGTTATGACCCAGATCCGGGACTATGTGTTTACAAAGTCAAAGCAGAACGAAAAGCTGCACGCCAAGCTGAAAGACCTTCTCAGCGCTGGATCTAAGAAGGAGGTTGGACTGGTTTTGAGTGAGCGGTTCATCAACATGCCAGTCGAGACAGCACCACCAATGTGGCGTATGTTACTAGAGGAGGTCAAGTGGGCTGTCGATGAGGTATATGACGGCCTTGCACTGAATGTGTTCTCATACGTGGCAGTACCGACAGTACGTTCAGGACCTAATTTAATCGCGGATCAAATTCATTTGTCGTCAATAGGGCCTCCCTTTTAACTTTGAATACTATTTGCTCCTGTGCCCGACCTACCACGAGGTTGCACCGAAGATTGATCTCGAGGAAGACGCTCCCAAGCCCACAAAGAAGAAAACCAAGATGGTATGCTGAATCGATCTGAATTGATTTGGAACAATGTTATGATCGATAATTTGCAACAATACTATGCTTGATGAAAGCAATCACAGCTCTTTCTAACTACTCCATGGGATTGTCATGATGTATCTAGGCTGATCCAGCAACGTTCTTTTTCCACCCTGAAGAGGAGATGCTCCAGCAATACGCCGAGTTTACACAGGATTTTAAGTTGACGACCCCAACAACTGCTGCGGAATCCAACAACACGTTCGAGGACTATGGCATTGCCCCAGCGCGCCGCATGATGCTGATCCACAAGGATAAGATCCCAGAAGTCGTCCAGCTCATGGTTAACAACTCGCAGTGGTAGTACACATGTAGCATCTCAATCTCGATAACAACTACAATACATAATAGACATCAACTGCATCTGCAAACCCACACTATCTTTCTTTCTTCATGATAATATACAATTCAAGACGACGAGGGCTTAGGGAAATCCAACGGTCGCTGTCTGGCCAGCTTCCTCTGCTTAGCTCTTTGTGATTTCGATAAAATGACCGGTACCAACGAAATCTTGACGGGCGCCTCATCCAACGGAGGTGGTGATACTGGCGGCGGACTGTACGTATCTTCCACAGGCTCCGGACTAGGCGATCTTTTCTTTGGCACGATAGAACCTGCACGATCAGGCTTCTCAGGCGTCGGACTTCTAGCGCGTGGTGGCGGCGGTGACACATAACGGCTTTTGGAGGAAATCCGCCAGCGCTCGTCCGAACGGTATGATTCACGGTATGAATCTAGACGATATGTCTCCGAGCGGTACGGCTCCAGCCGATACGGGTCTGACCTGTACGAGTCTGACCTGTACGAGTCTCGCCTTTCCCGGTCGTGATAACTGGAGCTCGAAGGTCGAGAAGGTATGGGGTGTACCTGGCGAGGCGCCGGCCTTTGTGGTAGCGGATGTGATCGCCGCGCCATTCTGGACTCGTTGGTCCTCGCCTCATAGCGATCCTCACGTAGCCGTGCCACACGATGGTCGAGCTCCTCATCCACTGGAGAACCGACTCGTGCAGGTGATCCTGGATCCGTCTTTACACCATCTACAACTGTTTCTCTTGGAGGTGATATTCGGTCCTCTCGCTCCAAATCACCTCTCGCCATGTCATTGTCTTCCTGATCTAACAGTTCCCTCCTCTTTTCTGCAGGTGCAGCCGCCAGATGAGCCTTCAAGTCCTCGTCGTTCGAGGATCCCAGATCCATAGATAACCTAATAAAAATTACAAAATGTGCATATACAGCTGTTAGTTTTAGCGATACCATGCGGATCTTTACCAGGTCCAACAAGGTCCGAAAGAGTTTACCGATTGCCATCCCTATCATCGACGCGCTGTTCCGGTACATCAGTCTCCATGTCTGACCCAGCTTGCTCTTCAGTGACCTTCGGCCGACTCTCAAGTTCCATGCTCCCCATTCGATTATCGAGTTCATGCACACTAGTAGCATGTGCGGAGGTGTCTACAGACTTCAATTGGGTATCTACCGATGCCGACGCCGGTCTATTCGAGAATTTAAGGCAGTACGGGGTTAGAAGATAACATGCATATAATAACTTGTGAAATTGAAAATACGTCCACGAGATTGTGCTGACTTACGGTGTCGAGAGTTTGTTCTTTAGAAGCAGATTGTGGATTAGTCGTCCTAGGTCCTGACCCAGTTCTTCCCCGTGTCGGCGGATTACTGCGTAACCGGGGAGTTGAAGTTGACATGTAATCTCATCGTAAGAGACGCAGGACCTTTCAATGGTACGAGGATTTTTTTAAAAAAAAGAAAAAAAAAAAAGGAAGTGTTAGCAAGCAAGGTATGAATACTTAAACTGCGCATCGTTTCTTCTGGCGAGGAAGAAACTTACCTTGCAACCCATTCGACCTTCATTTTTTGTCTATATTTCGATCTATCAAAGAATGTCCTCATAGGCAGCCATGTTATCCCGGAAGCCATCCTAGCAATCGCGCAAAACTGTCTCACATCCTTGAATGTGTAGATGAGATAGATGATGCTAGTGGTCTATGAAATAAGAATAAGATGAATCGATAGAGAATCATATTAATGATGGCCGTAATAGAATTTGATGGAACAATGATGGTAATGGTAATTCCTGTGTATCTGCCTCGAATACTCACGTTATATGCCTCCTGCAGTTTCTTGTGGTACGTTGGATGCGTTGGCCACATATTCTAATGGATGGAGTTGTCAGTCAGTCGACGGTTAGGCTAATACAACAAGCAGTAAGCCTGATAATTGTCCCCTATTGCCTTACATCTTTTTGTGCCTCCAGGAGTTCGCTTTCCGTGCGGCATCGCATGAGGAAGTATCGATCACTGGCATCTTGCTTTTCCTGCTGTTGTTCTTGTTGCCATTCGCATTTTCTTTCATCCTGCAGCTGATGTTCCTGTGCCTGTCCTTGCTGTCCTTGGCATTGTAATTGCGATATATCTTCCTGCTGCGATTCCTGTTTTACAGCCATCAGGGGCTGTTCCGGTTCCAATGGTTCCTGTACTAGCTGCGGCGTCTGTCGAAAAGGCTGCGGCGGCGTGTGTGTCGAGTCTGATGCATCCGGCTCCTGGTCCACGTCCATTTTCACAGTCGCGTCCGGGCTTTCTTCCGGCTTCACTTTCCTCAGCTGTTCTTCTATCTTCACGTTGTTGAGGCTGGGCGAGGATGGTATAGGAGCTGCGACAGTGGAGGCGGAGGTCGAGGGAGGAGCGGTGGTGGAATAAACTGTTGTAGAAGGAGCCATAGCAAGAGAGGCAGCTGAAGAAGGAGTGGCAGGAGAAGAAGAGTCCATGGGGTATGCAGGCAAGTCCAGTGCATGCGAAGCAGTCGTGTCTACCTCCACATCCATGTCCATATTCGCGTCCGAATCAACAGTCGCTGCGACCGCGTGACCCGATTCCAGGCGAATATTGCCCCTCTTTGCTGTGTCGCTGCTAATGCTGCCGCCATCAGCGTTGTTGCCATCGTTGTTGCCACTGCTTGCCTGGCTCCTGGTTTTAGATGCACTTCTTGATGAAGGTCTTGAGGAAGACCTCGATGTGTCCCCAATTGTTGGCTTGCTTGTTGACCTGTTTCTTGTCTCACTTTTTAAAGGACTCGACGGTCTACTGCTAGATCCTCCTCCTGTCCTATTGCTTGACCGTTGTCCTCGCTCTGTCGACCTAGATCGCGACCGTGAATTCGATCCCTTTGACCTCCTTGGCCTGTAACAGTCATCTTCAAGCCTGCGAGTCTCGTCCCTTGAGCGGGACCGACTTGATACACGTCCTTTAGGGGAACGTTTCGGTGAACGCCCTCTTGACCAACTTCCCGACCCACTCTTCGAGTTCTTCCTAGAATGACTGTGTGGAAACTGGAGTGAAGTCGATCGAGACCTGCTGCGACGTGATGAAGGCCAGTAGCTATCGTATTTTTGGCGTGGCAATGGTATATTGGAGGAGGTGGAGCTGGCCGAAGACTTGTCTCTCCATGGCCTTCTAGTTCCCTGACGATCGATAACTGCAGGAGACCTGCCACGGACCGGCGAATCGCTCGATGTCTGACGAGTTGGTGACCATGACCCATCATTCCTAGAGCTGGTCCTCCCTGTTGACGCTGTCATTGCCATGATCGCGTTCCTGAGGTCATGATTCGCAACAGAGCTAATGGTATTGGAACTGCCAACTCGTAGAGTCTCGGTTCGCATGTCCTTTGCCATGGTCTTTTCGACGTATTCAAAATCATCCAGAAGATTGTTCGTGTATCTCTTGGTGCTATTTGTATCGATAGCGCCCTTCTGAAGATCCTTTGCAGGCTGAATCGAGCCCATACTTCCTGCAATGTCTTTCCTGAGATCATCCTTCGGTTGGATACGGCCAGTCATACCCATGGTTTCGCTTCGAAGGCCCCAATTCTGACCTTGGCCACGCTCATATCGCTCCGGCACATGTCCTTGGCTCGACTCAAAGGTAAGCCTGCTTTGCCTATTGTTGCTATCCTTGCTAGAGTCGACTGTCGAGACTGCACTGGCGTTCATTACCGTTGTACTAGTTGTAGTGACGCTTGTGGTCAAGGCTGCGGTATTCCTGTCAGTGGTGGTCTGAAGAAGTTCCTCCTGCAACAGGTCATCGTCGTCTGACCATGCAAGGATATCGATAGCACTCCTATCACCCATCAATACCGCGTTGGTTTATATGGCCTCGGGCCCAGTTGAACTCCTTATCCTTTGTCTGGACTGTGGTGGTGCCTGTTGTTGTTTTTGGCACTAGTGTATCTTTTCTCTCAGCAGCTGCGTATCCAAAAGATTTGTCCGTGCATTTGTCCTGGTATCCACTGGTGTCCGTCGCGTATCGAAAGGTGTATCTTCTCGTATTCAAGGCCAAATTGGAGAAGGAGCGCAAGTGCAACTGCGAGTGGAAGGTGTGTGAGGATGGAGGTAGTTGTAAGAGCTCGAGTGAGTGTGAGTGTGAGTGTGGGGAGATAGAAAACACTTGTTCCTCCTCACTCAAATAAAATCTATTCAACGCCACTTCTGGTGATCGGATCAAAAAAAAAGTTGTGTTCGCTCACTCATCTGTACTTGTACCCTCATTCATTCTTTTGGCATCCTTTCCTTCTTTAACCTTTTTATCTCAGCATTAACAACGTCTGCAACCGACGACTGACCTGGGAGCAAGAGGAAACCATCGAATCAAGCACTGTCCCATCATCATTCATTAACCAAAACAGGGAAGCCCGTTCAGCGAGTCAACCAATCTGGCACTTGACATATAACAGTCATCGATAATACCGGATCAGACTCAAGACATAATATGTTGTCCTATCCTTCCTTTGCACCGCTACTGGACACTGCTGGGGCCATCACGGCTGTCTTGGACCAGACACGAGATATCACCACTCCGCCAGAAGAGAATGAGACCGCGCCAATGCCTGCTGGCAATACTAGTACCAACAACGCGAACCCGTTCAAGGATCGACCCAATTTCCTCGACGCACCCATCAATACCACACTGGTCCCAATTCTCAACAAACACAATAGTCTTGACAAAGCAGCCCTGCTTGAGGCTGCATTTAAACTAAAGCTCATATCCATCCAGGTACAAATTCTTTAGCAAAGGAAACTTTACCAGCAAAAAGCAATTAGCAGGACACATTTGTCGTGATCTGTCAGTCCAATCGGAAGATGCTAATGCAGTTCTTTGCAAATACATTTACGATCGGGTGCCAAAAACACATAGGATGACCTCGCAACTAGCATGATCGAACTCAAAGACGCGACGTTCAGATGCCTGGACCTGCTGTTGCGCTGTTCGGAATTAGAGCTGATCGACCCCTTCACCCCCCTCAACTATATCGAGGAAGTATTGGATTTTCAAACTGTCGAATATAGCGAACATATCTACGATTATCTAGAGTCGCGCGTCAAACGTCTCACTGTGGTAAGGACCGAGATCATGTCTAATGCTACAGCTGCTTTCTCTCACCCCATGTCACGAAGCTAATTTGTTTTGCAATGTAACTGTTTCTGTAGAACATGGTTGCTGGACGAGGAAAAGGTCTCACATTACTCAGACTTTGCAACGAACTACTGCGACGTCTCTCAAAAGCAAAGAACACGGTCTACTGCGGAAGGATTTTGATGCTACTATCAAGTGTCTTCCCTCTAACGGAACGCTCGGGAGTCAACTTGCGAGGCGATTTCAACACCGAGAACGTGACTCTGATCGAAGGCGATGACGTGACAGTAGTGCCAGACTTCACTGTATCGCCGCCTGAATCTCAAAAAGATACCGAGAGCAGTGTTCCAGGTGGTGAAAGCATGGATGTCGACAAAGGTATGTCAATCTGTACTTTGTCAATTTATACATTTTTCCAAGGCATCTACTGATCTCGATGTTCATCGCACAGATCCGCCAAAGGGACAGGACAATGAACAGGCAAAGAAATCGCGGGCCTTTTACACAGAGTTCTGGGGCTTACAGGCGTTCTTTTGCAACCCCCCGACCTTGATCAGCTCGCCAGACAACTTAACGAAACTTCAAAGAGGCATTGAGCACACTTTGGAGAGGTTTGCTGCAGTCGAGGAAAGCGAGCAAAAGATGCGCGGACAAAGAGCAGTGTCAGAATCTTCAGAAGGGAAGCCTACAGATGCGACGAGTGGGGCGAGCGAGTCATCAACTTCTCAGGTTATGGATCAGACCGCCAAGTCTTCCGGTTCGGTCACTACAAAGAGAAAGCAGACTCAGAACACGGAAACGATCCCGGAGACAACGACGTACTTCCCGAAATTCCTAACGAGTCCTAAGTTGCTGCAACTCGAGGTAGGGCAGACAGAAGGGCGCACCAAACAGTATACCATCAAAAGGACAAACTGCTTACATTGCTTTCTATTCAACTTATCTTTAGATTGCGGATCCATATTTCAGGAAGCATATCCTTGTTCAGTTTCTCATCATCATTCAATACCTTGAAAGCCACACTGCAGCCGCCAAGGAAGCTTTTGCCAAGATTTCTACCCCCAATAAGTCATTTCAGCCACAGTGGATCATGGAAGAGAAGGATCAGGAGTGGGCTGCGTCGATCAAAACCAAGATATCTAAGGAGCTGAAAGCAATTGGATCGGATAATGGCGACAAGGATCTTTTGAGTACCGTCAATGCTGTTTTGAGCCATGAGTCAAGCTGGGTAAGCTGCCATTGCTCTCAGACATACAAGTTTTTTTTTTTTTTTTTTTTTTTGGGGGGGGGGGGGGGGGGTATTAAGCAGGCTTACACGAAACTCACACTGATTTTCATCAACTCTGCCACTGCAGCTTCAATGGAAAGCTGAGAGCTGCCATTCTTTCGAGAAGCCACCTTTGACCAAAGCAGATGTGGAGGAAACGCGGCGCAAGCGACAAAAGCTCTCAGCAGCACTAGCACCGCTCAAGCAAAAGATGGGCTGCTACACTCTGACTGAGCTGTGGAGGGAAGTGGAGGAGCAGACGGACGAGGACACTGGGTTCGGAAGCAATCGGCCCCCTCGTACTGTGGATGAATATCTGTCTGGACTCCCCTTTGCGGTCAGGAGAGCACAGGCAATGCGACTACGTGAAGGAAAACCCGCATTCACGGAGCAGGAAACAAAGAGCCTGGAGCAGGCTCGGTTATGGAGAGGACTTCGACTCGGCGCCCGGCAGTACTTGCACCTTTACGGAAAATCTATAACTGATCCCAACTACACAGTGGCCACCTTGACGGCGGATGTGAAGAAGGATGAGGAGTGGGAGGAGGAGATCAAAGAGAATGGTGGCAAAGTGCCATCGCCTAAGATTCCTGAGGCAACTTCTGCTGTTCATGCAACCACAGGGACATCCCAGTCCAAATCAACGTCAGAAACATCCAGCCAATCTGAGGACAAAGATCAAAGTGAATTCAGTATGAAGAGGAGCGATAGCGACGTTGATATGAAGGAGACGGACGTGCAAACCGAGGCTGGCGGCATTGTGTTGGATGATGCGGACGAAGACAACTTGGCAAACGAGGAGCAAACGAGAGAAGTCCCGCCGTCAACGGCAACCGTGACAGAAGATGATGGCTCTGTCAGGGATAATACAACAGAGATGGACACACCCATGGGCGAGGGCTCAGCTGAAACGGACGAGAAGACTACAGTAGCGGCAGAGATGGCCGAGCCCATTGTTATATCGCTCACCAAGAAGGGTTCAGCAGAATAAAAATATCACGTGCATAGTTGTAGCTCTTTACTTTTTTTGCCACTACTTTTTGACATCGCCCAGGTTACATGCTCGCTCCACCCATCGGTCGTTACAGCCATGTCCTCCATTGAAAAGGTACGAAGCACGCGTCGGAATGCATAAGTTCAAGTTCTGTGTCGGAGCTCTTGTTTGATTCTGCTTCTCAGCGTTACTAGAGGCTACCGATTCAAACTGACAAGGATAATATTTGTTCGTGCATTATTCCTTAGCTATTGATCCGAGGAATACGGTCCTTTGAGTCTGATTCTGGAGAGGCAGCGACCATTACATTTTTCTCACCTCTCACCCTTATCACTGGACACAACGGGTCAGGAAAGACTACGATCATTGAATGCCTTAAGTATGCCACGACTGGCGATTTACCCCCTGGCAGCAAAGGTGGAGCCTTTGTGAACGACCCAAAGGTACAGAGGATTGAGGTATTCAGCAAGTCCTTATCTTCAACATGCAGGACTAAGCAATATAGCAACCGATTGACTGTAGATGTCGGACAGCCCAAGCGTTAAGGCGCAAGTTCGGCTCCGGTTCAAAAACGTCAACAACCAGACCATGAGCATCATTCGATCCTTGTCCCTTACGGTCAACAAGAAAACGTATACGCAAAAGACACTTGAGAACGTATTAGCTGCAATGGACCCGCAGACAGGAGAGCTCGTCACTATCAGTGCCAAATGCGCGGAATTAGACGCCGATGTTCCAAACCATCTCGGCGTATCACGGGCGATCCTGGATAACGTCATTTTCTGCCATCAAGAGGACTCCAACTGGCCGCTGTCCGAACCGAGTATTTTGAAAAAGAAGTTTGACGACATTTTTGCTTCCACAAAGTACGTATTTTTTTTTAAAAAAAAATTGCCTTTATTATTTGTCGCTCTAAGCGCGCTAATCCAATGGTCTTTTTCCTAAACCATTATTGATGTTGCCAGATACACGAATGTGCTGGATTCTATAAAAAACATCAGGAAGGAGAAGACGCAGGATCTCAAGGTCATGCATACTAGTTTGGAGTTTATCCGACGGAATAAGGAAAAGGCGGAAAAGGCAAGCGCGTGGAACAGGAGAATTGAAGGTGTCATCTTGGCGCTACGGGCGCTAATGTTTTCCATTTTATCGCCTGATTATAGGTTCGGGAATCGCTGGATAGAAATATTGAGAACGCTGGGAACAGCCAACAGAGGATCGAACAGCTGGAGCTCGACATTGACAAATGTGTGGACGAGGTCAGCCGACTCATGGGAAAGACGCGGGAGATCCAGGCGATCGAAGCAACGTTGAGCGCTCTCACACATGAACATAGGGCGGCATTGGCGAATATCCGGGAGCTGGAAGGAACATTTATGCTTTATTTGGAGGACGATTCAGAGTTGCAGGAGATGCTCTTCAAGCACGATCTCAGTCAGAAGACTGCCGGTCAGGAAAAAGCGAGGCAGGAGCAACTGAAACAAAGGGCTGCAAGCGCAATCGCTAACCTGCAGATGTCCGTGAACAGCAATCAACAGAGCATTGGTCAACTCAAGGCATCTTTAGATGCGAACAAGAAGAAACAGGCCGACCGAGATCACTTGATCAGCGAACTTGCCAATCTTTACTCGTTCGAAGGATTCGATTCATTGCCATTGACGGGTTCAGAGATCTCGAGGTTCGTCAACAAGCTGGATATTCATGTACAGCAGAAGGTACGGGAGGTTGAGAGCCTCAAAAGTGAGAGCATGGCTAAGGAGCAGGAACTTCGATCGCAACTGTCAGACATCAAGGCCAAGACAGAAATGTTTTCGTCGCTTAAATCGAGGACCCACTCAGCCATTTCGTCTGCCAGAGGGAAACTGCGACAGCAGAACCTGGAGCTCTCAAGGTATCAATCTGCTGAGGAGGACATTGCATCAACTGAAAAGCTTTTGGCTGACCAGGTATGTTGCAAATCATCAATCTATATCCATTGCTGTATGATCTTAAATAGCGGTGCGGTTTTCTTGCGATACCTACAACATCTCGTCCACTCTTATACCTGCGTCTTAGGAGACTGCACTTGCCGCTCTCAAATCCAGCGATCCTGGACTGGATTCATTGGAATCGCAGAAGCGTGCTAAAGCCGCCGATGTCGAGGCGTTTGAGAACGAGCTGTCCAAACTGAGCGAAATGAGCGCAGCGCATGTCAAGAACGCAGGATCTCGAGCAAGAATGACACTACTGAAAAGCAAGCATACTCAACGGACTGAGCAGATCCAGGCCATGTATGTATCACTGTTGCATGAAGATTTTTCTAGGCTAAGGTACCAAAGGTTACAACCGCGAGTGCTAATGCTCCTCGTCTTTATTGTTTAGCATGAGAGAGAATCACGACAGCCTCTTGTCAATCTTGACAGAGGTTCCAACCCCGGAGACGCTTGAGGACTGTCTGCTGCCGACTCTAAAGGAGAAGGAGGTCGCCATCCAGACATCCAAGGAGACTCTTGAGGAATTCAGGCGAGAGCAATCGAGCTATGGTATTCGTACGGATGGTATAATAGCACAACTGCAAAAGCATGAAGCGACCGTTTCAGGTACTATATCATGCTTTTGGACGCGAGCAGATGCATGCATTTGTTCTTTGTGTAACCTGATCGAGTACTTCGAATTGTAGATTGCGAGCGCAAGATTGCAGCAGAATGCGGGGCTGAGGCGCTTCCGGAGCTATTGGCAACCAAAGAGGAAGCCGCTACAGAGCTGCGCGAGTAAGTAGAGATACCTCTCGATCAAAGCTGGCAAAATCAAATGAGGTCCTTGTCTCTCCTTCCAACCGCACCTGAATATTTTAAACGACGCAATCGATAGGCAGGCGCAGGATATGAAGACCATGAGTGCCATGTACGGACGTTTTGTTATCATGGCGGAAAAGAAACACGCGTGCCCACTCTGCTCACGAGGTTTTGATGCGACTCTTGAGGCTCAATTCATGGCTAAGGTATAAAATGTGAGCCATCACAGGGTCCTTGATAAAGTAAAGGCGGTTTAACAATGCTCAATAACCCCCTTTGCCTCTTACCTACATGTAATATTGTAATATAATAGCTTCGGCGATTGATGGAGAAGGCAGAAAACGACGATGAGCGCGAGTTGGTTGCCTTGGAAGCAAGTCTAAATACACTTCGGTCTTTGAAGTCGGTGTGGGATACCGCGGAGCGCCTGAAATCGACAGAAATACCTATTCTCAAGAAGGATCTGGCGGACCTAGAAGAAAAAAAAGCGGCTGCGATGACTATGCTTGAATCTGTAAGGAATAATATGGGCTGATACGTACAATAATAGCTTACTCAAAGTGGGAATGGAAGGCAATGACACGAAATCTTTTGTATCCATAGGCCGACATCGAAGTCACGACATTGACGACCGAGATGGATGACTTGCGACGACTTGCAGCTGTGGCCAAGAATGCGATGGAATTATGCAAGGAGAACAGCAGAGACGGTGCTATGATCAGGGAACTCGAAACCGAACTTCTTTGTGCTGGGTCAACCCATTCTACGGAGGAGCTGCAGGCCGAGTACAATGCCGTCAAGCAAAAAGTACAGTCTTCTCGACAGGATTTAAATCATCTGCAGCAGCAAATTGCTCAGACAACTACAGAGATTCAGCGAAAGGAGCAAGTCGTTCGATCGCTGAGGGAAAAGCATAGCCAGCTCCTGAATCAACGCCAACGCCAGGCACAAATCAGCGAACAGATCGCAGAAACCGAGTCGACTATCCAGGATCTCACAGCGGAGCTAGAACAGCACGAGGACGAGAACCGGAATATCTTGCCAGAATTAAACAGATTGAACGAACAATTGCGGCAGACAGCAGCAGAGGGACAAGCCAAGGAAATTAGCGCACAGCAAATCATTTCAGGGCTTCAAGGGAACCTGGGAAAAGTGCAGATGTACAATAAGGATCTCGAGCGGTAAGGCACCTCCCGCATTTCTACTGACAATGACTGGTATTCGCAGTCAATCCAATCTAATACAGCGCCAATACGGTGTTTTCATTGCCATAATAGAATGGATACTAAGGCCGCCATGATGGACCTCTCAAATATGGAGGCCACCACTGATACTTACATTGAGGAGATTCAGCAGCATATCAATGAAGTCCAGGCAGCAGAAAATGAGATGCAAGCTCTTCAAGAGCGGTTAGCAGAGTTCAAGAATCTGCAGCGCAACATCGATGACAACTTGCGCTATCGACGATACAAGGCTAAGGCGCAGGAGCTAGAGGCCAAGATTGCAGAGACAGCATCCAAGAAAGATGGCGAGGCTCAAGAGACATATTCGCGTCAACTGAACCGTCTCAGCAAACGCCAATCCGAGCTCACTGCGGAGAAGGCTGGTCTGAAGGGTGAGCTTCGGCAGTTGCAGGATCAAAAGCGGCAGTACGAAGAGGAGCTAAGCGGAGAATACAAGGACGTTGTGCAGAAATACCACGACAGTCTGATTGCGTACAAGGTATTTCCTTGGTTATACGGTTAGGAAATGGATTCGTTTCTACGGAATGTCGACTGTCATTTAACATTAATACAATTTGATATGCAATGGATAGACAACCGAGTTGGCAATGCAGGACCTAGAAAAGTATACCAAAGCTCTGCAAAGTGCTATTGTCGAATATCACTCGATGAAGATGGAGGAGATCAACAAGACTATCAAGGAGCTTTGGACCAATACCTATCGTGGCACAGGTAAGTGAAAATATTCCTGGCAGTCGTTATACGGGCGGTTGTTGTATAGTGACTATTTTCTGACGATGGCACTCACGCGTAATGGTCTGTAATCCCAAGATATCGACACGATTGAGATCCGATCGGACCAAGAGGGCCTACGAGCGAACCAGACTTACAACTACAGGGTAGTGATGATTCAGCGTGGTCGTGTGATGGACATGCGTGGCCGATGTAGTGCAGGACAGAAGGTTCTGGCATCGATCATCATACGATTGGCGTTGGCAGAATCGTTCTCGCTCAACTGCGGCATCCTGGCGCTCGATGAGCCCACGACGAACCTGGACGAGGCAAATATTGCACAACTGGCGCAGAGTCTCAAGATGTGAGTGTTGTTGTGCGTAACGAACTTCCTGTTGTTGCCTAATCTGGGGCTGACCTTAAACGATTGTTTCTGACTCCATGTTCTGTAAGGATCATTGAAAAGCACCGAGAACAAAGCAACTTTCAGCTGATCGTCATCACGCATGACGAGGACTTTTTAAAGATGCTGAGTCTGTCAGATTATGTTGACTACTACTACCGGGTCAAGAAGAACTCTGAGTTAGTGTTGCTGGCAGTGTTTTGTGTCCACGTTCAATGCAATAGCGTACGCATTCGGCTGCTTCTGAAGCACTAACATCTGCATTTATCTTTCCCCTAAATGAAATAGACAATACAGCACCATTGACAGGCTCGCTGTTGCGGGTGCATAAGAATCCAAGTGGCCTCTGCACTCCTGCATTATCGTTGCATAGCCGCCGTCTCTGTTACACGAAACTCAGAATAAAACGACCGTGAATTACTCGCAGCAATTTCCAATGTTCTTTTATCATGGGTTATTGACTTCTCGACAATATAACCCCACTAAGAATTCCATCTCAACTCAAACATGCGTATAAGTGGCCACCGTCCCTTCATATCCCAAAAACGCCGCCTAAATAGTCATAAATCGGACTCACTATCAAAAAGCTGACATAATCTAATATGACTAAATAGTAAATTGGAGGCGGTCCTTGAGATAGACATTGAAGGATGCGACGGGAATACTTGTTGCAGCGCAGCACAGACTGGCGAGACTAATGTCTACTGGTGCCGGCCTCAGTGGGTCCGACTGATACATTACAATGACGTAGTTGTTGACAAAACATGACTGTGCACGGACCATGTCGGGTGTCTGTCGGGTGCCAGATTATTTTTTTAAACACGTCAGCAACAAGAGACGCGCTCTTTACCCTTCTTCTCACACCCACACCCACACCCACACCTAATCAGCACCTAACCGCCAACCACCAACCAGCCAACCAGCTAACCAGTGCTCCACTCAACCATCACTCAACCACCACTCCACTACCACTCAACTGCCAATCAACTAGCACCTCGGCAGCTCGCCAGAGGCTTCCTCGCGCGAAGTTACCGTACGCCGGTGATATCAATGTAAGTACTTTGGCTGCTTTGCTTTGCTTTGAACCCACATTAAAGCACAATACTCATCATCCCATCTTTTGCGTTTGTGTCGCTTGTTAGACCCAAAAAAAAAAAGAAAAAAAGAAAAAAAAGGAACAAAAAAAAGAATACAAAAAAACAAAAAAACAAAAAACAAAAGAATAAAAAGACAAGAAAAAAAATAAAATAAAAAAAAACGACAACGACAACGACAACATTGCTTATATGGTATGTGGATTGTGAAAAGCTATTGCGGATAGAGAGTGTGTACTGCAGGTATCCTAACGTTTGTCTTGAACTTGTGGTCGATCTTAGTACGAGTGCCCGCTGCGATACTGCAGAAAAGACCCTCATTGGGTTGCCAAGCACATGAGCAGCAGCATGCCCAAGGGACTCAGGACAAGAAAGGGTCCTCCGATGCCACATTGGTGAGCCAGCGACTCTAAGGGCAGGGGCGGGAAACGCCTATCGAGCCGGCGCACCGGTGCCGCTCATCGTTACGCAAGGCATGGCCACGGGTGGAGCCACATGTTGACGCGCTCTATCACGACCAGGTAAGGCGACTACAGCTATTCATGTTCTAGACTACGGAATTTGTTCTGAAAAGATGAGCCGGGCCTTCCTGCATACTGACCTTGCTGGTGCTTTCATCACCGCGTCTTTCTGTCTAATAGGCGCCAGCTGTACCTCCCGGAACTCCCAAACCCCACAAAAACGTACAAGCCGAGGGGGTTTCGGGCAGGTGCAGACGACCTGCTGCAACGGGGCCTCACCCCAGCCCCAGCACCCGTTGCAGTGGGTCGATCTTTATGGATCCGTCCCACCCACCACAGCCATACCACTACCCTTTCCACCTCAGGCTGTGATGGGTGGATCTTTCTTTTATTTCTTCTTTCCTCCACATCCCCTCTCTCCTCCCTCCCCACTCCTCTCGCTCACCCTTCCACCTATTCCGCCCTTCACTCCCCAAAACATGCTCCCCATCAGATGCTCAGGACCAGCCTCTAATGGCTACCTCATGGTAAGTTCACTCTTGCTTTTCTTATATGTGATCGACATGTCTCACCCTTGCCGCCCCGGCATCAAGTGGCTCAGGGCCCCTGTTCGGTTCGCCAGCGGGACCCTGCCACTGGCCTCTCGACGCAGTGGGATGATGCGCCGTGGGTTAGGGATGAAGCGAGTCCTCTGGTCTTTTGGCTGTCTGATGCACCTGTTCTCGCCTACATCTTAGGGACCTTATAGCGCGGCGAACGACTCTACTCTCCCATATACACATCGTGGCGCGCGAGGCTGTGCGGACCAATGTAGTCCTCCGCGGTGCTAGCCAAAGAAAGCAGCAGACATGAACAGAAGCAGACACAGCAAAGTAAGGTAAGGACACTAGGGGGCCAGCGTGCTCAGGGCTCTGGAGTAACAGCCGTTGGGGTTGCAGGGGATGGAAAAATCGGTGGTCCTGTCCGGATCACTGTCCTAGACTGGACTGCCCCTATGCAGTTCAGGATCCTGGACGATTATCGGCCACCGTCTGTTTCTCTTTTCCTTGCGCACTCTGATGGTCTGCGGCTCTCATTGACTTGCAGTCGCCGGCTCAGATACGCTGTGCACTTCCGGAGGCAGGTCTGGGTCTCCCACCGTTCGTTCTTTCTCCCTATCCTTTCTCCTTTTTTTTTTTTCTTTCTCCTCTTTTTCTTCTTTACACCTTTCTTTTTATTCCTTTTTTCTATTGCTAATGATCCGCTGGCCTTGGGCTGAGCGAGAAGGCAGGGGTCAGCAGTCTCTTTTCTATTTTCTCTTTCTTTCACTTCCCCCTTCCTTTCTTCCTTGAGACCCAGACCGTCCGATGAAAAGCGTGCACTCCAAAATCACAATGGTAAGCTGTCTATCTGTATATGTTTATATTCATGTCTTTTTGTGCAGCGGGCGTTCGAAGCAACATGCAGCTGTGTACTAACTAGTACAACACCGTCTCCTTGTCTCATTTTCCTTGAGGACCGCCGGTCCGCATGGTAAAGCAAGCTCCCTTGTGTATCCGCGAAAGTAGAGTCCGATGCCGTGTCGAGGTCCTGGTACTAGGGTAAGTGGGGCACTGGAGCAGGTGTAGAGGGTGGTTCAAAAAACTAAGGCATTCGCGGACCAATCCACGGTTGAGGACCATTGCACGGGAAGTGTCAGTTGGTAGCGGTGCCCAAAACCGGCCGTCCAGGTAAGTCCTCAGGCTGCTTGAATGTCGGGAGGAGCGGTGGTGAGCTTGTCGGTTGCATGCTTGGGAAGCATGGGGTGTAACTGCCATGGGCTAGTCAGGAGGGGATCTGAGGCTGGGCGGAGAGGGGAGCAGGGTGAAGGGTCTAGCATCAAAGGAATAGGTGAGAAGGGTTTAGGGGAGTGTAAGGAGGGTCCGGGGAGGCCAAAGGGGATCAGAATCGAAGGGCCTCAGGCACTGCCGCCGCCCTTGTCAAAGTAAGTATACATCTGGTGTTTGCGGTATCTTCTTTAATATGCAAAGTGTCTATGAATCCATCCTTATGCGAATTGTTTGTGATCCTGTGTCTGATACTAGATAGTTATTCCACAAATTAAGTGGGTAAATATGTGCTGTCGCCGTCCGCTCGTCCGACCGTCACCGCTACATACAACAACAAGGTGGCGGCGGGGGCATGGGCGGTAAGACAGCGACAAGGGCGGTAAGGCAGCAACAAAGACCGAGGCCAGTCTGCGGCAAGGCTCGACTACAAGACCAGTACCAAGACCAGTACCAAGACCAGCACCATGACCAGTACCAAAACCAATACCATGACCAGTACCAAAACCAATACCATGACCGGTACCAAGACCTGCATCGACGCTTTAGACAAGATACCGCAAGAACAAAGAAAGGCCGACTATAAGATCGGAAATAGGACTGAGTACAGCCTATTGGTAAGGGCGATAAGAGCCGCGACAAGACCTCGACCTACACACGCGTAGGATTGTCAATATCGAATCCAAAAAGAACATAAGAGTAGCAAAATAAATAGAAAAAGAAAGATTCAGCAGCCAGCTTGAGCACCCATCCGTCTAGATCTTAATCCACAAACAGCAGAAACACACAGCAGCATGCAGCGGCGGTGGCAGTGATACCACCCAGATCCCAAGTAAAGCATACGGCCAACACACAGCCTCTGAACGCCCTCGGTGCAGAGGCAAATGCATAAAAATGGAGTTTATAATACACAGGCTTTGCACTGAACAAGCGGTTAAATTGGATATCCAGGCAGCAGCAGCTCTCTATGCCTATTTTGTCCGGAGAGGGTTCCCGTTATATCTACGCGGTCTGACATCACATCGATATCGAAGGGATGTGTGCTGTAGAGTCCTGTGCTGTGCTGCTGGTGTTGATGGTGGCAGGCCGAGCTTGCTGAGAGAAAGACGCGACGGGTCGCGTGTACTGTCTGATCCCGGGTCCGCTCCATTCGTGCGCGTTAGCTGTGCACGTTGTTCAAGCGACTGCAGGTGGGCTCGAACAGCTGTATGGGTTGACGTGCATCCTTGTGGACTTTCTGGGCTCTGCCTATTCCCTTGGTGGTCTGTGCTGTCGTCAATGAAGCTTCGCAATGGGCGTTCTGAGCATTAGTCTACAGGGCGATTATGCGGGGTGAACGTATTCGTCTGCATAGCCGGTGGCATGGATAAAATCGATTTCCTCAGGGCAGATGCGAGTTTGTAGGTGAGAGAAAGCTATCTGCCGGCTCAGACACGGGATGTTGGAATGCAAAAACCTAGACGGTGTATATATGCTCACGAGGAAAACTTGTTTAATGGGGCTCACGAGAAAGACAACGAAAAGTGAGAGGCGCGCTCGGGAATTAGAAGATAAAGGTATTTTAAAACAACGAGCACCTGCTTAACGTTGTTGTCTATTAGTTTTCTTAATGGTTTTGGGCGTAGCACTTGGTAAATGAAGACAGGGATCGATTATGGTAAGAGGTAAAATCGACGTGGTCCATGGCGACTCTTCCTGCGCTTCGCTGCTGCATCGCCATCTCCTGTTTCCCCTCTGGGCCATACTAGGCGTAGCCTTGATCCAATGATCGATCTGCGCTGCATACACAACAGCTTTGTTCTGAGAGGCCAGGAGCATTGGTGCACAGATATATTGTGAAGACGAATTGTCCGCGACCCCGTTGATATCGATTTATTTGTGAATTTCGTACAGCTGCACGAGACAGCATAGCAAAACGCATCGTATATTTAAGAGCGGGGCTTCTCCTTCTTCTCCTTCCACAAAGCCAAGAGGGAGACACCGGAAACCTTGACGACCTTGAAACGGACACCGGGCAAATCTCCGACGCTGTTTTGCATTTCATAAACAAATTTCAAAGATATACAGTTAGTCAACCATGTTGCTTCTGAAAACATAATACAATCGAAAAGGTATAACTCGAGATTTTGACTTACGCATGGCCGGAACGACCGAAACCGGCAATGAGAACCTCGTCGTTCTCATCGACAAAGTTCAAACAACCATCGTTGGGGACGAAGGCAGTGATCTTCTTGCCGTTCTTAATGAGCTGAACACGGACACACTTGCGAATGGCAGAGTTAGGCTGCTTGGCCTCAACACCGCTATTGGTTTGAAGGAGATAGCAGACCGTTTGTTAGCCAATTGCTCACGTCCAATGTCTCTGTAAGGCCATCCGTATCTCTGTCCATGGCATTTATGCGAGCTGTAAGAAATGTCCGAAGAGATGGGGTCCAACGGTCCAGTGAAACGAAAAAGACGATCTTGGCGACGGCATATGTACAGAGGGTGTTCGCTGAACGTTATGCGTGCTGACTGAAGTTACGTCCGTAGATGAAGAGGAATAATCAAGCTGAGCAGCAGAGTCGTCTTTGTGGTAGTGAATAAACAAGTTCTAACGCTTTTGTCCTTTTCCTTGCTGCTTCATTTCTGAACACTGCAACTCAACTGCTCCCGTAAATTGCTAAATGCCGTGTTGCTGTTGCTGCTGGCAATCTGTTGTATTTCCTGAGTCGTGAAAACAGACGGCTCCCGATGGTAAGATATAGGATAAAACGTACATCTTCTCGAGAACGATGCCCTTGGCGTGGGAGGAACCACCGAAAGGAGAGAAACGGAAAGCAGTTCCGAGAGCCTGACGCTTGTAGTGCTTATCAGCCCAACGGTTCTCACGGCGAGTGGTGCGGAGCTTGCGAGCGGCCTGAAGACCTCTTGGTTTTCCTTTACCTGTTGAGATAGGAAAGCAGAGTTGGAATCAGTCTTCTGCGATGAATTGCGGTACTGCTGCTCTTTTTCCTGCTGTCTTTGGAATCGAGTGGAAAAAGTCGATGCTGTAGCACGAAGGCACTCGCTGTCGTCCGATGCTCTCCTAAAATAGTTTTCTCCATGCCTCTGAGATGAACGCTCAAAAGCGCGGTCGAAATCCAGTGCAGTAATCGTCCAGTATTCGTCCAAGGGACGAATCAAAGCTGCCGCTACCGCCAACGTTATATTTTGACCTCGACGATATTGCTGATAACATTGCTCCGTTGACAAGCGCATATGTGCGGTATCAGTTCTCCTGTCCTCCTTCAGATCTGCTAACTGAGGAAAGCGGGATCAGGCCTCATCTCTCTGGAGCTGTCCCCAAGCGGTGCCCGGATAGCTCAGCAATCGATGATCGGCGAAGGATAAATTGATGAAGGTCCAACTGAACGTCGTGTGGTCAATGGATGGTCGAGTTCTCTGTCCCTGAAGGCGATGGATGTATGCAATCCTAGATACGGCTCTATGGATGGTCTGACTGCTGCACACAAACTAACCCATTTTGAATCGATTGAAAAGAAGGAGCAAGCGGCGGCCGGGTGGATGACATTTCTATACTGGGAGAGATAGTCTTCACGTGATCATAGATTTTTTTTTCATCTCTTCAGGGACGCGCATCCACGCCAGCCTACACTTGAACGACGGGGACGAAGAGAGAGTATCTGAGTTTACATCATTTCAGGACAAATGCCCAATGATAATAGTTTGACATCGTGGACATGCTCGTACCGCTGGACACAATAAAAAAAATGCGACGATGCTCGTTGGCGTTATGAGGGAATGCTATACCTTCCGACCGTGGACTGACGTGATGCTGGACGCCACATTCTCAGCCCTTATCGTGTTCCGTTCGACAAAGAGTTCAGCGAAAAGGTCTGGGCGCCATACTCCATTCTGATCCCCAAGGACTCAAACCACAAGGCTGTCTAAAACACACGTACGGAGATCCAATCTGACTATATTGTTCTTGCTTTGAGCAATTCCGTCCCTTTGATTACCTACCCCTCTACAGTGGTTCCAGCAACCCTTCACCTCTCAAATTTAACGTGGACTCCTCTCAGGAATCCAAGGTCATCACTAGTCAAGCCCACGTAGATCTTCAAAAATCGAATTGTATTGTCTTTGTAGGTGAAGGAGCATATGGTGTCGAACTATTTGACGAGATCCAGAGTGTGTTTCCAGGAAAGGCAGAGCGTAGACACGAAGTGTGGGTGGTGAAACATGGTTAATGGAGATGGAGGGCTAGGCGACTTGGGGACACTGAGAGTAGAAAGCGGCCTCGTACCCAAGCTTCGGATTGAGGACCATAGGCCCACAATACTCATCGCTGACTCCTATGAGATGAGTAAAGAAGGTGGCCAAGATGGGGCTAAGCAGATACCAAAAGATGTGCAATGGACTGTGTTGTGGAAGAGGAGGAAAATGAGAGTGAAGGAGCGCGTGAAAAGATAAGGTTTATATCCGAAATTTTGGCGAATTATGAACTTGGCTGCCTTTATCTTTTTTAACGATGATGACACCCTAAGTAAGTGGTTGACCTGGCTCATGACCAGCTGCGGGTGGATTGTTCTGCCGTAGAATCCACGCACAAATTTCATCCTGATCAATATTATCCTCTAAAGTTCTTAGTCAAGTCTTTCACTCGACCCAATGCAGAGTACCCCATCATTGCGAACATGGACAGGGCCCTTCTTCTTTCTCGTACGTGTCCTGATTACGTCCAGCACAGGCCGCTCTGCAAGCACATATATCTGACACCAAGGATCTACAGAGGCATGGAGACCAACTACGGCAGGGAACACGTACTTCCTCAAGAGCCACGAGAACCCATCGGTATTGAGAACGATCTCGAAAACGAACCCAGTCCCTTCTTGAAAACCCGTTTTCACCGCAATTCCGTCTCCAACTACAAGCAATGAGATCTGAAAAGCCGGAGGCATAGAAAAGAGCGAGAGAAGCTGAAGTTGAAGAGGCATTTCAGGAAGGTGAACGCGAGCTGGAAGACGCTTTGAAGAAACTAGGTGATATCGTTCGCGATATAAAAAAAAAAAAAGACGATGTACGCTCCAGTAGTTTCAAAGCGCGGTGGCAGGACTGAAGAATACAATGCAGGAGATTAACGCTATTGGGACAGGGAGCAATTGCCAGTGAATAAAATAGCATGTTGTGTCCCGTCAGTGTGTATTTCCAACCCAAGATTTATTTACGTAATAACATCTTCAAAAATAATACTATTCCCCTCAAAGAACACCAAAGAAGATCACTCAAGTCACCGCGCCTTTCCACCTCTTCCATCACCCGTTCAGCCTTGTCTTCCTCTTCATTCCTTTTCTCTTCAATCCATCACCAGCGTAGTACATCATGGAGGGAATGAATGCCGTCTACGCGCAGGATGAATATGGTCGTCCCTTCATCATCCTCAGAGAACAGCAGAAAAAGTCCAGACTCAGCGGTATCGAGGCGCAAAAGGTACCGACCTGGACCTAGTGTCGTTTTTCGAACATGAGGCCATTTCCAGGGAAGCCTTGGGGGTGAAGACGAAGACGAGGCGCGTCATCATCCGAGTCCGCCCTTGGCTACATAGTTGGGAACAATGGGGCCCACTATACAACATCCTCGGCATGATCTAACCATTCCAGTTGCTTTCATCCGTTGTCCTTGTAGTCCCATATCCTTGCAGCGAAGACCGTTGCCAACATCCTGAAGACGTCTCTCGGCCCTCGTGGTTCGTACTTTATGTTCAGTACCATCAATATTTGCTTGATGGCACCGTGCTATACAGCGCCTTTTTCTTATCCGATACCGTTCGCGTGGCATACTACAATTTAGGTCTCGACAAGATTCTGATCTCTCCCGATGGCGAGATTACTGTTACAAACGACGGCGCCACTATCCTAGATCAGATGGAGGTTCAGCACCAGGTTGCAAAGCTGCTAGTCCAGCTATCAAAATCGCAGGATGATGAGATCGGCGACGGCACCACTGGCGTTGTTGGTATGTGATCTTTACGATAGACGTGATCATGCCGTATCAGAAATGTCAATCGTGTGTGGACATGCTCTTGTGCTGACATTGCCTACACCATCCCTCAATGCGAATTATGTTGCTAGTCATGGCTGGATCGCTTTTGGAGCAGGCGGAGCATTTGCTGGATCGCGGTATTCATCCAATTCGCATCGCCGACGGTTTTGAGCGCGCCTGCAAGATTGCTGTTGCGCATTTGGACAAGATCTCTGACACGGTCGAATTCTCGAGAGAAAACACCGAGAACTTGTATAAGACTGCCAAGACCAGCTTAGGAAGCAAGATGTAAGGGCTGCGATCCAGGACCATGATCTCATCATGGCGATATTTGCAATACAATTGAATGCTGACGCTGACAACCTTGTCTATGAACCTTTGCTTTGGAACACTACAGTGTCTCAAAATGTCACGACCAGTATGCCAGAATTGCAGTGGATGCAGTTCTTCAGGTTGCAGATCTGGAACGCAAGGACGTTGATTTCGAGCTGATCAAAGTGGACGGCAAAGTCGGAGGATCGTTGGCGGACACAGTATTGGTCAAGGGTGTTGTCATCGACAAGGACTTTTCCCATCCTCAGATGCCGCGCGAAGTCAAGGACGCGAAGATTGCAATTCTGACGTGCGCGTTTGAGCCACCTAAGCCCAAGACAAAGCACAAGCTCGACATTACGTCTGTAGAGGAGTACAAGAAGTTGCAAGCATATGAGAAGGAGAAGTTTGAGCTGATGATCAAGCAGGTCAAGGACACTGGGGCCAACCTTGTGATTTGCCAATGGGGGTTCGATGACGAGGCCAACCACTTGTTGATGCAGAACCAGCTTCCCAGTGTGCGCTGGGTCGGAGGACCAGAGATTGAGGTATGATTTACGATTCGTTTGTGGGCATCAAGTGTCTATTGCTTACTATTTGGCCATCCTCGAACTGACTATGCTTTTTATTATCTTTTTTTTTTTTTTTTTTTTTTTTTGATGAAGTTGATTGCTATTGCGACGAATGGACGGATCGTTCCTCGGTTCGAGGACCTTGCTACTGCCAAGCTTGGAAAGGCAGGTATTGTTCGCGAGTTGACGTTCGGTACGACCAAAGACCGTATGCTAGTGATTGAGGAGTGCGCCAACACCCGCGCGGTCACTGTGTTTGTGCGCGGAGGCAACAAGATGATCATCGACGAGGCCAAGCGCTCGCTCCACGATGCTATCTGCGTTGTCCGCAATCTAGTCAGGGACAATCGGGTGGTCTATGGCGGTGGTGCGGCCGAGATTGCGTGCTCATTAGCGGTGTCGAAGGCAGCGGATGAGGTTTCGAGTGTCCATCAGTACGCGATGCGCGCATTCGCAGAGGCTCTTGAGGCGGTTCCATTGGCACTGGCGGAGAACTCTGGACTCCCACCAATCGAGACGCTGGCGGAGGTGAAGTCGCGGCAGGTGACGGAGAACAACAGCCGGTTGGGAGTCGATTGCTTATACAAGGGTACGAACGACATGAAGGAGCAGTTTGTGTACGACCCCCTGATTTCGAAGAGGCAGCAGATCCTGTTAGCAACACAGCTGGTGAAGCACATTCTCAAGGTCGACGACATTATTGAAAGCCATCACGAGTAGACTGAGATGAATTGTAGGACGTGAATAGGGGGAACCCAGGAGGCCAGGCAGAGAGATCATCAGTAACATTAAGGGCGGTCTTTTTTGAATAAAGAAATGCATTTTTTTGCCATATGCGTCCATGCCACGTTTACCGTGTTGTCCTACCGCTTTTGTGTAAGGTGTAAATGTATTGTGCAATTAGCTATACGCTTCAGCCGCAGCAGCTGCAATGCTTGAGCGCATGGGGAAATAAAGGGCAGGCAGGACAGGGTGTTGTTGCCAATTGTGCCAATTGCGTATCGCGCTCTGCATGTCCCCGTTTCCCCGTTTGGTCAGTGTTGGTGCGAAGTAGTGGTGCGAAGTAGCTTTGAGGGGATAAGCTGCGGCTTCAAATGTACTCTTCACGGCAATTTATTCATCCCCCCCTGGCCGATTATTCATCTCGCGCGCTGATTTCTGCGGTTTCTGCGGGCCGGAAATTTGAAATTTTGAGAGCGGCGGATCTGCTGAGAAAGAAAGAGGTGCGTAGCCCGGGAGAGGGTGATATCAGTGAACGCTGCGGAAGACGAACGGCATCTTTGACAAGGGTGGAGGGGAGAAAAGAATAAAAAGACGAGGGGGGTCTGCATTGCCTCCTCTGTTTTGCCACCAAGCATCATAAACATCCACCAACACCTCTATCCACCATTTCCCTTCCGGTGTCTTCTTGGCACTAGTAATACGAAATATTATTCATTACACAGCACGCGAATTATTTGAATTATTTCCTCTGCCCCATCATCCTTTTCTACATGCACATGCATGTTATATTTCATACATCATCGTATCCCTCTAGCCAAGAGTTCTTGGCCCGCCATCTCTCTTCTTCTTCGCACCTTTGCCCTCAATACAAATACACCCCGCCCTCCTCCTTTGCCTTTCCTTATCTCCATCATTCCATCCCTAACGCTCTTAACCACATCGGCACCATGTCGACTGCAACCATTGCCACCACGACAACTTGTCCCACAGCCATCGCAACAACCGCGCCCCGAGCACAGACATCCCCTGCACACCCATATCATCTCGAATGCTCCATCTCTATGGATCTAGAAAACTATCCCCTCGCAATTGTGCCCCTCCAGCATCTCGGGGCTGTCACCCATGCAGCCACGGCCTATCTCTTCTCCGCCATCTGGACCCTCACTCAGTCAGTTGCCTGGGTCATGGTCGTCCAGGGTCTAAACTGGATCCAGACACTCGGCCCTATGATCCTGCACTGGGACAGCTTCCTCCTCGGAGCCATCTTCCTCACCATGGACATCAGCCTCGACGCCCTCGATAATCACCTCTACCTGCTTAATCTACAGCACCAGCCATATCAGCCAGCACAAACACATCGATCCAAAGCAACAGCATCCTCAGCATCAAGTTCAAAACCTGCTTCAGCCTCTATGACTACCATCAGCAAAAAGGTCACCTTTCACGAGCAGGTCATGGTCCTTGGCGCAGCTGCTCAGCGTGGCCCAGTCCTCCCGCTCATCTACACAGCCCACGATAGCAGTCGAATCGATCCTTCTGTACCACTCTCGGAATCACCCACCCGTTTATCATTCTATCAAGCTCAGCCTAACCAAGAAAAAAGACTTTTGGATTCTTCAGTATTGCTTGTCAAGATGCAGCGGGAAGAGGCTGAGTACCATCGATCGAAATCCCCTGGCGCATCCGTGATACCCATGGTGCCCATGGTCTTCGAGTCTCCCTCGTCCTCTCGATCCAGCTCCTGCCGATCTAGTATCTGCAGCGTATCCAGCGACAACAGCGACATCAGCGACAAGGAGGCAAAGTCCTCTCGCTCAGCATCTGCAAGACTGGCGGCACTCTTTCATCCACATGGCCATCAACAACAACAGCGTGCCTCTGCGCAGCATATCGATAACGCTCATACAACAGTGGTTCAGTCCGCGGACAAGAAGGGCCATGGAGGCAAGGCCTTTGTCCACCGGATCATACACCCTCGCAAGCACAAAAGAGAGCTCGAGCAGCAGCCAGAGCAACTAGAATATGCGAACGACGGCGAGTATCAGCCCGACATGCATGCTCGAAAAAACCTCATCCAACGACTCGGACTCAAGAAGAGCAAGTAGTTGTGATGTACTCTATACCCCATTCCTCAACTGGAGGCGCCCCAACCTGTATTTTTACTCATGTACCATAGTTCATCAAGAATAATAAAAACGCATTCGTATGAAATCTCAACAGCAACGGCGCCTGAACACGAGAGGGATAAGTTGTTCTTCCCGACATTCCGACTGACGATGAAACATAAACCTTCTTCGTGCGCTAAAGAGTAGCGTGGTTTATGTCTGCCTTTGTTTTCTCTCTCAGATACTCAGATATGAATCAATTGCTGGGAAGGGACGAGAGGTTTTGGTGGCTGAAGGAAATGACTTCCCACGGCCACGGGTGGGTAACAGCCCTTTTCATCTCTCCTTTCCCACCCTCTTCTTTTCCTCCTCTTTCCTTCCCACATCCTTCTCGACACTCAAGGTACACATATAACGAGCATAGGTACACCTTGGCTCTTGTCGCTTTCATCATTATCACCATTACTCTTATTGTTGTTTTCTGTGACCAAGCTGGTCCATCCATCCTCCACCCTACTGCCCTACTGCAGTATCGAGTCGGCAACTGCTCACCTTTATCCGCTCTATTGGACTTCGGAAAATAGATTCACAGATGGCAATTACAAAGTACCCCGCCAAGCAGCACTGGGCAAAAGTCGCCAAGAATCTCGGCCTCACCGAAGGTCTCGTCTACTTGAAGGGCGACGTCCTGAAGGAGAGACACGACACCGACGTCGTAAGTAGCGAGCGCCCATCAGCAACACTTTGCCACGGTCGCATCAAAATTCAGGCACACAGTCAGTCGCTCACTCAACTTCTTTCCGTCTTGTGGCTTTTCTAGGAACTTACATTCAGACAAGAGTCCAACTTTTACTATCTCACTGGATTCGCTGAGCACGATGCCCATGTCCTCTATGACCTCAAGACTCAGCAGATGACTCTCCTGCCCTACAAGCTCCCCGAGGATCATATTGTCTGGATGGGCATGCCCCCCACCGTGTCCCAGCTCCACGAAAAGTTCGAGGCCGACAACATTCGCTGGTCCACAGAATTGATCGCCGCTATCAACGAGTCGGGTGCCTCGACCCTCTATGCTCTTCGTCAGGAGGATGTGCCCAAAGGCATCACCTTGGCCGTCAACGCTGAGGTCCTCAAGGATGCCATTGTCAATGCCCGCATATACAAGTCTGCGTTCGAGATCGAAGCCATGCGCAAGATCAACCACATCTCCTCCAACGCCCACGTCGCCTTGATGAAGGCCGCTAAGAAGGCCCAGTCTGAGGTCGAGCTCGACGCTCTGTTCAGATACGAGACCGCTCGCTTTGGTGCACGTGCTCAGGCCTACGAGCCCATCGTTGGTGTCGGTGTCAATGCCGCTACGCTCCACTATGGTCGCAACTCGGCCTCTTTCAACGGCAACCACGATCAGCTGTGCTTGGTCGATGCAGGAGCTGAGCAGGGCTGTTATGCCTCGGACATCACCCGCACTTTCCCCCTCAGCGGCAAGTATACTGGTGATGCCAAAACCGTCTACGAGATCGTCCTCCAGATGCAGAAGGCTGTCCTGGCTGCTCTCAAGCCCGGTGTCCAGTGGGAAGATATGCATAGACTTGCTAGCAGGATCGCTGTCGAGGGTCTTCAGAAGGCTGGCGTCTTGAAGGCCGAGTTCTCTGTCGAGGAGCTGCTGGAGAAGCACGTCGACGGAGTCTTCTTCCCTCATGGCCTCGGTCATATGATCGGATTGGATGTCCACGACGTCGGAGGCTATCCCAAGGGTGTCGCGCGTATCCAGGCTCCTGGTCTTCAATACCTGCGTATGCGCCGTGCTCTCGAGCCCAACTTCGTTGTCACGGTCGAGCCTGGTGTTTACTTTGTCGAATTTATCTTGAACGCCGCAATGAATGACGCCGCGATTTCCAAGTACATGGACTGGGACGTTGTCGATCGCATTGCTAAGGTCGGTGGTGTCCGTATTGAGGACTGTGTTGTCATCACTGAGACCGGCATTGACAACCTTACCATTGCCCCCAAGGAGATTGCGGAGATCGAGGCCATCATGGCTTAAGCGCCTCCTTATGCGAGTCGTTTTTCATGCAGTTACCCCATATGCTTCTTGTACAATAAACACAGCGCCAGTACGGCTGCAGAAACCAAAAGAGCGATGGATACTTTAGGATTTATTATGATAATTGCTATGATGATAATGATGATAAAGAAATGCTGCCCGTTTGCCTGACAATGAGCTCGAGTTCAAGAGTCTTGATCTGATTTTGAAGCATATTCAAAAAACAAACCAGAGCAGTGCTGTCTCGTCCTTGTGCCACCTTCACCTGAATCTCGAGTTCTATTCGGCGCTGCTCGCCTATGAGCCAATCAATCAAATCGATGAGTTCTGCGATTCCGTCCTCAGCCTCAGTTTGCTCTTGTGCCGGTTGCATGTCCGTATCCATATCTGCATCCATGCCCACAGAATAAAACAAGAGCTTGGGTGTTGACAGGGCGATCAAGTTACCCAAAGGTGATGGCATAAATGATCGGGTTCGACTGTTGGTTGGGGAGTGTGATCATATTGGCGCAAAATTAGTGGCGTCTTTATTTCCTGTTGCACAAAAACTGATTTCACTGATTCAACTGCATTCTCTTAGGGCGCCTGTATTGAAAAAAACCATGGCCACAAAGAGGTTAACGACATGTTCTGTAGACGAGATCTCATTCTGTGTTCACATAATGATAGGAAAAAAAAAAAAAAAAGAAGGGCCACATACCAGAGATGGATCAGATGGTCATAAAACGAGCAGCTCACGACCAGAGGCAGCTCCGAAGGCGTTTCTGTCGGCGCATAGGACCAGTCAACACCATATGCAAGACTCTCGTGGTCCATGAAACTCGATTCGATGATGCCGGTTGTCCAGGATTCATCGTAGTGAAGGACATGGAAGCCGTTGTGCATGCACCCTGCTAGGAGAACATCCTTTCGAGTTGGATGCCACTTTAAGCGCCATACTCCTCCACCAGTTTCGGTCATCGACAGAGGCTGCCGCATCGACCGAGTATCCCAGATCAGCACGTTCTCATCGTAGCTGGATGATTTCCAAACAGAATTGCAGGTACCAGTTTGTAATTAATAACGGGTGTTGGCGTCGTACTTTGTCGAAGGTAGTTATGAATGTGGAACGTACCTTCCAGTGGTCAGGATGTGTTCGTCATGAGGATTAGACTGGATACTGCAGACTCCCATCTGGTGCCTACACAAATGAACAGAAACCGTAGGAAAGAAGAAGAAGAAAAAAATATTATCGGCATGAACGTCTTCGAGTCGAATAAAGCAAAGACATAGAATGAGATCCTCTTGTACAGTACGTACGCTTTGCTAGTGAAAGTAGCATAGCTACAGTCCATTCTCATGTCCCATCCCTTAAGCCTACAGTCGTCCGCTCCAGTGTAGAGCACATTTGTGTCATGATAGTTCCAGGCAACAATCCATGCCTCCAGATCGTGCGCGTGCCAGGTCAAGTTTTCCGTCAGTGATGAAGAAGTAGCGTCGAGATCTAGGATCGTAATGTCGCCATTGCTCAATGATATAGCGATCCGAGGACTCTCGCTACAGATATTGTGCGGACCAAACGTTTTTTTTTAGTTTAGACATTCTCATTGAGAGAATCATACACATACATAGTTAATGCCTTACCTGGCATGAACGCGGTTCGACCAATCCAAAGACAGCGCCAGCTTTTTCTCTGTGTTTGTCTGGTACTTTGTGATGATCTCCAAATCATTTCCGCCGCTCTTGAACTGGTATAGCGAGAGAGCACCAGAAGCGTCTGCCACGCCTAGTGTTGGGTTTCCGTTGACCAACTGATGCGACCTGGTCGGTCCTGCGGTTAAAACGTAGCTCGGTTTGCAAGTGCTCAAGACATGGCTTGGCTTCAGTAACATACCATTTCATGTCCAGGATAGCAGCTGTCTCAGTACATGCTGTGCTCTTCCTATTCATGTTGATGTTTCCCATGGCGCGTAAATGCTGTTTAATAGAGATAGGATCCAAAATGCAGCACGAGTGTATGAGCCAAACGTATTTGTTGTGTACTTACAGTTGCCGTGAATCGTCGTTGCCGCCTTCAATATCGTAAACGAGGAGTCTTCCGAGCCGAAGCATTGGCTTTTCAGTTTTGGCCTCCACTGCTTCATCATCATCATCATCATCATCATCATCGCTATCGCCAGAGCCCTTTGAGATCTTCGATGGCGAATCAGATGGCTCGTCAGAGGCCTGTTCCTCGGTTTCGTCCTTGGCAAGTTGATAAGTGCCACAGACGAGGAGATTGGCGTGGCTTTGAAACGGGCAGAACTCAATACTATCAGCGCTGTAGACCGTATCGTCTGAGTCGAGCGACGGCGGATTGTATGGGTCCATGATGTTCTCGTTGGGCTTCGCGAATATGGAGTGTCTTTGTTCAAGATTTTTTTTCCCCCATCCCTTGTAGAGGATCAGTAACCCCCCAGCCACTAAACACGACAAACAGCCTCGTCGCAAGGCGTCTTGACCCGTTGACAGTGAAAGTGATCACTCCTTCACTGGATGCGATTCCCTGTTACCCTCATGACCGCCACGGCAGTTAGCACCCCCGAGAATAATACAGGAGCATAGTAACGCGAATAAGCAACCAGCAGCAAGGCATGCTGCACGAGCTACTCATCGCTCTCTCGGGATACCCAGGCGATATCTTTCGACCCTTCCCACTCGAACCAGAAGTCGCGACTACCTTTGCCGTCATCGACTTCCCACTGCTACACCCAGCTGAAAAGGAATCGCTCAATCGACTCGCCCAACTCGGCTTCTACTTTAAAGAGTTCAACAGTTTCATATCCGCCTGCCGTTCAACTCGCACTCCGTCACATGCTACGGCATCGGCTCAACAACAGGCAGCACCAGCGGGCCTTTATCTGAAGGCGGTTGCCAATGCCCTCGAGCGGAAACTTCAGGAATACCGACAGGTCATCATCCAGACCGAGGCTGCTATCCTTTCAGGAGAAGATAACCTGGGCGCCATCGTACCTCTCTCGACAATCACTGCACGGTTCGCACCCTTCCAGCTTGTCTTTCCCGCCCTATCGAATCTTGTATCTGAAATCAGGAACGCGTCGACAACAGAGACGCCTTATGCAGGGGGCCGATTGGTCGATCTCTTACGGGACAGGGCTGCTTCGGGAGTGCCGATTCAAAAGGAATGGATGAACGAGCTGCTGCAAGGTTGCTGCGCGGTCATGATGCGGCAGATCGTGTCTTGGGTGATATACGGCCAGATTCAGGACCCCTTTGGTGAGTTTTTCGTGATGCAGCTGCAGTCGACTGGTGAGGCTACAGGTGCGGGATCGAGCGGTGGACCGTCAGCAGGAAGCATGGCTCGATCAAGGTTATTAAAATCTTCGATGGACGCTCATGCTTCTCCTCTAGCCACGGCCTTTTCGGCATCAGGATTGGCCTCTATCAAATGGCAAGCAGAATATACACTGGACGAGAGTGTGCTCCCAGCCATGATACCGGCGACCCTGGCTCATGCCATGCTCTTCATCGGGAAATCGATCGCGACAGCCAGGCAGGCAAAGCCCAAGCCGACCCCTATACCCCAATCAATGACTCACCGACATCTGGACCTGATCCTGCCCCTTGCTTCGTCCACTACGCGCAGTTTATCCACAGCCAGCAATGACATTTCATTAGAAGTGCTTAACATGAATCAGCTCACGAACATCATTTATCAGATACGACGGGATATCGCCAATCATCTGTGGGTCGTAGTCCAGGTCGGAGACAAAGTTGTAAGGGCGTTGGATTCTTTCCGTCGCTATTTTCTCCTCTACGATGGAGAGTTTGGGCTTAATCTTATTGAGGCACTGGAGGAGTTCAAGCGGAACCGGCTGTCTAGACTGGGACAATTCGTGACAGCAAACACGCCGAATGTGTCAATACGGGACCATGATCTGGGAGGAATACTGGTCAAGGCGGCAAAGGGAACCTCGGCACAGGACGACCCAGCGTTAAGGAGGTTTGAGCTGCGGTTACATAAATACCTCGGCGGAACCAATGAAAAGACAGGAAAGGAACCGCCAGCGCAGGGCAAAGGTGGAATGGAGATTGGAATGTTTGACGACCAGCTTCTTGGTATCCCTGTTCGACTTTGCTACACTTTGACGTGGCCACTGGATTTTTTTCTCACCACTGAGGACCTGGACCACTATGGCGATGTCTTTGCATTCTTGCTGACGGTCCGCAAGACTCAGGTGAAACTACAGCAGGCATGGCTCGATATCAAGGTGATGACACAGCAAATGAACAGTAGGAAGCGAGGAGGCAGTGCTAGGGCGTACACTCATCGGATCAAGGGGAAGGACGGGCAAGACGAAAGCAGTGCACAGGAGGTAAAGATCTTGAAGCACGTCGCAGCCATGCGATCCGATATGATCTTTGTCGTAGATTGCCTCTGGACCTACCTTCAGGTATGAGTTATTCATTTCAATGCGGATGTATCATTGCTGGGCTCGTCTCTCTCTCTCTCTCTTTCTTATTAACTTGCTGACGATTTTCTTGAAGATGGATGTAATCGGTCCTACCTACGACAGTCTTTTGCGAAACATTATTACACATGAGAAAGAACAGCGACATGGCCCGACTCCCTCTTCGGAGGACTCGCCCACAGCGACATCTCAGAGCTTTGACTCGATCCACAGCTCACATGCGGAGGCATTGTACGAGATCCGCCGCGCCTGTCTGCTCACTTCAGAGATCCTTTCGACCTCTGTCAAGGACATTCTTGGATCGATTGAGACATTTTGTGCGGTCGTTGCACGCCGTTCTGCAGGTCAGGACGGCTTCCGGTCGGGAATCGCGGCTGAACGGGATGAAAGCATGTGGCAGGACTGGACCAACCTCTCCCATCTTAATCAGGCACGCTACATGAATAACACGCGTTTCATTCGTTTCAAAAAGTGCCTGGCATCTGTTTCCTTTACTGATATGCATTTTTTTCTTGGTTACGACAGGCGTTCCGATCAAGCATGGCTAAGCTGTTTGGGGATCTGTCTGTAGTCTCGCGTTCGGGGTCATTGGGCGACGGACCTGTGCTGAGGAGGAGTGTCTCTGGTCTGAGTTCGAGTCTTCTGGGCAATAGCGCAAAATCCTTTGATGTGATCCGGCAGGTCGACCAGCTGTTACTTCGGCTTGAATATTCGAAGCGCCTTTGGTTTAGCAACGACCCTGGCGATGATGGTAGTGAGCTAGAGGGCGACGAATAATAAATATTTTAGTTGCCACCAAATAGGAAAAAAAAAAAGGGTTTGTTAAGGGGATAACGGAATAAAGCCACGCTCACCTCACCCCTCCTGATCGCTGGCATCAATCGCTCCCCATTCACTCACATTCGCTCTTGCACACACTCGTGCACCCTTCAACAACCTAATGGCCATCACCACACAGGAGAGTGCGGCTTCCGCATTGGCCGCGGCTTCTGCATCAGGCACAGAGTCAGAGTCAACAGCAGTCCATCAGTCCAACGCAAATAGCAACCAATCCAACAAAAACAAGAAGCAAACAAAGACGCGCAGAAAGAAGAAGAAGGCCCACATTGCCAACGGTGACGCCAACAGCCAGGCCAATGAAGACAAGGAGGATGCTGGCGAGGTATGATCATGTCTGCACTCTTCTTTCGGCAATGGCAGGAAACAACTGTTTCACGAGCGGATTGCGTTTTTTTGTGCTCATGGAGGATGGAGTGCGCTGATCTGCACAGATGCAAAAACAGAACTGACCAATACATCTTTTCTTGGCGTTTTTATTGTTATTATCCACGAAATTACAGAAGCTGAATATTCAAGTCGAATGGGTCCCAGAAAAGCCGATGGAACTGGCGCCTGGGTTTGAAGAGTTTCAGGATGTATTCAAGCATTTTCAGTTGACAAATCCCGAGGAAGAGGTACAGTCGAGATTTCAATGGATTGGACCCGACAGGGGCAACCATGCACGATAGCACGAATAGTGTTTTCAGCTCCAAAGCTAACCGGCTGATTTGAACTTATCTTTGCTTTAGGAGAAGACGGAGAATGGAGAAAAGGAGCACGACTCAAAGGATGTGGATAAGAAATCCGATGACTCTGGATCCGACTCTGAGAACGACATTGAAAAGCAGGCAGCCAGTAAAAAGAAACTGAAGCGACTGAACCGGATGAGCATTGCGGTATTGAAGCAGATGGCCAAACATCCTGAGGTCGTCGAATGGAATGATGTCACATCGTCGGATCCCAACCTCTTGGTTCAGCTGAAAGGCTATCGCAACACCGTCCCTGTACCGGCACATTGGAACCAGAAGCGCAAATACCTTCAGGGCAAGCGTGGAATCGAGAAAATGCCCTTTGACTTGCCAGATTTCATCAAGGATACGGGCATTATGGAACTCAGAAACGCTGTTAAAGAAAAGGAGGACGCCTCAAAGCTCAAGACCAAGACGAGGGAGAGAGTACAGCCAAAGATGGGTAAGATCGACATTGACTACCAGAAACTGCACGACGCTTTTTTCAGGTATCAGACTCGACCCCGCCTCACCATGCATGGAGAATTGTAAGTCCTGTCGTCTATCCTCAATCGGTTACGGTCTACTACGCATAGAGGTCTACAAACTAATGGAGGTCTGGTCTGTTTTATCCATTCCGATAGATATCATGAAGGAAAGGAGTTCGAAACCAAGGCAAAGGAGGTCAAGCCCGGCAACCTTTCAGAAGAACTTATCGCAGCGCTATCAATCCCGCCGCTTGCACCACCGCCATGGCTCATCAACATGCAACGCTATGGACCACCACCAGGATACAAAAACCTAAAGATTCCCGGCCTGAACGCTCCAATTCCTGAGGGTGCACAGTGGGGGTACCACCCAGGCGGATGGGGTAAGCCTCCTGTGGACGAATTTAATCGACCGCTGTATGGAGACGTCTTTGGATCGGCGCAGACAGAAGTTCAATCAGAGTACATGGAGCCAGTTGAGAAGACACTTTGGGGTGAATTAGACTCCGAAGAAGAGGAAGAAGAGGAGGAGGAGGAAGAGGAAGAGGAAGAGGAAGGCGAGGGGGAGGGCGAAGAGGAAAAAGACGAGGAGGATCTTCAAGAGGGCTTGGTCACACCAAGTGGCATGCAGAGCGTTGCCAGTGGGCTCGAAACACCGGATTTTATCGAGCTCCGCAAGGAAACAAGGAGGACAGCGGAAGAGGACGATGGGGCATCAAAGTCGTTGTATTCAGTCCTTCCACAGAAGCAAACCAGCATTACTGGCTTCATGGGATCGCAGCACGTTTATGACCTCTCTGCAGCCGCTGCTTCGTCCTCATCATCCACTAAGAAGGTAACAAAAACCTTTCAACCTGTGCTTGCTTGATGTCCATTTTTGTTTTGCGCTGGGTTCTCTCTCTCTCCCTCTCTCTCTCTTTAACATATGAGTGCTCTTTATAAATAATAGCGCAAGAACTTTGGCGAAGTCGAGGTGGCACTGGATCCATCTGAGCTGGTTGATATGGACTCGGAGACGCTGCAGGAGAAGTACGAGCACGGACTCCAGGCTGCACGACCGGAAGCACATCGCGAGGAGACGGGCGACCTGCTGGAGGAGCATCTTGCCAACTCTGCCAAGAAGAGGAAACAGGTGCAGGAAAAGAAGACCAGCTCAAAGGACAAGAACAAGCACGTCTTTTAGCGGCTGTGCTTTTTGCCCTCATAACAAGCATACACACAGAGAGAGAAAGCACAACAACGGATGCACATCAATACATTACAACCGTATCCCTAATCTCTTTGTTTGTTTGTTCTTGGCGATGATGGCTACAATATGCTGGCTCGATCATTACTGACCGAGGACACTGAGGATATTGCCGGCCTGAAGGGCCGTGTGCGCCTCCTTGAAAGTGGCCTGGACAATGCCAGCTTTTAAGCCTCGACAGTTGCGGGCAACGTTGCGGCTGACGATAAAAGGATCCATGATGCAGACAAAATGCTCGCCAGGCTGCCTAAATAACCCGGCTCTGGTGAAGTGTCTGTCGATGGCCGGTCGCGCCCGGATTTTTCCCATGCGAGGGTTGACCTCTTGCTCTGAGTAAAGAAACTGGTGACCAAAGTAGCGACAAAAGTCGACGAGAAGTTCGCCTGTGGACTTCTTATTGTCCTTGCCAAAGTTCAAGTAGTTGGCCACGTTGTCGTCAAACGTGCAATCATGTCCATCCACAATCTTTCGAGTTTGCCCCTGAAGCAGCGTGGGCATGACAGACTCGAGAGACAGCCCTATAAACGGGTCATACACTGTATCAGAAACGGCCTTTGGTTGCAGCGCTGGGAGAATGGGAGGTTCGGTCACGTCCTGCAAGAAAGTGATGACCATTAAGACGAGCGCGTACGAGGATAAGAACCCTTGCTTGCCGTCCAAGATCCCTTTGTTTTTGGCCAACTGTCGCACCGCGACAGCCAGGGTTTTAAACCGGTCATCGATATCACTGTAGGTTTTGATGAGCCGGGAGTTATGGACTCCTAGCGGTTGGTTGATGCTGATATCGCAATGAGTCCCTGAGGACGGGTCATAGAAGGTGACAATCGGCACAAAGGCTTTTGGAATGGTAATGACTTGTTGGTATCCGCGGAGTCGTAAACGTGAGCCTAAGGCTTCAATAGACGGCACAGGTTGAGAGACGCTTCTGTTGACCATGAGGGTGAAGTCCGCGTCACTCGTCTCGGAACTCAGGCCAGTTAAGAAGGACCCGAAGAGGTCGACACGTAAAGAGCTTATGAAGAAGGCATCGCGCAGTTCTCGCTCTAGGGTCTTGCGGAGATTCTCGATCGCTTGGTTTCTGGATGGGGACGAAAGACGGGCTTGTTGCAAGCGCGAGAGGTGAGCACTGAGAGCTGCAAATGGTCCAGCATCTTCTCGCCGTGCGGGTATGGACGAAAACACTCGCGCGGACTGTGGATAGACGGGCCACTGAGATGAAGAGATCTCGCTTGTCATCTCAATTGAGTGGTGTTAGATATGGTGAGGGAGGCGAGGAAGAATAAGCTAGCGGAAGTGTAAAGAAACAAAAAGAAAAAAAAAAGTGGGCGAGGGTGATGCACCTGAGCGTGGGAGTGGCAATGCTTGGGATCAAACGCTTCAGGGGGATGAGAAGACCATCACATTCACTGATACCATTTGCATATCTTCAGCAGCTTGCTTGTGTCACAGAACACTAAAGATAAATCGTCTATTGTTCTCTTTGGTTGGGTTACATACAACAACTAAATTCAACGCACAATAGGCTCCAGCTGCTCAATAATGGCGTTCGGATGGGTCATCACAATGCTGTGGGTCGCACCCTCGACGCGCGTCACCTTGACGCGGGGAACGAGCTGCTGAAGTGTGTCGATGGTCGTGCCCGGCACAACCGCGTCCTTCGTACCCTAGATACGCACAGAAGAATCAACCGCCTTGAATAAATTCCTTGCTTCTTTGGTGTTGAGGATATAATACAAGGACGTTGAGTCAGCTTCAGATACTCACCCAGATGACCTGCACAGGGTACGCTTGTTGTTGAGACGCTGCGTACTCTGGTCTCAACTCTGTCAACGGGAACCGTCTCAGGGTCGACATGAGTCCACGTGCATATCCTGCATGATGCTGAAATTGCAGAGCCAAGATTTTGCAGGCTTCATCGATGCATTCCGGCACTTTGGGCTCGCTCTTGAACTCGTTTCGCATCGACTCGATATTCTTTGTAGAGAAGTAGCCCTTGATGGACTTGTGCGAGAAGATTTCCTCGCTGTAGGGCAACAAGAAAATTTTGCCGACCCAGGGGATGTCAGAGGGCTACAATGTTGTTATAAGTGAAAGACGTGCTCAAGCCGTCAGTTATTGCAGTGGTACCCGAGCAGGACCTTTTCAGAGGAATAGCCAGCATACTTACAGACAAGAGGCCTCCTGGGGCGATAAACGTCAGGGACTCGACAGCTTCTGGGAACCGATGAGCGTAGCAGGCTACAATGCCTCCGCCCTATCCACAGTAATCATGGTTAAAATCTCTGTTATTGTTTTTGCTGTCAAAAAAGGAGGGAGGGAAGGAAAGAGACGACCATGACTATACCAATGATAAACCGACAAAGTTGCATCTTTTCCACCCGACATGCTTAAGCAAATCGTGCAGCTGGGTCACATAGAGCAAAGGGTCATGGGCCACAGCGGGTCCGACAGTATAGCCACGAGAGTAGAGATCTACAGAAGACGCGAAGTAAGCGGCTCGTTACTCTAACGGTATTAAGCAATTGCAGACACAGAGGTATCATGATCGATCGCCTACCGTAGAGGAGAACCCGGCAGCCATTGTTGGCCATGTGGCGAGCGACCTTATCATAGACCGAGGCTGGTGTCGAGAGGCCATGAACAAACACAACCTGTGCAGATAGGAGGATACGTCAGTGAGCTTGCAGCCACTTGCTTGTGACAGCCGTGAACGACACTCTGGCGCTGTATTAATGCCATACCTTTTTGCCATCCTCAGGTCCAAACAAAAAGTAGTGAGTCTCTCCGAACGACAGGTCAGCATAGCTCCCGCCTATTAAACGTTATATGTTGGTCAATAAGACATGTAAAAGAATAAAAGAATCCATTGAAAGCAAGGTACCGGCGCCTTTGTTCTATAATTTCAGTACCAGGATAGTAGTCTTCGGGGTAAGCAATGGCTGAGTGAGATGTGACAGCCCTGAGGCTAGGCAGGGTGCAGCCACGTTCAGCTGTCAGGGACTTGTAGACCTTCCTTGCGCCGAGGACAGCAAGCGCAGCAGAGGCTGCGGCAGCAACAGAGACACCAGCAGCGAGCGCCATCAGGGAGAGAAATGATCAAGGAGTGATTCGAGGATGAGGGGAAATGAGGAGGAGGCAAAGAGATGGAAGAGAGACCACCACCAGCAGGCAGCAGAGCACAGACTTTTTCAGGTACGAGTACGATGCTTATGGGAGACAAATGAAATAATGACTTCGGAGTGCTCTCAATTGACAGGAACGCGCTTACGCTGCACTCGATCCGGCGACATGTGGAGAGACGGAGTGGGTGAGTGATATTTTTGGCGCGAGTGTGCTCCGAGAGGGACCAGAGGAGCCAGAGGAGCCAGAGGAGCGGTATCCGTAGCTTCAGTTCAGGACGTATATGTCCACGTGTAGGCGGGAGGGAGGACGCGCACGTACATCTGTGGACCACCACGACGAAGGATGGGGAAAGAACAGCCCTCTTGGATCTACATTGTTATAACTCTTCTACATCACTTGGCATCGGGCTGTGTTTCCTTGGCTAGGTTTTGGCCATTACAAGAACAGATAGGGCTGGGCTGTGGTATCTATCGGTTCTGTATTTCCCCCTCCATGTCTGCGCCGCGCGTGAAAAAGACAATCAAAAGGGCGACTTTGGGATTCGGAAATAGACATTTCACCACATTCACACGCACACACTTATTCACTCACTCGCTTGCCGTACCTTTTACACCTACATCCTTCACCTTCCTAGCTTTCACTTGCCTCTTTGATCCTTTATTCACTCTACCCCATATTTCGACCTCCCCCCCTCGGTGTCCTTCACACTTTGCCTCTTCCTTCTTAAAATCGCCACCCTTGACCCTCACAACTACAATATAGCCGACAATGACTGCATTGCGAGCCATGCTTCAGCTGCGACCAGGCACCTCTTCCCTCTCCTCGTCTCCGTCGCACACCAGTCCCGCATTCTCAGCAAAGGATTCACGTCCGCTCTCGACTTCAGCTTCACCCACCTTCTCTTATTTGCACTCGCACCAACCCACAATCTCCTCAAACACTCTCACCACATCTCCTGCTACTGCATTGACACCTACCACTAAAACAAGACCTACTACTGCCACTACCACTACCACCAGTACCTCGCACTCTAGCAGCAAAAAGCCCTATAATCTGGGTCTGCACTCGGGAGCAGCTTCAGGGAACCTTGGTAAGGATGCCGATCCCTTACGTCGTTTCTTTCCGTTCCTGCACCACATCAAAACAGAACAAGGAACCCTTTGTTCCTGAAAGTTGTCCGTGCAGTCCTTTTTTTTGGGTTATGCTGCTATGCGTTGCTTAGTTGACATGGCCTTCAATACGATGCGTCCAGCAATTGCATAGACCTTTATGCCTCTCTCCAATCCCTTTCCCTCTCGGTTCTTCACCCCTTCGCTCAAGCATGGGCTTTTTGGCACGAGCAAGCACATGTGTACTGTTTGATCTTCGAGCAAACATGTATTGCATGTCGACGCGATCACGGGAAGACTGAGAGGTGAGAGTCCAGTCTCCTAAACCAATAGTCCCGTAATCGGACCTCCTCTTTCCTCTGGATACGAATAGAATAGCCGTGCCAATCCACTCCATCAGACACATCGCTGGGCCCTTTTTTCCTTGACAGGCTCTCGTCGCGACTTGTCGAAACATCCCTTTTCCCACCCATGCATGCATGCATGCAGAATATGGGCTTCCGCAGCCGTCGCCCCCGTCATCACGCTTCCCCTACTCCACCCCTTTGTCAATCTTCCTTGGCACGCATACGGACGGTATGTTCTGCGCGATTACTAACATTCCCAGCTGATCTTTCTTTTATGTTGCGGGTCGTGACCTTCATGTGGGCGTGCATCTGCAGGACTTGTCAAGTTTGCATTGGATAATGGACAGCCAATCGACTCGGCCGTAAACGGAGTCCTGCCTATCCACGCTGCCTGCTGCAGTAATGCCAATGTCGCCGTGGTTCTCTTCCTGATCGAGCGCGGTGCAGATGTCAATGCCCGGCGGTATCCGCGCAAGTATAGTGGCGAACGAGTCGGCGCGTAAGTTTGCAGCCGTGCTGTTGATTTGCTCTGCTTATTTCTCTCTCCACAACTCTTTTTCTCCGCGCGACCTGGCCCATGCGCCCGATTTGGTCGGTCTTGTTTTATTCGGATCAACATTTATGATGACGACGCTGAAGTGTATACAAATATCGGAGGCTGTCATGCATTTCGTAAGGAAGACAAGTCCTTTCTTGGTGTCCCCGTTGTTGATGAGTAGCAGCATCATGCAGAGTACCGCAGGATATTTTTATCTCTTCCGCGTTCTCATGCGCATGGCATGCACTTCGTATATGCCAACATATGTGACGGCAAGACAAGGGCTTTAACCCTGCCACGGCTGCTCCCCGCTCGATCATCAATCCATCCGCTTTAATCCCTCTCCGAATATCCCGCTCATAAACACCGGTCAGCCCTGACTCACCTCATTTTTCCATGTCTAGTCAAACAGTGGGAACCACAGGGTCGACACCTCTGCACTTTGCAGCCGCAAATGGTTGTCTGACGATCGTCGAGATATTACTGCGACATGGTGCCACAGCTGATCTGGCTGACAAAGCAAGTACCATGGACCTTGCACAATTGCTGCGTCGGTGTCACAGACGAATTAACCAGGTTAGACAAGCGTCTGCTTTTTGTTTTTCGCTTATAGTATGGAACAACACCGTACACTGTTGCAGTTGCACGGAACCATCCCGAGGTCGCCAGCTTGCTGCACCAACACGCTTGCATGCAACGAGGTCTCCAGATTATCACTCCAGAACTTAACCTCAGGGACAGTAGAGACAGAGACCCATTCACGAGTCCCAGGAGCAGCGGGGACTTTAGTCGCAGGGTATCCGCCATCATGGCACCAACAAGGGCATGCACTGAACAGTTAGACTCCGAGACTACGTCCTTTGCACTTCTCACTTCGCCCCAACCCCTCTCCGGAACACCTTCCATTAGCTCTTCCCGTATTCTGAGCCAGCGTCGCGTCAGTCTGCCCTCCATTATGGAATCTCCTTCCTCACCTGCCACGCTCACAGTACCCAGACAATCATGCGACCTGGGACGAGCACCGCTCTCCAGAGGCTCTCCCAACTCCAATGCAGAGTTGACTGATTCAACACTTCTACATACAACGCAGAGGATGTCTACTAGCCCACCGTCTGTGCAGCTTCTAACTGCGAACCATCGTTCCTCCGCAATGGGACAAGATAGCAAGGACAAAGATAAGCAGCAGCAATCGTCCTTTATTCAATCTCCATGGCCAAGTCTTATGAACACCTTGGAGCCAGCTTTCAATACCAGCAGGAGGCGATCCGTTGACATAGCCACTACTGGATATCCTTCACCGCCATCGGCTACCCCATCGTTGTACCGTCGCGCTTCGCTGGATTTGATCACGGCTACGAATTCTACCGACAACGATATTGGACGCGATTCGGATGCGTCTACATCAGAGACCGCCGTATCGGACCCGCCATCTTGCTCCACGTTTGTCAACCCCATGATGCCGGAGAGCAATGACAGCAAATCTCTACTAGAAATTCAAGTCAGCGCCGATTCAGCGGAAAAGTCTCGCGTCGAAAGCAGCCCCATGGGGCGATCTGTGTCGCAGTCTTTACGTTCTCTAGGCAGAGGTGCCACACGGAGAGCATCATCAGCATCAGAACCCAATGCGCGCCAATCCTTCGACCTCCGATCGTTTGCATTCTCTCGCGGACGCATGGCGCCTCAAGAGGAAGAAGTAGAGGAGAATGGATACAGCAGTACTCCCCGGCGACGTAGCATACAAGAGTCCTTTGGATTTAGCGGCAACGACCAGGACGAAAAGTCGTTCTTCTCCCACCCATCTGGGATGACTTCCTCTGCTTCAGCCTCGTCAATTCATGAGACGTCGTTGCAGGGGCACAACAACACTAGCAAACATCGTGCCTCGTTCTCGGGCAGTGCTACCATCTCGGGACGATTTTCTCGCTTTTGGTCATATGGGCCTGCGAAGGATGGTCAAGAGGGAGGTGTTCATGGGAAGGATGGATTTGCAGACTCCTTGCAGTCGATCGACGGCGGGAACGGCGACTGGAACACTGAGGCTACCGCTTTCCACCAGTCCAACAAGTACGCAGCAGGAGGCCGGCCGCGTGTAGGGGTGATGAACCGCTTTTCTGGCATGTGGTCGCGCCGCTAGACCACTGCTAGCCTTCGTCTACCAGGCGCACTGTTGGCTTTATTTTATTTTATTTTTTTCTTGCTGTTTAAGGCATATAGGCAGCGCAGAGAGCAATAGAAAAACTCATGTGTGTGTGCTTGCGCACATGTCATGTATCATACGTTTTCTACTAAAGAAATAGTAACCTGGTAAATTTTGTATCAGTACAGCATCTATACGACGCATACAGTGTGTGATGATTTTGAGGTTATTCGTGAGTTCGCATTGTTTGCAAGTATCGAATGAAAACAGTAAGCGATAGTGCGGTTAACAGGAACTGCGGATCAAATGTTATGGTTATCGAAAGTCAATAGCTGGCAATGCGCTCCAACATAAAGGACACGCTTTACATTATGGGTGTCATGCTGTGGCTCTTTAGAACACTGTGTGTAAATTGAAAGGTCCTGGTGAGTTTATATGGGCTGGTCTCCCGCACTATTCTCGCCATATTCCTGTTCGTCTGGAAAGGATCCCGCTACACGTATGGGATCCGCGTTGCCAACTTGTTGTATACTCTACGTGATGATTTTCATCAAAGTCGTGGTACCCTAGTCTAGCCAAGCCATAGATCGACCTCACAGAGACTATAGTTGACTTGCTGCCAAAAGAACGAGAGGAAACCAGCCTTAGGGCGTGTAAGAACTCAGGAAAGGAGTTCTGACCGACAGGGTCCCGTATCGGTTGACGATCGCTTTCAGTAGAAACCGGAAGGTGCATACATAGGCCTTGCATTTTCGATTGCCTAGCACTTAATCCGCGTCTATGCGTAGCAGCAGTATCTAAAATGACGCGCATGACTATAATGGTAGGCACATATCGCTCACGGACGATTCTTCCTAGGAAATAGACTGTTGACGAGTTTCTAGAGAAATTGGTTGCTACAAAATACAAGTGGTACTTGATGTGCTCAATATATCGGGGTCAGTGGAACGCACTCTTCTGAAGAGCTGACTGCACTATATGATGCAGCGCAGTTGGGGTTTAGCTCCAGGATCCATGTTTGCCTGTGGGGCCTGAAAGATTCAAAACTGCTCACTTTTGCGTTATTGGGGATGTTCCATCAGGTGACTCATTTTTACCCGAGATTCTCTTTACCCCGCACTTTCGGAGCAAGAAAAAAAAAACACGATCAAGCTGAAGCTGATCGATCGCTGTGCCCATTCACTTCTCTTTGACACCCAACCTCTCTTGCTACATTCTCATAGCCGACATGGACACCATCACCATCCCAACAGCTGCAGACATGCACATCCATCTGCGCCAGGGTTCGCTGATGAACATGGTGACACCCGCCGTTGCGGAAGGAGGGGTCTCGATTTGCTACGTCATGGTATGGCGCCATATTGCTTGTCAGATACTGGTGTAAAACATCGCGCGAGCTAGTTCTAACCACTCGCTTTTGCTTGCTTTCAATGTTTGCTCGGTCCGATTGTTCTCGTTTTGTGGCTGTGGTCTATGTTTGCTCTTTGTGTACACTCGTTTCCTCGAGGGTAGCCCAATCTCCAGCCTACGATCTCGACGACTGAGATGGCTCTTGCATATAAGGCCGAGCTCGAGCAGCTGGCGCCCAAGGTCACCTTCCTCATGTCTCTTTACCTCAACCCCGCATTGACTCCCGAGGAGATCAAAAAAGCTGCCAAGGCTGGTGTTCGCGGTATGCATCTTGGCGTTTTCGGTGGAATGCGTTTAATGTCCTGTCGGTGGCGATACAAACGAAGGACTACGTTTTGATGGATCTGGATCAATTGAGTGGACCCGGGACAACATACGTGTCCATATCGACTACACTTTGGCAGGTACGCATCAATTGGACTCACTTTTGTACACTCAATTGTACATATTTTTATATTAGGCGTCAAGTCGTATCCCCGCGGAGTTACAACCAACAGTGAATCGGGTATTGAGAGCTACGACATTTACTACCCCGTGTTCAAGGCTATGGAGGAAGAAGGCATGGTCCTTAATCTTCACGGTGAGATCCCCAGCGATGCTGATAAGGTAGGAGATGCCGTTGTTTGCATTCGTACTCGTCGTATATGTATGAACAGAGAGAGCATTAAATTATTACATTTTTATTTACAGACAGCATCTCTTCTTCAATACGGCGTTTAGAACGTGTGTGTGATGAATGCAGAGGAAAAGTTCTTGAGCCATCTGAAGGACATCCACTTGGCGTTCCCAAAGCTGAAGATCATTCTGGAGCACGCCACGACAGAGGCGGCGGTGAACATGGTTAAGTCCCTGGGCGAGACCGTTGGCTGCACGATTACGGTGCATCACCTGCAGCTGATTGTTGATGACTGGGCTGGCAAGTGCCACAACTTTTGTAAGCCCGTTGCCAAGTTCCCAAGTGACCGGGCTGCCCTCCGCAATGTGATCAAAGAAGGTACGCATGGCAGACGCCAGAAAGTGCAAGACAGCATATTACAGTACAGAAAAGCGCTGCGCCCAGGACTGTTCCTTCACATTCAACCTTGTACACAGTGCTCTCGCTCGAATCCTTTGTACACTTGTACACTTTTGCATACTGTTTTTCTGTATTTTACACACTCACATGTGCACTTTTTTTATTATTATTTTTGGGGGTGTCATACGCTACTATATTTTTATCTTTTACGGTCTGATCTTAATCCATGTCATAGTCTAACACGCGTGTTTCTTTTTCATTATGACCATTATTGATAACGCAGGACATCCTCGCTTCTTCCTCGGAACGGACTCGGCACCACATCCATCCCATAAGAAGGAAGGACCTGAGGCATGCGCGGGAGTGTTCACGACACCCTTGGTTCTGCCATACTTGGCGACGATCTTGGAGTCCATTGGTGGGCTGGACCGACTGAAGGATTTTGCATGCGACTTTGGACGCAAATTTTATGAGGTCAAGGACGAAAAGTGGGTTGGGCAGGTCAAGCTTGTACGTGAGTCGTGGGCGACGCCGATGAGCTATCGTTTTGGCGATGCGGGTGTGGATGGAGAGCAGGGCGAAGTTGTTCCGTTCATGGCGGGTAAGCAATTGGCGTGGAAGATTGCATCGATTGAGTGAACAGGAGGACTTGAGGGAATGAATAAATCAAGGGAGTATTTTGCAGACAGTGTGTGCGATATATGATGCAAGGGTAAAATGTATTGCATGCAGATGTTATCACGATGTACAGAGAGGACAACCTTGATTGCTGAAGATCACGCGCGGATGTTCGTAAATTGCGAAATAAAACCCTAAAATCAAACAAATCGGAAGGAACAGGAAAAGAAAGAAAAGACTAGGTGAAGAGTAAGAGAGAGTGAGAGAGAGTGGACGAGATTGAGGGTGAGAGTAGCCGTTGGGGTTGGGAGGCGGGAGCAGAGCAGCGAAGGATAGGATGGCTAAGGGAGGAGTGAAAATGGGCCGGAATGGTGTGCACATGTCGTGCTGGGATGGTTGCACAGAATCACAAGAAAAGCTGAAGAGGCAGTATTGCATTGGGTGGTCTGACCATTCGATAGATACACAGACAGTTGCTGCTATGCGACGCAGCAAGCATCTGGATTCCCCTGGACGATTGTTTGGATAGGATGCGGCCATCAGGTTTGCGGCCACGGGCAGGTCGGGTGTGGGTTACTGCGGTACTAGACTGTGGCATGATGCCATGCTGTACGCTGTATGCGACCTTGCAACGCTCTTTACTCTCCCGCTCTCTCACGAATCTGACTCAGTCGAGTAATGGATACACACAAGCCAATGAGCAGAAGGAAAAGAAGTCGTCCTACGTGGCCTCATTCGCCTGACTGCAGCCTCTCTCTTTCCTCTCTTCCCTATCTCTCACATACACACACAAGCACGCATACACATACTCACCATATCGCCATATCACCACACATATAGACTATATAGACAAAAGGGAAACAAAGAAACAAACAGCCTCCCTCTTTCTTATCCCCCTCCCCCCTCCCTCGCTCTCTCTTCTCCCTCTCTTCTCCCTCTCCCTGTTTTTTCTTTATTGCCTTCTTCTCCTCCTTCTTTCTTTCTCTCCCTTCCTTCCATTCCGCCACATTCAATCTCTGTTTCACACTGCTCATTCACCCTCACTCTCGCTTTCACATCCCCCATCACCCTCACTTTCGCCTCCATCCTCTTCTACATCCCCTTCAGTGAACCGCATATCGCTTATCCCATTGGTAGAATCACATTCACTTCCGCCGCATCCACACTCACAGTCATGTCCTCAGACGTCGCCGACTTCCTCTTCTCCTTCGCCTGCAACAAGCTCGAGACCTGCCCCCACCTCGACCTGCGCCAACAGCTCCTCCACTCCAACCTCATCCGCCACATCCTTCTCGCCCACCAAAGCAACTCCAACTTCAACTCCAGCAGCAGCGATAGCAGCAGCCATAGCAACATCCATGAATCGGATCCCTCTCCCTCCAATTCATCATCCTTGCCCTCTTCTTCTCCGTCAGAAGATTTGCCACACCTGCTGTCGTTGCCCCCTTTGCCACCATCCCCGCCTTTGCCACCAACTTCGCCCCCTTCCTCAGCACAGGTACCGCAGTCATTGTCTTTGTCACACCACCACCACCACCAGCTGCACTCCTCGCCATTTCTCTATCCTTCAGATTTCCATCCCCATCCCGACTTCCATCCTTTTCCCCTCCAATCCCTCGCTGCCCACTGCTCCGATCTCCTGCACTGGTGCCCCTTTTCGTTTGACGATGAGCGCGACCGGATAGACCTTCCAGATCAGGACGTGGTTATGGCTGAAGAAGACGGCTCCGACCCAGACATGGCTCATCTCGAGCTCTCGACCCCGTATCTGCAACACATCCATAATAACAACAGCAACAGCTACGACTGCACAGTTGGCTTCCATCCACATTATTCAGGCGCCCATTTGCCAGTCGCGGACTTCGATCTCGATTATGACTTTGAGTCGACCCAAGCTCAAGAAGATTGGCTCGACGCGGTTCTCGAGGATCTCATGGAGGAGGATGAGCAAGAGGAATCGGGGCCCGAATACAACTCTGAGGACGAGATCGATTCTTTTGCAGACAACTCAGACCTACACGACATCGAGACTTTGAAGAGAAAGGGTCAAGAGAAAGTTGCGGCCCTTGTAGCATATCAAATAAATTTCCAGCCTTCTCGGCCGCTCTACGCGTAGTGGCCGCTGAACGAAGAGCAAAAAATAAATAAAAAAGTGTTCATTGCCACACACATTTGGAAAGCTGCTCTTGAGCCATCTGTCTCGTTCAACTCCGCTTCGATTGTTTATTTATGATAAGGTTCAGCTTCGCTTTTCACAGATGTCCCAAAGCTGGGCCTGCCAGTCTACAATGGATCCTTGAGAAAGGGGACTGGTCGAGTGATCTTTTCCTAGAGAAAGTCGATGTGTACATGGGCGGAGAGCGAGCGAGAATATGTTCCAGTCCGTAATGAATTGCCATTTTGTTTTGCTTGAAGAAATGTCCTGCCGCAGCTTATCCTGGGTATTCAACACATTGACAATGCCAAACAAAACATAATGGTCGCGGGGCACATATGCAACAGCACACATGTGCAAGCGGTGTACACCATCCCACTTTTGATTCATGCTGAAGACCGTCATATTGTATCCTATCGGGTCAATCAAAAGAAATATGCCCCACGAAGCGCGAGTTGAACAAAGGGTGAGCTGAACGAAGAACATTCAGTGTGCAGCCACATTGCGCTATACCAAAAACGGGCAGCTCCCTCCCACCTCCAATCAAGATCCCAAAGATATATAAAAAAAAAAATCCTTCACGCTGAAACAACTGGTAATCGTCAAGTCCACCGCATCCGTCAGCCATTCTGGACACCAGCCAACTTTTTGGCGGAATGCTTAGCCCTTACTACCAGTGGATATACGACCTTTCAGTATACTCGTCGCTCAAGCTGATAATCAGATCTCCTTTCTTGTTCTGTCAAATCGACCCCCTTTCGCTCTCGAGGAGGCAGGAATCCACACGTCCCGTTGCAAATATATCAAAGTATAAAAAGGTCGCTAGGACCAAGAGTGATAATTGATATCATCGCATAAAAAAAAAAAAGGCAGCATTAGCTGGACACTTACCACTCGACCCTCGATTTCGGAACGTCGCTAAATATTTTGTCGAAAAATGGGGTGTATCCCGTTATGAACGAGTCCGCGTGCGTCTGCATATCATGCCATAGAGCGGATGTGATCAAAAGGCCGCGGTAGATCCGCTCTATTTCATCGCCGCGGTCCTGTGAACTCCACTTTTTTGAAATATAGACCGTCTCTTCTCGTCCAGTATGTTCGGGGACTCGTGAGCATTCTGAAGATTGCATACGATGGTATGGGAATCCAGCAAGTTATCTACCGAATGTATCTTTGCATGAGCTGCATCCAAAGACCGTAGCCATTAAACTGGCAATAGGGCGCACTCCTGGAGTCGTGCGGGTCAAAGTGGGAGATATGGTCCTGAAGACTTAAAGCAAAGTCCTCTTTTCATTTGATAGCGGACAGCTGTGTCAATGAACCGTAATGCCTTCATTTACAGGAACACCGTCAAATTCTGAAGAATTGCCTGGCCTCTGCAGGCGTTTTGGAGATGTTGTTTGAATTGATCATCCGTATGTTCTCTTCCTTGGATCCGAAAGCGCGAGAATTCTTCCTGCTTCTTTGCGGCTGGTGACGATGATGTCGACGATGACGGTGGCACACACTCCGTATCCGTGTGCGTGTTCGTATTCAAGCCCAGATCCGTGTCCGTGCTCCTGTACGTCTCTGCGTCCGTGTGCTTTCCTGTACGCAGACCCTCTATGTCCATTTCACTCATTATTCTATGAACAGAGTTGTAAACGATAATAGGATTCTTAAGGTAGATGAAGGCTACAGCATAAGTGCTCTGCGTGTCAATGACATTGCCTTTTGATGCGTACGTCGTCAGATATTACCTTTTACTGTAGCTTCATTACTTCCTGTGCATCTGCCTAGAATATTGAACGCCTGCGTGGCCTTTAACTGGGCTGATCAGGGCGCTCGCTTTGCTGTTGCATAGTCAGTATCGTCAGCAGCGCTGGCAGAACCCTCGATTGGTTTCCGCCCCTTCTAGTACTTTGGAAAAGGTGTCGTCCCTCTTGCTCTTTTTTGCACTTTAGACGTAGTCTCTGAGTAGCTGAAGCGAACTTTAGATAGTTGCTGTTCAAGAGGGCGTCCGGACCGTTCAATCATGCGCTTTCGGCTTTCCCCCAGGTGATATTACTGGCGTAGTCAAAGACCTTGAAATGATCCACGCTCTCTAGATCTCTGAACTCTGCAAAAAAACTGTCGACCAGTTTGAGCGAGTCCTGAATTATGAGTGTGGGGAAGCAAGACTTCGCATTTTGATTATTTGCGGCCTTGCAAATTTAGGGGTTTCCACTGTGCAGTTGAGGAGCGAAAGATATAGGCCCAATCATGCAAGCAAAGCACAGCTGAAGAGCGACCCTCCCTTCAAACAACGATGCCTTGGTCCGACTCCAAACACCAACTTCCCAGATCCTTTTCCTCAATAAGTAAAACTGTATTGTTTTTGCTTGTCATTCTGTGTTGCTGCATATACTTGACAGCCGTACTGCGGTGGATCTCGCGTGGGCGTTGGTGCGTTCAAACCTGATGAGAGGCAATCTCTTCCTTCTGACGATAATTGCAAGCGCACGGGAGAGGTTACTGGAGGCGCAGACGAAGGCCATGCTGCCAGAAGGGCTCTTTGGCGAAGAGCTTTATCTGACTCCCGCACTCAAGCGGGAGGTCGCTACTGAAGTAATATTTGCTTTTTTTTACTGCCTGGTTGTGTAAATGACAAACATTTATCTATCTATCTATCTATCTATTAAGCCGCAGCTCCATGCTATAGCTGAAAACTAGAGCCGATGTTTTGGAGCGGACGAAAATATAAAGGCATGCGCAGTGGAATTCTAGATGCAAGGACAAGAGACACTGGGCTATTCATATAGAGCTGTAATAAACAAAAACCGCTTGCTCACCGGGCAGCTGTTTTCCTATGATCAAGCTGGCTCAGAAACCAACGAGATAGCTGATACAGAGTGCAGACAGTTTTGACAGCAGAGATACAAAGGCTTGGCTGCTTCAAGATTGTGTCATGCATGGCACCACAATGAAAAGGAAAAACATTCCAGGACCTACAAACTTGTAAGTAGATACGTTGCTCGACATATCGCAAATTTCTTCCATCCCTGGCATGTAGCACTCAGCCACTTCGTCCCTTATATGCCGCCCTTTGGACCATTAAACGCATCGTTATTAGTTGATCCGTACAGTTGACGGATATCTCTATGATGTTTCAACCCATTGCGATGCTCCTTGTTATGAGCGCAACCTACTTCTCACTTGCTGTCTTTCCTTTTCTTTTCTTTTCTTTTCTTTCTTTTTTACTGCGAGGCATTACAACAGAAGAAATCGAGGGTGCTGTTACAGAGTTGAAGGATGGCACCAAGAGTACATATGGCCTGTCAATTGACAAGAAGAGCGCATGAGTCCGCGCGGCGTCAATGCGCAGCACAAGTAGACGTGACTCATGTCCACATTTTTATCATTTGACCCAAAGGCTTTTTACTCCCACGCCTCACTTTTGATGCTGTTTATAAAAGAGTTACTAGAGAACTTCTCGCGCATCCCAATCCTTCCCAGCCTCTCACACACTTCCTAAAAACCCCTTCTCAAAGACCATCAACAATGGCTTCCACCAACCAAAACTCTCTCGCTGTACAATTTCGCAACCTTCACGCGCCCGGCGACCCATTAATCCTCGGTAACGTCTACGACGCCGCCACAGCGTCCATCATCGCATCGCTCCCCTCCGCCAAAGCCGTTGCAACCGCCAGCTTTGCCATCGCAGCGACCGAAGGCGTGTATGACGACGATATGACGCGCGAACAGAACCTCGTTGCGATTAAAAAAATTGCAGCGGCCGTGGTGCCCAAGAACTTGCCGCTGACGGTGGATCTGCAGGATGGTTATGAGGATGTGAAGGATACGATTCGTCAAGTTGTCGCTATGGGTGTCGTTGGATGCAATCTTGAGGACGTCGACACCAAGACTCGGAAGCTGCGAACATTCGAGGATGCAGTACAGCGAGTGAAGCTTGCTGTAGAGGCAGCGAAGGAGGCTGGTGTGCCCGAATTTGCTATCAACGCGAGAACGGACGTACTGGTTTTCGGTGGGACGATTGAGGAGGCCATCGAGAGAGGAAAGGCATATCTGGCTGCAGGAGCAAATACCGTGTTCGTATGGGGAGGCCCCAGTGGTAGGGGTGTTTCCAGGGACGAGGTCAAGAGACTTGTCGATGCATTTGACGGACGACTGAATGTTATCCTGCGGTTTGGGGAGGGATACCTGACGGTTACAGAGTTGAGGGAAATTGGAGTCGCTAGGATCAGCGTGGGTCCAGGTCTTTATAGGATCGCCATGGCTGCTTACAAGGAGGCCGCAGAATCACTACTTGGAGCATAATTGAGCCTCGTGTCCCTTGCCCGCGTTAATAAACATACCCTTGAAGCATCTCCAATTGGGGAGGCGTCGGACCAAATTTGTGGGTAAGGGGGGAGCCCGCCGTTCGTCTTTCCTGCTCATTGACCAGAATTAGCTGCGTACAAAGCAAACAGTGTACGCTTTGCGTTCTTCGATCATGCTTGCTCTGTCGTCGTTATCATGCCCTTGTCCATGACTCCTAAACATTTGTCTCCAGGTTAAGCTTCTCAGGCAGTTCGACATTCTTTGCTGTTTCTTTGTCAGGCGACATGAATGAACAACGTGTATTGCCCTTCCGCTACTCAGTGGCAGGCGTAGCATTAGTTTTGCTTCTAGATGTGCGTTACAAATATGGTCGTGCCTATATCGGCTACGGTCTTTGCATTCTGTTTAAGGATCTGCCAGCTTTTTTTCATGCGTGGATTCTAACTCTGAGCTGTAGTACAATGGTGCCCCGCTGCTTCCTTACATATCCTAAATGCGTAGACTGCATACATACACCAAACATGCCACTTCTGCTTAAGCGATCTTGCTGATTACTCTAACCCGCGGCTTCATTTGTGATAATATGCTACATAATATGAGAGCCACGGGCACTAGCCATAGCATATCCAGTCCTCCGACATCCGAATAGGGATTACAGGACACTCCGCTGGATTTTTCAAGGATGAAAAGGTCGTTGTGAACAATTCAAGTCAGCTACGCGCTCCTGTATTTTGCCCTGTCGCCATAGTCCGTGTAAAAATTTACGTTAATGCCTACCCCAAAAGGGAAATATGCGCCAAGTAAAAAGAATTATTGCGGCAAGAACGCGTTCTGGCACTCGCTCCCCTTACACCCGTATCAACCCCATTCTCCCCCACTACTGAGTGGTTTTTAACCAATTTTTCAGCACGCCCTTTACTCGCTCCCATGCCTATTCCCTATTCCCTTTGTCGGTTTCCTCTCTTAGACTCGGTGCACAATTTTCTAGGGTCCCATCTGGTCTTCATGGTCCCTGCTGCTCTCTATGGCCTTGAGGTCGTCAGTCATCTCTCCTTTTCCTTTTTTTCTCCGCACTTTCCTTCTGCCTGCGCACTCTACTTCATCCATTCCGCCCCACTTCACTCTACTTAACTCCCCTACTCCATCTGCGCATGTCTACGAGCCTCCAATGCCGCAGGCAGGACCTAACAGACGCGTTATGCTCGGTCTCTCTGTTTGTCCGTTCGTCTATCTTTAAGCAGCCTACTTTCGAACTCTCGCACCCTATCTATCACGGACACCAGTAGTTCTTTTAGGCACTCTTTCCTAAAGGACGTCTCCTCTCACACATTCGGCTCCATTTATCTCTCACGTCTCATAAGCCTTGTCAGTTTATTGTTGATCCTTGTGGAGTCAATGGGAAATATATGTGAAGCCATGCCTATATAGCTGGAGAGTATGTATTAGATGAGATTATTAGGCTTAACGAGCGCCAGGAAAATGTACATAACCTGGATAGTACTGTGCTAAGAGGGGTAAAGGACTGGACATTGGAGAACATACCACAGCGAATAAAGCTATTTTATTAACTCCGACGTTGATTGCTATGCCGATTGCAGTAAGGAACCCCGTTGTACCGTTCTGATACCGAGCAAATGATTGCACATCGACTTCTTTTCTTGGTAAATCCTTGGCACTGAAAGCTGCGATTCCATGGGTCGTGTTGAAAACAGTAATATTTGGTATTTGGTTCGACCACCGCAATATTGGAGCAGATGACTTTACACGGTTCATTGTTTTTTGACACGTTGATTCCTTGACATCGGCGGCGAGGATCATGGCGCTTGCAGTAGTATCTTCCGTTTCCTGGGATATCCGTTTCGTCGAAGCATATCGAAGTGCACCGCGCGCCAGTTAACTCTTTTCCACGGCATACTTGGCGCCTTGGCTCTCTGGCTTCTTCCGTAGTATTATCAGTGAGCCAGCTGTCAGGAACGTAAGGTGGTCTGCCTTGTGAAGTGCGCCGGTTGTTGTTCCCAGAGATGTTGCACCTGTCGATGTCGTCAATCAGCTGCATCAAATCGTGCACTATTCCTAGTTCTTGCTTGGGAGGCGATGGAGTATGGGAGTTCCTAGCTCGGCCCCTTATATTATTCGTCCGTGGAGCCCTTGATTCGAAAGTATTGCCACTTCGATGGAGAGATCGGCTGTTGCTCATAGTGAAGGAGCGTGTAGATAAAAGGAAATTGTGGATGATTGAGGATGATTGAAAGGGCTTCGTCTTTCGAAACGATTGACAGCTTTTTATATTTCTTCCACTCTACTAACTTTTCTCGCATATTTCTTTCCTACAGCCATGTGCCCAGGAAATACTGGAAGTCATCCCCCTGTGTTTGTACTCGCTCGATAGGAGATCAAAGCGCGCATTTTTTTTTTTTTTTGGCTAGCCCAAGTTGCACAATGGCACGTCTTCGGATAACTTGGCACAGTTCTGTGCAAAAACAGCAGGACTTCATACCTTCTTTACTTGCTTGAGTAAGTGAGAGGAGACGAGGCTACCTCGCTCGCTTGCAACTCCTTACATGGTATATTTTATTCATGGATTTAATACTTCAGTAGTTACTCTTGCCTAGCAAGTGGGTGGTGACCCAAGGTCTCCTCCGAGGCGCTACCTGCATGAGGCGTTATTGTTTGTGCTCAGGGCAGTAGTGCGCGAAAATGTGCACAATTTGCGTGCGACTAGTTTTATAGGTGGATGCTCCAGGTTCATGCCGCTCGTACTCAGAAAAATTACTTCTATAAACTAGGGGTGTGAAAAAATAGCAGTTTTGGTTGCTGTACTTTGGTCGAGAGGCAAGAAAAGATGTCACTAACCACATTGCTCTTTCAGCTTGAAGAACACAACGTTGAGCGCGTCTATGGCGTTTTCAACCTCGCAAATTCCATTCGCGTCCAATATGTGGTGCTTTTTTGAACAAAGGATCATATCTCTGCACATGCCTTCTCCTTTAGAACAATGGACTGGTCTGCTGTCACTTTTTTAAGCGCTGTTGGTTCATAGGAAGTGCAAGTACCATACCGGCCTTAGGAAGAGGAGATGGTTCCGCGAGACTTACCGAGACAACATGGAGCTCGGCTTGGCTCGCGACTCCTGCATCCCGCCACCCACAATGTGACGACTAGCGATGTTGAAAGAGTAAGGCCACCTGGCAGAAGGGAAAACATTAACAGTCTCTTCATTTCAGCAAGAATGGTGCGGCCAAGTCGAAGGCCCTGTCCCAAAAGAAGCTGTACGGCGACCTCCTCGGGAAGGAAAAGAAGGTAGCGGAAATGGCATCTTTCGATCCGGAGCCAGTTATGGGGGTGATCGACATGCTCGACAACGAAATTGCAGGGAGCGATGGTATTTATGACACGCAGGATTCTCTCGAGGTCAGGGATAAAGAAAGGCCCAGGGAGAGGCGAATCAAGAGCAGCATTGAGCCGAAAAGGCCGAAAATGCAGCACAGTATCAAGGCTAACAATAGGACACAGAGGACGAACCCAAGGTATCTCAAGGAGAGTAGGGGTGCGCTATGAAAGAAGGCGGCATCGGATGGTAGAAAGAAATACAGCAATAATAATTTAAAGCAGAAAAAGACGTGTCAGATAAAAGGGTTTATGTTAAAGGCTACTTTCTGTAGAAAGTTAAAATAACTATGCTAGTCTGCGTTGTCGCATATTTCACCAGAGTTCACTGTATATTTAGTTTAACAAGTGTACCTCCAATTCATCTTTCGCAACCTAAATACAGTCGAAACTTAATTTCATATTGAATTGACCTCTCTGGGTGGACTATTCTAAAGAAAAAAAATATAGTCACTTATTCAGTCACATGTTGCGTAGCAAGCGTACTTCTTGTTCCCCATGGACACGTCTTTCATGTTGCATTCTATACATCTCAACGCCATGGCTACAAAAACTTCCCAAAAAAGACAATATGGGTCGCTCTCGACCCAAGCAACGACGCCAAGCAAAAAACAAAAACCAACTCTTGTACACCCTCCTGTCAAGAATCACAAATACACCAAGCGCGAACTTGAAGATACCGAACACGCTCGTCGACTGAAATACAGCTTGCTTTTGGATTGTGCCAGGCGCAAAGATATGGACACATACATTGCACAACCCCCTATAAAGTGGGCCGAGAAATAACGGCTTCTATATTAAATTATACATCGGTAAATAGAATATTTAAATCTTGCTGTAATCGTGGGTTCTGTACAGCGCTCTGTCCGCTGTTCTTCCTTTTGCTATCCAGCTTGGCGTCAGCTTCAGCGCAAATTTCAAGAGACGATGACGCTTCTTACGATCCCAAAGAGTCATATAGATAACCGCTACTCCCGCCATGAGCCCAAGGATGCTCAGGGCAATGATCCACCAGTAAAACTCTAGTCCCCAGCTAATAAAGGCCCACTTTTTAAACGCACACGTCCGGTCGAATCCTATAGTCTTGTTAGGGTTGAAATTGTAGGTTCCTTCGGCCATGTCATGAGCCAGGGCACAAACACCGCATCGAGCGCCACGTTCATCAGGTCCCCAGCCGTTGTTGTCCAGATCGTACGTTTCGAGTAGTCTGGGATTGAGAATAGATTCGATTGGTGTTGTCGAATTGATCCATTTGTAGTCGAGATATTTCAAGTACGCCATATTGTCTCGATCAAGCTCGTGGATATGGAGAGCGAGCTGTTCGGGTGTTGCAAATTCGTCGAGTCGGATCGAAGAGTGATTGGTAGCCAGGAATCGCGAATAATCCCTGGGTCCGTCAATTATGGGCACTGCCCCAACGGCGTAAGGCCTTTCTATTTTCTCGGAAACGTAGTCGTTGCAGTTGGTGTTTTCGATACTGAGATAAAACTTGTATGGCGCCACAACCTCGTAATCCGAATAAGGCCTGCCATCTTGAATGTTTGTATATACAAGGACAGACATTGTAGAAACGGGAGAGAAAGCAACGGTTAGAGTCGGCCGAGTCGTTATCCTATGCTTCTTTTTTTCCATATCTTTTCAAGGCCTGTTACCTTGATGGACCGGCCACTCCTTGTTCTTCATACAATGGCCATAGATATCGACCTTGATGTACTTCAGCAGCTGCTTTATATAAAAGTGACGTCCATTCTCTGAAGTGCAGCTGCTGACGATCCATGCAATCGGTGCTAGTCCGTCCTCTCGGAAAATATTCTTTTGGTCGACTGTATAGACTGGCTTTGCGAGGATATGTGATAGAAGCGACCCTTCTCCACGTCCTGAATTGAAATAGGACTGAACGAAATCGGCATATTCAAACGAGTAGGACCAAAGATGCGTGAAGATCTCAGTCCATTTCGATTTTATCTGAAAGTTCTTAGGGGCTTCAACTTTTATCCCGACCAATAAAAAAATCCAAGTAGGCTATCAGCTTTCGGCTGCATCATTACATTGGTCTAGCAGACTCTGAAAATAAAAATACGTACGAGTATTAAGTACCCAGGACTTCTTGCCAGTCTTCACATCTTCGATGCTTGGGACATCATGCGGGTCGAAGCTAGGGGCGTGGAAGACAATAACCTTCGCTTCGTCGTACTTGGATCGATTAAGTGTGAATCGACAGGTGTAGGGCAGTCCACAATAGTCAACGACTTTGTCTTCCTCTGTTGTTGTACGAAACCACTGTGTCCACCACAGGATAGGGTATTCTTTAGGTTGTTCGGCCATGTGAGTGAGAGTGTATATGTGAAGGGCAGAGTGACAGAACGTTGGGAAGTAGCTAACAGAAAAGAGCGAAAAGAGGGAAAAGAAAAGAAAAGAGGGAGGGAAAAGAGGGCGAAGGTTCGGGTGGTATGAAGGAAAGGAAGCGATCAAGACAGACTTCTGTGGGCTGTTGCATACTTGGGCCGAAGAAATGGCTAAAAACACCCCTTAAATAGATAGTGTACCTGGGAGATAAGATGAAGCGAGACAAGGACAGCAAAACAAATAGCTTATTAGTTTCAGTCTCATAGTGCTTGCCCTGAACGGATGATGAATGAATCGATTTTTTTTGTATTAACTCGTCAAGTTTATGCTGTGGGCCGTCTTGCATATCCTGCCCGGAATCACATCCCGACCCTACATCAAGAAGGAGGTAGTTCAGGCCAAAGACCAGAACAAGGTAGCACGCGAGGTACTGCACTGTGCGTATCCGAAACGGCGCAACAAGTTCCGATCCCGCATGCCTCTCAGGCTCGCATCTGTTATTAAACGAGGAAACGAATCTCATTACGTTCATTGCTTGCCAGTACTCAACCCTGTAATTCCGCCTGTATTCCTCCTGCGTAACATAGACATGTGCAGTTAAAGTCATTTAAGGTGGGACTATGAGGCGTTAACTCCTGATAGCACCGACCTTTCAGGTACCGACTACCATCCTTCCTCCTCCCCACTCAATCTCTTTGTATGCATTCCAGTCAACACGCCGGGCATATCGCCTGTTTTGACATTGTCTATAGACTCCGTAGACATCATGCACGGGTAGAGCTGTAGGGGAGGAGAAAGAGCTGCTGTGAGGGACCCCCAACCCCTTTCCTTCGAGCCGCCTCCTCGCCCTCCTCTTTCTTTTTCTTTTCCGGTCGTCGTGAGCGGGCAACAACTCATCTGTTGCCTGGATGTTATCTCATTGGTGTAGCGCTGTCGCCGTCTCTCCCCTTGATCCCCTCCATTCTTCAGCCTCTTTCCGGCATCCTTGACCTTTATCTACATCCAGTTACCTTGCGCTGCCAATTTTTTTCTTATATCAAGCACCCATTTTTCCCAGATCTTCACACATCCATATTCATCACCAACTTCTCGCATATTCACACCATGTACGCTGAGCCACCATTACCCAGACCAGTTTCACCTCCTGATGCCGCCTCTGCAGCGGCTAGCTAAAAAAACATCGCCCTCGATTGGGGAGCTGGACGGTTTTAAGTTTTAACCCAAGTAATTCCGCTCAACGAACATTGCCGATGGCGAATAAAACTATCTCGAGTGGCAGGTCGACCATTGCACAAGCCAAGGCGGCATTGTTTAAAAAGGCAGCACAAGCATCCATGTCCGCGACCTCGGTGATTGCCTCCAAGTGTTTGTCTATTAGCAGCATCAGCAGCGTGAACAGCTTCAGGAGAATCTCGCCCGCAACGCTTGTCAGCATGAACCCATTCCGCAGATCGTCCGGCAGTATCAGTAGTCTCAAAGATAACTTTATGGGAGTACTGGCATCTTCGTCTCCCACAAGCATTGTCAGCAACAGCTCCTTTAGGCGATCGCCTACCAGTAACGTAAGCAACTTTAAAGATCCCATCAATACATTTCAGTCGTCGTTCACCACGACAACTTTCACGCCCTCACCGTTCAGTAAATCGTCTGTCAGCAATAGCAGTGTAAAGGATTGCTTTGAGGCTGCCAGGATCACGTCTCTACGAAAAGACGCCGCCTCAAACTCTGCCTCTGGGTCCGAGCCCTCTTCTCCTCTGGCTCCAGTTGAAGCGACTCCAATCCAAACCGAAGTAACAGTCGATGGTAAAGTCGATTCAGACAAGGCAGACATTGAAGAACAGACCTTGAGCGTGAATAGCGTTGCGGCGATGGAAAGCACTGATACCAAGGCTAGCCATGCGAGGTTCGTCAAGGAAAAGTCAATGTAGATGCCGCTGCTATGATCGGAGATATCGCCGCGTCCTCCGAGGAAGCCTCTACGCAGGTTAAGGACCATGATTCTTCGGTCGGTGACGGCGCTGACCCGGCTGAGAAGGGTTCTGCTTCGGTTGACGACGTCTTTCGAGTTGAAAGAGCCACTTTTGAGGCCGAAAAAGTCTCTGATCCAATTCGTAACGCTACTCTTCCAATTGAAAATGTTCTTGTTCTTGCCGAGGAGGTTGTTGCTACAACGGTCGAGAAAGCTGCTGCTATTGCTTGTTGCTGCTCCACTGGGTGGAGTCTCTGTCCTAGTCAAGGATGCTGCTGTTCCAATAGAAGATATCCCTGTCCCTGTCGAAATGATCGCTACTGCTACTGAGAGCGCCGGTGCTCTATGGGATGAGACTGCTGCAATTATGGAGGATGCTTCCGCTTCGATTGCGATCAATGCCAATTCGGTTAATGAGATCGCCACTAATGATGGTGGGCCCCTTGTAGCGGCTGTAGCAGCAGCAGAGGTGTCTGCTCTTGTCGAGGATAATGATGTCCCAATTGATGTCACTGCTGCTCTAATTGAGAATACCGTTGTCCCAGCTGAGAGATCAGTTGTTTCAGTCCAGGATGCTGTTGCTCTAAATGAGGACGGTGCGCCATCCGATAATATCTCCGATTTCGAAGCGGACATTATAGCCCCAGCTGAGGACGCTACTGCATCAGCTGAAGACAATGGCGTCCAGCTGGAGAGTATTGTTGCACCAGTTGAAGATGTTGCTGTTCCAATCGAGGATGAGCAGCCTGGCAAAGATTAAAAGCCAAAGTTGTAAGTGATCGAAGCGATAATTGAGGTAGACGTCCTGAGCCTTGATATCGAGAGCGCAGGACGGAGCTCCGCACAGAAAGTCGATCCCAGTCGTCTTCCCAAATGCGTAAGTGCGGCTGCCTGTCAATGAAAGGGTTATCGTCAATGGCCATATCAATCCCAAGTAGATATTTTTAATAGGAGCGTACGTTTCTCAACCACCTAGTTCCGCTGGGCCCATGGAGATGAAGTTGTGAAGGTCACTGGTACATTTGCGACTGGAAAGGTATGAGCTTTCCGATCAAGACTGGATACTGCGTTTTGACAATACAAATTGACGCTGATACTGGCAACATCTGATCTTGCTCACGCCTTTAGAAACACTCTTGTTGAATAAGAATGGGGTGAATTTATTGGGACGGTCGAATTGGATAGGACACAGACCATTGTGAGCAGCTCAAAGTTCTTTTCGATATTTGTTTGAGGTGAAGGCTATGCTGCACTCTTGATTAACACGTTCTCTTTTGTTCGCACTTCAAGTTCATCGTTGATGGCGCGTGGAGGTGCTCGCCAAACTATTCAACCAAGCACGATCAAAACGTCAACATAAACAATATCCTCCCGCCTGCGACTCTGCACCAGGTCTGAGGAGAACAGTGCTCTCTGCTGTTCTTGAAGGATAACCGAGACCAGGGCATTAAGCTTTGCTTCAGAGGCGCTGTTTGTTTGCGCGCGATAGTACAAGCGTGTTGCTCGCCAGTAATAAAACCCATTGTTTGCATCAACTCGCACACCACAACCATTTCAGGAGTCTTCCTCATCGCAGCACCACAGATTCGATCCTATACTCTCCTCGATCAAGAAACTGACAGCAAACACAGCTCAGACACGCCTAGAGTAGCTTCGTACCAGCAAACTGCTAGTTCTCAACTCTGCATCGGCTTGTTCTTTTTCATCAGATCGCTCTTAACAGGGGATGACCTGCGGCTAGTTTTATCCAATGCTGACGCATCAACCTTCTTCCGTTTTTAACTTCTTTGCTTATAAGATATCTTTTCTTGAATTTCACATTAATCTGTACTTCGGCGGAATCCAGAACCAACTCTGGTATCCATAGATAATTCCACAATGTTCAGGACAAACCAAATTCCGCCCAGGCGCCTGCCCAGCCAGTCTAACGTCCACCAAAAAGTCAACGAAAAACAGAAAGCAGAAACCGAAAGCTGTATTCAACCCATCGTCTAGACGTGCTAGGGCCATTTCATCTGAGGCCGCTGGCACGGGTACACCCAAGTCCAGGAATCGAGCAGCCATCATGGACACGGCCCTCAATGCCATTTTTGGGACAGCTGTGTTGAACTGCGGCACCTTCCAACACAGCTAAGGGTCGGTTCATGAATGCTGACGAGGCAGAGCGGAACCGGTTCCACAAACACGTCGTTCACACAATTCAAGAGATGGTACGTGCAGCGACAGACGCGGTCAGATGTGATCAACAGATAATTGCGGCGTACATCGACGCTGTCACAGCTACCCGCCCTGGTCTGATGCGAGCAGACATCGATTACAGGGGAGAACAACTTGCCCAGCCAAGAGGCTTCCGCCACAATACCTTTTTCCAAAACATCCTCAGTGACATCATGACCATCCACGGCCAAGGGGACACAGCAGAGGAAAGACCACGAGCGGATGCCATGGCCAATGCCTGCGAGAGGGAAATAACAAGGAACTACAGGCACATTCTTTCCAACGCACATCAGACCATTCCAACGAGCAGCAGTATCCGGTCGGGCATGCCGAATTCTATGGGTCAGGTTGCCCTGATTCTTGCGGACCAGCTGCAGACGCATTTCCTGCGCAACACCGCCAAGCTGGTAGGGGAGGTGTGACGAAGTAACCCAGAGTGGATGAACGGTGGAGGTGCACGCATTATCCGGTCTATCGATTTGGAGAAAAGGACGTCGAGCGAGCACGATCAGATCAGCGCTTTTTGATCGAGAGGCACATTGTGTCGGTGCTGGAAGTGCAGCGACAACTCCGTTCCTTCTATTCATCAGCGTTATTCAAGATAAAGAAGTAGCACTCCAAGCAGGCGAAAGGAGCGACCTCGACAAGGGCATCCCACGGGCAATGAGTGCCGCTGGATGCAGCGGGAAGTGACAGCCAGGAATGACAAGACCGGTGTTTGTGGTGGGGGATGCAGAGTTTGGAAACAAGTAGGGCCCCGTTTTGCACCAGCAATTCATAACAGCCTTGAAAAAGAAGATAATACACTACACAAAATTGATGATAGTGGTTTGCACTACTACGGCACGCAGCAGCAACAACAGCAGCAGCAGCAACAACAACAACAAGAACAACAACAACAACATTGAGCGCCGTGTGGGGCGGCAGTGTGGACATAGTGGAGTATGAAAAAGAGCTGTATCACTATCTCTTGTTACAGAAAATTGAGGGTCGATAGACTAAATGATAGGTTCTTAAAGTGTAACAATCAAAGTTGACTCCTACGCAGCGTTTTTCTGACGCAGGTATATCGAGCTGAAGTGGTGGAGACCATGCTTTGATAGTGCAGTCATTATGAAGCAGCCCAAGCCAAGTGGTGTCCGGTGGCACTAAAGCTTTGTACGTAATAAAGCCATGGATTGCTCTAATATCCTGAGACGCAAGGAGGATCATGATGATCCATATCTGATAACGACGAGCAGCATGGAGCTAACCGCGTCCTCTTCACACTGCTGTGTTCCCCCCTCCCTCATGCCTTGGCTGCACATGTCTGTGCTGTGCGCCTCGCTTAATTTTGATTGCATGTTCCAATGGTTTCTGCCTCCATCTGATAAGCAACGTGCCGTAATAAGCTAGCACCAGCTCGTAGCCGCAGACCCCAGGCGGGCATTGGGGTGGATGTGTTGTATGTCTGTGTCTTTTTTGTTGACTGCTGTGGGCTCATGCAGCCGCCTTCTCATTTGTCTTGCAGCTGCAGCCACAGCTATCCCTCTCCTGGCCTGCCTCTCTTCTCTCCCTTCTCTTTCTCTCTCTCTGTCTCTCTCTCTCCTCCCGCTTAAAAAACGCCACCAGGAAAGAGCAGGATCAACCGTCTCCCGCTCGAATCTCACTTTCAACCCACACCAGCATCGCCTGCACATCCCTCTTCTTCCTCAGTTCCATCTTTGCAACTCTCGTAGCGAATGATCCTCGCCAACGCTTCATGGCCCTGAACATGGTACACGATCAAACCTCCCCCTTCCACCCACCAGATCAGCTGCATACCTCAGCCCCCTACTGCAAAACTTGCTAATGTGCCCTTTTTCTTCGTCTTTCCTCCTCAGAGCGACAGCTACAGTTCCTCAAAAGACTTGGAGCCCTTTTCCCACTTTTCATATCAGGCATCCTCTCAATTGGACGTAAGTTACTTACCTCTTGACATTGCTTCAGTATTACAGTCCCTGCTATGCTGTGCAACCTGTACTAACAATCGCCCGCCTTCCCCTGCTATAGTTCACATTCTACTCGCCCCCGCACGATGATGGATCAAAGGATAGCCCTGTAAGGATAATGACAGGCTATACAAATCTTGTTCAGTGGATGCAGGGATGCGACATTTGCTCACGCCTTTTTAATGTGCAGTATAACCAATCGTCTTCCCAACTTTTTGGTGCAGGTCGCAGCAACATTCAATGTACCAATGCCTGAGCACCTGCCTTCTCTGGGGCTCACAGGGGATGCGAACCTGGATGACCTGTTGAATCTGGAAGAATCAGCAACCCCGAGAAAAAGAGATCGTGGAGAGCGAATTGTATGGACGCCAGAAGAGGATGAATATCTCCGTACAGCGGTCCAGTTGTATGGCGACAAGACCGAAAAGTGGGCCAAGATTGCAGCTTGTGTGCCAGGAAGAACCAACAAGAACTGCAGAAAGCGTTGGTTCCACTCACTCGACCCAAAGCTCAAGAAAGGCCCATGGACTGAAGAGGAGGATCATCTGCTCAAGACGGGTGTGCAGATGTTCAAAGGACAGTGGAGTAAGATCGCGGAACGTATACCAGGACGAACGGATGATCAATGCGCAAAGCGGTGGCGGGAAGGACTGGACCCATTGATCGACAGAGCAGCATGGACCCCAGAGGACGACCTCTTATTGCTTCAAAGGTTCGAGGAGTTTGGTAGTCAGTGGCAAAAGATCGCCTTGGCCTTTCCCGGAAGACCTGGACTGCATTGCCGGAACCGGTGGAGAAAACTGCAAAGGAGTTTGAATCACATGAAGCGGACCAGCAAGAGACGGAGTCAGGGGAGCGGAAGCGATCATGCAGCTATCATGTCGGAAACGCGGCGACTAGAGGCTCTTCTGGACTCTCATAACGACGACATGGACATGGACATGCTTAACTTCAATTCGGCGGAGGATGTGTTGTTGCTGCAGGACGCCTATTTGGATGATGATTTTGCGCTGGAACACGGGATTATGCTGGAAGAGGATGGCTCGATAACTATTGCCAAGGACACCAAGGCCGAAGCGGAGCAGAATGAGTCCGAGGACGACAAACCGTATGGCTGTGCGGTGCTCGACTGCTCCTTTGTGAGCTCCTCTCCATCGCTCCTATTCTACCATTTCAAAGCGTCGCATGCTGGAGTGACGGTCGAGAAGCCCTTTCGATGCACGATGCCCGGATGCGAAACACGAAAGCGATACAAGAACATCAACGGACTCCAGTATCATGTTACTCACGCCAAAAACTCGCCAGGACATTCGACGCATGGACACTCGCCATCTGTAGAAGATGGAGCAGATCCCTCAAGGGCAGCCCGCGCGGGCAGCCAGACCATACCCGTCATCCATGGCAGTCACGATACCCCGCGAACCAGGACCTCATCGCCACGCAACGACTTGCGCATAACGATGTCCGGCGCCACATTCGACCCCTCCAAAATCACTCTTTCGAATGCTCCTACACCAGCAGAAATACAACTTCAGCTACATCAATCTCGACAGGACCTTTCGCAACCACCAAGTGCACCTCATCTTTCTCACAGCGCCTTCAACATACCGCACAACGTATCGTCACTCGAAGGATCTGTAGTGTCCTCACGGGCATCCTCTGGAGCGTCCTCTCCGCAGATCCAACGTACCGTCTTCCACTGTCCGGAGCTTGGATGCAGTCAGAGCTATCATCAAATCCATGAACTCAATATACACATGACGAACAGCCATATTCGCCATTCTATGTCTGTCGGGGGCAGCGACACCATGTATGGGCCCGATACGGCGATTGTTTCTCGGGACAACCACCGCGCTGAGTTCGACATCGATATGACGGACCTGACTTCGGGAGCCGCATCGCCCATGGACAGCAGCCTTTTGTTGCTGGAGGAGCCGCTCCTTCGCAACCAATTAGACGCAGGTAATCGTATGAGTCTTGATCTGGGTCCCCTCCCGGGCACGCCGTTGGACAGTAACACTTGCGGCAGCAGCAATGTTAATGCCAGTGATGGTCTGAACGAGTTCGAAGCGCTTAGTGGCAAGGATTGCTTCTTTGCAACTCCTGTTGCCAATTCTCTGCAGAGTCCAATCCCCTTTACCAGCCATATCAACGTGAGCACCCATGAGCCTTTGTCCATTCAAACGACATCAGCATCAGCACCAGTACCAACGCCAGCATTGGCGGCGGCTATTGTTATAACGACGACAGCATCTGGTAGTGCCAATCCGATAGCAAGCTTTACCGTTGCCAATCTTGTACCCACGGCGCTACCGACCGTCCAATCACAGAAGTCGAGCAGGGGGCAAACCAGTCGATCTGGAGTAGCCAAGAGGTTCGCATGCTCTGCAGCAAACTGCAACAAATCCTATGCAGGTGCCACCACACTGAACAACCACATCCGGAATGACCATCCGGAGCTGTATGCCAGCACGAGCGGCACTGGTTCGACGGCATCGGGTCAGCGCACAATGGTATCTATGGATATCCCGAATTCACCTGAGCCTTCAAAGGACGACGGCAGTGATGTGGCGGATGACATGCCGTACAAGTGCCTTGTCCCAGGATGCGGCAAGGGCTACAAAAATATCAACGGCCTCAAGAACCACTTACTACAGACTCATGGATCGACCCCAAAAACGAGCACGGCCGCATGACACTTTCCCTCTTTTTTTTAGCTCCTTCGATTGACAAATTAATTATTACCACTTTAGAAAGGCTGCTATGCCTGTATATACATGTTTAGAAAAATGTAGCGTTCTTTCTGCTTTCAAGCGTCATTGACTATGGTGTTCTCAAGTCCTCAGAGCAAATTATATGGGTATTAGTGCCCGAAGGCACCCATTTTATTTTCATCCGCGCTATTTGGGATGGTGTATGATGGTGATTAAACGGAAATCTATCGTTTGACGGCATTCGATGACATGGCTTTCCTGATCTCATTTCTCCGCACTGAAAAACAAAAAACGGCCTAATGTCCGCTGCCAGCGGGCGTGCCCTTGGAGGACGATGAAGATGTGGAAGCGTGGGATGTGGAGGTGCTACGACTGGCCTCGCCCTTTTGATGTCCATTGCTACTTCTGTTAGCGGCACTTCCGTTTCCCTTTCCATGTCCGTGGACACCATCCTCCTCGACAGTGATGCCCAAGGGACTGCTAGGCTCGCTGTCATCTCCGCCACGCATGGTGAGTGTTCCGGCCGAGGAGACACGCTTGGCCTGTTGAGGGTTGTGGGTGACCCAGATGCAATTGAGTTGCCGGAGTGTCTTTTCAACTTTGTTACAGCTCTCCTCGTCCAGCGCCGATGTTGGTTCTAGGAAGAAAATGTCAAAGTTGGGTCCGAGAGCATGAGATGGAGATTGTTTAGTGGAATCAGTGAAATGGTTTTATCGAATCATGCCTGAGAATTCGAGATCTTTTTCGTACCATCGAGAAGCAAGATCTCTGGGCGGAAGGAGCATGCGATTGCCAGAGAGATGCGCTGCATCTCTCCACCTGAGAGGCTGTTCCATTTGCTGTGCCAAAGTTCCGGGCGAACTCCCCAGCTGTAGTTGAGACAAGTCGAGCGGAAGGAAGAATATTAGAACAAGCGAGCAAGAAGATGTTCAATGACCTCCATTTTTTGATTGAAGACCTTACTCGAGTCCGATCTGAACAGGATCGTCATAGTTATCGTTTTTCTTGTGGGTCTTGAACTTTCTGACCTCCTCCAAAAAGTCAAGAGGCGTTCCCTCCATGACGGCGGTGCGCTGAGGGATATACATGACCTTTGTTCTCCAGTTAGCGATCCCCCACTGATCTGGAGTCCTATCGTTTGTCAGAGAGGATTACAATTGCAGCGAGTCAGCAAAAAAAAAGAGAAAAAAAAAAAGCACGCCGGAGGTAGATGACCATATATGGCAGGTGGAGGTCATTATGCGCATCGAGCTTTTTTCATACTTGTCTTGGAGATAAACTTGGCCCTCGTCCATGGAGAGGAGCTGATTGATGCACTTGAGGAGAGTTGATTTACTACAGAGACATTCCAACATGACAGACGATCAGCTGTTGGCATTGCTCATTCGGACTCTTTTGCGTGCATGGCACACGAGGAGTTGTGATGGAGAGCGACTTACCCGACACCAGAGGGCCCAGTGACGGTTAGGACGCCTTGCTTGACCTCGATATCGATGTTGCGGAAGAGCCAGGACCCATCCTCTTTCTTTTTGCCTAGGCCCTTGGCGCTGAAGAGGACTTGAGAGGACATTGTAGAGTTGTTTTTATGGGGTGATGGTGATGGGACCGACGGAGGGAGTTTGTGTTTGAGCGTGTAGATAGATGGTGGTGGTATGAGGAGTGGAATATAAAAAAAAAAAGAAAGCGTTCAAAATGATGACACGACCGCCAAAGTTAGTCGTTCAACTTAATTGAGGGGTGGATCTCTGTGCTTCCTAAAAAAAAATTCGTAGACTACCGCAAGCGACCGGCTGAGTTTCGCAAGTACCCCATTTCCATCGTCACCATTCCTTCTACTGTCGCACAACCGCTCTATCTCACCATCTCCCGTAACAGCAACACCATATCATCACAATCCCAATATCTCAATTGACTATATTCACTATTCACTTCCTTTGAAACGCTTTATATAGCTTGACTACCGCTACATGGCAAAGTATCCGTCCCTCCTCGAGGATGCATTGGCTATCTCAGCAGGCGTTGGCAGCGTCAACACAATGTCTGGCATATATTGTTTGTTTATCTCCTGTTCCTTTGTTGGTGGGCGCTGCTGAGGTACAAACGTTGCCGGGGATGCCGTCGCGTCCCTTTGACTGCTGCTATCACCACCGATCCCGCCACCTCTTGCGGGCGTCGTGGACGACACTAGCTGCTGTTGTTGTAACCGCGACGGGGGATTCCCCAGATCTGAAGTTCCTGTATCGTTTAGGTTTGGTAGCTGTACTTGCTGTATGGTACTATTCTTTTGTATTCGAGAATACTGCCGTGCTGAAGATTGTTGACTGAAAGATGTGGGAGTAACCGTAGCAGTTCTGGGAATACCACCAACAATTCCGTAGCAACCACTGATGCCTCCAATCGAGGACAAGATTTGACCCGTCGCTGTCAGTGGCATTGGTGGATGTCTCTCGCCCGGTGGAAGGAATACTACGCCTTCTGCAGCCCGCAGTGCTGGGTCGTACTGGGACGGAACATGATGATGATGATGCTGCTGCTGTTGCATTGGATATTCGTTAGTGGATGGTTCTGGCGGTTGGTATTGAGCCCTGCCTGTTTTGACGATAGAATTTGAGTTGAAGGTGGTGGCGACATCATCAGAAGCCATACTCGATAGTAGCGCGTTACTTGCAGTCGAGGCAGACGAGAGTGCTGACTTACGAAAGGGATCGTGCGGAGGTGCTGGTTTGTTGGTTGTGCGTATAGGGAACTGCTGTTGGCCAAATCTTTGTTGTCGTTGATGCTGCCGGTCTGGCGTTTGCTGCCTTTGCGAATTCTGATCTAATGGATGTGGGGCAGACTTCACGATGCCATCCTCCGTCGACAGCTCTGCCTTATCCCCAGGAGTAGGATCTGGGGTCTTATCCGTAGGGTCGTCGACATTAAGGTACTGAAGTGGTGACCCTGGTTCCGAACTGATGGCACTCTGCCGGCAAGCTGGAGGAGGTGATAGTGTAAACGTACCATGATGAGTGAATGCCAAATGCCCTTCTCGTTCAGAGACCATTATTGGTGGCAGAGCTTTGTCCAACTGCATTTGACCATCTGATAGCGCATCCGGGTAAGGACTATGACCCTGCTCATTTGATGGACAGGTTTGATTTGCAGGCACCCGTGGTTGCTGGTCTGAGGTCTCCAGATTAGCGGTAGATTCACAGCGTTTGCTCTGAGGCTGGTGGTGTGGGAACATCGGGTCGGGGTCTCCAGAACGCTGATGCGGTGTCTGCATGGGCCCGAGTGGATAATTGGCCGATTTTCGAGGCGAAAGTGGTGGTGAGAACATGGTCTTTAAGTCTCCAGCGTCTGCACTCGCACCTGTACCGACACCGGCACCGATCCCAGAAGCATTCGTGCTGTCAGCGTTGATGGCTGAAAATGCTCTTATCTGCTTTGGGCTGCCGACAGCCATGTGCGCATGGACTGTGAGGGCGTTGGAATGGTGCATGGGGATCATCCTAGTCAGATTCTGCTCCTGCTGTAGCTGCTGTTCAAAAATGCGCTGAGCCTCCAATTGAACGCGAAAGTGCTTCTGTTCCTTCCATTGGTCCAACTTCTTGTAGTTAAGAATCAGACCGTCGAGCGGAGGGATCAACTTGACGTACGAGAGCATAAAGAAGGCAAGTCCCATGCATACGACAATGATACCTCCGTAAAGATTGAAGGGGATACGGGAGGCGACCAGGCAGCCAAAGCTAGTGAGAGATGATCACATTAATCGGCGGGACTGGATTAAAGGAGCTCTTTGTCGATCTTGTAGTTACCAGGCTAGCCACTTACAATAAATAGGTCATTCCTCTTCCGCGATACGTGCACTATCAATGAGCATCAGCAAACAGCTTTGGTTGTTAGCGACCAGGCGTATTACCGGTATTTTGTAGTACACATAGCCGGGTTGCTTTACCAAGAATCGAAAGTACTCGTATGTCAGTTGAGGCAGACGAATTTCGGACACGACTAAAAGACATGCAAATGATCTATCCGTAAAGAAATGTAAGCGGAGGGTTATGGAAGGTGGTTTCTTCGCAGGCACTAACGGCATCCATGGCGAAAACAGCGTCTCTTACGCAGCAAAGGCATTGAGGATGATGAAGTTGACAGAGGCTTCCACAATGTTGAGGCATGCTGCCACAAAGATAATCAAATATAGCGCAATGTTGAGGGCATTGATGAAGAGGGATAGGATGATCCCTCGTCGACCAAGACGCGGCATATTCGCAGAGGGCCAAGCGATCGATGGCGCTCTATAGCAGATACTGTCTCTGGATACAGAGACAATGGGAAGCGGGGCAGAGGTCCAGTCAGTCGTGCAGGGAAATGGGAAGTTATGCGCAGCTCAGGGAGATGAACTTTTTGCGGCGTAGCGATAGTGTTTGATAGTGCGATACCAAGCGCGCCGTTGAGGGAAGGGAGTAAAAGAGATCAGGTCCGGCATCGGGTTGGTGCATTCGTCTTAGATCAGTGGGGGAGAGAGAGATTCCAGGATGATGGTGATGGCTCCCTCCCCTCTGTTTGGGCGATGCGATTTCGAGTTGGAATCCGAATCTCATTTGCGCGACGGAGTGAGTGAGGGAATGAATGGAGAGGATTGTTCATTTCCAAATGAGAGCTGTTCTGATTCCAGCCTGGCACCAGGACCATATGAGTATGGGGCAGAAACGATGGGCTCTTTCTTTCAAAGGAGCGCATAGAGTAAGCTCGGGAGTGGAATGGAGTTGCTTAGGTGCGCCGGGGTCCCAGATGAGTGTGTACTGGATCCCATCCATTTTTGCTGCGCCCAAATGGCATCACACACATCATACACATGCCAATCCTATTCAACACTACACAGCAGCCGCCAATGCAAGACCATTCTACCCCAGGATAATGTTTTTTTTTTTTTATAACCCTGGTAGACTATCGACCAGCTACTCTTGAGTGCAGTATAGAAGGGATGAGTAGCAGTAGGGTGACAATTGTCATGCATCTTCTTGTACTGATCGATCAGGGGATGATGTTGCCGCAGTCTTGGCGGTTAAGTACTATGATCATCATTGTCGTCATCATCATCAAACGTCGCCAGGAAGAAAACCGCCTATGAGACTTAGCACTCAAAGCTTCAACGCAGACTGCTTCAGTCGTTGATATTTATCGGGGCATTGATAGACTATGCGGATGTGTCATGTCATGCCGATCTCCCAGGCTCAGGGAACTCTCTGCATAGATGTATGGCTCACTCTCTTTGCCCCCTTCAAAAAAAAAGGGACCCAAGAGTCAGACGCATGACCTCTTTGCTCCCTAGACAGAGGTGAAGAAGCAAAGAAGTAAAGAAGAAATGAAGTAATGGAAAGGAAGTAAAGTAAAGTAATAAGCATGACTGCTCAGAAAGCACGAGGACGCGCACGCTAGAGCGGTACCATGGAAAAATAGAGAAAAAAGTGCGACCGAGAGAGAGGGGAGGGTGTGTGAATCTGGCCCACCTCCTCGGGAGTCAACATCGGCTTCACGGAGGTGCATTTGTGCGCATGCCGCTGGTGCCTCGTCTGGGTGGGTATGCGAGGATTGCAATATACTCACACCAATCCCCGTTGAGGATGGCCGGCTGACAGTGGGGTGCTGTTTGCACCTTCTTTTTCTCGCCCCACCCAAACTACACATTTCTACTGCCCGCACATTCCTATCAGGACGAGCGTGTGAGGGAATAATGGGGCGAATTTGGCCAGAACGACCAGAAGAGGGATTATTTCTTTCGTGAAGAAATATGCCTCATGGCTCACGGCGATACCGTTGCAGCCGTATGCTGGCATTGGCCCCGCATGTCCTTGGTGAATGCACCAGTAGCCAGCTCTTTTTTCGTTTGTCTGCCAGCATGTGGCATGGAATGTTGGGTGTTGCTGTTATAGACCATACAAATGCGTGCGAATGAACATGTGTGCTGCGGGCGAGGAGCTATTAAAAGATTCCGGGGACTCGACGCCGACTCCAGGTGCTTTCTCTTCTTTTCCCTCCTTTAACAGCTATAAACCCTCTCTCTCGCCTTTACACCTGTCCGAGCTCGACTTTTCTCATTGCCATCCCTCATCCTTCTGCGCATCAGCATCTCATCAATCTGCAATCATTCACACATTTGACACACAGCCTTTTTTATACTGAATACTCTTCCCTGCTTCTGGTAGTACAAAAGAACACTGTTCCTGTAGCACACACCACAAGTCACATCCAACTACGCCCTTCGCCCAACCCAAAAAACCCTCCGCATACACAAAAAAAAAACAACCAAAAAACCAGAACCAGGAATCGCAAGCATTATCAACATGGCCCCCGCCAAGAAACACGTCGTCATCATCGGAGCCGGTGTCTCCGGTCTCGCCGCAGGTAAGGCAGTAACCTGTCTCTGTCACGGGCATCCGCTTCTCCGCTTCTCCGGCAGTGGAAACACACCAATTCCCTGTGGTGCAAGAAAGGAAGGGAAACACTGACAGCAGTAGGAAAACCTTTGTTGCTTTCCAATGCAAACGCTGCGATAGAACCGACGTTTCCCTTTCATTCAAACCATTTCGCTCTCTTTATGCCTCTGCATATAACTATATATCCCGCGCGAAAACATATGATCGTCTCGCTTCAAATATCACTTGTTCATGCCAGCTCACGAGCTGTCCAAACATCCCTCCTCGATTCAGGTGACCGTTCTTGAGGCTAGAAATCGCATCGGAGGAAGGCTTGATACGCAGCGCAATCTCTTCTCTGGCAAGCTCGGGGACATCCCCATCGACTTTGGGGCTTCCTGGATTCATGGTGTCGATCCTTCCAATCCGCTCGTGAGCCTTGCCAAGGTCGCTGGTGCGCGCCTCGAGGCCACCAACAGCGATGTGATCTATCCCTGCCCTGGCGAGAATGCATTGGAGCAAGAGGAGAGCAACCATTACTGGGCTGTCCTCTGGGATATCTTTGGCAGGGCGCAGGAGCACTCGCGAATGAATCGGGATCAAATTGAGACCGAAATTTCATTCAAGGAATGGCTGGACGAGTTCCTTGCAACAAGACAGTCGGACGACCCACAGGCACCAAAATACATGTCCAAAGCGGAACTCAAGGTTGTGCCATTGTTGGCACAATTCTGGGCGGACGAGAACGCCATTCCCCTGGACAAGGTCTCTCTCAAATACATGGACGCCGAGGATATGCCTCCAGGCGACCACTGCATCATGGCCGACGGCTACGACAGGGTGCTAGATGTACTCTGTAAGGGCATGAAGGCTGTTGACATTCGTCTCGAGCATATTGTAAACCGGATTGAGTACAATGGTGAGTGTGCTTATGAAGAAAGAAAAAAAAGAAAAAAAAGTGTTCCATGCATCCTTGGTAGATAGCCAAACACATGATGAACTGACACATTTGGAGCAATACTCTTAACCGCTTCAGCAAACCCTTCTGTCTTTGTCATTTGAGATTACAGAATCCAATGTGAGAATCTTCACCAACAAGCGCTCGTTCACAGCTGACGTGGTGCTGGTCACCCTTCCTCTTGGAGTCCTCAAATCGAACTCCGTGATATTCTCGCCTCCTTTGCCAGAGCGAAAACAAACTGCGATCAGGCGTCTCGGCTTCGGCACCATGGTTAAGGTCGTCATGTCCTTCCCCACCTGCTTCTGGCCCACGGACAAGCACTTCATCAATTTCTTACCCATACCTACGACTAGTATACCCAGTGCCAGCCTCTGCCGCCACCTCAATGAGCGACAGATGCTGGCGTTGACGATCTATATGAGCGACCTTGCTAACTATACGTCGCTCATGCCCATTCATGGGGCCCCTATTCTGATTGGCTACATGGCTAATGAATCGGCCGAGGCCTTTGAAAAGTTGTCTGAAGAAGAGGCGATGGAGGTCCTGGTCTGCCAACTGTCGCACTACTTTGATGTCCTCGTCAAGGACCCTGCTGCATCAAGACCGACGCGCGTGTTCATGACTCGATGGAATGCCGATCCCTATGCGCGAGGCTCTTATACTAGTATACCCGTCGGAGCACATCAATCTGATCTCGCCGAGTTTGAGATCCCCGTCGGAGTACGCTCAGTGATGATGGAAACGAGCGAGCCTCAGAGAGCAAGCAAGTACACAGTCGCCGCTATGGAGGGTTTGGAGATCGAGAAGGAGGAGTACCAAGGCGCTGTCTCTAATTACAATGGCACCAAGAAGGTCATCCCGAGCCGTAGCAACTGGGTGTCAGCCTTGGATGCATCGAATGCCTTCAAGAACTTCCATAAGATCCGTCTCGTGGACTTTTCTCAAGGTCTCAGGAACCAGTCCAGCAACTTAGCGCCAATGAATGATGTGGATGCTGACAACGGTCACCGCAATGGTCGCAAAAGTCGCAATGGCCGTACAGCCTCTAATCGATTCTGCAATGCCCTCATCCCGCGTTCCCATATGAACAGTGTCAACATTCGTTCGCCTGCCGTTGGAACCCAATTTATGGTCATTCGCGACCTCCGTTTTGAGGACGTTATTCCCCTCGTGGAGTTGGATCCTTTGAGTATTAATGGGGGTACGAATGCGAAACATGGTACGAGCCCATTCAAGAAGAAACCAACGACGATTGTGAAGGCTGTTAGTGTGGACGACTCTATTCGAGGAAGGATACACTTTGCGGGCGAGCACACGACTCCAACGTCGTTTGCCAGTGTCCACGGTGCGCTGATGACTGGACGACGTGAGGCCGCCAAGATCTTGACTCAGGTCTTTTGAGCGAATGGCAGCCATTCCTCTGAGGAACGTGCTTCGAAGGTAGATTAGAAGTGTTTGTTTCCGATCTGCAGTAAAGCCTAAAGGCAATAAAGTGTAAGCACGAAGCACAGCCCGATAAAATACTCTTGGACGATATTACAGCCATGCAAGGGTAGTGTACTTTAAGATAGGTTCAAACATTGCTGGCTCAGACCATGTACCATTTATTTTGTTGGCCCGTCTACAAACATGGGTGCTTACTATGGCAATGGTCAATAAAAGAAAAGGCCGAAATTTCCCCGGAGATGTCCTTGGGTCCAGACACGTAGCACAGCAGAGGATGAGTCGGAGGAATAGCCATGTCTAATCGTCCTTCTGTTTTGGCCGTTTTTTCATTTCTTTTTGTTGTCACTGTTTTCATTTGAACGGATACTAAGGACCTGCAGCTCTCGCCACGTTAATGCTGCCACCCTGAAATGAAAACGGCAAGAGGGCAGAAAGGTGACCAATAAGCAGCACCAGAAAAATAAACAAGTTTTGTGTAGCCACCCCTAGTCTACTCAACAAGGCGCAAACAAAACGCTAGCCACCGCGTTTCAAGTGATGCATTGCATCCCGCGGAATGAGCGACAGAAGGGAGGGTAGTACATGATACCCATCATAAACAAAGACCTAAAAATATGAAGATAAAGAGGATAGTCATGGGCATGGGTGCATCGCTGTGCTGAGCGAAATTCAAGATTGAGTTAACCTACCAACCTACCAGTATTACTCAGTGGCAGCTCTAGGGTTATCCACATTGGTCCAATTGATACGAGGCAAGGTTCTGGTTGACTGGTGCGTTAATGATGTTGTTATCTGTGGCAGAAAGGCAGAGGGAGGGGAGCAATTAGATCTAAAAGCGGGGCAGCAATCGACCATGAACACATGCCCATCCGAAACAAAATAGCCATGCAATGCATGCATGCATGCAACCATGTTTCCCTTGGTGATTCTTTGTTTGGAATACGCTGGCAAATGAATTGGGCTCAACCACATCATATCATTACCCTCTTTCTTTGTCTCTCGCGCCATTGATGGTCAACATCTTCGAGCTCTCCATTCATTTTAATCGATCAAGGATGTTTATGCCCCTCTTCCTGGGGTGCGCTTGCTTGCATGCGTGGCTATTTTGATCGACGAGGACAGAGTGTCAACAAACACAGCAGGAAAGAAAGAAAGGGCAAGGTACAAGAGAATACGTCCCACAGTTGAAGTAAACAACAACTCTAATGCAACCCTCCTTCTCCAGGGCGTTGCTTGTGTTTCTGGAAAGGAGGGAATCAACCAATCAGCCAACTTGCAGTGGAGGGCTGATGAGGGATGATCATTCCTAGTGAGATCAATCTCTCAAAAAGAAGAACGAGATCAAGGCGAAGTTTTTGCCCCTTTCGTTTCCTTCCAGTCCGCGTTCAACACAGCCCAATTATATTCGGTACATCTGGATTTCCATCTTTATCCAAAAGTTACCATATTCATACTTTGTCCTATCCCTTTTTTAAGCGTTACCCCTGACGGCCAACGGACCAGGAACCAGGAACCAGGAACCAAGCAATTGTTTGCTCCCACTCCACCTCAACACCACCAAGAATTACTCTCACCCATGCATCATGGACGCTTCGTCAACCGTCGTGATCATGATCGTCTCCTTGGTACTCGTCGTCGGCGTCTTCCTTATCTGTGTCAAACGAAGAAGAAACCGTCGTGAAAGAGCCAGGCGCACGGAGGATGCATCAAGGCAGACCCAGGTCCAATATCCACACTTTGAAGAAGATACTCTCTACCAGTCCAAGAGGCAAAAGCTATCCCATATCCACGCTGCTCTCAGCAACAGTGGATTTAGCGCTCTACCCGCAGAGCAACATCGCGGCAACAGAGATCTCGAGGATAATGACGGCCGCAGGCACAACGGCGGCAGCGACCTTGTTGCCCTCAGGACAATATCGGAGTCCCACGAACAAACGCAACCCGTATCGAATGCCTCTTATCATGGGTTTTCAGTACCACCGCCTGTTCATCATTCACAGACCGGCAACAACTCCTCCTCGTGGAGAAATCCGCACCGCGGTGCGCCGCTCTCCTCAACGACATCCCCACAGCAGAATATATTGTCGCCCGAAGAAGATAGGGTTTTAGAAAATACCAGAGATTATCTCCTCAGAGCATCACCGCTTCCTCGGCCGTTGCAGCTACAACGGCCTGTTATCACACGCACATCGATCACGCCCTCGTCAAAGATTGTCACCACGATAACGAGACCTGCGATCAGACATGTCGATCTGGACATCTCCGAGCCAGATTTGGTGATCGTTCCGAGGAGTCCGGGTCTGCCTGATGTAGGGTCGTCGCGAACCGGTCCAAGGACATCGCCCAAGTTAACGGGCCCAGGCACTAATTCAAGCACATCGAGCAGTCAACAGGCACAAGAGCAAAGGCCAGCAAGAGCTGCCGTTATTATCCCGACCCAAAATTCCAGTGTCGCTCCTCAGAATGCAGACATGGGCCAGGATTCATTCATGACAAAAGAAGAACTGCGTCGATTGGCGCCACAGGCCATCCTCCCTGACGACTATCAGCCGCCACAGTTTACAGAAGAGATACCTATGCCCCTTGCCAAAAACGACACCAAACTTCACCCCGACAGCGAAGATGGACCATCAAGAGAGCTGAATTCCACCTACTTGATGCTTAAGCCATATCTGGCTGCAACTGACCATCTGCTTCCTGTAGATGCTGACTCCTCTGCGAATCCAGGCCACGCTGGCAATCGCTCCAATGCCCCTGCTTCGCCTCCGGCATGTCTTAGCCCTTCCCGGGATCAAGCTGTTTCACCTACTCCTGCCTCATTCTCCGCACCATCACCGCCAGCACGACCAGTGAGACGCATCTACTCCATCCGAAGAAACCAGCAGCAACAGCACGAACCACAAGATCCACCTCCAGAATCTCCAACGAGGCCCGCAAACGGGCATTTATTGGCCCAGACCTCCGCTGCTCAACCGAGCACCTCTGCCATAGCAGCATTCCCTCTCCCCCGTCTTCTCTCCACTCCTCCACCTGATCTACCCACACCTACATCTGCTCCAAAATCTACACCAACAACAGCCGTAGGCCCACCCTCATCATCGGGACACTCTCAAGCACGCGTCGGAACTGTGCTTGCGACGATGGCTTCGCATCTGAACCTTGACTGCGACGGTGCTGTTTCCCCTGCGCTATCGAACACGAGTTCTGGTGATAGTTCGACCACTTCGGCTTTGCTATCGATTATCTCCAATACTACGAGCTCCGCCGGTGCATCCTCCATGGGCAGTCTCGGTGAAGACCGAGTCATGTCGCCAACGATGGATCTTGCTTCGCCCACGACCGCAACGGTTTACTCGCCTACGACGCCGTCTTCTGCCGGGACGGGCCCTCCACCTGCAGCCTCTCATATCGCAGATCGATTTGGTGATGTTCTGTCGCGAATCGCAGACGGAAGAGGAAGACATTATGACAACGGCAGCGGCCATGATCAGCATCGGGCACAGAAGACATCGCAGGAGCTGACCACGGACTGGTTGAACAACCCACCGGCGGCAGGGTCGGGTCCGAGAAAGAAGCGGATCAATCATCCACATGCGCTTGACGGCACCGGAGCAAAGTTATCGCAATTCAATTTTGAAGAGTAGCTATTTGTTTATTCACCCATACCACTTTCATTCAAACATACAGTTTCATCTGCAGGATTTATGAACATAGCATAGAAAAAATGCATGCACTTAGGACATGAAAAAAAGCTTCGATCGCTATATTGTACCAATAAAATCGTAGAATGCCACATTAGATGAGGATTTTTCAAAACATCATAATGGATTGTGGTCCATAATCTTTATGTTTAGAGATCCAAAGTTTCTCGCTCTTCAAAAGGTATGCTTCATCACGCTATCGGTGACATTGCAGACCCATGTCTGCCCCTCTGGCTGCCCCATAATAAAGCCGTTTTCGCTGGAACCTCCAAACACGGCCTGGACCGGTTCCTCCGCATCCTGCTGATGTGGCTCCGTCGAGATGCCTTCGATAGTGTTATTGGGATCCGTGCTTGAAAATCTCAGAGATGCTATATGTCAGTACCGGGCGATAGAGGAAACCATAGCAGACGGTTAATTTCCGAGGTATAGGCGGCCGTGATATGTACACAGCGGGGCTTGCTGGTAGGTTGGCACATACCTTGACTATTACTTTGCAGGGGATTATAATGGCCCTGGCGCACATCTTTGTCATGGTGGATGAATTGAACCCACTGACCCTCTTGGAGATCGTGGACTGTATCGACGGCCATGTTGCCCTTGCTAGGATCCCCCCCAGTGATCTTGTGAACTGTCGCCTTTGTCTGCATACACTCACAGCAAAAAAAAAAAAAAAAAAAAAAAAAAGCTCAAGAGGTTATTATTCAACGATACCAACGGATTGACTTTGCTGCGGATGAAATGTATGGGCCAAGTAAATCAAGGGAGCTGTACCATATCAATGTTCAGGTCTGAGCCTCCCGTGGCACTGATCGGGTCGCCAGTCGCCAAGAAATATTCCTTGTCCTTCGTCAATGTGGTGGTCTGCAGACGATCGAGTAAGAGCCTTGTTGCGTTGGACTCATCCAGCTCCAAAATAATGTTACCACGACATCTATCGTATTGAGTCATACCAAGATGTGTTATTCACAAGGGGCACGTTATGTTCATGTTATTCTCACCGTAGCGGTAGTGGGCGACAGCCAATTGTACCTTGTGATCTGCATCGCAGGCCCTAAAGGCGCCAAGGACGGATACTCCACGGATGTCCTGCTCGTGTCATCGCCGTCCTTTCTTGTTGCATCTTTGATCATTGATACACCAAGGACGCCGTCTTGCACGACCTTTCCATCGTAGAACATGGTCACTGGTCGCCCAGTAATGAAGGGTGTAGAGCTCGCAAGTAGTCCGACCTTGGAGGCATCCAGGTTCGAAGCGTCCAATGCCTCCAGAAACTGGTGCACTTCCAAATCCGAAATCATTAAGATGTCCTGCATCGATCCTTGTTCTGATGAAGAGGACGCACTGGATGGGTGAGGCGGGAGGACTGCTTCAGGAACCTTGACCTGGTTGCGTCCAGTGGAAATACTCTTGAAGGCCGACCAGGCATCTGCGGTATCGAGGCTGCGTTCCTCGATGTCCTGAGATCGAGCCCATTTGCCGACGGATTTTTCTTTCATACGCTTGCGACGTGATTCGGCGCCCGAGAGATAGAATGGCTGACAGGCGATCAGACGGCCCGATGAAGGTGTTGCGGAGGTCGAGGTGGGTGTGAGTGTTAATGTGGAGACACCATGTCCAGAGTGTGTTGGTACGCGATCGACGACTGCTCCGAGGATAATGGAGGACTGCGCGATATGAGCAGGGAGCTTGGCAGGAAGATCGAGAAGATCATTTCCTGGATAGGATCTTGAAGCAAGGACAATTGTCACGGAATTTTTCGTATCAGTGGGTGTGGATATTGAGGGGTCTGAAGCAGGGAAACACCGAGAAAGCGCGGTTGCCAGATCCGGGTGCGAGCACGTTGCTGCTGTCCAGAGTGCCCTCCTCAAGCGCGCGTTGCTTATGCTGAGCGCTGTGGTTCCTGTTCCTTTGCCAAAGGATGGTCCTGCAAAGGCGAATGAGCGCGACAGAAACATGCCGAAGAAGTTGTTGATCCTCTTGTCGATGGCTGGATCCTTTCGGCACAATTGCACTACACGGCGGGGATTTAAGGTTATTGGTGCGATTTCATTCGCAGGTCGCATGGATTTTTCTCCCGCCGTGTGTTCTAGGGATTTCAGCCAGGCACTTCGTCCTTCCACTGTCGAAGTGATCTTTATACCAACCGCCAGGAACAGGAGCTATACTATCACTACCATGGCAACAGGCAATCCACAGGCGGGTGCATCCGGTAGCAGCGGCAATGCAGACACAAACTTGTTAAACATGGAATGGCGCTTTCACGAGTGGATTATGGTACCGTATTATGCCATCGGACTCATTGGTCATCTCTTCGCCAAAAAAAAAAAAACGCGCTTTTGATCTTTTGCAAAGGCAACAGGACTCTGGCACCTTTATAACAGATACCGCGCTATGTGTATTGCTTCCGTGCTTTGTAGGGCGTGGGCGGACTGAACCCAGATAACGTACTCGACTATTTTGCACTCTCGCCGTTCTGGGACCCTGAATGCAACAATGCCGTCCTGAGGATGCAAACCCAGTTCAACAACCTAGGAGAGATGAAGCAGCGTCTCAGGTATCCTGCACTGGATATGGGAGACAGGACACCAAAACTACGTTTATTGCGAGGAGCTATGTTGGCTAACAATTATGGGTCTCGGGCCCTATACTTTTCTATAGTGAGATGACAGGAATCGAGTTCGCGCTGGTCCATGAGCGGTATCCAACGTTATTTATCATCCAGAAACAAAGGAGAAGGAGTCCCCAAGAAGGTATGCGCTTATTACCATGTGAATGATCTTTGTGCAAGTCGTTTGAAGGATGCACTAACGGTTCTTAATGCTTCTAATCGAAAACAGTGAAGCCCATGGCGATCTACTACGTCCTTCAAGGAAGCATCTACCAATGTCCAGACCTTCAGACCCTTCTCTCGAACCGGATTGTAAGCTGTTGACGCTGTGCTCGCTATCATCTGACTGCTTCACTATCTCCATGGACGCTTATTAAAACAGCTATGACTTTTGTTGGCAACAGCTCGGCAGCTTGTACCACGTCGAAAGTGCGTTCAATGAAGCTAGGGTCATGACTGAGTTCCACCCCTCAACCGGATACCATTGGAAGTCGACAATAGTTGATGGACCATCCGCAATACCTGGCGCGTCAACCCCATCAATGGCGACAGCAGCGGCAGCAGGAGCAAGCGCCGCCAAGGCTGGAACTACTCTTTCACAGGACTTTATGATTGCGGTCGATAGAGCGATCAAGGATGTAGATCAGCGTGCACAGATGCAACAGTTTATGCTCCAATCAGGAAACGCAGCTAATGGTGGCGCTTCGTCCTCCACCGCAATTGTTGGAGCAGATTCAAAGGTCAAGCAGGAAGGCGAAACGAGTGCTGCTGCGGCGGCATCGACCGCTTCGAGAAATGCCCCCAAGGCTGCCAACAAGAGGCGAAAAAAGAGCGAAGAGGCCTCAGCGGCCGCAGCGAACATGGGTATCAATACGAATGCTGGGGCAGGAGGCAGCTCACAGGGCCGACCGCCATCGGCAGGAGGCGCGAACCAAGCTGCGGGACCTGCAACGCCATCGGCTATACCAGCAAAGAGGCGGAAGAAGACCAAGACTATCGATCCAAAATAAACACCCGACGGCAATACAATTTATAGACATGTGTTCATAAGAATACAAAACTTTTTTTTATTTCTTGCTTCATCCTTTCTGTCCTGATGCAGCTACGCTCCCGTCTTGCAAGGCATTACTTTTTACTTGTTGGACTTTTTCTTTTTCTTTTTTTTCTTGGAGGGGCTGGGTCCTGGAGTGTTCGAGCTCTCAGACTGGGCCAAAAGAGTGGAGGTCGATGCAGATTCTGAAATTGGGTTAGAAGGCTGAGAAGTCTCCGTCTCCTCGGCTGTAGGTTCCTCAGACAGCTGAGCAGCTTCAATGGCGGCTGCAGATTCCTTAGAGAGGTGAGCAGATTCAATGGCGGCTGCAATAATCTCTGATGGCGTGTTAATAGAGTAGGTGCCTGTAGCCTCAGGTATCTCAATAACCAGGCTCATATCCTCCTGCGGTGTCTTCACTGCTAGTTGCGTCTCAGTGAAGGACTGTGTCTCGTTTGCAGGAGTCGTGACTTCACGCGGGGGGATGACCTCGGCATTCTCTTTGAAGTTGACTGCATGCCCATCCGCGTGCTCAGCAGCGGTCGTCTCAGGCACTCCATTGTCCTTGGGCGGCGCAGCTTCCTCAGGCACTTCGTCATGCTTGAGCACCCCATTGTTCTTGGGTGCTTCGCTGTCCTTGGACGCTGCATTATCCTTGGACGTTCCATTGGTCTTGTTCACATCCGCTTCAGACGTGATGTCCTTGTTAGCAGAGGTGGCTGTGGTGCTGGCGTTGACGGCTGTGTTATGGGCAGTGGTGGTATCAATCAACGCCGATGAGGACTTTCTGGTCTGCAAGATGGTCTTTCCGCTTGCCATATACTTGCTGTCGATTGGCATTGTTGATTTTCGCCCATTCGCGTTGCCCAAGAGCGGGGTTGACTCACCGATCGCGGGGGATCGGAGCAGAGACTTCAGGTTCTTGATCATATTGACGTTCCTGGATGGCTTCCGGATGACCTTGATCTTGTTGTGAATATCGACATAGACATCGGACTCGTCCACGATTTCTTCACCCAAGAGCTCCTCGATTACATCCTCCAATGTAATCACACCCACAGGGTGGCCAAACCCGCCAGGCTCCGAGGTAACAATAGCCATGTGTGATCTTCCCTCTTGGAAAAAGTTCAAGATGTCGAGACAGCTGGTGTTGGGCGCGGCTTCTGGCAATGAGTTAATGGTGAACTGTCGCACGGGGATGTGGTCCGCGGGGTCATAGGTGATCAGGCGCTTGACGAGCAGCATGCCAATAAAGTTGCTGGTATCGTCGTGCCTGTAAATAGGGATACGGGAATATCCAGCAGAGACAATCTCATCCATCAAATGTTCGTCCAAGATCGCATCCTCGCTGAGCGTGAAGACATCCTCGAGAGGGGTCATGACGGAGGAGACGGACTTTTCCTTAAGATCGAGAACTGAGGCAATAATCGTCACCTCGTCGTCTGTGAGCTCGCCAATTCCGTCAATCTGATGGAGCGAGACGAGGGTCTTGAGCTCAGTCCTACGGTACGTCGTCCCGTGGTGGACACCCAACCAAGAGTCCAAAAGCTTGGCGATAGGGTAGGCCACGGGCGACATGAGGTACATGAGCACCAACATGGGCTTGGCGCAGTAGGCACCGATCGCAAGTCCATAGCGAGCACACACTGCCTGAGGGATAATCCTAAAGACGGCCATTGTTGATTCAGAGTTTTTGAGTGGTGCTAGCGTCAATTCGGCCACCGAATGAAAATGTGCTCATTCTTGGTTTTAATATCAAAGTTGGACATGACAAACTTACTCTCCAAAAACGACGATCAGCAGAGTAGAGATTAGGATAGCGAAAACTCCTCCGCCAAGTTCAGAATCCAGGACAACCGGGAGGGTCTCGTTCACGATGACATTTCCCAGTAGCAGGGTCACTATTGGCATGAAAATAGGCACACAAATAAAGGATGGACGCGCAAGCGGATTTTTAGTCTCGACAATGCTCTCGTGAGTGCTTTTGTCATGCAAATCCGATTGGACACAGCACAAAAACAACAATACACAAGCCAGACTGCATGAAAAAAAAAAAAAAAAAAAAAAAAAAAGCGAACAAGAGCGGGGGTAGCCCAACGACGAACTTACCAAGCACCCAATGCTTTCCACGGGCCAACAGCTTTTGGACGGTTTCGGCATGAGCCCGCTCCTTGAGGGATCCTGAGGCCATCAAAACTTGTAGGTTGGTCTCGTCCAGACCCATCAAGCCGATCGTCAATCCTACGGTTGTTTTACCAAAGACGTCAAAAACAACCAGTAGTTAGAAAACGCGAAGACAAGAGCTACACCGCGTCCTGGGCGGATAATTATTGATCCTCCGCCTTCTGGACGCCATAGTATTATAACTTACCAGCAAAAATGCCTCCAATCAATACCAGTAATACGATGAGCGCCATCTTAATCCAGAATTCAGGTGTCGATGCGTCGCTGCCCTCGCCCTCGCCCTCGCCTTCCTTTAGTGCTTTGGTCGCAAAGGCCGAAAGGGCACCGTCGTTCTTGCTCTTGTTCTGCTCCAAGGACCAATCGAAGAACAGCTTTGATGCAAGAAAGAGGTTGGTGTAGATGAGGACGTAGATCACGATGTTCTTGAAGCCCAAGGCGCGCTGGATCCCACGGCGTTCCTTGAGGGATCGTGCATTGGCAGCCATGTCCTTTTCCATGGTGAGGACCACCTCATGTTCACCATGGGACGGTGTGCGTTGCTGATCCATAGAGTCGATCTCCTTTTCTTTCTGATGCCTGAAAGGGGTGATGCCTGAAAGGGGTGATGCCAAAGTGGATAAGGTCAAGAGGGGAGCGGTGAAGGTGAAGAGAGAAGAAAGGAGAGGAGGACGTGTATTCCAGAAAAAGACCTTTTTTGCATTCGTGAGAAATCCATTTTTGAACACAATGAGCCCATACGCGTAGGTGCAATTCGACGCGTAAATCCTGGGTTGACGCGCTCCCAATGCTCACTTTGCCAATGGAATCAACAAGCACATGCCTTATCGATTGACGTCTTTTACCAGACATTCGTAACTTCATTATTACTATATGCCTAGCACTATTGGTACATGTTCTCAGTTAAAGAAGTACTCCTCATGGTAGACTAGGACTGACGGCGAAGCAAGATAGCAGAGCATATTAAACATATTAGTTAACATGTAAGCATTTCAAAGCGCACTTTGCTCTTTATTCAATAAACATAGATGATGCTGAGAAAAAGACACTTCCAATGGCATAGTTGAAGTCGCTGCTGTGCTTGCTTAAAGAGTAGGTTGCTGATTAGGGCCGGGACTTCATGAGAGCGCTTGCGGGGCCTGAGAGAAGTACACTTTGCCTTCCGTCGTCGTTATCGTCATCGTCATCCATAAATACTGGCAGCGCCATAATAGACAGCCCGCGTCTTAAATAGCTTCCATCATTTTCTTTGCTATTGTCTTCACCCGAGATAAATGAATCGTCAAATGGATATTTATAGGGAATGTCGCGAAGGAAGCCGCGACTTGCTGTGCTCTCGAGAGGAACATGGCACGCCCTACATACTCACTGGGACAGCTTTCCAGAGGCGTTTTCAAGAAAAGACCAGAAATAACGAAGCCATTGACGGTAACCTTCGACTCCTGGCTGAGTTCAGGAGGCCGACGAGACGCATGAGGGGCATGTCATGTAGTGTGCTTGTGGCCTTGCAGTAATCGTGCCCGTAGTGGTGGTTCTCTTCGACCATTACTATCCTGAGGAGTTGTCGATGTGTTGGACTCCGTGAATTGCGCGAATGTCTATGTCTGAGGACCCCGCGCGGCGGTGATAAGGGGCAGGTATGCTTTGTGCCTCTAGAGAGTTTGCGGCTGTCCGGCTCTTGTCAAAGAAGGCGAAAGTGAGAACGGATAAATATGAAAGTGGGGAGAGGAGGAGGAGAGGGGTCCAAGGCTCGTTTGAGAAGGAAGGCCCCGAAGACAAAGGGAAAAGGCACTATCGAATAAAATTTCACTTTGACAGCAGAAGTCTTTATCATGCAGGAAAGTCCAGGGAGTTCACAAGCGAGAGGCCAGCCCACGTAAAAAAGAAAGGGCGCGTGGATTTAGTAAAGTAGCCAGGCAGTGATCCCTATTTCACCGGTCAGGTACACCAGTCCCAGATCGTCTGAAAGTAGAGATTGCACTAGATGTACGATTTCAAGGGCGCCTTTTTTTTTTTCCTTTTTTTTTATAAATAATAGCTGTTAATGACTCTACGTAAAGATCTCCATGGGTGTTACGGCACCTTCGACGATGTTTCCGAGGAGGTTCTCCTTGCACAAGAATTTTGTCGGGAACTCCACCAAGTGTCCAGTGACGCCCTGCAACTTCTCCGTCACGTTCTCGACCGTCGCTCCTTCCATGACTACATGTCCCGTCAGAACTTTCTTCGGGTCGGGCATAAATATCTTGTAGTCATCCCAAGTCTCGACGTTCTGGTCTGGTACGCAATGGAAGACCTCCCTAAAGATCCTCGTGTTCGTGGCTGCGACACGCTTCCACCAGGACTCGTAAAAGTCGTCATGCAATGGATCCAAGACGATTTGGTCTGCGGTCTTGGGAGATTGCACCGCCGCCTGTTTCTCTTGCGCTTGCGCCTGTACCTGTGTCCGCTTTGCATGCCACTGCTGGAACGCCTGGGCGTCCTCTTCATCGGGCATGGTCACCTGCAAATAGCCCTGAGTTCCAAAAGGAGCGTGAATCTTTTCCTGATGCTCCTGCTCGGAACGGGCGATCAGTTCCCTGCGCTGCTGCTCTGGATCCTTGCTAGGTGCATCGAGATCGACAGGCAACACACTGGCCTTGGTCACAACATCGTGTTCGACGTGGGGCAAAAGTCCCAGATGTTCCTTGAATAGATCTGTCCGCAGACCATGTGCTAATTTACCAGCTTGGTACTACATTTATCAGAGGAAGAAAACGTCAGTTATTGACCGTGATGTGTAGAAAACAACGCGTTGTACCATCTCATCTGCTAAACCAGTCCACATACCTCTTCACCGTTCATCTTTGAAGGAACCATATCGGTGTCTTCGATCACGATGGCAATCTCAGAGTCGCGGAATCCAACCTGGGAGCGGTCGTTGATGTTAGCTAAGTATATGTTCAAGACAAAGAGATAGTTAATACATGGTACCACGACATCCAAAAAGGACGAAAAGACCTTTGCAACATATTGATTTCATACCTGATCCGATGATAATGATGCGGTCGTCGACAATCATCAGCTTGCTGTGGATGTACAGCTGCTCTGTCACAAAATCGTCCACCTCATTATCTTCCACCGTTGTCTCACCATCCATGCTCACTGGCTTACCGCCACTGCTACCGGAGGACTCGCCACCTGGGGCAGATGCGTGAGGCGAAGGTTCAATGATCATTTCTGCCTCCTCTTTGTCCTTCTTCTCTTTCTTTACATCCTCTTTGCTGCCCACGGCCTGGTCTACATCATCCGTCTGCTCACTTCCTACTCGGGCCTTGTCCGGATGTATAGGGTCGAGATTCGACTCGTTATGGTGGATGATCGGGTTCCGTGTGATCTTGTGGTGCTTGGGCTCTAAGTCTCCCTGCTCCTTGGTACCCTTGAGCGTGTTGACTGCTGTCCGGACCATGTTACCAAGGCCTTCAACTACGTGGGGTTCGCTGAACTGTGTCGTCCCTCCTTGGTAATGGTGCTCCTTAGCAGCTTGTTCAGCCTTGGCGGTTTCGTGACGAATGGCGCCTGTAAGTTTCTTGTTGGCGAGCGATCTGTTGGTCGTGGCTGGGATGTAACCGTGTTCCTTCTTGGACATTCCCATTGCTCGCTTGGTAATACTCTCGTCCCATCGTCTTTTCTTGTCAAGCTCCTTTCGTTTGTCCGAAATCGCCTTGATGCGCTCGGCCTCCTTATCGCGAGGAATAGGGTCTAACAAAAACTTGGATGCCAGGGATCTTGTCCTGCCAATATTACCACCCTCTACGACCTTGGGCGCCTTGTCCTTTGCTGGACTAGCTGGTGTCTGGGTGTCCTGGCCGTTGGCTAGGGTGGAGCGTGCTCTGATCTCACTATGCGATGCATCTTCCGATTCTTGAGCCTCGTCAAGGGAACCGCTGGTGGCCCCATCTCGCTCTGCCTCCTTCACAGCCTCTACAATCGCATCAAACTTTCCGTGCTTGATGCGATCGAAACTGCGGAGGCCATAAAAGCCAATGTACTGGTCAGGTCTGATACCATTGGCTTCAAGTCGTTCGAGCACAGAATTTCCTCCGCGACAGATCGAGACGTATTGAAAGTGCATGACCTTTCGTAACGTGCCTGCTTCACTTGACATGATATCGGCTTCGAATGCTGGCATCAGGGGCATGACAACGATGACACGAAACTTTTTACCCTCACTGTGTGCCCTCAGAATACGGTTCACTAGAGCGATACCGATCGTGTTCTTGAGATCAGGATGGCCATTCTCAGCCGCCAGAGTCACTATTTGGTCCCAAAGAAAGTGGATTTGTATTAGTGAAAGTAAAACAAAAATAATAATAAAGGAGATGCTCCCGCAATGACATGGAATCCAGACATACCAAAAAACTGGTTTTCAATGTAAATAAAGTGCTCGGCCTTCTCGATGTTGGCCAGATAGGCATCCTGAATGGAGCGCTCCAAGTCGACGCCTTGGGACCAGAGGGTGCTGCTCCTCAGGATCTGGACTTTTTGTGTTCCTGTCCACCCAGATTCATTGCGTGTACTCACAAACTCGCCTTTAGGCGTCAGAAACTTCATGTGCGTCTTCTTCATGCCCTTTTCACGCTTCACAAAATTCCAGCGCTGGACGAAATGGCGAGCGATGTCTCTGGCGGGTTGACCGGCAACACCAATAGAAACGTCGTGCCAGGGCATGCGGCCGAGCAGTTTTCTCTCGATCAAATCGGTATTATAATCCTTGACTGCAAGGCATAAAACGAAAACAAAGCTAAATCGCGTTAGCCAAGCTGGCTCTTATACGTCATACGAGCGCGCGACTTGCTTAAGCAAATCAGAGAAACGGCAATCCATCGTACCATTCATAAAGTCTTTGATACGAGGATTCGAGTAGTCCTGACCGGGCCAGATGACTCCACTGCCCGATGGATGATAGTCTGCCAATTGGTGGGTTCTGCTGTCGTATCTTCCAAAGCACAAATCGAGTCCTCCAATGAACGCCAAACGGCAATCAACCACGCAGATTTTCTAAGGTTCCAAGGTAAGCGTGGATGAGTATGGATATCGAGAACAGTGTAAGAATAAGACGTTTCTTCGCTCAGGCATGCGGCATACCTCGTGGTGGGCCCAAAACTGCGTAGCATTGACGCTCATATGGTCAGGATGGCGTTGAACTATCGGAAGAAGAGAAGAGACATGTTAACTAAATTAAGACGCGAACCGCAGTACGGGTTTATCGAGGCTAGTCGGGGAAAGTACCTTGGATACTAGGATGAAGATCCTGGAGCCAGGTCTTGGTGTGGGCAGAGTCCAGGGTCAGTGCAAGAGAGATCTCTTTGTAGACAACAATATAGATCTTGACTCCTTCCATCGCCTTTCTCTTGAGCAGTCTGTCCAGTCTGAATTCTTCATTCTTCTCTGGAGGACGACGAAGGTACTATATTCAATAAGACATAACGAAAGAAATAAAAGAGTCGTTTATCAGATCGTATCCACCAAAACGACATTTAAGCAGGGCTAGAGGCGCATTGCGTCGCTTACCAATTCGGGTGAGAGCCACCAGTCAGCGATATAGATTTCGTCCTTAGCAGCCAGGATGGCGTCCGAGACCGCATGAAAGTAGTCTTTACCATCGACATAGTATCGGACCTTCGCATCCTCGCGCTCGGGCGCAAAGCTGCCATAACGATGGGACTTGATCCATGGGCTCGACGACTGCATCTTGTTGAAAAATTCCATCCACTCAGCCATATCTCGATTGTGATCTCCCTTTATCTCGATCTTGCGATGATTATTTCCGATCTCGATGTGGTGAAGATTCAGACCAAGAATCTGTTCCTTGTGATGGACGTAAAAGTTCTGGTCAAAGATGAACACGTCCTGGCACTCGTTTGAGCTGTTGTCGCGGCAGAAGGCCATATACGAGTCACGAAGGATAGCCCATGATCTATCGTACTCAGTGAACCCGAAAGGGATCCCACAGAATGTATTGCTGGTGTCCGAGACCTTAGTCTCCACAAAGCCCTCCTTGCCTTTCCAGCCCATGTCCTTGGTCAATGATAAGGCAGAAATCTCGAGGAACTCGTAGAGGTCGTAAGCGACAGTGCCGTTAAGTTGCTGCATGACCTGAAGAAGGTAAATCTGCAGAGCTTTTCGACGAGCCAAATTGGTCTCCCGCACAATGGCGTCTTTGTCATCAGTCTTCATTCGCAACCCTGCCTTGGCCATTGAGACCGCCCAGGATACCTAATTAAGAGATGATAAAACTGCGAGTAAGACCATACTGTCCTGAGGGCGTTCATGTAATGAAGCACATTAAGAACATTGGATTGGATAACATGAAATCCATCTGTACTTGGTTAGGGAACCTGGGAAGGTTTTCGTAGCGCTTCGCGGATAGGGTCAAATGTAGTTTGTAAAACTCATAGAGCGTGCGGCGAATGACCCATTTGATATCACCATATTGCAGCTCAATGCGAAAGATGATTTGCCTGCTGATTTCGGGGACGACTTCTGAGTCGACAATTCCAATCTATAGAGGCACATCGAATGTTCAACAGGAGGAAGTAAGGTGTTAGAAAGAAGACGTTACTTATTCGCAGAATAGCTGTAGTAGAAACAATTTTGACCTACCCTGAGAAGCTGAAAGAGAATCGGCGGCTGTATGTTGTGATAAAAAGAAGCGATGTTGGATGGTTGTTAGTTGGTCAACTCTAAAGAACAAATAACCCACATGCTACGACAATGGACGCCTCAAAGGTAGCTCCACCACCGACATCTCAACTCTAACCGCATTGATGCTGAGAGAATAATGTGCGCACTATCAAATGAACTTCTCCTCTACATTGTGGGATTGGACGTCGAGATTATCTTTCGATATGGAGCTGAATGAAATGCAGATTGGGCGCGTTTTGAGAAAGGGGTTCATGTCCAGCTGGTATCAAAATGCCATTTTCGGATTCATCATTCGAGTTCTTGGCTCAAATGCTTCAGCTGAAAGAGAATGAGCTTCATTCTCACGACCTTCTACTCGCGCCGGGTAGGAACCCTTCCTTGTACACAATCGCCTGCAAAGAAAAAAAGCTGACAAAGACAAATAGAACAGCGTACAAAAAAGTGATAATTAATTAATTGGGCTGAAGTCCACTGTTCTGAACTTACAGGTCGACGCCCTTTCTCATCCGTTCTGAGCAAAAATGCAGGTGCGGCTGCGCCCGTCACTGCCAAGGACTCGACCGTGAAGTCAATGGTCTCCAGATTTTGTGCGCGCGAGGTGCTCGCGAACGCGCTCGCGACATGATCGACCGTCGTCATTTCCCTTCGTGGTGACGAAGGATCGTGGGATTCTACAATTGGTTATAAACAAGAAAGCGTTCGTCTGCATCAGTTGCATGCAAGGACATCCCAGTGACTTTTCAAATTATCGTTAGATGGTTAAGGAGGAGAAGACGGTACCATTCGAGGCTAAGTCTGGTTGATGATATTCCTGGATAGAAGTACTGCTCTCCGAATCATGGAGGTGTCGAAACTGGTGAGGAAGGCGAGAAAGGACGGACGAGTACCAATGCTGGTGCTGCTCTGATGAAGTATCAGACTGAGGCTGTTTGGCAGGGGATGCTGGGTCTAGAATGGGTGCCCGGAGTGAGTCTGGGTCGGTCTTCTGGACCTGTCGCACACGGTCGACAAGAGTAGCGAGATCCAAAGGCTTCTGGGGCTGGTCATTCTCCTGCTGGGGCCCATCCGATTCGCTTTGGTCCACAGCCCTCATGCGCTGCTGCTGGGGGCCATCCAATTCGCTCTGGTCCACAGACCTCTTGCGCTGCTGCTGCTGCTGCTGCTGCTGCTGAGCAGAGACCACGTCGCTGAGGTTGAAAGGACGCGTCGAGTCGGTGGACCGGGTCATGAGATGAGGAAAGCGGGAATGTCAGACTCCAGGCAAGTGTGGTATGTTCAAGGTACGAGAGTATACACAAAAAAGAAACAGGGGTATATGAATTAAACCGTTGCTGGTGCTTCTTAGAGATGAGATGAAGGGGCGAATGGGAATGAATTGAGGAGAAAGGAAAGGAAGGAGGAAAGAAGAGGTTAGGAATAGCCCAATCGAGAGCTTGAGAGCACAAAACAAGCAAAGGAGAGACATGGGCCAAGGCTGGATGCCCATGCGAAATAATGCGGAAGAAAAATCCTCCACACGGAACCGATACCTTTGCCTACTCTCAGCTACACATTCGCATACACATGCACACACAGCTCCTCTTCCCGGAACAAACATGCAAACGCGGCGCTAATGTCAGTTTCACAGAGAAGGATAAATGTCAGCGCCGAGTACCGATCCCGGGCTAGCGTTCAAAGGAAAATACCCCCAGGAGACAAGACACCAGCGCAGTCTGCCCGATCGAGGATGAAAATAGAGTTGATCCTACAAATGCGCTTCAGGAATGAGCCCTTTGCTTCTCTAGGCAACAATGTTGATCCGAAAGCGGCATTTCTGTGTCTGCTGACCATGCCAATAAACTATGCCACGCTGCGAGCGGAAAACTGTGCTCGCATTGCGTGGACCAAGACTGCAGAATGTGAAAACGAACGTCTTCCATCTCCAATTATCCCTTGCTCCTTCAGCAACATACATTCCTGACTCATGAGGCCACAATGAGGATAATTAGGCATTGCGAGCTCGGGCTTACAGTCATTAGGGGTTTCTGGGTGCAGGGCGAGGTGGCCGACGGAACAGCTCTGGACGGGCCTGATCTGTCAACAAAGCTGCCTCACTTATAGCTAGTCTATTGCTCCTCCCACCATCAGGCCCCCAGCCTACTGTTCTCAGTCCACTATGACCAATAAGGCAAAGTTTGGTCATACGTGATCGATGCTGTGAAGTTACACTGACAGAACATGGGTCTTGCACACATGTCATCTCAGTTCTTGTGAATCGTGAACGCAGCGAGAGAAACAGGTATCGCATGGTGCCGTGTCTAGGGAGTGGCGTCTACGTCTGCTTTCTATTTTCATTTTTCATTTTTTGAGGCTGAGATAACCACTGTGATCACGGCAAACAGATCGTTTGCGCTCCGTGCAGCAGATCTTGATTAAGCCCTGATTCTCACACAAATCATGCCATCGTCTCCAGGCCATTGGGATAACAATCGTTTAATAACTGCCCGCTTTGCAAGGAGATGTGTAATGCCGGTACAGCAAAGAATGACCCCTCCTACCTGCTTGACAGCTCCTTTCATTTGTACAACTGGGCGAGTTCATTTATTAGTATAACGACAAGAATGGGACTACCCTTCTCGCGACAGCTTGGTTGCGAGGGCAAACTCGCTCAGGAAATCAGCTTTTCGTATCGTCTCCCACGATCGCGACGCATACCGCAGCCATTCCCGCTCCGACACCATGCCCGGCCTATTCCGTGGTCCGAGCGCCGGTCCGCCCTGAGATCTCATCGACAGCGACAACACCTTGTTTCTCAGTCCCTTGGCCCAGACCTTCCATCGCTCCTGATCCTGTACAATCGATCCCAATAAGTCGTGAGAGGAACTCTTTAACGATGCGCCCAGGATGTCGTTGCGATTGAATGAAACGGTTAGGTGCGACATCGCTGACTCTAACGTGGTGGGTTGAGAAGCTGCGGACAACTTTCCGGCGCCTGTTATGCTTTTAGTTTTGTTCGAGATCGGAGGCGTGCCTGGCGCCATGGTCGAGTCAAAGGGCAGGATCACAAGATTCAAGTGCTGGGCAGCCCTTCTGTCGTCGTCAGCGCTTTCACGCTGCTGTTGCTTCTGTTGAGATACTATCTCGTCCTTTACTGTGTCCTTGTCCTGCTTTGCGTGCGCGCTTTCTGCATCGGAGGATAATGATTCGGGGCTTGTTGATGCAGAGGGTACCGAGATTCGTTTCCTCTGCGCATTGGATGCCACACCACTGGAATTTCGTGCTGTCTTGAAGACATCTTCGAATCGAGCATAAATCTCGCTCATGTTGATGGACCCAAACAGCTGTAGTGTCGTGTGTTGCAAAACAAAGGCTTGCTCTTGTGCCACTCGATAATAATAATCCGGTCCAAACTGTATCGTTGGCACCTTGTTTGATACCAAAACTTGATTCACATAAATGAAGAAGTTGTTAGATACGAAATAATTCACCACGGCGCTTTCATGCAAAGTGGATGCACGACTTCGCATGGTATGTGCACTCACCTATATCAGCGCACCAATCACCCAGTCCCTCACGCTGGGGCCCTTCCTGTCCCATACTAGGGGGCTGCCCTGCCCCTCCTACACTCGCTCCTTGTGCGGCGATGCTCAGATTCGAACTGCTGGATGCTGCTGACAGCGCCTTCATAAAGACTTCCACCCTCTGAAACAGCTTGAGGACCTGGCTGCTTTCCCCTGACCGATTTTCCGTCATAATCAGAACGACATTGCATACCGAAACCAAAAATGTAGCCATGACCAACGCCTGGTGATCTAGCCAGAGATCCACGGGTATACCGTCCGGAATGCGTTCGTTCCTGAGCGCATTCTCCAGATTCGAGAGACTAAATATGGGTTCTGTGTCGAGAAGGATCATGCGCTCGGGCGTAATGTACATATCCACTCCTGAGGTCTGAAATCCTGCAACAGACGCCATTTGTGAGGTTTGCTTCGTGAATGCTGCCGAGGCAAGAGGGGATGGGCAAAAGGATGATAAGAGCGTTGACTTTCCGGCGCCCTGTGTTCCCAGTATTCCAACGATGAAGTGTCCAGGATGGTCTGACAACCACTACATGATCGCGAGATGACAAGAAAACGAAGTGCGGATTTAATGGCGCGGAGTAAAATAAGCACACATAACACTTCAGCTTGAAGAACAGCAATAAAATCTTTTACCTGCTCTGCAGATCCCAGGATCTTTCCGCCCTCATTCATAAGTTTGACAGAGCTTGATCCCATGACTGGAGGCATGGCTGCGATAGGTGCGCTTGGCATTGGTCGACCTCCAGTTGACATGGTCCCTCCTCCAGAATAAACAGCGGTCATAGATCGGGGGTCTTTGAACCCTGGCTGAGAATAGGGCCCTACAGGTCCTCGCAGCGCTTGATGTTGCGGATGATGGTGCTGTTCATGTTGATTCTGATGTTGCTGCTGTTGCTGCTGCTGACTCGAGCAAGTCCCCTGCCATGAATAGACGGTCCTGCCCGCAGGCGCCTGTCTTCGGCTTCCCGACTTTATTACATCTGATCCTCTAGAGTCGTCATCGTATAATTCTCCTCCGTCGCGACCGCTACCTCCTGTCATGACCAACTTGCGTTCCCCCCCTCCATTACTGTTGGGGTTGGGCTGCAGAATCTGCCGCTGAAAGCTGTTTGGGTCCACAATGACTCGGTGAGGCTGCTGTGAGTGTTGAGGTTGTTGCTGTTGTTGCTTAAGTGGTCCGTCATTGCTGTTTGACATCTCCTCCCTTGAATCGCCTTGCTGCTGGTGAGACTGACGCGATGACCGGTCACGCCTGCTTCGTTCGCGGCGCTCTCGTCTCGGCTTGGACTCCTTGGAATCAGCTTCGAATTGCTGAGACTGTCCTCCAGCGTCGGATAAGTGCTGAGAATGTTGAGGATGTTGCTGACCTTGAGGATACTGTGGATATGCCTGCTGTAAGGACGACGACGAATGGCTGCTGGATTGACTCATGATGGATCCTGAACGCTCTTTTCTACCTTGCCCTCCTCCTATTGGTGCTGCAGTGCCTCCTCGTGCAGGCGGTTGAGGAGCACTCATATTACTCGTGCTATTGGCGCCCATGCCGTGCCCCACTCCCATACTCATCCCTCCGAGCCCTGGCGGCGGAGTCATGTATGCTTGGTTCATTGGCGATTGAGATATCCTGGGTATGTTTTTCCCTCGCAATTGAGATTGTTGTTGTTGCAGCTGAGGACTTTGCTGCTGAAGGTGAGGCGATGTTGCTGAGTAATGATATTGATACGACTGTCCATATCCAGTGCACGGAGGTTGTTGTTGCGAGGGCTGTTGCTGTTGCTGTTGCTGTTGCTGTTGCTGTTGCTGTGATCCCACTGGTGTCGCTCCGGTACGAGGGGTAATGTTATCAGTACCTTGAGGAGTAATGCGAGTGAGCAGCTTGAAGGGCGGCGCAGCTCCACTTTGAACCTGACCCTGACCCTGACCAGAATCATGTCCCTGCCCATGTCCATGACCCTGACCGCCTCCTTGACCTTGAGCGCGTCCTGACCTTTGGTTTCCTCTTCCTCCTCCGCGCGATGACGAGTTTTGATGCATTCAGGCACTCCTCCTGCAATCGTTGGCGATGAGTGGTCGATCGCAAGCCGCGTGCACACTTTCGATTCTCACGGCTTTTGCGCAGGGGGTCGCTCTACGTGGCTTTGAGCCTGGCAGAAGGAGGAAAATGTGCTCAAAGTTGAAATTTGGCACCATACGCGTTGTAGACTATAGTTATACCACATAGGGACAGAGCACAGCATTCTAGGAGGTGGGACTTCCATAGGGGCATGGTCACTACAGGGCCTTAACGCGGCCAGCTTGGTGCATCAGGGTGGAGGGGGAACGGGGTAGTTATTTATCTTCTATGCTCCCTCGCATCGCCGCCCCTCTTCGAATGGCCTCTCAAGCGTGATCCCACACCGGTGCCAGCCTCGCCTATTAACAGGATAGACCGCACCTCAGGCGCCGTCTTTGGGTAGCAGTTCACGTGCCGGACGTCGCTCGAATTCGATACGGATGGAATGCGGTGGCGGTTACAGCGTGTGCACTAACCAACTTTCGAAGAAATTGGAGATGTCGGCGCTGATGCGGCTGCTTGCGTGGTAGAGAACGCTGATTTCGACGGCACTAGTAATGATGCCAAAGCGGCTTCTACAACGGTGCAAGGGACCGCTTTAGTTCCTGCTCTGCAATGGATGTAAAAATAAAAATAGAAAAGAACTTACTCTTATGCTCCTCGAATGCATGTTGTCGCACGTAAGATCGTTCCTTAGCACAGAGCTTAGCCCGTGCGCGTGCTGTTCGAAGTTACTGCGTATGAAGCTCCTTTTGGCGAACTGGGGAGGGCTCGAACGCCTGAAGGATATCACGGGCGCCTTTCCGAGCATCGTGGGTCGTATCGATTTCCTTGATAGTTATTGCCTCCGTAAGCGAGTTCTCTCGTTTGGAAATTTCCTGGTACGCTGCTTGGATAGTGAAGAAGAGTATCCCTTTTATCGTAATTGATGTGTACGAATAATATATACTATGGTGGCTATTGTTACAGAAAGCGCCTGGTAGTGGAATTGCACTGTACAACCTCAATAGCGTATTCTTGGCCGCTGGAGTGATTGGATAGTACCGCAGTAATATATTCTTCTCGTATCGATAAACGATCCCAAAGTCGTCGAACTTCTTGCAACATTTAGGAACATCTCAACTATGGCTTGGCATGTGAAATTTCTGAGAGCGAATCGTAGTGAACCTTTACGGTATTATAAAAGTATTCCTCCTGTTGTTCCTGGAATCTCTTCAAATCTTCCTCAGCTTGTTCTGGCGTGAGTGGAGAAGTCCCAACTTTCTCAGACCCCATCCTTGATTTCCTTGAAATATTCTTGGACCGTTGAATCAAGACGAGTGATGATTGTATCAAATAACTTGTCGATTATAGCCTACGACAGCGGACCGACGTGGATGATGTAGTGCGGTGAATCCCTGAGGACGGTCCTTTCAAATTTCGCGTGTGCTACGCCTATAGAGACAAGCCGCGCCATTTTCGACATGTTCCAAGAGTTGGAGGAATGCAGAGGTCCTAATACTGGGGGTCTTGTTGTTGCCGGTTTCTCTTTATCTGGAAATATTGAACCACGCTCATCGACAATAAAGAGAGTTTTCCGGTGATGTTGCTGGAGTAACCTCCTCTATATGCGGCGGGCGGATGATACCGCCAGTCCATGGGGCTCCTTTGCTATTAAAATATCTTGGTTGATGGTTAAAAATCGATGACAGATCTCGTACGATCCAGCTTCTACCGTTTCACAGTCGTTAAGGACCTTGGCATGCAATGTAAAGGACTGGCCAACCGTGTGCGTATGCTTTAGCGGTGTGGTGTAGTGGCTCTATATGCTCTATATCAGGTAAACGTACTAGCTGTGAATACGTTGCTCAATAAATGCGAAGTATACTTGAACCAAGAGTCAATGAGAACAAGAGAATTAATCCACCGAGAACATTATATAGGATTCGTTGGATCTAATTAAATACACGCGCTGGCAGCATGTTATATGGCTATATGCCACAATAAAGGTCACTTCTGCTCAACGAAGTCTCTACATGGTAATTATAAAAATAAGGCTTCAGATGTAGGGAAACTTGTAAAGAGATCTTTCAGCGGGGGGGCGGGGGGGGGGGGGTTGACAATAAAGACAGCAACACACTCGGGTTAGGGATCTGCAAGGTCAAATGGACTCTGTCTTGACTCCTGTGCCTAGACGACGACATTGATGGGTGCTGTTCTTGATCCTCCACTCTTGTTCGTTATGAGACCATGATCGTTACCTGTCGAGGGGCTTCTAGCACAGGTCTCGTCGCTACTCTTGCTGGGCGATACGTTATGATAGCCAGCGATAGCAAAATATACCAACTTGAGGTACAGTGTAATGGGACAAGGGTGCGTGGAGCGACTTAGGGCGTCGTACAGGGCAAGTGCTGTGCAAAAGTATAGTGAGGAAACAGACCAGGAACCATTCGGCCCTGTCGTTCTGTTATTTATTGACCTATGAATGCAAACCCTATTGACTATTCAAAAACTGCACGCCCCTCTGTTTGCACATCCCGTAACTGCATGTGCAGCCCGTGCTTAGTATGATCGTATCAGTGTCCTGTACCTATTCCGCTCATCGTATCATATAAGTGATGTGCCTGATCCTTGTAACTGGCTACCGTGTCTGTGCTCTATGTGGATTTACCACACCATACCGATGCCTTGAACAGGCGCTAGGAGATATCGTACACCCTCCCGCATCCACTTTCAAAAGCTAGTCCCATGAGCAGCCTCGGCTCGGTCATCACGTCTTCTGCCTATATCTCTGATTCCCATAATGAGCTCAGCTGATTCAAATGCAACAGTTACAAACGAACAAAGGACTGATCTTTGCGAAATACGCAGGCACTGGTATGAGCACTTTGTCGAACGCAGGTGTTGGAGTTGGAGGTCGTCGAGGGTGCCGTCGGTCTGTTTCTGGAGCTCCTCCTCGCGGATATCACGTCTGTATTCAGAAACTAAGGACACTTGGCGGTGCTTCACAAACCACAGCGTATGCACACATGAGCACTTTGTTTCCGTTTTGCATATGCCCGTAAACGCATACTATCAAGTATCAGACCGCCAAGTTGGGCAGCTTGAGAAGAAGAATAAATTATGAAATGATTGAAAGATGCTATATTGCACTGTACTATTGTGCTCGTTTCTTAATCGACCCTCAGATTTGTCGAGAAGCGTGCTCCTACCCGGTGTAACCTGCAGACCCAGCCCTTGAACTTGGAGGTTGATGCTGTTGCGCCTGGTATGATTGAGTGGCGGCAGTGGTCTGCTGCTGGTATTGCATATATTGTTGAAACTGCTCCGGTGACATCGACTGATAGAACGAAGGCGCCTCAATGGCATGCGCATATCCTGCCAAAGCTCCTCCACCTTGTGGGTAGTATTGTCCATACTCTTGCTGCTCACCATATGCCTCAGCCTATATTTAGTCGTCAGGCGCCAAAAGAGAGGATGGAGTGCTTTGGTTAATCGGATGCCCATGAATCCGCGACATAGATGTATTCGCTGCTGTCGTAGCATAAAAAAGAAAAGCGCAATGACAGACATACGCTAGGTACTGCATCCTCGCGTGTCGTCGACCGCTTCGAAGGTTTCAGCTGCTCCTCCCGGGGTACGATATCAATCAAAAAGTCAAACTGATCTGAGCGTGAGACCGCATTGGCAACATCGCTCCTCTGTAATGTTCTCCTTTTGTTCTCCTCGGCATGCAACCAAGCCCGACGTGTAATCTCGCAGATAAAAATCTCGCAGGCTTTTGAGAAAAGAAACGGGGCTTCGGCCGAGATCATCTAGTGAAACCGGACGTGATAATAGCAATTGAGCAGTTGATAACAACAAAGCCCTTTGAAAACGATATTTGAAGCATACCTTGACCTCAGGGTCTGACTTCATAACTTTCTTAATACGTGCCAGCGGTAGGGGATGGTTCTTAAAGTCGGAATCGAACTGCTCTGCGGTCACAATCTGCTCCTTCCAAAATTCCTGCGCAAACTGAAGTTGCTGCTGCTGTAGGTCTGCAGAGCTCTGGGTAGCGGTAGAGCCCACTGCTGCGGATGGTGTATTCGTCGAAGACTGCTCATACATATCGGGGACTTGATGAGCCATTTATGAAAGTCGGTGGTTTAACAATAAGGCTGCTGAATTTACTGTCTGCTATGTGTTATCCGATGCTGAGTCCTACAGGTAAGCGGTTTGTCTTTGTTCCTGAGAAGGTCGATTCAGCCGGAATGACAAACAAGGTAGCCTTGTCCTGATGTCCGCTCGTTCTCTCGTAATACAACTATCTGGGAGGCAAGCAAGGAAGCGAGCGGCAGCAATGGAAAGAGGGAGGGAGGGAGTAAAGGAGTGAGGAGTGGAAGTTGAGGAAGGTCAATGGAGCAATGTTGACAACATTCAGGCACAGCTCATCACTTTATTTTTCCACGGCATGGCGAATTCATTTTTGCTGGGCAAGCAGCGTGTTTGTTCTCGATTACACGTGATATAATACTGTGAGGGATCCAGGAATCGGGAACAGCTCGCTTGTCGACAGAAGCTCAAGCAGTCTCTCTGTAAGCCATTCTGAGGGCAACCTTCCAGGTAAAGGAGTAGAAGATGACAGAGCCATAGATGATAATTCGCCTGCGAGGTCTCGGCAGCTCTCTATCAAGGTCAAAGAAAAGTTAGCATCCATAAAAAAAATGATAAATCTTCGGTATTCTCTGTATATCCTAGACGTACGTTGAAGCTGGCTGACCCTCACTTCTAGAACGGACATTATTGCTGGACCTTTACAGGAATGTTGTGGTTGAAGACGATATCCCTTTATCAAGGCCGTTACCAAATCCATTAACCATACGCAGTGTTCCTCGGTAAATAGCCGCGTATGACGACGCTGCAGTAACTGACGTGCTCTAAACAGTCTTGCCCTAGCTTTCGAGCGCGAAGTTGGTCGAGCGGATGCACTTCCTGTACCATTGGTTATTGGCTCTGGCGCCTCCATATATGTTGTGTTCTGTAGATGTCCGACCAAAGCCTTTAAAGCAGTATGGAAAAGAGATCCATGGTAGAATGCCCATTGAGGGAATAAATTGATCTTGTCAGCGCTGTTAATCCAGTGTGAAGTGAGGCTCGATAATATCGCTGATTCCCTTGCAGGCGTATTCAGTTTACGAGGGTGCGCCTGTGTTAACACTGGCTGCAAAAGCTGGCTCCACGACGTGGCCAGTGCCTCAAAAACTTGATCGAACTGCCGGAAGGTCAGAAGAGGTGCCGCCAGATAATCTACATGTTGCCATATATGTAGCGTAAATTATACGTAGGACCAGCCGTAATAGACATAAAGCAGCGGTATCGTTCGAGGCAAGTTACTTTTTAGTACACCTATGCAATGCTCATAGCATCTTTGAGATATCCGCGGGTCGATGGAAGTTGAAAGCAACATCTTTGTCACTTCTTTGATCATCTCAATGATACTTAACATCATGGACGTATTCCACATAGATGTCTCGATTCGAAATCCCTCGTGCACCATATCTCTGTCTTCAGCAGTCTCTGAGAAGAACCTGCTTCTTCTGAGGAGTTCGAGTTGCCTTAGGATGTTGAGTTTGCTGCTCGACAGCTCGATAGATTCTACGGTAGCACAAAACCATTTTGGGTCAGTACGGTGCAAGGGCCAATTGAAACTCAACAGCATAGAGCGTACAGGACCTTGGTCCTCAGCCATAGATTCAGCAGAAGAAATATTCTGTATAACGGTATCGACACATCCATATGCCGGTGGTGTTGTCGTCTTTGAAGCGTCAGCGCACTTAGCATTCTTCCTCCGCTTCTTCTTCGGACGTGTTTGTTCGACTATGGCAGCTGGGTTGTCTTGTGGACAGTTTTCTCGTTGTATTTGTACCCGGTCATGCTTCAACTGGTGCTCCAACTTCCACCTCCTCAAGTCATTGATCTCTAAAAGGAGCAGCTTGGTATGTATTACGTTGTATGATGCTTTGAATCAGCTCACGAGCACATGCATTATATACTGTGCATACCCTTACCATTTTCTAATTGAGCTGTCCGTTCATTCCAGTATTCGGGCGGACCCCTTTGCTCATCCCTTTTCAAGTACGACCGCGCCTTTGCAGGCGGCGAGGCTGTTCGCTCGGGCGAAAAATGTCCTAAATCGGCGGCATGCTCGGTTGGAGCCAGGGTAATATCGCTCTGTTGAGATGAGAGCTCAACTGGAGGGTGAATAGTTGGCGTATATTTGGCGGCGTCGCATCCTGCAATAACCCTGTCGCATTTGATCTGGTCTAAACGTTCTATGAAGCGTAAGGGAGCATGTTTAGAATCGCTATGCCATATGAGGTGAGTTAGGTTGGGGATGAATAAATAAAAAAATAAAAAGACTGAAGCCCGATGCGGTTGAAGGGAGCCATTACCCAGTACTGAAGTGCCCTTTGGAGTACTCTGGATGATGGCGATAGCGAGTATGATCCGCAGAGCACGCTGATGCGATGCATAGAATGGCTGCAAAAGAGGTAGCATCTTGTTGAAAGGGAGAGAGGGATGCGGATGGGAATGCGACGAGAATACTGAAAGAGGATGACTGAGGAAAGAGAGAAGAGAGGATAACATTGACAGAGCGAAGGAACATATTTTGCCACCAAAAAAAACCATCGAAGCTTAATTCGTGTCTGGCGGACCAAGTGGATAGTTTACTCTGTGAGATTCAACATGAATACACGCGTTCACTAATATAGGATGCTGTAACACGGAACATAACCCCTTTCCCCTGCAAAGGAGGTACTTGCACGCTGTGCGAATGAGCACGCAGACGCGTTTAATGCGGGTCCTAGGATATTCTGACTAGGGTTCTGATTGCGATAATCAGGACGACCTGAAGGAATCGTCATCCTCCTTTGAGAAGAAAAATGGGCCGCATCTCCGTTGGGATGGAGGATTTCATTGTTCGAGAAGGAAGAGACTCGATGGCGAGGAATAACCGATGAATGGTGTGCTTGTTCTTTTTTTTTTTTGCAAACAGCATTTTTTTTTCTTCTTTCTTCTCCATCACTCTTATGCAGGGTTGTTTGCAGAAATGGATGCGTCTGTTTGTTGAAATCCTATAATCGGGGTATATCAGATCATGCATGCATCGCCTCTGAAATTCCCGAATGGCATCATTTTCGCCCGTCCCAGTGCCATGTTCACATTTGCTGCATCTACCGAGTGCATTTATGCATAGACTACAAACGTGTTGCCTGGGAAATGGGACGGAGAAAAGCAAAAGAAGACGCACATGCCACACTACCACCTACCCTATAGCAACAGCAACAACAACAACAACTCGTCGAGCGTAGTAGAGGAAGGTTCCTGACCTGCTCCTTCCTATCCAGGTTCTTTTGTTGCTGCACGATAATAAACCGTCCGGTGTGTGCGTGTTTTTACAGTTGGTTGGGCATTTTTCTGCCATAACCATTCGGACATGTAGCCGAACAACGATAAAAAGGACGCCGTTGTCCCTGTTGTGGCACCTCGCATTACAAATCCACTTTTTTTTTAGTATTGTTATAACAGTTCGATCGCAAGCTGATCTCTTCTTATTTCTACAGCACACACTTTCCACTCATTCTCATTCGTTTCCTCATTCCACTTCCTCATTTCCTCGCACCAAGTTCTCTTTTGCCACCTCAATACCTACTATGACCGCAATTCAGACTCCAGAGTCGCTTCAAGGCCCGACATACAGTCGCAACTATGAGGGGCATAGCCATTACAGCAAGCAACCAAGAACCAGAACACAGCCCGTCGCGTTTGCGCAGGAGACCTTCTCTCAACTGACGTTATACACTGCCAATACCATGCGCACTGGGACCACTGGGCTGCTGAACACGACCCTGAAGAAATCAAACCAAGAGGTATGCTCGGGTTATTTGTGGTTTACAGCAGGATATGATCGGGCGCTAAATTAAGTTGCTCGGTTGCGTACTGCATGCGTGTTCATGTTGTTCATGTTACGAATGTGTGCGTGGACATGCGCGTGAGCCCTGAGCAGTGCAGACCGGTCATGGACATACGGAAAAAAGAGAGGATTCCTTTCTTGTGTGTTCAAATGGCGAGCAAAGGATGACTGACCAGAAAATGGTTTACATCGAACCGATAGCTTGTCTCTGCAGTGGAGGACACGCTGCTGCGCTCACTGGAGTCCACTCAGATCAAGGGAAGCAGTATTACCATTGCTGACCAAGGAGCTATTGGGCCCTTGGAGGAGGGCCGATCCAAGTACGAAATTACAGCCAAGCTTTTCTTCTTATCACCTGCTGGAGCGTCTGCACTGCTGTCTGTCGAGCACTTGGACAAGGCATTCCAGAATCTTGACTCTGTCTTGAGTACATCCAATCTGGTTGTGGATAATTTCATCCTTGCTCTCCCCAACCAGACCTTTGACGAGAACGAGCTCGATGAAGCAGAGCTTGAGGATTTCAAGCGAGATGTTCAACAATACTACCTGCCAGTTTGGAGGCGACTGTCAGAGCTCCGCATGAATGGACGGATCGGTCGCCTAGGTGTATCCGAGTTCTCGAAGCAACAGCTAGTGATCTTGAAGGAGGTAGCACTCTCGGTTGGAGCAGTAGCCCCTGAACTGAACCAGGTGAATCTTCAGGACTGCTGTGTGCTCCCCAAGGGATTGGTCGAGTACGCAAAAGCCGAGGGAATCGAGCTATTGACCCATGGTGACTCTACTAGTACGTGCGAGCACTGTTATTGTCGAGCGTGCACGATGGATGATCGGAGTATGCTTGCTGAACTCATTGTGAGCGATCCTTTTCCGCTGCGAATAGACATTTTACCAAAGTCAACATTGGCCTCACTGCTGCAGCCTCATCTGCCTGCCACATCTGCTTCTTCTTTGGCACCTAGGTCCGTGCTCAAGTACTCTGCCATCCTCACAGGCCGTGGACTCGTTACACGGAAAGGGTATGTTTGGAATTGCGTTATTACTAAGGCATTCACTTCTCTGGGAACCCATTCAAGCTAACCAATGCCAATGGGAATTTTTTTTAATGCGTGCGTTAGATACATTGTTGATGCTGCTACCGCATAGACTACAGGACAACGCGCAACACATATACTTCATACACCAATACCATGCACAGTATTCGTTTTTCATAGAGCCAAGCAAAAAAGTAAAAAGGAGGCAATTGAAGTGGAGAGCAGAGAAAGCGGTTCGACGCGTTACAACTTTTCCCTTTGGTCGCACAACGACATAGGGCATGGCTATAGCACGACTTTTTACGCCACCAAAAATGCAACTGCATATTTGTGTTTTTTTCCATGGCCGATGCCATGCTATGATGATGGCAATGATGATGCTTGCAGTGGAATACGAAGAGACGCAGCAGCAGCAGGCGGCGAATCGGGTTTGTCAGTCAGCGTGTGAAACATCCTTTCTTTCAAGACATGCACTTCTTTCCCCCACTGTCCTGCTCTTCTGTTCTTCCCCTATCCTCTCTCGCACCATCCCCTCTCTATTTTCGCTGCTCATTCCATCCGGTCTGTCTGCTCATTTCATTCTGGTTCATTGCATTCCATCTTATACAACCCGAATCGACTTTTCTTATTATCCTTACATTTTTGGCGGCGTGTTTCTGAAGACCGATATCCCGGAGACACTCAGTCCATACATCCTTTGTCGAGAAGCTGACTTGAAGGTAATGGGATGCCAAATACTGCCTCCATGGTCTATGGCTGGGATCTTCGTCAAAATGGCTGTGGCTGTTTGCTGTGTGTCTTTCGGATGACGGGATGAGCAGACCGTTGGGAGAAAAAATATGTCATCATTGTACATCGCACGTAACCACAACGTGAGAAATCCATTTCCTGCCAAAAGAAAGGGCCTCCGTTTCGCACGCTTAACAAGCAAGGAAGCAAGGAAGCACCCAGTAGCCATCCTCACTCTACTGCCGGGATCGACATCTTTGCCCTGTGGATGTGCTCGCTGCACTGTGGACACAAAAACTCTGGCGTAATGCTGTGCTGCCCTTGATCGAGATACCACAATGTGGATTTCATCTGCATTCCGTTCTAATTCATACGAATCCCACAGATCGTGGCCGATCCCTCTCTCTGCGCTGACTGCACTAACATGCGATCGCACCTTCTTCTTCTAACACGTGTGGTCGATCCTCTTCTTTTAGATGGCCGACACTAACAACCACTACAGCTGCGAAAACGACGGCGCTGCCTCGACAGAGGATATTCATCCGACCCCTCCTACGTTATCTGCACTTCCCAACCACGTCCTCACCCGTCTGACTTCACCCGCTAACTCTGTCGCCACAGCCACCCCCGACGCATTAGAGCAGGAACGGCTACCAGTCTTGGACTTTGTAGAACGCCGCCCCACACCAGCCATCCACTCTCCTGATATGACCCACCTCGCACAGTACTTGGAGCACTATCCATCCCACTTCGGATCAGTTGATGACCCTTCTCAGCACTCTCCGCCTTCAGACCTGGAGCTGCCATCGCCCATTCCTGCCGTCGCTGCACCTCTGCATCCCAACATCTCCTCGCCATTCGCTCTTGGTTCACCCGCTCGCACACCGTCGCCACCGCCGATGCCAAATGTACATAGCCCTATCAGCGACGACCAAGAGCATCCGGTCACCGATTACCCTGCGCCACCGGTGCCAGTGAGCGCTGGAAGCACTGAGGCTCCACCGCTGCAAACGAGTTCACATCCACCAACTCAAACAGCCGACAACCCCTCCTCTCAGCCCGTTATTCGAGCACCAACAATGCAGACTGGACACGACGTGTCTTCCAATACTTTACATGTCCCCCCATCCAAACGCAAGCTGCCAATCTCACCACTTGCACTATCTTCTGCTGTGCCAGAGGAAACCAACACTGATACGACTGAACAGGAAGAGGAGCAGCAACAATCTTCGCCACAGAAAGACTTGAACTCTATTGACCGCACAGCAGCCGTACAGAATACAAAGTTGGGGTCGCCAGTCAGAATTAGCGAAAACATTCCACCGCAGGGCATGGAGCACATGGAACCGCAACTCATGGGCGCAGGACGGAGGTCCAGAGCCGTTATCTCAGATATGACCCCGGTTGAGATTGACCAGATAATCGAGAATGCAGCCACGAGACTGGTGGCCGCACGCCGCGAGACAGGAAACGATGGAGACTCGGATCGGCTTTCTGGCTCAGACAACGACGAACCCAAGGCTGCTGCTCAGCCTGCTGCCCCTGAAGAACGCTACGATTCTCACTCTCGGCCGAATCATTCCCTGCATCGCAGCAGTAACCCAACCACATCGACCCACTTGCACGGATCTTATCTTACCAGGACCAGTACGGACTCCACTGATGACCTGATTTCACATCCAGTCTCGGTCGAAACTTCAAGGCACAACTCGGACGACGAGGACTATGGCTATTACATCCCGCCATCTGGCGTAGACTGGACTCAACGTAGACAACTCGATGCTGCTTCGCAGCCTACTATACCGCAGCACCCACCGAGTGCCCCCCTAAGAATCATTGCACCCGATGATGCTGAAGTCAGTCAGCTTACGAGCAATTTCCAGTCGCAAAAGTTTGACAAGCAGCCAGATGTGATATCGGTACCTGGAACCCGAGAAGAAATCCGTCTCTCAGTGACAGCGCCATCCACGCCTGGTCCTTCTACTCCCCAGGCAGCAGTGGTAGATACCAATGCTATGGCCAATGCGTCGATCTCAAGGCCTGCTTCTCCTCACAGACACTCGTCTCATATCTTCCATCTCAAGAAGAAGGATAAGGAGATAGACCCATCGAAGATACCACCCAGAAAGTCCGCTCGGGAGACCTCTCATGGCATTTTTCACGACCTCAAGCGATTCTTCAACGTTGGTCCTTCTCCGCAACTTTCGCCGGTCATTGATCCAACTACAGCACCTGCTCGAAACGAACTTCTTGCTACACCATCTTTAAAGGCCAAGAAATCCGGTATGCTATCGGAATGGGCCCATTCAACTTCGCATCATCATGGAGCAAGCAAAGAAGGCAGCGTGCATGGCTCAGAAAAATCGAGCGGGCAACACGGCAACGCGATCGATACGGACTTGCGGAAAAAGTACGGCAAGCTGGGCAAAATCCTCGGCCGAGGCGCTGGCGGCACGGTCCGCATTCTATCTAGGTCGTCGGATCAGAAGGTCTTTGCGATCAAGCAGTTCCGCAAACGTCGACCCAACGAGTCGGAGCGTTCCTATGTCAAGAAGGTGACCTCGGAGTACTGTTTAGGATCGACATTCCATCATCCCAACATCATCGAGACGATGGATATTGTGAAGGAGTCGGGTAACTACTATGAGGTCATGGAATTTGCAAAGTATGAGTTGTTTTCGGCGGTCATGTCCGGCCTTATGGGTCGCGAGGAGATAGCCTGTTGCTTCAAGGGTATAGTCGATGGGGTCGCGTACCTACACAGCCTTGGAGTTGCACACAGGGATCTGAAGCTAGATAACTGTGTGATGAACGAACGCGGTATTGTCAAGATTATCGATTTTGGGTGCTCCATGGTTTATCAACTACCGTTCGAGAAGAAGATCCAGATGGCTCGAGGTAACGTAACGTACCCTGTTTTATTTCTCCCATCATCTACCTATTTGAACTTCATTTAAACTGATGCAAATGGTTATTCGATATCCAGGCATCTCTGGATCGGACCCATATATCGCTCCGGAGCTGTTTACGGCAGACCAGTATGATCCTCGGCTAGCGGATGTGTGGTCACTAGGGATCATCTTTTTGTGTATGACACTGCGCCGCTTCCCATGGAGGATCCCGAAGATAGAGGACCAATCGTTCCAAGCATTCGCAAGGCCTGACGGCACAGGCAAGTTGCGACTTCTGAAGCTAATGCCTCGGGAGAGCCGAGCGATCATGTCTCGGATCCTGGAGACTGATCCCAGCAAACGCGTGTTGATCACAGAGGTTCTTGAGGATCCCTGGATCAAAGACGTGGACCATTGTACGACGGATTATATGAGTCCATATCACCCACACCACTTGGGCGACGACGGAACGGTGGTGGCAAATCCGAATGAGGGTATTTCTGTGTTGCCGCCTTCGATCCAGGGGAGTGAGAGTGGAAAATCGCAGGATTCGACCTTGCCTTCGACTCACACGAGCATGGCTGCCAGTTCTATTGTCCACTAAAGGAATCGGTCACCATCTTCTGGTTGTACCTTTTTTTCCTGCAGAATAATAATAAAGCAGATGTTTGCTCCAATTTGAAGAGACAAGGCTGCTCTTGCTTGAACCATGCTGTGATTGCACAAAAAGTACAGAGTTCCTTGTTTTTACAAGTTTTATTGCGACAGAAAGAGCAATGAGGCGAAAGGATGCTAGCGCGCATATGTAGCAAGATCTGCCGATTATCGCTTCTTGAAACCAAACTTTTTCCGTTCGTAGAACAGATCTGTCTTTGATGATCCCAGGTTAACGATCTTTGGGCATCCATCTCTCTAATGGCAGTGAACAAGCGAACAGAAAGCGAAAGAAAAAAAAATAGAGAAAGGGGGACATGATCCTTATTAGTAATCGAGATCAAACTCTGAACAGCACTCAACGATACGCAGAATCTTCTACTCAATGCCGGAAACGCCCCTCCCTGGCTTGCTTACATCCTTCTCAGCTCGTGTGCAGTTAGCGCAGTAGTAGGCGTCGCTTACTCCTGGTGCTCCGCAGATGACGCAACGTCCCTGAAATGAGCCGTAGTTGCATTCGTCGCAAATTCTGACCAGTGTTACCGGACGTACGTATCTATTTTTTTTTTTGGCAAGGATAGGGGAAAACAAGAGGCATTGGTATAGATTGAGTCATGAGTTTCCATGAGAACAGGTAGTTGAAGGCAAAAAAAAAAAAAAAATCAAGTATTGGAGAAAGGGACTTACGAGTCGCAGATAACGCATTTTCCGTCATCCTTTTCGCACAGGCGTCCGATGGCTATTGTTCAATGAGGAAGAGATACATGTTAGAGGAAGAGAGAACTGGGGAGCAAAGGAGAGGCCATGTTTGGACGTTTTTTTAGCGTAGCAGCCAGTGGCAGAGTTCTGGGTCATATCTCTCGACCCTTGCGTGCACTCAAGAAACAAACGCAAAAAAAAGGTGGGTGGTCCCTAGTTCAATTTGACGTACCGATGCCGGGCTGCTTCCTGCACATGATGAGATCTGGGTGATGTTTCGACATGACTAGACAGAAAACATAGCAATGCATGCATGGACAAGGACAAAAGAGGAGCTGTTAGAAATAGGCGCGCGACGGATAGATTGCGATGTCTGCTTTTGTTGGCGCTTGTTTTGTTGGCTTCCTGCAGCCTTGAGAATCGAACCCGACATACTGTATATGAAGTCCCGTTCAGCGATAGATCCTGATGTGTTGTCGTCCGGCCGGAAAGAGAGATAGAGAGAGATAGAGAGAGCGAGAGAGAGAAAGGACTGATGCAAGGTTGGAGTCTTGGACTGGCAAGCGAAGGGGAGGCAAGGCATCAGAGATCTTAGGTTCTGGGGCCACCTGCGCCACATACTTTTTTTGGTCTCGTGATCGAGAGAGGCTGTAAACCCTGCATTTTTTTTTGTCCGCCCAAACTTTTTTCTTTCGCGTCAAAGCCCGTTCAATTGCGGCCTTGCCCAAAGGATGGATCTATAAAAGGATATCATGGCCTCACTTTATTCATACCCATCGAACGGAGTCAATAAATAACTGAGGCTAATGGGGTTGTTGATCAATACTGGTAACTATTCTTTATGCCACCTGCGAAGATGACATCCGTGATGATGATAGCGACCGCGGCACTAATGACAAAGACGGCGCCGGGGCTGGCTATGTACATATTCCCTGCACAGGTTTAGACGTTATAATAGAAAGCTTGCTTGAGGCAACGCACAATCCTTTACTCGTTCACGCAGTTTAGGCGCTGTAAAAATTTGGTCCGCAAAGCAATCACATCGCTACATCCATAGTTTGAGTAACTTGAATGGTTACCTACGACGACGAAGTAACAGATTGTGTTACCAGAAGATTAGATAACTGAGGATTAGATGGTTGGCTTGACTCTAACGACTGAAGTGTAGGAAAATTCTTTTTTATTATAATTCTTTATTATAGTTTTTTTTATATATTATACGCGTAAAAAAAGTCATAGATGACGGTGAATTGACATCTAACATGGTCTGGTCACTCAAAGAAACACAGGTGAGCATTATTCTGCGAGCACATTTCTCCGACTCTGGCGAACTATACTTGATGCCTTGTGATATTCTGCAAGCAGGTTAGCTGTGTGGGCAGAGAATCATTCAGGCTAGTCGTCGTCGTCATCATCCTGGTGTTTCCGTTTTCCTCCTTTGGTTGCTTTGGACGGGGTGGCGGTAGTATCCTTGATGTTACGCACGGCCAAACCATACGCTCTTTGTTCCTTCACATTAGAATCCCTCCACTCCAAGAGCTGCTGATGATGCGCCTTCGCGAGTCTCGCGAAGCCAATGCAGGTTTTCAACAAGCGGCTCAAGTGGTTCCGTATGATGACATGTGAGTTCGGAACCCTGACGCAGGCTAGCTCATGCAGACGGAAGCAGCCACAGAAATCCATCCCTAAAAATGTCATTTCCGACTCATAAACTTGCAACCCAAAAACGGTAAGGGGCTGTGGTTGCTTGCCGTCTTTGATCTTCTTCTTCATGATGTAGGTCCAGGTGTCACGCATATCCCTAGCCAACTTGTAGTGATCCTTCGCCTTCTTCTCACCTGTCGCCCCCGACATCTTAGACGTCTCAACAGTAACCAGTTGCAGCGCATCTACCGTTTCGACAATGGCGTCTGCTCTGTGACCCTGGGCTTCACGCTCTGTGAGTAAGTCCTTTCCTGCATTTTTACGTTCGCTGCACCCATAGATCGGCACCTCAAATCGCCTCACTGCCAAATCCTCCAGGGCAAATGCACCCTCAAATGCAGGAAGAACAAGATCATCGAAATACTGCGTCTCGTTCGGAATCGCATGGAGGCGACTGCAGCGGAAATGTCGTGCCCTATTTTACGAATAACAAAGAGAATGAAAACATCAGAATCACACACAGATGTTAAAAATCCTGCTCATTCTTCATTTCGCGTCAAGCGAGCTTGCCGTCGTGGCTGGCCACTTACATCCCCGTGAAGACCTGAGAAATGTAATATACCAAGTCGTCCTTATGGTCGAGTCCACGAACTGTCCTGTGCATGTCCATAAAGGTTTCCTCGCCACTACCGAGAGTTGCTGCAAGCGGCTTGTCGATCACGTCGTCAAATACGATGTCGGGGATGTCAGCAAGTGCGAGCTCAACTTCCTCGTCCGATAGGCGCCTCAAAAACTCCCCATCGTCAGTCATATCGGCAATGTGATCCTTGCTCAAGGAAAACTTCTTCCCCTGCTTCCGCTGCTCCTCTGCAAATTGCTCGAACTTCGCTAGCAAGTCCACATCTCCGCTTCTCCAGGTCGTTCGCTGGTTCAGACGACGGAAGTGATCTATTATGAAGCAAGATGACATGCTGTAGATATGCGCCAGTGTCTACGTTTGTTGAGGTCAACATAGCAGAGGCTTGAGCATGAGTATACCCATACCGAGGTTGTTGCGTACCCATTCCATGGCCACCATTGTCTAGGGTCCTTTGAAGGCTGACGATTTCGTATTCGTCGATCTTTTGCGTATCCGATACGAACGTTTCTGTGGAATATCCCTGCCGTTGTCGCTCTTCGCTTGTGGTGGTACCTAAAAGCTGGTGCTTGTCCCGTCTCTCTTCTGAACGTATTACAGTTTTATCATTGTCTATTTGTAGAGTGCTCTTAAGTAAAATGTCCAGAATGGTATCGCAGATAAATGACAGCAGAAAATAACACAGTAGTACCTTCAGACTCTAGAACATTAATAACATCTTGTTGTGTTTGCGAATGCATGGATACGCCATACTTGAGGTTCGAGATCTTTAATCTCTGGCGCTCCTCCTTTGCTGCTCTCTCATTCCAGAATAGATCGAGTGAAGTCTTTGTCAGCGTCCATTCCTTCTGAAGTCTCGTTCCCGTCTCCACCAGCACTGGGATACGGCTCTCCGCTAATCGACGCATGATAGACACCCATTCCTTTTCAGCTGTCTCTCGACCAGAGGAGGCAACGTGTAGGGCTTCGAAAAAGCATTTGGGCGCGATATTCCGCGGGTCCGTAATGCTATCGAAATACGCGTCATGAAATTTCATGGAGCTGAGAAAGGACTTCCACGAAGGCATGCTTGGGATGCTTGAGGTACTTGATAAAGAGATGGAGGTCGGCGTTCGAGGTAGCTGGAAAATGAAAGTAGTTCGTTTCGCGCCGAAAATACGTCACCGAAGACATTCCTCCCCAGATTTTTTCTATCCTTTGCAATTCCTTGCTTTTCACTTTCTCGTCCAGCATTGAACGCAACCGACCAGTGGACCCATTCAGATCATCCAGGCGGCAGCGCAGAGTACTCTGCAACCATGAGTGGCTCGTTATCACGCGAGAGTCGCTCATGCGGGCCGTCTTGGAGCATCAGGCAGAGGTAAGACTACCAACAGACTGGGCGGCCTTGAGCAAGGGTCGGCTGGATCTGCCGTGCTATAAGCGGTGCATTTGATGGTTTTTTCTTCTTTTTTGTATGCCAGAAAAAATATGCATTGAGACTTCTACCAACCAGTGGACCATTGCTTGCGAGCTTTGCTACCCATTCTGGGGATCATCCAGGCGGCAGCGCAGAGTACTCTGCAACCATGAGTGGCTCGTTATCACGCGAGAGTCGCTCATGCGGGCCGTCTTGGAGCATCAGGCAGAGGTAAGACTACCAACAGACTGGGCGGCCTTGAGCAAGGGTCGGCTGGATCTGCCGTGCTATAAGCGGTGCATTTGATGGTTTTTTCTTCTTTTTTGTATGCCAGAAAAAATATGCATTGAGACTTCTACCAACCAGTGGACCATTGCTTGCGAGCTTTGCTACCCATTCTGGGGATCATCCAGGCGGCAGCGCAGAGTACTCTGCAACCATGAGTGGCTCGTTATCACGCGAGAGTCGCTCATGCGGGCCGTCTTGGAGCATCAGGCAGAGGTAAGACTACCAACAGACTGGGCGGCCTTGAGCAAGGGTCGGCTGGATCTGCCGTGCTATAAGCGGTGCATTTGATGGTTTTTTCTTCTTTTTTGTATGCCAGAAAAAATATGCATTGAGACTTCTACCAACCAGTGGACCATTGCTTGCGAGCTTTGCTACCCATTCTGGGGATCATCCAGGCGGCAGCGCAGAGTACTCTGCAACCATGAGTGGCTCGTTATCACGCGAGAGTCGCTCATGCGGGCCGTCTTGGAGCATCAGGCAGAGGTAAGACTACCAACAGACTGGGCGGCCTTGAGCAAGGGTCGGCTGGATCTGCCGTGCTATAAGCGGTGCATTTGATGGTTTTTTCTTTTTTGTATGCCAGAAAAAATATGCATTGAGACTTCTGCCGACTAATGGACTATTATTTGTGAGCGTTGCTGCGTGCAATAGGAGCCTTCATCGGCGAACGAGATGCGACAGGAATGGTAACGGTACCGATATGGACCGCTGGCAAGACCGATGATGGTACTGGCGATTGCGCGGGCTATGCTCAGACGTAGCGAGGATATTTTCGTGTTTCGCCGCTCTTAGTTTTACATTGGCTGATTAGGCCCTTATTCCTGAGCAATGCATTAAAACAGCGTGGCAGACATGCCACACTATGTATCAATATGTACTCGAATGGTGACAAGGCTGTGGGAAGTTCAACATGAGTCTGCAAGGTTGAAGCAGCAGTTCGTGATCTTGTAGGGTCGACTTATAATAGTACAGGACGACAAGAGTCAAACGAGGGTAAGTATGTAATGTTGCAGGGAACGGAGAAAAACGCTAATGCAAAAAGGAGGCGAGAAAAGGAACAAGCAAGCAATAGATAATGAGGATCGCTATAATGGTCAAAATAGGCCACTGAAGAATGCGTAAAGAAACGTAGCCCTGTCTGGTCCAAGCTCTTGGTCGTTATCGAGAGTGAGGAAGCGACAATATGGAAAGTGGAAGAGAGCGAAAGTGCATTGAGTTACAAGTAGTTTGTTAACCTTCGTGGAGTTCCTTAGCAGAAGTGGAAGGCTTTCCATGCAAGCTGGGCTTGTTAAGACATCAAGGCGCGTCAACTTAAACAGGCGCCCATTGCTCGACCGCGAGGAATGGGATGCCACATGAAGAGGACAGTCAGAAAAGATGCACTGGGGAGAGATAACGAACAGAGACATGGAAGAAAGACATGGATGACAAAGTCTTTACGTGCCTTGTCGTCTCGTTCGCGGCGAGGAGACATTCAGGAGCGAGTAACAGGGAGTAAAGAAAACAGGAATGCTGGTCCCTACGGCTAGAACTAGGATTCACGAACCTGAGAGGCTTCTCAGGACGCTGGATTGTTGCGAAGTTAATGGCAGCCTCTGTTTTTGCTCTAGCGAGCGCGGGACCATGCAGATCGTGGCGCTTCTGTTTGCCATAGTAAAGTTACAAGGACGCTCAAAAGCACGACAAGGACGACGACGTTAATAAGCGAAGCGATCCATGCTTCTCCACTGGTGTAGTCGCCTCGTTGCTAGATGCTGTGCCCAGCATCGGTATTAGTATTGCTCTCTCACTTGCAGCAGCAATTTCGAATGAGACGACACAGATATTATGCTCGACGGCTGTAAACGACATTGCCCTGAAAGGCTGTGCTAGGTCCAATGACGAACGCTGGAGAAATAAATCTTATTTCTCAACACGAAGCATAAACTAGCTTTGGTCTACGTATTAACATCTGTCGCCGAAGTTTGAGGCAAAGCCTGAGGTGCACGCGAATGAGAAGATGCAGGTGCTGGGTCCGGCTGTCCATCCAATGACAGATCGCCCAAAGACCGAGTAACCTGTTCTGTACTCACTGGCGGCTGAGACTGAGGAGGGTATTGGGGTGGATACTGAGAAGAATTCTGTGACGGATATTGGGGAGGGTACTGAGCAGGAGGGTACTGAGAAGGAGGATACGGGGAAGGTGGATACTGAGCCGGTGGGTACTGAGGGTAAGCACCATAGTGTGGTGGATACTGTGCTTGCTGACCTAGTTGAGCTGGTTGACTTGGCTGTGCTGGCCGAGTCGGAGGAGCTACTCCGTGGGCCTGGCTGATAGGGGTTTGGGGATATCCTGCGCTCGCAGGTACTGGCATGCTAAAGTTCGGATAACCCTGCCCCGGAACTGGAGGAGGATAACCTGGAGCTGCAAATGCTGGCGGCTGAGGAGATGATGGGTAACCCGTTGCGGAATGTGCTGCCTCCGGCTGAGAAGGAGGGCATGCAGATGCTGGTAGAGCATGCTCGGCTGGTGCAAGAGGATGGGCTGCGGGAGGATAAGCGGTCCCAGCAGGCGGATATGCAGCTCCAGAGGGCGGATAGGGCGCCCCATGATGTGAATACGCGGCTCCAAGTCCAGGAGGATACTGTCCTACGGCACCCGAGGCCACGACGGGTATCACTGTATCCGCTCGAATTGGCGGCTTCGGCGTGATCTTGTTCGCCACCATGTACTCCATAAACTGCGTCGGCACCTCCGCTAACAGGGCCGCGGCCAGCCCATGCTCCATATGCGGCGGAAAATCGCGTGCAGCGACAAACTGCACAATATCGCGGTACTTTCTCTTCTTGCCGTCGTCGTCATCGTCATCCAAATCATGCATCTGCAAATACAAATAAAAGTAAAAAAAAACGCGACTTATGTCAGCAACTTGAATCGTTTCTGTCTGCTGTGTAGAACAAGATGCATACATGACCATAGAATTAAATGCTTTGCGAGAGTGCATCCAACTTACACTTACACTGGAGAACCGCGCGTAACCAATACCGACAATAATGATCGATAGCGCGTGATTGCTGGCCCTTTGGATTGCCTTCACTGTCGCGTCCCTGTTTCAAGTAAAGAGTGTTATGGATGGACGCGTCGTGTAAAGGCATACCCGATCATATTAGAGCAACAACATTTCAGTCCTTCTCACATGTCACTAATGGCACCATCTGTCAGGATCAGGAGGATCGTGTATCCATAAGGTTCGCTCTGCATTGCAATATTTGTTGCCTCCATAATGACAGGCGCAAAGTTCGTAGGACCATGCAACTCCACAAACGACTGCGCGTTCCAGTACGCGGACAGGATGCCTTCGACCCCATACACCTCCGGCTATCAATACCATGAGGTAGAGCAGTTCTACGTCAGCTTTTTCATGAATAGACTCAAATCGACCATTACTTCTAGTTCCCATTAGCTCAATCCTTTTCTTCTGATACTTACACATGTTGGGTTGCCGTTCAAAGGGAAAGCATGGCTAACCTGTCCATTGATAGACCCTCCGAATCCGTAGACTGGAAACTTTTTATCTGTATCATAGCACTGCAGAATGTTACCGACGCTGCGAATCGCTTGCGTGTACCCGTTCTCGCCGTTCGGGCTCCTGAAGTGTAGCGATCCCGGCTTATTGTATGGTCCATTGCTCGCTGTAAAGTCGACTGCAACGCAGAGTCCGATAGTACCTCCGCCGGCAATAAAATCTGTGAACGAAGGCGGCTCGGTCACAGTGAACTTCTGGATAATCAGAGCCGACGTGCCCGTCATCGGTGGAATCGCCATCGAGTGTGGAAACGGCCGTTGGCTCAATTCATTCAATGTGAACACAGCTGTGGTACCGATTACTGTCTCAACTAACCACACCGCCAACCAAAAAAAAAAAAAAAAAAAAAAAAAAAAAAAAGTTAGAACAGGTTACTCCGCCCTCATTGTTTTCGTTGGCATGAATCACCCCTATTTGATTTTTTACCTCCATTGCCCTTGCTGTTCTTGATCTCAATCTTCAGCTTACGGTGTGGATCTCCGTTACAGAGAAAGCTCTCCTTGATCGAAAATTCCTTCCAGATCGGATCGTCTTCAGACTGGATCGCCTTGGACCTGTATACCGGCAAAAAACCCGTGTTTCCATCGTCGCGATAGATGGTGAAGAACGCTGTAGGCCTCGATTTGAACAGACCTTTCTTTGTCAGGTCCAGAGCTCTTATTCCGAAACTATACATAGTACACACGACACACACACACACACACCAGAAATCATTATAAGTCTTACTGCTCTTTTACTGGCAATATTCTCGACAATCCTCAGCCCTCTTTTTTTGTACTCCTTACTTGATCGTCCGTTTTGAGCTCTTCAACTCTTCAGCATAGACAATAATCTGGCCTAACGCAGTCGTCTTGCGTTTTGGATGCTGAAGCTGGAGCACTGCTTGGCTACCACGGGATCCAATAATAGATCCCATGTCCGTGGTAACCTCACCCAAGAAGTCTTGATCCGACCAATTACCACTGTGCTTGTCATCGATATCGTACACAACGAACTTCAGTCGCTGAATCATCTCGAATCGGTATTCGACCTCAAGCCCGTTCACGAAGACCGGGTTCAGGTTATCCTTGATGCGCTCAGTCATTGCGTGGGGCCTTGAGCACCAGGTATCAGTGCGGTCATCAAACAGAAAGAGGAACACCTGGGGATCGCTAAAACTCATGATATCTCTGTTGGCCAGATTTCTAAAGATCGAAATAAAGGAATTGAGTATTGTGTGAAGAGCGTTAATAAAATTCCTGTCGTATTTGAAACGGATAAAGTTGAAACAGGCATACAGTTACACTTGCCTGCATTTGATATTGAGCACGACCTTTGGGGGAGTAGGAGGAAGCGCCGGTGGGTGCGGGTATATACTTTGCATGATGTTTGTAGTTGCTATTTGCCGCCAATAGTAGAGAAAGGAATGTGGAGGGAAGGGAGGAGCGATAAAGAAGGAAGAGAAAAGATCTTTGTGTCTCATCTCCACCTTTTATGTGATAAAAGAGTGGCGACTGAGATGGCCGCAGCAGTCGACGCATAATGCGGAGCTGAATCAGATTGGGGGCAAACGACCAATTGCTCAACGAAACTATGGAGTGGCAACGATGGAAGCCTCGCACTGTAAACGGTGGGCTCATTATGCGTAACAACGCAACCAGGTCCTCAGCCCAACTTTGGCACCGCCTCCGTTCCACAGGTCATATGTTATGAGATAACGATCACAATACAGTAAACCTGAAGTTCTAATGTTGTCTTCCTTTAATACATATGATAAAAAAACAGAAAAGTAGATAGAAGGTATCTAAAACGTCCAGAACGCGGCACAGATCAAAGGATCAAAGTCAATAGAAAAAGAACCAAGGGTGCTCCAAGCGGTCTTCAAATGCCGTTGCGTCTAATCAGGGCCAGAAACTCTTCTCTAGTCTTCCCTTGGTCCCTGAAGCAGCCAAACATGGAGCTGGTGATAGTCTGGCTACCGGGCTTCTGCACACCGCGCATTACCATACAGAAATGACTAAGGAGTGCAGTCGAGAGGAATTGGGTTTAGTCGAACATTTAGCTTCCTATCTTCCGCGGGATAAAGGTTATGGAAAATCGAAGCCCTGAGACATGACGCTACCTTGCTTCCATGACAACGGCTACACCCAGAGGATCAAGCAGTTCTTGCAGCGCCATCGCTACTTGCTTCGTCAATCGTTCCTGCACCTGAAGGCGGCGGCTGAACATTTCTGCCAAACGGGCAATCTTGGAAAGCCCAACGACCTTACCATTCTTTGGAATGTAACCAATATGGATCTAGTGCAATGAGATTGGCGAGGACAATCACAGAGGACATCAATTGTGATGTCTCGACCGTAGTGTGGGTGACCGCTCTATTGCTCAAAGAATGCTTCTTACCTTGCCGGTGAATGGTACCATATGGTGTTCACACAAAGAAAAGACATCAATGCCTTTTACGATCACCATCTCATCGTGATCTGCGAAAAAGATTTGTAACAGAAAAGCAGGGGAAAAGGCGTTGAGTAGGGCGCTCGACATGACAATTGAGTTTTAAAAATTGCTCTCAAGTAGTCTACCTTCTTGGAAAAGTGCCTTGTTCATCAGGTCTAATTAGTCAACATGATCAAGAGTGTCAGTTGACTTGAAGTTTGCATTCCGCAACAATAACAACGACAATGATATTGCGCCTTACGGGTAACGCTCTCTTCGTAGCCTTTCGAGAAAAACATGAGTGCCTTGGCATAGCGCTCTGGGGTCTTGAGGAGGCCCTCGCGGTCAGGATCTTCTCCGATGCATTCCAAAATAATGCGCACTGCTCCCGAGATCTTTTCAATTCTTGCTACACGTTGTTCCTCTGTGTCTTCACGGCGCTCCCTCGCTCCGACACCTACGAGTTGGTAGAAATGGAACAAGGCGGTGTGCATGTGTGTTTGTACGTGTGAGTAAAGGGAGGGCTGACCAACACCCATTGTAAATGGACGAGCCTACTGTCAAAGGGCACATCGCAAATTATCGAGTCCTTACTGGGAAAACTGAGGCCGTCAAAGTCGATGGGAGTGGCGATCCGGCCGTCGGGCGACTGTGATTTGAGGTGGCTGTGTCCGTTGCTGTGGTAGTGCCCGGTCAGGGCATGGGAGAGAAGGGTCTGCTTCGCTGTCGGGTGCTGCAGTCTTTGTCCAGAAAAGGAATTGCCATTAATAATTTCCTTGTGATTCACATTTCATACAACTGCTTCCTCTTTGCGCCCGTGGGAAACGAATGCAACACAACAAAAAAGAGTGGCTGAAGCAAACCAAAGCAAACCAGAGGCAGAGGAGCTGCTACTGCCGGGACAAGTGCGACCATACAAGGGACAAACAAAGGGTAAATACAGCAATTGCTACCACTCCAGTGAAAAGTATCCGTACGATATATATGTTGCCGTCAAATAGGAACACTCCACTGCACACTCGCCTGGGTAAGCAGCACACAGGCAAAGAAAGAAAAGAGAAAAGACATAGAGAACAGAGTCCTTCGTTCTCGAGAGAGTTGATCTGATCGTGTGTGTGTGTGTGTGTGTGTGGAAGGTTCGAATGGACTTACTCAATGTCGCTTGAGGGTGTCTTGGGACTGGTCGGAGTATATGCCATGGTGTTGGTGTTTGTTGTAAGAGGTGGAATGAGAAGGAGCTGAATGAGGAGTTGAATGGGGAGAGAGACGAGAGACGAAGAGAAGGAGCGATGAACAAGGAGCAGAGCTCTAAGAAGAGACAAGGAGGGACTAGGAGAATATTTTTGTCTTGAAGCAGTGGCGCGGAGGGGGCGTCGGGTCGGGGGAAGGTTCTTGGTGTGGGGTGGAGTCTAGTGGAGGGAAGCGGCAGAAAGGAGGATCGGATCGGGCCAATGAGAACGCAGTTGTAGGACAGGTCCACTCTGCTGGGTCTATAGCACGCTCAAAGAACTGAGCCTGGAGTTGCTGCATAAACTTCATTCTCCACAATGTCAACAAGCTGCACAGTGCTGGCGTTCGACAGGAACGGGACAGGGGAACTGAAGCAACGGCCATAATAATGTGCATTTGATCCCTTTGGAAAGGAATGTCAAAGGAGCATGCAGGAATATATGAGAACATGTACGCAGACTCACCATACTATGGAGAAAACGACGTTCGATTCAAACACAGCAACCAGCTTATTATGAGGGCAGGAATGTATTTGCTTACAGTCCGGTATAAAGCGTGCAAAAAGGAGTATCAACGAGAAACGCCGATATCGTGTCACAAGTGTTGAGCCCTTAATTGAAGTGGCAACACGCATTGTTCATTCAGTTGCTACGTCCCTCTACTGTGTATGCTTACGGAGCACAGCACTCTACCCATGTACCAGAAGATCGGCATAAATACGCTCACGCAGGCCAATATCAGTCTCCCATTTTCTTTGCTTACTACGCTTACTACTGCCAACAGGGCGCGTCCCATTATTATACAGCGAAAGATCTCTCTCCTGCCAATATTCAACTTTATCTAACACTTCATATAGCCAATCAGAGCAACCTGTCGTTTGTCCCTGAAAAAACGTGGCGCTGATCGCCCAAATGTTCTCTTTGTGCAAGTTGACCAAAAAGGCAGTGCGACTATGATTGCAATTGAGCAATACGCAGCGTCATTACTGCTGACTCATGCTGTACGCCCTCATTTCCACAATAGGACAATGGGCCATGAAGCCGAAGCTGTACCTTTCAAGAAGGACGACGAAGCCAGGGCCGAGAGCAATTGAGGAAGAGAAACAGACACTCACTCACTTACACTCTTTAGCATACCAATACTTCAGCATTGCACTGACAATAGAAGTGATAGAAGCAATGGTGTAGCCCACTCATCTGCCTTGGTCCTCCTGAATTTCACGAAATCTCTAAGATACTGCGGCAATTTTTCTTTCCAGACGCGCGTGTTCAAACGCGCCCTCTCTCTGTCCATTATCGTGTCGAACAATGGTCCTCCGTGTTGACGTCACTTTGGTGTTTATTCGGGTCAGGGTTGACATATGAAAGTGGACATGGACATGGCGATGATGAAGGACCATGACCCGTGGTCCGCCTGTGTCTTCCAGACTTTGCATTAGCTGCGTAGTTTACTGGCAGCACAAACACAGCTACCTGTATTTCACACAGCGTATTTTCCTTTCTTGTGACACATCAATGGATTCCTTTATCTTCGCGAAATGTGTTGGGGAATCCGCAATCCTTTGATCCTTATCATTTTCAGAGTCCACAGCAAGTTCCCCTTCGTCTTTTACACCATCTTTTTTTTTTACGCCTCAATTGTGGTGTTAGTCGTTGTGGGATGGTTCGGAGTGTTTGTCGTACTATGTTGTTTCAACATTTTATGGAACGCGACTTTCCCAACATTCACCTGCAGCCACTCCCTTTTTCAAGGGCGAAGGTGTACAAGCGCCATAGGTCTATATGTGTCGGCGGTTGCCCTCAACTGGTACTGTGCATGACACTGATTATCAAAACCATAAAAGTGATCGAGATGTCCTATGCTCTTTACATCTTGCACACACTCTCTCACACACACACACTCACACAGGGGTAACGACAACGGATGTAGATGAATAGACTACAGCATATACTAAGGCTACGAGGACACGATGCGCAAAGTGCGCTTCGAGAGAATATCGTAAGTACGCGACGCTTACCCAAACACACAGCAGCATAGATGAGCCTCGGCAAGGAGAGGCAAGAGAGATTGTTGTTTGGTCCAGATGATGAATGCACCAGGGCGCGTGCGTTGGCATCAGAAAAGAAAAGAAGATGCGCGCTGAGTGAATTGAATACAAATAGACTACTTTCTGTATTGTAAAAAGACAATTGTGAACTCTTGCGCAGATCTGGTTTTCTTGTATGTTCCACGTATGCTCATCACCCGGACAATAAAAAGAACAATTGCTATGCTTTTTCTCTTCTCTGCGCTCCCTCCCAGTGGTCAGTGGGCGCCTGAGCACTTTGGAGTATAAATATTGTCCGGACTATACTGAGTAACCATAGAGGTCACCACAGCGTCCAATGAGCGATAAGATTCATGTGGCCTGTTCTCCTTGCTACAAGAATTCTAGCAGGGCTGGGTAACGCAGACCTTTTTTTGCCAACGTGGACGGGTCAGTGGGTCATTTCATAGGGCGACTATGACGATGATGAATTTTCCCGATTCTTCTTTACCCTGCTGGCACATGACAGAGCATTTTCCATGTCAGAAGTACGCCCAGACCAAGCATTCTGATCCGCCTTGGCGAAGGACGAGGATGGAAAATAAAATATAATTTGTGGCTCTCTATAAGAATGTTTTATTTTGAAGACGGGAAATGAAAGCATCAATTGATGGTAGCGAGGTATAATATAGTAGGGAAGACGGGTCGGTATAGAGCTGTAATGAAGAGGGCTAGGACCAGGAGCACAACAAAAAAAAAAAAAAAAAGAAGTGCGCCGGACCCGTCTGGCTCTCATGAATGGTGCTCACTTATTGCAAAAACGATCATGGATGATGATCGCCGTGGAGCACACAGACACCTGGTGCGATACATAGACATCCGAGGAGAGACGAGACGGGGTACAGAGCGGATTGTGCTCTCATCTACAGTTTCGTCCGCGCCCTGCTTTATACTTACATCATCAGTGCCCGGTTGTTGCACCAGCGCACGATCGAGCCCGTGTGTTTTGACGTGAACAATAATATAACGAAACACAACATGGAGTCGATTACTTTTAGTTTTGTCGTTGTATTTTGTGGTTCATTGCGATCGATTTGCCCGTTTCAAGGGCAACCAAGTGCTTGTTAAGTACTTTTATATATCGTGTAGACTATCGTAAGGTCATGGCGCCCCTTTTCACTTGTTGATTGAGGATGCAGCTGGAAAAGAAAAAGAAAAGGCTGCAGGCAGTGTATGGCGATATATGGGCATGGGCGGGCCAAAATCAAAAAAAAAAAAGACAGGCTGCAAAATCAATTGAAAATAGTCGCGGTATGGACGGAAACTATAATAATACCCATGGACAAGCATTGCATGTGCAGATAATGGATTTCTTTTGTATGCATCTCCCTTTTTTTCTCTTGTCGTATCTGGTCATGTTTATTGCAGTCCATCTTTCTCGCCTCGTCTATTGCTTCCCTTCCTTCCTGGACCCCGTCTTACTTACTACTCTTACCCTTACTTTGTTCCCTCAGTTGCATGCATAGATCTACGTGGTGCTGGCTGCTGCTACTTCTTTACGGGCTGTGTGTAGAGTGTATGCCTGTTGTATCCTACTCGCCCATGCAACATGTTGGCCCGACTGAAGTAGGCTGATCGTAGACTAAGTTGTATATCGACTATATTGACTGCGTTGCCCATCAGAAATGTGCGAGGAGGTTGAATGTGTGCAACCAACAAACAAGGGACAGGGCATGGACTAGACTATGTAGGCAGGTGGGTGTAGGCAGGCAGGCTAGCAAACACACAAACATAAACACAAGCATATGATTTGCATAAGGACCTTGACTATCTATCACACTCTTTTTACCAATTCAATTCAGTTGAATAATAAAATAGTCCAAGGGTACTTTTCCACAGGGCATGGTTGTCACTTCCCCCCGTCCCTCCTTCCCTTTCCTTCAGTTTTTCTCCTTCTTCTTTCTCATCAATCCCATCCTCCATCGCAGCATCCTTGCATTCACCATCGCCATTCTTTTACTCCTTCGATCCTTCTCGTCTTTTTCCTCTTTCCTCTTTCTTCTCTCTTCTCTCTTCTCTGTTCCCTCTTCTCTCTTCTCTATCCACTATCTACAAGCCAGTTGATCCCATTCCTCACTCTTAATTCTCCTCCTTTTATCGATATCTTAGCGCTCATCCTTTGCCACCACCATGTCTTCTTCATATAAACCCTCGTTCCACATGCACCAGGCCCCGTCTCAGGACGATAAGCCCTGGCTCAAATACCCGGACGCCTCCTCCAACGGCCACAGTCGCTCTCTCTCTCCCTTGCAAAAGTACCAGCCCAACAACACCGGCACCCTGGATCAGCTGCTGCAGTCCAGATCCCATCACACCCACCACCCCAGTCAATACCACGCTACAGGACGCAAGCGGTCCTCTTCTAGACTGCACGGCAGCAGCACCTCCAACAGCAGTAACGCGTCCTTGCCCATGTCCCTCGTCAGCAACAGCAGCTGCGACTCCCTCGGCCATCAATCTCATTCCACTTCGCACTCGCATACGCACGCATACTCACAGCCAGACCAATTTCAGCAGCAGCGACCCTCAGCCCACATTAGCAGCAAGCCAAGAACCCTCTCTGATGAACTCTCGTTTACTCTGCAGAACAACGACGACTGCAGCGACAGCAATATCACCAATGTCAATATGAACATGAACACAAGCCAGACCAACAGCGCGACCAACAGCCCCAGCATCCGTGCCACATACCCCTCCCCAATCACCCCCTCGGATCTTCTGGGTATCCCTGACCTCTCTGTATCATCATCTTCTCCTCAAAAAAGCGACTCTGGTGGTTCCAAGCCGCGACCCTCCCCTCTCTCCATCAACACCAACTTTACTAACACTCCCTTGGCCAGCTCCGCCTTCGCCTTTCCCAATGTCTTGTCAGAGGGCCCTGCTCCAAGAACACCTCCCCTGCCCCGACTCTCCCACAGCTCGTCCCACTCTTCATCTGCCTCGACTTCGTCCTACTCAAATTCCTCCTCTCCTAGCTCCATTGCGCCCCCTTGCTCGGCGCTCTGTCGCCATAGTCATCATCACTCGCACTCGCATTCGCATCAATCGCATCATCGCCGCCCTCACTGCAGTCATAATAGACACCGTCATCACCATCCCTCCTGTAACCATCATGGGTCTGGCCATCGTCACGGTGCCAGGTCTGACCGGGCCGCCAAGGGATCACACCGCTATGATATCCCACACTTCACTCCGGACGATGACGATATGCTGAATGCATTTGACGAACCAGAACGTGCTCAAATCAATGATTCATTACCGGATGAAGCACCGTTGACGATGAAGGCCGATACCCCCTCCACAGCTGTAACCATCGTCGGAAGCACCCCCACGTTTGGTATCAGTGCGTTCAGGGAGCAAAGGGACCGAGAGGAGAGTGCGCTAGACTTGTGCACGGCAGAGCCTCCCAAGAAGCGACAGCGGTCTGCGGCAGCGGTGCTCCTTGGAGCCGCGGTCGAGACCGTCATCTTCACTAGTGCTGTGGCCCTGTCAGCATACCAATTGCTCACAGGCAAGGGCAAGCAACAGCTAGAGTCGACTATGACCCAGGTGGATGAATCTGCGGTCGTCGAGGAAGCAGTTTCTGAAGGCCAAAGCGAGTCCTCATCAGAAAAGGTCGTGGCTGTAAGTGTATAGGGGAATGCATGTGTATGCTCTGCACGCCATGATAACCACATCTACATGCATCTAAAATAACTTACTGATCCCGTAATGTCCGCCTCTTTTTTTTTTATTTTCTTCCCGTAGCAAATCAAATCTGCACCTGTGAGCATCCCGTCGCGTGGAACGCGACCTCGAGGCAATTCTGGGCTGCTCGGGAAATCGCTGCACCACCATAAATCCAAGCATTCGAAGATGACTTCGTCCTACAGGACGCGTCATGGGTTGTCGACCTCACTTCCTCACGCGTACGGGCCCGACACGGAACATTTGCGAGAAGGGATCATGATGCCTGAACGACCAAATACAGGAACCGAGGATAATGATGAGCAGTTCCTGAGGATGGAGGCACAACTCACGAGTCTAATTGCCGAGGGCAAGCGTGCCTTGAACAGCCGCATCCCCATCTTGAGTGAAGCATGAAAGCTCTTTCCTTCATTTACGTAAAAAAAAAAACTAACAAAAAAACATATTATCATCATACTTATAATTCTGTAGTTTATGCATGAATGTAAAAATAAAAACTCTTTCCCATAAACCACTTCCATCGTATTAGACGCGCATCCATGGTATGCTTTTTTTCTTTTAACCTAACATGAACATCCAATTAAACACTGCTCCGTAGTTTCTATTCTTTCATGTTTGACACGCATGGTGACATCTGACGGTGAGGATTGTGCGAAAGTGGAGGTGGGTGTTACAGTCAACGCAATATGATAGTGCGTGCATTAGTCTGGCCTTTTGGCCCTGTCCCTTATCCTCCCTATTTCTGTGCACCCATGATCGTCTACATGTACACCCTCGTTCGCATTCCCTATTTTTGGCGGCAATCGCTATTTATGCGCATAGACGCGTGTGTTGGCGGCGAAGGCAAAGTTGAAAAAAGCAATGGTGTCATTCCCTTGTTCCTTACGCTTTCTCTCTGCCTCGACTGAGAACGTCTCGTCATTGGGCCATATTCTGTTGATTCCATATGCTGCTTCGTCGTGCTGTCTAGCATGAGAGGGCAACATGTAAACTCAACCGTGCCCAAAAAGTGGAAAAAGCGACTGCGCCATGACCTCTCCTCTCTTCTGCCTTCTCCGACCTATATGTATATGTTTTTTGTTCAATTTTCCATGGAAGAAAAGCGCGAAGGTTGTGATGAATGACCCTCGACGCGTCATTTGTATTTTTGTGGTTAAAAAGAAAAAGGAAAAAAAGGAAAGGAAAGGAGACATGTTATATGAGTAAGAAAGAGTTGGGAGCCCTGCTCTGTCGTTTGTCGTGAGAAGACAGGTGGGCGATTCATTTTTCCGATTGGTGGATGATATCATGGACGTCTATTTGCAGAAGACTAACTTTACGCGTTGAATACGACGAGGCCTTATTGCAGTCTTTCACTCGCCTCAAAGGCTTTTGTTTACTCCATGTTCAAGCATGACTTCGAGATTCTATTGGCATCAAAAGCAGTTCCCAAGAATGCTCAGAGAGAGTATCGGCCATGGATCGGAAGGCGAGATATACATACACATGTAGTTCAGCATAGACTTTGACGAAGACCCTCAATGATGTCAAATAGCAACTTCATGCGAGTAAAGCTATCAAACATCCAGTCAATTCGATATGACTTTATCGTCAATGGGAGACGTCTCCATCCAGAATATTGGACATTAGCATATCCTTGTTCATTTTGATACGCGTCGTGCGACTATTCAAGGTTTGCCACGGGTTCGAAGTTTGCAGTCCTTTACATCCTGGCGCACATGCTCTAATCAAGAAGAACGAAGTACGGTTGTGGAATGTTTAACCCAGCGAGCATTGGAGACGTCCAGACAAGTAATCTTCGGTCTACGTACGTGCTGTCTTGGTTGTTGAAAGTGCTACTGGCCCTTGGACCTGCTAGCGCTCGGTGCCAGTTCCCTATTGAGAGAGAGGACTTGGAACTAATCGACAATAGAAAAAGTGTCTCGGTACACTTGTCTAATAAATATATCCAGAGCTACATGGGCGAATGCTGGAATTGAGGAGCATGCAGTATGAAGTTGTTGTTCACTTAGAGGGTGCGCAGTTAGAGAGGGCATGCAACTAGAGAGGGGTACTGCAGGCACACAATCGGGGAGTTATTCGCAGGATTTTCTCTTTCTGTCCGTGGAACATTTGCGGGAGATAAAATATCTTCCTCCCTCCTTCCTTTCCCCCCCCCCCTCCCCCCCCCATTTGCTGTGGCATAGCTGCTGCTGCTGCTGCTCATCTGTTTGTTGCGCCTTAGTAAGGGTATGGGCACGGCTAAAAAGATGCTTCGTTATGCCTGTGGCACCAAAATAAAAGAATACACCCGCCGGTCTCTGTCTCGCACGGCCGCAGTTTGATCTGTTTTCCTCGTCTTCTAGTCTCAGGCTGAAGGTGCCTCGCCCTGACCGCATACGTTTCGAGATGATTTAGAGCCCAGATCAGAAACAGTTCAACAACGATTGTCAGGGGACTTTGTCCGCGTTGTCTGCAACAGACCTGCACTCCACAGCAACGAGCGGTTTTTCTTTCTTGTATGTTTATCCTTTTGTACGATGGAAGGTGTTAGATTTGATTCCTTGTTGCAGATTACGATAATTCACTGGGAACAGCGAATTATTCGGTAACCAGGGGTTTAAGGACTGGATGAATCAGAGTCCAGTCCAATCCCAGTGGACCAAAAAATCAATCCAATCGATTTGTAAATTGAGGCCGATTTGCTTAGCACGGACATAGACCATGGCGCGACAACTCTCCTCGGCCATATGGTCATTCCTCATTCGCACACTTCACTTCCCACACCACACTACTGTAGTAGACTAACGATGTGTCCATCCAATTGGTGTCTTGTCGCACATTTATCATCCTCTGATCGCATCGTTCCCTCACTCCACTCCACTCGCTTCTTCTTCCTCCTTCTCTTCCTTTTCCTCCTCCCCTCCTCTTCCTCAGTGCCATCATCCACACCCCTCGTACAAACACACTCTTCGTCATCCCTCCTACTCCCTTTTGTTACAGCATAGCATTTTCACACCCTCTTCTCCCTCACACTGGTCCCGCTCAATATTTCCCTCTAACGCCTTTCCTCCAACGCCATCCTTCCCAGTTCCCTCTTTAACACCTAACACTTTCCTCCTCAGTTTCTCCTGCAGTGCGATCTCCTTCCTTCTCAGTTCCTCCTTCAGTGCGTTCTCCTCCCTCTCCCTTGCTCGACATTCCATTTTTTTTTTTTTTTTTTTTTGCATTCCGCCTCGCCTTACGAAATCAAATACAGGAAAAAAAAAATGACCTCACTGAGCGCTAAGGAACCACGACTGTCACAGGTGCTGCCGATCATCCACTGTGCGGACTGCGGACAGGATGTTGAGTTCCGTAGGCTGAGCGAGCATGCCTGCGTGGCTCCACCACCTATGCCTGTCTTGCCACTCTATATCTCTTCACGTAAGTTTCGCTTTTTATCATTATTATTTTTCGCAGTGCAAGCAGTGCAGTTTAAACGTTAGCGAAAGCGGTGGTTCTTGAGGGGGCTACACAGGACAGGGCAGGACAGGGCAGAGCAGGGTGTGTATGTGTATGCGAGAGTGTGAGCACTTGGGCAGCTGGACTCCTGCTATGGGTGTGTGTGTGTGTGTCTTCAGGGACCAAGTGAGGGCGTGTGCGGGTGTGCGAAGGACAGACGGAGGTATTGTATTTGCTAGAGCACCATCAGAAATTATTCCGCCGAGACGGGTGAGACAAATGGACCGAGCGGGGCGCATGGACAGCAGCCGCGGCAATCTTGTCTGCAGTGCTACTACGAGCTATTCTTCAGCTGGTTGCTTATAAGGGAGCATGTCCCCCTTGCTCCTGACTCTCTTCGCTCCTGTGCCTTTGAGTCTTTCACTTCCCCCCCTACAGCCCTGCTGGCCCCCCCAACCCCTCTCTCATTCCCGTTCTTTCCTTTGGGAGTGTGCATGGTTCCCTTGCTGCCAACAAACTAACCCTTTAATCAAAACCCTGTTCAACCCGCCCCCCTTCCTCGCTTCTGATTCGCGGTCTCCTTTATTACTTTACCACAAAATGGATACATACGCATCGAATGCCCCGCCTCTCTGGTGGCTGTCCTTGGCCACTTCCGCACACGTAGCCAGGAAAGGCAAGTCCTTCGTCTTTTATAGCCTCCTGCCCGAAAACAAAGAACCTGCTGCTGTCTAGTGTCTAGTGCCTGGCATCTAACACTACACTGACTTTTCTTTTGCAGGGTCACCAAATGCGACACATTCAACGTCTCCAACAACGAAAAGCGGGTCCCCCCTCGTGCCAGCCATCAACACCTCCCCACTCTCACCAATTCGCTCAGCATCCGTCATGGGACGACATCGGCCGGCCCTGCCCTTCCTCGAAAAGTATTCAAAAATGAAATCTGCTTCCGCACCAGCATTACTCTCTTCCCCCATCAATCTCAGTCCTACAAGTCCTCAGGAGTCGCCGCTGAGCGACAGAAACACCACACCTCTCACACTCGACAGTCCGCCTCTGCAGCTGCTTCCACGCGACCAGATCGATCTCCTCACACCAAAGTCTTCCATGGAAACAGGTCGTAGTTCTTTGGATAACCGGACGAAAGAGTTGACTATGGAGACGGTTGTGTGCAACTATCCGATGAGGCCACGGCCTCTCAGGACGATGTCACAGCAGCTGCCGATTGTGCCTAGGAAATCAGCAGCACGTACGTCCACGTTTGCGGGACGCGGTCTTGGTATCACGATGGAGCCCAACAGGAGGGATACAAGCCAGAGCTCGGGATTGGCATGGAACCCAAGAACGGAGTTTGGCAAGGACCGGGAACGGGAGCGCGAGTGGGAGAAGAGCAACCGATCTACGACTGCAGTTGTCGACAAAGACAGTGAGTCATTATCCTCAACGACCGCCGATACTTCGAAAGGAATCGGCCGTGTGGCCCCTGCGGGCCTTGCGGTGACCCCACTTGTTTTGGCGGAGATGAACAAGAATGATCTGTCATTCGAACGGTCCTCATTGGATACGGAGCGTTCTGGATTGTCAGTGGTCTCGGAAGGAGAGAGTCCAAGGTCTGAGAAATCCGAATTCCAATATCCAGTTAATATTGCTTCTTCTGAACAAGAGCAGCACCAAGAAGAGCAGCATCAAGGACAGCACCAAGAAGAACAGCATCAAGAAGAGCAGCACCAGGAAGAACAGCTTCAAGATGAGCAGGAGGACTTGGAGCGTCTTTCTTTCTCGTCTGGAGAGCGCAGCCCGCTCGACTTACTGTCAGCATACGGCACGCCCTCGTCTCCAAGGTCTAGTGCAGAGGAAGAGGAGGAGGAAGAGGAAGAGGATTTACAGATGCTGGAGATCAACGAGACCAAGGATTACCGTCCACCCACACCGCCAGAGTCGATTCCCTCAATATCATCACCGCCTACTCCTTATGGTAAGTATACAGTATAGACCAGCCAAGTTTATCAGGCCTTTGAATTACATATCATGCCCTTTTTACTTATGTATATGCTCTTTGCGTTTAATAGAGCACTCAGTCAGAGGATCGATCGATCTTTCATCACGACGCTCTTCAAGGCAGAGTTTAGATCAATTCGAGGCATTGATGAAGGACCTGCTTCAGGAAACCAAAACCCTGCCGTCCTCCTCGCCACGTGAGGTGACACATTCACCGCTCCCAACGTTGGTTGAGAATGTCGAAACCAACAGCGAGACCACGTTTTCTGAGGCACCTGCACCAGCAGTTGACACAGAGACTGTTCGTCGGTCTGTTGATGTCCGAACCCCTTCAAGTCCTATATCTACGGCACCCATTCAGCCGAAATCGAATCGTCGTGCTGAAGATGCTAGGAGTTCTTTGCTTCCAACGCCCATTCAGCCGAAATCTGCGCGGCGATCGCAGGATATGCGGAACACGCCCTCGCCTACTTCGCCTCAGTCAAGGTTTGCGGCACGCCGATCGGAGGATATGAGAAGCACTCCCTCACCAACCCCTCTTCAACCACGAGCAATCCGTCGTTCTGAGAGCATGCGCGTCTCGCCTTCGCCCATGCGCATCTCACCATCGCCCACCACACCGCCGCCAAAGGCTGCTACGCGTCGATCGGATATGCGTAATTCGCCTTCTCCGACATCTCCTCAACAGCCACAGGCGACTAAGGGGGCAGAGGATGCTAAACGCGCGACTCCTCTAGTAGCTATCCTGCCACAGAACGGTCATCGTTCGGAAGATATTCGAAGATCGGCGTCGCCTTTGTCTGTCCAACCGCGTAGGCCCTTGTCTCCTTTCTCGGTCCAGCCCCGAAGGCCCCTATCGCCGCAGTCTCGCAGGCCCTTGTCGCCTCCTACGGTCCAGACAAGAATGCTTTACCGCGCGGATGACACCAAGAGTGCTCCACTTCCCGTCCCACGCGATGCACGACGATCGGGCGACATTCAACGACCACTGTCGCCTGGAACTAATCAGGCACGGCCCCTTCGCAGAACGGATAGTGCAAGGAGTCCACAGACCCTTGCGACGATCGAGGTCAGGGACGCCCGTCTTTCGGACGGTATCCGTAGGCCGACCTCGCCTGCTGCTGTTACCCAGACGAACGTGCCTCGACGCACTGAGGCGGCCCGTAGACCGACATCGCCTCCTCCAGGTCAGGGCAAGATCATGCATCATATCCGAGAATTCCGGGCGTCACTTTTGCCGGACCCGGTTACGGTGAAGCGCGGACGTTCATCGGAGGACCTTCGCACACAGCCGCAGAGGGCTCAGGAGCCGGAGAAGGAGGCGGCTCGTTCCTCAGAGGAGGAAATTCGTCAACAGCGATTGATTAAGGAGCAGCGCGAGAGAGTCGAGCGGGTCATGGATCGATTGTATCGCAGCGAGAAGGTCGAGGTCCCCGAGAAATCTGAGAGGCGGGAGCAGTACCGTCCCAAGGACCTTGTTCGTGAGCGCAGTCGGGAGCCGATTCGTACCGAGCGCGTCGAGAGCACCCAACGGCTCGAGAACGTCAAGAAGGTGGAGAAAGTGGAAAAGGTGGAGAAAGTCAAGAAGATTGAACAGGTCGAGCGTGTGGAGAAGGTCGAGAGAGTTGAGAAGGATCGTCAGAACGTCCGGGATCGCGAGCAATCGAACGCACGCACTGCACGCAGTCGGTCGGCGAACGCTCGTAGCGGGAATGAGCGTTGTGTGGACTGCAACCATGATATCTTGCCTTCTGAAGTCGGGGATTCGATCACGATGGCGTACGGCAGCTACCATGTGGATTGCCTGAACTGTGCGAAATGCCGTTGTCCGCTCGGAAGCTCCTTGGAGGCACATGAGTACGAGGGTCGGATCCTATGTGAGGATGATTTTGTGAAAATGATCTCGCAGGAGATCAAGCGGCCGCCTCGTCGTCGGATCTGTGCTGGATGCGAGGCGCCGATCCTTCCGGTGGAGAAGATTGTCTATGCGCTCGACAAGCCTTGGCATGAGCACCATCTGTGCTGCTACCATTGCCTGAAGCCCATCAAGCAGTCGCTCGGACATATGGAGAGGAATGGGCGGGTGTATTGTATAAAGGACTATAAGGACCTGTTTCTGCCAAAGTGCAGGGGATGCGGGTTGACAGTGGAGAAGGACGCAGTGTGCGCGCAGGACGGAAGGCTGAAGGGCAAGTGGCACGCGGGATGCTTCCGGTGTGGGACTTGCAAGAAGCCATTCCCGGACAAGAAGTTTTATGTGTATAATGAGTCGCCGTACTGCAAGAGACACTACCATCGGCTGAACAACTCGTTGTGCACACGGTGCGATGAGCCGATAGAGGGATCTTGTGCCCAGACCATGGAGGTAAGCAACCTGAATGAAAAAAAAGAAGATAAATGAAGAATCTGTTACAAGGAGTACGCAGCTAACCAGGGTCTTACTTATCGTTTGGTTGAATGACAATTAGGGATGGAGGTTCCATACAAAGTGCTTCTGCTGCTCGATGTGCGGCAAGCGCCTGAAAGACAACTACTACAGCCACGAGGACCAGACGTACTGCGAGAAGGACATGTTGTACATCATGCGAAAACAAAACGTCCAACTCGAGCGCAGGATGACCATCTACGGCGAGATCTGAGGACAACCATAGTCGACCGTAGTCCTTTTTTGTTGCCGTCATGTTCATATGTAAAATAGCGGAGTATTCTCCATGTGAGTTGTAACCAACCGATTCTAATAATAATAACCAGTTTTGTACTTTGTTTGTTATGCCCATGTCCTATATTGTGCTCAGCTTTAAAGATGTTCCTACACGGAAAAGAAATGAGTGAACGGCTCCTTGTGCTTGTTACTTTTGTTGTTGTTGTTATGCTGTAGTTGTTGATGTGGATGCGAAGGAGGATGGCGGACCAAATAACTGCTCTCAGTTCCTCTGTTTCTTTCTTCGTTGGCTCTCCAATTTTTTTTTCTTTTCTATCCCACATCCCCACATCGTCTCGAAAGCATAAATTGGTTGTAGCACAAGCAGCACAAAAAATTATGGGTGCAATAAAACACAAACAACCTATCCACCGATGAATGGCGGGTATCAAGTGGGTTCTTCGTCTTGAGGTCTGAACGGATTTCGTCTTACGAGAGCAGCATGCGCATGTCAAAGAAGAGCCAGGACGGATAGTCGGCGATGCATGAGAATGGGGCGTAGACCCTCTTTCGTTTCTGTCTTCTTTACGGTGTCGAGTGCTCATTTTTTACGCTTCTTTCTTTTCTTCATTGTCAAAGGACATTCGGCAGTTCCTCCTCCTCTTTCACACTATCCGCTTTAACGACCCCTTCCTGCTCCTACAAGCATCACTACCACCCATCCTCATTCTCTTCCACCTCCTCATTCCTCACCCTTCATTCCCTCATTTTGTCATTCATCTCTTTAACGAGCCTACTCTTTCGTTACAGTTCGCTTTCTTCACACTTCTAAAATATACACATTTTTTTTTAATCACTCTAATTTTCCCGAAATGAAGTTCGCCCTGAAGACATTTCTCGTAGTTGGGATTTCTTGCCTCCAACAGCTGGCCTTTGCGCAGACTACAACTACGACTGCAGCTGGAGGATCTGTCCCTCAGTTCCAGAACACACCAGGCGTTGTTGTGCAGACGCCCTACAACGGGATGACTGTTAGCCAGGGCACGTTCATGTCCATCTCAGCCATCCTCTCTCCCAGTCGACCCATCGGTAGGTCGATGTAACGACCTGTTATACCCCCCCCCTACTCGCTGTGTACTACGTGTTTTCTGACCTAACCATGTTTCGTTGCAAATAATAATAAAAACAATAGGCTCTGTGAGCGTGTCGGTCGCAAAGACGGATGGGTCGGCCAACACGACGGTGATTGACATCAAGGGCGTTGGTATTCAGAGGTTCCTGCAGTTTTGGGACGTCAACACTGAGCTCTTTCCCATTGGCGAGTATTATGTAAGGAACATCCCCTCGGGCATTGTGTCTTCTTACAGTGTATCAAAAAGAAAGAAAGAAAGAAAGAAATCCGACCCTATTTCATAGATGCTAACAGCATAACTCTGCATGTACATGTATGATAGCTGAATATGGTGATCACACCCAACACGACCGCATCAGTCTCTCCGACTCTTCCGACGACGACCTTGGTAGCCAACGGTTCTACATCGATACAGGCTGTTGTCACAACGACGAGCGCCACGGTACCGGCTCCGACAGCTCCTGCGACAGGAACCCAATCTGTGTACTACTGGCGGGGATTGATTCGTGTGATCGAACCACGATCGAAGACCTCGACGAGCGCTGCGGCCTTGGGACATAGCGCTGGCGCGGTATATAAGGGAGGCCTTGAGATTTTGCACAAGATGGGTGTTGCGTTGGGAGTACTCGCGTTGGCGTGTGTGGTGACACTTTAGAACTCAAAGCTAGAGTGTCACTTTTTTTTTTTTTTTTCTGATGCGTCCTGGAGGAAGTGTTGGGTTAGAGAAACAATAAAGGCTTTTTATTCATAACGCGCGTATATATGCGATATATAATTTGCGCTTCTTTCTATTATCCTATTGATGCTGTACCATGAATTGGGACCGGTGGATTCTTATGGAGAGAGGAAGATGTACGAGGAAAAAAGCGGCCATGAACAGCTCCAACTTGAGAAATCTTGTTCATGACCTTGCTGGTCTGGTTTCTTTAGGCGCAGCGCCCGAGATTGTGATCCTGCGAGGTCGTTATCGACATCGTCGTTGTCTGCGAAAGAGTGAAACGTTGAGGAAGGCGAAAGGAATTTTGGCCGTGGTATAGAGCAGGAGTGTTGTCGGCCGTTAAAGAAATAAGCGCGAGTGGGCCCCGGGTTAAGGATTCATGTCAGCATCCGATAAGAAAATCTAGACTAGCGCACAATGGTTCGATCTATGAGGCAAGCTATATAGTAACGCTGTCGCGGAAGATGGCGAGCGCGCCGTTTTATTTGCTTTAAATTAGTCCGTCGTGGAGATTCGTCATAATGACGGGTTTGGTCGCAACATGTCTCGTGCTTGGAATCGCCTCTCTTTTTTTTTTCTTTGTAGTATGTCTAGTCTGCAGCTTCCTATCAAAATTCTACATGCCCTTCAATTTCAATGGTCCACTCAGGTATGCTGCTTTCGTTTGTTCCAGTTGGTACGCGTTATCCTTGCAGGAATATTGTTATATAGTCCACATCAAGGTGGTTGTCGTTAATGTCCAGCACCACAGTATGCGCTACGGCCACGGCCATGAATCGAGCGACTTGATAGGTGAGTTGAGGACAAAGAACACCATCGCAGCTTAATAGTCATCATAATAAACAAGATCGGCATGCGGTGCCTTCGCCTTGAGTTGATGAACCAGTGCAGCGGACGCTTCAGTCCTTCCGATGCTTGAAATTTCGAGGTTTATATTCAGTCACCCAACAGGGTTCGTGTTCTGCGGTATCAGATCATTCTCTAAGTGTTCCAATGAAAAGTTGCTGTAGCTGAAATCGAGAATTTTCAATACAGAAAAGTCGAGCGCCCTGATCAATCTTGTCCAATCTTTTGATTCAAGCTCTACGTTGTGAAGAATGAGACTTATCAAGGGTTTCCATTCAGTAGACATGCCCTGCGGCGAACATGACTCGGTATCGGCAGAATCTTTGGAAGAGATATCTGATGCCAATTCAATTAATGCACGAATTCCTAAGCTCGATGACGAAGCTCGAAATCGAGGTGGGGCCGAAGCCATGGCGACCAGCCATTGAACAGAGTCATCAGAAAGCTGGGCGCATTTCCCATCGCCATGGACCCGGAAGACCTCGAGGGTGGGCAGGTCGCGTCTTGTCGGACAGAGCCTTGCAGCCTTGGGGATCCACTTGTGTGCTGAACTTCTACGTGCCTCTAGCGAAATCAGTCTCTTGCTGTATCGCCGGAGAAGATGCTCCAGTTTCTCTCGCTGCTCGTGATCACTGCATCCGTCGATCTCCACCTTGAGCTCGTATAGGCCTTGCGACTTCTCAATGACCCGATCCATGCACTCCATACCACTAGCTGTCATTTCTCTCGGGTTCAGCAGCAGTGACGTGATATGTGAACCTACTTCCCCTAATATATCGTCAAGTAGCTTAGCGGTATTGTCGCCTGCCTCGACTACCTCAACCTTCCTCAAACACCTCCCGTGGCTGCGAAGTAGATCCAGCAAAAACCCATCCGAGTCATCTGGATCCTTCGAAAATTTGACGTCGACGGAAGTACCGTGCTACTCTAAGCTATCCCGGAAGTCTAGCGTAACCGTAAATTCGAGCTCATCCCTAGGATCTTTCATTAAACTGGCCGTTTTGAGTGAACAGGAGTGACCTTGAGAAAGCATAGTCGTCCTCACGGATATCACTGCACTCTCCATGTGGAGTATGGCGCGAGGGTCACATTTGAAGTCGAGCGTCGATAGCGATGGATTGTTACGAAGGATGTCGATGACTGTTGCCTGGTCTGTCTCATGCGATAGTACGGATAAGTGTGTGACACAACCCAGCTGAAGCAGCTTCTGTTCCTCTATACCTGCGGCGCTCCATAATTCCAAGTCTACCGCCTGGATTGTTCCCTCAGCGAACATTACTCTTAGCGTCCTCCAAGGACTATCCAATATCCACTTTTTGAGGTTCCTGGGGTTGGACACGGTGTATTTCAAGTAGATAAAGGAATCATGTAGGTGAGAGGTAAAGATCTCCAGTTCAGATAGAACCGGGGAATGCTTGAGGATCCTCGCGAGCGTGAATGTGCATAGCCGGTTGGAGGGGTCAAAATCCGTGTTAATCTTTAGGCTTTGGAGTCGAGAGACCATTCCGATGGAGGAACCGCTGATACGTTGGTAAAAGTCCTCGAAGCCTTTGAGCTTCAAAGAGGAAATCCGTCCATTAGACATCATCTCCATGATAGGGTCGTATCGACGGCCGTTGTTGATGAAATCGAGCGCTGGAACCTTGCAGTACCAACCCTCCATCTCTAAGCTCGCTATGTTGGTTTTGTTGATAGCTATTGCAAGCGCTCGAAAGTCTTCGAGGGTCGCGTTCCACTTCAGAGTGATTCCCAGGGTTTGGATTCCACGAGCCTTCGTAAGGGCTTCGTAGAACTGCCGCGCGATGATGCTAGATCCAATAGAGATAGGAAGTCTTCCTATGTCCTCGATAAACTCTCCGTCGTTCGCCATGACAACATCCTTGAAGCGCAGCATATTCGACCTCTGGTAGTTCGCCCGGTAGTGGTCGCTGCAGACCCACTTGGCGTGCCCCTCGTACGTGGTGGTCCGAAACAGGTTGCCGAGAGCACGGTCCTTGTTCTTGGTGCGCAAAAACGACTCGAGTTGTCGTAGATCCGCTCCTTCCAGCGCCTCAACCTCATTCCAGCTGGGCGACTCGCCATTTCCACTATGAGCGTTATCCTGACTGTTCTGAATGAAGTTGATCGCATCTTCGATAATATGCCCAATGTTACTTGCCTCTCCTCCTAGTCCATTTCGAATAGAATCCAGTCCTTCTGCGAGCTTGAAATATGCCAAGGACGGAATGGCCATCCCAGTGACATAAATGCTATACTGGAGCACCTTCATGATCGTCAAAGCGTGCAACCCATACCTCCTGAAGAACTCGTTGGGTCTCTCGATGTCGTACCCCTCGTGCTTCGCCAGATGGATCTCATGCGGAATAGTTCCTCCCTCCTTCATCGTATGAGCGCCGCACTCACAGAGAAAGAGCAGGCGGAACTGAGCAGTAAGAGGGTTGGTGAACTTGTTCCTGCGACGCTTTGGCTTGGGGAGGACGACGAACATGCGGGAGATGGGGTACTCGTGCAACTCGTACGCCTGTGCTATTCCTGCCTGCATTTGATTCTCGAGAATGGCCTGGCGGCTGAGGATCTGCTGCAAGGTCTGCAGCATCTGCACCTGGACAATGTTGCGGGACTCAATCTGTGCTGTCACCGGTCCGAATCGTCTGACGAGCTCACTCCTGAAGATGTCGGCCTCGATAGTAAGGCCCGACATGGTTGCCTCGACATATGCCGTGTAGAGCTGGGCATACAGCTGTACAGTTAGTTGTTGTCCATCTGCTGCCTCGGCCGAGGAACGGACAAGCTGGCCTCCCTTCACGGCCTCCACAGAGGAGATAGAGATCGAGTGGCTAGATGTGCACTGCGAATCTAGAGAACTGTCGGCTGACTCCTGGCCACGCGGGTGCGTGTATCTAGCGATGGCCTGGGACAGCACTGGGGTCGGATCATTGGCTCGGCTGTTTAGCTGAGACAGAGTGCAAACGTCTTGTACGCTAGTTATGGCCTGTTCGGAGGCCGCGGCAATGGTCTCGCCTGATACTGCGACGATGGATTGCTCCGATGCTGCGGCGATGGTCTGCTTTGCAGTGACGACGGCAGCATGCTCGGAAGTCGCAGCAATGGCGTGCCCTGGGCTTGCAGTTACCACGTTCAGAACAACACCTGGGCAACGAATGATCCTCAGTGGGAGAAGACTGACGTGGACACATCCAAAACTTTGTCAGAGACCGACGCGCAGAAGCAAGGATTGATGTAGGCTGACTGCTACAGCACGCAGTATTCAGCATACTTACTCGTCAAAGTTGTCATCCTTCAGAAAAGGCATCAGGTCTCTGCCGTCCATAACATACAGAACATTTGAAAACGCGATTTGGATATCTCTCCATAGCACAATGCGCGCTCCGGTCTTCCTGTCGACGCGAGTGGCAGAGTTGATCGTCGTGGATGTTGTGTGCTCGCGAAATGACTGAACGACCTTTTCTTTCGCACTGGCCGTTGTCATGTATCGAGGAGCGATCTGAGAGAATTGGAGTATATGAAAACGGTCAATGGAAAAAGAGGGGTGTTCTTGAATGGGGAGAATAAAAAGTGTAGAGAGAAGGAGATGAAGAAACTCGAAGTGCGAGAAGGGATGGCGAGGATCAGGTCAAGAGTCAGGAGTAGAGTGTTTCGTGCTTCGCCATCCCTTGTGTATCATTGGTGGAAGCGGTTGACTCGCGGGTTTATTGCGCAACCTATCCTCGCGTCTTTGTCTTAAAACCCCCTTCTATTTGAATGAAGAATTACTGTGCCTCCGCTCATCCCCCATTACCGCGGCCGCAACAGCTTCCTCTCCTTCTCTTGCGAAACAAAGCGTCGGCTCGTTCCCGAGGGCCACGTCCTTGTTGATAACAATGTGCTTGGTGCCCGAATCTGGTGCGTCATACATCACGTCCAGCAGCAGCGACTCCTATTAAAAGGAAGCAAACGAATGTAATCAGGACCAACGATTGGGCGCGTTCACCGCCATTCCCCAGAAAGAAGAAGTATCATGATTCGACGCAGATCACGGGCTCCAGTCTGCTTCTCGATAGCCATCGTGGCAATGGTATGAAGTGCTGGCCGTGAAAAGTGGATTCTGACATAGCCCAATCTGAAAAGACCCTGATACTACTTCACAAGCGAGTTGCGCGGCTCTATCAAGACCTTGACCAGCGCTTCTTCGTCCAATTGATTCACCGATGCGACAATAGGCAGCCGGCCAATAAATTCTGGGATCAGTCCAAACTTAATCAAGTCTATAAGGATGCAGCACAATCGTTGTTTTGGTGAACCTGACATTTACCGTAAAGCACTTGGACGGCGATGAAGTGCGCGTCGCTATTACCTGCTGGATCTACTTGGTTCAACAGTCGACTGATCTGCGTGCTGTCGCCCTTTGTGGTACCTAATTCTGAGGTGGGCGCAGCAACAACGGCATTGAATCCAATAGAGCCCTTCGATACCCACTCCATGACAATCTTCTCCAATCCTATAAATGCGCCACTTAGGATAAACAAAATGTTGCTGGTGTCAATGGAGTAAACTTCGCCCTTGGCACCGGGCCCATCGCCACCACTGCCTGAACTTAGCCCTCCCATCCCAGGCAATTCGCCTCTACGAGTGCTAGAGCTTGATCCACTGGGGCTCGATCCATTCTTCTCTGTGGCGTGCACCGCAGTTCCTTCAAGCATATTTAAGAGTGCCTGCTGAACTTCCTCACCAGAGACATCCTTGGACATGGACATGGCGTCTGGACTTTTGGAGATCTCGTCGATTTCATCAACAAATATGATCCCACATTCTGCTCTCTTGATATCATAATCAGCACTCTGAAAGAGGGGATAGAGATATTGGTTAAGCCCAATGCCTTAACAAAATTCTATACCCTTGCTCTGATCATTTTCGGTTATTACCTGTAGCAGCCGATGGATCGCGGTCTCCACATCTTCGCCCACATATTCTGCCTGCGTAAATGGCGTGGCTAGTTGGAAGCATAATGTAAAATCGATCGATAAGCGGAATCAGGGCGCAGCGCGTAGAAGACCAGGAACTCTTTGATTCCAAGACGTACCATCCGACATGGAAAACGGAACATTCAAGATTTTGGCGAGAGTCCTGGCTAAGAGCATTTTTCCGGATCCAGTCAGCCCCAGCAATAGAACATTGCTCTTGTCAAAGACGGTCTGCTGTGATGTGGTAGCTGGTGGGCCTGCAAAAGTATCTTCTATAGATTGATTGACGCCGCCGAAACCCTTCAAGGAGGCTCTCACGGTATAATATACTGTGTCTATCCATCGTGAACGTGTCAGGAACAAGTAGCCAGTCAGCTATGGCTTTTTTTTTTTACCGTTTGTTAAGTGGTATCCTGGGCATTAACATTACCTCGCTCTTTGTCACATCCAGCAGCTGATATTGGGGCTGGAGGAGCGCCCCCCCCCCCATAGGCGGTATTGCCGATCCATAAAACGCTGGCGTTGAGGCGCTTGGGGATGACACATCTTGATTGGCCATCAATAATTCCTAGATTTGCTGCTGAAATAATTCCTAGATTTGCTGCTGACGGACGTTTTCTCGAACGCGAGAATAATGGTTGTACACAGCGACGGCGAGCGTCTTTTTTGCCTTTTCCTGTCCAATGACATACTCACCCAAATGCTTGACGATCTATGGGGGGATGTCGATACCATCGTAATAAAAAGATTCAGTTGGAGAGGAACTTTTCGAACCGCCAGAAGTTGATGAGGATATATATTAGGTCGACTTACTGTTCGTGGATTAGGGACCGTGCCTATCCATCCTATTGCGGCGTCCATGCTGATTAGTTTTTGCGTTCCAGTTGTGTCTCCATTACTACTTCCGCTAAAGGTTCCAGATGCTTGGATCGGCATGTCAGAGAGCGGGGGCTGCGGTCCGCCTGTGAAGTCGGATGTGGTAGTCGCTGCAACAATATTGAGAGAGCTCTTTTCCGCCCCTAAAGTATCGCAGTTGAGTAGAGGAAAGACATAAGTTTTCGATGTATGAATGCCCCATGGTGACCCTTAGCAACATTAAAGCTGAGGAGGCGTCATTTCGGTACCATTTGCCTTGCGATGGTATGTCGACAGAATCTTTGCCTCGCATGGCACAGTAGATTCAGTTTTGCTTCCAAGTGAACTCGACAAGGCTACTACTTCATCTCTGAATATGCTGGTACTGTAACCCTTGTCCTGGGGAATGACTTTGAGGCATGTCGCTCTCAGATTGGACAAGGCAAGGTAGGGTGTTTCTTTGGGTGGCTGTTCATCTGAAAAGGTGCGAATCGAGCAGCTGAAGAAGCGGTCATTGACGATCCTTTGACTGGGAACAGGCGATGCAGTTGCGCCTTGATGCAGACTTGGTATGTGCGTTGCCTGACCGTAAGACAGAAGGCTTGGACGGGTTCTCTTGATGCACTTGGCCCCCGCAATCCACGCTGTTGGATAGTACGTTCTGCGAGCTGCGATCATTCTGTGTGATATATTGCGAGCGTAACACCTAGAGGATAGTTGCGAATTGCTGTGGAGTGAGGGCTAGGAAGCGAATGAGATTGATTGCGAATAAAGGAATGGATCAGAGTCGGTAAGGATGAATTCGATGTTATTCGAGCGTAGAAAATATGTCCATGACGATCTGTGCTGTCCCACCAAATTGTCAGCGCCCATTCCCGCTACAGCGCAGATGACGAAGGACCGCCGCTTACAAAGGAGGCATAGTTTTGCAATAGAAGGAAGGGTTCTGAAGACTCTACTACCTATGGGCGCGCCTTGAAGTAGACGCGATAACAGCCTCCTTTTTGAGTGTCACTTTCCTTGGGAAGAAGAACAGGAACATATTTCCTAGTATGTTCTGCGGAAGTACGACCAAATATGCGCACAGACAGTTTCATCCACCAACACCCCCTAGATCGATGCGCATGCGTCTGAGCAGCAGCGACATCCTGTCGGCGTCGCTCATTCATGCAATACATTGGCAGCTCCTACAGATAGCTGGCGCATTAATATTTGAGAGGAGATGTAAACTTAACCATCAGAAGCTCCCAGGTGAATGCGAACCAGTATTTTGTCATGCATGCATGGCCCTCACAATGGACGGGTGTTATAGGGGGCAATTGAGAGAAAAACAAAAAAGAAAGAAAAAAAAGAAAAAAAAAAAGAGCAAAGGGGTGAGATCGGCAGGGCTTGTGTTTTGTAAATCTGCATGGCACCGGCAGATGGTACGTACTTGCCAAGGGAGCTAACAAAGGCGGGCACAAAAAAGAGAAACAGATAACCGTAGCATATAGACATTTAAATATGTATACTCGTGCCCATACAGCTTGCTTTACCAGTGCATTTCTCATTCGTGTCATTAAGTGACCCCGTTGGAGCGTTCAACATTTCATCCTCTCTACCTTTTTGCGTGCATAGTCCATTATGAGTTATATGTTCCATGAGGCTGCAATGCTGTCCAGAATGTAATTAATATGTCGATGTAATATGAATAGGAGAGAAGATATCCATAATAGACTAAGACTGAGAGGCCATGGAATAGACCTGGCAATCGATTGACAACAGCACATTGACGTGATAAAGCGATCATGGAACTGACCCCGCACGCTCTAATGATCGCAGTATTGGCGCGTCATTGAGCATTACAAGGCATCTGCTACAAACGGAAATTAAAAATCGGCCAGGAACAATCGCCTCCTTGCTTTTAATTTGGTACAAAGTCACTTAGCGAGATCGAGGGTTCCGAGAATAAGAACCCTGACTACCACCAGATCGTAGACTGGGATATTACTTGAACATACTGCAAAAGGGCCCCATCTCCCTATCTCTCTATTGCGTGGTTATCGATATTTGGCACTGAGGAACCTAACAAAGGAGGTGTTTTGAACAAGTAGGGCTACGTGAGCACTAAGTGGAAAGTGATGCCTAGTTACTGCATTATTCAGGGATGAGTGGAGAACCAAGCGCAAAAGTCTATTGCTATCTTTAAGAACTCGAAACGAATACGGTGCATGGTACCTCGTCGGTTCATCAAGATGCTGGGTAGGAACGGCTGTAAGGTGAGACGACAGTAGTGCTTAAGACCGTTTGCGGAGGTCGTTATTTGGTACATGTACTATTGAAGAGTATTTTTGATGTTGGTATTATGTATGCTAGAAGACGCGAAAACGGATCCATCTGCTTATGTCCACCTGTTTAAACAAAGTCAAAAGCATGAATAAACGCCCCTAATAGACACGTTAGTCATTTGGTAGTCTCCATTTGTCGCCATCAAGAGCAGCGGGGAATATATTTTTTCATTTTTTTGTGATCATAGTTGTTCATAGCTTTACATATGTCTCTTCATGTTAGGATGGGGCGTATAATACATTAAAACGACTTAAAGTCAAGTAGAGCATACCAAAGGCAAGGTCGTGTATGGTTCTTCGAAGAGAGATATGAAAAAATGGGAGGAAAGTAAAGGGGCATGGCATTAAGCCAAGGAGACAAGGCAAGGTATGCAAGCGGTGCACACTGGTCATAAAAGATGAAACAGTGGCCTTAGTGAATACCGACTAAAGAAAGAGAGCAGCAACTGTGCCCCTGCCCCTCCTTTTGTCAGGGGGGAACCCAGGGCGAATGACCTCTCCAATCGGCATGTGGAGATCGACCGGCATGAATGGACAACAAGCCGGTACTCGTTCTGGGGCAGTATTGCTGCTCTACAATGTAAGACAGACAAAGGTAGTCAACTCGTCCTGCCTCAACTCGTTCCGTAGTTCGCGGATGGCGCGCCAGCCCTTTTTTATGCTGCAGTACGCTGCTTTACATGGTTGCATGTATGCGGTGCATACAGCACATGTAAAGACGCACTGTTAACATGAAGAATGACTGTTGGCGTTACCTCGATGGGGTTCTTGAGTTGTCTTCTTTCTTCTTCGCCATTAAGACGATGGGCCATCCGCATTACCCATGTGTGCATACCCGCAAAAGCACGGAGAAGATGTACTCGACATGGAGCGCGGGTTCTTGGTTCGTTGGATGATCTGCACGATTCTTCTGGGCGTATGCATGATGTTCTACACTCTGCACTCTCGAGCTCTTTCCTGTCCTGCTCTTTCGGCCTTCAAATCCGGTTTTAATATATTGTTGTTGTTATGCATCCATTTTCCCCCTTGGGATGCTTTGAGCAATTGGAGGCAAATGCATCCCCAGAGATGCATATTCTCCGCTCATACTCCATCTAGCCCCCACTTTTTGGTTAGCGTCCTTAGCAAACCCCAAGGCTACTTCAGCTATCGGCTAATGAATAGCAAAGACTAGTTTAATCCGACCCCTTCTCTGTCCAACTCGCGACCTATCGATACATGGGATACAAAGTTTCTGACCAAGCACATCTCTTTGTACGGAGGTGGCCCGTGGTTATAAAAATGGCGAGATCCAGCCGTCGATTCCATTCCATACTCCTTTTGTCTTTCGCGCATCTTCTCATCCAAACCTCTCATATTTTCGAGCCGCACATCGCACATCCCTACAACCCTATATTGGTCTTTGACGACACTTGCATCCCGATTAACCAACAGGATAGTACCGATATACTGGACCGACCCCTGCTGGCGCGATACGTTTCTCGCAACCTCCTCTAGCTGCTTCTCATCCGCGACATCGTACATAACGGCCTGTATCCCAACGAGTTTCAACATTCTGCAAGATTCGGTCTCATTTCGCACCAACCCTCTAGCTATACATATCGGCATATATTTATTTCACACGAGCAGCGCGCTTAGCTGTCGTCTTTAAGATCTGGACGTCAAGGTGCGTTACAAAATTCCCCGCCTGTCCCCCTGCAAATCGAATCAATCGGCTCGCGCCTCTCATGCGTTCATCGAGTTCACCACTGACACTCTTCCAACCCTTTTCTGTCCGCATGAATCAACCAGCAATCTTGCCAAATCTTGTACCAGCCCAACCTTACCCCTGAACCCTTTTTGTCACGTCCTTTGTCTCACCAACAATTACGAAAATGATGTCCGTGCCCTCACCCCGAAACACGACCCTGCCATTGGTCACGTCCTCGACCTGCAAGGCATCCCTTTCCGCCAGATCAGGGCCCCTGACGATCAAGGTCTTGTCACTAAAGGACTTTTTGTGTCTGGAGACAAGACCCCAATTTCTCCAGGAGATGCAAGAATCCCTGATGGAGGTTGGGACGTTCTATATTAGGGATCATGGTGTCCCTGAGCAGGTCACCGGCGGGGCTTTGAAGGCAGTTCGGGATTATTTTGCACTGCCCGTGGAGGAGAAAAAGAAGATGTTGATCGGAAATAGCCAACACTTTCGAGGGTACAAACTCATGGGTATGTGTCTCTCCTCTCCTGCACAGCAATGTCGCGAAAGCATAAATCAGACCTTTAATGCCAAACCTATACCTTTTTAGGGAATGAGATGACAAACAATGAAGTGGATCATCGCGAACAGCTCCAGTTTGCACCCGAGCAGGCCCCAATCGAGTCCTTTATTCCTTCAGTCTCTCCAGACTATGAAGGTCTTCAGGGTCCTAACCAATGGCCCCTGAGTACCTTGGCCCTCGTCCCCGAATTCAAGTCCTCTATTCTCGAATTCATGGCCCAGCTCGAGACTCTGTCTCAGCATCTGATGGAAGCTGTTGCCCTGTCCCTGGATCTCGATGGATCTTATTTCAAAGACCTCTTTGGCGACTCTCCGTACTACCGCATCAAGTGCGCAAGATATCCCTCAGTTGAGAATGCGGCAACCATCGGCTGTGGTGCGCATAAGGATACGGGTTTCTTGACGGTGTTGCTGCAAGATAGTGTGGGTGGATTGCAGGGCCAGGATCCTGTAACGGGGCAGTGGATGGATACGCGGCCTGTGCCAGAGACGTTTATTGTCACGATGGGAGAGTCGATGGAAAGGTTGACGGGTGGTCTTTACAACGCGACAGTCCATCGCGTGTTGAACAACACCTCTGGACAGGACCGGTATAGCATTCCGTTCTTTTTTGATCCAGCTTTGACCGCAAGGATCCCGCATCGTCTTCCTGTGCGGGGTCTGTTGAAGCGCTCCGTGTCTTCGATGTCGAATATGACCGCCAGAGGCATGCCAATATCTATATCGTCCGCATCGTCGCTTGCATCGCTTTCGGATACAGAGTCGTTGAATTCTAAGGACGAGCTTGAAAGTCTGGTGGATGCACTCGAGATTAAAGAGGGTAGTGATGCGTTGGCCTCGAGACTGGGAAGCTGGAGTAATGGGGAACATATCTTTAAGACTGTACAGCGGTGCCATCCTGAAGTCTACTCTAGCTGGTATGGTCCAAAGCTTTAAAGGGACTCGCAACTACGCGCCACCAAAAAAATAGTTTATCTCATCCCCCTTTTCATCGTAATAATAATAAATCCAACGTCTGCCTCTCAACCCATTCGTTTTCTTTTTCCTTTTTTTCTTTTGGTCAACAGTATCCACGCGTTCCATCGCAAAATGTCGATTTTCTGGCCATTGACATGAAAAGTTGGACGAAATGGAGACCGAAAACAGGTATTTATTTTGGACAGTTAAAGATTGCAGGAATGATTGACAGCACCACCACAAGGGATAAAGGTATTTAAACCTTGAAGCCGCGGGAGGCACGACGACCACGGGCCTTCTCGAACTTGCGACCCTTGCTCTGGACATAGGGCTTGGCGTGCTTGCCAGGGCCCATGCCAAAGTGCTTGACGGCCTCACGGGTGTTCTTCTTGCCACGGAGCAAGACGGTGTTGGCACCAGTGGGAGCGCGGAGGGCAAGCTGATCGAAGGTGATAACCTCACCACCAGCCTTCAAGACGCGGGCCTTGGCGGTCTTGGTGATGCGCAAGCAGGCGATTGTGAGCTTGGGGACCTCGAGGAAGCGGACATCATCCGTGACAGTGCCGACAACGACGGCGGTCTTGCCCTCCTTGCCAGCCATGTTGCGGGCGATGCGGGAAACCGACATAGGGGGGCGGTTGACACGCGACATAAAGAGACGCTTCAAGACGACCTTATTGAAGGAAGAGTCCGTGCGGCGGGCAAGGAATCTGTAGAGCTGTTGTCGAATGGATCAAAGACAGGCGAAAAAGGAGTGAGTGTCTGCATGTCTGTGCTATTGGACGTTGGTATCCTTATCCTCGTTCGAAAAAGGTGCTGAGGTTCTGAAACGTTTGCGTTCGGTGTGTGGAGACTAAGAATCTTTGCAATCATGTCCTATCCTGATCCATAACTCACGAAGCGTTTTTGAAGATATTTTCATAGCGTTCACAGTTTCCAATTGCTTCGATAACGTCCAAGTCCTTAACAGGCGAATCAGATCGCCAGTGTTGGTCATTCGAAGATGTCGGCTCTTTTTCCTGATTCCTGATCAGAGTTGTGTACAGAATTAACGCAGTGTTTGGGACTCGCCCATATCAATGTTGGTGTATTTCAATGAGGTCTTATAGTTGTCAATGCAAGTTCCACGCCAAATGTCCTTCGTCCTTCGTGGCTGGGAAAAAAAAATGCGCCCTGCGCCAATCGCTCTGTGTTGTCGGTCTGAAGAATAACGAGCAGAAAAAAAGTTGGCGGATGTCAGGTCTATGCAGAGTTCCGGTTCATACCTTGACGAGCAACAACAGGTAGACATCCTCAGACTTGGGGGCCTGACGGTTCTTGTTGCGAACGTGGTGCTTCTTAATGTCAATACCCTAGATACGGAGGAAACGAGTTGAAGTCGTCCTGATTAGTCTACTGAATCATAGGTTCATCAGTGATGAACTGCCGTTGTTGTTGGTTTTTGTCTCCTGCTTCCGGTTTCCTGCTTCTGGTTTCCTGCTTTCATGTAATACCGCTCCTTGGCAGTCCCTAAGCCATAGACCCATGGCTTCACGATGCGTTATATCGCTCGCTCCAGCGGTTCAGAAACGGCAATAGCGTAGTGCCGATTCAGACCTTCACCCCGGTCAAAGATCACTGTGCCCTGTAAAACCGACATGGCTGATAGCTAGTTGCTCGAGTGGTGAGTTTTGGCTATGGTAGAGGGCGTTTCCTGTTCCTCGTTCAAACGTTTGTTGTGATTGTCATCGAATCAAATTGACAGGATAGCAAGTAGTGAGGAGATGCATGAGGGTGGATCCGGACATGGACCTAAATGATATCCATGATCCGGTGACGATGGTGCCGTTTTCTCGGTCCTGATAGCGTTTAATACTGATGGATGCCTCGTTGTTGTCGTTGGATGCCCATGGATGGTTCTTTTGGTCTTGGATGTCCTTGATTTTTTTTCCGCCCTTCTGGTGGATGACTGCTAACCATTTTGAAATTGAACTGGTTCAGAGAAAGAATCGATTATGTCCCACCTTTGACGTTGTAATAAACCATCCATTATTCAAGAAGAGCATCTGAACCCTTAAGCTTTCATTTTCGAGGGTAGAACCCTGCGCTCGTATTTCAGGCAATCGAGCACTCGCGTGGCTCCCTCAACGCTATACCGAGCACGATCTACGCCGTTTGTAAGATTGTTTGATAATAAGTTTCTGTATGCGTTTTATTTAAGAGGATGAACACGGTAAATCTGGATATCTTCGTTTTACAGATCAACAACTAGAGATCCTTCCAGAAATCAAGTTGTGCAGGCGCGGGGGGTTTGGGTTCTCATACTCTATGTCGGATCAAAACTGGTCGGTATAAGGATTCTAAATGCCCAGAGTGAAGGAAGAGAGAGGAAATGCAGCATATTAGAAAAAGGTTCAGCAGCCAGTTGCAATGACCATATAGTAATATGGATCACGGAGATCACTTACAGGCAGTGGCCTCAACCTCGGCAGCCTTCTCGGGAGTGGCCTCAGTCGACTCGGTGGTTTCGGACAGGGTCAACTTGGCGATGCGCTCCTCGGCCTTACGCTTGTTCTCGGCAGTGGCCTTCTCCTGGTTCGACTTGTAGTACTCCTTCTTCTCGACCAATGCCTCCAAAGTCTTACCGAGATCAGCAGACGAAGTAGGGACAGGGACCTTAAGTTCGAGCTAGAAAAGAAAGGACAGCATTAGGCTTTAGTAAAGGAAAACATGATACTCTTCATATAAGATACATCAGATTGCACATGTTACAACACTTACCAGCTGCTCGAGAAGAGCGAGAGGCAGCTTGAAAGAGCTGACCTCGACCTTCTTCTCCTTGGGTCCCTTGCTCTTCTTGGACTTTCCAACAAAGAACACCTCCTCCTCCTTGTCAGCCTTCTTAGTCAGCATCATGCCGCTGGGGACATTGGTGGTAGTGTCAGCCTGGCGAATGTTGGGGTTGGGGCTGTCAGTGGCAGCGGTGGTGGCAGTCTCTGCAATGTGTTTCTCGTTCTTGCTGAACTGGAGCAAATACTTGTAAACACTCTCGCAGGTGACGATCTCGTTGGCGTAGGCAGGAATCTCGGCGAGCTCTCGCTCCTCCTTGGCAATGGCGAGGCGCTTCTCCTCCAACTCTTGCTGCTTCTTTGTCTGGTATTCCTCGCGCTTGCGAGCCTGCTCCTCCTGCTGGAACTTTTGGTGCTCACGAAGGGCCTCGAAGTACTCGTCGTTGATGGCCTTCTTGCGCTGGTACTCAGCATCGAGCTCCTTTTGGAGACGGGCGCGCTCATCGAACAGGTCGTTACGCTTCTTCCAGACTTCATCCTTGGACTTGGTGATCTCGTCCAACTCAGCCTGGATCTGGTTGTATTCAGCACTCAGAGCCTTGGCAGTCTGATCATCAATGGTCTCCTTGAGAGCAGCAATGGCGGCCCTGTCGGCATCGATGGCAGCCTGCTGGGCCTGGATAGCGTCAACGGTCTTCTTGGCCTTCTTGAGTGAAGAGATCTCAGTCAAGATGCGCTTTTCCTCGACCAGTTTAATCGATCCAGAGTCGACCTGCTTCTCCAGCTTGCTATTGACCAGAAGGTTGAGCAATATAGAGGGTATGAAGTCAGAATGAAAATCTGAGATGAACATCAAGTGATCTGGTCAAGCACACATTGAGAGTTTGACCTACGCAATCTGAGCATCAACAGCCTCCTGAGTCTTGTACTGCAGCTTGTCCTGAGTAGCCTTCAAGTCAGCAACCTGTACGATCAGTGAGAATGGAGGGGATAAAGTGAGTACAAACGTTTTTTTGACACACCACGGATCAGATCGAGTAGTCAATTGCTTGTCAAAGGGCAATTGAACTGACCTTCTTCTTCAAAGCATTGTTCAAAGTGTTGAGCTGATCAATCTTGGCCTGTTTGCCCTTCTTGTTCTCGGCCTGCTTTTCACGAAGTTCACCCAAGTGCTTACGGAGAGCGGTTCTGGGATCGGATTCGGACTTGGCGGTCATAGCGGCGATGGCATCCTTGACAGCGTTCTAAACAAGTAGTAGAATCAAGAGAAAGGAGAGATGAGGATTATGAACTGATTAACTTGTCGGTCTTGTCTCATCAGACGATTTTCTAACACAGATGAGATGAGCAGTTGTCATCTTTTGGAAGAGTGCGGACCGCCGGAAGGCCTTGTAGCTTTCCTGTTTTGATATCTAACGGCAATCGCATTGGTAGGTCTGGAATTTGATGACTCGAGGCTTCCGAGTCAATAAGACTTACCAGACGAGGGCGAATCTTGTCCATGTTGGCCTCGATCTCCTTGATGGTCTCGTTCTTCTCATCCTGGTTAGGCTTCTTGACGTATGTGCGGGTGGCCGGTGCCGTAGAGGTGGTGGGTGCGGTGACAGACATTATGTTGGGGATACCAAGAGGCAAGAGACAGACAAGACAGGCAGAGAGCGAGATGGAGAGGTACCGGGAATGGGGAAGGAAAGAGGGGATGATGAATTTAAGAAGAGATTCAGATGGGACCAAGTCCCGTCAAAGATGAAGACCATAGAACACAAAGGGCGTGTGAGGGAAACTCTACTTAGTCCAATTGTCCAATCAGAATCTTGCATTCGTGCGGGGAAAGCTTCAAGGTTCGATTCAGGCACATGACAGGAAGTAATGGTTTCTTGTCATATCGCCATAGCTGTACGAACTCCATCCTACTCGACGCGTCGGGTCGATGCAATAAAGACTGAGGAGAACAGAGTATTATAGCGCACAGTAGCCCCGTATCCTTTCTTTTTCAGGAAAGACCACACCCGTCGATGCGCATCGCGGAGCCGTGAGAATATGAAGCTATCGGAAATAGTGGTTTGGTGTAGAGGTTCTGTGTAGAGGCGGTGATCAAGTAAAAATAAAAGAAGGGAGTGGAAAATTGCTCAGGTTCATTGCAGTGTCAACCGCACATGTAGTTATTGATAAAGCAATGGGAAGAGCCTTAATTCCCACCAGAATTCCACGGTTGACGTAGACGCCTCCTCCTAGCCAATGAGGAGCACCCGTGTTTTCAAAACAAACCTGGGCCGTAGACTATTTCCTCCTCTCTCCTCCCCTCCCCGGTCGCAATTGTGCACGCCCCTTATTGGTTCCATCCAGTCGCGAGAAATAACATATCCTTCCGTCCCTTTTCTCTCCATTCCTCCCCTTCATCCAAATCCAAAGGTCCCTCCCCCACCCGTGGATTCAGCCTACCATGTACGCTCTCCGTAACATCTCGCGTCTCTCTAAGAGCGCCGCTGCCATCAAGACCGCCCCCAAGGCCTTCAACGCCGCCTTCCTCAAGGGTAAGCACAACACTTTCTCACCAAAACCACCCTTCTCATCCTTCCTTCATGCTACCCACACGGCAAACCTACCTATCTACCAACCACGTCTGTTCCCCTCCCCGCATCATCGAAAGAACGCCAATATTGTCTGATCAGCCTATCGACCTCGACCACAAACGCGGACTACGATCAATACGCTCCCAACCAATTCGCTGATTCTAATCTCATCAACAGCCCCGTGTTATTTCACGGACACCATCAGATCGGGATCTCGCTTGTCCAGTTCCGCTTGCTTTGATGATCGATCAGTAACTGCAGCAGCAACACACGACTCAGGCTCGACAGGAGCAAGACGATTGTATAAGAGTTCTTTTTGTTGATTCAGTACGGAATTGCTTGGAACAATGAACCTGGACCTGGTCAGGATCAGGGCCATCGGGACATGGGAGGCAGAGGATCCACATCAGGCAGCACTGCTCAGCCAGATCTGGCAGCATCGGGGCAACATCGAGCAACGCGGCTGGAACTCAATAATGGCGATCGTCTTGTCGGGAAAGCGTATCTGATTCAACACGAATGGAAACTCAGTGACCATGTGCTAAAGTGCTGTGTCGCTTCAGTTCCCTTTGTTATAAAGATCAGATATCTCTTCACAGCCTTCACTCTTTTTTCGCGCGTATTTTTGATTCCGAGGTATTGACCCGATCCTCTTGACATCCATTACATTATCTAGCTGGCTATGCCTCTGAGTCCAAGTCCTCCGGTCAGATTCGTTCCGTCATTGGTGCCGTCGTCGACGTTCAGTTCGACCAGGGCAAGCTCCCCTCCATTCTTAACGCCCTTGAGGTCAAGAACTTGGACCGTCGTCTGGTTCTCGAGGTCGCCCAGCACTTGGGAGAGAATACTGTCCGCACCATTGCTATGGATGGTACTGAAGGTTTGGTCCGTGGCCAGCCCGTCGAGGACACCGGTGCCCCCATTACCATTCCAGTCGGCCCCGAGTGCTTGGGCCGTATCATCAACGTTATTGGTGAGCCCATCGACGAGCGCGGTCCCATCAACGCCAAACAGACTGCCCCTATCCATTGCGAGGCTCCCGAGTTCGTTGATCAGTCCGTCGTCCCCGAGGTTCTCGTCACTGGTATTAAGGTCGTCGACTTGCTCGCCCCCTATGCTCGTGGTGGAAAGATTGGTCTCTTCGGAGGTGCCGGTGTCGGAAAGACTGTGTTCATTCAGGAGTTGATCAACAACATTGCCAAGCACCACGGAGGTTACTCTGTCTTCGCTGGTGTTGGAGAGCGCACCCGTGAGGGTAACGATTTGTACCACGAGATGATGGAGACCGGAGTCATCAAGCTGGACGGCGAGTCCAAGGCCGCTCTTGTGTTCGGTCAGATGAACGAGCCCCCAGGTGCCCGTGCCCGTGTTGCCTTGACCGGTTTGACCATTGCCGAGTACTTCCGTGATCAGGAGGGTCAGGATGTGTTGCTCTTCATCGACAACATTTTCCGCTTCACCCAGGCCGGTTCCGAGGTGTCTGCCCTGTTGGGTCGTATTCCCTCTGCTGTCGGTTACCAGCCTACCCTTTCCACCGACATGGGAGGAATGCAGGAGCGTATTACCACCACCAAGAAGGGTTCCATTACCTCCGTCCAGGCCGTCTATGTGCCCGCTGATGATTTGACCGATCCCGCTCCCGCCACTACCTTCGCTCACTTGGACGCCACCACTGTCTTGTCCCGTGGTATCTCCGAGTTGGGTATTTACCCCGCTGTCGACCCTCTCGACTCCAAGTCCCGTATGTTGGATCCCCGTATCGTCGGTGAGGAGCATTACGAGACTGCCTCGAAGACCCAGCAGATCCTCCAGTCGTACAAGTCCCTCCAGGATATCATTGCCATTTTGGGTATGGACGAGTTGTCTGAGGAGGACAAGTTGACTGTCGAGCGTGCCCGTAAGATCCAGAAGTTCTTGTCCCAGCCCTTCACCGTTGCCCAGGTCTTCACTGGTTCTGAGGGTCGCTTGGTCAAGCTCGAGGACACCATTCGCTCCTTCAAGGAGGTTCTCGAGGGTAAGCATGATCACTTGCCCGAGGCCGCCTTCTACATGGTCGGTGACATTGAGGATGCCACTGCCAAGGCCGCCAAGATCGCCGCTGAGATCTCTGGCAACTAGATATATTAAAGTGCATTCAACACCCATCTTGTTCAGTCAATGACAATTACACGCTCACCCTACTCTTCTCTCTCCCTCCCTCTCTGCTTTTATCTCTTTCTGTTTATTATTTGATACAATTAAACAACCTCTCTTTTCACACTGCATTGCTATCGACCATATCCTCCGTTTGAGGATGAGAACACCAATGGAACCAATGAAAAGTTGTTTATATGTTGGTGTACAAGGAAATATAAATTCGGATCAAGCACTCCTTCTCAAATTCCCGCTTCAGCAGTTTCATTCCTTTGCACATCACAAAAACGATTCGCTTTGCTCTCATGGACTCGTCCACAACAACTGCCTTGACCCGTTTGGTCTCTGTTCGGAACCATCTCTCTATCCAGCCTTGTTTTCAGCGTTATGCTATCCATAGTGACAAGCCCACAGGACCCGCTGACCTTGCCCGTGAGCGTGCCAATGCCTCATTCAAGGTCGAAGATATGACCGAGCTCCTTCTTCGCGGCAAGGAGAACGTGGAAGCCATGGTAAACAGATGTTCAGTTCAGCTGTGCTATCTTTCAGTGTAGCGAATACGTTATTCATTGGCTACTCGCACCCAAACTCCGATTGAAATGCGACTGTTGGTATAGAGCATCGCGTACCAGATGGTTCAGCGCGACCCCGACCTTCGCCTCCCCGAGGGGCACCACTACGACCTGACGCGGGCTGAGGACCGAGAACTGACGATGCGCCAGATTGCACGCATGATCCAACTGAAGAAGGAGACCAAGGACTTGCGCCTGCAACAGGCACTGTTCAAGGCCATGACTTTTTACTCCGAGTCATTCTCGATGAGGATCTATGTGCATGAAATGCTGTTTCGACAGGCATTCAAGCTGTTCGGAACCGCAGAGCAGCAGGACAAGTGGATGGACGATATTGACAAGTGGAGGGTCATCGGCTGCTTCGCCATGGTAGGTTGAGAGACAAGGAGGGTGGACTGCTCCTATGTGCTGTATTGTATGGCTGGCGGGACGAACTTCCTAACGATGCCATTGCCATTGGTATACCTCTTCGTATTACAGACAGAGTTGGGACACTCCTCAAACTTGCGTGGACTGGAAACGACTTCGACGTATGACCATGCTACAAGTGAATGGATTATCCATTCGCCTACCCTGACCTCTACAAAGTGGTGGATCGGAATGTCTGGCGAAACAGCAACCCATACAGGTAAGCGAATCTCGGCTCAAGCATCTGCTACCCATTCATCCTAAAGTGACAGCCACAACTTTTTTGACAACGGACACACACAATTCGTTTCAATAGTTGCTATCTGCCAAACAATTGTCAATGGAGAGAACCATGGTATCAATTGGTTCATCGTGCCTCTTCGTGATCCCAAGACTGGCAAGCTGCTGCCTGGTGTCACCTGCGGTGATATCGGCCATAAGTCATCGCGTCAGGGCCTTGACAATGGCTGGATCCAGTTTACGGCTGTTCGAATCCCACGCGACTACATGCTGATGCGGTGGGCTTCCATCAGTCCTGAAGGCGAATTCTCACCGTCTCCCAATCCAGTTCTATCCTACGCAACCCTGATCCCCGAACGCTTTACCATCTTGGGCGGCTCACAGGTAGTGTTGTCCAACGCCCTTACAGTCGCAGTTCGATACGGTGCAGTCCGTCGCCAAGGAAACCATGATGAGCAGATCCTGGACTACCAGACTCACTATACCAGTCTGATGCCCGGTGTTGCGTTCCTGTACACGCTTAACGTTGTTGACAAAGTTTTAATGGACAAGTGGGAGGAAGTTGCCGCCTATGCTCAGACGGACGCCGTTGCGTTCATGCGAGAGATCCCTGATCAACACGGCATTTCTGCAGGATTCAAGGCCGCATTGTCGTGGTATGTCACTGAGATCCTGGAGTCTTGTCGCAGAGCCTGCGGTGGTCATGCATACTCGTCCTACAATGCGATCGCTGGGTTGATCGGCGACTATGGGGTCGTTACCACTGGAGCCGGAGACAATGTGGTGATGATGCAGCAGCTGGCACGGTACTTGATCACGGCTTTGAAGTGGGCACAGGAAGGGCAGGAGGTCGTTGGATCGGTCAGCTACTTCAACGACTATAAGAAGATCATTGCCAACGGGAAGGTCAATTTGCAGGATCCACGCGACCTTTCGAAGCATGAGGTCGTCATCGACATTTTGACCTGGGCTTGTGCGAAGAAGGCAGCGGATTTGGGTGCGAGACTGAAGGAGGCTGGCAAGGCGAATTTTGACCAGGCCTGGAACGCAAACCAGACGGAGCTGGTTCGCCTTGCGGACATTCATGCCTGGCGCTACTATTTGATCCTGTATCAGCGTGGTATTGAGGCGCACAAGGGCAAGTCCGTGTATCCGATGCTTGTGAAGATTGGCCAATTGATGGGAACAGTTGCACTGAAGCGACACCTCGAGATGTTTTTGGAGGAGGGCTATTTCGATGGATCACACGCGAAGCAGGTTCGAGAGTTGTTTTTGGATCAGTGCAAGGATCTGCGCAAGGATGCGGTGCCTCTGGTGGATGCATGGATCATCCCCGACTTTGTGATCAAGGCGCCGATCGGAAAGTATGATGGTGATATCTACCCAGCTTATTTCGCGACGGTCAACGCGGCCCAAAAGTCGTTTGACCCTCCAGCCTACTGGCATACGCACGTGGCCCCGATGTTGAATAACAAGAAGGGCTGCAAGTGCTAGATGTTGCAACCTATTCTTATTTCCTAGATGTGGAACAAATGAAATATAAAGCAATAGCTCAATCTCGGTGTGTTCCATCTTCTTGCTATTGCGATTATGGACATTGGGCAGTTTGTACAAGGAGTTATCTATTTATCTCTATTCTCTTTTCTTTCTTCTCGCACTCAAACCCCATCCTACTTCATACTTCACTGTCCCATCCCATCCTCTCGTTGGACTCCATCTGTCTGAGTCTTCATACTTTTATTTCACTTCTTTTCATTCCACTACGGCTCTGGATAAGATACCTTTCAAGCTATTTGCAGCGATTTCCAAAGATATAATCGACATATGATGCATACTGCAGTTGAAACAGACCTTATTTTGAATCGGCCCAGCGAAAAAATAAATTAAGATATTCCAGCCATCATTAAAAGAAGCCTGCGCTTCCCATCGAGTTCAGAGTATAAGATTATTGCATTTTGCGTAGAAAATCCCAACAAACGCCGGTGATTGTTTGAGACTGTAGGTGCTGGAAATAAGTGAATTGAGCAGAAAGTAGTTGAAACTTCTCATTGGTCACTCTAATGGAGTTCAGAATCGCGACGCGTCATTCGCACAGCAGATGTTCCAGCCAATGATTGCGCGCTCTTTGACAGAGATATTCCAGACATCAGCAACTGTGGGTGAAAATAGAAAAATCTAACAGCAACCGCTGATAAGACAAGTCAGGTTACAAGAACAATAGGTAGAGGAAGCGTATGCCTATATCAGCTCCAGGGAGAGCGGGAACGAGAAAGGGAACGGCGTCAGGTGGAGCTAGAAGTGAAACGGGAGGCATAGAGAGACCAGAGAGGAGGAGGGAAAGCAGGAGAGGTAGGCCCCCGTATCACGTCACTGCTGCTGAACCCGAAAGAAATGACAGCTAGTGGTATGGAGTGCATGGATCGGGTCATTGAGCTGTCGCAAGACCTACACGAGCTCAAGGTGGAGATCGACGGATGCAATGATCACGAGCAGCGAGAGAAACTGGAGCATCTTCTCCGGCGATACAGCAAGAGACTGACTTCGCTAGAGGCACGTAGGAGTTCAGCACACAAGTGGATCCCCAAGGCTGCAAGGCTCTGTCCGACAAGATGTAACCTGCCCAACCTCGAGATCTTTTGGATCGATGGCGATAGGAGCCAAGGACAGCTTCCTGATGACTGCCCCCAATGGTTCGTCGTCATGGCTTCGGCTCCATCTCGATTCCGCACCTCCTCACTGGATTCAAGGTCCTATGCAATGGTAGAACTGGAGCTAGATAACTCTCCCAAAGATTCCGTTGATACCGAGCGATGTTCGCTACAAGACATGCCTTCTAAATGGAAGTCTTTGAGAAAACTAAGCAAGCATTTCGGGGCGAGGACTGGAGAGCCATCGAAGAAAGAGCATCGTCGTTAAGCGATCAACCCATGCACCATTTGGTAGAGGAATATCTTGACACATTTGATTTGTCAGATTCCGAATCTAAGCTAGAGAATCTCAGGACGGCCACATACTACGACCCATTACAGGACGCAGATGCGTCAGATCTGGGTGATGCCGCGACATATGAGGAAATCGTCTTCGAAGTTGAACTTGTGAGGAAGCTGATGTGGGAGTGGTAAGTGCACGTAGTGGCTGCTACTTCCAGTGAATATCCAGTTTGGCAAGAGGCGTGAATACTTACAATCTATCTCGCTTCAGGTGGCTCCCGCTGTGCGACAGAGCCTGATCTGTACTCGATGTTTTCTTTCGTACCACTACCCACTGTCGAACGCGCTGTCCTGCAACCCTATGCCAACTTTCCTTATGGCGTCTCTCAGCACTTATCTCCGACATTATGGTATCCTTTTCCGCGACTCGCCGTTCAACAGGATTTAGGTATATTACAGCTGTATCCACGACCAGGCAGAATAAGAAAGGCGCGGTAGCACTGTCGCACTGATGTCAATACTGGCGCCTACAATAATTTTCACAGGAATCAAGCGATTGAGCTGCGGTTATACAAGTGCTTTATTTGTCCGGACTTCTGCCTCCGCGTGAACGCTTCCTTCGCTATAATGGCTTCCAGAAAACCGCCCAGAGCAAACTTCGCATCGGCTCAATACACCGCAACATTGCTGAAACGCGCCAATAGAGTTGCTCCTGCTGCATAACTTTCAGTGCAGATGTCGTGAAGTACAAACGTTCCCGAATACAAAGCCCTTTCAATTCGCGACATATTAATAAAAAGCAATGAGAGGAGTGTTCAGGAATGCAATTAGAGCATTAGAGGCATACGAAGGCAGGACTATGCTTTGGGTATAAGGAACTTTAGAACTTCACCTGAACAAAATGGTCCATTCTGCTTAAATCGATTCCCTGGAGGAAGAGGAATATGTAGGACAAGGACAAGCGGGTAACACAAGGCATCGAGATGGCACCTCAACTGGACTGAGCCTTGACTCGATTCGAATTCGAGCGTGAGGAGACGACACCCGTGGCAAGAAAAGAATCAGGTCCACAAGTGCCGCAGGTGACCCCAGAGACTGGCGGATACCGCCAGGCCTGGTTCCAGATCCATCAATACATCCATGTTGACCGCGGTTCCCTTCCAACTGGGACGACATACACACGACCACGAAACGTGAAACTCTGGATCCACCAAAGCGCGCGTGCATGCCGATCAACAAAGATGTATTTCGACAAAGAGAAGAAGTCGAGGAATACAAAAAAAAAAAACGTCGAGATGGCACCTCAGCTGGACAAAGCCTTGACTCGATTCGAATTCGAGCGTGAGGAGACGACACCCGTGGCAAGAAAAGAATCAGGTCCACAAGTGCCGCAGGTGACCCCAGAGACTGGCGGATACCGCCAGGCCTGGTTCCAGATCCATCAATACATCCATGTTGACCGCGGTTCCCTTCCAACTGGGACGACATACACACGACCACGAAACGTGAAACTCTGGATCCACCAAAGCGCGCGTGCATGCCGATCAACAAAGACGCATTTCGACAGGAAGAGTAAGGGAGATGGATGGAGCTGAAAGAGATGAATAGGTGCGTGACGTTGACCTATTTTGAACGCATTTTCACTTTCCCATGAACAACGTTGAACCTCTACTGCACTCTCTTCCTATCAGTCGCTGACAGACTTTCTTTCTTCGAGCTCTATTGCGCGCACCGTTTCCAGCTCTCTCTCCCTACATCCAGGCATACGCTTTAATAGCCTGCTCTCCTTCCTGACCAGATCATCCACACGCTTCTACTATTGATCTATTCAGCCTCAATTCAGCTGCATTTACTCGATATACTTGTACTTATTTGATAATGCCTTTAAAACGGATATCGGCTGCTATCCAGCACGAGAGCAAAAACAACAGCAATAGGCAGGACACCGATGATGGCGACAAGGATGAAATAACGGAACGAGTTCGATTCTTTGTGGAGGACATTGTGCCTGCTTCGCCAGAAGAGGCGGCAAAAGCATTTTACGAAAAGTTTCATTTTCGTAATAGGACACTTGGGACTGACGCTTTGAGAAAGACATTGCGACGAATGTCGACAGGCGCAAATGGTGCGAAAGTCCAACATATCAAAGACAAGCTGTCCGACAAGAATTTCAAGAAGTGGGAACGCGGCTTCTTTGCACAGCAGGCAGCGCCAGAGGATAGCCGCGCGGCCAAAAAAGCTAGGGTAGAAGCCAGTATTCTCGGGCTTGAAGCAAGCACACGCCTGCTCAAGAGCAGTGTGGAGCGTACGGTCAAGGGCGTGGAGGTCTACAACTCTGCGGCGGAGATAGCAACGACGGAAGTAGAATCGTCAACAACAGTGCGATGGGGAAAGTCCCCTTCAAACTCAACCCCAACTCCTGCGGCTAAACCCCATCCTGTGTCTTCATCATCGCCTACAGATGATGAGCTTGAATTCGACCGTCACCGCTTGCGCGAGCGTTACATGGATATGGCGGATGAAAAGAAGTGGATGCTGCCATCAGGCAAATACGCGGAGGACGCGTTGTATGAGGCATCCAAGGACATTGAGAAGTTGTGGCAAGTCTTATTTTATTACCACTATTATTTCAGCTAATATCAATGCCACTATTCGGTATGCCTGAGCGTCTCATGTTGAACAGTTTTATTCATATTTTTATAATCGATAGCTCCATGCACTCGTTCGTTATTGACCTTGGAGACAAAAGGACTAGGCAGGCATTTCGGGGCGAGGACTGGAGAGCCATCGAAGAAAGAGCATTGTTGTTGAGCGATCAACCCATGCACCATTTGGTAGAGGAATATCTTGACACATTTGATTTGTCAGATTCCGAATCTAAGCTAGAGAATCTCAGGACGGCCACATACTACGACCCATTACAGGACGCAGATGCGTCAGATCTGGGTGATGCCGCGACATATGAGGAAATCGTCTTCGAAGTTGAACTTGTGAGGAAGCTGATGTGGGAGTGGTAAGTGCACGCAGTGGCTGCCACTTCCAGTGAATATCCAGTTTGGCAAGAGGCGTGAATACTTACAATCTATCTCGCTTCAGGTGGCTCTTGTACCAAAAAAGTGCCAACCCATTTATCACTGGCACATCGTTGTCAGAAGCATGGTGGGCGACTCATGCGTTCCCTACCCTAGGTTGTCTTGTTGACGATGTTGATAATTGCTTCGCCATCAATGGTGAGAAAAGTGGGATTGAGAGCAGCCGCAGAAAAAATCGCCATCGACCTGAGGAGCCTGTCAAGGCGACGCGAAAAAAAGTGGGGACCAAGGCAGACATTTTCATCAGGACACTTGGGCATACGCCACGCGATTGGTCGGTTACGGAGTCCGGTCATTTGTGGGACACGTTTGGTAATAAAGCGATTGGCGAGAGTCGTGAAAAGCTGTCTAGGCAGCTCATGGACATTCTGCGTCACCGCGCCCAGGAGTGTCGCTGGAACAAGAGGTTTCTGGAAGGAGCCAAAGTCCTCGGATTCGTCACAGGCGGTACGTAGGAGTATATCTGTATTAACTTGCCGCTTACAGTTTATCTACACACAAACTAATGTTTCGGTCCGTCCCTCATTCACTGATAATTAGGCTCGAAGATTACCAGGATGGACATTATGTTCGGAGGTGGCCACTACGCGATGATATTAAAGGGCCACGGTCTGTACTCACTGGGTGAAAATTTGGACCAGTTTAAGTTGAATCTTAGGGTGGCAAAGTTTCTCCTGAAATCAAGGGTAAGTACCTAGCTAGTACTTTGCTATGCTTAGAACTCTCTTGTATAGCAAGGTAATAATATACTTTTTTGCGCTGTGCTATGGTCAAATAGGGTGCCGTTATTCAGTTGATGCGGCTATTCAATCGCAGTCTGCGCCAGAAAGAGGAGGGCGTGGACGACGACGACGAGGATCAGGATTATTTCAATGACCTAATCGCATCGTCCGAGTCAAGCGACAATTGAACTGTAATACATCCAGATAGCCAGAGTATCCTGATACTTGGCCAAAGTCATGATTCCAAGTCAATCGTAAGTAGCCACCGACCCACTAAGTAAGTACATAGGGACTGTTCAAAGCGATGTACTTTGGCCAAAGTATCCGCACTCTATTTCAAAGACAACAGCTTTTCGCTAGAGCACTTGGAGCTCCTAGTCGAATTGATGCCACAGAACACGAATCCTGTTGGGCGGCTGGACATAAATATCGAGTATTCAAGCACCAAGAAGAGTGAAGCAACCGTCGCACTGGCTCGCAAACTCAAAGTGAAGGCACCATATGTCGGTCTTAGTTACTAAAATAGAAGCCAAATAGGTAGCCTACCATACTTTAAATCAGCTCTGCTAATAATGTTCAGGCCTAATATCAAGAGCTTTGTTACATGCGTGCGTTTTGCAATGGTCCGTCGATGGTCGTCGATGCGCCTATCAAACTGTCCGATTCATGGCCACTGCTGTAGCGCATACTGTGTTGCTGGTTGCGAGCAACAACCAACTTGATGCGAACAACAACCAACTTGATGTGAGCGAAATAAGAGAAGTACAGGCACATTGCAAGTCGCTCTCGCGCCTATGGACGCAAATGTGCCAACTGAGCTACGAGCAGACCTGCTCCTTGACTTTATTCTGGACGGAGTGTTGTGCTTTATGCAGGTTGCACCATGGGTCCTATCTATGTGTACTATGTAGACCCGTGCACAAAACCTAGCCATCGAAAGAACGACCTTGATCCTCTGCGCGTACCCTGCGTACCCTCGACCTTCTCATCGCAGCTCTCGCTGTGCGACAGAGCCTGATCTGTACTCGATGTTTTCTTTCGTACCACTACCCACTGTCGAAAGCGCTGTCCTGCAACCCTATGCCAACTTTCCTTACGGCGTCCCTCAGCACTTATCTCCGCCACAATGGTATCCTTCTCCGTGAACTCCGAACTGTGCTCTTGCCCCGATCCATATACCCGTGTGCCTTGTTGCCGCTCTTTTGTCTGCTGCTTCATGGTTGTCGCAATCGCGATCATAGATGTCCTAGCCTCCTGATCGGCAATCAGGCGGACATCGTGGTCCAGCGGCCACCAGCAATCCCTTGGCATTCTGTCCAGTGCCTTTCGAAAGGATATCGGGCCGAATGTCTCCAAGATGGGCTCGAGCATGATACGAATGATCTTATGTTTGACCTCTTGAGGTGACCGTGGCCGTGTACGCACACGTTGCTGCTGTTGTTGCTTTGAAGGCAGTTGTAGCTGTACGATCGACGAATATGATGATGAAGGCTGCTGCTGCCGTCGATGGAGACGCGAGGGTGAAGGCGGAGCTGCTTCTGGACTCGTGAACGCATTCGGGTGGGAGCTGGTACTGGGTCCTTCCGATGCTGAGCTGCTGATATTATTGGCTGTTGAAGGAGCTTTGCGATAGATGCTTCCTTTTCTGTTCATGAAAAGACATGATGAAAGTGTGTTGAGGGTTTGGTAATAGTATCGAAAGATGGGGGAAGACTCCATAAGAAAAATGAACGGGAACGAATTTAACCTCTGCTGGGAGTATTCACTGGCCTGTGTCCCTGGTCCCGAAAGTGTTGTCTCGGTAATCTTCTGATACTGAAGCGCCAACCAGCAACGAAACAAGAGCCTCGGCGCATGATTTCCTGTGCTCTTGCTCTTGGCCTTGGCAGCGCGATCCACCGCAGAGTTCCCAACGAGAACTCGTACTACTCGGATAAGCCCGCGATCACAGGCAATAACGAGGGCCTGCATGAGGTGTACGATCTTGATATCCGCAAAGGACTCGATTATCCACCGCACCAAACTTGGATCGTTCCTTGTCGTTGCTGCCATGAGTGCTATCACCGCATTTCGATTCTTGCGCTGGGTCATTACGCTAGGGAGCGACCAGAGGGCTGATGCTGAAAGCATAAGTAGCGCTGGTTGGGACTTTTGTCGAAGCTGAACGTTGTCCTGCTGGAGCGGCTCTGTTGCTGATATTTTGCACTTATCACTACTTCGCTCCTGCCTTTTGGCCTTTTTGGATGCGGTAAGGCTAGGCAAGAATGTGGATAGCCTGACTCCTAGAGATGAGGAGCGTGCGGTAGGGGTGATTGGACCCAGAAGTGACCATACAGGAACATGTGCTGCGGACGATGAGCGCCTATCAGGGAATATGGGCCGGTGCGAGACATTCAAACTAGTCCTTTGACGGATCTCAAATAACTGTCTTGGCTCCCTTGCGATGCCTTCGCCTACGCCCCCAACCATATCGCGACTATTGTTACTTCCTTGTCCGTTGCCATCATGGCTACTAAACCAATTCAATCCACTACTATCGCTTTGATATCGACAATGCCCTCCACCAAGGGTTTCCTCAAACCCATCAGCGCTGGGTATCTCTAATCCTCCTCTTAGCATATCAAGGCTGCGTGGAAGGCCTATGTTTTCGTTCTTTCTCCCTGGGTTCAAAGGCGCTGCGGTAGCGTAGTCCCACTTCATTGATGTCCCATGATGGGCATGCTCGCTCGTCATCGTTACCACTGGATCGACCTCTGCTTCCATGTCCCCATGTTCCATCAACAGTATCTCTAGTCCGTGTTTCCATCCGACCGATGCTGCAACCTGAACTGCGCCTGCCAAAGCGTCCTGAGCAATAAGGAGTCGATGTTCCAGTAGAGCGCGCAGAAGAACCTCTTTTTGGTGATAGCACGCTTGATAGAGACAAATGCCGACGGTCATCAAATCAATATATTCGGAGGAAAGGCACTCGTGAACTCTGCGCCTGGTCGTGTCGTTAATCATTTGTTGGTATGAGATGCTTGTTGGCGATGCTCCCTCTTGACCTGAGCCCATGATCTCAAATCCGCGATACGAGGATAGATCTATAGTAGCAAAGTTTGAACCGCTGATGCTCCTAGCTTCAAGCATCGATTTTCGGGTGGATAGAGACATCGGCTTCGCATATTCGCTCATGCGATACTGCGATGGATCAAATGGAACTTGCAAAGACGGACTAGGACTTATCATTTGGTCAGGGAACTCTGTCACGGGCGCGCCTGACTCAAAGGTCTCGCCAAGAGACATAGGAGGCAAGACGAACTCTAGGTGATTGGAAAGTGACAGAGTTGAAGTGGATACTTGAGCTAGCGCTGGCTCGCGAATGACCATCAAGCCAGTGGAATCGGTGTCAGTCCCGACATCTTCTTCAGCGGTCGCGGTGGAGGCGATAATCACGGATGGCCTCTGTTCGCTGATGCAGCCAGGGTTGTCGCTGTTTAAATCCAATATATGAGCTGGAAGTGCGAGAGTGGAAACCGATCCTTGAGCAGGATTGCTGGCAGCTGGGTAAAGAAATTTTTCTACCGCTTGAACATGGTATTCTTGGTCTGCTATATCGTACCGGATCTCATCTTGGACATCATCTCGCTTTCTTGCTATTCTCTTCTTTCCCTTCATGTCGAGTAAATTTGTGTCTGGTTCAGAAGGAGATCCTGTGTTCGGTACCATGCAAAAGTCGATCAGCTGGCGATTCATTTTTTCCTGCTGTCGAAATTGAAGTGCTAGCGGATGGCGACTTTCAGATATGGAAAGATCGCAGATACTGAAGAATCTGAAACCCAGCTTAAGCAAAGCCCTCAGGATGTGATCGGGTGCTTGCGCCTGGACCGCGATGCCGACGATGCCGGGCCCTGGTCGAGAGCTGGACGTAGTGCTACTACCAACGCCACCGAATGCGAGACTTGGGTCCTGAGTGTCGAGTAGCTCTTGATTCATATTCATAGGCATGTCCTCTTCGACTGCGCTTTCCTCTTCCATGTCTGCTGCACCCAACGCCAGGTCTGTTCCTGCAGGAGACCGCTGCTGGCTCTGCTGGCTCTCCTGGCGGAAGTCTTGAGGAAATAGACCTAGTGGCAGTGAAGAGTTGAAGTGATGGTCTACTTCCAATGCCTGTGTGTCTTGATGACTGCTCTCATCGGTTGCAGTAAGGGACTCTACTGAGCCTGCGCCTTGGCCGCCATTATAACCCACGGAGCTTGAGCTCCCATTAGTATTTCCGCCAATGCCTCTGAACCCTCCTCGTGGCAGCATATAGCTACTAGTGAATCTTGTCCCGCTTCCAGTAAACAGGATCCGACTCGAATCGTGCAGGGTAGCCGAGACATTATACGAGCCTTGACCAATACCTCGCCCGCTGAAGTGACCTAACCTGCTTCCCATGCCACAAATTCCTGTCTCTCGACATATCAACTCCCGTGCCTGCTGTCGGCGATAGTCGTACTGGCTTCTGATAGTCTTGTATGGATGAAAGTCATTTTCGGTATCTTTAACCTTGACCTCGAGCTGCGGGCCCTTGAATGGACATATATCCAGAATTATACTTAAGTCTTCAAACGCTTGTCGCTGGAGATAATATTTGATCAGCTTTAACCACTCGCGGGGCCCGATTCTCTCCATAAGAAGATTCATAATACTCAGACCAGAATTGACATCCTTATCTCTAATGAGCGCCCTGTTTCGCTGAGAAGTCGACTCTGGTTGACTTGATGATGACCAGAATGAAGTCGATGGCGAAGAATGTCCTCGGCCATGCTGCTCCTGTCCTTGATTTGATTTTTGTCTCATCTCAGAAGCTCTCTTGAGTGCCCCTGCCGGCCTCGAATAGGCGAGACCCAGGACGGCCTGGCCGAGCGATTGTGCCGTGAGCATACAGTCGTACTTGAGGATTTCATTAACGATCGGCACTGTCTTACTCTCTTCCGCACCTTCGGCTTCTTCGGATCCGTACCCATCGCGTCGAAAACAAACGGCCAAAAGAGCACCTGTCAAGGCACGCCCATCGACCCATGGCATATGCTGATACGGCTCTGGGCATTCTGGTCTTGGAAGAGGACTAGAAGTCCTGTCGGAAGAATGGTGTTGATCCTGAATGCTGTCGCTGTCCACTCTTGGCCTGGTCGTAAAGATGGTTGATCGATGAACAGCTGCCGGTGCTGTCCAGATTGGTGTTGAAGAAAACGCGTCGTCTTGGACTTCAGCGCTATTCTCTTGCGTATCGTCATGTCCAGAAGCAGAAGCAATGGGATCTAGGGATAGAGAGACGGGATAGCGATCCGAAGATGAGGATGCGATACCAGGGCTTGACATGAGAAGAGACTCATCTTCCAAAATCTGGGCTGCAGGCTCCGTACCGTAATTTGCGTGTCGGTGTTTTTCCTCGACCCTCGCCTTTGACGTTGGCTCAGCGTCAAAATCAAGCGAATTAGTTGAGGGTACCCCGTCCAAAGTAGGGCGGGGTCGTACAAGCGTGGCATCTAAGACCTTCCTTACAGCGTCCAAGTCGGCTCGAGCGCAGGCATCCACCAGCTCCTGGTTAGTCAGGCGCATGCACTCCCAGATCTGGTTCAACTCGAGAGATCGCCTCAGAAATAACGTTCGATTGTTCCTGCTGCCACCTTGTTCTTGCGATTCGCTCCCATCCGCTCGCTTCCATCCACTTTTGCGATTGCCGCTGTGCTTACCATCGCCAGGCAGTTGGTTGGTAGAGGTCTCCACTGGGAGAGACGGTATAAGCGAGAAATATTCTGGCAGGTTACGGGGTCGGAATCCTCGGTGAAGTAGGTGGTCGATAAACGGCACATGTCCAAATTCCATAGCGAGGCGTACAAGATCCGGAGGATTGCCTGTGATGAAAATGGGGTAATCCTGCATATCTCTGCGCATCCTGCTTGGTTTCTTGGTTCGTTCTTCGGAGGAATAGGGCTCCTGTGTTGGATCAAGCCAGTGAAAAGAAGAGTGCAGTTGATTGCGGAATGAATAACTGGAGCGCATCAGGTGCGGCTGGAACTCGGGGTGGGTCAATATCCGGGTCAACCGAACGACGATATCTTGAAGTTGCTGATCTTTGTAGAGAGAATGTATGTTGTTTGACTGTAGTCGCGATGTATACGCGTGCGTGTATTGATCTTGCTGATGGTGCTGTTGTTGTTGCCGCTGTTGATTCACATCGCGTACCCCACGCTGCGGCCTAACTTGGAAGAGGAACGCTGCCTGCAAGATCTGATATATGCAAGAGAGGTGGAACATTGACAATGTTTAAGAAGGTGATGCTGTGCTGTCGCACATGCCAAAGACCATTGAACTAATTCGCAGTGGATAAAGAGTGCGATTTACCATAGTTGCATAGGGTAAAGGGATCGAGTGATAGAAAACCGATGCTGTGGCACGCCATTGCACAATGTCGTTCCAGCTTAGGAACCGCAGGGAGGCGATGTAGAGCAGTATGTCGACTGGAAGTCGTGTGATAGGACTGGAAGATTGCAGGGAGCGTTCTGGATGCTGAGACAAGTGTTGATCTGTGCTCGCAATGGTACTGCTGATGCTAGTGCTGATACTGACACTGCTCGGTCCTGGTTCTGCAAAGTGCCAGGATGATGAAGAAGGACCATTGGTAGCAAACGATAGTATCTCAACGTTCTCCATAATCTTAGTATGGCAGTCTTACGGTGATACAGAAAGCGAATCGACAAAACGAGGACCGGGGATCCGAATGACAATGAGGAATGAGAGGAGCTGCGTGATCGATGAGCGCCAAAAAGTGAGGTTGTGTCCCTGAGCAAAGAATGCAGAGTGAGGCCGTTGGCACTCTCTTTATTACATGTATCCTTCTACGTGCTCCATGGCATTCCGCTGCTGGCTTCTATCAGTACCAGTGTCGCCCAATGTATACTGTGCCTCGATTATAAGGGGCATGGAACAAGGAGTTCTCCTCTCTAGGACACTGCCATATTGTCTCCGTTCGGACCCAACGTTCCCCTGCGGCATGACAATCGGCGAGTGGCTAAAACAAGAGTCCTCATGGCTCCTTTTCTTCGTTCCTGCAAGGGGGTCATTCTGCATACTCCTTCAAGAGAGACTAAAAAAAGCGAACGCTTTATTCTAAAGATACAAAGATATGGAAACGAGGAAAGGGACATTGTTCTGGCACCGTGAGATAACAGATGCTCGAAATAAAAGAACACTGATATGACATCCAGGCACATCCTCTTTTCTCAAGGCACATCCTCTTTTCTCAAGGCACATCAACTCCTCACTTGTCGTTGTTTAGCACCTGTCCTCTAATTCTGGTTCCCGTACTCGCTAGCCTGGCTGGAGGCACGTATTAAAATACTTCTGTGATCCCTTTTTGATCTGTTCGATTGCTCAGGGCACTACGCTGACTGGGGCGTCGGCGCGCCATGGACCAATAACGACCAGCGAGTGCGTTAGTCGTTTTGAGTTCCAACGTTGACTTCCCGGGCCATGCGTTCATTGGCGAAAACATGTGGAGAAATCTGATCGGTCACGTGTAAACCGCCGGGGCCGAACCCCACTCGGCTCAACCTCACTCCACCCCTAGACAATTCCTTTTCCCTGCATTCGTTTCTCCACTCTCCCCGCAATCCCTTCCTCAGCCAGCTTCCATTCACTCTGCCAGCCTACCATGTCCTCCATGCACTCCTCCTCCCTTTTCGACGTTAAGGACAAGGTCGTTCTTGTCACTGGTGGCAGCCGAGGGTAAGTGTGCAACGACCAGCAACACTCAGTGCTGTACTATACCAATCTGTCTCTCCTTATCATGGTAACGGTTCCTTTGATCCTCTTGATCATCTCTTTCGTATCCTTTGACGCTCTGCATCAATCAGTGGATCATGCAATATCGCGAAGAGGGTCCTCTCATGCCAGCTGAGCTGTATCACTCTCCTTTCGGCTGGTATCCGATCGCTCAACTGATGACTTTGCCCAATATAACAACGACACTTTAGAATCGGCTTGATGATCGCCCATGGCTTCATCGCCAACGGCGCAAAGGTTTACATTTCATCCCGCTCAGCTGACGTCTGCGATAAGGTTGCAGAGGAACTGACTAAGGTCGGACCCGGCAAGTGCATCTCGCTCCCAGCCGATCTCCAGAGCTTGGACGAGGTCAAGAGATTGGTCGCAGAATTGTCCAAGCGCGAGTCCAGTAAGCGACGTTGCCATCAGGATGCGTTCCTGTGCAATGGCACATTGTTTTTTGAGTCAGCAACCAGCACGCAATCGTCTGAAGTGCCTCCTCTCTATTTGTGCTTTTATTTTAGAGATCCACGTTCTTGTCAACAACGCCGGTGCTACTGTAAGACACTGGCTCGCTACGTGACAGTCGTCCCCGCCATTGTCTACATAGCAATGCTAATAATTTTTGCATCCTTTGATAATGCCTAATAGTGGGGCGCACCTCTTGAGAGCTATCCTGACCAGGCCTTTGAAAAGGTCATGAACCTCAACCTCAAGCGCGTCTTCTCCTTGACCCAGGCCATGTTGCCCCTCTTAGACGCTGCAGCAACCGAGAAGACCCCCGCTTCGATCATCAACATTGGCTCCGTCGACGGTATCCACATCCCTGCACTTGAGACCTACGCCTATTCTGCTTCCAAGGCCGCTTTGCACCAGATGACCCGTGTCCTGGCTGGTCACTTGGGCCACCGCAACATCACCTGTAATGCTATTGCCCCTGGCCCCTTCGAGTCCAAGATGATGGCTGCCACCTTGAGAGATTTTGGTGATGTGATTGTTCAAAACATTCCATTGGGCCGCATTGGACAGCCTGAGGATGTTGCGGCTACTTGCATTTACTTGGCTTCAAGGGCCGGTGCCTACACAACTGGTGCTGTGATTCCTGTGGACGGTGGCTCGTTGGTCAAGGCCAAGGCCTAAATATCATTTCGAAATAATCGATTCTCATTCCTCTAAACAAGCTCAATAAAAGAGCTCTTTTGTACACTTAACCTGCTGTGCACTATATCCGTATCTCATTCTATGTAGAACGTACAATACAAGGACTAGCCATGTTTTTCGATTCTTCACTTTGCCTGAATTCTCATATCATCGCCATAAATTGAACCCCGCCTAATCTCATCCCGGTCCAAGCATTGTCTTCACCGCCTGGACAGTATGCGCTCAAGACCACACATAACTTGTTTCCAGATAGGTTTCTGTCGATCTCTAGGTACCGGTGCCTTACTTTTACTGACACTGCATTGCGAATTTTGAGCCGATTCAACACTGTACCTGGCCGATATATATGATGATTACTAGAAACGTATTTCAACGAGTTAGAAAGCTGAGAAGAGGAGAAGCAGAGGAAGTCGCGTTATCCATCGATCGCAAGGCGATATCCCACAGTGTAATTAGCATATCGTTGATGATAGACCGATCTTGCATTTCAACTTACCTTGTGCTTTTTTTCGATCTCAGAGGCAGTGTTGCGCATACTGTCCTGGAGAGGGAAAACAGCCAACTGGTACAGACGAAATTGAGGCTGCTTAGGATACAAGTAGTGATTCTCACCGGTGAGCGGTTAACCACGGTGAATATATTTTTTTTCTTGAGCTTTTCACCTACCGGTGAAAAATAAGAGAATTCTGGCCACACTTCAGGTTACACAAAGGTCGCGATGCAGCAAACATGTTCATTCCCCTGCCTTCTTCCTCCCCTCGCCATCATCCTCGCTCCCATCGCTGTCGCCATAATCATAGGATTTTTTCCCATTCCCATCGCGATTCAGCGTTCTCATTTCGTGGAATATGTTTTCGGCACTTTTATTTCCATCTCAAGATCATTCTTCTCTGTCTCTCTAAGCCTTTTTCTGCACACCGATAATTCTCACTATCGTCGCACCTCGATATATGGATTTGGGCGCAGCATGAAGTTCAAAGAGCAAGCAACATCTGTTTTACAGGGTCTACAGCGATCAAGTAGCCAAAGACGGGTTAATTGAAAGAAGAAGCTGTCCAGCGGGCGCGTTTTATACAGAAAAATCTTGTAATTCGACATTTGGCGCCATCTTACCAAGTGTTCTGGCTAATGCAAATGGCAACATCACATTTCATAATGTCTGACCGACCACTGTAAATATTCAATTTCAAGGAGGGATTTATCCTCGAAGGTATCGGCTCAATCATGGCCTCGAGCTGCAGCACTGAAAAGTTGCTCTTCTCGACATAAAGTTCCCGCAGTATTCCAAAGTCAAGTCCTTTATTCACTCGAATCCAGCCCCCCTCTCGAGTCGAACGCCGCTTAGATGGAGACGTATCGAAGAGCTCCACTCAATAGTCACCTCCTGGGGTAAAGTCGGGCCGGTCTTGGTGAACTGATTGAAGGGGAAATTAAGTGCTACTCCTGAAACTTCATAAGGTCCAATAGCCGATGAAGAATAAGATTGAAACGGATCTGCAGCCATGGTGACGAGCCATTGAGCGCAATCATCAGAAAGCTGGGCGTGTTTCTCGTCGCCATCGAACCGAAAGGTCTCCAGATTGGGCAGGCCGCATCTTGTCGGACAGAGACTTAGCCTTTGGGATCCACTCGTGTGCCGATTTCCCGCGTATGTCAAGACCAGTCAGACCGAGACTCTCGCCTCCACCATGTCCTGGTGCGCCGTCGGTAAGCAGAGCTATCTTGCGACCTTTGCTGTCGAATATTCTTATTGAGATCCTTAAGCTATTTGTCGAATTGTACTTTTGCCATCTATCCAGAGCATTTCATATCGGTATCAACCTTTTGCAGCGCTTCCTCTTCAATCCCTTGGGTTCGTTCTTCGCTATAAACTAGTAAAATGCAATGAGATAACCCCTTGTGATAACATTGCTTGGAATGTGCAAAATATGCACGAATAGCTTGCGTTTGTCAGGGTGTCGTCGTAACTACATTGGGCAAGCTTGCATTGTAGAGGGCAAGATTCATTTCTATAGGTGGTGCGCGTACTTGCCATTAAACACCCTCGAGCAGATCCTCCTTTGAATATTCAGTGGCTTCCTTAGGATGATTACTATTGGGGATTGAATCAGTTGGAGGTAGTGATGGTGTGGTCCCACTGGTTCAGGGCGGTCTTGGAGTCCGAGGTGAGGGGTTGTCTGGGTAGCATAACCGATGGGTTGGACAAGACGCTGCTAGGCCAACGACTATAACTGCTCAGCAGCCAGGTTGTTGTAGCGAACGTGGCAACAAACGATACCTTGGAGGTTTGGTAACAAAAATAAAAAAAAAGGGCATAGCGTCGCCCGCGTTGAAACTAAGGTAAATAGATGCGTGTATAGGGTCAATTTAATGCTTGTCTGCATACTCCTTGAAAGCGCGATAGAGAAACCTACTGGGAAAGAGCGCGAAGGACGCGATTGAGAATTGCGCCCAAATTGGTCCCGAGGGCTTAGACAGCCAACAAGCACAGAATCAACAGATTCGCAGACCAACCTTGTGCGCGCGTTCATCACTCTCTTCACTTCATCACCTCCCTCTCTTCTTCATTCCGAGCACATCGAAAATGACACAACCACCACCATCGGTCGATAAGGACGGGCGTCAGGACGTACTCCTGCTCAAACAGCAGCTCGCGGAGGCGCTCGGCGAAAACGGACCGTCCTACTGGCAAGCGCTCACGGACTTTGTCTCTGGAAAACTCAATCGACAGGAATTCGACTTTTACGCTAATCTCTACCTCTCTCGCAAGAACGGTATGTCATTGCCTCCATTGAACTTCAGCGAGACGGAGGTCTTTTTTTTTAGGCAATGTGAACGATGCCATCATTGTGACTAACTGATTCCTTCTTTATCGGATTCTGTAGCCCCGCTTCACAATCAGTTTATTCTCGCTAATATCCATAACGCGCAAAAGGATGCACCGCCACCAAGCAAGGGTTCAGTTGGATGGGGCAAAGGAAAGAGAGGCAAGGATGGCAAGCTGCTTAAGGAGAAGGATCCCAAGAGGCGGAAAATCAAGAACCAAGTTCTCAGTCTCGGCAAGACTGAGCGAGAGAGGATCAAAGCGCTCAAGGTATGCTACTTATGCGGAACAAAAGGAGGGCGCCTAGTAACAAAACCGTGGAGCCTGTTATTGCCGAACCTATTATTGCTGACAATACCAATATTGAAGACATTGCTTTAACTGAATTGCTGTTATCATGATGACTATGACTAGGACCAGCACAAACATAGCGGGATGGTCAAACAAAAGATGAAGGAACACAGGGTATCGAAACCGATGGCTCCAACAATGTCTCAACAGGCCCTTGTTGCGGAATACAACAGAGGCGCCAACGCACCGCTATGCTTCGACTCGAAGGAGCTGCCGGATTTTGAATCGATGAAAGACAGAATGACAGCCGTGGCCCTGGAGAACGGGCTTGTGGGAGGTATCCAGGAGGGGGCTGTTGAGCTTATGCTTCATGCCTTGGAGGTGCGCACCATTTTTTGTTTTTGCATGTAAGAGTTTGCTACGAACAATCGTATCTCATGCAGTGGAACTGACAACCGTGTTGTCTACATTCTTTTTTCTTTTCCTAAAGAGCCATATCAAAAGCATTATCAGCAATTGTATCATCAAGCTGCGAACGAATCGGGCGCTAGGCATCACGGTGCCCAAGCGGGAGCTTGTACAGGCAGCAGGACAGCAGCAACAGCAGCAACAGCAGCAACAGCCACACAGTGTGTCGTCATCTGCAGATAACTCGAGTCCATTCAATTCGGCGGCGCACAATATTTCAAAGGGCGCGTCCTCCTCAGCAGACCAACAGCTACCATCATCATCCAATGCTTCATACCAGGCCTCTTACAACAATAGTGGCCACAATTCTAAGCGGACGACGACGATCACGGCCAAAGACCTGGCGTTCACAATTGATATCTCACCCAATATGCTGGTTGAGAACCCTGTGAATGTGGAAAAGCTGTTATCGATATTAATGGAGGAGGAGAGCGAAAAGGAGGATGAAGATGCGGAAATGGACGAGGAGAACGATATCTCTGATTCTATGATAGAGCTATAGGCTGAACTTGTAATTATATGGCCAAACCAAATGGTCCACATATTCATGGGTGCTACTCATGTCTACACGTGACATGCTGTGCCTGTTCAAACTTGACATTTATGTTCGGCGCGAGAGCGAAGCAAGGCTCATCACCTCGTTTCCCATGCTGCTACCATGAGTGACAATGAAGAAGACCCTCGGGAGGTACAAAGAACGGGCTGATGCCTTCGCTCTCGCCTATTCGTCATTCAACTCAAGCTGATTCAGATCTCTTTGCGCCGCTGGAAAAATAGAGACTAAAAGCCGCCATTTGGTACACCGTGGGCGAGATATGCGAACGTGAAAGTAAGGACGGATCTCCTGAAAGCATGACTGATTCGGCTGATGATGCATGGATACATGGACACTGATATTTGTTATAATGATAAACGGCCTTCAATGGATAGGGATCACTCTGAACGTAGTCATCACGCCTCAACTGGTGGCGTCACTTGCAGACCTCGTCTTTGCACAAGCAGGTAAAGTTCCAGTGGGCATCCGATTGAATTGTAGAGTTACATCAGGAAAGAAATGACTCGTCTGGATCAAGGATACCGAGATTGACGGGAACCCACTTTTGTATCTTGTCGAATGCGCTGTAGAAACACTGGGAAAGGATCTGGAAACGTTTTCAAAGTAAGGAAAAAAATGGCACCGCAATTTTCTTTTCACCCATGTCGACGACTTTTTCATCGTAACCATATCTCCCCACAAAATTAGGCACGCCAAGCGGTCGACTGTCAATGCAGACGATGTCAAGGTTCGTTATTTTGTTCGGAAAAAAAGAGGCGCATGTGTGGCCTAGAACATGTACTAGATTACTCATGACGAACTTCATGTTTCTACTTCCACTGGGGTAATAATATAATAGCTAGCTTCCCGAAGAAACGTTAGTTTGGTAAGAGATCGGTCCATTGGTCGCGATTTTTTTTCCTTTAACAAGTGGGTTCAATGGCACTTCGGCTGCAATCTCGGTCAGAATGCGACACTTTTCTGGATCAGGGATTATGCAATACCCCGCTTCGGGCCCTAATTAGCTCCACTATGCTCCTATGATCTTCTTACTCAGTTGTCTACTGAGCATAATTACCTCCGCCAAGAAGAAATTTGCGACCCATGTTTATCTCTATCCTTTTTGACTTATGACCTGCTGATTGCCCTCACACAGTGCCACTAACTAATAGTGTTGTACACTTCCTTCTATGGTACTGCGATGATAGCACGAGATTATTACACGAGAGGCCGAGCGACTTTCGCGACGAAACAAGGGTGTCCGAGATGCCAAGAAGAAGAAGAAATGAATTTGCACATAAACAACTCTGCAACTACAACAATTGTTTTTTTATTTTTTTATGTATTGCTTGGTGGGCTTATTTCCCAGGAGCAATATATAGCAACGTGAGTGTTCGTATTCAATAGATCGCGTGGAGATTGAATGGTACCCCCACGTACCAGTGCTTACGGAGCTGTGTACGTTGAAGATGTTTGTGTAGAAGGATGCGGCAAAAGGGAAGTCTCGGATGCGCAGAGGTGGTGCTGCTGTTTGTGTAACATGAGCGGAACCTTATTTACCCTCATTTTTGGAATTGACTGGAGCGGTTTTATTCAGTCGTTATTATTTTATAGTATGTGCTGCAGGCGAAGCAACTGTCCGAGGGTGAGATGAAGTGGGACCCTCCCCTATTTCTTTTCTGAGTATAAGAGCATTCGACCGCTAGGGCCTTCATAGGAAGCGGTTGTTTACATACACCAAGCAAAATTCTGCATACCATTCGAGGTAGCCAATACGAGTCTTTCAACCATCTCTTAAACGATCTTCAAGACCCGTCGAGCTATACTTCTGGTACTGGATCCAGGTAATCGTTACGTTCTAGCGTACGTGGTTGCTGTCGGAGATAGTAAGGCTGAGTATGGAGGGATCTCAGCGACGCTTACAGTGGAAAAAGTGGGTCCCTTTGTGTATAGTAGAGATATTGAGTGCAATAAATTATGACTGAATCCAATTCAATCGCAACGTCATGCGGTTTGTTACAGAGTGGCACTGGGGCCAATCCCCGCACTAGACTACCCCTGGGCCCTGACACTCAATGGAATAGGAAATTATTTTTTGTGAGATTCGGTGCTGTTGAGTGGATTCGAGAGAAAAGCGCACGAGTGATCTAGTGCACGGGGACAGGTGGCAAGTGGAGGGAAGGACAAAGCTAGGCATGGAAGACTTGCCTGGGGGTTAACAGTTGCTGGCAAGCAGGTCCAACGATGGACATAAGGGAAGAGGGTGTGAAAGTAGTCCTTGTTGGGTCAAATGGATTCTCGGTTTTTAATGGATGGTGTGAAGCGGGGTAGACTACGATCACGGGCAGATCGGTTACATGTTTATCGCAGTTGAGGGAATGAATAGCAGCTGAGTAGTGTGGTACAGGGGAGGCAGAAGGAATGGATCGCCGGGTGTGTGTTTGGGTGCGATTGCGGGGGGGCGGGGCAGGGTGTATCCACGCACTGGCACCGCCTGCTGGGGAGGATGTGTTGCGGTAGTTACCCACTTTTCAGTGCGGAGTAAGGTTATGCGCTTGTGCACCCTCGGAAAACTCTCTTTTCCTGAATGCACTGTTTAAATCTGTTTACTGCCGTGGCCTGAATGCAATTACCCCGCCTGTGCTGTCAGGAAAAGAGGGTCTCCACTTTTTTCTTTTATATTTCCGTGCCTCGAATCAGAAACGAGGCCCCTTCTACTCCCACTTCCCCCCTAGTGTTCTTTTTTTTTTTTTTTTTTTTTTTTTCCTTTTCCTTCTTTCTTCGTATATAACCACCGGTCAAGGAAACCCCCTCCCTCTCTTTCTTCTTCTTCTTCCTTCCTCTCCTTCCCTCTCTTTAACCACTCCTCCTCTTCTCTTCACTCTATCAACCATCTTCATTCCTCACTCTTCATTCGTTTTTGATACGAGCTGATCCGCTGTTGTATTAAACTCGCTTCCTCTCTCTCTCAGCCTCACTCCTCTCCGCCTGTTCATATACCCTCCTTCTCCTCTCTCTTAACGTCCTTGCCCCCGCCATTCTTCTTCCTCTCCTTCTAGATTTGTACAAACAGCTCCCTTATCAATAACATACCGAACCATGGCCCCTGCTCTCGATCTCTCCAGCTTCACCAGCAAGCTGCACTTCTATCTCAACGGCACTGAGATTATCCTTGACAACCCCGACCCCGATACCACGCTGCTGCAATATGTCCGCTCCGTCGGTCTCACCGGTTCCAAGCTCGGATGTGCCGAGGGTGGCTGTGGTAAGTTTTCGTTTCAAGAAAACATGCCCAAGATGGAGAGGATGTGTACAATTGCCGGTCAACACTTGACTGTTGATGCTGTATTTGTCTGCGCAAACTGCATCGTGCCTCAGCTGAGGAAAGAGAGATGGGGATGGTGAATGAGATCTCTAACAACTCGATTCCACTCTTTGTGTTTCCCGGATGGATGGAATGAACAGGTGCCTGCACAGTGATGGTCTCGTCGTACGACAAGGCTACTCAGCACATTCGGTATGTTGTGGGAACTTTATGTTCATTGCCGTTTCGATGGATGGCCACGGGACCTGCCTCCCCCTGGACCATATATGGATGGATGCATACCGTACGAAGCAAACGTGTTTAACAATACTATAATCCCGTGCATGAACGTGTAGCCATCTGAACGTCAATGCCTGCTTGACCCCCCTCTGCTCCGTCGATGGCAAGCATGTCATCACCATCGAGGGCCTTGGCGACCACAAGAACCCCCATCCCGTCCAGGAGCGCATCGCCCTCTGCTATGGGTAAGCACCACTTTTTCCATCCGCCTAGATCTGCATTCTACGCTCTGTCCGTTCGCATGGCCCGTGTACTCACCCACCTTTCTCCCATACAAATAAATCAATCAAATAGCTCGCAGTGCGGTTTCTGCACGCCTGGTATTGCCATGTCGCTCTACGCTCTGCTCCGTAATAACCCCACTCCATCGGAGCACGAGGTCGAAGAGTCCTTCGATGGAAACCTGTGCCGCTGCACTGGCTACCGTCCTATTCTCGACGCTGCAAAGTCTTTCGCTGCCCCTGCCTCTGGCAAGAAGGCTGGCGGATGCTGCGGTGGTGCTGGCCCTAATGGCGGATGTTGCAAGGATGAAAAGCCCGAAAAGACATCGACCATCCCCCAGGAGAGTTCTGTCCGCTTTCCCTCGGTCCTCTTCAAGCAATATGATGCCTCTCAGGAGCTGATTTTCCCTCCCAGACTCATGAAGAAGTCCGCTGAGGCCCTTTACTTCCAGGGACGCAAGTCTCAATGGTTCCGTCCCACCTCGCTGGCCCAGGTCCTTCAAATCAAGGCCGCTTATCCTCAGGCCAAGTTCCTCGGAGGCAACACTGAGGTCGGAGTCGAGACCAAGTTCAAGTATATGGAATACTCGCCTTTTGTTTATTTGCACGACGTTGCGGAACTCCAGGGCGTTGAGATCACCCCTCAGGGTATCACCCTCGGTGCCAACGTCACCGTCGCCAACTTCCAGAAGACCCTCAAGGAGGCCATCGAGAAAGTCTCTGAGAACGAGGCACATGTTCTCCGCGCTTTCCTCGCCAACATCAAGTACTTTGCAGGCAACCAGATCCGTAACGCAGCCTCAGTCGCCGGTAACATTGCCACCGCCTCGCCCATCTCGGATTTGAACCCAGTCTTTGTCGCCTCCAACTCGACCTTCAGCATCCTCTCATCCGAGCAGTCTGTCGATTCAACCGCGCGTGTTGTTCCTGCGACGGAGTTCTTTGTCGGATACCGCAGGACTGCCTTGAACCCTGCCACCGATATCTTGACCCAGATCCATATCCCCCTCACCCGTCCAGGCGAGTACATCCGCTCATTCAAGCAGGCCAAGAGAAAGGATGACGATATTGCCATTGTTACTGCTGCGATCCGTGTCCAGCTCGCTCCCGATAACACCATTGTCGAGACTGGATTCGGTTACGGTGGAATGAGCGCATTCACCTGCCAGGCCAAGAGGACATCTGCGTTCCTTAAGGGCAAGACCTGGGGTGACAAAGCTGTTCTCGATGGAGCTTTGGAGATGTTGGATCAGGATCTTCCCATGGAGGTTTCTACCCCTGGTGGCATGCCCGAGTACCGTCGTACTCTGGCCAAGTCCTTCTTTGTCCGTTTCTGGTGGGATGTGATTGAGCAGCAAAAGTTGAATGTCGAGCACGATCACGGCGACATCAAGCTGTTGACCCAGGAGATCCATCGTGACCTTTCCTTTGGTGCCCAGAGTGATAAGGGAACTGTCCAGAACTCGACGACCGATATTGTGTCGAAGAGCGTTGCCCACGTTGCTGCAATGAAGCAGGTCACTGGTGAGGCCATCTACACGGACGATATGCCCAAGCTTCACAACGAATTGTATGGTGCCATGGTCCTCTCCAGCCGTGCGCATGCCAAGATTGTTAGTATCGATACCAGTGCCGCGCTTGCCATGCCCGGTGTCAAAGCCTATTTTGGTCACAAGGATGTCCCTGGAAACAACGTCTGGGGTGCCGCCATGTTTGATGACGAGGAGATCTTTGCTTCGGAGGAGGTTCACTGCGTCGGACAAATCATTGGAGTCATCGTTGCCGATACCCAGGCGATCGCCCAGGAGGCCACTCGCAAGGTCAAGATTGAGTACATTGATCTCCCCCACGTCGTCACGATCGACGAGGCCATTGCTGCAGACTCGTTCATTCCTCTCACAAAGTCGATCGTCAAGGGCGATGTCGATGCTGCGTTCGCCAACTGTGCCAAGGTCTTTGAGGGCCAGACCCGTCTCGGTGGACAGGAGCAGTTCTACCTTGAGACCCAGGTTGTGCTCGTCAACAACAAGGGCGAGTCCGAGTTTGAGATTTATGCCTCGACCCAGAACGCCAACGAGACCCAGTCGGTCGTAGCCAGCGTCCTTGGTGTCAGTGCCAACAAGATTGCCTGCAAGGTCAAGCGTCTTGGAGGTGGTTTCGGAGGCAAGGAGTCTCGTACTATCCCTCTGTCCTGTATCATGACCGTGGCCTCGTACCATCTCAAGAGACCCGTCCGCTGCATGTTGGATCGTAACGAGGATATGACGATCTCTGGCCAGCGCAACCCCTTCATGGGCAAGTGGAAGGTTGGTCTGGACGAGAACAACAAGATCATGGCATTGGATACGGAGCTGTACTTGAACGCTGGTTGGTCCTCGGATTTGTCGGTCGCAGTCATGGAGCGTGCTTTGGGACACATCGATAATGTTTACTACATCCCCAACGTCCGTGCCGTCGGTCGCTGCTGCCGTACCAACATCCACTCGAACACTGCCTTCCGTGGTTTCGGAGGTCCTCAGGCGAACGTTATTGCGGAGACTTACATGACCGAGGTTGCGGAGCGCATTGGTATGTCGCAGGAAGAGTTCCGTGAGATCAACATGTACAAGGAGGGCCAGCTCACGCATTTCAACCAAGAGCTCAAGGACTGGCACTTGCCCAAGGGTTATAACCAGCTCAAGGAGAAGTCAAACTATCTTGCTCGCAAGGCCGCGATCGAAGAATTCAACAAGCAATCGAAGTGGCGCAAGCGTGGTATCTGCCTGATCCCTACCAAGTACGGTATCTCGTTCACGGCCCTGCATCTCAACCAGGCTGGTGCGATGATCCATATCTACCACGATGGTTCGGTGCTGCTGTCCCATGGTGGTGTTGAGATGGGTCAGGGATTGCACACGAAGATGATCCAGGTCTGCGCGGAGGGTCTTCAGATCCCGATGGACATGATTCACATTGTCGAGACCTCGACGGATAAGGTCGCGAATGCTTCGCCCACGGCTGCGTCGGCCTCTTCGGATATGAACGGTATGGCGGTCAAGGACGCGTGCGACCAAATCAACGAGCGCTTGGAGCCCTACCGTGCCAAGGGACTCCCATGGAAGGATATTGTGCACCACGCGTACTTTGATCGTGTGAACCTTAGTGCCAATGGATTCTACAAGGTGCCCGATCTCGGATACAAGTGGGGCGAGAACAAGGGCCAGCTGTTCTTCTACTTCACGATGGGAGCTGCGGTCTCGGAGGTGGAGGTGGATCTGTTGACAGGCAGCCATACGGTTATCCGATCAGATGTGAGCATGGATTTGGGTCGGTCGATCAATCCTTCGATCGATATTGGACAGATCGAGGGAGCATTCGTCCAGGGCATGGGATGGTCGACGACCGAGGAGTCCCTGTACTTCCCTAACGGTCGGTTGTTCACGCAGGGTCCTGGTAACTACAAGATCCCAGGCTTCCAGTGCATCCCACAGGAATTCAACATCTCGTTCTTTGAGGACGTGACGCACGAGAGCGTGAAGACGATCTACAAGTCCAAGGGAGTGGGAGAGCCACCTCTGTTCTTGGGTTCTTCGGTGTACTTTGCGATCAGGAATGCGCTTTGGTATGCCCGTCAGGAGAATGGACACCCAGGATCGTTCTCGCTGTCGTTGCCGGCGACGCCAGAGAGGATCCGCATGGCGGTCGGAGATTCGATTGCGGAGAGCAGTAAGCTCCAGCCAAAGCAGGGCGAGCGTCCTTGGGTTCTCTCAGTCTTTTAATTCATTTTTTTTTTCTGGTGTCTTTATTTCATTTATCCATTGCATTCTCTTTTAAATAAAACCGACTCGGATTTGTACAGTACATACATACACGAATGATAATGTTTGGTAATAATGTATGAATGGCAATGTATAGCATGAGATCGTTGGGGATCGCAGTGCTCAGAATCGGTTATGTAGGGATAATGCGGGGAAATATGAATCACTTTTTTTTATTTATCAGGAACGGGGAGGAGAAATACTCCAGGAATGTATGAGGAAAGGACGGGACTGCTGTCGGTCCGATGGATGATATGCGGTGGTTTGGAAAGAGGCAGCTCATCCTTGATGGAGGGAGGGGAGGGAGGGGGGAAGGGGAGGAAGTCCATTCGCGGGCGTGTCCATTATCCAGCTCCCCACTTGATCCATCGGCGCAGCATTCGTTCGATCCCCTTCCACAACGTCTTCCCTCTTTCAAGGCTCGGGCAGTTTGGCCCAGACATCCGTATTGAGCAATTCCTTGAGTCTTCCCGTGTCCTTTGCCTCCTGCGTATTATCGGATCCGCCGATATGGTGTCCCTTGACATAGACATTGGGGACGGTCGACTGGCCCGAGATCTGTTTGAGGCCCTGTTGGATCTCGGTACCGAGTTCGTGTTCGTCGAGCTCGAGAGCTTTGTAGGGAACGGAGATGTCATCGAAGAGGTCCTTGACGCGGAGGCAGTAAGGGCAGTAGGATTTCGAGAAGATCATGACTGGGTTTTGAGAGATGGAGGAACGGATGAGGGATCGGACGGTTGAGGGGATCTGGGAAGCCATGTTGAGGAGGGAAAGGTGGGGGGGGGGGGGGGATGGAGGGGTAAAGGGGTTGCGGAGAGGGGTAAGAGGGGTGATGAGTGGAGTGGAGTGGAGTAGAGACGATCAGGCAAGAGGAGTGGGTTTGATGAGTAATAATGAGACGAGACACAGGCACTGACGTGTTTGTGTTATGGACTTTAGGGATTCAGCCAATGGAAGGCGGTGCCTTGTCTCTCCCCCCCCTTTTTTTTTTGGGACGGTGGGTAGGGGCACACTGCACTGCATCGCACTGTACGACGACGACATGAAACACGGACACGAATGTTGCCCTGAAAGTATGATCCAAAATAGGAAGAAAGAAGGGCGGGGTCTCGAATTTTCCACGCGTAACCAACCCTGAGTCGCGTAACCCTGTACACGACGCGTCTCTGCTGCAATCAAATGGAACGGCCATCCGAGGGAGGGTGCGGGTAAGGATTAAAGGGGAGGAGGGTAGGGGTATGTGTCAGATATTGACGTTGTGTTCAATTGCAATAACACCATGCATGTAGCACGCGCGTCTTTAGCATTCGTCATAGTGCCGTTTAATTAAAAAAAAAATTGCTTAGCATGTTCATCCTGTCTGCCTGTCTATCTGTCTAGTCTATCTGTCTGGCGGTCTTTGACTCACTGGAGTTCAGAGCACGCCCATAAAGGATTGGTTTTTCCCTTATTTCGTTTTGACGCTCACGAAAAGTACATACATCTTCCAACCACGCGCGTTTGTGCTCTGATTGCTCTTGTGTGTGTGTGTGTGTGTGTGTGTGTGTGTGTGTTTTTCCTGTTCGGTGTCTTCTTTGTTTGTATAAACAGATTCCTATTGCGCTTCCTTTATTAGTCCTTCTTATTACTATTATTATTATTAGTACTCTCATTTTCTCTCTTGATTTTTTCGTCGGATCTCTCTTTTCCAAGCACACGTTGTCGAAGAATGGGCGTAAAAAAAACCCCCCTCCCCTCCCCTCCCCCAAGAGAAAAAATTATTAAAAAACGTGGTATATGAAAAAAAAAAAAAAAAAAAAAAAAAATGCTCGCAGACGCATCTCTTCTTACATGCATCTTTTTCTTACACGCGGCTCTCGGTTTCAGGTTAATGACGAAATAAAAAAAAAAAAAAAGACTCGACGTTGTACTGTGGAAGGAGGAGAGTTCAGCGCGACATCTTTGAAAAGCTATGTATGTTGCTGGCTATTATTTTTTGTCTCTTTCTTTCAAGATTGAGAAAGTGTGTGTGTGGAGCCGTCGTCGACAGGAAAGTTTTTTTTTTCGACGTGCTCTCGTCGAAAAAAAAAAAAAAAAAAAAAACGTGGCGACCCAAAATTAGATTTGATGAGCATGCTCCAGCCCAACTCAACTCCCCCCAAAAAAAGGAAGAAGCCGATGAGCGTGAGTGACAGTAGTGTAGGAGCATAGGCGTAGGGAAAAAAAAAAAAAAAAAAAGAAGTATGCTTGGAACGAACAAAACAAAAATCCGGACATTTACAACCGCAGGTGAGAGCTGCTCTTGCTTATGACGAGTAGCGCGACATCGCTACATATTTATTATTGTTCTGAGGCAGTCTAGTAGTAATGGCAATGGTGGTGATGGCGGTTACTTTCATCGGGCAGTGGCTCTGAACGGCGTTTCATGTTGACGGAGTTGAATCTGGTTGCTCATGTTCCTCCTCCTCGTGTCGTGTTATTATCTACTTCGATAAGAGGGAGAGGGCATTAGGATGGAGAAACCTATTATCAGAGGTTCGTCGGTAGACTGAAATGAAATGTACTCTTTTGGAAAATAAACCAAAATAGAGTTAATGCAAAAAAAAAACCCCCCCTGAGCATGTACCCAAACAACAAGATCTTCTCTGGCACAGCAAACATCGAGCAATTGAAGCTGTTTTCGGTATATTATAATTTACTCAAGGAGGACAAGGTGTAAAACTGCTACCGTAGGATAGGTATCTAGCCATCGATAAAGTGCATCAGAGCTCATAGAATACAGAAACAGTCGTCTTGCTCTTGTAATATTCATGCTGTTTATACAGCCTGGGGGATACATTGGTCGGATCGCTGTTGTAAACGATTCCATACCACCACACGTCAAATTCTCTCTTATCTCGATGTACGAATAACGGTTCACCGCCTACAAATCTGAACTAAAAAAAATAAATAAAAAATAAACGACGACGTCCGTGACGATTGAGAACGTGTAGCTTCTGCCTCCCAGCCAATGCGCTTCAACATCTATACCACGAGTCCACACCCTGCACTATTCTCGTGCACTATAATTTATTGTATTCAAAATTACCCATCATCAGGCTCTTTGGATGAAATAGTGATAAAGTGAGTAATATGCAGCAGGCACTCCTAGACGATATTATCTTTTGCTTGTCGTAAATGATTCTATCGTTTGTGAAACGTCCCATTAGTCGGGGATACATAGTTTTAGATTGAGTTGAATGAACCTATCCTGTGGAAAAGGCTTTTTTTTTCTTTCTCTCTTATTCCACACCCATATTGACGGAGCGATACTGTATCGGCGTAAAGACGAGATGAACAAGAGAGTGTGTCCTGAATGAGACAGTTGCATGTTTGCAAGTAGAAGGCCACCACTAGGAATATCCAAAGTTGGATAAACAGCCCATTTCGCGTTTTCCAATCTAAAAATTGTTCTCTATGCGAGGAAACAACGAACTGTCCTGCATCAATGTGGCCGGATAAGGTGTGGTGTTCTGTGTGGGATACTATTATTTTCCCATCATTAAGTTCTTGGGTAACGAGGCTCGTAAATTGGGACATTATAACCCGGATACCGGCTCCATAGTCCACAGTAAACACACTGCAATGGCCTCCCTTGCGGAAGAGAGGAGAGCCTTATGGAATAGCCGCCGAATGAACTGGGTTCATATCTGGATATAGCTAGAGATTAATGCTCATGAACACTAAAAGGCCCCAGACAATAAAAGAATACGCACAATATGACATGGAGTCCACTGATCGAGAGTGGGGTATAGGTATGCCGAGCTGCCGCCTGGATTTACCCTTAACTGCAAGGCATAGAAACAACAAAGAGCAACACGTTTTTGACATTCTGGTTTCGCAAAACGTGCTCGCCAAACATCCTGGCGATTAGGATAATATTTTTGTAGTGTTTAATCTGTCGATGTGTTGCAAATAATCCGACAGCGACTCGTCTTTCTTCATCCGCATAATGCGCATGCAACGACAGGACCTGGTAAGCTCAACTTCGAGGTCACAGCATGGGACTAAAAGATTAAAGAGTCCCAGTGAAATACTTCATTGATTTACAGTACGTCGCTCAGCCGAATGTTCTTCTGAAGTGACATCCATGTTACTTACTCTGCCTGACTTGTAGATATCTGTGGTATTGACCGAAAGAAAAAAATGGACAGAGTTCGTTAATTTCAACCTCGGTACGCTAACGATACTAATTCAGCTCGGTACATTCCTGTCTTCCGTATTTCGACTTGATCCACCGGGTTTGATTGGCGATGGTGAGGCTGGATACCAAAGGGCTCTGGCTCTTGATCCCATTACTAATAACGGATGAAGTGATCCATGAGGATAGCATCTCTTTATTTTCACAATATATTCTACTACTACTACTTTTAGACGCCTTCTGCAGGGGATGCTATCCTCTCCAGGTACGAAGGATGGTAAAAGGGAAACCAGCCATTCGTTGATGGGCAATCAGACACTTTACACCCAAGGGGATTATCGATGACCGTAGCCGCTATCCAAGCGATGTTTATGATGAAGAATCACAGGATTTTGCAAAGGGACGAACAAGCGCGTGGCCATTCGGTGAGTACCAAAGGAGTATAAATAAAAATGAGGAGAATGTCCTTTTTAAAAGAGAAAGACGCTCGGGGAGGGTGGACGCCATGAACCATAAAGTGGAGAGATAATAAATATGATTTTGAAGAAGTCCCCGATCTCGGGGTTTAATTAACAACTAGACAATTATCGAGCCATCGCCAAGCCCGGACGACGCGTCCCCAGGACCTGCTGAAGGGAAACTCTCCAGGGATGGTGGGAGAGGTCGAGACCACGGACATGGAATCATCAAATTCCTCCATGACGCAAACAAAGCTGCATCATTCCAAAGAACTCTCTGCAGAGGAGGATCACAGCGGCGCGTGTCTGTGTGGTGTATTGTGGAGCATAGTAAAAAAAAAAAAGACTGCATCTTCTTGCAGCATGCCTGATCCTAACATGCATCTTGAAGGAAAAAAAAAAAAAAAAAAAAAGGGGGACCGACATGCCATGCATAGACTAGAGGAGCATCAAGGTCGCAAACTTTTTTGTACTGCAGCGTTTGACGGTACGGGACACAAACCAAACATTTTTTTTTTCTTTCTTTCTTTTTTGTATGCATCATCGCACATTATTATTATTATTACTATTACAAAGATTGCCTCCTGGTCCCTTTGTTCTCCCTTCATTCGGCTATTTCCTGGGTGGCACCAATCGTCTACTGATCTGCACGCACCCCTACATGCATGCAGTGTTACCAACCATCCCGACCTTATTCCTCAAACATGAAGCTGTCCTTTGGTGTCTGTGTAAAATAAAACGGTTTAGCGGAAAACGGGATGGATGTCATCCAGGTATATTGCGACGAGGCCATGCATGCCCTGCTTTCCATCTTGAAAAAGGAAAAAGAGAACCAGGGCTCAAATAAAATATGTATGCTCCCTCTCCCTCAATTGAATTGCGTAAAGAAAATACACGCATCTGGGCAGAGCCAAAAAAAAAAAAAAAAAAAAGAGTTCCTACGACCTGCATGGACTGATCACAAGGTTAGGGGCAAAACAGCGACGTTGTTGTGTATGTGCAAGTAAAAAAAAACAAAAAAAAAACACTGAACAAGTCGTTAACTCAGGAGTCCTTTGTGTATCCTTTTTTTATTTTATACAGCACTAATAGTTGATTGTTACCTTAAACGTGTGCATTTACGATAGACTGTGATCCACACGCATACAACGCACACGTAAGCTGCCGTCCTTCTTTTCCCCAAGATAGTTCTCAACTAAACTATCCGACATTGGTTTCTCCTCGGGAGAGTCAAGATCAAAAGACAAGCGTGTTCTCTTCCGATGTTTATGGCCGGAAAAGGGGTCTGGGACTCAAGGAGGGGAGGGGGGAATATCAGCTTCGAAGATACATTAGTCGATTATAGAAAGACATCGGGCGCAGCACGCACACTTACGTGGCCAATACAATCTACTTTTCAAATAGTACATTGTTTCATGCACTGCCGAATGCTAAGCACGGAGAATAAGCTGAACCCCAAGGTAGGGAGGAAAAGGTGGTACAAGAAGCATTGACAACAGCCTGACACAGTATCGACAGAGAGAGAGAGATAGTAAAATACCCTTGTGGCATTGATTTTCTAATCGATGCGCACGTCTCAATGAAGAACAATCGCAGGTAAGGGGCAGTCAAGAAACGCGAAAGTAGGGGTTCAAGGGCAGAAGGAGAAAGAGGAGCGATCGGTAATGTTTGGTTATGGGGGAATAAAAAAAAAATGATGGATAGGGCGATGTGCGGAATGCTGGGCAGTTGAGCTGGATGATTGCGCAATGCCAGGAGAAAGGGGAAGGAAATGACAATCGACAGTTAAGTAGAGATCGACAAGTCGCGAAAAAAAGAGCTGAAGTTGAAAAGTAAGGCATAGATAGATTAGGGGCAGATGCATACGTTGCAAAATGCAAATGCATGACCTCTCTTGGTGCTGGTCCCTGTGCGGTTCCCTGCCCTGGCTCTGGTACTGGCACTGGTCTTGATCTTGCAGTAGCGTGGCTAAGAGGAGATAGAGCCATGGAGCCATGTATAGACGATTTAGGAGCGGGATAGCTAGAAGGGAGATAGAACGTGGTGCGCAGGAGACACCATGGTGATCATGGGATGTTGGTGTAGAGGCTTTAGAATGACAGTATACCTTTCTGGACGTGTTTTTTTAATTGCATAGATGCATAGATGTGGAAAATGCGCGGTAAGATTGGTGGTACAGTGTTGTACAGTAGTCTGGTCTAGTCTAGTCTAGTCTAGTCAAGAGGGAGTGTATTTGTGATAGGATAGAAATGGAGCGCAGCCGTAACGAAAAATATAATAGCTTCATTCGTCGGGCGCTCATTGTGGGGGACGTTGATTCGCCCTTTCCTCAGATGTCAAGCTGCCGTTGTTTGGTGGCCAAAAACCCAAATATAGACGCAGCAGCAACCAGCAGCCAACAGCCGACAGCCAGCAACCAGTAACCACCAACAACGGCCGTCCGCGCAAACAGATGTGGCGATCAGCAGTTCTTTAACCATTGGTGGTAGTCTCTTTTCGACGCTATTGCTCCCTGGTCCCTCTCAACTCAAACGCGTAGTCGCGCGCGTCGTCCTCGACCTCAAACCCCCATTTTCCCCATTGATTTTTGGCGCAATCTCGTACCGCTCTACTGGAGAAATCTATGCATCTTTGTTTCATTACTCTCAAGTATTGCTCCATTTACCGCCAAAATAATACACACAAATACACAACAGCAGCAGTAGATCCATAAAAAGCAGCACAGAGCTGAGCTGAGCAGCAGATGGGAGGGAGAAAAATATAAGAGCTAACAAGAGCGAAGAGACGAGAGCGGCCTGTTGTAGGTTGCCTACTGAGCTGAATGAGGATCGATTTGTGCATTATTTTTTGCACGTTTGAGTGTTGAGAGCCAGAAAAGCACAAGCAAAGCGAGAGCGACGATGAAGAGAAAAAATAAGTGGACAAAATATTGTGAGAAGCGAGAAGAGAGCGATGCATGCATACTGTCCATCAAACAGTTCATTTTTGACGGATGCGTGTAACTTGGCATGTCCTTGACATGTATGAGTGCATCGTGCTTGACGATGGCATGGCGTGCCGTGTACCATGGTCCATAGTCCACTGACGGTACCTAGCATGCCCATGTTTTACTGCAGCTCTTCCTGTCCTTGTCGATGGTGATGTGCATATTTGTATCTCAGAGGGCGAATGAGTTTTTGTTTTGTCTGCACTCTTCCATCGATATCATTTCCATAAAAGTAAAGTATTCAGTCGTATATATTCCTCTCGCCTTTGCCCTTTTTTCGCGTGGATGGTGATGAGGTCGAACCAGGCTGATGAGCGATGCTGCATGTCTCCATCGGTCCTCATTGTCGAGAGTGATGAGGGGAGGAGCTCTCTTTCATTATCACTATCATTGTTATTATTGATGCTACCATATAATTATTACTACTATTACTACTTTACCACTACCATTGCCACTGCCATTATTGTTATTATTATTATTATTATTATATATTCGGTGGGTTTTCGTTCAGAATAGACGGTTTCATGCCACAATGCTGCTTCTCTTTTTTCCCCTCTCTTCGCGCGCTTTTCAAATCCAAGCAAGGCCAATCAACACGTCGCTTTCACTCTCTCTCTCTTCCTCTCACTCTCTTTCTGTCTCTTGCACTCTCTCTCTCTTTCTCTTGCCGTCTCTTATTCTCTTATTCTCTTCCCCTTCCCCTCCCCTCCTCCTCCTTTGCCCCTTCGTTCACCCTCACCCTCACCCTCACTCTCACTCTCACTCTCACTCTCACTCTCACTCTCACCTTCGCTCTCGCTCTCTTCCCCCTTTCCCTCTCAGGCCCTCTTCCACTCGCTGCCACACACCATACACAATACATTCTGCTCTGTCTCCTTCTCTCTTTCTTTCTGCATCTGTCTGCAGACAGACGGACACCCCATCCACTACTTTATTTCTTATATAAATCCCTAAACATCCCTCTCGCCTTTTTTTCCCTCCCAGTTTCCCTCTCTCCCAGTTGTAAACAGGGAAGCGATTGCCTGTTACAAACATCGCGTCCTTCTTTTCTTTACCCCATCCCATTCATTCGCTCGCTTGAGTAACTGAAGCTACTTGACTGTTCGGTATTTGTTGTTGTTGCCGTTGCTGTTAACCTTGTTCCTATTTCTTATTCTGTTCGCTCGTTCTGCTCACTCACTCGCCTGTTTCCTCCTCTTCCCCCACCCCGCTCACCCAATCCCCACTTTCTTTTACTTCCCTCTCTCTCACTCTCTCACTCTATCACTCTTTCTCTCTCTCACTCTCTCTCTCTCACTCTCTCTCTCCCTCCTTTCTTCCTCTTCTTCTCTTTCCCCTCATTCGAAACTGCATCTCCTTCTCTTTTCCTGGGATTGAATCTCTGCCATCTCTCATCCCACTTCCTCAGCACTCCACTATTTCGCACTAAAGACTGCACACAAGACTGCACACTCAGACCGCATACTCCACTGCACCACTTGACACGTATAAACACACACACACACACACACACACACACACACACACACATAATTTCACATACACACACATATACATACAATCAATCTCTCACTCGTATATCTTTCTACTTCTTTATCTATCTTTCTATCTTTCTACCTACCTACCTCTCTACCTGTCCATTTACTATATCTTAATTCACTCGGCCACAATCCATAATATAAACCATGGGAACATCACACTCGTCATCGCGTACATCCAAGGATTCTTCCGCAGGAAGTTCAGGCCAACATCAGACCTACAGTGGCAGCAATAATAGCAAATACTCTTCGCGCAATAACAGTGGCATCGCACTCGATCGTCAGCCAAGCAGTTCCTCACCACATCCATCCACCCACGGCAACGGCAGCCATTCCTCGTCGCTCCAGAAGGCATTGAGCAGGAGACGCTCCTCCAATAGGACTGAGTCCAGCTCGAGTCATGGCTCCGCCTCCCACAGCCACAGCCATCACCACCCTTCGCAGCAGCTGCCAAGTCATCAGGAGGAGGGCGAGGATGAGTTCAAATGGCATAACGGTCGCCGTTACCACAACACATCCAGCCTCTACATGTTGCCAAATGACTCCCAGGAAGTTGACAGGTAAACATAAACAAACACACGCAAGAAAAAACGCGCAGGCTATGTTACAAACAGGTTGTAATTCATTCAGGCGCATGTGTGAAATATTGGATTAGTGCGGGATAAAGACAAAGAGGGGGGTTGGCATCCACTGGAGTAAAAAAAACAACAAAAAACGGTGGGGACGCACTCCTGGTCATAGAATCTCAATCTTCCGCCATCTTCCCTTCCCGAAGTTTCCCTTCATCATCATCGCATCCATAATCGGTATCGCGCGATGCAGGCAAGCCTTTTTTTTTATCTTTCCTCTCTTTATCTATCATGTGGTTTCCTCTTGCTGGCATCTTTTCCCCTTCTTGCCTGCAATGACGCGTCCACGTAATAAATACATCGCATGTAGCATTGAGAGAGAGACAAAGAGAGAGAGAGAATGGGGCAAGCTCCTTGACTCGACGTGTTGTCCTGTAGTATGAGATCAGCCATGTGCTGTCCTGCGTGTGTGCGCGTAATATCACTCTTCCTTTTCTTATCCGAATGTGCTTGTAGTACACATTTCCCTCCTCTTTATGTTTGCTATGCTCATTCAATGGCATGTGCGCGCTATCGCTCATGGTCGTGCTCTCGTGTTCTTGCACACAAGGGTGGGATATGCATTTGGACGGCATGTTCGGGTGAGAAAGAATGGTTGACTATCACGGACAATGTACTACCATGGCGCATCCTAGTTTTCTCTCCTTCTCCTTCTTCTACACCCTACATGTTGTATTGTAACTTGCCTTTTTTTTTTTTTATTATACACGAAGAGGCGGAGGCACACAAACATGAAAAGAATCTGCACGAGGCGATGAGCCTACTGCGTGTAAGCGCACGATTGTGCATGCCTGTCGGTCGGCGCTTGCTGCTACAGCAGGGAGAGCAATAGTGCCATGACTGGAGATTGGTCTGTACCCCTGATTTTTTTTCATGTTTTCTGGTGCATGGAGAATCCACTTTTCGCGCCACCATTTTTTTCCCTGGTTTGGGAGCCGAACGTACTCAACAGCTCATATTCGTTGTACTTTCTCGCTCACCTTTTTTTTTATTTTTATATTTATTATTTTCCGATGCTCCCATGTAGACTTCATATGCAGCACTATATCTTCAAGGCGGCCCTCGACAAGAATATCCATGTGCCTATTCCGGACAATGGACGTGTAATCGACTTTGGCTGTGGACCTGCTACGTGGACAATGGTACGTTCTACATTGCTAATAGCATTTGGATTTGATATTCACATGGACACAATTACGCATCCATGCCTTTTTTTTTTTTTTGGTGGTTGTGCAATGATGTCGATATCCTCAAATGGATTGGAGGGAGGGGGATAGCGAGATATGGCATGAGCTTCTTTTTTTTTTTTTTTTTTTTTTTTTTTTTTGTGGAGATTGAAGCCGTACACATGCCGGCTGTGCGTGAGCAGTGCATGTGCGTGCGCGCGAACGTGTACTTTCTTCTCGTATTCAAGGGGGAGGGAGGGAGGGTTTTTTTTTGTCTCGTCTGTCTTCACGACCCTTATTTTGCATGTGTCATCGTCAACTGAGCCGGCAACCCAACATCACCTGTCGTATCCTGGACGGACGCTTTTTTCCCGCGAATTTCTGTTGACTAAGCCAAATGCAACCAAAAAGGCGAGCGAGGGTCCGAGAGGCGATGGACCAAGTAGCAGCCCCATATGACGCTCGGTCCTGTATCAACGATATCAGCGACGACAACAATAGCAACAACAACAACAACAACAACAACAACAACAACAGCAACAACAACAACAGCGCACGGAGGAGACTTGGTATGCTGAATTAGGGCGCTCGGATGTTTCTATGAGGCGTTCATTTTAGGATGACAAAAGGTGTATGCTGCAGTTTGGTCCGAGCGATAAACAGCTGCCCAACCCCACGTCTTACCACGTCTACTTTATTTTTTGGGGAAGGGAGGGGCTGTTGTCGTTCTTGTGGTCGTATGGTGGCACCTTGAGGGCCATTTATTTTATTTTATTTTATTATGTGTTTTGGTACCATGTGCGAGAGACAGCAAGGGCGCGCAGCTAAAGTGTCATATGCTAAACGCGTGCGTTTTTTTCTTCTTCTCATCTTCATGAATCATTGTAGGATATGGCAACCGATATGTCGACGATCAACTTTGTGGGCGTGGATATCTCGCCCATTTACCCAACAGCGATCTTTCCCCGGAACTGTAATTTCTACAACGAAGATATTCTGCAGGGGGTCTCTCAACCGGACGGGGTCTTTGACGTGGTCTTCCAACGCAACGTGACCTGCGGATTCACATTCGAGCACTGGCAAAAGGCGATGAAGGAGGCCTACCGGGTACTGAAGCCCGGAGGATACTACGAATGTGTAGAATCGGATGTGACGATCCAGGGAGCAGGGCCACAGACGAATTTGGTGTTTGAGCAACTGAGGATGTCGATGGCGGTACGGAATGTGGACCCGTCGATTGTGAGATCGCTGGATCGACTCATGGCAGCGGCCGGGTTCAAGGAGGTGTATGTGAAGGAGTATGCGATCCCGGTTGGCGAATGGGGCGGGAAGGTCGGACAGCTGTGGAAGCAGAATATGTTTGCGATCTTGGATACGGTGCAACCACACCTGGCAAAGACGGCGAGGATGAATGAAGGACAGGTGCAGGATATCGTCAGCGCGATGCATCAGGAGACGAATTCGTACAAGGCACATCAAATCGTGTATGTTACCTATGGCAGGAAACCGCTGTAGTTCGTTCTTTATTTTATTTTTTTATTTTTTATTTTTTTTTCCCTTCTTAGATCGATCTACGGTCTTTATTATCTCCTCCTCCTCTTCCTCCTCCTCTTCCTTTCCCCCTGCTATTGCCCGCTACGCTACAGAGACATAAAGCAGTTTAAAAAAACAAAACAACAAAAACAACAAAACAATATAACATATAGAGAGCAACGATGCAAATAACTACTCGGTTGCGGATGGATACGCGTCCATGGCCCATGAAAACAAAGTATGTACCGTGTTGGACGTAAAGATTATGTTGAAACAGGGGGAGGCAATAAAAGGGATCGCCGGCGAAGGGCGCTTTGTTGTTGTACGTGTAGATCCTTTGCCACCAAAAGAAGGGTAGCACTGTGAATGCGATCCAAAAATAACTAGTGCCGATACAAATGGATATATGTCCTCCGCCACCGGCCAAAAAGAAAAAAAAAAAAAGGAACGAAAGAGAGAGAGGAAGAGAGATTCATTTCATCATTTCATTTCATTTCACTCTCGAACATCCCTGATGGAATTGCTGCAACGAGCACAGGCACTTCTACAGGAATGCAACGGCATCGTCGCGAGTCTCGAGACATGGAAGGAGGCGAATCCGACACTCGAGGTCGACGGATTGCAAAAGATGACTTCGGCGCTGCATTCTGAGCAAAAGTTCTTGGAAAAGGTACTGCTCATTCATCCCAAGAGCAAACCCAATCCCCCCTCCCCCTCAATCGCTCATGTGCGGCGGAGCCCTGAAGTAACAGAGCATGCTCTGGGCGGGATAGGTGAATCGAGTTAGCGCTGACCACTATATCGGATGATGTTGCTTTCTATCCTGTATAGGTGGCCTCAACACCCGTAGAAGATATCAAGCCGGTACAGATCACGTCCTCGAACGTGCCGTATTTAAAGTCGCTCGTATGGGCATTGATCCACAGTAAGAACCCAGTCGCGGTCAGGAAGACCTTTACCTATACCCTAGATCCTTTCACCGTCATCGAACCGTCTGAAAAGTTCAAGGCCCTTCCAGAGAAGAACAATGGACAGAGCAACAAGAATTCAAAAGGGAAGCAAGGAGGCAAGATCATGCAGCTGTCGGGTTCTTCTCGACCACTCTCCACAGGATTGTCGAACGAGCAGACGTTTCAGGTCAAGATTGATGTGGTTGCCGATCACGGGAAGAGCTGGCTTCGGATCAATGCTGGGAGCGTCTGGAGTCTTATTCATGAGTTTGCGGGTATGGAGGATGATAGCGATGATGATCAGGACGAGGACGACGAGGACGGAGAAGACGGCGACGACGATGATAGAAGTAATCCAGAGCAAATGAGTCGTACTCGCGCCAGGAAGCCCGTCCATGTGAGTAAGGATACGCACCCGGACATGGCCCTGTTGACCAGGAGTCTTGTCCTCGCTGCAGACCAGAACCGACTGCACTATTACCACCGTCCGAGGGTGACATTAAGGTTCGCGGGGGTTCTTCCTGGAGAAAGCCCCGCTCTCGAAGCCATGATCGACAAATCCGTCCATGTGGGGCGGGTCGCCCAATCGGTCTCGGATGGCACGATCGAAATCTTTTCCGTGGGAGTGGTCTTTGGACCAGTTGAGTCATCCACCCCCGCAGCCGTTTCATCCACACCCTTGGATCCTGCCTTTTCGCCGTTTGCGATCCCAGAGAGCGTGGATGATATGGTACTGTTTACAAAGACGCTGCACTTGGATATCACAACCTTGATGGCGTTGAGCAGCTTTCTGTGTCACACGATTCGACCGGATCCGGGTCTATTTACGTCCCCGCCTTTGGTGCTACAGGCTCAACAGGAGCACGAAGAGCCGTTGTTGCCGTTGTTGGCCAAGATCTTTGAGGGGCGGGAGCGGCTGGTGATGTCGAGGACTGCAGCAACGAGGTTCAAGTCGATTTTGAGTGTTATCGGTGGTGCGGAGGAGAAGTGGCGAGGGGATGTTATGATCCATGACCCATTGGAGGATCAGGAGAAGGACGTTGAGGATGAGGGGGAGCGAGTCAGGATTAGGGAGCGATGGGTTCGTGCTTCGGACTGGGCGCAAAAGTATGGGGTCTTTGCAGCTGGGCCTCCTCGGATTGAGGTCATCGAGGATATTCTGGAACCTGGCGAGGCGATTGGACAAGGTCAAGAGCAGGGACAAAGGCCGGATGCAGAATTGAGTGTTCAAGAAGAGAGCGAGAGCATGATCTTCTCAGAGATACCGGCATCATCTTTTTCTTCTTCTTTAACGTCGTCATCATCAATTGGCTCGGTACCCACCCGCAGGGAGCTGAACATGACGGAGCTGCACATGAGGATCTTCTTAACGGGGCACAATGCGCGGTTGACGACGGTGACGGCGAACCAGATGGGATATCGGACGGTGACACGGATGGGCCAGGTGCCGAGTGAAATGAGTGTGTGGTACCATGCGCCCCGGTCCCTTGCAGAGGCTAAGCTGCCCCCAGGCACAGCTGTAGCAGTGGAGCAGGATTAGGTTGAACTAAATCTGCTGGAGCTTCTTGCTGCTTGGAGGGCCCAATAATATGATGATGGATGGGCCCAAGAAACAGTTGTGTACGTATTTATCGTGTACGGTTTTCCTTATCTTTTGGACCCGAGGACTTCTCTCGGGCGTATAAAATGGCTCATCCCCCCGTCCGCGCTGTTTTTCCTTCTTCCGCTTCTTCATCATCACTCCCACCCGCATCCCCTCTTGCCCACCCATCCATCCGCCCAAAGGCTTCTTCACCGACCTTTCTGTGTCCACTTGTAATTTCTCACTGAACAAGTAGAAAGACAAGCAGGGTTCACAAGGGTTTATCATCAACTTCTTTTCAACTGTACTCTTCTTGTTGCCTTCGCCCCAGCTACTCTTTCCTTTCCCCACCCGCTTTCTTTTTATTCCAAAGGCCACTTCTTTTTTTTTTTTTTTTTTTTTTTTTTCGTCCACTAGACCCTAACAGACAGGCACTCTAGTTGATTCTCTTTTCTTTTCAACCTCTTTTTTTTTATATTTATTATTCATATACAATGGCATACTTTTGGCTTACCTCCAGCGGCCACGTTGGTCGCGAAGTAGACTGATCCCACGTCCCCATACTCGACGAACCCCAGCACATTTTAAACAACCACTCAGCCAACAATACCAACAACACCCAGCGACCTCCATCGCAAATCGCACTGTCTTCAGCGCCAATTATCCATCAGCAGCAAACCACAGCCAGTCAACTGCCCTAAGATACCCACCCACTTCACCACTTTACTTTTCTTCGCGCCCTCCCCCTCCCCCTATTCCGAATCTCCCCCTCGTGAAAGTCTTTCCTGAACTCTAAACAAAAAAATTTTCTTTGCAATCACGTTGACCAATCGCCATGTTTGCCGCCCATACCGCACCAACCGCCTCCTCCGCAACGGCCTCCGCTGCCGGTTCCTGGATGGATAACACCCACCTCCTGGCGGACCACCACCACCACCATCACCAGGACGTGCTCGACTACACCTCCTTCTCGGACGACTCGCACTCACCCGTCCTCTCCCTCCAGTCCTTCTCGTCCCAGCACAGCCCGGACCTCGATGCCTTTACCCTCCATGATTTCGAACCCTCGTCGTCCATGGTCTCCGCTTCGCCTTCCTTGATCTTCCCCTCGCAGGATAGCTCTAACGAGAACCAGCCCTCTGTTTCGGAGACAGCCCGACAGGCAGCACTCCTTCATGCATACCTCACAGCCCAGGACCAGGCATATCGCGCCCAGGTTCAGATTCAGCACCAGCTTCAGATCCAGCAATTGCAGCAACACCAAGCCCAGGTGTTGGAGAGGACCAAGAAGACCGATGCTGAGAACCTCGCTCGTTATCTTGCTCAGATTCAGGAGGTCAAGGAAGAGAGCTCTTCTGATGAATGCGCTCGTCCACAGCAGAACATGGAGCAGGATCATGATATTACTGTCGAGGGTGTCCGCTGCCCTTCCTCGCCTTCTTCTACATCATCCGTCATGGCAGAGAGATCCCCCAGCCCTGAGGCGTCCTCCCCCGCCAAGACCTCAAACAACGCCAAGGCGTCTTCTCGCCAGCTTGTGTGCTTCAATTGCAATGTGACCCAGACCCCTCTTTGGAGAAGGACTCCGGACCGCAAGCACTCGCTCTGCAATGCATGCGGTCTTTACTACAAGCAGTACGGCGCCCACCGCCCATTGAACGTTCGCCACAAGTTGCCAAGCGTCTTGGTCGATCCCCGCTTGAGTGCCATGCCCTATAGTCGCCCTTCTAGCGAAACCCGTGCCTCTTCACCCTCGGGACCTGAATCGTCCGCGTCGTCTGAGAGCGACTCAGAGGAGCCCCGTTTGCTGCCTGATTTGACCAAGATGTACGCGGATGCGCTTCTTCGACCAAGTGTGAAGAAGACGACTCCACCCTTGATGACGGCCAAGCAAGGGATCGAGTGTGCAAACTGTTCTCAGACACAGACCCCGCTCTGGCGCAAGAACGAGGCTGGTGAGCCGATTTGCAATGCATGCGGATTGTACGCGAAGCTGCACAACCGCGCGAGGCCCGTGACGATGCGCAAGTCCAAGATTACGCGTCGCCGTCGTGATTGGGGAGGCAACTTGGCGCATCAGGCCAAGGCACAGGCACAGGCGTTGGCGCTATTCCATGCGCAGGTTCAAGCGCAGGTTGAGGCGCAGGTCAGACGTGGGTCTACATCGTCTGTGGAGAAAATGCAACAGGATACTGTGTCTGTGTCGGCCGAGTCGATGACGGAGGAGATGAGTCGTCGGGCGCAGGAGCTGAGTGGTTCTTCGGCTCTTCAGGCCCAGTCGTTGATGGCTGTGAACTCGAGTGATAGCGAGGAGGAGCCTCAGCCTCAACAGCAACAGCAGACAATTGCACAGAGGTTGTCGGGCAATTTGATTATGGACGAGAACAAGTTTTCGGACATTCTGGGACATATGAGCGCGCACCAGATGAACCGGTTCCTGTCGATTCTGGAGAGCCGATGTGGAGTGTTGAGGAACCGGATTCTTGCGAACACGGAGGGGTCTGCACAGGACTCGAGCCTTGGAAACTTGTTCTAGGAGCTGTCCTTTATTCTTTTTCATTATTTTTCTATCCTATCGATGCAAATAAAAACAAAAAGCGTTTTACTTGCATACTTTGCTATGAGCTACATGTGTTTTATACCCGTCTACAGCTATCAATTGAAGTCAAGCGCCTGTGATCTTTGAGCCATCTGAAAAGAGAAGACAACCCTCCGCTTGATTTTGCTGTGCAGGTCTTGTTTTGTTTCTAGTGGCTTGGGATTTCGCTATTCTTTCTTTTTTTTTTTTTTTTTTTTTGAAAGCTTCACTTCATCGCTTTCAAACAAAACGCTCTCTCATTCCGCAAGACTTCAGGAACCGCCAGTTCAGACAAACGAACGAACGAGTTTTTATTGATACCAAGACAAAACATGGCAGACCATAAGGGCAAGAAGCGAACAGCTGAGGGTAAGTCAATTCTTTTTTTTTTTTTTCTTAGGCTGCAGGCGGGTCCCAAAAAAAAAAAAAAAAAAAAAAGAATGGATTTGGAAGGAGGTTTGTGCAGCTCGCGCACTTCGACCGGATGGAGAAGAGCAGCGAAGGAGAATTGGGATCGATTGTGGAGTCTCAAACTAGCAGGTTAATTAAACTGATTATGTCTTTAAAAAATATTATTCTTGTTTGATAGAGATGGAAGATGCGCCTGTGAAGGTCCCAAAGGAGAAAAAGGAGAAGAAGGAGAAGAAGGAGAAGAAGGAGAAGGCTGAGAAGAAGGAGAAATCTGAGAAGAAGGCGAAGGAGAGCAAGGACAAAGACAAGAAGACCGAAAAGAAAGACAAGAAGAACAAGACCGATAAGACCGACAAGACCGACAAGAAGGACAAGAAAGAAAAGGAGAATAAGGCGGAGAAGAAAGAAAAGAAGGAAAAGGAGGATAAGGCTGAGAAGAAGGAAAAGAAGGATAAGGAAGTCGCAAAGAACGCCGATATCGCCGACGTGAAGGAGAAGAAGGCCAAGAAGGAAAAGAGCGAGGCAAAGCATAAGGAAACTACATCAGAGGAGGAGCAGGCCAAGAAGGACAAGAAGGAGAAATCCGAGAAGAAGGACAAGGATGCTGGTAAAAAAGAGGAAAAGAAGGCAAAAAAAGACGACAAGACTAGCAGCAAGGAGAAGGAGAAGAAGGAGAAGAAGGACAAGGCTGAGAAAAAGGACAAGAAGGACAAGAAGGACAAGAAGGAAAAAAAGGAAAAGGAGGACAAGAAGGACAAGACCGACAAAAAAGAGGCGTCATCATCTACAGCAAAATCAACATCAACACCAGCACCAGCACCAGTTCAGGCCGCCCCTGCGCAGAAACGCTGGAACGATTGGAGTCAAGCCGATCTCGGGAACGAGAAGCAGAACGACAAATTCCTCCGTCTTCTGGGTGCCAAGAAAGCAGGTACCACTACCGCGGACGGATCAGGAGCGGCAGTAACAGCCCCAGCCAAGAAGGGACTATTCGGTTCATTGGGCTCCCTTCCTTCTTCTAGTTCCAGCCATACGAATGAGGATTCTGCGATCGATAGTATGGTGGGACGGAAAGTCAGTCGGGATCTGGAGAAGCAGTTTCAGGATGGACTGAAGATCCGGCAGCAGAAAAACAAGGGCAAGAGCGTGGGACTCGGATTCGGATATTAATTGAACATGCAATAAGGAAAGATGATGAGATTATAGCGTTGGACAACAAGCCTAATAAAAATAGAAGCAAAAGCGATATTGTATTAGTTTGATCCGCAGTGGTGATAATGGAGGATGGCCTTAAAGATGTCGAGACTATTCTCATGGCTAATATTTAATCCACTCCTAGCACAGCTCCATCTCGCATCTTCCTCGCGGGGATTAAATATGAAAGAGAAATAGAGAAATTTCTAATCGGGATAGTCTAGGATGGTCATCATGCAGCTTCCGAAGAAAAGGGTTGGGTTTGGAGGATATCACTGAGCTGGACCTGGGAAGACTTCAGGACACCGAATCGTTTCTAGTTCGCAATCTGGACACTGGCGGCCGGACAGTGCTACCTGGATGTACGAGGTATGAAATTGGACGTAGTGCTAAAGGACTGTCGCGCTGTGCTGGCTAAGTATGGGACGAGCTCGCATTTATTCAAGGTGTTCATAGTGTTGAGGGTGAGGTCGGAAATATACCCTATCTCTGAAGAGATGTTTAGTGACTCCTGACTGGATGAGTATCAGTGTATGTAACCCACAAATCAGCCTGATATGTCTGTTATCGAGGCATGGCCAGCGCTAGTTGCTTGGAACATGGAGCATATACTTTCCGTTGTGTCCATAGCCTGTTCTGGAAGAGCGACGACGGCTGGCTCTGGAGTTGGGGAATCGCGTCCAGCACGATGTCTCGACGGTAAGTGATGTTCAGCAGGATAAGACAGCGAAGACGAACGAGGTAACACAAGCATTATCAGACATAGTTAACCTATTCCTCAAGGCCATCATCGGTCAAAATGAGCACTGCCATGTCGCCATCTGTAACAAATTTGGCATGCTCAAAAGTCTCTTGCATTTCCTCTCGTAAAACAATGGCCTCCCTTGATACCATACCGACTTGTGTACGCAAGCGTGTAAGAGCGCGGAGCGAGGGAAAGGTAGACAGAAAATGCAATCCCAACAGCTATGGGAAGTAAAGTGATGTTGGCGATGATGATTATGGTGTCGGTGATGGCGAGCTTGAGGGCCATGCTCAGGGACAAGAACAGTTTGTGCTTCGCCGCGCTTTGTGTAACAATGGCGGCGGCGGAGACATTGAAGCCCTTAAGCCCATTGCGCCAACCCGCCCTTTCATTATGCCCAGCACCACTTACGCGTTCGCTCACTGAGCTCTCCATTGTCCTTTGCTGAATCTGCGCGATGTCTGACATGGAAGAACTGACCCCCCGGGAAGCTTTCCTTTCAAGCCAAGAGATCCTCTCGACAGTCGAATGGGACGATGTCCTGCTGGATCACCAGGCCGCCTCCGAGGCCATTGCTCTCTTCGACAATCACATGAGCACTCTTTTGCAAGGTAAGTGTAGACGAACGCGACTTTGCGCGGGGATTAATGCAGTAGTACCAGTTGATGCTCCATATCCATCTCATCAAGGCCTTTTTCCTTTCTGCTAACACACTTTAATCCTAATTTACTAGCGATGATGAGCATAAAAACAACCAAGTTATCGCGTTTCCTGAAAGACGCGGTGCTGACGCTCTCACGGCCAATCAAGGCGATACATCGCATTAGGGAATACATCGCCGCTGAGCCCACGACAGCACTCGCACAACATGTACAAGAGGACCAGGATGTGTTCGGAGCGTTCGAAGAGAGAGTATCGGCTACAGTCTGCGATCTGGTACACAAGATCGTGGAATTCTGGGACGGACAACAGGTACGCATCCGGCGCTGATAATGTACATCGCGAAGAGGATATTACTATGTGTCGTGTCTAGCAACCGTTGACTTGGCCTTCACGTTTTTACTCTGCTCCGCTTAGATCTTCAGTCTGAGACTTAGTCCCGCACCAGAGAACGAACGAAACAACCAGCACTACTTACTCGTGTATCTAATTTTGCTGCTACTGGATCGTTGGGTTGCACCAGAGGAGATGGAGGCTGCATCTTCGTATTTTGAGTACACGAACCCAAAGTACAAGGCGTTTTCGTCGCGTGGACCAAATGCTCCACCACTGCCAAAGAAGGATACAGGAACTACGTTGCGTCATCTAAAGACCATGATGGTAGGAACATATCTTTTTGTTGAATCTAAGCAGGTTGCTTTAGCGGGATGGGCCTTCTAATACGGCATTTTTGTTTGTACTGGGAAAAATAGGATCTCTGTGCAGAGTGTCATCTGTCAATCGAGGACCTACTTGTCTGGAAACCTACGCCAGGTAAGCAATAACGATTCTTTATCGAAAATATCTTTTCTGTCTGACTGCATGTTCACACTGTCTAACCAATGTTGGATGCCTCCTATATTTTATAGTATTCTCGACAGGAGTGGATGAGGATGATGACAGCTACGATGAAGAGGCGCTCATCGAAGATAATTACCCGCTTTCGGAAACAGGAATCGCGACCTTGGTCTCGGGCATGATCTATGCCATGATCAACTCATCTCAACTTTCAACCATTTTCACACTTCCGCTAACGCTCGCTCAGGACTGGGTTTTTACTACAGCAGGAGGATTGGCAAGCGGATTTCTAACCAACGAGGAGACCCAGCTTCCGATGGCGGACAAAGCTCTTTTGGTTTTGCTCTATGCTATTGACCGAACACCTATCGATGGATTCGAGATGGATGTGCTGGATTATTGCTCCATGGATAGTTCAATGGATCGGATGGGACTTTTTCAGATCTTCCAGGTCATGGTTTCGTTTGCGGCGACGAGCTCTTCGGCCAGCCATCGGTTCTTTTGTTTCCAGGGACTGGATCGGTTGGTGCAGGCGTGTCAGGATGATGTGAAGATGTATTTGTTGGAGCAGCTGGTGTCGTCCAAGTGTCCGTACGAGTCCATGAGAGCTGCAGCGGTCAACTTGGTTAAGGGGACAGTGGAACGGGCGTTTGTGAAGCTGGATCAGGTCAGGGCAGACAATATGGAAAGGATGCGGACGCATGGGCCTACTATGGATGGTTCAATTGGTGAAGTGAGGAGTCCGTTTACAAGTCCGCTGCTGCTAAAGACGTTTGTGCCGTCGATCTGGAGGTTTGAGGTCAAAGCGTTTGAACATAGTCCGCTGAAGAATGAGGGAGCATGGTTGGACAAGCATGATATGTTTATGCATGCACTGAACTTCTATTTGTTCCTGCTCATGCGAGACTCACGGGAAGATAACTTGGTGAGCTGTTTGTTGGTTTTATTTGGATTCTGTACGACTAGCAGCCTGATAACATATTGTCTAACCCTATGGTGTTTTTATTTATTTTTTTATTCGACTTACAGACGGAGATCTGGTCTGCATCCAACATTGAGGAAACGCGCAAGGAGTTCATCGAGCCGTTGGTGGAGCGAGTTCAAGAGCTTAAGGAGGACTATATTCAGCGACTTGCAACAGCAGAAATGCGGCAGGATGGAATTTTTGATGATGATGCGATGGAACCACCGGTGCACAGGATCAGGTCTAAGAACGGGGTTGTCAATTTCGACATTGATATGGAGAGTGGAGACGAGGATAGCGACGATGATGAAGATGATGATGGCATGCGGAGGAACGGAGGGCCGAAGGATACGGTCGTGGATTTGAATCAGAAGATGATGAAGCTTGAGATCATGGACGAACTGTTGGAGCGAATTCAGGAGCTGACGGCACCTGTGGAACAGGACGACGACGAATAAAAGGATACATTCAGAGAGAGATCTTGTACCTGGATCTGATCGGCATGCTTAAAATTCAGTAAATTAGGGAGTACTAAATTCAGGTGGAGCGGCATTTTTGCCCCGGGACCTTGAAGGGAACCAGCATGGGAGCTGTCTTAATACCTTGCAAGTGTCCTCGTACCACATGAATTATTTATCAGTCTGGTGCAGCCATTGAAGCTCCAACTTGCTCCTGCAAAAGATGATCCATTTTGCCCCACAATTGCTCTTGCTGTCAAGGTGAACACGATCCACGGTTAAGTTGATCCGAGCCGGATTGTGGATGCATTTCACACGGCACTGTTCAACTCTATTCCTTCCTTCATACATCACGTCTTTCCATTCCATTTCTTCCCTCTCCAGACATCCCTCCTCATTCGCACTTCATTCATCTCAAACAGCCCTCATGTCAGCTCCACTCACCGGTCTCAAGGTTCTCGAGATCGCAGGTTTGGCACCTGCGCCGTTCGCAGGCAAGGTCCTGTCGGACTTTGGTGCAGACGTAGTCCGTATCGACCGTTCGACCTCCGTCATGAATCTCGATGTCCTCGCTCAGAACAAACGCTCGCTCGCCCTCAATCTCAAATCTCCCGCAGGCATTGAGGCCCTTCTCCGCCTCAGCGAGACCGCAGATGTGATTATTGAGCCATTCCGTCCAGGTGTCATGGAGAGACTGGGGTTGGGACCAGATGTGATGCTGAAGAGGAACCCAAAGCTGGTGTATGCACGAATGACCGGGTTCGGACAACAGGGACATTATGCCAAGATGGCGGGCCATGATATCAATTACCTGGCAATCTCAGGAGTCTTGAGCGTAAGTGCGTTTGTTAAAGACTAGGCGCCTCCGCCTTTATTATGGATGTCATCATACTTTGGACAATCCGGCTAAGCGATGTTTCTTTCTTTCTTTTCATTGATAGACGCTAGGAAAACACGACGACAAACCCGCATTCCCGATCAACCTCCTCGCAGATTTTGCCGGTGGTGGACTAATGTGTGCACTCGGGGTCCTTCTCGCCCTCCAGGAACGCGCCCGCTCTGGCAAGGGCCAAGTCGTCGACGCTGCCATGATCGACGGTGTCTCCTATCTCGGCTCATTCGTCTACAACATGCACAAAGCCGGTGCTCTCTTCCAAACTCCACCTGGTACTGGTCAATTGGATGGAGGCGCGCCCTTTTACGACACCTACAAGACCAAAGATGGGCGATTTATGGCCGTAGGAGCCATTGAGGCCGATTTTTATGAACTATTGCTTCAAGGATTAGGACTCGAGAAGGAGAAGGATCATTTGCCGGAGCAGATGGATATGAAGAGTTGGCCAAAGATGAAGGAAATGTTCACGGCGATCTTTTTAACGAAGACGCAGGAGGAATGGGTGAAGGTATTTGATCTGACGGATGCATGTGTGACACCGGTGCTGGAGTATTATGAGATGCCGACACCGGCCCCAGCGCCACGGTTGTTGAGAACCCCGAGTAGGCAGCATAGCGCGGATGCGGGGCAAGACGAGGAGATGTTTTTGGAGGTAGGAGGGCAGAGTAAGGCCATTTTAGTCGAAGCTGGGTTCTCGGAGGAGGAAATCCGGGACTTGGTGGCCAAGAATGCAATTGCCGGCGCAGGATTGGAGAAGGCCTCGCTTTAGAGCGCAAAAAAGTGAGAGTAATGTTCATGTTGAGAAAGAATAATAAAGATACGGGGCCAGCTCCTCGCGTTTGCAGCAGAACTATGATCGGCTTGATTTCCCTTGATGTCAATGTTTACCGCGCCAGGAAGGATGCAGGTGCGGGGAAAGGGAGACGCGACCGTAGACGCGTCGATTGAGGAACGAATACGTCTAATTTCGCGTAGACAGGGGGACTTCATCATTGGACTAGCCTGTGTGAAACACTTTCGAGGTCCACGGTGTAACTAGTACCAGACAACTCACTTCTCTGCATCGAACATTCACCACCGATGGCATCGAACATTGACCATGTCAAGCAGCAGCCCTTGCTCATCGTGGCGATGGTAAGTCCCATCTCTGAACCAAGCTACGCTTTATTTCTCTCAACCTCGTTGTTAACAACGAACACACCAATACATCACACAGGGCGTGTCCGGAACCGGCAAGTCGACATTAGGACAAGGCCTTGCAGACGCCATCAACATGCCATTCATCGACGGTGATCAGCTCCACTCTAAAGCCAGTATCGCCAAAATGGCCTCAGGACACCCTTTGACGGACGAAGATAGAGAGCCGTGGTTGAATCTTATACGTACCAAAGCAGAGCAAGTCTGCGCAGAACAACGCCTTGATTCCTCGTCCAAGGCGATAAGGCCAGGCGTCGTAGTAGCTTGCTCAGCCTTGAAAAAATATTATCGCGACATCCTGCGCGGAAAGAGAGAATCCAACGACCCTTCCCAACAGACAAACCCAGATGCGACCAAGCCTGACGCGCTATCGACGTGCTTTGTCTTCCTGAAAGGCGACAAAGACGTCATTTTGGAGAGAATGCAGAGGCGAACAGGGCATTACATGAAGGCGAACATGCTCGACAGTCAACTGGCGACCTTAGAGAGCCCTGAGGGCGAAGATGGCGTGGTCGTCATTCGCATCGAAGATCAGCCTGCGGAGCAAGTGAGAAAGGCGCGTGAGGGGTTATGCCGTCTAGTTGGACCAGTGTAGAGCGCGCGCGTCTGACGTTCCATTTTAATCTTGGGGTAAAAAAAGTTGCGGCAATAAAAACATTTTTTTTTATTAGCGCCAGAACCCGTCCCTCTTCCTCCAGACGTACAGGCGTACCAAGGGCTGCATTGCCCTAACTAAGACTTGGTCTGACAGGCGGCCAAAAGCCACCTAGAGACAGATAATAATAACCTCACAGTAAACTAATGTAAAGCGGAGGAGCGAATACCTATAGTGCACATTCTGAGTTGTATGGTTTTCAATATTTGAACTGAGGCCCAAAACCGCTACGCATCCTACCGGATTCGATGAGTCCGATGGGTGCTCTTCTAGTCAAGATCATGGGCCAACATGAATTTTATCCTCGACCTCATTCAAGACGGACATCTGCCCTCTTCCTCACCGCCGTAGTCAACTCCTGGGGTTGTTCTCGCACAAAGCCCTGGGCTACTCCTCCAAAACGTTTCCTGACTTTCTTCTTTCTCGCGCATATGTCCTCAGACTTCTTCCATGGCACCGTCGCCTTACACCGCTCTTTCCATAGCCTCTTCCGTGCAAAAACTCGATTCGCTTCACAAAATGTCCAATCAGGTAAGCTGCGATGCTCTTGAACGTTTTCATGAGCAACTCCAGTCCACTATCGAGAATTTAGAAACCGATCTTTGATAGATATCTACCGTCGTCTAGAGCCTCTTGAGTATCATCTCTCATTTGAACATTATCCTGACTATCGACTTCACATTCTTCCTCGTAGACAGTCTTCCTACCCTCTGCATCGCTCTTTCTGTCTCGCCATGTGTTCAGTAGGCTGATTCAGTCGTCGCGCAACGTATCTGCCATTCTTTCCACCCTCCGAACCTCACGTAGGCTTCACCAGAAGGTATCCATGCCGCGTGGAGAGAAAGTCGGTTCTATGCGTGTGAAATGTCAGCCATTCTTGCCGGGCCCTTCCAAATCACTCAACCATTTTTCCCGCCATGACTGCTCCAGTGCTGTGTACCTCTTCGAGTGCCTGTGTCCCAAGCGTTCTGCCGCTGTTCTTGTGTAACGTGGCATACGCGAAGATGCTGTGTGTCCTTCACAACGGTAATACATACTTAACATTTAAAAATTTGATTCTCAATTGTGCATATATTACATGGTCGGGAGCATACCACGAATCAACTTGTTCTTATGGGAGCAATGGCCGCAATCTGCGAGGTTGGAGAAAATGCCTACTTGGCGGATTTCGTTCATGGATGATAGCAAGGTTCTACCTTCACTCCATCTCACCCCACTGCTCAATGAATCGTTGCGTCCGTTGCTGGCACGTCCATGTATGATGGTTCCTCGGCGTTGACTGAAGTTTAATCAAATGTCGGGGGTTATCCTCTGCTGACTAGTCGCAGAAAGCTACATGTGTCGGTATGCTTGCGAAGTACTGATTGCTCAATATGCCAAGGTTGCTGGTGACAGTCGCATGCCGTGTCTGGCAAAATATCTGCAGCCTCGTTTCTTGCGTCTCCATTGTGACCTTTAACCCACTGCACCTCCATTTGCTGTCCTGCTATACATAGAATTTGTAAACCATTGCCCACCAATCGGCGTATGCTGATCGTAGTTAGCAACGAAAAGTGGCAGTATGTCGGTTCCTAATCAATATCGCAAACTGTTGGCCCACAGCTCTGCTGCGAATGAGGATAATGGCATTTCGTTCGCGGGGGCAAGCATAGGATCGTCGCAAGCAGACCCACCAACTCCGCCTTGGTGGATAACGAGTAGTTCGTCGTTGCGCCGTCAACAGCTGGCTGGAAAGAGTCGTCGGCACGTCTGTAGACACTCCCGAAATACTGACTGATGCTTGCACGTTAGCGGAAACATTGTTCCTCACCGGTCCGCCGGATTAAAAAGCTGTCGTACTCTGCCTAGATGATACCCATCCTCATGTCTCAGGAACCATTTACAAGTGTCCCAGCTAATACCGAGCTATGGGGATCCATGAATTGCTTCCTTTGGGTCAAGGACGCTAACGTCACTGCGGCCTGATTAGAGTGGGCTGCAAATCTATTTCCTGTGCCGCTACTCGTTCTATTGCTTGAAGCTTCTGGTCCTCGTCTATATCCCGATACTTTCTCTACTGTCCCTGATGACAATATTCTTCGTATCGGATGACAGCGTTGGGTGTGTGCTTCAGCAGCATGTCGTTCTTTCCTGTACCCTTCCTCAGTAATCGACCCCACTGTGTCTTTCATAGCCTCCTGCTGGGGCAAAAAGAGCAGCTTGGATGAGACGCCGGCGGCAGACGAGTGTGCATTCGTCTAAGTTTGTCTGCAGGTGAGAGAAAGGGAAGTCAATCTATTGCACGTTATAAAGTACCCGAAAACAACGCCCTGCGATGGCCAAAGCGCTCCTTCGATGAATACAGCACAGCATAGACTGGCGAGACTGGCGCGACTAATATCTACTAATCCCGGCCTCAGTGGGTCCGACTGATACATTACAATGACGTAGTTGTTGACAAGACATGACTGTGCACGGACCATGTCGGGTGTCTGTCGGGTGCCAGATTATTTTTTTAAACACGTCAGCAACAAGGGACGCGCACTTTACCCTTCTTCTCACACCCACACCCACACCCACACCCAATCAGCACCTAACCGCCAACCACCAACCACCGCTCAACCACCACTCCACTACCACTCCACTGCCAATCAACTAGCACCTCAGCAGTTCGCCAGAGACTTCCTCGCGCGAAGTTACCGTACGCCAGTGATATCAATGTAAGTACTTTGGCTGCTTTGCTTTGCTTTGAACCCACATTGAAGCACAATACTCATCATCCCATCTTTTGCGTTTGTGCCGCTTGTTAGACCCAAAAAAAAAGAAAAAAAGAAAAAAAAGGAACAAAAAAAAGAATACAAAAAAAGAAAAAAACAAAAAACAAAAAACAAAAAGAACAAGAAAACAAAAAAACAAAAAAAAACGACAACATTGCTCATATGGTATGTGGATTATGCGAAACTGTTGCGGATAGAGAGTGTGTACTGCAGGTATCCTAACATTTGTCTTGACTTGTGATCGATCTTAGTACGAGTGCCCGCTGCGATACTCCAGCAAAGACCCTCACTGGGTTGCCAAGCACATGAGCAGCAGCATGCCCAAGGGACCCAGGACAAGAAAGGGTCCTCCGAAGCCACATTGGTGAGCCAGCGACTCCAAGGACAGGGGCGGGAAACGCCTATCGAGCCGGCGCACCGGTGCCGCTCATCGCTGCGCAAGATATGGCCACGAGTGGAACCACATGCTGACGCGCTTTATCACGACCAGGTAAGGCGACTACAGCTATTCATGTTCTAGACTACGAAATTTGTTCTGAAAAGATGAGCCGGGCCTTCCTGCATACTGACCTTGCTGGTGCTTTCATCACCGCGTCTTTCTGTCTAATAGGCGCCAGCTGTACCTCCCGGAACTCCCAAACCCCACAAAAACGTACAAGCCGAGGGGGTTTCGGGCAGGTGCAGACGACCTGCTGCAACGGGGCCTCACCCCAGCCCCAGCACCCGTTGCAGTGGGTCGATCTTTATGGATCCGTCCCACCCACCACAGCCATACCACTACCCTTTCCACCTCAGGCTGTGATGGGTGGATCTTTCTTTTATTTCTTCTTTCCTCCACATCCCCTCTCTCCTCCCTCCCCACTCCTCTCGCTCACCCTTCCACCTATTCCGCCCTTCACTCCCCAAAACATGCTCCCCATCAGATGCTCAGGACCAGCCTCTAATGGCTATCTCATGGTAAGTTCACTCTTGCTTTTCTTATATGTGATCGACATGTCTCACCCTTGCCGCCCCGGCATCGAGTGGCTCAGGGCTTCTGTTCGGTTCGCCAGCGGGACCCTGCCACTGGCCTCTCGACGCAGTGGGATGATGCGCCGTGGGTTAGGGATGAAGCGAGCCCTCTGGTCTTTTGGCTGTCTGATGCACCTGTTCTCGCCTACATCTTAGGGACCTTATAGCGCGGCGAACGACTCTACTCTCCCATATACACATGGTGGCGCGCGAGGCTGTGCGGGCCAATGTGGTCCTCCGCGGTGCTAGCCAAAGGAAGCAGCAGACATGGACAGAAGCAGACACAGCAAAGCAAGGTAAGGACACTAGGGGGCCAGCGTGCTCAGGGCTCTGGAGCAACAACTGTTGGGGTTGCAGGGGATGGAAAAATCGGTGGTCCTGTCCGGATCACTGTCCTAGACTGGACTGCCCCTGTGCAGTTCAGGATCCTGGGCGACTATCGGCCACCGTCTGTTTCTCTTTTCCTTGCGCACTCTGATGGTCTGCGGCTCTCATTGACTTGCAGTCGCCGGCTCAGATACGCTGTGCACTTCCGGAGGCAGGTCTGGGTCTCCCACCGTTCGTTCTTTCTCCCTATCCTTTTTCCTTCTTTTTTTTTTTTTCTTTCTCCTCTTTTTCTTCTTTACACCTTTCTTTTTATTCCTTTTTTCTATTGCTAATGATCCGCTGGCCTTGGGCTGAGCGAGAAGGCAGGGGTCAGCATTCTCTTTTCTCTTTTCTCTTTCTTTCGCTTCCCCCTCCCTTTCTTCCTTGAGACCCAGACCGTCCGATGAAAAGCGTCCACTCCAAAATCACAATGGTAAGCCCTCTGTCTGTATATGTGTATATTCATGTCTTTTTTGTGCAGCGGGCGTTCGAAGCAACATGCAGCTGTGTACTAACTAGTACAACACCGTCTCCTTGTCTCATTTTCCTTGAGGACCGCCGGTGCGCATGGTAAAGCAAGCTCCCTTGTGTATCCGCGAAAGTAGAGTCCGATGCCGTGTCGAGGTCCTGGTACTAGGGTAAGTGGGGCACTGGAGCAGGTGTAGAGGGTGGTTCAAAAAACTAAGGCATTCGCGGACCAATCCACGGTTGAGGACCATTGCACGGGAAGTGTCAGTTGGTAGCGGTACCCAAAACCGGCCGTCCAGGTAAGTCCTCAGGCTGCTTGAATGTCGGGAGGAGCGGTGGTGGGCTTGTCGGTTGCATGCATGGGAAGCATGGGGTGCAACTGCCATGGGCTAGTCAGGAGGGGATCTGGGACTGGGCAGAGAGGGGAGCGGGGTGAAGGGCCTAGCATCAAAGGAATAGGTGAGAAGGGTTTAGGGGAGTGTAAGGAGGGTCCGGGGAGGCCAAAGGGGATCAGGATCGAAGGGCCTCAGGCACTGCCGCCGCCCTTGTCAAAGTAAGTATACATCTGGTGTTTGCGGTGTCTTGTTTAATATGCAAAGTGTCTATGAATCCATCCTTATGCGAATTGTTTGTGATCCTGTATCTGATACTAGATAGTTATTCCACAAATTAAGTGGGTAAATATGTGCTGTCGCCGTCCGCTCGTCCGACCGTCACCGCTACATACAACAACAAGGTGGCGGCGGGGGCATGGGCGGTAAGACAGCGACAAGGGCGGTAAGGCAGCAACAAAGACCGAGGCCAGTCTGCGGCAAGGCTCGACTACAAGGCCAGTACCAAGACCAGAACCAGGACCAGTGCCAAGACTAATACCAAGACCAATACCAAGACCAGTATCAAGGCCTTAGACAAGATACCGCAAGAACAAAGACAAGGCCGATTATACGATTGGAAATAGGACTGAGTACAGCCTATTGGTAAGAGCGATAAAGGCCGCGACAAAACCTCGACAGGAACATGACGAGCACAAAGCCGTGACAAGAACAGCGACAAGGTTAAGGCAGCGCATAGTAAAAGACGGGTCAGTCCTACAACTCGTTTACTACGCCATACCGTCGATCACCCTTTGACAAGGACTGAGTCTGCCAGGACAATAGTATCACCACGCTTCATGAATGCAGCTGCCATCGCGGCACACCGTGATGCTCGCGACCTCGACCTACACACGCGTAGGATTGTCAATATTGGATCCAAAAAGAACACAAGAATATAAAATAAAGAAAAAATAAAATAAAAGAAAATAAAAAACTTAGCGGCCAGTTTAGATACCAATTCGCAAGAGCAGAGACACACAGCGGCATGCAGCAGCGGCGATGGCGGTAATACCACCCGGATCTCAAATAAAACATACGACCAACATACTGCTTTCAAACGCTCTCGGTGCAGAGGCAAAAACCTAAAATGTGAGTATATGATACACAGGCTTCGTACTGAACAGGCGGCTACACCGGATATACAAGCGGCCGCTGTCCTTATGTCTATCATGTCTGGAGAGAGCTCTCCGTTGTATCTACATGGCCTGACATCGATATTGAAAAGATGTGTGCTGTAGAGTCCAGTATTGCCTGTGCAGTGCTGCAGAACCCAGTGCTGTGCTGCTGGTGTTGATGGTGTCAGGCCGAGCTTGCCCGAGAGAAAGACGCGACGCATCGCGTATGCTGTTTAATCCCGAGTCCGCTCCATTCGTGCGCGTTAGCTTTGCACGTCGTTCTAGCGACTAACGGGTGGGGCTCTGACAGTTGCATGGGTTGACGGCCACCCCCTGTGGGCCCTGTCCATTTCCTCGATCGCCTCTGCTGTTGTCACAATATAGCATCGTAAAAAGTGTTCTGAGCATTTGAGAACTTCTACCCTCATTAGTTTACAGAGCGGTTATACGGCATGAACGTGTTCGTCCGCGCGGCGGGTGAATTGGTGAAAATCGGTTTCTTTAGGAAGTCTGGACGCGAGGTTTTTTTTTTTTTTTTTTTTTAAAAAAGCATGAAGACAAGTTTTTCATCCGAGGATCAGGACCATATATGTCCTACCCATTATTTTTTCCCCTGCCCCTCGCTTTCCTTTTTTTCCCCCCTGGCTCACCTTCAAGGAGATAGTCATCACATCTGGCACGCAAACAGCATTTTACCTCATCTTTGTTTCTTGCGGATAGTGTCTGGATTTTTTTTCGTGTTTATTTTCCAACAAAAGAAGATTACACATGAAATATAGTCCTGGCGCGAAGGATAATGTAACGAGAATTATAAAACTATTGCCGCGCAGGTTCCTTGAGCAGCCTCATGGGGCCTCGGAAATGGATCAAAAATAGGTTCATTCCAATACATATTGATCACAATCGTTGGAGAAAGAACGCGGATCGCGTTTCAATTTCACAGTCTTCAGAGCACAGCACAGATTGGTCAGATTCCTTGCGGACCAAAAAAAAAAAAAAAAAAAAAAAGCTTGGACATCGTCAACAAGCCAATCGCCACACGTCTTTGCATTATTGCATTCAAAGTTTTCAACGCGGTCCTTAAAAGACTCCAGGCCCAATCCATCCAACAACGCCTTCAACATAATCAGCCATATTTTACTATCCTGGACATCCTTACGCATCTTTCATAAAGTAAAATAACTCATAACACATTATTTTCATTATTTTCATTTTGCTGTATTCAATGCTTTTCTCTAACAACAACCAACCCCACCGCCGCATGCTCTCCTAATCCCACCGCTCCTTCTCTAACACCGCTCCCATACTCCTCCGGATCACCTTCCCTCCCCGCTTCAACGAAGAGGGCGCCGGCAAGCTAACAACATTGGTAGTCGTCCCTACTGCTCCTCCTGATCCTCCTCCTGCTCCTGAATTTAAACTTGAGCCTGTTCCGCTCCCCGAATAATTCATCCCTCCCGCAGGCGATGACGCCCTCCACGCTGCATGGCTATTACCATTCGCGCCATACCCAGCCCCGTCCCCAAACCCATACTGAGACCGATGCTGGATCTGAGGCGCCTGTTGCTGCTGCTGCTGCTGTTGTTGGTGCTGTTGGTGGTGCTGATGTTGATAGTGGTGATACTGGAGCGGCTCATATCCCTGCGCAAACTCCATCTTCTGTGCACTATGCGCACGGCCCTCAATGCCCTGTGCCGCCGACACAGAGGACACCGGATGCACGGATCGCATGCCCATACTGGCGTGTGACGGAGCCCCCTGCGCCTGGTACTGCATCGGCACTGGGATTTGATGCCTTGCCTTTGTCAGCGTTCCCGGCGCTGCAGCTGGGGGCGAGCACGTCCTTGATTCCCTATCCTTCTCCCTTTCTTTTTCCTTCTCTTGAAAATGCCCGTTACTGTAGCCGCTGTGGTTGTCATGTTCCTTATTCGCCGAAGCCGAGAACCGACTGAGCATAGTCCGGATGCCCACATGATGCGATTGTGCCGGCTGAGTCGATCCAGGGACGTTCAACATCCCGTTCTTGGGCAACGCTGCATTCCCGCCCTGCTGCCATTTATGCTGTTGCATCTCCTTCATGATCATCCGATCTTCTTCCTCCAATAACGCGGCCACAGATCCAAGGGACGACACTGACGAACTGTTGTTGGACAGGGACGAGTACGATGACATCAACGCCGCTGAAGAAGATCCTGAGGACGAGTTGTATCCGTTCGTGAGATTATAGGTATTGATTACGCCGTTGCTACTGTACTTATTGTTAAGATTGTTGTTGAGGTGCGTCCGTCCAAGCTGAGACGACTGTTGCTGCTGTTGTTGAAAACTAATAGGCCTAGCAGTCAAAGAAGCCCCTCCGAAACCAACAGCCGTCGGTGATCTTGGGGGAGCTGTTTCATGACCTGCATGATTCAACTGCCGTTGCTGCCGTTGCTGGTGCTGGTGCTGTTGCTGTTGCTGTTGCTGTTGCTGTTGCTGTTGTTGATACTGGTGTTGGTACTGGTGCTGGTGCTGGTGCTGCTGTTGCTGTTGCTGTTGCTGTTGCTGTTGCTGTTGCTGTTGCTGTTGCTGTTGCTGGTGCTGGTGCTGGTGCTGGTGCTGGTGCTGGTGCTGATTCAAGGCCTGCCCAAATGACTGGCTCATCGCCCGATAATGCCCACCACTAGCAACGCCACTCGGAATCACAACCGCGTTCCCAATATTTTCGATGCTCGAGCGTGGTGGAATCCTGCTCCTGGACGGGACCAACAACGCCTCCAGATCCTTCTCCTCGATTTCTCGAATACTTTCATGTCCTTTATAATCATCATCGTGATCATCATCCTCACTGCCAGCCGCCGTCATCGCCGCCTCTTCGTCCTCTTCCTCATGATTGTCCTGACCGCGGTTACGGTAATTGTTTGACGCCGCGCTTCGACGACCTCCCATAAAATATGCGTGTACGGGAGGTGCGCTCGTCGAGAACAGACTGATGGAGCTGGGTCTCTGATGACTACGGCCATATCGACCCGTATTCTCCTCGTCGTCATAAGGGTCCAACGGTCCAACGCCTGGCACCTGTACACGATAAGCTCGACCCGCTGCTCCGTTTTTGAGAATCGGGACTGGAAGTGCTTTAGGCGGCGTCGGCGGAGCCTGTCGCTGCTGCTGCTGAGCGTTCGGAGCCGATGACTTGCTAGAATCTGGTGTCCCAGTTTGTTGACGCATATAAATAGAAGACGACGGTGGCGGAGTCGAGGTATGCGAAGTAGGAGGTGTTGGCAGCAGATGAGACGCTGAAGCCACACTATTTTTCTTATTGCTAAACGAGAGCCGCCTGGGCCCTGCAGTAAAGTTGCGCACTCCTGAGGAAGTTGGCGAGGTCGGACTATCCGATTGACGACTAGACGGACGCTGCATCTGAGTCCTGCTCGACTGGTCGGCATTAAAAGCCGAAATTGCCTCTGGGGACATGGCCCTATGTTTCTCCATATTCTCATTCATTGAGGTCGTGTCCCGTTTGAAGTATGCTGAGAGAGGGGGTGTCGGACATGGCCGAGAGGACAGACCCTGAGAGGGCGTGACGGATCGAGAGCGATCGTCCGGGGTCAGTTGGGATGACCTGGAGTTAGGTCGACTGGCGCCCTTTTGCTTTCCATTGGCCACCATCTTCAGGTTCGGGATCGACTGGGCTGGTGATGGTGCTTGGAAATAAGATAGGTGGGGTCCAGGGAAGCAGGTGTTACCAACATAGAACTGACACTTTCTGTGGAACACCATGCTGCAGTCTGTTATACACAATGAGAAGATGCATAGAGATTCGATTAATAGCATGTTCAATGACCAAGCGGCTCATTCCCTTTACAAAGTAATTGGTGGCAAACGTACCTTGACAGATGACGGCCTGCTTCCTGACATAGTCGTGGCATAATCTACACTCGACCGCTGTGATTAAACGAATATAGGTCAGCAAACACGAGCAAACGCGAGCAAACACGAACAAACTAAAGTTCTCCATCATGACAGCGAAAATAAAAAAGAAAAGTATATGCTTACGTTTAGCAAACGAGCTTTTGACAAACTGGTGCTGATTCTCAGTCTTGCCACTCCTGTTCATATCCTGATACTTTTCGGGAAATTGCGTCGGTGCCGGCACGGTCGATGAGGCATTGTATCCACTGGCGCTGTCCATGCTTCCTCGACGCGGTCCTCTTTTCTCGGGCCGCAGCATCGCGGTTGCGGATGCTGCTGGTGGTGGGCCAGACGACAACCCTGCTGGCGTCGAGGCGCGCTTCGCGGCGCTTCCGTTGCTTTGCTCCTGTACATCTGGCAAGAGTACCTTTTCCCTTGGCTCCAGCAACTTTCGCTTCATGTATGGCAAACTATCCATGGGCTTGAGCTCCTTGTGGGATTCCCAAATATCATTTATAAACAAGTGCCATGTTAGGATATAATCGTATGAAGCTGTCGGGTTGTATAACGCGCGCAAATTTTGAGCGCAAAATTCTTGCGGCTCCTTACCCTGGATGCAAAGTTGCGCTTGATCCATACATGACGACCCAGAGCGCCTGCGCTGGGCCGCAGGGCCGGATCCTTTTGAAAACATTGGCACAGGAAATCCAAAAGATCCATTGACACGTTATTTGGCAGAGGCGGCCTCTCATCTTCGACAATACGAAATAGGGTGGTCATAGCGAGTAGGTCGGCATATGGCGGGCGTCCTGTCAGCATCTCAATGATCGTACATCCTAGGGACCAAACGTCACTGGCCGGCGACGCGCCCTTTAGTTCGATGACCTCCGGTGCCACTGAATAGTTCAAAGCATATCGTATAATGGGTTAGAGACATGTTTTTCCTTCGAACGTCACCAAACTTTCCAGCGGAGTAATGATGATAGGAAGTAGCCATTGACATACTCCAATTGGGTGTTCCTGCCACTGCTCCAAAGTCGGACTCCTTCACTTTAAGATTCAAAGAGACACCGAAATCGGAGAGTTTGACGTTCCCATTCTTGGTCGTCAGAATGTTCGCTGCCTTCAAGTCGCAGTGGACCACCTGGTCATAAGATGAACGAGAGTGGTTATAATACGGTACCAAGCCATGGTGTCTGGCATTATCAGCACACATCAAACGCACCTGCTTTCCATGAAGGTATACCAGTCCCTCAAGGATCTTGACCACATATGCCACCACGAGTTTCTCAGGAAAGGCACCGAACGACTTTAACGTAGTTAAAAGCGATCCGTTCTCGACAAACTCCAGGACAATGTTCAAAAAGCCCTCCGTCTTGATGAAACCCTCGTACTTGACAATTGAAGGGTGTGCAAGGGACTTTAGAAGGTCGACTTCCTGCATCAACATGTCTCTTTCATCGTCCTTGAGCCCACCGATTTTGATCCGCTTCACCGCCACCATCTGGCCTGTTACCAAGTTCAGTGCCCTATATGACAACAGATAGTAAGTAACGACGAGGTTAGAAATGAGATGTTGAGATACATGCAATCGCCCACGAATTGATATGTTGACGGTATTCGATAGTGCACCTGTAAACGGCACCAAATTGTCCTCGTCCAATGCAGTTTCCAAGTTGCTAAAATGTAAATTACGATGGATGCGACTAATGATTAGCGATGGCATCCAGAAAGATTTGTCCTCACAACAATTCCAGGATGAACCGAAGCTTGGCTCTCACATAAGTTGCAACAGGAACATCGTCCTCCCAGAGTTCCAGTTTCTCGCGAACTGGCTCAACACCATTAGTGCTCTTTCGGAGGCCTTGGCTCTGCACCGGAGTGGTCGACCTTGATGATGCGGGGGATCCCAACATAGAGCGACCGATTCCGTCCGAGGCTCTTTCTGATGAGTGTCGAGAATGCTGTTTCAGGTTCGAGATGGCGCTATATGATGCAGATTGAGTCAAGACCCCAGGGCTACCGGGGCTAGTAAGGCCATCTCGATAGGCTGGACTGCCCATGATAGCGTTGGCGGCTTGAGGATCCAAGGACATGCTCTTCTTCCTCCTCCTCGACATGTCTAGTGCGGAGGTCCTGTCATCCACTGGCAACTGTAGTCCCGATGCCGATTTTGAAATGGACGTCGATTGCTCAAACGCCGGCGACGGGCTGTTGCCAAAGACCAGATCCCGCTGCTCGCGCCTATTTAGCGCTTCGAGATGACTCGGATTGTTTTCATCGCTCCCAAAACTCATGTCCTCGACGCCGATCTCGATATCGCTCACGCTAGGAAGTCGCAAACGTTTGTCTCTTACTAGCGGGGGAGTTTCTCTGCTGCTCACTGGGGTACTTTGGTGGCGTGGATCCTTAGGTTTGAAGACATTCGTCTCGAGTTGATCGTAGCCGGCGGAGAACCGAATGCTCTCTTCCTCCAGTTTCCTGACCTGCGCCGCATAGTAGGAGGATGAAGACGGTCGTATTGATGCTGTTGTGGAGGCAACGCTTGGAACATGAGCTGTCTTGGATCTCATCCTAGTTAGTGGCGCACCGTTAACTCCGGATTTTGGTATCTGCGATGGTGTTGAACCTGCCGAGACAAGCGGACTGGGTCCTGGTCGCTTGTCTTTGGCTACCATCCTGGGTACTCCTCCAACAACACGTTCCAATGTTAGAATAGTCGAGACCACCTATCAATAGACACCACGTTAGAACAAACTCGCGATAGACAATGTAATGAGTCTATGCGGAGTAGACGCTTTCGCAGTTGTACCTGATTCATGTCCTTTCCTTCATAAAGATCTACCGTTTGGAACAGATCCGAACTCTGCACTCCAAGCTATTGACCATGCGTAAAGAAGAAAAGAGGAACATCATATCATAAAGAGTTGTTCAGTATCCTGATCATGGAACAAATTCAATTGCTCCCAGAGACAGGGTCATGTCTTACCTGCTTAGCAGCATTCAAGAAGTTGCTGATGTTCTCCATCTATATAGAGTTCGAAAGGCATGGAGGGGAAGAGTGTGGCTCATTAGCGATAGAGATGGATCGGTGCATGGTCCATCTCCAGCCGGACTATTATTACAGCCCGCTGTTGGAATCGTATTCCCAAGATTCAGCTAGTGCAGCCGCTAACGAGTACTCGGGTGAAAGGATAACAGTAACAGGGCCGGAGGTGATGGTGTTTCCCTCCTGAATCTGCAGTTCCTGAAGGGGCTGCCGTGTGAATGTCGTTGGCGTGCCTATAATTATCGCCATCGGCATTGGCGATGATCGACGTCGCCCCTGTCTGTTTGCGGTTGTTGTCGCTGACCGACTCGCTGTCTTACCTTAACAAAGGGGAGGTTCTTCAAGCTGATTTGCTCGACAGTGCCTGGCCGCAGCCGATTCGCCAACCTGGCGAAGGGTTCGAGACAAATGAGGTTAAACAGTGCGTTCAGTATTCATTGCATAAAGAAAGGGGGGGACATATTATGACGGCAGGTTGGCAAAGGGAGCCGGGGGAAAATAAAAAATAATGTGCTAATGCAAATTTGCGCACACAGCCAGACATATATCCTTCCAAACATACCGGCAAAGGATGACCCCGTCCTTCAAAGACTCGTGCAGGTCGCTTGAGGGCAAGGGCTGGCCTACTGTCCGCTCGATGAAACTCTGTGCTGCCTTGATTCGGTCCTGAAGCTGTTGCTCACGCAGTCGTTTCCCTGCCAAGTCCACGGCAGAGGCGGCCTGCAACACTGAGCTTCCTTGCGTACTGGATGTTCCCGTTGAGCCTGTTACGCCTGTACTAGAACTAGAGTTGGGTGCAGATGTTGACGTTGATGTTGAACTGATTGCAGACGGTGAGGAACTGACAGGCATGCTAGGTTTGGTTGAATACCGTGGTTGTGGCGGCGTTGAAGAGACAATGTTTGATGATGCTGACATGGTCGGTGTTGGACTTTTAGAGAGTCGACCCAGATATACTGGCGGTACAGAGATAGAGTGCGAATGTTTCCGTGTTAGCCCAGGCGATGCTGATGATGACGATGAGGATTTTGCTGTCGACTGCAGGTTGGCGCCATGACTGGGACTTGCACCAGAGGACTTTTCTGTCAAGCTGGATATGGCGCCTGCGACCACGTTCCTTGGTTCCTTCCCACTGGATCCTGAACTTGTCGCGACTCTGGCTCTTGTGCCAGCTCCAACTGCTATTCCAGAAGTGAAGGCTCCGTCCCCGTTCCAAAGGGCTCCCGCACTCGGTCCTGGACTGGCTCGATGTCTGTCTCCTGTTTCAAACAAATAGGATCTGGAGTGCGAATCAGTTGGATTTTGAGCGCTATTGCTCGTATTATCGGTGCCATTGCTAGTCGTGCTGCTGTGGCCGCTGCTCTCCCTTTGAGCATGCCGTTGAGAAAAGAGGTTGTCGGAGACAGTGGTGGCGTTTGTTTGTGCAGTGGACAAATCTCGGCGAAGCGGAGGAGGAGGAGGATTGGACCCTGAGCGTAACCTGGTCCCGGCGCCGGTGGTGCCAGTGCCTGAACCTGGTCGGAGCAAGGACATTGATGTCCGTGACTGCTGCGGTTGCAAGGACGAGGAATAAGGTGTGGAGGTGGAGGTGGAGGTGAAGGTGCTGGTGGTGGCACCGGTGGCACTGTAGAGATCGCTGGGCGTGGTGCGTGGATAGAGGCCATTGTTCATGGTGTGGTGAATGCTGCTGAAGGAAGAGGACGACGAGTTTGAGGTTGGGAGTGGACTGGTCAGGTTCTGGCGCGTGCCGCTGCTGTTTGCGTTCCTGTCTGAGACGATGGCGCTGCTTCTGCTCCTTTGGCGTGTTTGTATGATATCGGTCATATTGACGGATAAGTATTAGTGATCGATAGAGTGTTAAGCAGCGAAAGAATAATAATAATGATATGGTATAGGTACAAAGAGGAGGAGAAAAGGAGCACTAGAGGACAGTTGTGGATGAGAAAGAGGATGAGAATGAGGACGAGGACATGGACATGGACATGAAGGGATGAGTATGAAGGTTGCAGAGTGCTCTGATGGGGTATGACGGGTTCCGCGGTTCAGAGGTTCAAAGGGTCAGAGAGGGCAGGGAAAGAAGAAGAGAGCACTGAGAACAATGGAGACATATTGCTCCACAGAAGAATTGTATGCCACCAAAAAGGAGGCCGAGTGTGGCAGCGACTGCAGTGTGTGCAGGTGTGGTGTCCGTGGGGATGGAGGATGGACCCGGAAGCGTGGTAGTCCAGTGGCACAACAGGGGAGTGGATGAAGCAGCTCCGAAAACGAATGGAGGGTGTCATTCTGTCCTGTGGATCAATCGTCCATTTGACTCTGTCCCCGCATGGTCGTCCTTTGCTCTTTCCTCTTTCCTCTTCTCCGGTAATGGCTCAATAACTCAATGGCTGGTTGGGTTGGGCCGTTTTTTCTTTATGCGTTTCTATGATCGATTGTATCCATTGCCAGTGCTATCGCCAATGCCAGCATTGGCCAGGCACCACTCTGTCCCTTTTTTCATTCCCAGGATGGGCACTGGTTCCGTTTGTCTCGCCTTTTGTCATACGAAACAGACAGGGGATGGAATGGATACACAAGGCTGAAATGGACAAACATGCCACGGCATCATTGCGTCATTAGTTGGCTCGACTACCTGTTTGTTCTCAGGACAAGAGCAAATTTCCAATATGAGGACCCCATTTGCATTCGGAGCATGATCCTACGAGCGGGATCAATCGCATCAGAAAACAAAAACAAAAAAACACGCCCCTACCGGTCCTCTCATGATAATTCCTGTGCAACCAACGATGTGTATCCATCCGTCCCATCTATCTATCCAATGAGTGGGTTTTCCTGTAGATCTTGGATGATGGGTTATGTATTCCGTACCCAACATTACCTTCCCCTGTACCTGGATTCCCTACCGCCTACATACTACTTCCCCGTAGTATGTGCGCACGCTAAAGGATCACATACACGCATGGCAACTAATATTGCTGACAAAAACACGCCAGATGCCAGGTTGCTAATGATGGATACACATGTCTCGCGCTGAAAGCGCACGTTCTTGTATGTTAACTAGAAGATCGTTTTCTCTTTCCTCCCCACAAAGACACATTCCTTGCCCTGTTCTGGAGGACCCAATTGCTAAGAGAGACAAAGGGCTACAGTCGGAAGGGAAGGCAGCATGCATGCAAGGTAGGCTGGTATGGCCTATGAAGGCAAAATGACGCTTTGTGGATTCACAAGAAACCGAATGTGTGTGTACCAATGTATCGGTTTATTTTGCCTTGTACCATGCCATTCTCCACCCTTCCTCTTTCCCCCCTCCTCCTCCCCCCCCCCCCTTTTTTTTTTTTTCTTTTCGCAAGGCGAGCTAGTAGCTCTACCAAAAAAAAAAAAAAAAAAAAAAATATATATATATATGAAAAAACGCTGCATGAAAGTAAACAAGGTGGGTTGAGCGCACTAGTGGATATTGGCAGAGATTGAAAGGAACTGATGGTAAAAAAAAAACGTTGCATCATTCTCTCATCGCAGGCTAAAGACCATGCAGTGATCCAAGGCGCGTGTGAAGGGTCCGGTTGATCTGCTCATTGCCTTGCCAGAGTGAATTCCCCTTGCCTCTCGTCTCGATTTACTGGGCTTCATAAACATAATCAAATATCCCTTGCACCTTGTAGAAAACAGAAACCCTATTTTCCTGCCGGCTTGCTTTCTTGCTGCTGCTGTGTTTTTTTTTTTAGTTATGGCGAGAAAATATAGTTCTGTCGATGCTTATTTCCGAACCTGAGAGCAAATCGAGCTCTCCGCTTTCTAGGGCTAGAATGCACCCAAGAAGGCTGAGCCAACCTTGAACATGCATGTAGTCAAGTCTACAGTGAAATGGGTGGTTTTTTTGGGGGGGAGTTCATGCTGGTAATATTAGTTCACCCTTAGCGTTGTCGACTCTTTGCCTGACATCGACATAGCACCAGGATCGTGTGCAGCCTGGATAGGCAGTCAAATCTGCTGCCATCGCTTTTATTCTGCTCGACAATCAACTGCATACGGCTCCATTCTGGCCCGATGGCACACACACCTCGCCAGACAGATCACTACGATCAACATTAGGGTTCTCTACCATCCTTACTCTCAGAGACACTGTCAAGACAGAATCATCAGTGTTTGATCGCGTGGATGTTCAGATCCTATTTTTTTGTGTACACTTCAAAGCGAATGGATGAGGGTGACTTTGTTTCTCTGGACGTTTGTTAAACCCCCATAAAGGCGCCTGGCGCTCTCCAGAAGATGTCTTACAATGCCGAGGCAACCTGCAGGCTGAGACGGGAAGAATGATGCCTCTGAGGTGACTCCGTTGAGAGACGCGTAAACAAGGGATAGTTCATGCAACCTGACAATCTGCAGTCAAAAGTCGTTGACTATCAGCTGCAGCTGTTGAGCTTGATATTTTTACCTCTGCATTGGAGACCATATTTTACCTATACCAACGTTCGGTACTGTGCAATAATAATCCGTCATGTTCAGACATACCTACGCGCCTTGGATGATTGGCGTAGCATCATAGAGTATCTCGGGCTCCGGTCATCTGGATCCTGAAAAGAAAAAGGGTAGAGAGATCAAAAAGAAAAAAAAAGAAATATTGTTAGAGCCATTCAAATCTTTGGTTTTCTGAGAAAACCAGACTGGGCCTGGACCAATCTGGGGTTGGGACTGGTCCTCTGAGGAAGCCTTTTCTTTTTTTCCCTTTTTCCCTTTTCTTGGGGAGGGAATCAGGCACCAAGATCAGCTCTACGGCTTCCCTCCACGACTCCACTCTTGACTGCAAGTTCACAACCATTCGCGTGACTCCAATCGGATCGAGCAGAATACCTACACAGGGATACATGAAGGCACAGGCCGGTAGAACACGGTAGACTAAAGACAACACACAGATGCGAGAGCAGGGGTGCATTCTGTCCATGCATGGCTCATGTGTACACAGTCCTTTGTCATCCTCATGTACGACATGTCCAGCATCGGTCGCGGACCCAACAAGGCTCATCACTGACTGTAGATCGAACAACAATCCCCTCAGTCGTCGTTCACTAGCCAGTGGAGAACGTGTCCACTGAGGCCAGGGTGCGCTATGTAAGCCTATTGGCCTGAAGCAATGGACATGCCTGTGATCTGTTCATGAAGGCTATCCTCTGCTGTCAGATCGGATGTCGCAAGGGGGCATGAAAACAGAAAGAGTGGAGCTGCACCACTCAAGGAGAATTCCGCAAGGGTGCTCTCTCTCGCCGCATTTGGTCATGATTTGTGGGATAACTGTGACACAGTCATCAACAGCTACCGAGCGAGGTATTTTATAGCGTATCTTCTGATTTTTCGATTCATTCGACAGGAGAAATATAGTATGAGGAAATGGGGGACCTGTGAGTTCTGTTGTTTCTCCATTTGGGAACCAAACCCTACCTGGGGGCCAAAAAGCATGTAAACGGACTTTTTTTCTTTTCTCTTTCTTCTTTCCTTCTTCCTCCTTCCCCCTCTTCCTTTGACCTTCCTTCTTCCTTCTTCCTTCCTTTTTTCTTTTTTCTTTTTTCTTTTTTCTTTTTCCTTTTTCCTTCTTCCGCGAAAGAAAGACAGAAACGAAAAGTTGAATCTCATTCTTCTTTCTTTCCTCCTTTCTTTGCACGTCCGCTCTGCACAGCTTTGTTGCTGCACCCCACATTTCTTTATTTCCCGTTCCAGTAGGCCATCCGAAGGAGCCATCCCTCCCCACTCTTTTCTCTCTCTCTCTCTCTCTCTCTCTCTCTCTCTCTCTTTTTCTCTTTCTTCGCCACCAAAACAAAGCCAATAAGCGGAAGGCATAGAAGGCGGTCCTCTGTTTTTATACGAACCAACGTCAGTACTCCACACCATTGCTCTCTCTTTCTCATCTCATCTTCCATCCCTCATCATCTTGTTCATCTCATTCCGCTTGACCCTTGCAGTCGCTCTTGTTTAATATTTCTTTCTTGTCCTTTTTGTCCCACAAACAAATCAACAGAAGCAGAACATCCGGCATAAAAAAAAATCGGTGGCAACAAACTTGACATCACCCCCCCCTCTCTTCCCCACATTTGCTGCAAACAACAGCAACAGAAAAAGAAGGTTAGTTGTCTTAATCCTCCCTTGCACATCCTCCGCCTCTTCCCTCCCCGATGAAGCCTTGCGTCGTTTGACCCGCTTCCGCGTCTGGATCTCCCTCGTCCCTTCATATACTACATATGCACATTACATGTACGCGTTGTATATACCTTTCTTTGCTCGTGAAGCATATATTTATACATGTACGATCTGGTCTACAGAACGTCTTTATCGTGCTTGTTCCCCTCTTTTGCTGCATGTCATTGATACACATACAGAGGGCGATACTTGTTCGCATGAGGGGCGCCACTTTGTATAATCTGTCTGTAGAAGAAAACGCATAGCTACTACTTCTTCATTCTTCGAAGTGGAGACTGTAATAGTCTACAATATTATATCACGACTTGCGGTACCCGATGCGTCTATAGTCATGTACCTGTCTGGTCCAGACCCCATTGTTGGTGCCCTTTCCATGGGTTATATATTCTTCTCTAAACTTGCCCCCTAAATAAGAACTCAATCTTGTGTCCGAGAATGAGAACGGGTTGCCAAAAGAGCGGGTTGCGGATCAATGCTCTGTTGAGTCTCCTGCGCATGTGTTTGTTACATGATCCATACATCCATTCAATCTTTCACTCATACCACTTATACCATCCATATACAGTAGCCTGTGCATGCCCCCCCTCTCCCCCCTCCTCCTGATCAGGCTTTGATCATTTATGCATTTGGAGAGGGGATCGAGAAGAAACAAATCATCGTTGCTTTCTTTATTCATGCTGCCATTTCGCTTCAAGAAGTTTTACGCTGATTGGCCCCATCTCGTTCCTGAGCTTGGTCCTCCCTCTGTTCCCTTTACTATCTTCTAAAATGATTGGCTGCCGCCTACATGCAATACGCGTCTTGATCATTCGCTCTGAACTATGTGTGTGTGTTTATGCGGGATATGTCGCAACGATAGCTGCCATCTTCGTGTTTTTCGTGTTTTTCGTGTTTTTCATGTCCGTTTTTTCTTCCAGAAATGTGGACAGTGATGCCTTTTTTTTTTGTTTCCGATGCGAACATTTGAGTTGCTGTTACGTTGTATGTATGTGGTGTATGATGCGCAAGTTGCGAGTGTGTGCGTATGCTATGTCTGTACACATTATGGGCATATCCTAAACAAGGGGTAGCGTATGGGATAGGAACACAGAAAAGTCAGAAAAAACCAGCCTTAACCCAGAGAGCATCGCAGTCGTATCGCATCAACATTAACCAGCATCAACATTAACCAGCATCGGCATTAACAAGAGCAATGCCTGGACAGCCACACCTCATTCCTAGATTCCTCTTTTGTTGTTCAGCATCTGATGCAGACGCGATTACTCATCCTCTCTTTTAACCGGCTTTATTTGTCCTTACAAATATTTCTAGTGTCCTCAGTCTTCCGATTTTTTTTACTTCTTTCTTACGATGAGCGTTGTTGAAACATTTCACGGCTACATCGAAACTACCCAAGATACACTCCTCATCTTTGAGGCGTGCCGCAGGGGCCTTTTGCCACGCATCTGTCGTCGTCTTCAGGAAAAGGAACGCCGCATTGTACAGTCGGGAACCGTCTTTGTTTTTGATGAACGCGAGTCTGGGATCAAACGGTGGACTGATGGTCTCGTCTGGTCGCCTTCTCGCATCCTCGGCAACTTTCTGGTCTATCGTGAACTCGACAAGCGTAACAGCGGTAAAAAAGACGTTTCGCCCATTGACCGCGCCTCTCGCTCGAGCGACAGTGATGCGGAATCTGTAATTGACAAGAGCAAGGAACGCGCTTTAGTGGGATCTCTCACTAACTCCTACCGCTTCAAGAGGAACGGGTTGATCAAAAAGACGATGTCCATAATCGTTAATGGCGTCTCGCAGCATATGATCTCGTATTACTCCAAGGAGGATGTCCTCGCCGGTAAACTTCGCACGCCCTCCTCTGTTCCAGAACTAGCCGGCCTTGAGATTAGCCCCGAGTTCATGATGAAGCAGAACTTTCGCATCCCTCCCACGGTTGAGCGACCTTATGACCATTGTAAGAATATGGTTTCTTTGGAGCCGCGCCCATTTCATCCTTTCTCACCCGAAACAAGGTTCCACTGCTAGTCTTGCCAATTAACATTAATCCAATTTTCATTTGTTCACGTATGCAGTGCCAGATAGCCTGCACTCACCAAATTCGAACCACAGCCCGCGCACTCCCAACGGTGCGCACGCGCACGCCATGAGTCCCAATGGCGCCAATTTTCCATCCACAGGGTTCGGTCATCATGCCCGTACCAAGGTCGAGTCGGATCTCGAGGGAGGATCGCCCCTGGATGTCTTTTCAAAGCCTTATAACCAACAGGCACACCATTCCATGCACACTCAACAAGGATATCACGCCATGACGCATCTTGCCGGGTCGCAACAACAACAGCAGCAACACCACGGCTCGCATTCGTATGCATCGTCACAACACACATTCTCAACCAACTTTGGATATGTCTCGAATTCGAATGGAGCTTCTGATGTTTCTTCTACTACACCACCCTCGACCCGGTACATGTCCCGCAATCAGCCGTTTGCTTCTTATTCCTCCCAGTCCCCCTCTCAGATTCCTGTGTCTCAACAAGAACAACAGCAGCAATCTCAGCAGCATCAACAGCTGCAGGCTCAGACGATGCCGCATCAACGGCCTGGAATTTCGACTGCTCACTACGGTGCTGGGTCACCAGTAATGGTGATGCCTAGTCCAGGGGCCAATAGCTCGAGCCCGCATGACTTCGGACTCCAGATGGGCTACCACTCTCCGGCCACAAACGGAAACTCCAGCACGCTAGGGGGGATTTCTCCCCAGCTCAACCATTCGCCGATCACGTCGCAGCCCCAACAGCATTATCATCATTCGTCGCTCCCACCTACCACTCAAGGATGGGGCGATTTTGGTTACGCGTCCTACTCCGGTACTTCAGCAGGTCCGACCTCTATGTCTGACCACCATGGCCAGCACGAACAGCACAGCGCATCCCCATAAGCTGTCGACAAGTCTTGCTCCTTCACATAGGATAGCACTGATAGCTATAGGCTGCTGTTGTGTTTAATTTATTTCTCTTTATCATCCAAATGCACATTCAATGTTCAATAATGTATCTTTCTGTCCGCTCATTTCTCCTTGCTCTGGTGAAGACGCGTCAGGTACGCGTTTGTGGTTTGTTCTGTGACTGTGTCCACAAAGTCACCTGCACGAGCTGAGTAGGCACTCGCATATATTTTTATGAAGCGAAGTGAGCAGCACATTCTGAACCATCCGATCCATCCACCTTTTCACCATCGCCCGACGAACCACACCACACTCCCGCACCCCTTTGGGCCATCCCTTTCATCAGCAACAAGAGCTCATCCCTCGCTTCTTGAATCACATCAACAGACATTAACAATCCCCTCGTTTCGCGTTTATTTTCATCAAACCACCTCGCTGCTATCCCAGTCCTGCTTTCCAGCCTCCGCTCATCCATTTCAGCTTCGTCTTGTAAACCAACCACTTTTCAAAATACCTTCGTTTTAAGCCATCTCTACGCGTTTCCTCTTCTGCCTACCATCATCCTTTTCAATTTGCTAAAGATCTCTGGTGGCTGTCAACGATGATTACGGTCCCCTCGCAAGAGATTGCGGTTTTTCTTGGGAATCATCTCGACCAGGTCCTGCAGCAGACCGCTGTGGATTTTGTCCAGTCCGTCGCGGCCAATAGGCAGTTCAGGGCCGGATGTACGCTTATGGATATTCTCAACGGCGTCGAGTCAGTCAACGAACGGATACGAGTGGTTTTACAGGAGCAATCCAGGGGCAAACCCAGCCGAGGAGGGCATGCTTCTGAGGTATGAACTGGCTTGGCTTGATGTTTGCGTTGTTTTTGTTTGGTGACGATCGATGGCCTATTTCTCTTGGAAGACCTTTGTACATTTGTATCTTTGTACCATGCTTTTTCTATTTTGGAGATGTGTTGATGTAGTTGAACGATTTGGCACTTTCTTTCGAAATCTAATCTTGTCTTTGTAAACGGCAACTGACAATATATACCTGTGCTTCTGTTCTTTGTAGATGGTCATGGTTCGGATAACGTCCCTGTATCTACTTTACAGTCTTTACAGCGGACTGCCCATCCAGCAGAACCCATTTCTCTGTTTGTTTATGGACACTTATATCACGTCGCTGCAACACGACCAGCAGCGACCAGAGCGATTTGTCATCAGCGTCATTTTGAACGGTGACGGCGAAGAGGTAATCATTTGAAAAGGAAAACCTAACGCGTAAGGCGCAATGGTGCATAAAGGATACGAATCTGACCTTGTTAGCATGCATTCTGTGTCTATCGCCTGTAGTTGGCCCCAAGTACGCCATCGGAACTTGTCGCAATTGCACAAGAAGTCGAATCGAAACCAGTCGATCTGCGGTACTTGGAACATCTTCTCCCGGACGTGCCCATTGATGACCAGTTGGTTTCAGGACTAGGCTGGGAGAGCGTCGGACAGCAGAGACGAGGAGACAAGAAGAGTGCCTGGGACTCGCTGGTGGATACTTTGACTGGCCCTGAATCACTATACGCCATGGGAAATGACAGTCTCGATAGCAGGGCCACTTCGAATACCAGTGGTGATAGTGGATTGAGTAGCGGAAGAGCTGAGGAATCATCAACTATTACAGCCGACAACAAGGAGGCACATATTGGCAACGACGGGGCAGAGGAGGAGGAACTGGAGGAATGGGAGATCGAAGCCGAGAAGCACTTCCAGGACTTGGAGGATGTTGCGCCTGCACCCGCAAAGGTGAACAATAAGCCCAAAAAACCAACGGGGACCACTGTCAACCGCCAGCAATTGAATGCCATCATGGAACAGGCGACCACCCAACCGCTGACCTTTGACCAGGAGCAGGTATGTGATTTTCGATTGACGGCAATAGAGGCTTTTGTATTCCTATAGTCCATCCTAATGCTTCGTTCCATTCTACTGCCTTTGATAGTTTATGCTCTCTCAGTTCAATGCTGATACGGCTAAAGTCCATATTCCGCTGCCGCCTCCAGAGGCACTCCCCGGCATAGTCGACAACAACCCAACAATAGCATTTAATTTGCTGCTGTACTTGATCCAGCTTTCATCAGATATGGACGGCGGCGATCTCGCCAGCTCCGGTCAAAAGCCAAATGGCAGCAGCGGGAGCTCAGGAAAGGCCGGTGACAAGAGGAGCAGTTTCAGCAGTCCAGAACCATCCATCGTCGGCCCTTATCTGGAGACGATGACCCGGGCCAAGCGCCTGACTTTGCATTCGCTCGAGGTGGTGAATCGCCTGACGGGGGCAACAACTCTTTCTCCTCGTTTCATGCATGAGTATATCGAGAACGCAATCCGCTGCTGTGAGCTGGTCGAGGACAAGGTCGGTCAAGCTCGCGTGGTCCGCATGGTGAGTTTGGGCAGGATGAGTCTTTTTTGAGATATAAATGAGTCCACATTGATACTTGGCATTAACATCTGTCGCATTGCAGCTTTGTGTGTTTTTACAGTCCTTGCTTCGAAACGGGGCAATCACCATCCCGGGCTATTTCCATGCGCTACAGAGCTTCTGCGTCCAGTTTGCAAGAGTCAAGGAGGTGGCAACCCTATTCCAGTCTTTGGTCGAGTATCAGAGGAAAATGGACGGTCAATCGCCTGTCCAGGCTCAAGGGCCGTCATTCCGAGGACCGTCACCATCGCAGCAGCAACAGTCGCAGCAGCCATCCCGAGTGCCGACTCAGTCAGCGTCTATGCCATCGACCCCAACTGCAGACGTGCCTCAGAGATCATCCTGGCTGGCCAGTTCTGGATCGATCAGTAATGTCAAGTCGACTCTCAGCAAGCACACTTCGCTGAATGGCTTTTCGACCCCAGGGGCTCTGTCGCAATTTATCCACCCAGGACCTGGTTCTCCTTTACCCGGCGGCAGCAGCAATCAGCAAAATGGCGGCGGTCATTCGGCGAGCCAGTCATTTTCCAACGGGATCGGTAGCGGCAATGGATCCCATTTCAAAACGCACCACAAGCACTCGAGTCAGCACTCACCTGCATCGGGATCGCTCTTCTCCTCTCCGACTGTGATGTCTGCCTCTGTGAATGCGTTCAACTCTGGACTTGGCAACCCAACCAGCCTGACGCTAAATGGCAGCAATAACAGCAGCGGTAGCGGCACACAGTCCGGCAATAATCGCTCAAGATCCAGCTTTACGGCGTCGGCTTCTGCATCTGGGGCGATGAGCACTGTGGATAACGCGTACGACTTGGATGCGGCCCTGCGAGCTAGCCTGAAGGACATGGAAACCCGTGGAGGACCGTTCTCAGCATCAGGGGCCACGGGATCTGGGTCGAGTACCACTGCAGGATCGAGCCGGGCAAGCATGAATGGTCCACAGCAACAGCAACAGCAACAGCAACAAACGGTTCATTTAGGACCAAAGGGCTTTAGCACCGTGTCGCATCAGGGGAACCATGCACGAGGTCGAGGGGCACGGCGTGGAGGATAGTTTCATCGGGACAGCGGAGCAACACTTTGCATTGTACAACAGTATTTTCTTTTTCTTTCCTGCATTTATTTTCTCCTGTCGCCAGTTGGATTCATACCATCCGCAACAGCAACCTAGAGCATAGGGCGATACCACTACGTGAAGCTGACTAGATCTTGTACCTGTCCGTTTTCTTTTTTTCTTTTTTCTTTTTTTTTTCTTTTTTTCTTTTCTTTTCTTTTTTTTTTTTTCCTTTTTCTTTTTCTTTTTCTTTTTTTTTTTTGTTCACGATCTGTGTCACTCGAATGCTTTTCTTCGTAACCTACATATAGAGCTCATAGCTGTTCACTGGCATAAATTAGCCCCCCGCTTTCTGTCCAAAGAGCGGCATCTTGTATTTCGACGATGGCGAGGACCCCATCCTTAATCGATAGATTCAAAGTGACAGTGCGGAAGTCAAGCATTGGTGTACCTTTGCTTGAACCCTAAATCATCCTCTCCCTAAAATGCACACCAACGCGTCGCCTTTTTTTTTGCTGTGCGTCTGTCCAAATCCCAAATCTGAACTAGCCCTTTCTAAGCATTTGCACAAGGACACACACCCTTGTTACAGACACCGAAAACAAACATAACGCAACATACTCGCTCGAGTAAAACGATAGCAATGGTCAGCATCTGTACCCTGGCTTCAGAGTCTCCACACGTCCCACGGACACGTATCGTCGATGCGAGCTGGCCGTTTACATCCCCAGGGTGAATTCACAGAGATCTTGTTGTGCGTTCCGACCGCTCTGACAGATGGGGGAGCCAATAAACGGTAGTAGTCAGTCCAATTTCAGTCGCCACCTCCGCGTTTTTTTTTTGTTTTACACTGTTCTATTTCGATTGAGTCCTCTTTGGCTTTCCAGGGGCCTGGTGTCATAACCCTGCCTTTGCTTTTCGCGGCTGACCAGTGTTTTCGCGCTTAGCAGGAGAAAGACTACGGGGAGTGGACAAGAATGAAAGCAAAGGCGAGGCTGCAAAACAGCAAAGGGCACTCTCTCTGCATTGTATTCCATCGTTCAAGTCTCTAGCAGCAAATTTCCCCCGAGAATGCCGCCTTCAACCATTGCATAGCCCGGTTCCCTATCCGTAACGGACATTGTACCGGAGTGCCGAAAGGTCAGTGGTACTCGCTCTAGGAGTTAAGACAGTAGATCTGGAACGACAAGGACGCACAGGCTCTGCGTGGTTGGGTGACTGCATGCTATGTGCTTCATAAGATGCTGGATTCAATCGGCGATGTCTGGAAGGAGAGGTTTGACGGTGGAATTGAATTGCATGCTGTAGCTATTCAGACCAGCATTGAAGCAAATACTATTTCGAGACAATTTGAAGAGAACGTTGGAAACGAACCTTTGCAAAAAGGGTTTCGGAAAAGGCCTAGATTCCATCCTATATAATATAAAAAAAAAATTGCTATGGTATGCTGCTATTTATTTCAAAGTGATGCTTCGCTAGCTGCCAACAATTCCAGGATATCCTCTTCCTTGAGCCCCATTACCACACACTGCGTCATAAACCTCAGTTTCGCCTTTGTGAGGTTTACTTGTGCCCTCTCTTTGCGCATCTTTTCCTTGAGCTCCATCTTCTTGAGTCCGAGGAATGTCTCCGCTAAATCGAAAAGCAGAGCATATTAGCCATATTAGCCATATTAGCCATATTAGCACCTGAAAAAAAAACACAAAGAGAGTATAGAGAGAGAATGGCGCAAGGGTACTTTACTTACATTCCAACCTCATCTGTGTAATCCATACAATCGCTTCGTTAAGCGAATTGGGAGCGGCCTTTGAAGCGATGTTCATCAAAGTTGGAGGGGGTGATCTAAGAGTATTGGCTTTTTTCGACTTCCTGCCTGATGGGACGACGATTCGCCTTTTGCGCCCAGAGGAGTCGGACGCGATAGAGGTCTCTGCGAGAGACGTTGTAGGCGACCACGTCTGGAACCAGATTCTCTCGGGCTGCTTTCCTTTCCCCGAATGACGACGCACAGGTGGCCTGTCTTCCTCTTCCTCCTCTTCTTCGTTCTCCTCATTTTCTTCGCCATTGTCCTCCAACTCGCTGTTATAGTCCTCCAACTCGCTGTTATAGTCCTCCAACTCGCTGTTATAGTCCTCCAACTCGCTGTCATAGTCCTCCAACTCGTCGTCCTGGTCAAGCGGAATAGAGTCACTGTAGCACCCCTCATCCATGCCGAAATCGTCCTCGTTGTTCGATGGGCCCGCGTTCGATGGAACTGCATGGTCCTCTGGTTGCCGTTCTATGATATAGTTGAGCGTTCAGCTGCTGTATCTAAGGTCGGAAATTGTTGTCGTAATGCGGCCTTGTGGTTATGTCTTGGGACCATTGCGGAGCAACTCATCCATCCTATCGAAAAAGGGACAAATATGTTCGACTTGCTCTTGGATACTGTTGCGCCCAGCCACGACGCCAGTCCTTTCTAGACCTTTCCCTGATCTGCCTAGGGACTTTTCGGCGTCGGAATAGCTGGTCCTGTATCTTTGGACACGCTTCTTCATAGCTCCCACCTCGAGAGCAAAGTTGGACTTCGTGTTAAACCACTCGGTGAATTCTTTCCAGGCTTGGGTGGAGGTCTTCTTCTGTTTCGGTCCTGCTGTAGTCTTTTGTTCACCGTATAACGAGCTCAAAGTGCGGCCTTCTCCAGTGTGAGTTCTTTGCTGTGGAATCGTCATTGGTCGCCACAGAAAAGAAACTTGGTGATATTAGCTGGTTGTACTTGCTTTCCTTTGCCTTTGTATAATGAAAACGTTTAATTTAGATATAAAAGCTGCCCTGAAAATGAGTTGACACGACGCTCACCTTCTGTGTTCGCCTCCACTGCCTTTCGCTGGACGATGCGTAAATAAGTAAATAAGAACGTTAGGTATTTTGTTACCTTTAGCACTGGAAGTGTGGTTCTGAGAAAGCAAGACATGACGAAGTATACCTCTCTTGGCTTTCGTGGTTGTTTTTTTGGGGCCATCGGTCGATACCTTGAAGACAAATGAAGGCGTTTGAGACGACAGTGCTTGCTCTATTGCGTTGTTGACCTGATGGTGTGATAATGATGATGAGAGGATGAGATGACAATTAGCAATTGCATGTCACACCAATCCTACATGATCTGGACCATGGCTAGGAAACGGCCGAGAAACGGCTAGGAAACGGCTACCTTCCAAAAATGTAAAACGGCCAACAATTCAAGGATCCTGCAGGAAATGAAGAAAGGCAAAAAGCACAGAGCAACGGTTCGATGATGCTTATCACCCGCGTATCGCCGACTCGGTATCCCAATGGAATAGCTCAGGCTGGCTCTTTAAACGGCATCCATTGAGTCGATTCATCATCTATTCACTCTCATGCACCAAACAAGTAGTGAAGAAGAACGTTCAGGGCTCCTGCCGCTCTATGTCGAGCGCGTGCAAAAAGCAGAAAACTATGTTTCGCGATCCACAGAGACAGAAAAGCCCTCCTCGGTCTGCATGGCTGAGATAACGGCGGCAACAGGCAGGTGGGGGCCCTGTGCTGGGTACTGGGGCATGGAAAAGATCAGAGTCATCTTGAGGCTCCGTGGAAAATGCGGTCATACACGATACCCGGACAGTAATCATAGCCAAGCGGACCGGCAATTTGATGCAGACGACTCGGCTGCGATCCAGGCATTCTACGGCGACAATCTGTAAATACATTCCATATTTTAAATTATTCTAGCAATGAAATTCTATCAATGAGGCGCCAGCTTAAGCGAACACTGTATTTTGCTATTTTTGATGTCAAAATCGTATAGCGCAATTACGAGGGAAAATGCTGATTATGACCCGATGCGAGTGAGAAGACTCCAACGACCTTCAGAATATAGGTAGCGAACAGTCGAAAGTCTGGTGCAAAGGGCCAGGGAACACACCGCTGTGCTCCGCCATCTTTTGTGTAACATGGGCCACCCATCGCACGACCATCTTTTTCGCACCCAATTGACATTGACCATTCAAGCACAGCCACCCCTTTTTTCTCTTTTTCTGTCCGCCCACAAAAAAAATGACACGCTGCCTCCTCTCTCGCTTTTTTTTTATCCGCACCATATTGTCCCTGTCAAAATCGACATGATCTCTCTTCATCAACCGTAGTCCTGCGAAAAAGCACGAGTGAGGAAAAAAAAATGGCATGGTGCCTCCTTACTCCTCTCGTCGTTTACGTTTCGACCTAGATGGGGGAAAAAAGGTAAGCCCATTCACACCCACATCATCAAGAGATGTTTTGTTAGCAGGAGCCCTCTCCTCAACAAAGACATAAATTCGTTCAATAAGTTTGGGAAGTTTGATATCAGGCCAAATATCTCGTTGGCCCTGGACGGGGGGGGTGGTGAAGCGCAGGATCCGCAGGGAGTTCTCGATTTTCCGGCTCGAGATTCCTGGCCTGGCTTCTTCTGGGATCTTTAATTCGGGGGGGTTGGGAAATGCATCTTGTATGCATTCTCTCCAACGCTATATACTACTTTTTTTTCTCTCTCCCTCTCTCCATTTCTCTGTAAAAAAAAGTATTCGATAACGTAGGATGAAAATGATCGTACGAAAAATTGCAACCAGCGACACAACAGAATTAAGAAATCAATCCCAAAAAAAAAAAGTATAGAACAGAGTCTATAAAGTCCACCGAAGACCACAAGGGATGGCGATCGGAAAAAAAAAGAAAAAAAAAAGAAAAAAAAAAAGAAAAAAAGTCCAAAAAAAAAGTTCAAAACTTTCTTAAAAAAAAAAAAAAGTCCAAGTGGGTGATCAAATTGACCAAGCTGCCTCAAAGCAAAGATGGGCGGCTCGACTTGACTGAAACGGGGTGGTAGAGTTGGAAGTAAATGTAACAAAAACAATACACGAAATATACAACTCGAAAAAATAAAAGTCCAAAAAGTGCGCATAGAACGCGAAGCGAAAGCGCACCTCCAGGGATGAGGAGGCGTAAAGTCATCGGAGAGGTAGGAAGTGATTTGTCGCATCTCCGAGACGGGCGGGAAGGGTTTACTCGTTTGCGTAGATTGCAATCGAACTTGTGGTGGACTGCCAGAATTTGCTGTCGGTGGTGTCGTTGGCCATCAGGTTCAGTCCAGATGTCAGCAGAGACGCAGCAGATGACGACGGGAGAGATGACGAAAAGAATGGCAAGGCATTGGCGTCGTTCTCGGTGCCATCTTGTTGAGCGTTCTTGTCCGCCCTGGATTCACCGTCATCCATGTCCATGCCTCGACCCATAAAGGCATTACCGGCTTCGTTTGAGTGAAAGAAGGACGCAATCAAATCGTTCGACTGCTGCTGAGCGGTCGCCGCTGCAATTGAGGACCAAATGTCACCTGACACAGCATCCTTGACAGAGGACATAGGCATGCCCTGGTAACTTTCAGATTTGTCATTGGCAGTGGATGTTTGACGATGTGGCTGCGGCTGAAGAAGGTTCAGCAATTGCTGCTCGTGGTCCAATGTCGACGCGGCCACGGGCGGCATACCCAAACGGGAACGCAGGACATGGCAGCGCTTCTCGAGGATGTTGAGGAACTTGTACATTTGACCGGGTCGCATATGTTCCACCAACATTTGGAATCGGGCGTCATCAAAGATCAACGACCTTGATGCGGCAGAAGGCGCAGGAGCCGCGCTCTGTCCCATCATGGAGGAAGGAGTCGCATTGAACATTGTGCCAGAAGACATCTGTAAGCCCGTCAGCCCGCTCAAAGCAGTTGGGGGGAGGCTGTAAAAGCTTATGGGTGTGATGGGTGCCATCTCGGCGCTGGTTAGCGGCGAGCACACCGAGCTCGAAGGCGAAAACGTCCCGTCAGTCGTCAGTACAGGTGAGACGGAGGCGGACAGTTGAAGATCGCCAGGAGAGAGCGAGCCCTGGCCAAACCGTGAGTCCCACTGTCCGAGAGTGGCTGGGCTTGTCAAGACAATGTTTTGGGGATGGGACTTGGGGGATGGAGTTTCGCTAGGACGTTGCGATCCCTCAGAGCAAGCGCGCTGCTCATCTGAGGAGTCATCGTTGGAATCATCATTGTCGACTGAGGATGAGAGATACCCTGCTTTTCTGCTTCGATCCTTCTCGGCGAAACCATCGTGTGAGTCGGCGCCAGCAGAGGAGATAGATTCGGTCTCGATGTCCATGCTACCGGGCGAAGAGACCCTTGTGGAGGGCGATGGAGGCGAGGTGAGGTCTTTCTTTGGTGCAAGGATCGTTCGGTAAGATCCAGATGCTGGCGAGGGTGCGATCATGTAAGGCGCAGACGAGTCGCGGTTCTGACCCTGGCTTAGAGAGGGCTTCTGTCGGACATGCAGAGGGCGATGTCCGTTGTACTGCTTGTAATACAATCCACAGGCGTTGCAAAGCGAGTGCTTGCGATCCAATGTTCGGCGCCAGAGCGGCGTTTGAGTGACTTTGCAGTTGTAGCACTCGAGAGCACGAGGGGGTCGAGAGCTCTGCTTCTTGGGCTTCTGGACCTTGGTGCCCGTTTTTTGAAGAGCGGCGGCCAAGCTCCAGGAATCGCTCTTGGCTGAAGATGTGTCGACGTTGGCACCACCAGCAGCGGTGGCGTTCATATTTGGGCTTGATTGGGACGCAGATAAGTCGGTCGATGGCTTGGTGGAGTCGTGCTCGCCATATGGATCGTCATCGTTCATCGTCGGCGCGGTTGGCAGGGACAATTGTTGTTGCTGCTGCTGAAGTTGCAGCTGGGCTTGGAACAAGAGCTTCTGCTGATACTGCTGTTGTTGAACCTGCTGCTGATGCTTGAGTAGCTGTAGACGGAAGTATTCTTGTTGCTCAGGAGTGGGCTGAAGATCGTCATCATCTTCTGCGCTCGAGCGAAGTGCGCTTGATGGTTTCCAGGAAGAGGCGCCTGACATTATGGATGAGGACTTGCTCAGAAGAGAAAGTGTGTGAGATGATGATTGCTGCTGGGTCTGTCTTTGAAGCTGTTGGAACTGTTGCAAGGCTTCGAGCGTCTTGGCACCTAACGTCATAGAGGATGGGATGAATGGTCCGTGCTTTGCGGGGTACATGGGGCATGTTGTAACATGCAAGACATAGAGCCCAGCATACCTGACATATTCTGAAGAACACTGATAGCAAGGTCGTGCATAGGGGCATTGGCTTTGTTGGCGATACTCTGGAGGATGAGGTTACGGGACTTTTGGAGTAGATGTTGCTGGATCAACTTCTCTGCGAAGGAAGTGGACTCTGCGACGGGCGTATCGAGATCCAACTTGCTGTTGGACGGCATGGTGATCGAGAAGCGCTGCTGTGCCTGGATTTTGGTGGCAAACAGGAATGAAGAGATTTAGTGGAATTGATAAGATAGTAGAGGGAAGAGGAAGAGGAAGAAGTCCAAAAGGGGAGGGAAGGAGGAAAGGACGAAGTGAGCACGGATTCTCGGGGAGGGGCGCGGAGGAATCAGCCAGTGCGGGCAGCTGGTGGATGACATATCAAACGAATCAGCATGTCGTATTTTTGAGTTCGAGACCCATAGAGTTCACAGGGGCGAACACAAACAAAAAGCACGCCATCCCACCCATACTGCACACAGACACACTACTGCATCTAGGCCCAGCTGATGCTGTGGGTCATGTAAGCAAACATACACGATTTTTGATATCCACAGCATTTCAACAATGGAGCGGAATAAGAAGAAACAGAGTGGAGAGATATTGGATACATGTGGGATTGATGTAGGTGAAAGAAGGAAGGAAAAAAAAATAAGAGAACAGAGTATGTCGTTACCTTTTTGAACTAATACTATGAATACTATGAACAGAAGGACAGTGACGGCAATAAGAATGTTTGCAGACGGCGGATTATTGGGAGTGGGACTAATAGTAGCGAGAGGAGGGAAAGGGGAATGTACAGGTAGTGATAGAGGAGAAAGGGCGACAGAGGATGGAGGGTTCAACAGAAAGTATGGGTATGTGTGTTGCGTTGACTGTTGGAGTATAGCGCCAAGAAATGAGAATGGGCTGAGGTGGACGAACAAAGGGTGCGAGTGAGAGAAAAGAAGAAAGAAAAAGAGTGGGAAAAGGTGAACACAGTTCAACGTATTCGATTGACTTTTATACGACCACAACTGCTCCCAACAGAAAAAGGCCAGACATCTCCCTCCTCCTCCCTTTTTTCGTTTGAATGTTTTCTTCCGCTGCCATTGCCATGCTCTCTGTGCTAGCTTGTAAACAAATAAACAAAGCAGACGAAGACCACGCCTCCCTTCAAAGTTTTTCTGGTGCAACAACCGAACTGAACAAGAGATGTGACCCCATGCTATTGAATTCTGCTGTATTCAACGAAGCAGTGTACAAATTCAAACGTGCACACCATAGTCTATCCTCCTGTCCGTCCAAGGGCTGTTAGACTAGTCTGTCCTTCTTCCGTTTGATCTTTTCTCTATCTCTTCCTTGAATTTAATTGCGGGTGGGAATCGCTCTGGAGAAGCCATTCTCCCATCGGCAATCACTACGGTACAGGATAGTAGACGAGGTCTCGAACACAGGTCCAGTCTAGCGCATTACTCCCGACTTCGGTATGAGCACAATTGGTTCTGTTTGCCGCACTTTTTTCTCTTTTTTGCAACCCTTTAGGCCAAGGCAGAGCGCAGGTCAGGGGAACCAACAGCTTGTGTCCAAGTCGAGGAATCACGAAAAAGAAAAAAAAATAGATGGCGCCGACCAATCATATTGCAGGGATACACCTAATATCTCGCAACGCGTCATTTTCGACCACCGAAAAGAGAGTTAAGACAAAGCCATCTATCGGTCGTATTATATAAGTCATGTTCTCCTTTCTTCATCCCTCATTTTATCCGAGCAATTGATGCTCCTGTTAGACTATGTACGAAGCTACCAGTGGTAAAGCGATAGAGTGAGTGAAGCGAGATACTGGAGCCAATATAGGGACATAAAGAGCAATTGATATACATCTGCCAAACGATCTTTGTCTTTAATTCTTTACTGCTTCATCAAACAAAGCGCTGAATCGTCCTCAGTTGGTGCATAGGATACGCTGCATTGATAATCTATTCTAGTCCGCCGCGAGCTTAGTCTATGGGGAGTGCATTGTGCTGGCTGTATACCTCGGCAAAATTTTAGACTCGCCGTTCTCTCGCTTGAGATCCATGCACTGAGCAAGCATGTGTATCTTCGCTTTCATTTAGGCGCGGGTACCTTCCCTTCTCCACTCCCATGTATCCCAAAGAATTCTACTCTCAGCTGGGAGGATGCATAGTGCAAAAGGATCGTTGCATGCGCGACGGTCCACGGCAAAAAAAAAAAAGGGGGGGGGGAGCTTTGTTGAAGCGCATAACTGCATGTTACATAGACTACACTGCATTGCAGATCTGATCAAGTCTTTGGCGCAAGCACAACATATCACACATGAACACGAGCAGAAGAGGGCCGTGTGACCAATAAGCACGGTTATTCCAACCAACTCTTTACCACAGACTTGGGGACGCTCGGATCCGACAAAAGTACGAGTGCCGCAATAGCTGGACAGCATGTTGCTTTGTTGATTCACGCCAGCAGAATAGAAAGGTTAGAAGAACAATAAGAAAAACATAGATGGCGACATAAGCACTTGTTTACCGAAAACTTAAACACGTTTCCGTTATGATCTTGGCTGTTTGGACAACTACGTGCGCCTCGGGCCCTCGCTATGAATAAAAAAGTGCATGACACGGGGGCAGAGCTGGGCGCACCAATGCGGTTCACAGAGCAACAAACAAAGAGTAGATGTTACCATGGAACACTTCCTTACGCGCCACAAGAGTCGACTATGCGTATCCACCTTGGCGCTCATTTTGCTCATCTGTAGGGCTATACATGTGTAATGCCACACACTCACTCCGTGAATATAGGTCCTCAGAAGACGAATGACTCGAGGTAAGGGTTTATTTTTAATCTTGTACAACATGTCTGCAATTTCCTCCCTTCGTCTAATATCTGTTATACTTCATAGTCCAGCCGCTGTGCTCTTACCAATCATCCGTTTCCATCAGATGAAACGAAGGGACGAATCAAGAATAGAATAAAAAAGACCTCACGACCAGATATAACAAGATGGTAGAGCACAAAGTGGGAGGGTTAAGGCAACATGCGGCAATAATGATATGGATGTGGGAACCAGCGAGAACTGTAAATTCGCGGCGAAAGCACATTGGATTCTTGAACATTTGTTTCAATTGTCTCTCCGCCATTTTTTATTTTTTTTATAGACATATATCAAAGTGCAGTGGCTACTTTTATGCGCGAGAGCTACACGGGCCTACTACGACAGCGCACAGCAATAGAGGAAACCTTCGTCGAGGGTTGTAAGGCTCTATCGACATGTTATCCACGACTTGAAAGGGTTTATGTGAAACAGCCATGGGCTTACGTGGAAGATGACTTTCCTACCGTTCTGGTGACTGGTTATATAGCAATTGCTTTGGATACGGAAATTGATGAGCAGAAGAATGAAAGGGCAGTCTGGAATGGAGCTGCCTCAGCATGGTACCATCTAGATATGGCAGATTCTATATTTCTGCCTTCTCGCATAATTCTGCAAGCGCGGAGACCTTGGGCTTCACAGTTTAATAAAGGTATCGCCGCCGTCCGCAGTGGTACAACCATGACACTGGCTCTGTACCGAGAAATGAATATCCCAAGACGTGATCTGGCGGCGCATGGTGTTACTTTGGGTGGTTGTTGACCTGTACCACAACGTGGCAATTCTTTTGTTCCACAGCAGAAAATCGTAAATAATCGCTGTTTGGCACTCGGCAATTTTATGGCCCTGCGGACAGGCGTCTAATAATCTTTATTCGTAATAAGCTTAGCGGCTCGGTTCTCGATAAAAAGACGGCAATCCACTGTGGACAAGCCGAGTGTGCGCTGTTTCTACTTAGCTGACGGTTTTAGGAACGTGTAGGCTATGATATCGCGCATATGTTTCTACGCAAAGTGAGCGGGGACGATGGAGATAGGAGAAGGAAGACGATCGGTCGGGGCTGCTTCAGGTTGAATGTTGCGGAGGATGACTCCGACGACGAATGACGAGCGTCGGCAGCAACGGAGACTCAGCCCGAGCTTCCCACTGCACCTAGGGCACTCGTACTATTGCATGTCTGCACCACGCAAAATGACACCGGCGCCCCTTATCCCAAGACAATTGAGGACGGAGATAAAACGAGGTAGCCAATTGCATGCAAGTCCACCCGGTAAAACGAGCACCATTACTCCGGCTCTCACGTGGAAAAATTCCTTGAAATAAGACTCTCCTCTCTCACTCTCGCTCCTCTCTCTCACTCCCCAGTAGATTCATTAGTTTCCATTCCATTCTTCCCTACCCATTGCAATCCCACACTCTCCACTCTCCACTCTCCCCTCTCCCCTCTATCTGATACAGGACCATAACCGCAATGTCAACGGATCTCTCTACAGCACAATACCCAGAGGCAACAGGACGGGTGGATATCGTTTTCTCTCAGCCAACCGTTACTATGCGCTGGAATGAGGCCACAACCGAGTGCAGACATATCGAGGCCCTCTTTCTCCTCGTCGATGACGCAAGGGATGCCCACATTAAACAGCTTCTCAACGTCTTCCCTCATCTCAAGGATAAGAAGCGAGTCGTCCGCTATGCTAATGTCAAGCTGGATCAGCACTATTCCGAGAACTTTAGCCGTTACCCGGACGCGCGGGACAAGAACAGGACCCGGCCTCGCTTTGGCCAGCTCTTCCGTGTCGAGACCCGCTTCACATCCGTCGGCAACACCAGTGTCAAATTCCAGCACCGATTCTTGACTGTGCCTCTTTCGCAGGCCAAGCGGGACTTCAACAACAGAGACGAGGATGAGCAGTACGCTGCCTTGGACGAGGACGAGGAGCCTGAGCGATTGTTTGCCAGTGCAGAGGGAGCCATTGTCTTCATCAAATGGCAGACGGACGAGAAGGGCCATCGTTTCTTCAGGCCCACACCAGGCGTCTTCCAGAACGCTGCCTTGGCAGCACCTCCCACTATCCAGTTCTTGAAGGAGAAGGCGCCGGAGAAACGACCTGCTGGATCATTGCGACCTGAGAATGCCTTCCGTGTGCATATCCATCTTCGAAAGTCGGATGAAGATGAACTGGGACATGTCACCAACTCTCGTTACGTGTCTCTCATTCATGATGTCCTGACGTATGGTCTGCGCACCGGATACTACGCCAATGGAGCTGGGTTGTCCAAGACTGCGACGGACTTACCAGCGATTCCGTCTCACACCAACTCGACCGGATTGGATGTGGCCGTACCCGCAGGCTCGCCATTCTACAAGCGAGGAACCGTCTATGAGGTGTACGTCGGCTACGAGAGGGAGCTTAAGGTCCAACCGGAGGTGTATGTCTGGAGCTGGGTCGAGCGCAGCAAGATTCAGGACGAATTCGATGTCGTTCGCTTTGAGATCTGTGCTCCTGATAATAACGGTCAGGAACAGGTCCTTTCCCTGTGCCGGGCCATTGTCAAAGAGGATCCCCACCAGCGTGCAATGCTGTAAATTGTATGTGCACTTTAGACGGGAGCCGACCCATACTTTATGATCAAGAAACCATTACACTCCATTCACATAGACTATATTCACTAGAAAACTTACCTGTAAACTAAAATAGAATAATATCATCAACACCCATGGATTGTACTATCTGACGTTGTTTTTAACTGGTACCCGCTCAGTTGCTCTTTGATCTGCTCAATGGCATATATTTTTGGTGGCAACTCTTTGATTTGCTGCACTGGCACCCACCACGAAGATTCATTAAGGGTCAGGATCCAGCCCAAGTGTTTACTCTTTTGGGCTACTTTCCCTTGGCCACGAATCTCTCTACGCATTCATTCTCTTCCCAACGCCAAAGCGAGCTGGCCATCACAGGAACACAGGACACTGCAACAACAGACACAACAAACAAAAACCGACATCGATTGACAACAAATAAACGCAAACATGGCAGAGAACTTCGACGTTGTGGCCACATACAAGACTTTACTGCTCAAGTCGCCTGTAAGTTAACCTGTCAAGGCAACTCACGACCTTAGACTCTCAACTCGATTATGGAGCAGCTCTCAATGAGGAGGACCCTATCCTAACATGGCGTGTTTTTCACTATGTTCATTAGGAGCTCTCAATGCCCGTGGCGGCCATTCAGTCCTTGGTTGAGCTTATCAAGCACTCGAAGGGTGAGCAGCGCACGCCTTACATTCTTGCAACCATTGTTTAAATCCCGTACGCTAACACCTTTTCCTTCGTCCTTCAATTCAAACTGTACGCCAACATAGCGACGACAATGTCCGAGTTCATGCTGTCAATAAAGGACGCCAGTCAGCAACTCAAGTCTTCAGTCCGGAATTCAATCTCGCTCTCTGCAGGATGCGATCTGTTCTTACGGTTCGTGACTAGGAACTCTCAGGATGTGGCCGATTTCGAAACCTGGAAGAAGACGCTGATTGTCCGGGGACAAAGTTTTGTCGAGAAGGCCGATGCTTGTCGCTATAAGATCGCAGATCTGGGTGTGCCCTTCATCAAGGACGGAAGCGTAGTCTTGATCCACGCACATTCGCGCGTGGTATCGTTGCTTTTGCAGAAGGCTGCCGAGAGCCATAAGCGTTTTAAGGTCTTTGTCACAGAATCGAGTCAGACTCAGGGAGGGTATGTACCTATTAAGCACAAAGATACATGCAAGGATGGTGGTGGTGGCTCTGCCTCTAGAACTGTATGTCCTGTTCATTCTGACTCATCGATCATTTGATTTTTTTTTTTATCATTTGTCCTTTCTGGCGCTGTTTAGCATTCGGTCGGCCAAGATGTTGCGCGCTGCTGGAATCCCTACGACAATCATCTTGGATGCTGCTGTGGGATATGTGATTGACAAGGTCGATATGGTCCTTGTTGGTGCTGAGGGTGTCGTTGAAAACGGTGGACTGATCAACCAGATTGGATCGTACCAGATGGCCATTGTCGCCAAGGCTGCCAACAAGCCCTTCTACGCCGTCGCAGAAAGGTATTACTTTTGTTCTGCTTCCTTACGACCTGTGCTCTTTATTTCTTTGCTGAGTATTCTTTCTAATATGCCATTTCTATTTATTTGATCCGGGATGCGGTGATAGTTACAAGTTTGTGCGCCTGTTCCCCCTGAATCAATATGACCTTCCGACCTACAATGCTGACACGTTATCGTTCCAGGAGCTGAATGTCGATTATGATCCCAAGGTTAACGAAGACGGGTCTATCATTGCAGCCTCAACGTCGTCCTCAGCCCAGCCCTCAAAGGCATCATCACAAACGGCCCTGCACATGAAGACATCTGAGGATCGGGCGTCACAGGGATCGAACCCCTTGGTGGACTATACCCCACCCAACTATATTACGCTGCTGTTTACTGATCTGGGCGTCCTCACACCCTCGGGAGTCTCGGATGAACTTATCAAATTGTACTTGTAATTGAAATGGACTATGGCAATGAGGAGGATACTTGTAGGGCTTTGTTGCTGCATTTAGACCAAGGCGTGGGCAAAAAAGAAATATAATAAAAAAAGAAAAAGCGTGATTCTTCTAAAAGAGCATTCTATGCAATAATCTTTTTCAAGATCGAAGCCAACGCGTGTGTGAGATTGCAGGCGGCTCACAATGCCATCGTCATTCAGGACGGCAGTTGGTGTGGGTTGTAGACAGTGTTTTGCTCCGGTGAAGAGAGTCTCTCTTGAGATCAAGTCAGACTGTCCACCGAAATGATCAAAATCGGCGTGCATATCAGATGCTTCGCCACCAGCCTCGATCGCGACAATTGAACTAGTATTTGTAATGAATACTATGCTTACTCTCCTGATTCACGCATGTCCAAACAGTTATCCAGGGGAGTTTCGGTGTGCGCGTTGCATTTGTTGCAGAGGTGCATGAACACAGATGGTCCGGGATTTTTAGAGTCTCCCGCAGGTTCTTCATTCCCGTCGATCGTGGGGCAGGTATGTGTGCATTAAAAGACAAGTCAGTAACTGAGACCCTGTTTCCCGTGATGATGGCTAAAGTTACGACATAGTGTGCATCGGGGTATGTATCATGGGCATACATCGTGGAGAAGCCCAAAAAAAAATAAAAAAAATTGGAATTTTGCAGCTGAAGTTGGAAATAGATGTGCGATTTTCACCTCGACGATGATAGGATGGATGATGAAGCCTTCTGTGATTTGACGGGCAAAACTCAATTACTACTTTTTAGAGTTCTGGTGCATTGATGATTGGAGGAGATTCAGACGCGTTCCTGAGCGGATGCAGACGCGTGTTCGAGTGAAAGACAGGGACGAAACGAACGGGCGTTGGCATGTGCTGAAAGAGAAGGGCGCCAAATTCAGATAAATAAGAAGAGATAGATAGCAAAGGACCACTTTTGCCTGTGCAACCAACCTCATGAACCATACGCTATATGACTTTCCTTCAAGACTAACGCAAATGACGACAGCGAGATAACTAATGAGTTGTAATGATCGGCCTTATCATAGTTACGAGAACTTCGTAGAATAACAGATTAGCTAGATTGTCCTGCTTGGGGATATTTGCAGTTATGTATAGTCAGTCTGACCAGAAGCAACGGGCTATATCCAGAGGCTTTTGGTGTGTTGTTGTGCATGTGTGTGAAAAAAAGGCAAAATAACAGAGCACAACAGCAACAACAGTCCAACGGACAACGGACAAGGTGACAATGACATGGCATGGCATGCGCAAAAATACAAAAACAGGACAGGGAAGATCTGCATAAGACCATCAGAAAAAAGTAGCAGAGATCTCTTTCTCCTTTCTTTGTTGTGGTTGTTGTTGACAAAAAAAAAGTATGCGCGCTCCAAAGAAATACGCCCTATCTCCCTCTAATTCACACGCATAGCATGTGCGCAAATGGGTCGAAGCAAGCAGCGCTTGCGATACTGCGAACGCAAATGACCGTTGCGGCGGGGGGTGGGGACGATTCTTGATAGGAAAGTGGAATTTGATCCGCAGGGTGTGAACCACACATCCACATGGCCATGGTTTGAACACGACATGGCATGGCATGGCAGAGTACTTGTTTGGGGAGGATGGTCTGTGTCTCTTTCGTTTGTGTTCATTCATGCAAAGAAATAAAAACGAGGGAAAGAGCATTGTTTTACACAAGCGCAAAAGAGAAACCCACCAAAAAAAGGGCTTCAAAGTCCGGGAGTGGGGATTTGTCAACGAGAATGAGCAGATCGTGCCATTTTCTGCACCGATGTATATAGCCGGAGCACACAACGGATAGCAAGAGAAGCAGCAACTGAGGATGACGATATTCTATATTCGAGTTCGACTATCTACTCCTATCCTTGGGCTATTGCTGTATGATCTGACCCTCACGCCCAAAAGACGGAGTTTAGGGGGCAGAGGAGTTGTTGATTTTCATGCTGCAGCAAACAGCAAGAAGTAGAAGCAGTAGAGGAGTGGAGAAGTAGGCCTATTTCTTTCTTCGCCATCCCAATGGTCCGACCCCTCTCTTTCCCCTTTTTCAATAGGTATTCGAGAAGATCAAATATAACCCATACACTCCTTCATACAACATAGGTTGGCCACCCCCTTCCTTCTGCTTGCACCAGCACCGCACTATTGTTCCTTCCCTCCCTCGAAACGATGAGCAAACACTCCGAGGGAGGAGAAGGAATCGACATGGCCTGCCTTGCTTGCTGAGGAATGAGTGTCCTTCATAGTATGCTGGCGTCGTGGTGTTCAGCCCCAGCTGAGTTGAAGCATAGAAATGGGGCACTGTAGTGGTAGTAGCAGTTGTAGTAGTAGTAGTTCTTACCAAACAAAATAAAAAGCAAGAATCGTTTTTCTGCCTGTCCATGAGCAACCAGCCAACGCATTCAACCAACCAATCCCCAATGGCATGCCAACCATGCAGACCATGCGACCTTGCTGAACCATGCAACGTCTTTCTTGCACACCTTTTGTTTTCTTTTTCCTTTTTCTTTTTTTGTACGAGTGTACCTGGCATATTTTTTTTTCTTCTTGTTTTCCTGTTTCCTTTCTCTTCTTCGCCTTGATCACCATTCCCCCCTTTGACTCTGATTCCTCTCCGCTCCTTCTGCTAGATCTCTGATTTGAGCAGTTTTAAAGGAGCGCTGGCCCGACCGTTTCCCCTTCCCCCTCCCCTCTCCCTCCGCCTCGCCACCCTGCCGTATAAACACACAAAGTTACCTATACAATTGCCATACGATATACTATACCAATAACCAATACCGTACCATACCATTTATACACTCCTACTTCACACTCAATTCTACCTGACTGTGCACCATAGACCATACATCCACCATCTTCTGCTACCCTTTTCTCCGTCTTTATCTGCTCTCTGCGCGTTTTTCTTCTTCTCTTTCTCCTCTTCCTCCTTCGTCTTCCCACCCAATCCATTCGCCTCCCCCTCCCCCTCCCCCCTGCCCCTTCTCCTTCTCCTTCTTCTACTCCTTCCCTTCCCGGTCGGTTTACTCGAGCCAGGCCTCTGACTCCTTCCTTCCTTAGTTCTCCCCAACACTTCCAGTTGTCTCTTTCTTATCCCTCTCGAGTTCAGCTCCATCCCTCCTTATATTTAATCTCAATTGCCGGCCCTTTCCCTTCCTCTTCCCGTCTGAGCGATTCGCATACTTCGTGCTGTTGCTGTGAGTAAAAAAAAAAAAAAAAAAAAAAAAAAAAAAAAAAAAAAGAAGAGCTAGAGGTCCTGTCAAGCAGTGTACAGCACCGGGAAAAGAGCACAGCGCAGAGTGAAAGTGTTTTCTAACCAAACGAATCAACTTGTCGCCAGGACTGGAAACCGAGCGACTTGACGTTTTAGAGCGAAAGAAATATATCAAGAAATAAGCACCGCACGAGCAACAGGCAAAAAAAAAAATGAATACTACGTCGCCCTATGGGTTCCTCCCGTATACCCCAACCTCCCAGGTAACATCGCCCGGAGTTCAAGCACACCAGCTTCAGCAGCAGCAGCAGCCGTTGTCGTCTCCTCAACAGCAGCAACAGCAACAGCAACAGCAACACCCATTGGGACCTGTCACTTCTCAGCAGCTGTCGCAAGAGCTTGCCCACGAACTTTCCTCCCCATCATCACTGTCCCTTCACCCTACTCTACAGACCTCCTCGGCATCCGTCTCTGGATCCCCTGTGTCCCCTATAAGTGTCAGTGGAACTCTCAGTAGTACTGGCAGCAATTTGAGTAACCATGGACACCCGACTATCAACACGGCTATGCTCTCAACCTATAGCAACATGCTGCCTTCGCCTCAGCAGTCCTCGCAGGTGCCCTCGACGCCCACGGGAACTAGTCTGCTACCGACCACCCCGCCCCAAACGGCCGACCTCGACACGATCCTGGCGACGTATGCCAACCAGCCCGAACTCCTAAAATTGATCATTGCGTCCAAGACAGAGGAAGACCGACGATGGGCCGAGGAGGCACGCTTCAAGATGATGGATCTGATCATGCGTGAGAATCGAGGAATGGGGCTCATGACAGGGTACGAGTCCTTGCTTAGCCAGGCCGTGCCAGGAGCACCAGGAACAGCAACAGGAACGCCCGTTTCGAGTATCTCGACCGGCAATATTGGAAACAACCCAGGAACGAATACGACGACCGCAACCACTACAGCGGCGACCAATGCATTGGGGTTGACTCCCTCCGGAAAGCGTTTCATGGACGACGGATTTGATACGTACTCAGGAGCAGGAGGCGGCGGTGTCAACGGTAACGGAGAGATAGGCAGTTTTGGTCAAGGGCCAGATCATGGGCTTGCGCGTAAGAGGTCCGTTACCTTTGCGAGGGATGTACACCATGGCCATCTACGCTCGCAGTCGATGTCATCGATGCCTTCGGCCACCACGATTACGTCCTCTGCAGGATCCTCTGCGGATCAGTTTAGTCCCTTGTCCTTGATGGGTCTCACTGGCCCAAACACAACTCTGCAGTCGCAGCAGGGTCAGCAGCAGGGTCAGCAGCAGGTTCAGCAACAGCAGCATCCAGTGCAGCACTCGTCCATGCACCAATTGCCGCCGTTGACGCTCCAGCACCATTACCAGCCGCAGCCACACTTCCAGCCTCAGAGCCAACAGCAACAACAACAACAACAACAACAACAACAACAACAACAACAACAACAACAGCAGCAGCAGCAGCAGTATCCGGCGCAATCGGCAACACCGCATCAGCAACTGCCACCGCAGTTTGGCCAATACCCGCAGGTGTTCCCGTACCATGCCATGTCTCAGCTGCACCCCCAAAGTGTTATTCGCAGAACCAATTCGCTGTCGCATCTCTCTCACCTTGCTCAGCACACAACCGTGACGGAGCCGCGACTGGTCGCTGGCCGGCCCAGAAACGACAGTGCCTCATCCTTTCGAACGTTGGACGATAGTGGTATGTGTTGTTGTTACTCGTATATTTATATCGACGCGCGTTTTTTTTTTTTTTTTTTTAACCATGCAGGTCTGCTTGTCAGTAATCCCATGGCTTGGAGATCACATTGCATGATGTACTATGTTTGATTTCGATATTACTATTTTATTCTATTCAATCCATTCATTCCTTCTTTTTATTTTATTTTTATAGACGAGGAGTCCGAGGATGACTACAGCAACCATCCGGTCTTGAGCGGTATCAACAGTCGACCTGGATCGTCGTTGAGCATGAACAACATGATGGGTGGAAACCATGAGACGCCTCTCACGCTCGATTTTTCAGATATGACATCGCTCTCGGGACCTGGGTCGTACTCGCATCAGCAGCAGCAACAACAGCAACATTCGCCGCACCGACAGCAGCAACATGGGCAGATACAGCAACATGGCCAGCCAGCGAACTCGACCTCGATTCTGTCTTCACTTCATGGAGCAGGATCGGTTGTGCCGATGAATATGTCTGGCATGGGATCGACTGCAGGCATGAGAGGTGTTCCATCGAACACGACAGGGTCAACAGCAGCAGCAGCAGCAGCGGCAGCAGCGGCGGATCAGAAGAGGAAGCGAAAGCGTCGTGAGATGCAGCCGGTCAACAAGATTGTGGAGTCACCGGAGCCCCATGTGGACCAGTATCTGTGGAAGAACAATGGCAACACGACCCAGAAGAAGACGGGATGTAAGAGTATTTATTACAAATGCTCGAATAGTGCTGGCGGATGTACCGTAAGTCGTGTTCCTGGTCGCTTTCAGATCTTGAGTGCTGGGCATGGTTATGGTTGTGAAGATTAGTGTCGCAAACGCTCACATGATGCTCTTCTTGTTTCATCGAAACGCGTTTCGGCGCACAAATAGGTTAATAAGACGGTAACGGAGAAAGAAGGTGGCGGGTACATTACAAAGTACCGGGGTGAACATCTGGAGGAGTGCATCAAATTCAAACGGGCCCAACTGGCTGCTCAGGCAGCGCAGGCGGCTCAGAATGCGTACACTCTACAAAAGGAGCAGTAAAGGAAAAAAAAAAAAAAAAAAGGAAAATTGGTGGCATTTATCATTCCATGCTGGGTGCTCTTTTTGGTTCTTTTTTTTTTTTATCCATTTATTTATCTTTTTTTTTTTCCTCCTTCATTTCTTTTTTCTTGTCTCTTGTCTGTTTTCTTGTCATGTAATATAATAAAAAAGAACAAAAAAAAACACCCTCAATGAACTCTTCGCAACGCCTTGTCAGTCAAGTACGATCGATTTTTTTATTTGACAAGGTCGCAGGCGGTGGGATATAAAGAAAATCTATTCAATTACTGGCGTCTTCTGACGCTGATGCTTCCGAGGCGGCCTTATGGATATCGCGGTAGTTGACGCTGTAGCCCTTCCGTGCCGCGTTGGCCTCGTCCATCGCGATCCTTTCTTCCCCTATACATAAAAAAAAACATACGTATGTAATAAACGCGTAGAATGCCCAAGCGTTAGTTTTTTTTTTTTTTTTAAACAATTGTCAATTAAGAAGTCTAGAAGGAGGTACTTACATGAGACTTCGGTTGCTTTGGCGGGGATGGTGCTAGAGGGTGCGGCGTATTCGCGGCGACGGAGATAAATCTCAGTCTTTGTCAGGGCGTAACAGGTGAAGCCGGCTGTATAATATGGAACAGGCACAAATGAAAAATAAATAAAAAAGCAAGGCGTTAGCGAAAAGGTTCCTCTGCGAGGGCTCAGACTTACTTTGCGAGAATGGAGACGAGGGGAGAGGGGAGGAGATAGGATCTACTTACTGATGGTCAGGCCTGCCCTGTTTTTGTTTTGTTTTGTTGTATATTTACAGCGTTGCGCAGACAGATCAAAGGCAAAAAAAAATATGGTTGTGTTAGAAGGGAGAAAGGGGAGCCCAACGAAAGCGACTAGAGGGTGGAGTTGGTTTTTACCAAGCGAGCATGATGTGCGAGGGCTTGTTGAGGTTGAGCTTTGGCATGGCTGTGAAAAATGTCTGTAGCAGGGGGAGACCTGATGCAATGCGAGAAGAGAGAGTGAGAGAGAGAAGGGGACGGATGAAGAGATGTGGAGCTGATTCCGGAGAAGGGTGCTTCGCTTCCCCATGGGGCACCGTTTTTCCCTGTTTTCATTTCACTCTGCGAGGGGTGGAGGTCGTGACTGTATTGCCCAAATAAAGCCCACCCGCGACACTTCTCTTGGGCGCAACATCCTCGCCACCAATTTTTTGCATCGGCTGCTGAAGGGTGTCAAAGAGCTCTTTTTTTTAATGCGTTTACTAGTAGCGTCTGCGTCCAATTCAGAGGAATACGCGGTCAGAAGACATATTATTAATACAACAAGTTAAGCAAGCAAAGACAGAATGACTGTAACTTATAAATTCTTCATAGAGCTTTCAAGCCCATTAAATCGTGTTGTTCTAGCGATGTTCTCGCGGCTCCTACTGCAGTTTACATGCGGTGACTGATGGGCCCGGGGTCCACTGGCGTCTGACGCTTCTGGTCCTGGTCCGTTGCGGCTGGCGTTGACGTGTCCTGGTCAACTGCTTGTGTTTTTGTTCCTGCTTGCTGTTGCAGATACGAACGGACCCAGGGCTGCTGCTGTCGTTGTAGGACTTTGCAGGGGTTTGTATTTATCGGGCTTCTTCTGATCCTGTAGCTGCGCTTGGCATACACAGGCTATGTTTTCGCTTCCTATTGCATCGCGATCGAGCAGCACACGGCATCCAGGGCAATATTTAGAACGAAACGGCAGCTTGACCAGGAACTGGTTACAGTCCAGACGGGGTCATTTTGCGCTTGTGTAATACTCGTGTGCGCCCAGCACGACATATTCTAAGCTCTTTGCCTAGATAGTGCAGACAGATACGGGAGTATATATTAGACATTCATCCTCTTTGGAACAGCAACACAAGACACGCTTTAAGACTTACTCTGGTGACAAGTCGTTTTTCAAGCGTTGAGTGCTTTGATGCTAGTCCGGTTTGGGTGTTGAACGAACTCAGGCCAAAGGAAAGAACTACATTATCCCCAGCTGCCTTCCTCCAGACCTCCGATCCTCCAGCCATCCGCAAGATACCCTTGATGGATTAATCCAAACATGCAACCTGTGCTTTTTTTTTTGCGTCCCATGTCTTTTTTCTGAACCATTTGTGTCCATAAAAGCTGAGCAAATAGTCTAAAACATTGATTTCGCTGTTAATGTTGTTGATACTCAGAGAATTGCTGCTGCTGCTGTCGCCACTGGTGGCGATGCTGGTACTGGACACGTTGGCACTGTAGCTGGAAGCTCGGCCGCTCGGGCTGGTCATGTATTTAAAATAGCTGTCAGGTGTCTCCATACTGAAGCTTGGAATCCAGCTCTCCAGCTCATCCACCCCTGGACATGAGCGCAGAGACTCTCCTTCAAAAGGCTCTTGTCCTGCACTGACGGCACGAACGTGGAACTGAGCGAGCGCTCGATTTGGTCCATAACGGCGGCGTGTGAGGTCCACCTGCCGTTTCTTGAACGCCGCTCCATCATTGTAGGCCGGCGTCGAACTTTGTTCGTTCCATTTCGAATCTGTCGTGGCGTTCCAGGCGAGCCTTTACCTTCTCAGCGGTCATATCGCCATCTATGTGGACCTTGCAAGGCCCAAAAGTCTCAAACAACTTCTTTCCCTGGATGTGATCTACTTCGAGCGCATGGCCTTCGTCATAGTTCTTGGTCATCAAACGCACCATTTCCGAGCAAATCTCAGGAGCTGACAAGGCAAGAGCGATATCAAAAAAGGTGATAATTTTATTGCAGACTGGAGTGAAAGCACTAACTATGCTAGAGGTATTTATACGCGTTACCAATAACCTGGAGAACTGTTCTAGACGCATCTTGAATTACATAGTCGGGACTATATAGAGTCGAAGCCGGATGACAGGTACAGGGCGCAGTGACGGAGCTACTCGACGCGACGCGTGGGGTGCAATCATAGCTCCGCCGGGGACTGTCCGTGACAGTAAAATGACCCAAGGAAGTCCACCTCAAACTGTGCATCCGCCAGCGATTTTGGGTCGACGAAGCTTGGCGGGAGCCTACGCTTTTTCAATTCCTGGTATAGAGAAGTAACACCCATCTAAAAAGTACTTGTACTTTATGGTTATCTTTCGACTTTTCTTTCTGCGACAAAATGAGGTCCTCGTCAAAAAGTGGTGAAGCTGATATGATTTTTCATTTCATTACGTCGCCTTCATTCTACCTTCATCCTCATTCTCATCTCTGCAATAAAAGGTGGATTACCAATACGGAGAAGTCTCACGCCAATGTTAAATTTCGTTATCTTTTTCGTTAACAAGGCATATACATACGTCGAACGTCTTGTATGACAGCGCCAAAAGGTCTGTAGCGGAAAAGGGCGAGGCGAGTAAGCCGTCTAAAAGAAACTCGGTTGGAGCAGATGGCTAGGTGATCTATTCTTTTCGTAACGAAGTATTCCGCTACAGAAAGATAGGATTGTTTACCAAGGACACGACAGTTAGTAGCGTCAGACGGAATGATTTTATAGTGCGCTGTGCTACGCGTCATCCAAGACCTTGTCGTTTAGTATCAGTGCCTGAGTGGACCTTAAACGCACACATCAAAACTCCATCCTCAAGAGGATAGGTAGCGCGACATGTATTCAAAGAAGGAAAACGAACACCGTTTATTTGGATTGTAGATTGAAGCCTGGAACACAGCATGGATAATAATGGGCCCTTATTACCTTTTAGATGTTTGCCCAGTCATGGATACCCCCTGTCTAGCATCCAATTTTTCAGAAACCTTCTTCCAGCCTTTGATATGAATTTATTAGTTCCTCCTGCTTCGTCTTCAGGGACGAAAGTTGGATACGGCGACTCGCAGCGCTCATCAAGGAAAGAAGGGTGTGGCATAGCTCTCCTTGAAGGGAAGATGGCGGCTGTAGCAGGACGCTAGTCCCTATCCTCGCTTCTAAACTGATACCCTATCTTGCTCTCACTCCGCTTCAGCCCTCGCCTTACAGAACCCTCCTACTGAGCTGCCTTTTCATAATTGCAGTATTTGAGCAAAGTCTGGCGTCTCTCTCACTCTTCAGTTTTTTTTTATGTGCATAAAATATGAGTCTCCTCTGTGTTACCTTTTTCATTCTTCGCTCATGTCTCTTCTTTATTTTCCTCCTGCACTGCTTCGCGTTTTATCTCAGCTCATCCATCCATCTCTCCCACGCCGTTTCTGTCCTCATCCAGGCTTCCTACGCACTTCTACAGTTTTTTTTGTCCGGACCTTCTGTATCAGCAGTTCCTAGGAGGCATGCCTGAAGAATTGAGGGAATTCAAGTGCACATGATATACCTTTTCAGGGATGCATAGTAGGTCCGACGGTCGTGGTTTTTCTTGCGCTTTTCACACTTGGGCATGTTGTAGGGATTTCGGAGTAGGATGGCGGTGGGCGGCGGTGATAGAGAGAGAGATAGAGAGAGAGAGAGAGAGACAGAGAAAAGATTTTTTATTTTTCTGGCCCTTCGAGTGCATCGAGTCTATGTGAGAGAGAGGTCTACGCGACATGGCAGAGCATCCTCTATCCAGCTTTCAACTTGTACGTGGATAAAGGGTCTTTGCGAGTACGTGAAAAGGTATGGAGTAATGTGGAGTTACCAGATTTGTATGCAATTGCTATTTTATATAGTAGATTGTTTTTGCCAAATATTACTTATGTATCATGCTGGGCGGTATGCTGATCCTATTCTCAATTGATCTTCCTTTCTGTTTGCTCTAGTTTTCTATGCCTTTGGTGTTGATGAAGATCCCTGAGCAGCCTTATCATCCTTCGTCTCCTCCTCCTCCTCATCCGAATCCTCGTCCTCATCCTCATCTGAATCCTCATCATTGTTATCATTGCCCTCCTTGAGCTCCTCCTCGGGCTCGGTGTTGATCAACATCCATGCGACGACCTGCTCACGCTCATGAATCTCAGCCTCCAGCATCGCGGTGTGTCCTGCTGCGTTCTTGAGCTGTAGCAGAAAAATTAATGAAGAGGATACTTGTCAGTTGACGCTGTCCTGGTACATTTCAGCGATACCAGGGAGAAAATGAAAATGTATCTCTTCCGTTTTGATACGTACTTTGTAGTTTGCTTTGCCCTTAGTAATGAGGGTCTCAACAACCTTGGCGTGGCCGTTGGTTGCAGCCCAGTGGAGAGCCGTGTTTCCTTGCTCGTTCTGGATGTTGATGGCCTCTGGTGAGATGATTGAGATCAAGTATTCGACAACATCTATACATTGAAACAAAATAGCTCGGGCGTCAGATTTTTCCCGCTGGTCAAGAGTCCAGGCTTCCTGGAATCCTTAAAATTCATGTCCATAGACTGTCGCTAACACGCTTGGCAAGATCGAAGGTCTCGTATTCTGCCTCTGATCCTCTCGTATCCTGCTTCCGATGCTCTTCAATTACTGCTAAAGGTCAAGATATCCACAGCCCCGCAATAGCAGAGCAATGCTCGTCATGTCCGATTTCCGTTTCACTTGGGTCTAGGGCCTTACCAATGTGTCCGTTAGCGGCAGCCATGTGCAGGGGTGTCTTTCCATACTCGCCCTGGTGCGACAACAGAACTTTGGCCTTCTCAGGTCCTGAGGACTCGACGACGGCCTGGATCTCTTCGAGTTCGCCATACCGGGCACATTCGATCAGTTCTTCGAGGTGTTCTGAATCCTGAACGGACAACGATGACAGTTGCGAGGTGAGTTGTTCTGCGGTCATGGTGTTGAGCTGTGTGTATGTGATGAGGAGAGGGATTGGTTTGAAATGCGGTCGCTGGTTTGAACGTTGTCTGCCAGTTGACCTTGACCTTGACCTTAAAAAAAAAAAATCCGGCGAGGAGGTGGATGAAAACAAAATCCACGTGACAAAGCCGTCCAATGAGGAGTGCTGTGCAATGCGCTGTGCTGCCGTGCGTCTTCCAGAGGGGTCTTCAACCATCATTTTCCAGCTGGAAAAAAATAATATTTTCCAGTTGGAAAAAACTTAAATAATCGAGTAGCCAATCAAACACGATATTTTCGCGACGAGTTTTTTTCCATGATTTTTTCCAAACACGCCAGAGCCTTGGCCATCCCCTGCCCCTGTCCCATTCAGCAGTGGATTCACCAAAGATTGGCTTTCAGCAGTCTGCTACCCTTCATCATTGTCATCAGCAACAGCAGCAACAGCAACAACAACAGCAGCAACAGCCGTATCAACAGCACACGCAGCAACCGCAACAGAGGCAGCGAAGCTATCATCCCATAGTCCCAGCACCGACCCCTTTAGCTGCTCACCACCAACAAAGCCATCAACTCCCTCCTCTCGACCCTTCATTAATCCTTAACACCGGCAACGACAGCTTCAGCACTGGGAACTACCTCAACACAGGAAGCCACTTAAACGCCGAGCAGTACTTCAACAGCAGCGGACTGGACTCCAGCCAATCGAGTGCCTCTTCGCACATCCAAACAGCACCTGCCTTTTACAACCTCACGGGACCCGGCTCAAGTGGCTCTGGATCGGCCGCCAGTGCCTTGACTGACAGCATCGGATACGCCTTCCTCAGGCCTGGATTATATGGCATCCAGACCAGTCGATCACAACATTCACAGTCTACGTCAGCTATAGCGGCAATGTACCCGAGCTATGCTTCAACTTCAGCAGACCCCGGTTCGACTTCAGCGGACGCCAGTTCGACTTCGAGGGATGCCGACTCAACTTCAAAGGCGACCAACTCGACCTCGAAGTCCAAGTCAGCCAAGAGATCGAGAGCCAAGTCGGCCGCAATGGCAACTGCTGATTCAGATGCGGAAGCGAATGCAGATGCAGACCAGCATCAAGGCGGGGGAGTTTGGAACAAACCAGGGATGAGTGACTTTACGGATTGGATTACAAACCGAACAAACTACGAAAGACTCACCAGAAAAGGACAGAAAGTAACGGAAATGCACAAAGCGATCGCCAACTACGTCAACTCAAAGAACCCAGGATTCTCAGAGCAGGAGCTATGGGATGAAGCACTTGCCAAAGGGCGATTGTCTTATGCGAAGAAAAACTATAGGCTAGCAATCGAGGTGTCAAAAAAAACCGGCGCTGGAGACAAGCCAGGAAAAACCCTACTTCAACAAATGCAGGTGCATGTTCCGCAGTTTGAGAGATACGACCAAGTCTTTGGAAATAGTCTCTCCCAAAACTCTGTAGACCCCTACGAAACACTCGTCTTAGGCGACACTCATCCTCTCCAGCCCCAAGATTCGGATTCGGAACCAGAACAAGCATCAGACCTCTCTTCAATAGGAGAGAGTGATGATGTTACTGACTTGGCCGAGCGCCAGCCCAGTATGTGTGTTTTTATGTTTTATGTTTTATGTTGCTTTATTGTTATATTTCTTTATGCCAATCCTATCGAACTTTCTTTATCAAGCGCCTTTGAGTAAGACGATTAGAGGAGTAGTTGAGGCCAGGGATAGGGGTCGAGCACGCAAGCGTGCAAAACGTGGGCAGATACCGGAATCGATCGAGCAAGCAATTACTAGTCTCAACGCATCGTCGGCAGGACAAGACGAGCAACTGATCGATGCGAGAAATGAGCGTTCATGGCTCAATGACGAAAAAGTAGGATTTAGGGTGGCGCAACTGGCTCAGTCGACTGAGAAGGAGAAGATGCTGCAGATGCAACAGGATCTCATGCAGGCCCAGAGGGAACTTTTTGCCGATCAGAGAAATTTTATGAAGGAGAAAGAAGTGTTCCTACAAGCCAAGGCGCAGTTTAAGGCAGAGAAGGCGCTGTTTGAGCAAAAGTTTGGTCGGGAGGTAGTAGTCACAGATGAACAGGTAGTTTACAGGAATGTGCTGAAGTAAAATCACCATTACTGTCGCGCTCTTTTGTATTTATTAGCGCGAAAGTGATTTGCAACCACATATGCCTTTAGTCTCTCCCTTCGTATTGTTCCAGTGCGTCTATCAATTTCATCTGCTGCCGCCTCTTGCTCATCCCGTGGTGGTGCTGGTTGCTGTTGCATACGTGCTGGGTTTTGTTGTCGTTGGTGAACCTCTTCCACAACCTCTTCATCCACGAGCTCCCCATTGACACCAACACGTAAGAAGTTGTGTAGAATCATGCATGCCATAATCCATTTTGTTGCATTGGCGATATTCTTCTTTTTGTTGATCTTGATTGGCAGATTCTGCAACGACTGGAACTTGAGCTTGACCATCCCAAATGCATGCTCAATCACAACTCAGGCAGCACCATGGCAGATATTAAATGCTATCTCGTCATCTGTGGTGGGGTTTTTGTACCTTGGTATGAGAGTCCTGATCAGTCCGTATGCAGCATCGCCGAGGATGTATTCGTCCTCTTGAAAAACATCTGCGGCCCGCTTGTAGAGCTTGGTAGCTTTGTAGGCAATGGAGTCGTGCATGGAGCTAATATATCCGGTTGAAACAAATGTAAACCGATCTTCGTGATCACACACCGCAGTCGCCCCCATGGCATATCTGCACTTCCTGGTGTTCTATGCAACTGAATCATATGCCGGAGCCAAGTCGAACGGAAACGGTACCCCATCCACCACACCAACGGCTTAGGGAACGCCATGTTCTCTTTGAACTAGCGTTCGATGGTCCCCTTCCTCTCTCCGGTTGGCCATTGGATGAACTCAGCCTTGAAGTCCATGATGGCATTGATACTGCCAAGTGTAGGAAAACACAGAACCGACACTGAGACCAAACGTGAAAGCGACCTTGCTGACTGATATTCCCTTGGTTCCGAGGCGGTAGAGCGCCACTTGAAGCATGATTCTGATCTTCGTTGGCCGGTCATCATCGTCCTTGACTTTGATATGAGGACTATCTTGAATTTTTTCCCTGAGCTGTGCAAGTTGGTCTCGAGTAACTCGCAGGATGCTGACATGGTCCTGATCGCTGCACTGTTGAAGAACTCGCTCTCTCAAATCCACCGAAAAAACTTTGCGTACTCGAGGGCGGAGGTATCGGGGTCGTGTACAGAAGTTGTAATGCGCGTCCAATGTTTAACGCCCTGGTCGGGATAGGTCGTTTTAAAGTCGGGGGAAATGATTGAAGAAGTTCGGCGTGTTCATTGATGGCTTTAATGAACATCTTCTCGCACCATTCAATGAGGCGCTCCCGCAAGGTAAAGTGCCACCGAGGCACCGCAGACAAGTGTGTATCAGTTGGGGTTTGGGAAAAGAGACAAAGAAACAAGGCACACGCGCTCCATGGTCTTCTTGGACATTGATGACAGTCGTGTTTGATTGGCTACTCGATTATTTAAGTTTTTTCCAACTGGAAAATGATGGTTGAAGACCCCTCAGCTGTGAGCCCTCTACGCGCACTCCTCGTCTCTGCTAAAAATAGTCCAGCGTTTAACGGCGCGCCAAAAGCATGCATGTTGCGAACACAAAAAGATATAGATAGTCTACACACGTTGTACCAGTACAAGAACGATCGCTTATTACAGCATTGACACAACTGAAGCTGACGATTCTTTTGCGTTGAGGCGTTTGAGTTTCATGAACAGTAATTTTTCATTGCAACAGCTTCAAGCCCTGGCCGAGTAGATGCCTTTGAAAACTAATCCAGTATGCGTCGCTACTACTACAACCAACCGTAAGCCCAGAGAAAAGACTCCATATGCTTCTGTTCCTAGCTAGCAGAGTCGAATAACTTAAAGACTCAGGCTTATTATTCGAGAGCCAGGACCATACGCGTGTAATTTTCTTTTATTGCATACAAGCGCGAATGTCCAGAATTTATCCGTAAAAGACAAAGATGAAGTAAATGTTGCTTGAATGCAGGCTGTGATTACTATCTTCTTGAAGCCAGGAAAAAATGAAAACGAAGGGCGGAAAAAAATAATGGGTGGAACATAAATGGTCCTGGTTCCCGGACGATAAACATGAGTCTTCATGCTATTCGACTCTGTAAGCCAATGTCGCAAACTGTTGAACCGCGTCTCTGTTGTTGCTATAAATGATGGCATTACCTTCGCGGAGACAAACATAGGATCGTCGCAAGCAGACCCACCAATCCTACCTTGGTGGATAACGCGTAGTCCGTCGTCGCGCCGTTAACAGCTTGCTGGAAAGAGTTGTTGGCACGTCTGTAGACACTCCCGAAATACTGACTGATGTTTGCACGTTAGCGGAAACATTGTTCTTCACCGGTCCGCCGGATTAAAAAGATGTCGTACTCTGCCTAGATGATACCCATCCTCACCTCTCAGGACCATTTACCAAGTCTCCCAGCTGATATCGAGCTATGAGAATCCATGCAATTGCTTCCGTGGAGTCAAGGACGCTAACACCACTGCGGCCTGATTAGTGGTGGGCTGCAAATCCATTTCCTTGACCGCTACTCGTTCCATTGCTTGAACCTTCCAGTCCTCGTCCATGTCTCGATAATTTCCCTGCCGTTCCCGATGGCAATATTCTTCGTATCGGACGGTAGCGTTGAGTGCGTTCCTCGGTAGCATGTCGCTTTTTCCTGTCCTCTTCCTCCGTAAGCGGCCCTACTGTGTCTTCCATAGCCTCTAGCTGTGGCAAAAGGAGCAGCTTGGATGAGACGCCGGGGTAGACGAGTGCGAATTCATCTAGGTTTGTCTGCAGGCGAGAGAAAGAGAGGCCAATCTATCGGACCTTGTACAAGTACCCGAAAACAACGCCCTGCGATGAATACAGCACGACTAATATCTACTAATCCCGGCCTCAGTGGGTCCGACTGATACATTACAATGACGTAGTTGTTGACAAAACATGACTGTGCACGGACCATGTCGGGTGTCTGTCGGGTGCCAGATTATTTTTTTAAACACGTCAGCAACAAGGGACGCGCACTTTACCCTTCTTCTCACACCCACACCCACACCCACACCCAATCAGCACCTAACCACCAACCACCAACCAGCCAACCAGCTAACCAGCGCTCCACTCAACCACCGCTCAACCACCACTCCACTACCACTCCACTGCCAATCAACTAGCGCCTCGGCAGTTCGCCAGAGACTTCCTCGCGCGAAGTTACCGTACGCCAGTGATATCAATGTAAGTACTTTGGCTGCTTTGCTTTGCTTTGCTTTGAACCCACATTGAAGCACAATACTCATCATCCCATCTTTTGCGTTTGTGTCGCTTGTTAGACCCAAAAAAAAAAAGAAAAAAAGAAAAAAAAGGAACAAATAAAAGAACACAAAAAAACAAAAAAACAAAAAACAAAAAACAAAAAACAAAAAACAAAAAACAAAAGACAAAAAAAAAAAAAAACGACAACGACAACGACAACATTGCTTATATGGTACGTGGATTGTGAAAAGCTGTTGCGGATAGAGTGTACTGCAGGTATCCTAACATTTGTCTTGACTTGTGATCGATCTTAGTACGAGTGCCCGCTGCGATACTCCAGCAAAGACCCTCACTGGGTTGCCAAGCACATGAGCAGCAGCATGCCCAAGGGACCCAGGACAAGAAAGGGTCCTCCGAAGCCACATTGGTGAGCCAGCGACTCCAAGGACGGGGACGAGAAACACCTATCGAGCCGGCGCACCAGTGCCGCTCATCGTTACGCAAGGCATGGCCGCGGGTGGAGCCACATGCTGACGCGCTCTATCACGACCAGGTAAGGCGACTACAGCTATTCATGTTCTAGACTACGAAATTTGTTCTGAAAAGATGAGCCGGGCCTTCCTGCATATTGACCTTGCTGGTGTTTTCATCATCGTGTCTTTCTGTCTAATAGGCGCCAGCTGTGCCTCCCGGAACTCCCAAACCCCACAAAAACGTACAAGCCGAGGGGGTTTCGGGCAGGTGCAGACGACCTGCTGCAACGGGATCTCGCCCCAGCCCCAGCACCCGTTGCAGTGGGTCGATCTTTATGGATCCGCCCCACCCATCACAGCCATACCACTACCCTTTCCACCTCAGGCTGTGATGGGTAGGTATTTCTTTTATTTCTTTCCTCCATTTTCTCCTCCCTCCCCACTCCCCTCGCTCACCCTTCCACCTATTCCACCCTTCACTCTCCAAAACATGCTCCCCATCAGATGCTCAGGACCAGCCTCTAATGGCTACCTCATGGTAATTTCACTCCTGCTTTTCTTGTATGTGATCAACATGTCTCACCCTTGCCGCCCCGGCATCAAGTGGCTCAGGGCCCCTGTTCGGATCGCCAGCGGGACCCTGCCACTGGCCTCTCGACGCAGTGGGATGATGCGCCGTGGGTTAGGGATGAAGCGAGCCCTCTGGTCTTTTGGCTGTCTGATGCACCTGTTCTCGCCTACATCTTAGGGACCTTATAGCGCGGCGAACGACTCTACTCTCCCATATACACATGGTGGCGCGCGAGGCTGTGCGGGCCAATGTGGTCCTCCGCGGTGCTAGCCAAAGGAAGCAGCAGACATGGACAGAAGCAGACACAGCAAAGCAAGGTAAGGACACTAGGGGGCCAGCGTGCTCAGGGCTCTGGAGCAACAACTGTTGGGGTTGCAGGGGATGGAAAAATCGGTGGTCCTGTCCGGATCACTGTCCTAGACTGGACTGCCCCTGTGCAGTTCAGGATCCTGGGCGATTATCGGCCACCGTCTGTTTCTCTTTTCCTTGCGCACTCTGATGGTCTGCGGCTCTCATTGACTTGCAGTCGCCGGCTCAGATACGCTGTGCACTTCCGGAGGCAGGTCTGGGTCTCCCACCGTTCGTTCTTTCTCCCTATCCTTTTTCCTTCTTTTTTTTTTTTTCTTTCTCCTCTTTTTCTTCTTTACACCTTTCTTTTTATTCCTTTTTTCTATTGCTAATGATCCGCTGGCCTTGGGCTGAGCGAGAAGGCAGGGGTCAGCATTCTCTTTTCTCTTTTCTCTTTCTTTCGCTTCCCCCTCCCTTTCTTCCTTGAGACCCAGACCGTCCGATGAAAAGCGTCCACTCCAAAATCACAATGGTAAGCCCTCTGTCTGTATATGTGTATATTCATGTCTTTTTTGTGCAGCGGGCGTTCGAAGCAACATGCAGCTGTGTACTAACTAGTACAACACCGTCTCCTTGTCTCATTTTCCTTGAGGACCGCCGGTGCGCATGGTAAAGCAAGCTCCCTTGTGTATCCGCGAAAGTAGAGTCCGATGCCGTGTCGAGGTCCTGGTACTAGGGTAAGTGGGGCACTGGAGCAGGTGTAGAGGGTGGTTCAAAAAACTAAGGCATTCGCGGACCAATCCACGGTTGAGGACCATTGCACGGGAAGTGTCAGTTGGTAGCGGTACCCAAAACCGGCCGTCCAGGTAAGTCCTCAGGCTGCTTGAATGTCGGGAGGAGCGGTGGTGGGCTTGTCGGTTGCATGCATGGGAAGCATGGGGTGCAACTGCCATGGGCTAGTCAGGAGGGGATCTGGGACTGGGCAGAGAGGGGAGCGGGGTGAAGGGCCTAGCATCAAAGGAATAGGTGAGAAGGGTTTAGGGGAGTGTAAGGAGGGTCCGGGGAGGCCAAAGGGGATCAGGATCGAAGGGCCTCAGGCACTGCCGCCGCCCTTGTCAAAGTAAGTATACATCTGGTGTTTGCGGTGTCTTGTTTAATATGCAAAGTGTCTATGAATCCATCCTTATGCGAATTGTTTGTGATCCTGTATCTGATACTAGATAGTTATTCCACAAATTAAGTGGGTAAATATGTGCTGTCGCCGTCCGCTCGTCCGACCGTCACCGCTACATACAACAACAAGGTGGCGGCGGGGGCATGGGCGGTAAGACAGCGACAAGGGCGGTAAGGCAGCAACAAAGACCGAGGCCAGTCTGCGGCAAGGCTCGACTACAAGGCCAGTACCAAGACCAGAACCAGGACCAGTGCCAAGACTAATACCAAGACCAATACCAAGACCAGTACCAAGACCAGTATCAAGGCCTTAGACAAGATACCGCAAGAACAAAGACAAGGCCGATTATACGATTGGAAATAGGACTGATTACAGCCTATTGGTAAGAGCGATAAAGGCCGCGACAAAACCTCGACAGGAACATGACGAGCACAAAGCCGTGACAAGAACAGCGACAAGGTTAAGGCAGCGCATAGTAAAAGACGGGTCAGTCCTACAACTCGTTTACTACGCCATACCGTCGATCACCCTTTGACAAGGACTGAGTCTGCCAGGACAATAGTATCACCACGCTTCATGAATGCAGCTGCCATCGCGGCACACCGTGATGCTCGCGACCTCGACCTACACACGCGTAGGATTGTCAATATTGGATCCAAAAAGAACACAAGAATATAAAATAAAGAAAAAATAAAATAAAAGAAAATAAAAAACTTAGCGGCCAGTTTAGATACCAATTCGCAAGAGCAGAGACACACAGCGGCATGCAGCAGCGGCGATGGCGGTAATACCACCCGGATCTCAAATAAAACATACGGCCAAAACACTACTTTCGAACACTCTCGATGCAGAAGGAAATGCTTAAAATGTGAGTTTATGATACATAGGCTTCGTACTGAACAAGCGGCTACACCGGATATACAGGCAGCCGCTGTCCTTATGTCTATCATGTCCGGAGAGAGCTCTCCGTTGTATCTACATGGCCTGACATCGATATCGAAAGGATGTGTGCTGTAGAGTCCATTATTGCCGGTGCTGTGCTGCTGGTGTTGATGATGGCAGGCCGAGCTTTCTGAGAGAAAGACGCGACGGGTCGTGTGTACTATTTGATACTGGGTCTGCACCATTCGTGCGCGTTAGCTGTGCACGTCGTTCAAGCGACTGCGAGTGAACTCGAACAGTTGCATGGGCCGACGACCGCCCCTGTGGACTTTCTGAGACCCTACCTATTTCCTCGATAGCCTGTGCTGTCGCCATTGACGCTTCGCAAAGGACGCTCTGAGCATTTGAGGATTTCTGCCTTCATTATTCTACAGGGAGAGTATCCGGCGTGCACATATTCAGTTCCTTCAGGGTAGATGTGAGTGCATGCAAGAGAAAAGGAGACAGCAGTCTGAAATGCAAGTCTCTGTCGACAGAGGCCGCTTTATCACCTTGGAAGTCTCTTACCTTGACGCTAACAGCTATTGCCCTTCTCTTCTCTTTACTTTCTCTATCGACCTCTTTGTCCACTTCGTTCTTTATCCCACAATTTCATTTTGTTCTGTTACCGCATCCTTGTCCGTCTTTGGTCATCTTCCACAGTCTTCTGCCCATTTGAAACAAAGGTAACTTATTTTATACCCAGCTCCCGCTTTCTTCGTCTTACATTCGTCTCTTTATCGCTACTCCGCTTTACCTCTCTTCAACTAGCGTCCAAGCATACAAATGTACCCTCAACAACATCATCTTTGCTGAACTGTAGGCGTCCACCTGTGATTTTAGGCGCTGTCTCAAGGATAATTTCGTTTTGCTAGTTACCAGCGCGATTCGTTGTATTATCAGCGAAGGCGAGCTAGGGTTGTCGGCACTCACACTCTTGAAACCTCAAGGTTCACAGCTTAACTGACGACCCATCCGCTTACAAACCCATCCTGCCCTGGCTGTAGGCAGGCCTGCCGCTACTATTTAACCCACGCCTCATATCAGATACTCCGTTCTACAGAATCAGCCCATACACAGCTAGATCGCCATCCTACCACATGTCTGACACATGTAGATATCGTTAGAAAAGTAATATATAAAAAGAACAGTACAGCATATCACCCATGCTTGTTTTCTCAGTAGCCTGCATATCTGTTTCACGAGCAGCTTTCATTCTAATATCGTGAGCTGTGAAGCATTCATCACTCACGGTCTTGTGTATCGAGTAATGCTCATTAGTGTGTTCTCATCTTGTCTGAAAAAGGATGCGTACAATTCTCAAAAAAGCGGTGTCTACCCTAAATGTTTCATGTTTAACCCTAAAACTGAAACGTGGATCTTAGTGCATGCTGTTGCCCCTAGTCTCTATACCAGGTAAATGCTTCTCTTATTGCTGTGGTACAGCAGTGGAGGGAGGCGGAAATGTTTCTACCCGCGACTACAATTGTGTTGTGAGGCCTTTTCCATCTCATTTTCTTTTTTGTCATGTTCACGTTTGTCCTCGCTTTCCTGTTTTGCACGTTCCCCTTTGTCTCTTTTTGCACTCCATCGTCCTTTCTTTGAGCACCTCTCTATTTCTTCATTTCCTGTTTTTCTGGCCATCCTCATCCACTTCGCAGTCCGCACCACCACCACCACTATCACCACTACCATTATTATCTACAGCAAAGATGCCCCATTCCAGGCCAATCTCATCACTACGTTCTCTTGCATACACACTTGTACCGCTTCTCTGCATATTCACATTCCCGTCAGTCGATGCCCAAGCATTCCGGCCAAATCGCACAGACGGCGCCCTCAGTGCTTTCATAGAAGGTCAGGGGCTCTACATTCTCGGAGGAAGGGAATCAATTGGCAGTAACGCAATCTCCCAGACGTTCATGATCGACCTATCAACTTCCTGGAACGCCACAAAGCCAGCATATAAACAACTACCGACGGGGCCAGCTATTGAAGAAATGCCCAGCGTTATGACATCCGACGGCCGCTGGGTGGTTATTGACTACGCCTCCACCGTCCATGTCTTCGACACCAAGAAGAGCACATGGAACAAAACCTTTGCAGTCAAAAACTTCAACACCGGGGTCGGAAACGGAGCAGTGTTTGATCCCGACAGTGGCTCCATTTACATACCAAACGGATACTTGGACGCCAAGAATCAGGTCAACGCGTTGAAGATGAACTTGGATACTCGTACAACAGAGAGTGTTCGTATCTATCCTACAAATCCATCGTCTCTTGGAGTCTCAGCTGCTTGGAGCCAACAATTTCAGAAACTGATTGCAGTAGGAGGATACATTCGCGGTACATTCTCATGGAGCACCGTTCTCAACTGGACAAACATGACACAGCACACGACGGGAACGACGCCCCCAGGGGCGTCCAACGCCCAAATACGGACGCTTCATTGTCTTACGCCAGCCTACGGAGGGTCGAAGATGATCCTGTTCGGCGGAAAGGACTTTGATAACGGCTATCGCGATATTTATGTGCTGGACGTGGCGACTTTTACGTGGACGAAAGGCCCCGATATCGATCAGGGGAATGCAAGAGATTCAGCCGCCTGTGCATTTTCGAACGATCAGTTCATCGTATGGGGCGGGTCCACAAGGGTCAATGCCACTCAGTTCATCTTCAACAACAAACCTCTCATCTACAACCTCAAAACTAAATCCTGGACCTCCCAGTACATCGTCCCGGTCGTCCAATCAAATATTACTACTACTTCTGCCGCCACCGCCATTGTTTCATACATCTCCACCTCGGCCACCGCCTCAAGTGCCTCAAGTCCTACACCGTCCACTGATTCCCTTGCGTCGACTTTACCAGGAACTAGTCGCCTACCTGTGATTTTGGGCGCAGTTGTAGGAGTCCTTTTCGTGTCTATTGTTGCCGGTGTTGTCCTTGTGTATCGTCAACGAAGGCAACCTAAGGCCTCCAGCGGTTCTGTCCACCAGATGTCAAATCCATTCCCTGGTCCTTCTCATCACAAACCAAGCGCATACAGCATATTGCGTAGTCCATCCGCTCATGGGCCCTCGTCCTGGCCAAAGCACTCAGACAACTCGCGGCATTCTGAAAGAACCCACGCACCCGAATCGCAATCCTTCTACAGCTTATCTCCTTCTGCCGGTGCATACCCACCCCTGTCTCACTATGTGCCACCACCACCACCACCCCATCCGGCCATCGTTGCAGAGGAGAGGGTTTATGACCACACGAAGCATCGGTACCCAAGAGCGGGTTCCCAGCGTCCCCCACAGCAGCAGACATTCAACCGAAACGCAGAGATGTCTATGAGACGCAATGTCCAAGAAGGTCTCCATGGAACACAGACTTATCCACAACATCCTCATACGAGTATGAGTGGACCAACGTTGGAGGGTACTTATCTAGACGATTATTATGACCCCCGCCTCATGTCAGAATCTCCTTGAGGAGCGCCAATCCACACTCTACATAGTCTCTATCCTTCTCTATATCATCAGACGCATCTTAGATTAGTATATTTTAAATGAAGTAGTATTACGTGAATCTGAGCAGTCGACCAACTGTATGTGCAAAGTGTCGACGCTGTATGTATTAGCAGTAAACACTATGGCCTGCAGTATTCGAGAGGACGTAGTCTTAATTTGCGTCTGGGAAAGAGTAGCGAGACAGTGAGGTGTAAAGAAACCCCACTGCTGTGCTGCGCTGTGCTGTCAATAAAAACCAGGGGTTATTCTGAACTGTTTGGAGGCTGATTTTTTGCCCGATCCAAAACTTTAAACTGAAACGCTTTGGCTTCAGAAACAGAGGCGACGAGTCATTGCATTTCCTCCCTCCTTCCAGAGTGTCATGCACATTAAGCGGCGAAGCAAGTCAATTTATCGCACAGCCCTATCAATGTTCTAAACACTAACAGCTTGGGCCTATTTCTGTCATCGTTCTCTCTTCTCTTCTCCTCCCTATCTCTTTCTCCCTCCATCCTCCCTCATAATTCCCTGGTCCGATATTCCTGCCCTTCCTCGAATCTTTAGCCATTTTTCCTCTTCAGTATCCCCAGCCAACATGGCCCTTCTTCACCTTGCACACCTCCTTCTCTCAATAATTCTGCATTTCCGTCATTTCCTCAGCCGATGCTCAGGCGCACCAGTCGAACGTCGCAGCTTACGCCAACGATGTTTTCGCCGAGGGCTAAGGATTTTAAATCAATGGAGGACCTGACTCATCCCCCAAACTCAACCTACAATATGGTCGCGTAGACCTTCATGCTTGGCCTGTCAACTCCATGGAATACGACCAGTCCGGCCTACAAATAACTGCCAAAGATGCCATTTGTCTAGCCCTCTGCTTCCTCTCTCATATCCGATGGTCAGGGCTGGGTATTTATCGGCCATGACGATTACGCAAACTTCCCCAACCTCATGACAGGCGCCTGGGAGGCACCGTTTCCTCTTAACTTTGCGTTCAACACCATATATTCCACAGCAGCCGATCTCGACACTGGCCTCGTCTAGGTACCGAACACATACAACAAAGCCAGCGGTGGCCCTAGTATGCTACGCATCAACTTGAAGGCCAAGCGTTCCGACCATGTGTCAATGCACAGCCACGGAGACCGACACGATCGTGTCTTTTGGGGTCAACAGTTGCACAAACTGATCTCCATCGGATGTAGCGTGTACTCGTGAAGGGCAGAGTCAGATGTGACAGGATACATGCACAAGGGATCTTGTTTTGCTTCAGCCTACGGAAGCTCGAAACTGACTTTTTTTTGGAGGATATGACGATGCTACCACCAGTAAACCAGTAACATGGACGATATCAACGTGCTGGATCTCAAGACACTGACTTGGGCAAAGAGTACCGGCGCCGTAAGCTCCAATGGACGAGGCAATGCTGTATGTGCGGGTTCGGGCGATTGGTTCAACGTGTGGGGGTGGATTACAGGTAAAGGACAGTATGGTGGACTTGGTCAACAGTGAGACTCGCATCTACAACATCAGAACCGAAGAATGGACATCTCAATATGCTGTTGCCAGCACATAGTCCGCCCTGTTTCAACCGTCTCTCCGCGGTCTTTGGAGCTGTTTTTAAGACCAGTGCTGTGCATTCTTCAAGACCACTTCAAGCCCGATGCTTTTTATTAAGCCATTCCAGTTCACGTCCTACAGAATCCTCCCCCGACCCCCCTTCTACTCTACAACACGCGAATCTCATATAGACAGCATTTCCAATATACCGTGTATTTATTATGATTAAGAACCACATCCTTGTCGTTGTTTTGCGTGAGCTGGCTTTGACATTTGTTTGCGGTAGAGTATCATCTTTTCTTATTCTCCGCAGCGCGTCCGATATGTTTTTGTCCGCATTGCATTGTTCCCTATTTACATGCCATATAGACTATTTATTTCAAAAGCGCCAAAAATATCTACACATTGCGAACTTCACCCTTCTGACTCAGTCCATTATCAACTACCACCATCGCTTTTTTTTCCCCTTTCCTATTCTACCCACTATGTGAGTTCCTCTTCTTGCCTTTCATGAACCCTCCACCACCATCCTTATCTTTATCTCCTCCCTTGCCCAACAACGGTCCCAATAACGTCGACCCAGACAAAAATCCACCAGATGATTTTCCAAACCCCCGACCGCTCGACTTACTGGTCCCGTCCGTCGTCAAACTCTTCTTCATCTTTAGAACACCATCCGGAGGTGCCGGCGCCGAAGCTCGGGCCTGAGGCGGCGGGAGCGTGATAGACGAGCGAGCTGACGAAGGCGGAGAAATGCTACCTGTCGCTGCAGAAGATATCGGAGCCGGCACAGCCGCTGAAACTGCAGCCGCAGCTGGTGCGGGGGCAGGAGTAGAAGCAGGGGCAGGCGTAGGAGCAGGAGCAGGACTGGACATGGGAGCAAACAGCGACGAAAGCGGACTCATCTTCTGGGCAGGACTCGCCCTTCCTGGGAACCGGTCTCCTGCGTGAATTGTCGCACTCGGGAACAGGGCCATTGGAGGCGACAGCGCACTCTTACTCGTCACCGTAAAACTGTTCCGGATATCAAAATCCGAGGTCGACATATGGATCGGTTGGGTCGGATGAGGTTGATAGCCTTCAAAATTTTCATCCGGAAGGACCGAAGACCGCCGTCTGAAGATACCCTTGGCCTTGTTCTTTGATTTATTGAGCTTACGTTCGGGCCGGACGACGATCACAGGGACCGGGGAGTGGTGTAGACAGTACCGGGATACGGAACCGAGCAAAAAGCCTTTGACTGGACTGCGGCCCCTGGTTCCGACGACTAGCATGTCTGGTTGGTACAATTTAATCTGATGGGGGACAAATAATAACATTAAAAAACGATGTGAGGAGAGAGGAGAGAGGGAAGAGGATTAGTGGCATGTCTTGTGTGGTGGTCGAGCGTTGTTCAACATATCGATCTCAACACGCGGATGTGTTTTTCATACCATGTGCTGAATAGTATCACGGACGTTTCCGACAATGCACTCGACGACGATGCTGATTTCCCTGCCCGAGACATTCTTCTCGCGGACCGAGCTCATGATCTTATTCGCCTCTGAGCGTGCCGCAGATTCCTGGCCCTGAAACGACGGAATCCCCGTTTTCGACACTACACAACCGCGGATCATGGACGTGGGATGAATGAACCGAGCAGCGTTAGTATACTACACTCAAAGCTTCTTGATTCTCTTCCATATGCTCCTGTATCCTCTTCCCTTTCGATCCCTGCGGACGCGCGGGTCCTGCTCCAAAATGTCAAGCTGTCGGGAGACCCATGAAGTCCACAGGTTTGTTTCTCCCCATCACTTTATATCCTGTCTGTTCCGAGTGTCGTAACCACGTAGTCGACTTCCCTATTCCTCTGCGACACTGTCTCAGATGGACTTACAAGAATCCCGGAGCTCCATGGGTACGACTCTCAGAGCAACGATCTATTTACACGGAGGTCACAGGAATGGAGAAAAGAAAGTAAGCGAGTCAGCGTAAAAAAAAAAAAAAAAAAAAAAAGCATGCAAAAGTATAGATGACTATCCATCTCGTTTGTTTTCCCTCCTCTCTAAAGCAAACCACCATCTCATTTTGGCACTTGCTGGTGTGTTTATCCTCACAACCCCAAGAGAAAAGAAAAAAGGAGATATCCGATATCGCCGAAGCAATGAAAACGCTCCCTGCGAGTAATTGTGGGGTTATGGAGGAAAGTCAGATAGCGGCAGCAATTCATTCTTTTTTCTCCACAAGCTGCTTCGTAAAAAATAAAATAAGGTGCTGTCACTCGTTGAAAGACCCGCGTCAAGATAGAAATAGAACAAAAGCGAGAGCAGCTTCTGAAGACCACGAGTTTCTGTGTATGCTTCTGTTGCTTACCTCGTCACCATCCTCGACCATATTCTCCATAACCCACTGCAGGGCGTGTGCAGAATAATCGTTCAAATCCGTGCCGACCAAGAACGTCCTGCCCTTCTTGGTCCTCTTCCAATGGTCCGTCTTTGCCTGGAGTGTAAAGGAATATTCAGAAGTGTCGCATCCGAGGGTATCGAATCCAACGCGACCGATGTATCCCTCTGAAGAGGTAGAGGAGCGTCGACGATTTTGGCTATGGCGTGACTCAGAGGTGTTCTCGCTGGCGTTGGCGGTGGTGTTGTTGGGACTGGTGATACTGGAGGTGGATGGTTTTGGTTTGGTGCTTGGTTTGACGGGGTTGTGAGAGAAGTCTGCGGTGATTTGTGCATTGGCGAGGGTGTTGTTCATGGTGAGAGTGCTGTGGTCACTCATGTCATCTATTTTAGGGGTTGAGATGATCATGGTGGGCAAGAACGGTCTGTTGATGAAGCAATGGGAATAGGTGGAGTTTGTGATGAAGAAAGAGGTGTGAAGGAGTGAAGGAAAACGAAAAGAACGATAAGCTATTATAATAAGGGCGTTTCATTGCTTAAATAGTGAGAAAAGTGACCCTGTTCACACTTTAGTGCCATGCATACTTCTAGGCCATTACAGACGAAGAAGCAGAGGATAATGATCTTGTGTAGGAAGACCCTGACTTGCACTTTCAAGAGCACATCCGACCATTGTCACTATGCTTTGATTGCAGTTCTTGGCTGCCGGCTTTAATTCACAAGAAAAGAGGCATGGTAGAGGATAGTGGTATGCAATTTTGAATCCTATACACGATCTTCTTCCCTCCAGGTTCGGCTGCACTATGGGGTCTTTCACTCAGCTTTTACTTCCGCGGGTCGACAGCATTTCTATTGAATTAAAGAAATGTATAGAAACTGTATTGAGACCGAACCAACCCCATGGTCAACTTTGCTTACATAAGCATACCGCATCTATCCTGATGTCTGTAGCATAAAGAGGGGCCAGCGACGGCGCTACTTCGTTACTTTTAGAGCCGTCCAGCAACTGCTCACAGTTCAATTGCTCGTGGGAGTCAACCACCTCCTTCACTGCTTGGTGAGACAGGGTGATTGACATTCCACCGCCAGATACGAACGCCCACTGTGTGTTGAGCGAACATATCTCTGCAAATCTGCTCTCGATGAGTTTAAAGAGGCATGACAAGGTTGATCAGACATAGTCTGTCTTCATATATCATGTCATTAGTGCCACGTATGCTCTCCCTCCACGCTCTGATCCCTCCAACCCACTTTAGCACCTACCACGCCAAATGCCCCCTAGTCTCTTTCAAGCTCCTGGTCTCTTGCTGAGCGAATGAAATGTGACGGGTCTTAATGAAATGGGTCCCAGGAAGAGGGGAAGGAATGCAACGCCACAACTTTCTAATCCTTCCGCGTGCATGGGCTGGGCTGTAGGACTGTTTGTTTTCTTTTCTTCATTTTTTTTTTTTTTTTTTTAAGAGCACATTTTCCCCTTTCGCTGGTTCTTCCTCTTTCCCCACTCCTTCCCTTCCGTGCACCACACCCTGCTTTTTGCCAGTAAACAGCGCAAACAACAGGCAACGGTCAAGACGAGAAGGGGATCCCATTCACAGCTACAGATAGAAAAAAAAAACACGCTATACAAAAGAAAAAGAAAAACCTGTTCGTGAAGGGAAGAAGTGGAACTCCTTAATCGCATTCACACTCGTACGCACCATCAAACCGACTCCTTCGACAAAGCAGCACACTCCATCACACTTTTCTTGCACACTCGGCCCCAGATTCGACATCAATAGCAACAACAATGGGAGGGTATGTATCATCCTCCGTCCCTCTACCTTTTCCCTCCTGCCACCCCCTCCTCCTCCACGTCTTTACAATGCACCTTTTCTCCTCGACCTGTCTCTAAAATCAGCTTATTGTCCACTTTCAAGTCTTCGACGCCAAAAATCACTCGTTTCTCTTCCTTACTACGCGCCAATGACCTTCAATTGGGGCAGCAAGGGCATCGACTGGGTCGATCGTATTATCATTCCACGCTCAACCTCTCTCCAAGAACCCTTTCTGTACCGCTAGTTGGGCTCTGAACCAGCAAAGCAAGCTGAGCAGGGACCCAGTTTTTTTATTTGTTCTGCCTATTTGTTTGTTCGAGCAATTCAACTGGCGTTGCACAACGCACGATAATCGCAGCCTATTATCTATGCGCTCTCACACGATCCGAATCAGATCCTCTGCCCAATAACTTACCCAATGCACGCTATGATAGCAAAATATTCCAACCTTCTGTCATGCAAAACATGGGAGCCATAGTCTATCTTTTTATCTGTGGTCATTTTGAAAACATCCTTACATCCTTACACGCGGGGCATGGGGAAAGAGAGAACGAAAGAGCGAGGATGGATGAGATTCTCACACTGTATTTCCGGCTCTTCTTTAGAGTATCACTTGTGGACACGCCTGCTGGACCAGATAGCCACACTGCTTCCATCAAGAACCTTTCGCAAATCGAGGCGTTGAACCAGCTTGCCCTCGATGCCAGTGCCCTCACTAACGGACAGAGTTACGGCCCCTCGCAGACTCAGCCCCAGTCCAATAACTCGTTTTCCATCTCGGACTTTCTCGTCCCCGGTCTTCAATCCAAAGCTTGGGAGGACTGGCAGGTCGCCGATGAGTTGGACCCATTTACGTAAGCGCATCTATCCTTTATACATCCAAGCGACTTGGCACCAATTGAACCGCGGGTGCGCTTCCGATATTTAATATCCCAACATCCGCCTTTTTTTTTTTTTTTTTTTTTTTGGAATATAGCGCCGGAATGAATTCTCAGGACTTTACATCTGATATCAACAACGCGCCCTTTCAACTGGGTCTGGATTGCATGTTCGGCAGTACGGGTTGGGATGCCACGACTGCAGGTCTCCCTGCAGACCAGGCCTATGACGAATACGTCTTCGACTTGGCGCCTTCCAACTTTGCGGCCCCTGATATTGTCAATATTGCAGATCTAATTGTCGGACCCAACTCAATGGCACCCTCTGTCTCGCCTCTGGATCTCGCAATGTCCAGCATGCCCCAAAACTATAACAACTATCAGGATCTCGCCCTTGCCAATCTGTACGGATTCACGGAGCACGACTCGGCGATCTCAGACTCGGACCTTGGCTCGGATCTGAGCGAGGTTGACTCCTTGTCGGATGATGACGAAGATTGTGATGAAGATGACGAAGATGACGAGGATGACGAGGATGACGATGAGACCGATGAAGTCGACGAAGACTCCGCCAATGTTGAACTTGTGCTCACGGAGCCGGTCGATATCGAACAGGATGACGAGATGGATGAGAGCTTAAGCATCGCTGTCGCCATGTCCCTTGAAGCAGTCGACTGCCCCGAGCCAGCTATGGTTGCTCCTACAGTACCTGTAGCTGAAGATCCAAACAAGCGCCGCATGGAAGAGGTTCTGGTGGCGCGCATCAACAACGACCTTGGCCCTGAACACATGGCTGGACTTTTCAAGATCCTGAAGGGTACCAGTGGTCAAGAGGATGCTAAAGATGACGACGACGACGACGAAGAGATGGAGGTTGATTTGTCCCGCTTGGACGAAACCACTCTTGTGGAGCTCCACCAATACGTTGAGACCTGCTGCATGCAGATCATGGGCACCATTCTTGCAGAGGAGCAGGAACGTAAGAGAACCGCTGCTATTGCTGCTGCTAAAGCAAAGGCGGAACAGGAGGCCTTGGAGAGAGCGCGTTACTACCAGCAAAGAACGCCCGAGCTCTCGCCCAGCCATTCGTACTCCTCTGCATCGCCTTCGCCCCCTCACCCTTCGTCCTCAAACAGCGGCTGCGGCCCCAACAGCAACAGGAAGCGCTCTATGGCGGTTTCGACATCTTGTACCCAGTATTATGAGCGCAGCGGTGTCGAGGAGCAGACCGAGGCGCTTTGGATGACGGCTCAGCACAAAGTCAAGCGGAAACGATCCAGCAACAACCCTGCCTGCATGGGTGGTGGCGGCACTGGCAAAGGCCGAAGGATACAAACGTCGTTCCAGGAAGTTCAGGAGGACATGGGCATGGAAATTGATGAGGATGACGAGATTGACATTGTCGGTATCTAAACAGGATCTTCGACAACCGCTCTTTCACTATTCTCTTTTTTTTTATCCTTATTATTCTTGGACTCTTTTACAAGTCTTTGTAATTTTATCCGCATCTTTTACCATTATTTTTCTTGCATCCAATACTCTCAACATTATCGATCGTGATGACCCTCGTCGAGAACTTGGCTCCCTTTGTATTTTTAGGACACGACCGAACGACCATATATGTTTCGCAGCTCTTTTTTTCTTTACTTTCCTATTTTCATCGTTTCCTCCGTTTTTGTAGACAAACATACCATGATTTTGCACAGCGTGTTGATGGTTCAGGGCCTGAACAGAATCAAAAGTATAATAAAAACGAAAAAAAACGATTGCATTCTAAGGTTCTGCAACTATGCTTTTATCCTGTATCTATGGCTTCCGTGCAACTACTGTGGCGACTGGCCGCCTTCCGTCCTCGATCAAAGAAACCTCCTCAGACACAATATTCAGGCCCAACGATTCAAAGATGTCGCTGGCCTCCGACCTGGACTGCAGGCGGTGTGCTGGCCCTGGTTTGGAGTACTGAGGGAGGTCCTTGTCCGATACAAATGTGCTCAAAATGATAAACCCGCCTGGGCGCAGCCAGTTTTCAACCAGGGGCGCAAACAATGACCGCTGAAGAAAGCGGATCATGATGATCAGATCGAACCGCTGGTCTTTGGTCTCTGTTGCTGCAGCGCTACCCAAGAGTTGTTGCTGTTGCTGGTCGAGCACTACATCGTGATACCGAATATTCTGTAGCCGCAATGGACCGGCTTTGCCCTGTGGGTGCGATGGTATGGATGATGGTGAAGAGACCCAAAAGACACCGGACTCTGAATCGACCTTGCCTACCAAAAAGCCCACGCGCGTCGCCAGCTCCATTCCGGGATCCGTTATCTTTGCATCGATATGCTCGCCAGGATCCTGGAAAAATGTATCGTCGACTAGCTGTTGCCCAAGCCCGCACATGTCTTCGCGTTGATCCATCCCAAGAGCCGACCACTCCGCGCCGTTGATTGCCAGGCCATTAGCTGATCTGGCGACCATATATATCATATCCCGACCAGCTCCACACCCGACATCGAGACAACGTAGCAGATTCGATCCATGGGGTGACTTGGCTTGCTGTGTGGATCGCGAGGCTAAGAGTTCTCGCTCAACTGTTGGCAGGATCTTGACTAAGATGGGGTTCGGCTGAAATAAGAAGTTGTACCTCTCCTTGCTGGGCTTGCTTCCGTCAATGATCTCGAGCGCAGGCTGGGTATGCTGTCCAGGATCTCTATTCATGGAGGATAGAGACAGCTCTTCGGCGAACGTCGTCCAGAAGAGTGGGTGATCCTCAAATGTCCATTCTGTCCTGTATCCTCGACTCTTCAAGATATTGCTGCTCCTGATCTGCCTTCCAAATTGATCGGCCCTGGGATCTGATCTCTCCAATTTCTTAAACTCATCGTCCTGACCATCGGTTGTATCTTCCTGTGGCGATTCGAGAACCGCAAACGGCGTTTGTTTAGCGGGTAACTTGAACCACGATCCGTCCAGTCGATGCAGCGGAATGTTTGTCGAGGGGGAAAGGTGTCGTGCGCAAAATATCCGTCGTGGCCTTGTGTCAAGGATCAGATATGGCGGGCCACCACAATTGAGGAACGAGCGGATTGTCTTCTGGAGTAGAGCCTTGGCGTCTTTTCCTTTTCCTGAAGGGGGGCTCATTGCTGGACTGATCTTGGGGTGATGCCGAGCCCTTGTGTCCAGCGGTGGGTAGGGGTTACCATACACGTGATATATCCTCCACTCCTCTCCTCTCCTTGCAATGAGCTCCACGCTTGATGCATGCACTTTTGCTCATCAACTCTTTTCGCCATCACTCACTCCTCTGTTCGACAACCTTCACCTCGTCTCCTTTTCATCATTTAGCGTCCTCAATTCAAACAGTAACCCAGGGACCAGCACACTTTACTCCCCCCGCAATCCGACTTCGTGGAATCGATTGTTTCATCAAGGAGGAGGATTCGGCCCTTTCCCCCAAACACTGGACCCTTTCCTTTTTTTCTTTTTCTCTTCTTTTCCTCCCGAGCACTACTCCGCCCTTTGTCGCTGGGAATACGCGAAAGAACAACGCTACCATGTCGACACCACCACCGGACTTTTCTCCAGTGACCCAGGTCCTGAACGCTGGAGCTCAGCCTGCACCACCGGAGCAGAAGGTCTCGGAAGAACAGTTCAATTCGATGCATGCGTCCTCAGTCACCTATCGGGATCTCTTGATCTTTGAAGAGCGGCTTAAGCTGAACCTCACACGACTCAAGAAACGGCAGCAGAAATATGAAGGTGAGACGACGACTATGCCTGACGAAAACCGCGCAATGTCGAAATTAAGATTTCTTGTAAGCAATATTAGGATTCCATTCTGACCATTAATTCATTTCTTCCCTTTTTCTTTTTAAACAATCGATCGTTAGCGTTCCTGGGGTCGTTGATTGTAGTGATCGCATATTGTGCGTTTGCGACGTTCTATAAGCCAAGTCAGGTACGGACAGGTTTGAACTTGCTCGGCATGTATCCGATCGAGTATTTTCACGAAGGGATGGACACAAAAGGAAGCAGCAGCGACAACAACAACAACAACAACAACAACAACAACAACAACAAAAATGCATTGGAGAAGGCATATATACGGCCGGCTCTGATCCGGCCACTCACCACACCATCCGACACCTGCATTTCAAATTGAACTGAGCCCTGTTCTCTTCGTCTTCGCCTTCCCTAGAAAACACATTTTTGTCATATTCAAGAATGCTAACATTGTCGATTGTCTGTGCTGCCTCTCTTTTTTTATTTTACAAAAATAGACGTATTATATCCATTTGCTGCACAAGTTCTTCTTACTCCTGTCCGCGACGACGATGTTTCTCTTTTTCGCGACTGGGATGTATTCTGAGAAATTGGGACACTCGTTAAAGTATGGATCCTCCCCTCCGAAAAAATCGACCCTTGCTTGTTTTTGTTAGCGTCGCAAGGGCACTCGAGAGTAACATTTTGTTCTTCTGTCCGTTCGTCCTTTTAACGGTATATGTTTTCCTCCTGGCCGTTATCGATAGGTTTGTCCCGCAATGCAATAGAGTGCTTCGGACGTTCAATATGCACTTCAACCGTGACAACCGACCCGAATTATCATTCTTCCGCAAAGTACCCAAAAAATTCCAGGAGGGCTTCACGGCCTACAAGGCCAGTTATTTCAAACGCAAGTCCGAGAAGCGAGCGGCAGCTTTGGCTGCCAAGGCTGCAGGTGGTGCCAGTTCCGGGGCGACTATGAGTAGATCGGCGATTGGACAAGGCGGTAGGAGGTTACAGCCTTCGTCTAGAGGGAGGAGGATCCCAGGAGGAGGGGGTGGTGGATCTGCTTCGGGGTCGGATTCAGGAGCGAGGCCGATAATGGGGCTGTCGTCATTGACGAGGCCACCTATTAGACCAAATTCAAACTCGGTGACTTCGGCGACTTCGGTAGCGTCGTCGATAGGATCGGATAGGGGTTCAAACGCGACAGCATTGGGCAATAGTCGCCATAGATCCGAGTTGACCAATAGATATTGACCCACAGAAGGAGCAATTGAAGTAGAACGCGTAATGTGGTGTACCCATGTAAATCTTTTTTTCACGGATCTTAAACTACACGTACTTGCACGTGATAGTAACCGATGGGATTTCTCCCCCCTCCTCTCCCTTTTCACGTCTCCTCTTCCTCTCTTCACTCCCTTCTCTTCCTCTCTTCGCTCTCTTCTCTTTCATTCCTCATCCCCACACTCGACATTCATTCAGCTATGTTCTCTGCTCTTCGTCAGCCCCTTGCTCGCGCTACTGCCGCCAAGCCCTTGGCCCGCGCGTTCTCTGCTTATAGCCCTGTCCAAAGCAAGTGTTGTTGTTGAGAAATGATAGTGCTCAGTGCTTGTACAGAATGCAGTACTAATTTCCCACGCCATAACCCCGCTCTTCACATTACCCCCCCACACACGTACACACACTTACACTTCGACACACCCCACTCCCACTTCAACTATTTCTTTTCCTTTAATACTGCCCATATCCCCATACAACTCTTGTCCTTTTTGATTGTACCTCCATTAGATGCTGTAGCTCCAACAAAGTCGGCGAACTTGGAGTACCTCTTGACCGAGACCCGTGGACGCGTTGGAGTTGTGACGCTTCATCGCCCCAAGGCCTTGAACGCGCTCTGCAACGGCCTCTTTGTGGAGTTGAACCAGGTCCTGAAGGAAATGGATAACAACAAGGAGATCGGGGCCATTGTCCTCACTGGAAGTGAGCGCGCTTTCGCTGGTAAGCGTTTACTTTTATAGTTTTTCGCCGGGGCAAAATAGAGGGGATGATGTCCTGTAAAGTGATTTGTTGCTGACAAATATTCCATGGAAACGCGCTGATGATAGCTGGTGCCGACATCAAGGAGATGAAAGACAGGACCTTTATTGAGAACTATACGGAGGACTTCTTGGGCCACTGGACCCAGATCACCAAGATTCGCAAGCCTATCATCGCTGCCGTGAACGGATTCGCTGTACGTTTTGTTGCTTCGTGGGATGACTTTTTTGAAAGTTATTGTGAGGTGAAGTTGTTCATTGTGGGGGTACTGATCGCTCTTACTGAAACATTGTATAAATAGCTTGGCGGTGGATGCGAGTTGGCCATGATGTGCGGTAAGTCAAGGGGGACTTTATTTTCCTACTGTTACATTGAACTGCACGAATACACAGCGTGCAATTGATCTCTAAACCAACCGGAAGCTCATCAATTTTTCAATTATCCATGTTACGCGTTTTGATAGACATCATCTATGCTGGCGACAAGGCCGTGTTCGGTCAGCCCGAGATCAAGTTGGGCACTATTCCCGGAGCCGGTGGCACGCAGCGTCTGGTCAAGGCCGTTGGCAAGTCCAAGGCGATGGAGATGTGCCTGACTGGATCTGTGAACTTGACGGCTGAGGAGGCCGAGCGCGCGGGTTTGGTCAGCAGGGTGCTGCCTGCGGATGTTGTGGTGGACGAGGCCGTGAAGACGGCGGAGAAGATCGCGGGGTTGTCGCAGCCGATTGTGCAGATGGTCAAGGATGCGGTTAACCAGTCGTTTGAAATGCCTCTGTCGGCTGGGTTGACGTTCGAGAGACGGTTGTTCCACTCGACGTTTGCGTCCCAGGACCAGAAGGAGGGTATGAGCGCTTTTGCTGAGAAGCGAAAGGCCAAGTTTGTTCATAACTAAGAAGGGAAGAAGGGTCTAGTACTCTCAGTTCTCGCACCAACAGTTACTCAGCAACAGCAAAATAAAGACAAGGCGTCAATTGCCAGGTCTGTACTCTGTGCGTAACAGCACAAAGCAGCCAACTAGAGCATTGTTGACCCTGGAAAAGGCGGACTGTTTGTTTACAAATGAACTTCCGAAGCAGGCAGTCACTTCTGACCATTCGGTGCCTGAAAAGCGTTTCTTTTCCTTTCCTCCTCACCTACCCCTCCGTCTCTCTCTGCATCCGACCCACCCCGCCGGGCTTGACATTCCCCATCTCCCTTCTTCCTCTTTTCTTTCTCTCTCCTACCGACTTGCTCTTTCGTTCATTCGACAAGAGACTCGCATTCCTTGTGTATCCACCTGTGAACGAAAGTTTTTACACAACACGACCAGTATGACCTACTTCCGCTCGGTGATTAACGCCCAGAGTGCCTTTTCGGCACAGGCCCGTCGTGCGTTCTCGACGGCGATGTATGGCAACAACTCCACGGCAGCTGCTACTGGTGTGAAGAAGAGCTGTGTCAACCCAGAAATGTTGTACCTCCAGCCTCGTTGGCACGCCAAGAAGGATCTGGCATCGCAGCAGCAAGGCACTGGAAAGGTCCTTGTGGGTATGATCCAGAAGCGGTGGAATTCTGCATCTGCTCAGCCTATTCAGACTGTAAGTCTCTTTTTCTTTTGTCTTTTTTCTTCTTTTATGGGTAGTGCTCAAAAGAATATCCGGAGCATCCTTCCGTTTGATCTAGTCACTAATCTATGGTATACATGTATATATATATTCATTTTCTGTCGGGTGTTGTTCATAGGGCTCGATCGAGAAATTGCGTAACATCGGTATCTCGGCGCATATTGATTCCGGAAAGACGACGTTGACGGAGCGCGTGTTGTTCTACACAGGTCGTATCAACCAGATCCACGAAGTCCGTGGAAAGGACAATGTCGGCGCCAAGATGGACTCGATGGAACTTGAACGTGAGAAGGGAATCACCATTCAGAGTGCCGCTACTTATGCGGCCTGGAAGGATTTTAACTTCAACATTATCGATACTCCTGGTAAGCCAAAAAAAAAAAAAAGCTTTATAGAAACTGGCTGCTTATTCACGATTGAACTCTTATGGCGAAGGGAATCATTCCCAGGTTGTAGAAGGAACTAAACTGGTGAATTAATCCGGATGTTTCCGTTTGTTATTGTGGTTGGATTTTAGGGCACGTCGATTTCACGATTGAGGTCGAGAGAGCGTTGCGTGTGTTGGATGGTGCGGTTCTAGTGCTGTGCGCTGTCAGTGGTGTGCAGTCGCAGACTATCACGGTCGATCGTCAAATGAAGCGTTATAGTGTCCCCAGAATCTGCTTCATTAACAAGATGGATCGGTAAATAGCCATCTTCAGTTCAATGGCGCTTCGAGGATATGACCGGATACTATGTACATTGAATACTCACTCCGCATATATCTTCAAATTTTCTTTTTGCACAATGCCTATTAGTGCTGGAGCGAATCCCTGGAAGGTCGTGGAGGCTCTCCGCACGAAGCTGAAGATGCACGCTGCTGCATTGCAGATCCCTATGGGCGCTGAGGACAACTTCAAAGGCGTCATCGATCTCCTCAAGTGGAAGGCACTTGCCTTCGAGGGAGCCGATGGGTATGTGTTGTTGTTCATATGAGCATGCATGATGTGATATGGTGAACTGGGAACCATGTCTAACAAACTATTACCTTACAACTTAATAGTGTTGATGTGGTTGAGAGCGAGATCCCTGAGGAGTTTATGGAGCTCGCAAAGGCCAAACGCGCCGAGTTGTTCGAGCATTTGGCAGAGGTCGATGAGACCATGTCGGACATGTTCATCATGGAGGAGAACCCTACGAGCGAGCAGCTGGCCGAGGCCATCCGTCGCGCGACTATTGCCCGTAAGTTCATTCCTGTGATGATGGGATCTGCTATCAAGAACAAGGGCGTCCAGCCCCTGCTTGATGCTGTCTGCGCTTATCTCCCCAGCCCCAATGAGGTCACCAACGCTGCATTGGATATTAAGAACGATGAGGCCAAGATTGAGCTCTCCTCCGATGACAAGGATCCTTTGGTTGGTTTGGCGTTCAAACTGGAGGAGGGTCGCTTTGGTCAACTTACGTACATGCGTGTGTACCAGGGTATGTTGCGTCGCGGCGGATTTATCACGAACGTCAGGAACGACAAGAAGGTCAAGGTGCCCCGTCTGGTGCGCATGCACGCCGATGAGCTTGAGGATGTCGATGAGGTCGGACCAGGAGAGATTTGCGCGATGTTCGGAGTAGATTGTTCCTCAGGAGATACCTTCACGGATGGTTCGGTCCAGTACACGATGACATCGATGTTTGTGCCCAATCCCGTCATTTCACTGTCGCTTAAGCCTAAGGGCAAGGAGACCCCCAACTTCTCGAAGGCTCTGAACCGTTTCCAGAAGGAGGATCCAACCTTCAAGGTCCATGTCGATTCCGAGACGAAGGAAACGATTATTTCGGGAATGGGAGAGCTGCACTTGGAGATTTATGTCGAGCGCATGCGTCGTGAGTACAGTGTGGACTGCGTCACGGGTAAGCCTCAGGTCGCTTTCCGTGAGGCGATTACAGATGGCGCCAAGTTCAACTACACGCACAAGAAGCAGTCTGGAGGAGCTGGTCAGTATGGTCGCGTGCAGGGATACATTGAGCCGGCGGAGATTGACGAGGAGGGTACCGATGCCTTCTTTGAGAGCCGAGTCGTTGGAGGCAACATTCCTACGAACTATATCCCAGCTTGTGAGAAGGGATTCCGGGAGGGTATGCTGAAGGGTTTCTTGATCGGACATCCAATCACAGGAGTGCGCATGGTGCTCGAGGATGGAGCTGCCCATGCTGTGGATTCGTCCGAGTTGGCGTTCAAAATTGCGACATTGAACGCGTTCAAGGAGGCATACATGAAGGCAAACCCTGTGATCATGGAACCGATCATGAAGGTGGATGTGACGGCACCGGTCGAATTCCAGGGAACGGTAATTGGAGGAATCAACAAGCGTAAGGGAACGATTGTGGATACGGAGTCTGGGGAGGATTACTTCAGCTGTGTGGCCGAGGTGTCGTTGAACGCGATGTTTGGATATGCGTCCGAGATTCGTGGTCAATCGCAGGGTAAGGGAGAGTTCTCGATGGAGTACTTGAGGCACCAGAAGGTGCAGCCCCAAGAACAGATGGAGTTGATTAAGGCGTACCAGAAGAAGCAGAAGGAGGATCAGAAGTAGATGTTTAGGAAACGTTTCTTTACCTTGTTCTTATAATCTAGAAAGTCCTTGTCATTGTTCGATTGTTTCATTCTTTTTTTTCTTTATCCATTTTACCCTTTTACATTCCCCATGTAGTCTACAGAACATAAAGCGCATTATTTTTTGACCCGTTTACATTCGCCGTCTTGATTGGGCGTAGCGCCGATGCCTCTACTTGATTTTTTCTTGACTGTATGGGGATATTGCACTGATACTTCGCCTCTCTTATCAATATGTCCCATCAAAAGCGTACCCTTCGTTCGTTTTTGTTGGCTGCTTTTGCTTCCACGGACGAAAACACCAAATAACATGTGGGTTGCATTACGGACACAACGGTCCCTCCAACATCATCCAGTCCTGGGACCGGAAATCTTAGCATACTCGCTGCGACAAAACGTTCGCCGAGGCTATTACGGACGCTGTCATAAAGCGGCCGAAGAAAATAATCAGGAGACTTGCTCCGTGTCCGGACTTACGACATCCAGCCATCGGTATTTGTCGAGAGAGGTTTAATTGGATTACATTGAACACTACAATGCAGAGCCTTATTGAATAGAGCTAAGCTATGTCTTTTAGGCGGCGGATTTTTGCAATTTTATTTTCTGTATTCAAATATGGGTGACTGAACTCGGTTAGCTATTGAAGGGCCTACTTCCGTGTTCTATGCTCAGGGATAAACCCCGAGCCTCATTTGGTTATGAGCACATTGGATTGCTCGTTACCATCGCTACTCTTGACTGCAGCCGTCGATCGCTGTTCTGGCCACAGGGTTTGCGACCTTCGTTGTCCCTGTTCTCGTCACGGCCCTGTGCTCTGTCAAGGTTTTATCGCGGCCTTTATCGCTCTTACCAATAGGCTGTACTCAGTCCTATTTCCAATCGTATAATCGGCCTTGTCTTTGTTCTTGCGGTATCTTGTCTAAGGCCTTGATACTGGTCTTGGTACTGGTCTTGGTACTGGTCTTGGTACTGGTCTTGGTACTGGTCTTGGTACTGGTCTTGGTACTGGTCTTGGTACTGGTCTTGGTACTGGTCTTGGTACTGGTCTTGGTACTGGTCTTGGTACTGGTCTTGGTACTGGTCTTGGTACTGGTCTTGGTACTGGTCTTGGTACTGGCCTTGCAGTCGAGCCTTGCCGCAGACTGGCCTCGGTCTTTGTTGCTGCCTTACCGCCCTTGTCGCTGTCTTACCGCCCATGCCCCCGCCGCCACCTTGTTGTTGTATGTAGCGGTGACGGTCGGACGAGCGGACGGCGACAGCACATATTTACCCACTTAATTTGTGGAATAACTATCTAGTATCAGATACAGGATCACAAACAATTCGCATAAGGATGGATTCATAGACACTTTGCATATTAAACAAGACACCGCAAACACCAGATGTATACTTACTTTGACAAGGGCGGCGGCAGTGCCTGAGGCCCTTCGATCCTGATCCCCTTTGGCCTCCCCGGACCCTCCTTACACTCCCCTAAACCCTTCTCACCTATTCCTTTGATGCTAGGCCCTTCACCCCGCTCCCCTCTCTGCCCAGTCCCAGATCCCCTCCTGACTAGCCCATGGCAGTTGCACCCCATGCTTCCCATGCATGCAACCGACAAGCCCACCACCGCTCCTCCCGACATTCAAGCAGCCTGAGGACTTACCTGGACGGCCGGTTTTGGGTACCGCTACCAACTGACACTTCCCGTGCAATGGTCCTCAACCGTGGATTGGTCCGCGAATGCCTTAGTTTTTTGAACCACCCTCTACACCCGCTCCAGTGCCCCACTTACCCTAGTACCAGGACCTCGACACGGCATCGGACTCTACTTTCGCGGATACACAAGGGAGCTTGCTTTACCATGCGCACCGGCGGTCCTCAAGGAAAATGAGACAAGGAGACGGTGTTGTACTAGTTAGTACACAGCTGCATGTTGCTTCGAACGCCCGCTGCACAAAAAAGACATGAATATACACATATACAGACAGAGGGCTTACCATTGTGATTTTGGAGTGGACGCTTTTCATCGGACGGTCTGGGTCTCAAGGAAGAAAGGGAGGGGGAAGCGAAAGAAAGAGAAAAGAGAAAAGAGAATGCTGACCCCTGCCTTCTCGCTCAGCCCAAGGCCAGCGGATCATTAGCAATAGAAAAAAGGAATAAAAAGAAAGGTGTAAAGAAGAAAAAGAGGAGAAAGAAAAAAAAAAAAAGAAGGAAAAAGGATAGGGAGAAAGAACGAACGGTGGGAGACCCAGACCTGCCTCCGGAAGTGCACAGCGTATCTGAGCCGGCGACTGCAAGTCAATGAGAGCCGCAGACCATCAGAGTGCGCAAGGAAAAGAGAAACAGACGGTGGCCGATAATCGCCCAGGATCCTGAACTGCACAGGGGCAGTCCAGTCTAGGACAGTGATCCGGACAGGACCACCGATTTTTCCATCCCCTGCAACCCCAACAGTTGTTGCTCCAGAGCCCTGAGCACGCTGGCCCCCTAGTGTCCTTACCTTGCTTTGCTGTGTCTGCTTCTGTCCATGTCTGCTGCTTCCTTTGGCTAGCACCGCGGAGGACCACATTGGCCCGCACAGCCTCGCGCGCCACCATGTGTATATGGGAGAGTAGAGTCGTTCGCCGCGCTATAAGGTCCCTAAGATGTAGGCGAGAACAGGTGCATCAGACAGCCAAAAGACCAGAGGGCTCGCTTCATCCCTAACCCACGGCGCATCATCCCACTGCGTCGAGAGGCCAGTGGCAGGGTCCCGCTGGCGATCCGAACAGGGGCCCTGAGCCACTTGATGCCGGGGCGGCAAGGGTGAGACATGTTGATCACATACAAGAAAAGCAGGAGTGAAATTACCATGAGGTAGCCATTAGAGGCTGGTCCTGAGCATCTGATGGGGAGCATGTTTTGGAGAGTGAAGGGTGGAATAGGTGGAAGGGTGAGCGAGGGGAGTGGGGAGGGAGGAGAAAATGGAGGAAAGAAGAAATAAAAGAAATACCTACCCATCACAGCCTGAGGTGGGAAGGGTAGTGGTATGGCTGTGATGGGTGGGGCGGATCCATAAAGATCGACCCACTGCAACGGGTGCTGGGGCTGGGGCGAGATCCCGTTGCAGCAGGTCGTCTGCACCTGCCCGAAACCCCCTCGGCTTGTACGTTTTTGTGGGGTTTGGGAGTTCCGGGAGGCACAGCTGGCGCCTATTAGACAGAAAGACACGGTGATGAAAACACCAGCAAGGTCAGTATGCAGGAAGGCCCGGCTCATCTTTTCAGAACAAATTTCGTAGTCTAGAACATGAATAGCTGTAGTCGCCTTACCTGGTCGTGATAGAGCGCGTCAGCATGTGGCTCCACCCGCGGCCATGCCTTGCGTAACGATGAGCGGCACTGGTGCGCCGGCTCGATAGGTGTTTCTCGTCCCCGTCCTTGGAGTCGCTGGCTCACCAATGTGGCTTCGGAGGACCCTTTCTTGTCCTGGGTCCCTTGGGCATGCTGCTGCTCATGTGCTTGGCAACCCAGTGAGGGTCTTTGCTGGAGTATCGCAGCGGGCACTCGTACTAAGATCGATCACAAGTCAAGACAAATGTTAGGATACCTGCAGTACACTCTATCCGCAACAGCTTTTCACAATCCACGTACCATATAAGCAATGTTGTCGTTGTCGTTGTCGTTTTTTTTTTTTTTTTGTCTTTGTTTTTTGTTTTTTGTTTTTTGTTTTTTGTTTTTTTGTTTTTTTGTATTCTTTTATTTGTTCCTTTTTTTTCTTTTTTTCTTTTTTTTTTTGGGTCTAACAAGCGACACAAACGCAAAAGATGGGATGATGAGTATTGTGCTTCAATGTGGGTTCAAAGCAAAGCAAAGCAGCCAAAGTACTTACATTGATATCACTGGCGTACGGTAACTTCGCGCGAGGAAGTCTCTGGCGAACTGCCGAGGTGCTAGTTGATTGGCAGTGGAGTGGTAGTGGAGTGGTGGTTGAGCGGTGGTTGAGTGGAGCGCTGGTTAGCTGGTTGGCTGGTTGGTGGTTGGCGGTTAGGTGCTGATTGGGTGTGGGTGTGGGTGTGGGTGTGAGAAGAAGGATAAAGTGCGCGTCTCTTGTTGCTGACGTGTTTAAAAAAAACCAGGCACCCGACAGGCACCTGACATGGTCCGTGCACAGTCATGTTTTGTCAACAACTACGTCATTGTAATGTATCAGTCGGACCCACTGAGGCCGGGATTAGTAGATATTAGTCGCGCCAGTCTCGCCAGTCTATGCTGTGCTGTATTCATCGAAGGAGCGCTCAGGGCGTTGTTTAGGGTACTTGTGCAACATGCGATAAATTGGCATGCTCCTTGCCTTCCTTTTTCTCACCTGCAGACTTGCATCCGTCCTGAAGGAACCGATCTCCATCCATTCACGCGTTGTACAGGCGAACACGTCCACGTCGCGTAATTATCCTGTAGAACAATGGAGGTATAAATGCCCAGGACGTCCTTTGTGAAGCGTCATTGATAACAGCACAGGCGATCGAGGAAATAGGCAAGGCCCAGAAAGTCCACAGGAGTGCCCGTCAACCCATGCAGCTGTTCGAGCCCGTCCTCAATCGCTTGAACGACGTGCATAGCTAGCGTGAGCAAATGAAGCGGACTCGGAATCAAACATCATACACGACCCGTCGCACCTTTCTCTCAAGAAAGCTCGGCCTGCCACCATCAACACCAGCAGCACAGCACTAGATTCTACAGCACGGCGCTAGCAATACTGTACTTTACAACACACATCCCTTCGATATCAATATCAGATCACGTAGATACAACAGGGGACTCTTACCGGACAAGATAGCAGTTGCCGCCTGGTTACCTGATATAGCCGCTTGTTCAGTGCGAAGCCTGTGTATCATAAACTTAAATCTTAAGCATTTGTCTCTGCGCCGCGAGCGTTCGAAAACAGTATGTTGGTCGTATGTTTTACTTGAGATCTGGGCGGTATCACTGCCGCCGCCGCCGCATGTTGCTGCTGTATATCTCTGCTATTTGCGGATTAGGACCTAAGCGGATTGGTGCTCAAGCTGGCAGCTGAATCTTTTTTCTTTTTGGGTCCGATATTGACAATCCTACGCGTGTGTATGTCGAAGTCGCGAGCATCAAGGTGCGCCGCAATAGCAGCTGCATTTATGAAGCGTGATGATACTATTGTCCTGGCAGACTCTACCCTTGCCAAAAGGGTGATCGACGGTATGGCAAAGTAAACGAGTTGTGCGGATGTTCAAATATACTCGTGTTAAAATGGGTGAGAGGCAATCTAGACGGGAGGATGGCGCCCCAATCGCACGGACACAAACACAGCCGTAGGCTCAAAGGTCGGTTGTTGATCGTTGATCGTTTTTTCATCACTTTCGTCTCCCCCATTCCCCATCTTGCTTCCAGCATCAGTGAAACCTTCTTGTTACCATCGCAATGAATACTCGATTTGGATTCTTTCTGGTCCTCGTTGTGAGTCTCACCCTTTCAACCGTATACCCTGCAGAACAAAAATCTCGCTTCGAGTCTCTCTTCCCAGTCCTCCTCGGATTCCTCCTTGGTCTCCTCGTCGCCGAAACACCACTTGCCAGTCGACTTCAGGAGCTATTGGGCCTCAGCTCTAGGCACCCAGACAAGGTCGGCCTGGATATTCTGCATTCACAAGGATCATCCGAGGGCAAAAATGCGAAATCACAGTTGGATCAGAAGGTCATGTATGGACTGCAACACGCGTTCCTGAACCTGGAGGTCACTGGATGGTGGTTTAATATGGGTTTGTGGGACGAGGAGAAGAAGCCGATGCGGTTCCAGGACGCGTGCAAGGCCTTGGTGGAGAAGGTCACCAGTAAAATCGGTATCAACCAACAGAGCCATATTCTTGGTACGTTTGTCTGATTTGGGATCTGATCCATGGCGATCGCGTCAGTTACTCTATTGCGGACAGGACTAACACAATTGCTGGTTTTCTTTTTTTTGATACTATGTGGTTAGATGTTGGATTTGGATGCGGAGACCAGGATGTGTATATGGCAGAGTTGTACCAGCCAGCGCGGATCACCGGGATTACAATCGAACCCATTCAGCACCACGCAGCACAGGAGTTAATTAAGCGGACAAAACTTCCAGGAACCGAAATACAGCTCTATGTTGCAGATGCGTCTAAACTACCCGAGTTCCTGGAATCGACTCCCACAGTTTTCAGCAAAAGGCCATCTACCTCTTCAACACCATCAGCAACATCGATAACAACGGGTCAACATTTCACACACGTTGTCTCGATCGACTCGGCATACCACTACAACACCCGGGCCCAATTCCTGAAGAATGCCTTGAAGGTTCTCCAACCCGAGACTGGACGCCTGGCGATGGCAGATATGATCCTTGCAAGGCCTGCACCAACCTCTGGATTGGGCCGATCGATTTTCGAGGCAGTGTTCAAGGCGATGGAGGTGCCAGTCGAGAACATGAAGACCATGGAGGAATACAAACAGGATTTGGTCAATGCTGGATTCGTGGATATTGAAATTGAGTGTATTGAGGACCGAGTGTTTTCGGGATTGGCGGGGTATATCGAGAACCAGATGGGTCGATTGGGAGGGTTGGTGAAACCGGGAGTGAATTGGACGTACTGGGCGCTTTGTAAGGGGCTATGGTGGTTGGACCGGTCCAAGTGGCTGCATTTCGTGGTTGTCGCCGCCAGGAGTGGACCCGCCAGTCAGTAATGATAGCTCTTGCAGCGGAATAAAACCGCTTTCAATATTACAAACATGAACGCTCTTAAAAATAATTCTTTTTTAATGTCTTGAGAATGTCCTTTGCAATTAGAGGACGTCAACGGAATGTCCAATGCTCTCAAACACTTCCTTGGCGTCCATAGCCTTGTCCTCTTTGACTAGGATATAATCAGTATCATATGTACTGACCACAAACACCGAGATCCTATTGTCTGCGAGTGCACCAGAGAGATTGGCCATGATACCGACATAACTGAAATCGAGAGGACCCTTGACCTTGAAGCAACGCCAACCTGGCGAGATCTTGTGCTCGTCGTTGGGGACCAGTTGGTTCTCCTTGGTACTGGGGTATGCGTGGGAGATGACGAGGGAGATCTCTTCAGAGGTCTTGGTGATACTGTACCAGGCCTGATTGTCGACCAGGGGCAGGTAGATCGAGGCCGGGGTCGTGGGAGGAAGACGATGGATCGTATAGTCGAGCGGATCCAGTTCGAGCTCGAGTTTCATAGCCATTGTTGCAGTAATGATGATGTTTATTTGAAAGTGAGAGGAACGAGAAGAGAGAGAAGTTCCGTTTTATAAGAGAAAAGGATCAAGAGAATGGAATGAGCGAGAAAGAATCGATTACCATGGAGGAGGAGGTACGCAGAAAAAAAGAGGGTTGAGGGCAACTGAAAGGTAACCTTATTTTCTGGCGGTGGACAAGTCGACATTCCATCCCCTCTAGTCTGCGCAACAAGACAAAGAACTATCTTTTTAGGCTAGTGTCTCGACCTTGCGAAGGTACACCTCCAGATGGGGCTGCAATGGGGTCTCCTCTGTGGCCATCGCAAAGATATACGAAAATGTCTTCTTGCGTAGGTCCACCACCCATTTCCTATCATGTATGCAGTACCAAATTACAGGAGCATTAATATTTGGCATCATTAGCATGAGCTGCAAGAGACCCAAGCACAAAAGAGCACTACTACCTACCTCGTAAACCGCGTAACGTGGGGTGGCTATCAGAAAAAAGCAGTGATAAGGCAAGTTAGGACGGCTTGCCACGGTCATCGACTGCGCCAGATGTCTGGTACCTCTGGCGCTATACAACCCTCTTTTTCATTCCCCCCAGCGTTACCTTTGCACTAGGAGATCGCACGATGCCCGATGTAGTCCAATCAATTGATGTTCCGTCAATCCTGCCGACTTCTACACTTGCGATGCCTATCAATAAAAAAAGGTCAGGCTCCAACTGCAGCCATTGAACAATCGAATAAATGAACAGGGGTACATAATACATGTAAAGTATCCAAGTACCTGTAGGTTGACTCAGGATGAGTTCACACTTTTCGTTCGACCAACCAGGTAGACGAATAAACCCGCTTTCCGCGTGCAGCGGTGGTCCAGGCACCAAATCTTTATGCTCCGATCCCTCCCCTGACCCTGATCCTGCAACGGCGCGTCGGGTCTTTTGGACGTAGGCAACAACAGGACGACCGGCTGGGTCTTTCACAAAAGTGACCTCTTCAAAGAACTCGAACGAGGGGATCGTGGGGTAGAACCCCTTGCCCTTCCCGGACCAGGTTCCAATAAGGAACTCGAGTGGGTGGGGTTTATCGATCGTAGCGGTGGACATGGCTGCAGTTGAGGGGATGGTGAATCTGGTGGCGGTTTTGTGGTGGTGGCGGAATCGAGATGCGATGAGGATGGAGGGAAGTCGTCTCGGAGAGGAATGCCGAACGAGGGTGAGCACCGTCATTTTTTTTTTTTTTGCGGAGTGTGTGTCACCGTGAGAGGACTGGACGAAAAAATGTCCCGATACGTTTTTGAAGATCCTTGTCCAACTAAATAAAATTTGGGCCAGTGTCCTTTTCTGTTTCTGAACCAAAATCAGCAGCACGTTCTGAAGGCTCCAGCTCATGCTTCCGCAACCTGATCGCCCCTTGCGCCGCCGTGGCTCCAGTCCCAATAATCGTGGCAAGGCCTATGCGGACAATGATTTCCTTGAGAGTGCTGTGAAGGAGACCCAGGGCTAGAAAAGTATACGGAGGACGTTAATTAGGATGCAGAGTTCATTACAGCTGCCTGGTGTGGCATTGCGTTTAAAATGGGTGTTCAGCACGGTAGCGACATGAGGTTTTTGCTGGCTCATTCAGTGGTCAATATGAAGTGTAGTTTATACTACTCAGGTACCCAGACTAATAGTTGCTCTGAAAACCAATATTCTCTTTGGGAAGTTATATACGAGGGCCAGATCCTTTTGTCTAGGTCTCTACCGACATATGGGTCAGCTTGGGGATCGACCAATTTCTACTTTGGCGTGGGAGCTAATTTCTCGCTTGAAGCTTGCAAGCACTTTCGAATGGGCATCTGATGGATCGTCACGGCGGAAAGGACTATTCTTCATCAATAGCAAAAGGCCCAGCATTACCGACGAGTTTGCCTCCCATCTGAGATTCGGTTTCGATGCGAATGTAGTAGTTATTTTTGTTCTTGACATTCCTGGCCTTCTGGTATTGGTCTTGAGGGATGTTCCAGATATAGTTCCTCTTGTCTTCGCTGACCTAAAAATACAATAGAGGCGTTTGTTGTACGTTATGGAAAGGCTCCCTTTCATTCAGACGCAGCATGTAGATAAAAAAATCGAATGCAAGGCTGTATTCACAGGTTACCTCAGTGGCAATGACTTCATGGTAGTCATATCGAACTTCACCGGTCTCGATATTCGGATTGTTATAAAGATGAATGGTCCATGGACCTGCAACAGCGGCACCGTTGCATTGTTCTGTGCCATAGGTCATGCGGACGAAAAAGCCGGGGTAATAAGTGGCACCAGGTGCTGGGTTCATGATCCGGATGCAATTAACTTCATCACTCTGCCACTTCTGACGAGGGTTGAAAGCGCGTTTTGCGAGGGGGGTAAAGACAGGGACCGCAAGTATGGAGACTGATCCAAGTGCTAGACAGAGCAGGCTTAGTACAGGTGTAAAAGTGAGCATTGCCTGGGTCTGTTTACGAGTCAATTAGTGGCCAAATGAATCGAACGTTACGGTTGTTGTAAAGAAAGTATATTGTTTACAAGATGAAGGAGTTGGACGTTACAGGCAAAACAAATTGATATTTCTTTTTTTGCGGACATGAAGGCATACGAGACAAAAGGAGATTATATTAAGAACAAAAAGCGCTGAAAGGAGTCAGAGGACTCAAACTAACATTCTATTCTCTGCCAAGCGAAAATAACTGGACATTGCATAGCAGAATTAATGCTATGGATACGTAGCTTCGACTCCATTAGCTATGATCTGTTTGCAGCGGTCTTTTTCTACCATTTTTTTTTCATGCCATATTCTAGGAGGTTATGCGCGTTTGGGTTCAATTCGCGCGCGTCGCGTAGGGAGTGGCTTTCATGGCGCTTGTGACCGCATAATGGAGGGGAGAGGAGGGGAGGGGTCCACGACAGCTGGGTCGCCTGCGCCTTTCCCTTGACTTGGCTCAGCTTCGCGTACACTTCCTCCCTCTTTTTCGTCCTCTCACTCTTCTTTAGCCTGTTTCCTAACTCTCAAGTCGTGCCTGGAGGACCCTTGCAGCAAAGGGACATTCTTCATTCAAACCAGACAATCAAACGAACAAGCGAGCAATAGGACTCGCTCGAATACACGCGTCCAAATATATCGGCTACTAGGATTCATATATGGACCCTCGCCTCTCCCCTGACCAGAGTCTTCAATCGCCCAGCTCAGGAATGATGGACACCTCCATCGACAACAATAACGCTAATACCTCCAACATGGACAGCGACATGTACGCAGACCAGCCCACAGCTGGCACGCCATCGTCGCTGTCGAATGTCAGCATGACTGCGGAAGGCGGCAACACGAATGCCCCGGACAACAATGCTACGTCAAAGCGGAAGCGGTTCGTCAAGGTCGTCGAGGTTGACGCTCCCAATAACCTCGACCTGGATGCTTATATTGCGAATTACAAAGGTATTTTTATTAGGCGTCGTCTTTGTCTCAGGAGCTGCTTCACCGTATATTCGGCAGCAGTGGTAGTGGTAGTGGCAGTGTTGGCGTCAGTGGCAACTCTGCTCACCTCGAGCCATTACGAAACGCCTTTTCCTTCTTCTTTATCGTAGGGCACACAAAGGTCAACCGCCTGGAGTTCATTGCAGACCGCTGCCCTTCGCTTCAAATCGATGCGTTGAAACTCGCCATACAAGAGCTGAAGAACACGTCGACCCTCAACATCCCTCGGTATCTGAACTTGGTCAAGAAGCTGAATGAGGCTGTCAAATTTGACGCACCCGGAAGCGCAAACGTGAGCAGCGATCTCTTAACTATGGATAAGGCATGGACAGACAGTCAAATCCAGAAGGCTAAGCAGCAGGCGGATCTGTTAGAGGGCGAGCTCAAGAACTACAAGAGAAACTCTATCAAGGAGAGCATTCGGGTAAGTCCTGTGCCATGACTGTCGCGCTGAAGGAGCGATCTCGTCTCTCCAGTTTGCTAATTGTTTCCTCTACAACGGGCAATATAGATGGGAAACATCGAGCTAGGAAACCACTACTATGCATGCGGAGATTTGACCAGTGCTCATCGATCCTACTCTCGGACCCGCGACTACTGCACTACATCGAAGCACATTATCGAACTCTGCATGAATGTCATCAAGGTATGGCGTCTTAACATTTTGCAGTCCAGCGCAAATGTGCTGTTGACATTTTTATTAACCAATACTATTTTCCCATACGATAATGATAGGTCAGCATTGAGCTCGGCAATTTCCCTCACGTATTGACATATGTTGTCAAGGCAGAGTCGACACCAGAGGTAGCACAGGATAAGGATCTGACCAAGGCAAAGTTGAAGGCGGCCTCTGGTCTCGCTAATCTGGATTTGAGCAAATACAACGCCGCAGCACGCGACTTCCTCTCGATTGGCGAAGAGCTCGTGGGTCATCAGTACGGCGACGTGGTTTCGGCCAACGACATTGCAGTCTATGGAGGACTCTGCGCTCTAGCGAGCTTCAACCGAGCAGAGCTCAAGCGACTGGTGATCGACAATGTTGGGTTCCGTCAATACCTCGAGTTGGAACCACATATCCGCGATCTTATCCAGGGATTCTACAACTCAAACTACACAGTCTGCCTCGACATCATGGACAAGTGGAGGGTATGTCACCCTCAATCGATGCTGAATTACAATCCGTTCTGTTGTTTCTTTTTTTTTTTTTTTTTTTTTTTTTTTTTTACATGGGCTAACGTCGGGATATCTTTTGAATAGAACGACTATTTGCTGGACATTCATCTTCACTCTCACATCGAGGCGCTTTACACGAACATTCGCAAAAAGGCATTGGTGCAGTTCACGAGTCCATTCTTGACAGTGGATCTGACCAAGATGGCCAGAAGTTTCTCGACAACTGTCCCTGAACTGGAGAAGGAACTGGTATCGTTGATCATTGGTGGACAGATCGAAGCCAGGATCGACTCTCAGCAAAAGATTCTGTGGGCCAAGCAGACCAACAAGCGGTCTGCGATCTTTGAGCGGTCAACAGCCATGGGTCAGGATTATGAGCGTGAGGCCAAGGGACTGGTGCTCCGTATTCAGATGTTCAACCATGGCTTGATCGTGAAGGGGCCAGCGTCGGAAAAGGGTAGCGCAGGTGATGTGTCGGATGTTGTGTTTGATCGCCATCACCACACTCACGGTGGTGGACGTGGACGCGAGTCGGCGATGTTTTCGGATGCGCGCTCGAACGTGTCGAGCTTTCTGAGCAACTTTTCGCGGGACCGTCACCGCGGGTAAAAGAAAGATGGATGTTTAAAAAAGAAAGAAAGCGACAAGCAGAAGGGTACGATGTAGCACAGCATTATCATCCTTGGTTCTTGGTCTATGGAGGAGTCATTGGACCGCTGAACTTGACCGGGATTTTACGTCACCTTGAAATAAAAAGACGACAAAGTCCAGACGGAACGAAGAGATTTCTTTCATTGATTCTGATCGCCATGGAGTTGCACTCATTGCTTGGACAACAGCCAGGGTCAGCAGCGATCGACTCTGTCCTGAAGGAGGTGACCAAGAAGACAACAGGAACGAACTCAAAAGTGTCAGAGCCGACGATCAAGATATACAAGGACGCAGTCTATTACTCGTATACCCCCCTCGGGATCTCTTTCAACTACGAGCCCTTGAAACCCATTGTTCCCACTGAATACAGCCCTTCCAAGAACACGGCACCAGACCCTGCGCTGCTAAGGCTTGTGGCTATCCATCTCTACAGACACCCGACGGATAAGTTTGAGACGTTCCCTCTTCCGTTTATTATACCACGGACAAGACGCGAGGACGCGACCGTGATTGCAGAGATGATTGAGATGGATATGACAAAGAAGGCGCATGAGGTGGTTCAGCTGTTGGGCGAACCGGAGGAGAGAGTGGGCGGTGGACGGCAGGGCAATTGCTGGATCGGGTATCAGAGGGCGATTGGGGTTGCGGTTGACTTTGTGGGGTCGAACTGGGATGACCGCGAGATGGGGGTCTCTAGCTTGACGCTTACGCAGCCGGAGAAAGCGAGCGTATAGACTTTTAATTATGTCTCTCGCACCGAACACCGCTTCAGAGTCCAGCTCAAAAAGTCAGCAACCATATATATTTTTTGTCCCAGTGAATTGAATAAAATAGTATACTTGTTTGTGCTACCTTCAAGTCAACGTGCAAAAATCAGGAGGGGGGGAGGCTCGCTTTCTCCTGAGGGATTCATAGCTGGTAGGGTACCAGTTGTATTTAACGGGCGATGCCTTGGAGGGTTTCCTTTGAGCTCTCCAAAGTCTGAGGTGGTAGCGTCGGGCTGGACTCTTTGTCCTTTGGTGAAACTTGGGAAAATACGTGGGGACGAAGCTGAAGCTGTCACCTTCAGGGAGAGGAATAGGAAAGAAGGGTGGCCGACTCCAACGTGGTCTACCGTTTTCTAGCATGGTGATAAGTGATGATGTAGGTGATGATGGAGGTGATGATGTAGAAGATGAACGCTCATGCCGACATGGTGTGCATGCGACTGGTTTGCTGGTCCATGTACGGGATATTCTCACGTGTGGTCTGCGAATGAATCAAACGTCGAGTATTGAAAAAAAAAATATATATGGTTGCATTGCTGACTTCTTGAGCTGGACTTTGAAACTGGCAATGACCGAGCTAATAAAGATTGCGACGACGGACAGTCGAGAGCAAGCAACGCGAGCATTTTGCAAGGGGTGTGTGTGTGTGTACACCATTCCATTCAGAAAAAAAAGGGTCTTATCCTGAGGAGACACTATGCTGAACATTTGCGTAATGGGGTAAGAGGGGGACAACCTGGCTCCTTGCCCCTTCCCCTTCCTCCACGCTCCTTCCTTCCTCGCTCATTCACCTCACTCCCACTTCCAAAAACTCATTCGCAACTGTGCAAGCAAACATTCTCCCCCCCCCCCCCCCCCCCCTCCCCCCCACACACACTCACACACACACACGCACATACATACATACACAAGACAAACCAGACATGGAATCCCTATCAACGAAACCACAAAGAGTGCCGATGTTCTCAGCATTCTTGCGCTCACGAAGGATTCGTGGGCTGATATTCCTGCTGGTCTCCTTGTTTGGACTCTACTACCTGTTCTTGAACACGACCAAGCACCTGGGCACGACATCCACGCGTGTGGAGTTGAATGGCGAGGGCGAGCCACTGGATTTGACACAGGATACACCTCAGCGTGGCGATAGCGGTAAGTATGCCACATAGGTGCAAGCACGAACTACATGCCAGTGCCATGTTCTGACTTTCTGTGTTCTGGGAATTGAAACGTATGTACACTAGATGCGGGACAGGAGACGCCGATGGTGGTACTGGAGAAGCGGATCCAGCATTTGATCGATACGAATCGGATCATGGTGTTCTCAAAGTCGTATTGCCCGTAAGGACCCCTTGAGCTCCGGATTTTTGCTGTGTCCTGTGCTGTGTTGCTGTACTACTTACTGTATTACTGAAAATGGTTTAGTTGACTGGTTCTGCTGAAGAGCAATCATTGATGACTGACACTGGGTTCACTGATTGTTGTCGAACGGATTGATGGGGGGGTGTGTGTAGGTACTCTGCGGCGGCGAAGAAACTGCTTTATAGTTATACACAGGATATCAAGGTGCTGGAAGTCGATCTGGAAGGTGTGTTGTTTTCGAGAGCATTTCCGTCATTCCCATTTTGCTAATTGCGTCCAAAAGGTTAATTTTTTTTTTTTTTTTTTTTTTTTTTGGTGTGATAGACAACGATGCGGATATTAAGAGAGTGTTGACAAAGATTGCACGTGGACATTCGACGTTCCCCTCGATCTTCTTGAAGGGCGAGTCGATTGGCGGACGGGATAACTTGCAGGCGTTGGAGGAAAAGGGACAGCTCCGACCACGACTTGAAGCCCTGGGTGTGTCGCTCGTTTGATGGATGTGGAGACAGACAGGGTACCTGGGGTGGGGGGGGGGACGATGTCAGTCAGTGGTATCGTGTATCAGAGTAGTCAAGCTCAACTGCGCCTGTACAGCGTACCATGCTAGAGCCTTGAAGCGAAATAAATAAAAGGAACAATGTATCGAAGGGCATTCTTTGCGTGGGAGCGGATCGGGTACGCTCAAGGACGGCAAGCAGGAAGGGCAAATAAGGTTAAGTAGCTGGGGAAGTGACTGTTGCGATGCAGGATGAGTCGCGGCAGATCATCACCCTCGAAAAGCGCTGAGAGATAAAAACCCACGTTCCTTTTTTTTTTCTCCGAGAAAAGGCACTCACTCCCAGGCACAGCTCACCACCGCTTCTTTCTTTCCTTCCCTTCCCTCGCTTTGATCACACCCGCCCCACGCCTAGCATCCGCATTCACTTTTTACATTCACCCTGCACATTCTCATTGCGTCTTCAGCTCCACTGCACCACCACCCTCTACTCCTCTACTCTTCTTGACTCCACCCTTTCTCACTACCCCCCCACAATGATCAAAAACCTGACCCGCCTTTCTTCGGTCGCAGGCACACACGCAGCCGCCTCGATCTCAGCTCCAGCTTCAGCAGCAGCCATAGTCGTTGCACCCTCAGTCATTGCCCGATCTTTTCACGCTTCCGTCCGGGACTGCAGCAAGACGTACTCGACCGCGGATGTTCCCACGATTTCAGGAGTACCCCATCTGTTGACGGATAACGATCTGTCAGCAAAGCAGCTCTGCGATGTGATCCAGAGTGCTTGTGAATTTAAGCATCAGGCCAAGGTGCTTGGAAAGGCGAGCGATGCACCGCTGAGGGGCAAGACGATGGCGTTGATGTTCTCGAAGCGGTCGACTCGTACGCGTGTCGCTACTGAGACTGCCGTTACATACCTTGGTAAGTTGGTTGAGGGAGAGAGAAACGAGGAATGGATTGATGATGATAATATACGTGAAGGTGGAGATGGGAGGATGAGAGGATTGTTCTAACGACGTTTTTCTTTTTTTCTTTTGTGCATTGTAATAGGCGGACATGCAATGTTTTTGGGATCGCAGGATATTCAGTTGGGCGTGAACGAGTCGCTGTTGGACACGAGCAAGGTGGTGTCGAGCATGGTCGACGGTATCATGGCCCGTGTCGGCGCACATTCAGAGATCGAGGTACACACCACACTACTCGTCTTATCTCTCTCTGTTCTTCCTTTCCAGTCTTCTTGTTGTGTCCATTAGCTAACCCTGCTCTTCGATTTTTTTTGTTTTTTTGTTATTGCGTCCGTGGTTTGCTGTAGACATTGGCAAAGTACTCGACCGTGCCTATTATCAACGCCCTCTCGGATCTTTACCATCCCACACAGATCCTTGCCGACTTGATGACGCTGCACGAACTCTACACACCTCAGGGATCAGAACCCCACACGACGTCTCCAGCCTCGACTCTGAAAAACCTGCGCCTGGCATGGGTGGGCGATGGCAATAATATTCTTCATTCGTTGCTGCTGCAGTTGCCAAAGGTCGGGATGCACATCAGCATGGCGACACCGAAGGGATATGAACCGAACGCGGGGATTTTGAAGCTGGCACAAAAGAATGCGAAGGAGGCAGGGACGGAGGTTGGGGTTTATCATGATCCGAAGGAAGCCCTTCGTGGCGCGGATATTGTTGTTACCGATACATGGTAAGGCTCGCGCAATGAAGGTAGCGCGTTAATTATTTTAGGGTTTACTTTTATTTGCTGGTTACTGACATGTCTACACGTTGTTTTTTTTTTCTTTTTTTATTCTTTATACAATAGGATCAGCATGGGTCAGGAGGAAGAAAAGAAGCAGCGTGTTGAGGCGTTCAAGGGATACCAATTGACGACGGAGCTGATTAACGAGAGCGGGGCACAGGCGGACTGGAAGTTCTTGCATTGCCTGCCACGCAAGCAGGAGGAGGTGACGGACGACGTGTTTTATTCGCCCCGCTCGCATGTCTTCCAGGAGGCCGAGAACCGCAAGTGGACGATCCTGGCGTGCATTGACAAGTTGTTGGTCAAGAAGGGATTCTAGATGGGCGGTGCGAGTAAGGAGGGAGGGGGAAGATGATGACTGGACCATCCAGGTAGTCGATTGGGGGATAGTACTAATAAAATGCTGGTGATATGTAGATACATGCCGGGGAACCAGGGGGGTTGGGATGGAGGCCCCATCACGTGTGTTATGTAATTGTGTAATTGTGTGCGGAGGAAAGGGAAGGAAGGATGGGCTAAATGTGGGTGACGATGTACCTCCTCCTCGGTACTTTCCTCCCTCCCTCTCCTCGAGTTGGCTGCCAGCAGCGCTTGTCTCACCCCATTCCTCATTCCATTCCTTTTTTTTTTTTTTCATTCATTCCCTCTTTCCATTCCTCTTTTCATTCCACTCCTTCACAACCCATACACACTCACACATCCACAGCTATGCAGCACAGCCAGCCGGACGAACACACGGTCGCCGACAACAGCCTCATCGACAACAGCAGCGATAGCAACGAGCCCTCCTCCTCCTCGGCCGAAAAGAAGACGTTGAAGCTGACAGATATGCCCCCAGAGGTGCTCATGGAAATCGGCTTGGCATTGCCCTGCCGAGAGTTTAGTCGCTTCCTCCAGACCAACCGAACCATCCATGACACCCTCGACACACACTACCTCTGGCACCAGCGATTCACCTTCCGCTTTGGTCAAGCCATCCTTGAATCCAAATTACAGAGTCGTATCCGCAACCGTCTTATCTCCGCTGCAGGCTCCGGTACTTCTTCGAGAGCTTCGTCCACGCCGTCCTCGCCAAGGTTCCCTCCGGTTACCATCGCCGGTACTGGAAGCCCAAGTACGGGCAGTTCGCATATGATGGACACGGCATTGGCACCGGGTTTCTTGGCAGATCAGTACCATAACCATCAAGACCCTGTCTCGGTGTCGTCGTCGACCCAGCCCTCGTCAGTCGCATCGCCGTCGCCGTCGCTGTCGCCGTCGCCTGGATCAGTGGGAGAGGGAGACAGTGAGGACAATGATGGTCATGGAGATGAGCTAGTGATTGCCAAGACTGAGACCAAGACTGAGGCCAAGACTGAGGCCAAGACTGAGGCCAAGACTGAGGCCAAGGACAAAGGTCGGAAGATTGATTTGCGAAAGACGACAGATGTGTCCAAGCAGATGCTGATTGACCTTTACAGGCAGTGTTGTATGCTATTTTTTATTTTATTTTTTGTTTAAGCTTGGTACCATTTACCGAGTTCTGTACATTGCGTGCCTTCGCCTTGTACCTTGGTGCTCTCAAACCCAGAAGCGAGTATCCATAACCTTGTGTTCCCATTTCTATTTTGGCTGCATTAGCGCGACTGACGTTGCCAGCGGAGGATATGCAGATCTGTCATATGGGCGACCGGTACTGGAAGATGATTGAAAGCAAACAAAGTCCGTTTGGCAAACTAGCGGAGCTCAAGTCGGTGTGGTGGATGGACGTGATAGCTACTTTTTATGGTGTTCCCCCTGGACGTTACAAGGTCCTTTGGAGGATCATGGCTACGAGCGAGGCACCCATCATCAATTCGGAATTCAAAGTCATTCCTTTTGGCATACATGAGGTAGGCGACTTGCAGCTGCAGCTTTCTTGGCTGACTTTTGGTTCAGCCTTTCGAGAAGTACGATGCATGATGTACTACTACATCTGCATTGCTCCTGATTCTTGGGGGGGGGGGGGGTTATCAAACACCGAGGAGGGGGAAGGAAGGGGAAGGAGTTTTGGGTTCGTTGCTGAATCATGGAATCAAGCCTGCTATGACTACATAGTAACTCACTCCACGTTGTGGTTTTTTCTTTCACTCTTTAGGATACGGCAGTAGTAGGAGAGCGGCCGGATGCGTTGTTGTTCAAGCCAAGGACTATGCAGGAGTTTATGGAGAAAACAGATTCGCAAGTAGCCCAGGCACATCGAAAGCCGTTCCGCAAACTGTTCAAAAATGATTTCAGGATCCTTGAACTGCCTGGAGAGTTAATTATTGAGGATAATTCCCAGAACGTCTTTGTTCAGATTCGCAACTATGAAGGGTAAGTGAAATCGTACCGCAAAATCGGACCCTTACTTGAGCAATGTCTTATTCTCTATTAAGTTACATATGCTGACTTTGTTGGTTTGCATTGGTGGCCTAATCAGATGGAAGTCGGGATTGTTTATCGACTATGTACGACTTGTGGATATGGACGACCCAGAGAGGAGCAAGGAACCCGTGCCGTTGGATCAGCCTGCGGACACATCCGCATTGGATGAGGAAGTCAATGATGAAGGCGAAGAGTATTATCCGTCGACTTTAAGCAGAACGCTATGGCACGGGACTGGGCTCGGGATCAGTCCTTTGACGTATCGGTCTAGAGGATTCCGGCAGTACAATCCCGTCGGTGAATCAGTACAACTGGATGTTGGACAGCGGTCGCCTTCTCAACCAGCATTGGCTTCGGTCACGGAGCCAGAGTCAAGGTCGGAGGAAGCGGGAGGGGATAAGTCTGCGGGGAGCAATAGCAGGCAAGACAGTAACGGTAATAGGGGCAGCGAGGATATGGATGAATGGTACATGCTTTACGCCTTTCTTTTCGTGTACTGCATATACGTTTATTGGACGCAGTGAATAGAACCAGTACTGAATAGAACATTCAGGGCATTCATTCTAATCCTGGTGTCTATCACTCACTCTCTCTCTTTTTCTCTCTCTCTCTTTTCTCTCTCTGCTTCATTCCGTTCTGAATCGATCCTTCTTCGACAGTCTGATCCTGTGAAGGGCGTTGCTGTTTTGCACGGCGCTTGCATGGATATCCTAGGCCACGTCCTATTCAATTTGTATAGTCGCAACCTATATTTTTCGCCTTTTCTTTTCTTTTCTTTTCTTTTCTTTTCTTTTCTTTTCTTTTATTCTTTTATTGCCCTGCCTGTACATGTACATCGCTTCTCTCTCTTCTTTTTTTTTTTTTTTTGCTCGAAAATAAAATATGCATATACGCAATGATGCATGCACTCAAGGCATTTTATATCGTATGTAGTGAGTGCTAGTCCAATAATTCTGGAGTTATTATTGGGTGTAGGGTTGTAGCACTGTACAACAGTCTACTCAGAACTTTCCCATGCATGGATGTTGCATGCAAAAGTAGGGGGGGAAAGTGAAATTTTGTAAACAGCGAATCACTGTCACAACACCGCACTTTTTTTTTTTTTTTTTTTTTTTTTTTTTTGGGCAGCTTGGTGTGTTCTCAGCACTCATCTCTTACCCTCCTCAAACTCGGACTCGGACTCGGACTCGGACTCGGACTCGACGGAATCTTTAGCGATGGACAAGCACAACAGCAAAGGTGCCCGCAGCAGCAGTAACAACAACAACAACAACAACAACAGTAACAGCAGTAGTAACAGTAACCAGAATCATGGACCTGGGAACAATAGGACGAACAAGGCGGTCGTGGCGGACATCACCTCGGGTCTTAAGAACTTGCAGCTCGGTAGTACCGCCACTAACAGCAACAACAGCTCCAGCTCGCACAGCAGTAACAGCAATAATATCAAGAGCGGGGGTACTAACAAGAGCGGGAAAAAGTCAAAGAAGAGTTCAGGGACAGGAATCTCGGGGCAGGCACCTCAACAGCAACAGCAACAGCAACAACAACAACAGCAGCAGCAGCAGCAGCAGCAGCCGTCGAAGAAGAAGAAGACTGGACCAGTACTACTAGGGATACCGGATTCACCGATGGATCCACAGGAGGATAGGGATCCGTATGTGACCAAGATCGGAGGTGTTCCTGTAAGACCCCCTACGTCTAGTTTTTTTTTCTTCCCGCATGGGATCGGTATGATCGAGAAGATATGGGGAGGAGGGTGGCATGACTCTAGCACAGAGTTCTCACGAAGGACACACGATCTGTTTGCTTCTCCATATGGATAGACATGGCTGGACGAGGATGTGCCGGCACCGAGCAAGTTCGGGGTCTGTGAGGGATGTGGCCGGGAGATGTATTTGCTCCTGCAGGCCTATGTCCCACTCGAGAAATCGCCCTTTGATCGGGTCGTCTATGTCTGGGCATGTAATCAGCGGCTCTGCATGCGGAAGAAAGGAAGGTACGTTAAAACCCCCGGGACAGCTCAAGAATCCTAGTGTTCAGGAAGGAAGGAAGAAAGAAAGAAAGGAAGTCGTGGATTTCCTTGACACTAAATGAGATACTGACCCAATTTTTTTTTTTTTTTTTTTTTTTTTTTTTTTTTTGGTGGGTTGTCATACATGTTTTGTGATTTAGCTTCCGAGTGGTGCGGGCGTTGAAGGTGAATCCGGAGTATGCACAGAAGCTGGAGAAGAAGGCCAAGCCTAGTGCTGCAGCCGCAGTACCAGCACTTCCGGCAGCATCGGCGTTTGGAGCACCAATGGCGAATGTAAGTCTTGGAATCTGGACATAGCTATATGCGAGGGAGATAAAGGAGACAATTTGAAGAGGCGCATTTTTTTTTTTTTTCGACCGGTATTATTTATGGTCCTCTAATATTCGTTTTTTTTTTATAGCCATTCGCGGCACCGGGGGCGTTTGATATGGGAAATGCATTGTTTGGCGGAGCAGGAGCAGGATTCAACAATCCTTTTGCACCCCCGGTATGTGTATGAAGCGTTCTATCAAATCGTGAATTCAGGAATCGGATCCTTTTTTTTTTTTTGAGACAACGGGAACTGAGATTGTTGGTTTTGTGTAGGCTTCCAATACTACGAATCCGTTCGCGCCTCCTCCAGGATTCGGGGCACCGGCACCGGCACCGGCATCTGCAGCCGTATCTACCCCAGGATCAAAATCGTTTGCAAGTGCGACGTCGGCAAATATTTCAAAGGAAGAATCCTCCAACGAAAACGAGGAAGAGGAGGATACTGCTGATGGCAAGTGTCAAGGTCGAGGAACGAAGGCTTTGTTCAGCACGTATCGTCGTCCATGTGCATGTGCCCTAATATCTGTACCTCCCATGCTCATTTATGACCTGATAGAATCAAGAATATGGCCTGAGGAATTATCATCGTTCGAACCCCACTATTTGTACATCACCGAAGAAGTCCTCGAGGACTCGGACGCGATCTCGGACGACATCTCTCAGCGCTATAGTCACCTCCTTGCCCTCGAAGAATCTCTCGCCAATGACTCCCCCGATGACAATAACGACGGCGACTCTGCCTCTGGAAGCGCAAACGGTGCATCTTGGAGCGGTGAGGCCTACGAAAAAGCGGCCTTGCCCAAGGGTGTGGACAAGGCGTTTCAGAAATTCACAGAACGTGTTCAATACTGGCCAGACCAATGCGTGCGCTATGATTTTCCGGGGACACCATTGATGTTCTCGTGGTCGGATCGAGCCGCACAGACGCTCCTCCCTGCGAACGTGGCTAGGCATTCAAAACACACAACGCCGAGTGCGCACAGGATCCCGAGGTGTCCGAAGTGTAAGGGGCCTCGGGGGTTTGAGTTCCAGTTGATGCCGAATTTGTTGTCGTTGCTGGATGTGGGTGCGACAAAGTACTTGGCCGAAGACGAGAAGAAGGCGGCGAAGGAGCGGAAGGGGGCGCAGGCGTTTGAAATTGGGATGGAGTGGGGGACGGTGATGGTATATAGTTGTGTAGAGGATTGCTTTGGCAAGGCGGTAGGAAAGGAGATGGAGGCAGAAGGAGGGGTAGGGCAGAAAGTCAGGTACTTTGAAGAGGTCGCACTCGTACAGTTTGAGGATTAGACAGGGTCTTGAAACTGAGCCAAACAATAAAGAAAAAAAAAAAAAGAAGAGGAGCCTCGATCGCGTTTTTGGTTTTCTTTATTACAGTGTGCAGATAGGAAGAAGCAGGATATGTATAATATCACGCCTAATTGCCTTTGCATCTGCGGTCTCGCTCAACCCCCCTTTCGTGAAGAAGAGTCATCCGCTCGTTCTTCAATGGTCTCCCCCCCTGACAGCTGTCTTTTATGCGTTGCTGGGAGTATTGAGTTCAGCCTGCCCAGAAACCTTGGCATCCTGCTCCTGCTTCTGCTGCTGGTCCAAAAGCTGCTGCTTCGCCTGGGCCTCGGCCTCCTGCATCTGAAGTCTCTGCACCTCGTCGCCCTTCATCCTTGTCCAGACATAATCCTGAGCAATCACACCCACAGCCAAACGAATACAATCCACCATCCGGTCCTCGACCCACTCGTTCTCCTCGTAGGGAATCAACAACCACTGAGCAGGCATGCTCTGTGAGCAGGACTCGAATTCAAGCTTGTGTGTGGGATCATGCAGGACCAAGACGAAGGAGATAAACGTATCCTTCTCCATGGCCTTAACGCTGGTGCTCTCTGACGCCGTAGCGTTGTATCCGTGACGCGGCACGCGACAGGGCTGGATGGCCATGAAGACTGGACAAGTCGATGCATTAGTATTCGGGTTCTTTGCTTCTGCTGTATGTTTCTCGGCATCGTAATGGGTCTTGACGAGATGCTCGATATTAGCCTTGGCGAGCTTGACGGCCTGTTCATAACCCTCACATGCATTGAGTTGTCGATCTTCCGGGGCAATGTCGTCTGAGGGGTTGGTGGTCCCGGCGCCCTGATGGACGATCACGTCGCCGCCGTCGGTTTGTTCCATGACTTTGGAAAAGGCTCTGTGGACGATGGCCTCGAGACCGACGTAGCCGACCATGTCGTGGGCCAGCCAGATCTCGACGACTTCGTGTTCGGCTATTGGGGGTGCGATCACATCAAGGACTGTGGTCATCGAGCTCAGGGTCAGGGATTTCAGGTCGTTGCCTAGAAGAGTGCATAGGTTAAGACACGAAGGTAAAGGTGCGAATTTAGTAAGGAGTGTGAAAGGATGTGAGCAATGATCGTGTGAACAATAAAAAAAAAAAAAAAAAAAAAAAAGCTCAAAGACGATGCAGGTAACAAATCCACGATAACAATGACGATTGTCAAAAGGATGTAGAAACACATACCAATCTTGCCAATGTTCTCAGCATTCACGAATCCCTTGACGCGCTCCTCAAGACTCTTCGTCGTCTGGCTCTCCATCGTCGCCTTGACTGAATGCTGCACGGCCGTCTGCGTCGTCTTCACCGCCTCAGACGCCGTCGACCACAAACTACCCAGCCATGAAGCTCTCGTGTCCACCTGTGCCTGTGCTGCTTGTTGCTGCTGGTGCTGGGCTGGTTGCTGCTGTTGCTGCTGTAGATACCTCGAAGGCAAGGCTGCGGACCCGTCGTACATCGACGGCTTTCCCTGAGACCCTGGTGGCGAGATAACCTTGGAGTCCGCAGTCGCTGCAGGCGTGGTGGCCGAAGAAGCCGACTGAGTGATTTCGTCTAAAAAGTCGAGTACGGATTGTTCGTCCTGTGCGCCCGAAGTGCCGGCACCGGCGGTGGTTTTGTCAAGCGAGGCTGTAGTACCGTCACCTGGGTTTGTGGAGGTGCTTGAGGTTGAGGGCGCGTCCGTGGGGGCGTTGTCAAGCGAGTCGAGAAACTGGAGCACGTCGTCCTTTGAAGAAGACATCTTTATTGTTGGTTCGGTCGGAGGTTTTCTGAGGAATGAGAAACGCGGGAGGGATGAAAAGGAAACGGAGGATGATGGCGACGAGTTGTGGGGGGGAATGTCAGCTATAAAAAAAAAAATCGTGTTCAGGCGACGACGGACGGTTGCCGTTCTTTAATTTGCATGCTCTGCAGTTGTAGAAGAAGGATGCCTTGCAATTGAGGGACGCGTGCAATTGGAGAGTCAAAGGATCTCCCTCCATTTATTTTTTTACGAGACAGTCTGTCATTCTAAGAACAACCCGTCTAGCTAAACATCTTGCTGTATGCAGCCTTCTCTTTCTTCTTAAAGGCAGCCTGCTTGGCGCTGATTGAGCTCAAAAGGCTCGTGAACGTGGCATCACCGGGTGCAATCTCCAGCCCGCGCTGGGCAACCTTCTTGGCGTCCTCGAACTCGCTCAATCCCAGGTATGCCTGGGCAAGTCGATATGTCACCTTCGCATGGTCTGGCTGAATCTCCAATGCCTATTTTATCAAAGAAATAGGAAAATAAAAAATGACGGCGTTAATTAATGTCCTCTCACTCACTGCTAGCTTGATCAGAACAAATACGAGTCCTCGAGATATAAACAGATTGGATCGTATACCTGCTGGCATGCCTCGGCCGCCTTTCCGTTCTCGTTCAACTTCAAGTATGCGGCTGCCAAGTTGGCCAACAAGGCGACTTGGAGAGGTGTTGCCTCCTGAAGCTGTTCCTCTGTTGCGCCATCCAAATCCTTCAGCGCATCGGCACCGTCCTTATATGCCTGGGCAGCAGGACCGTTCTCGCCACTCTTGAACGACGCATTTCCTTGATCCTTCTTCTTCTTGGCAAGAGCGAGCTTGGCGGTAGGGTTATCTGCGGACTGAAGATGGTTGATTGGTACAAAATGAATGGTTAGTCGTTAGGTGCACCGTCGTTTGAAATGGCTCTGGATTTCGAGTCCAAGATGGCTCCATAAGCGTTGACGTTACCTCCTGGAATCCAAGCAGTTCGACCTCGAACTTCAGTGTAGAATTGGCGGGGATCTTTGGTGGGCTTCCCTGTGCGCCGTAGGCTATATTGAAGTTATACAAACAATTGGTTAATATCAGATCTGTCCGAACCACTTGAAGTCGACAATTAAAATTGAGATCATTTACCGTATTCGGGGGAGCAGACGAGCTCGGCCAACTCTCCGATTTTCATGGTCTTGACACCCTCGTCCCATCCCTTGATAACTTGACCTATAACACGTAACACGGATCATAATGACAATAGAACCGGTTAGAATTGCTTGAATCGGGTTCGAGGTTCCTCAATTGACTCAATTGATCCGCAAAGAAGGGAGTATGCAAGTGCTTACCGACGCCAAGTTTGAAGTTGAAGGGCGAATTACGGTCGCGAGACGAGTCGAATTTGTCTCCGTTGTCGAAGAGGGTACCGACATAATGGACTAGCAATGCACGCGCAAAGAGGAAGGTTAGAGGAGAAAAGGAAAAATTGACGCGCTCAAGGTACACACATGCGTGGATGTAGAGATGTGTATGAGGATGGAGTCTGTTTACCATTGACATTCGAGTTCTTCATGGGAGATTCGCCAGAACCCTCGCGGAGGATCTTCTTCCAGAGACGGCCCTCGACAATGGGGATGTAGTCCTCGGGGATGGTCACGTCGGTCATGGTGGATGTGAGTGTTGAGTGCTGTAAAATGAAGGTGTCAAGATTAAGAGTTGTGGTTGATCTCCCTCGTCTCCTTTTCAAAGACCTAATTTCTTTCTGGAGTGTTCTTTTCGCACCCCCCGTGGGTCCTAGTTATCAAAAAAAAAAAATGTCCTTTTCGCACTCTCCGCGTCCAATGAAAGCGCATTATTGCCGTGGGGGGCAAAGCGCATTGTCTTCCTTCTTTGGAAAGGGTGTGGAGCAGAGATCCAAAAAAAGAATCCTAAACATGGAAACGAAGCAAAATAAGCGGCTGCACTGTGGCAACCGGGATCCAGACCCTGAACCATGGTATACCACGGTGCAGCCCCTGGGATTGCAGGAGATCTAGAAATAGACGCGATTTGTAGTGAAGCGATGATCACATTTTGGTGTGTACACCACCGCACACACCCGGATTCTGGATACACCTGCGAGTAGAGTACGCACCAAACTCAAAGTCATAGCTCCTCTGCATGTTTGGGCCCGCGGTCTCTCAGGCTTGGCCGCCTCAAAAGTTTGATGTATTGAGCAGTAATTTCGTTGGCTATCTTTTCATTAATAACTGTCGCTATGCTTGAAACTGAACATCCGTATTCAAGGAGAGATCGCTTGGGTTCATCGAGGAGCTTAGGACGCGTGAGTGATTGTACAAGGATGAAAGATAAGCGAGCTGGCCCTGAGCTCGTGAATATTCTTGTCATTAATCGTAAGCGCAACCTCGATGGCGTTCTTATTCATAGTGAGAAACGCGCTTTTTTTTTCCGGGAATTTGGAGAATTTGACAGGATACGACATAATAAGGCTGACTTATTGGTTATACGGCTCGCAGTACAATCAACTCTGTATAAGGGCAGTCTAGAGAACACGCACATCAAAGTTTTTATTTTGATACAAAATACCATGCCTCCCAAAGGAATAAAACGTACCACGATGACTATGTCGCAACACATTTTGCTATGCTATGCTATGCTTAAAAAAAAAAGAAAAAAAAAAAGCTGAGCTAGAGTTGACTTATGAGCAGCTCGCTGCATGGCTGGGGTGGACAGAGGGAATCAAGATATCCAAACTAGCGATCAGCAAGACGATCAAGAGGTCTAAGAAACTACTCAAAAATACGGATCGAGGCGGGAAGGACGCTAAACGGCAGAAAAGTGTCAAGTTCCCGTTGATGGAAGAGCTTTAATTACTTGGTTTGAGCTGTATCAGGATCGAATTCAGATGAAAGGACATTTTTTTTTCTCCAAGTCAAGAGAAAGCCTTTTCTCTAGGCACTTTACGGTCAAGAAGCACAGTTTCAATTATCTGAGGGCTGGCTGACATCGTTTAAAGAGCGCGGCAACATCCATGCCTACCGTGGGTTCGTGAATATGCAGACCCCTGAGGAGGCAGTCCCGAGGCTACGCGAGAGGCTTGACAGATATTCATGGAGGGATATTTATGGCCGAGATGGGTCTCTTCTATCGAATGCAGGTTGGACCAACCATGTCGCGTTGTATTAAAAATGGTCTCAGTCCAATGACGCATCTTCATGCTACCAGCACAAAACTCAACGACCCTTCTTTAGGATTTCAGATCGGCAACAACGCTCACACGAAAACTCACACGAACCCTCACCCGTACGAACCCTCGCATGGATCTTCACACATCCTAACCAGGTCTCTGACAGTCCTGCAAAAATGTGAGGATATGAGTGCTTTTCTTTACAATCGTCGGCCATAACATGAGAATCTGCATGTTCATTTATACATGTCAAAAAACAGACTTTATTAGCTTCTATGGCGCGTGAACCAAAAGTAAAGTTGGAAGCGAGAATCGAGCTATACAACAGCTCATTGGAGAAATCAATGCTTCTGCTGCACCCCTGTGTGGCGGCTCCGTCGGGCCTATGTATTGTGCAGCAACAAGGTGCCTTCATATCGGCCGCAATATGATACAACTCGAGAACCACACTACTCAGAGAGCCGTCTTCATGTACACTCAAGAGCTCGTGACTGCCTTGGTGAGCCATATTAGCAAAGGACTCAGTGGCGGTCCAGCAGGAGGGAATGCGACTATCGACGTGGGAAGGCGGCTGGTGAATGATAAAGAAATCCTGTCTATGTTTTCTGTATCACTGGGAGGGTATCGGTATGCTAAAATTCCTGGTGGTTTTGTACTGCTATCCGTCTTCCTGGAACAGAACGGGGTTATGCTCTTGTCGGACCGAAATGCTTTCATGGAGCGGGGTGATAAGTATATTGCAACGCAGGGTGATGTTGCGCATGCGTTGGCTAGACCGACTATTGATCAGATTACAGCATTAATACAATAAGCAGAGTGTTTAAATTGTATAAGGAACCCAATGTCAAGAACACCAAAAGTGAACATACTATAAAAAAGGGGAGCAATAGATACGAGTAGATTGAGTCTGCATGCGCGTACTGAAAAAAGGCATGCAATAGGCAGTCCGGGTCGATACCTGGTGGAAGTCGCCGTACAACAACATGGACAGTATCCTCAGATGGAGAGACGCGCTGACGGAACGGGTTGCTTTCGTTTCAGACCGCTGAGACTGACTGTAGAGTCTTCCTCATCATCAAAGACAAGGATCGAGACGAGCCAGATAGTGAGCGCAACGACATTCACGTTGCTAAACTCAACAGCTTTTCGGTCTTGACGCTCTTCTTGAGGAAATCTGGACTAAAAATGCCCTCGATGCGGATTGTGCCTCGACGAAACAGAAGAGTGACAGCAAGTCGGCCATGGCGAAGGAAGCGAGTGGGTGATTACAGGGACAGTTGGTTGAGGCTGCGTACGAGAAAACGGGGAGTGCGAGCGTGGGGGAAAACAGGTGGAGAGAATAAAAGGAATGTGAGAAGGAAATGATGGCGGAGACGCAAGTGTCACACAAAGATGGACCCTCACTTGCTGCCAAAAATAGTAACTTTGCTATTTTGAGTTTGGTGCGTGCCCCATCCACAGGGGTATTTGGAGTCCGGGTGTGTGGGTGTGTATGGTGGTGTGCTCAGGAATCCATAAACTCGTATAAAGGGACGACCCAGGGACCCCCTCTTTCACTTTGTACCACCGTTGTTTCCACGTTCTTTTCAAAGAATAAAAAAAAAATGAAAGCAAAGTGGGTCAGAAAGCTGCTCAGGCCCTCCTCACCCAAGTCCTCTTCTACTTCCACCGGACCATCCACTTATTCTTTGTCTCACCCATTACCGCAACCATTCCAGCCTCAGCTTCATTCTTTACCATCGCCTCCAATCTCACCTACTTCTCCAGTCAAGAAAAGGGCTATCTTTGGATTCTCTCACAGAAACGAATCCGTCCCCAAGCTCTTGACCATGGTCTTCAGTTCCATCAGCGAACATGATCCGTTCAGGCAACTTCGCCGTTCTCACAGCACGCTCAAACCGACTGCGCCTAATACAAGTCATACTGTCACCAAACATGAGCCTGCAGACACCAATATGGACAAGGAAATCGAGACCACCACCCTCTACTATTACCCACCAGATCCTACGGAAGAAATCTTCGAGGAGCCTCAGTGGAGGCATTCTCAACAACTTGATACGAAGGACATTCGACTTAGATCCAATAGCCTACCTTCATTCCCAACTCACACTCACCGAGCGCGTCCCAAACCCCGGCCCCATGAGATCACATCCTTACCTGAAAACTACGTGCAGTACTTGAAGCATCAGCAGGAACAGTATGAAGAAAATCAGCGTTTTTCACCTGCCCCTACTTTTCAACAGGGCAAGCAACAACGACATGGACTAGGCCGGTACGCGCGGCACTCGGGTGACACAATTGCGGCACTAAGGGCCTCGGCTGCGAGAATGTTTGATTCTGCATCTCGGCCAACCTCGCCATCACTCCCATGTTTGTCAACATTGCCTGCTAAAGGAAAACATTTGAAATTTCGTGATCATCCAAGCTGTCCCTTCAACACGCCGTGCGTCTCGGATTCTATTGGGCTACCGTCCATCCTGCATGCCCGAATTCACCATATCAACAGTCTCTCCCATGCGTTGAAGCAGCGTGTGGCGGATGACCCGAATTATGAACTGCTTTTAAAGGTTATGGATAGCCTCGACGGATCGGTCGAAGGCCTCTGCCAGAAGATCGGAACGACCATAGGTATTGCTCCTCAGCAGCACACAGGATCTCACTCAGGAACAGCGGCCATTAATGTCCAAGACATAGTATCATCCCCGCGCACTCCACCCACCTCCACTACAATGTCGCCAGTACCTTTGCGCCCGCGCCGGTCAAGCACAAGCGATATACCACCGTCGACACACAAAAGGGTTCTGAAATTGAGCTCTCGAAGATCCACAAGTGTGGGTGTGAGCAAAACGCAGCCTCCGCGGCTTTATCAAGCCAGTAGCAACGGTACCACAGCCTCATCGCCAATCACAGCAGGACCACCATCACGGAACAATAGATCTCGGCGTCCTTCCTGTTGCTCAACGTTGCCTCCGCCTCCGGTTCAGACACTACCCAGGGTACCATTGTGCAAGCGACCGTCTCTCCGATCGGTTTCTCTGCCTGCGGCTCCTATATTTTTTCAGCCCCCTTCTGGTCCACCGCCGCCTGTTCCTGTAGCACCCCCACAGACTGAACGATTACATCGCCTCCGATCCATGCAGCAAACCGCTTCAGCTGAGGAGCATAGACGTTCTGGGCATGACGGTGTCTGTCCCCTCGTCAGCCAGGTTGTGGATAGCCATGGCGAAACCGAACTGAAAACAGTGCCTCTGGTACTTCCACAGGACCCGGAAATGTTTAGCAGTGATAAACCAATCTCGTTGCTTCTGTAAAATCTCGTATCAGGACCTTCCTCATGCCTGACTCGAACGATCGCCATTTTTTTTTCTGTAGTATCCCTGACGCCGCCTGACAAGGCTCGCTTGTATGGAGTCAACACATATTCTCCTGCTTAGAAAAAAAAAAGAAAAAAAAAAGAAAAAAGAATCGGTTTTGAAAGGCAGTAGGGTACGGATACGGAGCCATCGTCCAAGGACGTGCTCGACTCGCATGACGCTCCACAGGGATGATTCATTCTAAACATTTAGTCCGCAAAAGAAAATCGTATCATCCTACTTGTAACCTACGTAGATCGGTGGCTACTTATAAATGATGAAACGAGATACTATGTTGCTTAAAGGACAGAGCCTTATTTCCAGAATTGAACGAATTATTTTAGTTCGACTCCATTAATTAAAAGCATAGGAGAAAAATCAGTATCCGGTGTGCAATATTTTCCTTTTCTTTAATATTTTTAGGGCCTTCAATGTTCAGCAATATAAAGTACTAGTCTCAAGGGGCGAGTGTAGGTTCTCAGCGTGGGGACCCAAGTAGTTTCGTAGTGCTGTAAGAGGTAGTAATCCAGGGGCATATCGTCGCAAATCCAAATGAACCTTCATCCTGAGGAATTCGGAGTGCGAAGGGTAATGGATAGAGGGAATTCAACAGTAAAAGTGACAAGAACGGTCCAGAGATTGATAAAAGCCAGTGGAGGTAAAGCGAAAATATAGAAAGCGTTAGCCTTGAGCAAGGGTCAGTCAGATTTGCCATGTTGTAGGCTGTGCTTTTGACGAGAAGAGGGGTTTTTTTTCATTGCTTTATGCCCAAAAAAAATATATCGAGGCTTTTGCTGACCAGTGGACCATCACTTGCGAGCATTGCTACATGGAGTAGGAGCTTCCTATGAATGAGTTATGATAAAGATGGCGATGGTATTGGCATAGACTGCTGGCAAGATAGACGGCAGTACTGGCGGAGGCGAGAATACTTTCGTGTTCCGCCATTTCTCTAAAACAATTATGGTATTTTCTGTCAAGTGCGAGTTCTACATGTGTCTCATGTATGCCTGAATGGTGACGAGGATCATATGCGAAATTAGCGCTGCAAGATGAAGAATTCGACATGAGGATGTACATGGTAGTGCAGGTAGGGCGTCAGAGGAGAACGAGCCCCTGTCTGGTGGTAGAACTCGGGCGTGCGTACATGCGAGAGAATAAGGTTCCCAGGCGGTGTGTTTTAGAAGTGGTGTGGGAAATACGCTGGGATGGACATGTTTCCCGCCTCCTTGGCGGCACACACAAGAAATGAGGGTGGGAGTGTCCGGCGAACACAGCGTTTCAAGGTGAAGCGGCAAGAGAGCAACACCCTGCAGCTGCTGTGCTGTGGCACAAAGCGACAGAAATAGACACATAGATACATCAGACATCAGACATCAAACACAGGGGCAAAATATATTTTGTGCCTGTGTCGCATGTGCGAGGACGGAGAGGGGGGCGGCAAGCGCACCTCTTCGTAATCAAAGCACAGCAGGCATCTTGATGCCGAAAACGGGGTCCATTACCCCCACGCAGCGTTGCTAACGACGCGATGTAGGGGGGTGCCTGCCTTGGCCTTCCACAGGCACCACGGATCTTTCCTTGATAAAGAGGGGCCCTGTGCGTTTCCCCAAACTCTTTTTTTTCTTTTCAGTTTTCTATTTTCCTAGACAGCCGCACTTTCTTTTCTATCTACGTTAACCTTAACACTCCATCAGCATGACTCGACACGCCCCATTCTTCAATCAGACACGGTCTACACTCTCCTGCATCTACACACTTCTCTTTATATCTGCCGCATGTGCCCAGCAGTTCCAACCAGATGTCACTCTTGGACCCTCTAGCGCCTTCGTCGACGGTAAAGCCCTCTATATCCTCGGAGGAGACTCCCAGAGTCTCTCTCAGAACTCACAAGCGTTTATGATCGATCTCTCGGTGTCTTGGGGTACGAGCAATCCCGCTTTCACGAAACTACCAGACGGGCCCGAGGCCTCGTCCTCACCAAGTGCTATTTCTCGCGATGGCAAGAAATGGTATAACCTGGTAAACGGTACTAGCCACGTCTACGATATCAAATCCGGAAACTGGACCCAGAGCACAGCTCCTATACAGAAAGACAAGGAGAGCAAACCCAAGGCGAAGGGTGGTCCATCCACAGTTGGTCTTGCGGCGGTATCAAACCCAGACACTGGCGATATCTATATCCCCTTTGGGTACGATGGATCCATGGGGCGGACCAAGTCTTTCTCCATGCTCACGGTGAACCTGACGAACGAGACCTATGACCATGACGACAAGTACTCTAGTAAAACGCCACAGCGGTTCTACTCCGTGGCCTGGAGCTCACCTCTACAAAGCCTGGTCTACATCGACGAAAGCGGACTCTACAGCTACAACATCACGACCAAGGAACGGGTAGTCCTGCCCAAGAAGGAAGCCCCTAAGCCGCGCAGCGAAGCATGTCTGCTGTCGGTCAATGGCGGCTCGAGAATGGTCCTCTTTGGTGGCATTGCCGAAAAGACTGTCCAGAAGGACATTTGGGTCCTGGACACCCTCAGCTTCAAATGGATTCGAGGCCCAGATGTTGCTGACGGGGATGAGCGTACAAGAGCCGCATGCGGTGTTTCGAATGACTACATTATCGTATGGGGCGGTGCCAACAAGCAAGGCCAGATCTCGAACTCGACCCTGGTCTACGACCTGCGCAACGGAACGTGGACTACGGACTACGTTGCTCTGTCCACAAACACCACCAGCCCTACTGTCGCGCCCACGCCCACGCCTACGCCTACGCCTACCCCAACTTCTTCCAACATGACCATCTCGGTTACCGCTTCCCCCACTGCAAATACCACCACAACCACCCTCACCACTGCCATCACGCCCACGGACTCCATCTCCCCCACACTCCCTTTCAAAGAGACCTCAACCTCAATTCAGTCTCCATCCGGCTCAGTCTCGACATCCACATCCGTCCCAGCTGAATCGACGAGTGGCCCCGACCGATCCACGCATGTGGCAAGGATCGCGGTTGGCTCCGTCGTCGGTGCGCTGTGTTTTGCGGTGGTAGCGCTCGGGCTTGTTTACAGGAGGCGGTGCCGGCTCGCGAAGGAGAAGCTTATGAAGGATGAGGATCCTTTCGCACCGAACGCTCGGTTGGACGAAGGGACGCCCGTGCGCGAGTTCTTCCGCAAGCCGCGGTAGACCAGGGACATTTATGAACGATTTTTTTTTTTAAAAAAAAAAAATCCAAGTGTAGCGATTGTTATGTAATCAAACCTCAAAAAAGAATGAAATAAACCAAGATAATGAAGAAAATCAGAGAAGGACGACGAGGAGCACTGCATTGTAGCCGGTTTAATCGTTAGCAGGCTCTTGGACTGAGGCTACTTGACCATGAGGCATCCATATGCATCGCATCCATCAGTGGAATATCTTTCGGTGACAGTACGCTGAAACGCGGACTCAAGAGGTGTGGAGGGCAGATAATGAAGCGGGACATGGTGCGTCCATGCTTGCAGGGGAGCAGCAATGACATACAAGTGCATGAAGGGGCGTTGGTGGGAATGTAGACAAAGAGGGGTAGCGCAAAGTCTAAATTTCGACTAGGGGATATATTTCAAACACAGGGGGGGCGAAATAAAGAGGCGGACCGTGCGGACCACAGATGAAGGTTTGTTCAGGCCGAATAAACACCCGCAAGCGCTGTATGGGTAAGCAATCTAGAGCGGGCAGCAGTGGATCGAAATGGAGGCAGACAGCCCCGTTATGTAATGCAATAGGTCCACGGCAGTGGGTCTAGCGCGGGTCTCGTCCGACACTCAAACAGCACTAAATCGGTTATCGAAAAATGACCCGCGCAAATTGTCCCCTCGTCCCCACCATCCATCCATGGGTTGCACACACAAAAGAATAAAACGGTCTCTAATGCGGATCTCCCTTCTTTCCTCATTCATGTCCCTCTGCTTCTCTCATCCCTAACGCACTTCTTCCTGTCGTCCCCTTGTAAATACCCAAGAGACCTACCTCCATCCTTCACACACACACACACACACACACACCCTCCTCACTGTCGACATGGCTCGGCACACCCGCTCCTTGACTTCCACAGTCCACCTGCTTTCCCATATTTCCACACTCCTCCTCATCGTCTCTTCCCTCACCTCACCAGCCCACGCCCAGTCTTTTCAACCAGCTGTGCAGACCGGCTCCTCCTCGGCCTTTGTTGAAGGCCAAGTCCTTTACATTCTAGGCGGAACTCCCCCCTCAGGAATCCTATACGGCACCCCCACAACCACACAAGCTTTCTCCATCGACCTCTCCGTTCCCTGGAACGCCAGCAGCCCCGTCTACAAAAAACTCTCCGATGGACCCAGCACCTGGTCCCGCCCTAGCACTCTTTCTTCCGACAACAAGAATTGGTTCAACCTCGTTAACGGCACCGGTTATGTCTACAACGTCGACTCTGCTGCATGGAGCACTGTAATCCCGAGCAACAATAACATCAACACTGCATACGGACTTTCTGCGGTCACAGATCCCAGTACGGGGTTGATCTATATCCCTGGAGGATACCTCGCTTCGAAGGGCGATCCTACTATGCTGAAGATCGATCTGACAAAGAAGAGCACCGAGAGTGTGGCGATGAGTGACCTCTTTGGGGATTACACTGCTGCATGGAGCGCATCGGCCAATAGCCTAATCCTCTACACGGAGTCGGCCGACCCCCTGAACACCTATAACCCCTCAAAGGGCTGGAGCCATATCTCTCCCAAGGGCGACGTCCCAGCCCCACGAACCGACGCCTGCTTCATCCCCGCCTACGGTGGCAAGAAGATGGTCCTCTTTGGCGGGTACTCCAGAGCTCAGCAGGCGAGTCTTAACGATGTCTACGTCCTGGATGTGGGCAGCATGAGGTGGACACGCGGACCGGACGCCCCCGCCACCGCAAAACGTGATGCCTCCGCATGCGGGTTCTCGAGCGACTATCTCGTGGCGTGGGGAGGCGCTGTGACGGGTTCGGACCAGGGTACGCTCTCGGGTGGCACGGTGCTCGTGTACGACGTCAAGAATATGGCCTGGTCGGATGGATACGATTCTACGGGTTCGCCTTCGAATCCGGATGACCCAAGGAGGAAGGCGGCGGTGATTGGAGGAAGTGTGTTGGGTGTGTTGACACTGATCGTCTTGGTCCTTGGAGGGGTCTATCTGTACAAGACCAAGTGGCAGCGGGAGCCGAGGACCGGGGGGGAGAAGAACCCCGGCAAGAAGGGGTTCTTTTCGTCGATCCTATCAAAGCACTCAGGGCAGAAGCCCAGGCGGGAGATGAGCTCAAAGGACACTTATTATGTTTGAGAGGCAAAAAAAGTGGTGAAATGTCTTTCTACAGAGCTCCTTGGGGAAAGGGGGAGGAAGGGAGGAGAGGGGTTTTTTTTTGCTTTGTATATTCTATAGACTCGACTCTTTGTTCATCATGATCTCCCTTTGCATATCAATTTCTTCACGGTAATCCCTTAGCTTCGCGAACCCGAAATCAAATGTACAATATACCAACTGCATCGTAATAATTCACGTAGAGTCCTCGTCAGAAAGTCGCGGCCCAATATATTTTTAAATTGGCTTCTCAGTTCAATGAATAAGGTTGAATTTTAACGTACAAATAGACAATGTCCCATCTCTTCGCCACCATCAACTACATTTAACTTCATCCGCCTTGACCACACCAGTACATATGCCTAATATCATCGAGCGCGTTGACGCGCCAATTGTTAAAGGAGTTTACACGTGCCATTGAAACTGCTTGATGTCTGGAACTCAACCATGTTCTTCTTCGCGGATCAAATGTGCTTGCAGAACGCGCAATTGTGCTCCATGAACAATTGTTGATTAGGCTGACTTATTGCACGTTCAGCAAATTTCTCTAGACGATATTCCGGGTATAAACGCCCTCCCTCCCTTCCATCTATGGCACCATTTTCGACAAAAAACCTTGAGGTTATCTCGGTGTTTGCAACGCGAGAAGTCGACATACAGCTGCTCACTGCCAAAGACGTTCTAAGGAAGGTAAACACTAACGTGGTCAAGTGTTTGTCCTTGCACCTTATTAATGGTCATGGCAAACGCATACTTGATTGGAAACTGGCGCCTAGTGAACTTGATTGGCGTAGATCCGTCGTCCAGGGTCGTGAAAGGTATGCATGGAATAAGCACCGTTCGTCTCTTGAGGTCGCTATTAAGGATCTCGACACTGATGTATCTCCGACAGAGTGCTCGAGCAATCCGACGGGTACCATTGCAGAGGCCGGATTTCCCGTCCATGTTTCGAAGGCGGGTGATGGGTTGGCCCAATTTCAACAGCAACTCGTGGGGAGGCATACGTGGAAGATTATTTCACGTCGAGCTTTCCATGATCTGTAGCAGGGGTTTGAAAGTCGAGTGGGCTGTACGACCTCCTATCAAGGTCTGAGCGGCAGTCTCAGATGAGAAAACTACGATCACATCCTTCTCGCACCTTCCTCGGATGTGGGCAATTAAAGTATTGTACAAAAAAGACTTGCTTGTTCCTCCTGACCCATCAATAGAGAACACCTTTGCCGCGCCTTAGTCCTTGCTGTCTAGCGCTGCTGTGATTGCAGCGTACAGGGTTTTTTTTGATCGTCGTTGCAGAGATCCAAGTCATGAGCCGCAAGTACCTCAGTGCGAGCTCTGCATGTTGTCCAAGTTCGTCACTGTTGGGTTGGCAATCGATGAGGTTGCGAAAGTTTCGAGGTATCTCTTCATAGGCCGCCAGACTGACCCCAGCTCCCTTCAAAATCTCGTTGATGTGGAACAGTGCAGTGCTCTTGGCATCCTCTTCAGCATTCGGGCGATCTTCAGAAACGTACAGAAAGCCCTGAGATAGATCATCAGCGAACGCTTCTCGTAATTCGAGAGAATTAGCTGGGCTACAAAGATGTAGAACCATGGCGAAAAGATGGCGCAAGGTCGCAGGACTTCAACACCTGTTACCAATCATCAGTGAATGACCGCCGTGTAAGGGATAAACACGTTACGCTATTCCGGCGATTGTAAGCGGTAATTATGTCAGCGCGCCTGGTGAGAGATATAAACTCATCCCATATAAAAATAAAGTCTTTCGAGCGTGTTACTGAGATTCTTAAAGGAGTCCTTGAGGGTGATTCTGAAGTGGTCAGTTTGGCCGCATCTGAATGTCCGAGACGCTTAGAGGGGTCCTGCAGCAGGGGCAGGTGCCAGGCCCGCATGCTCTGGTTCGTCCAAATGGTGATTAGCACGCTCATACCGCTGCTGACTTTCGCGGACGCACTGGGCGGCATAGGCAGGAATTAGTCCAGTATGCCTGGTGAGAAGTACATCAGCGGTTAGTTCAGACTGTTCTGTAAGTCCACCCCATAAGAAAAACCCCCTGTATTTCGGGCGTGCCACTGGGATCCTCAGGGCAGTCCTTGAAGGTGATTCTGAAGTGGCCAAGTTGACCACATTTACATTCTCGAGGTGCTCGGGCAGGTCCCGCAGCAGGACTATAGATTCGATAAACTCGTGTCGAGTCAGCATGGGAACCACTGTCGATGTAAAAAGCAATGTCGCTATGAACGCTTGGCTGCCGCAAGCCAGGTATTATATCCCAACAGAAAAATGATACATGGGAGGGAAATGGAGGGAAATGGAGGGAATGATGCAAGCAGGGTGAACTTTAGTTTTATACCCAAGAATGTTTTTTTTCGCTGCAGTAGACGCATTCACTCTTCATCCTCGATATCTTTGTTCACTATGTAAACAAGAGTGAAGTACATATGTGTCAGAACGAGACTAGCCTCCAACGTGAATACGGACACAGACAGTGTGCGGAGTGGACCTGTGCAATTGATTGAATTAGCACTAAGATAGAAAAAAGAATCCTTCGCAAGAGCGACGTGGTTATAAAATCAGTAGTGAGTGGCGCTGTGTGTGTAACCCTAAACGCGACCCGCCTCACAGACTTCCCTCAGAGTGCGAGAAGAGGAGGGAGATGAAACAGGGGTCTGGAATGATTGGGTGCGTGTGAGACAGGTGTCAATGCGACCCTCAAACCCAAAGCAGCGACCCTTATTTCCCTATCTGATTCACAATAAAGCCCCGCGGGTGGTGGGTCGTCGTTCCACAAGACTGTTGATAGTCTATAGTCTACCACGAGGGATAAACTATGTTTCCATGCCAACGCATTGCGGTGCGGTGCAAATACCTCTCTCCCCTGTCTGCGTTTTGTGTGTAAGACGGTCTCGCCACTGACATTCCACCTCGTCTTTTTTTTTTTAGCGACTCAAACAAACCTCTTTTCTTGCTTGGAAGGATCGCTTCTTCTTTGTCCGCACATACTTCTCGCTTTCCCTTCCTCTCCCTCTTCCCTCTTCTTTCTTTTCTCTCCTTCTTTTTCTCGGCGGCTCCTTTTCTCTCCTAACCGCATATTTTCATCACCAACTGTATACCCCTCCTCCTCCTCCTCCTCCTCTTCCTCCTCCTCCTCCCTCCCCTGTTTTCCTGCTTACAATCACATAACGCAACTCCAACATGTCAAGGCGCACTTCACTCCTCCTAATATTCTCCACAATCCTCCTTCACATCTACACCTTCGCCCATGCAGCGCCATCCTCATCCACCCGCAGTACTTACACCTCCCCCTCCTCCTCCTCTTCCAGCGCCTTCATCGATGGCCAAGCACTCTACGTCCTCCACAGCCTCCAACCCTCTGCAAACGCCTTCCACGCCACGACCTCGGACTCGGACTCGACCACCTCTCGCACGCTCATGGTCGACCTCTCCGTCTCCTGGACCGATAGCGACATAGCCATCAAATACCTGCCCGACGGGCCCGCCAGTGGGACCTTCATGCCGACGATTCTATCCTCCGACAGACAGGACTGGATCGCTTTCGCCAGCAGTGGGGTGTTCGCCTACAACATCGGATCCGGAACCTGGAACTCGACGACGCTGTTGACGACGAGGAACTTCAATAAGGCGAGCCAGGTCAAGCTGGCGGCGGCGACGGATCCGGAGACAGGGATGATTTATGTACCGAATGGGTATGTGGACGAGAACGGATCGGTGTCGATGATGACGATCGATTGGGGGACCGGCACTATCGGGAGCGTGCCCATGTATGGGGATCTGAACTCTTTGAGTCATTACTCCGTCGTTTGGAGCACTGCCCTGAGATCCTTGGTCCTTTACACCGGCATGAATGGAGTGTCCAATGGCCTGTATACGTATAACCAAACTCTGGGATGGAGACCGCTCTTGACCAACGGTAACGTGCCGATCCCACGGTTAGGAGCCTGCTTCGTCGCCTCGTCTGCCTCGCCTTCGAGTTCAAAACTCGTCCTCTTCGGTGGTAATTCTGCCACACGCGACCCCTCGGTACCTCAAAAGGATATTTATGTTCTCGACCTGGTCACCATGACCTGGACCAGCGGCCCCGAAGTCGAGTACGAGAACGGACGTACAGACGCCGCATGCGCGGTCTCAAATGGACATCTAATTGCCTGGGGTGGTGTTTTGGCCAGCCCATCAAGCGCTAGCAAGGTCTTGATTTTTAATCTAGGGGTCATGGACTGGGTTCGGAACTACATCGCCCCTTACTCGGTTCCTAGGTCTGGCACCTCTCCTGCATCTGTCTCCGGTCCCGGGTACGGATCTCTTCCCACTGCAACCGTGCCCAGCGGTAGTGCAGGGGCCCAGCCGACGATGGCCCCTGCCGCCACCCAGGGAGAGTATTTAGCGGAGAATCGTTCAGATCTTACAGTGATCGTCGGATCCGTATGCGGAGGGGCCGTGGTCCTGATCGCGATCTCCGTGTGTATCTATCGAGTGGGAATTTCGATAGAAAGGAGGAACCAGAAGCAGCAGCAGCAGCAGTGGCGGCGGCAGCAGCGGCGGCACAGCAGCCTCGTAGCTTCGCGTAACAACCGGGTCGATATCGAGAAAGCCGGGTACCTGATGCCAGCCATGCCGAACGCAACAACCGCGATCGCCAGTCCATTCGAAGGTCCGTTACCACCACCGTTCGTGTCCAGGCCGGTGGAGAAATCGGAGGAGGAGCAACAAGTCTTTTATGGATATGGGGTCCCAAGGACCAGGCCCGCCCACTTGGGCGAGTCGAAGCTAGTCCTGGCTGCGCCCGCGCCCGCGCCCGTGGCTTCGGTCTCTGGGCCCTTCCCGTACGAGAAATCAGAACCGTATCATATCCCCAACGTCAGCGCCAACCCGAACCCGAACCCAAGCCCGATTGCGAGCCTCACGAACATCGCCCGGTCCCGAGATTCAGTACTAGAGCACCTCCAGCGCCACAGCGGGATCATCATCAATTTGGTGTCTATGGAGGAGGACGAGGCAGAGGGCGGGCTAGAGCGGTTCTCGCTCTATTCGGATGAGGAGCTGGAGTACCCCGAAGAGTCAGAGCCGTATAGGTTGCCGGAGGCGGCGGTGCCTTTGTCGATTGAGTCGAGGTCATCGTCTAGGTCGTCGTCTAGGTCACCGTCTAGGTCGTCGTCAAGGTCGGAATCAGATATCTCGACCTCGCAGCTGATGTATTTGGACGTCGAGCCGCCGGCGTATCAGGGACGGAATGAGCAGCGGTAACTTTGATGGTGATGGGTTGGGCAGTTCGTAGTCGTTGTAAATAAATTATCCTTCTTTATGCATACAAAAGGGCGCATACTCGGTATTGTTAATCTGGGGGGTGGGGGTTATTTATTGGGGGGGCGAAGGATCGAATCTCTGTCGTCTTCGCTTTGAGGTGATGAAAGAAACCAGGACAAACGGTTTTTCTCTTTCATTCAAAAGGATGCAAGGAAGAACATTTATAGGGCGCATGGTGTTTATTTATTCGCGGAGGGCTTCAAGTGGAAGGAGGAGAGGAAGGAACTGGAAAAGCGAACAGCCTCACATTCATGGAAGCACGAAACTAATCCCTCTTTTTTTTCTTTTCTTTCAGGCCTTTTCTTTCTTTTTTTTTTTTCAATCATCATCATCATCCAGCACATTGCGGATAAGATTCCTGATATGGCTACTCTCCGGTCGTCCCGACCCTGTCTGCCTCCAATCCGAGGGCGAAGTGGTCGGGATAGCGATGTCACTACTGTTCATGCTGGTCTGACTCAGCACCGGAGAGTTCGCGGACGTATAAACGGATGAGGAGGGCACGGTCTCGTAGGCGGACGATCGGGTCAGGTTCGTCTGAGAGATCGTCGCCGATCCCGTCAAAGGCGAGTTCCGCGCGGACATGTAGCCCTGAGACGGAGAACTCGTCTGGAGGTGCTGGTATTCTTCCTCATCAGCAGCGTTGCCGTTGCCGTTGCCATTGTTGATGCCGTAGACATCATTATCCCCTTCACGGTCAAGTTCCTGTTTCAACGAAAGCTGTTGGTTGACGGCCGCGGCCGCGGCGATGGCGCCCGCGGGACCGATATCGATACTGTCCTGACTGGCGATCGAGAGACGGTTCGCGAGATCGTATTGTTGCTTCAGGGCCTCGCTCGTCGCAGACGGGACAGGGAACGGGAGCAACGTCGTGCTTGCGGAGGTGGAGGCGGCGACGTTGGCGGCATCGGCGACGGCGTGACCCAGAGATCCGGTGGTACGATCGCTCGTTCGGCGACTCAAGCCTTCGTCATCTTCGTATTTATAGAAACCCACACCCACAGCACCAGCGGCACCGGCAGCACCAGCGGCGCCAGAGCCTGCATGATGTAAGCTCGGCAGCGAGAGATCGTCGGCGCTGGTGACCATGGTCGGGCCATACGCGTATCCATGTTTCTCCAATCCAGATCCGAACGCTTCCCGGTCCAGTTGCTCCTGACGCATCCTTTTGTGCTTCCTGGTCATGACCAGTCCAAAGACGATCAGGGCCAACGCTGCCGCGGCTCCGACGGCCCCCAAGGCTGCCGCGGGGACGTTTGTCTCTTTGGAGGACTGATTCTGTCCCGAGGCGGGTGGGAGACCCGGGAGTTGTGTCGAGTTAGGGTCGAAAGTTGCGCTGGTCTGGGACGGGTCTACGCTGGTCGTTGGGGAGGTGGGCGGTGTTGTGTTGATCTGGACGATGGTCGTGGCCGAGACCACGGTTGAAGTTCCAGAGATGACTGTTGGGACTATGATGAACGTAGTCGTGTAGATCGGGGAGGGTGTTGTTGTTGTTGGACCGCCCGTTGTCTGTGGAGGGGGGTTCGTGGTGGCGACCTTTGGAGGAGTGGTTGTAGGATCTGTTGGCGGCTGGGTCGCGGGCTGGGTCGTAGGTGGCGGATCTGCGGGCTGAGTGGTTCGTGGGGGGTTCGTGGTGGTAGGCTTGGGAGGTTGTGTTGGTGGAGCAGGCGGAGCTGTTACCGTAAGGGTCTCACAGGTAGCGGTGTAGGGCCAGGGGTGGAGGAGGTGGAGGATATCGTATGCGGATCCCTTGTACTCGACATAGAGTTGGTCGCCGGGGCAGGCCCCGTAGGCGCTCTTGGGGATGGTCCAGGAGTTGCCGTTGGAGATGTCCATGGAGGCGATTTGGGACCCTCCCGAGGAGCAGCGAACGGTTGCGGTGATGGAGTAGATATCGCCGGCCTTGGGCCACCAGCCGTTGTCGCCGAGAGACATGGAGACGGAGTCACCGGCCTGGTGCGAGCCCGAGGGGGACTGGCAGTTGATGGCGGCATTAACGGTGGAGGAGGAGAGGAGGGCGAGGGCAGCGACGGCGGAGAAGAGGGTGGTAGCGAGCGAGTTCTTCATGGCGGAGGGCATGTTATTAAGCGGGTATTATTAGGGGCAGTAGTATGGCATTAGAGGGAGTCAGGAACGGGTGGGGATGGTGAGCCGGAGGGAGAAAGAAAGTTTGGGGCTGGGGGGGGGGAGGGGGAGGAGGAGGAAGAAGGAGGAGGAGAGGGAGGAAAGAGAATCTGTTTACTCACTCTGAAGAGGAGAGGAGAGGAGAGGGGGGGAAAGGGGAACGGAGGCGTGAGTGGACAAAGGAGAGGAAAGGGGAGGAGAGGAGCGGTTGCAACTGGCGGTGTGTGATGGTAATTACTCTTTATGTACCCGCTGCCACACACGTTCCGCAGATGCATGCGCCCCTCTTTATTCTTGCGCTCAGAGACAAAACCACTCTCCTCCACGGCTAACAAGGTGTCCGTCCCCAAAGACACACAGCTGCCGCTGCCAGCAACACCCCTCCCCCACTGCGGCTGCCGATCGTTGCCGAATCGAATGGCCCGTCTCTTGTCGGTACCGCCGTTGTTGGTGCTGCGATGACACGAAGATGTCCCTTGACCTTTTTGTTTCTTCACTGACATCCACGGAGGATATTTGTGTCAACAATCGTATAATTTATTGTAGACTAATTGTTTGTGTCCAACAATACATAGTATCCATAACATCCTCGTCCTTTGAGAGCCCTCCTTCTTTTTCTTTTTTACTTTGCGCAACTCGAATGATCACCCCTGTCAACAAAGTAAAATTTGCTTATCAAAGTGAACCTGCCCGTTACACCCGCCCACGCCGCACTCCATTCGCCTACAACAGCACCCTGTCCTTCAAGAGCGTCGGGCAAGGAACACTTTTCAGCGTTTTTTTTTCCTCTACAGCAAAACATAATAATCAGAGCACGCACGCACATGCCTTGTTGATGCCAATCTAGATCCTCGATAGTCTATATCACCAGCTGCTGCAGGAAGCCAGGCTTGGAAGCGCGCATGCCAGACCACTTGTCATTGCTAATATCCCTTTTTTTTTTTCCTTTGGTCGTTGTTACGTGAAATGCTGGCTATTATATCTATTTTTGTACCCCCTTCATGGTTTTATTCCACTCTACTTGGTTGCACCAAGAAAAAAACGACCCTGAACGGACAGACACATGGCGCCCGAAGAGTTCTCCCTAGATGTAACTTTTTTAGCATCGCGTCTCCTGGGTGTCTAGGCCTATTATTTATTTTTTTAACGAATACAAACTCTTGACGTTATCGCACACGGCTCCATACTAAGGCAAAAAAAAAAAAAAAAAAAAAAAAAAAAAGCTCCGGTAGGGAGGGAGGACAGGCAACTTGCACTGCATCGGATCCTCTCATGGACATCGTTAAAAAATAAAATAAAAAAATAAAAATACAGCTCTTAGGCATATGATATAGATACAAGGGTAGGGATACCTCTGCTCTAAGCTCTAAGCTCCAAGCTCCGTACCACTGTGCCCATGGCCGAAGCGCTACAATTGGGCAAAGTTAAGAGGGTGCTCTCGAGGGTTCTAGCAGAAAGGATGACGCCAACGTAACCATGGATACTGCATTCGTTATTGTTTTTTTTTTTTTTTGTGTCAGCCCTCAGTCTGGTCTTTCTACACAGAGCTTGGTCAGCAACAGCGGCCACAGCTCGAAGAGGAAGAAGAAGGAGGGTTGCAGTTTCGGAGAGAAGGCTTAGCAGGGGTCTGACAAATAAGCTTGGAGGCATATGAGGGAGGACAGTGTTTTTTAAGGTCCTACGCCGTGCGACACGGACTCTGCAGCATTCTCTCTCCTCAACCCTCTTTTAAGTTTTCGTATATATCCATCCAACCTTTGGACGTCTACCTCTCTCTTCTTTCTCTATTTCATTAAAAGATCCCTTCCTTCGTCCGTCCAATCCGCCATGTCCCAAGCGCGGAAACAAGACTCGGAAAGCTATCCTGTCCACACGAACGACACCACTACCACCACCCCCCCTACCACCGCCAGCCACCACAATGCGTTCGAGAACATGCTGAACATGGACGAGATCGCCCGTGAGGACGCCGAGATCGGTCGTGCGGAAGCTGGCAGGGATTTCAAATCCCCCACGGGCGCGTTTGTGAGCAACAACAACAACAACAACAACACCAACCACATCAACAACGACCACGACGCCGTGGGACTGGGCGAAGGGTTGTCGACGACGATCACGTACTCGGATCCACCAACATATGAGGAAGGCTTGGGACATCGGGTGCGTTGTCATGCCAAGTTGTTGAGGAACCACCAGATTGGTGGAAAGGTCACGAACATCGAGTTGTTCTTTGACCTGGTCTTTGTTTATGCGAGTAAGTCGGTTCCTGTTTTTTTTTTTTTTTTTTTAAAGGAAAGAAGCTTGCAAGTGAACCATAACGCTGCGGGTTCTGTACGACTTGATCTAAATCGACCCTTGCATGTTTTTGTTCAAAACTGTTAATAGTCAGCGTTATCTCTGAAACCATGGTCCATCATCTTGTATGGGAGGTCGTTCTTGAGATGTTGGTCGTTACGTTGGCCATCTGGGTAAGTTTTCCATTTCTCATCGTCGTTGTTGCTGTTATTGTTGTTGTTGTTGCTGCTGTTGCTGTCTGAATCGTCCCTTCTGCGGGCGCGCTCTCAGGGTCCATCGTGTATGTATACACGCTAGCATAGAAAATTCTCCCTCTAACCGAACGTCTTTTTCTTCTGTTGTGAGTAGTGGGCATGGGTCTTCAGTACATGGGTGTTCAATTGGTTCGTTGCCTTTCTCTCTCTCTTTCAAAACAAAAAAAAAAAAAAAAAAGCTCTCTGTGCTTGTATCTCTCAGCATGGGAATGACAAAGGGACGGGGCTGATAATGTTTTTCTTTCCCTGGAAGTGTTTTTCTAGGTTCAATCCCGAGTCTTACCTGGTACGACTCCTGCTGATGGCCTTGATGCTCGTCAACCTGATCATGTCTGCGTTTATCGGGGAGGCCTACGGGAGCCAAAGTCTACTCTTCGCGGGGATGTACGTCCTGATCCAGGTCGGAAGGAACGTGGCCGCAGTGCTGGCGTTGCATGGACACAAGCTGCAGAGGAACTTCATCCGACTGCTCAGTTGGTTCCTCATGACCGCCGTGCTCTGGTTGGTCGGGGGTGCCATTGGGGGGACCACCCGGAATGTGCTCTGGACGGTCGCGATCGTTCTCGAGTATATCTCGCCCGCGGCTGGATTCTATACCCCGGGACTTGGCAAGTCCATCTCGACGGATTGGGAGATTCATGGGGGACATATGGCTGGTAATGGAATATACCCAGATGTGCAGATGTGCAGATGGGTTTTTAGAATACACATGTTTGTTTGCTGGCTTGGAGATTCCTTAATCATATATCTTTTTTTTTTTTCTTTTTTTTTTTGTATCTAGAGCGATGCTCGTTGTTCATCATCATTGCATTGGGCGAGTCCATTGTTGTCACAGGAGAGGCCTTCAGGGAGGCCTTCCATGAACCCGCAGGGATCGGAATGTTCATCGTCTCCTTCGTCGGTGCCACCGCCATGTGGTGGATCTACTTCCACACCGCCTCCTCAGAGGCCGCAGAGTACGTCGAACACAGTGCCGACCCCGGCAAGATGGGTCGACTCGCCTACACCTATATCCACGTCCTGATGGTCATCGGCATCATCTGGTGCGCCGTTGCGGACCGTATCAGTATGGAAGACCCCTATATGGTCCCGCACCATGAGCACGACAAGATGATTTATGTGGCCATCATGATCGGGGGTCCTTCCTTGTTCGTACTCGGTCATGCCTTGTTCCGTCGTACGTTCTGCTCAAGGATTCCTGCGGCCCATCTGATGACCGTTGCCGCATTGATCTGTGCGACCCCCATTGGGATTTTCTTGCCGCTCTGGGCCACAGCCTTGACGACGACGATCTTGCTAGTGTTGTTGGGCGCGTGGGAGTCCTACTTTAGATGCGTTATCCTTCCTAACCCCCATACCGCGTAATCTAGCACTTAGTGATTTTTGTTGGTATTAATAGTAAAATAGTAATAGAAAAAGCGTGTGCCGTATTTCCTCGGATGAATGAATGCCTTTTTTCTCCCCTTCATTTATCATCCTCCGTTACAATCGTAGAGCCATATTCAGTATTCGGACCAGGATCCATGTATACGCTTTATTATCCATAATACTGGGGACCCAAATCACGAAAAAAAAAAAAAAAAAAAAAAAAAGGCTATGCTATGCTCTCAGATCCTTCATCGGGATATCCTGTGCCTCACTCTTGGACCCCATCTCCGGCAAGATACCCTCCCCCTTCTCTGGGACGATCATCTGAGGCGACCGACGGAGCAATGGCGAAGACGACAACGACAAATTTGTCGATGAAGCCGTATTCGGGGCCGACATTGGACTCATCATCCCATGCTGTGAACTGCCCGACACCGGAGGTGGCGGTGGTGGGTAATGTGCTCCCCCTGGTTGTTGATAAGGGGGTAATGCCCTGTTGCCGTTGTTGCTGTTATTGTTATTGCCGCTGTAATAGGCCCCCCCGGCCCCGGCCGCCCCAGCATACCCCTGAGCTTGTTGTACGTAGTACGGGTTATAGTAATCATCCTCAGGGTTGGTATATCCGTTCGTCCCTTCGTACCCTCCTTGCTGATGCCCGTATCCGCCCCCTGGACTCTGTTGGACATATCCATATCCGTCGTCTTGGTAGTATCCATGGGAGGGTTGAGGGACCTGGGGCTGCGCTTTGTTCATCCCGTACGCGGCACCACCAGCACCACCTACAGCACCTACAGCAGCGGCGGCGGTGGCTGTGGTCTCGTTGGCGGGGGGCGAGCGACGTCCGCCGTCCATGGAGGGGACTTTTGTGAAGGGATTGTTGGTTTCACTGGACCAGGGCATGATCGCGTTCTCCATGCGCTGGATGCGTTGTTTTCGAAGGTACCACCATGTCCCGAATGCGACTAGGAACAAGATCAATCCTGCGACCTATATTTTAATTTGCATCCATCGATATTTGTGCGTTAGCGCCGATTTTTCTTTCATTGCACACTTTTGAGAATATTATCGTGCATGATAACGTACGATAGCCACGATCACAATCACAGACGACTTTGGTCCCGAGCCCTCCTTCTTATCCGAGTCCGTGGGCGTTGGCGAAACAGTGCCCGACGAAGTACTGGTCTCCCGTGTGGACGTGGACGACGTCGTCGTCGTCGTCGTTGTCGTTGTCGTCGTTGTCGTCGTCGGCACCGGCGCCGGATTGATCTGGATGTTCGTACAAGACGCCGTGAACGTCTTTGGGTCGAACAGGTTGAGCGAGAATTTCAGCTGCCCCGAATATCGGACATAGAACCCATTCCCCGCGCATGTTCCGTTGCCCCCTCCGCCGACAACCGTGGACGTATTCGAGATGGGCGTCCAGACATAGGGCGCTGCCCAGTTGGCGATCTCGACCGTGGCAGCCTGGACCCCACTGGTGCAGTAAAGTGTGGCTGTCATGGATTTGATATCTGCGACAGTGGGGCTCTTCCCGTCCGAGCTCACGGATAGACTGATGGGGCTTCCAGTTGTGTAGGTCCCGCTGTTGGGGGATGCGCAGGTGATATCCGCATAGGCAGTCGAGAGCCATGCGAGGAGGTATCCAAAGACCAGGTAGAGGAGGGCCTTGGAAGGGTATCGAGATGACATTATTGAGGGAATGTATGAGTAGGTGAGGAGAAGAAGTGTAGATATAGGATGGAGAGGTGGTTACTGGTATTAGAGGAGGAGGGGGGGGAGGGGGGGGGGGAAGGAAGGGTCGTTCCTGAGCACAGCAATCTACTGGCCTGTCACTTTAACCGTAGAGGGTGGGGGGAAAGAAATGAAAGACTTAGGGTGTGGAGTAGGGGTAAGTAGGGCTGTTCAGGGAAGGGTCGTTCAATGAATGATTGAGGGAGGAGGGGAAGAGAGGGAAGGAGAAATCGGGGACGACAGCCGGTTCCTGGGTACGCGGAGAGGAGTGTGGTGTGATAAAGACAAAGTGGCGTGAAGAGTGTGGAAGTGGGCTGTCTCTTTTCTTGATCTCGATCTTGATGGGGAAGGAGATGACAAGGGAAAGAATGAGAATGGGAATGCGGATGAGGATGGGGATGGGGATGAGGAGTGAGGTTGTCGAGGAGCTAAGGGCAGCAAAGAGAAGAGAGAGAGAGAGAGAGAGAGAGAGAGAGAGAGAGAGAGAGAGAGAGAGAGAGAGAGAGAGAGAGAGAGAGAGAGAGAGAGAGAGAGAGAGAGAGAGAGAGAGAGAGAGGGAGGGGAAAAAAAAAAAAAAGGCACGCTGGCGTTCCTGGATGGTCCGCCCCCCTCCAGGCACCGGCCTGTGATAGTCACCCCTTGCCCTGGGTAGGTTCGCTTATGATATACTCCCCTTTTCGCTTCTCACGCGCCCTGAACTGTAATAAAAACTATTTTGTTTTTTGTGCCAAATTGCATTTGTTTCCCCCGAGGGCACTTCAGCATGACACAGAAGGGGGAGAAGTGTCCCTTTGGGCGCTGCAAGTTTAGTGTGACCGAAAATAAAACTGCGCTAAGACTACCCGTAGTTCGTTCTCGGTATGTACTAGCCCGCTTTGCTGCTTACAACATCTACAGGAGGAAATAAAACGTGCCGCTCCCCTCTGTTGTCTATTGCTTATTCATTTTAAACTTGGGGCGCTTTGATGTCGATACAAAGCGAGAGTCTATGCAGACGATGCTTCCATGTCATGAATGAGGGTGCTCTTGTCTGCTCAAGTACCTGTCTTAAAAAATGAACGCAAAGGCCCTTCTACTTCTTCTTCCTATGTCAGTTACGAGTGCGGTGCATCATAGTCCATGAACTGGGGTCCACTTGGCAACCCACATTCTTTATGTTTAGAGGCTTTGCGCTTGAAGGCTCCTCTGTTTTCTGAAAAAGAAGCTGCACGGTGTTCATTTTGCCGCCAAAATTCACACAGCGAACCATTGTCACAGGCGCGGTCGCATGCCTAGTCTTCGTACCCACAGTCGCCGTTGAGGCACGGGGTCATTGAATCGATTTTACGTTTAGGAGTTGCGTTAGGGCATTCGGTGGAATCGAAAGCAGGAAGGCGAATAAAGGCGCGTAGTGCAGAACTTTGTCCATCGACCCTGTCATTAAAAAAAGGACTAGTATTTATTCAGGTCCCGGCATTTTGTTTTTTTTTCTACTGCAGCCTTCAAACAGTAGCCATCCATGTCTCCGTAATTTGATCCACGCGCGCTTGACTGCGCACCTTATTCATCAATCAGCCCACTCAGCACCCTGAACACATCCGTGAGGCTAACCACGCCGACAGCGCACCCGCTGTCGTTCACCACCCACATCCGATGGGCCTTTGTCGCCTGCAGTTTAGAGAGCGTGTATCCAAATGTAGACTTTACGTTCACATCCAGGATAGGGTACTGGTCCTATTGCATGAACGCCGTAAATTAAACAGGTCGCATCAATTATCATGCTCCAGCACAGCAGTAAAAGGCACCTTCAGTAGTAGTGAGCTGTCTTACCTCTCCGCTTTCCACCCCATGCGACAACCGGATCTTGCATACCAGCTGAAAGCAGCTAATCCACAGCCATGACGTCCTCAAGTTCTTCATAATATGCTGCAACGATAATGGAAGGAATCGTTCGTTTGATCAGCACTCGCACGACTCTTGTCAGTGGACACATTCTCCAGGCAGCATGGATATGAAAAACATCCAGCTTGGGTATACCTTGATGTCTGTCATGCTGATGTTTCCCAGAAGCATGCCCTGCTCATCCAAAACTGCGAGTGAAGAGACACCATGTGTACCTGTGAATTAAAGAAACGAGATTCAAGGATGAGTTGCATGGCCCTAATTTTACTCGCCTTCTAATCGCGCAAAGGTGCTAAAGCGTACTCATCGAGATCAAGGCGTCCAAGACCTTTTCCTCTCCGTTCACTGACAAAACCTTCCCATTCGTCAACCCGCATTGCTGGAGCTATTTTCAGACATAGAGGAATCCCATTGAATCCTGTCAGGCCTTAAGATAAATTCGAGAAGGGTCGATCGACAAAGTTTGAAAATTTGATCCGCTTCGCTTACACTCTTCTGCATCACAGGCTGGAGCTGAGGATATTCGCTCAACTAAAAGTACAAGGAATGAAGGGCCATGTTAATGGTGCCAACATATTACTGATTGCATGAATCAAGTGCTGCATATCTCTCTCATGAAAACAGACGTACATGACGCATAAGGTAGTCCAGTGTCGAGGACTGCGACAAGATACCCATCATATTTTCTTGTGCATCCATAACCGCCACTAAGAAACTCAACAAAAAAAAAAAAAAAAAAAAGGTAAAAAAAACCTGTCAGCTTTCTTTCTTACATGACTGTTAACAGTGCAGATCTGCTTCATTGTGAAGGAAAAGATCCCGTTGCCATTCATAGAGTCATACCACGATGAATTCCTGCTCCAAAGTCGTGAACCACGGATCCCAGCCTCGTCTCGGCCGTCACCATGCAAAAAGGATCCTTTCCTGACAAATCTATAACGATGAATGATTTTTTACATCGGTCCTCCCCCAGCATCATCGAGCAGGGAAGAGTACAGGAACAGGTTAGCAAAAAAAATACAGGTGTTTCCCAAACCATCATTCGGAATTCAGGTTTTCATCCACATCGCCACCAAAAAACCCGTTTCTTGTCTTTAGGGAACAAAGAAAATGTCGCGGGGCCATGAAAAAACTTTGAATTTCCAGTTTTCCACATTGAAGGATAACATCTGCAGAAACGCCATGTGTTCCTGGCGCTCCGCATAAACTCAGTTTTCGCTACGCCCGGTTAGCCTACCAAGACAGGAAATATGATGCAATAGGATAAACCAAAAAAAAAAAAAAAAAGAATGCAAACGGGTATGTGTCACTTACCGGACGCCAACTTCACGGGCACGTTCTGGCTCTTGCTCGTCCGCTGAATCAGGTCCCGCATCTCCATGGTCTGGTCCTCGAGCGGAACCTCCATTTTCTTGAGCAACAGCAGAATATAGGTCATCAGATCGCCGTAATCGAACATGCCCACGTACAGTTTCCTGTTGTTGTCATAGACCGGTGCGGACGTGATTCCATTCTTGAGCAACACCTAGAGTACACAAAGTCAGTGCCGTAGAAAACAAAACGTTGTAACCGGTGGGGAGGTTTTTTTTTCATCTCATCATGTCCCTCTGTATCCCAATGGGTGCGATATGAAAATGCGTCGGACAAGTGCTTTCGTGCCGTGTTCTCCTCTCCAGAAACGGTCTGACTCGTAGGCAAAAAAAAAAATGCAAGGTAATGAGCGTTTACCTCGCAGGCGTCCTCGACTGTTGCATCAGCATCACTATTAGTGCCAATGAGCAAAAGAGGAAGGCTAGAATGAGCACCAAGACAAATGCTCCCTTGACATCTGTATAGTCGACTGCTGGTCCAGCACGCGCTCACTCACATGGTGACAAGGGTCTGTTTCTCGACGAGCGTGCCAGCCTTGACCGCGGTCCAGTCATGAGAGGCTGTTGTCAGCCCCTCACGGCGCGGACGCTGATTCGGAAGTACTCTGTCGCTACTCATTCTGGCTGATGAGGTCTATTCCTGAGGATGATGCTAGGGTGTGTGTTTGTTGGAAGCGGAGAGGCAGAGACTGCAGGACTGAGGGCGATGGTGAGAAGAACAGGTTATGAGGTGTCAAAAAAAAAAAGAGGGTTTGGGCGGTTGAGCCAGCAAGCAAAGCGAGTATTCTTCCTCCCCACATCTGCCAACCGATTGTGACTAACATGAAAGTAAATTCGAGCGGGATCGCATTCGAGGAACTTCCTACCGCACTATGCATGGTTTGATGAATACTCAGACATCTTTTAAGTACCCAGAGTCGAGCTACATGTACGACATTCAGTGAAAAACAAGCAGATCCTCGGTATCGAGCGCAGCCGCTAGTCCCGCGAACAGACCCGATCCGAGTAAGATTGCATGGTGTAAATCGAAGGGGTACTAATCCTCTGTCAGCGATGATCCTCTTACAAAGATTTAGACTCATCTCTTGACTTCCTTTCCACAAGACAAGACGAACATCTACGGCACACCTGATGGCCAGCCCCGACCGTCCGCTGTCCCTCAGAGTGCACATGCATTCACCAGCCATCCTGCTACGGACCATACACCCATCCAACATGGACCACATGCCTTTGCCTCCTCTTATGGCCACATTCAAGGCGGGGAATGGCAACAGGAACAGGACTCATCATAAAGCTACCATTTTTAACATACCCTCCATCATATAATACACCGATCTACGCGCTCAGCTTTACAAATGCGCCATTATGGCATGTAGCAAGGCGACAAAGGTCCATGCCGCTTCCTTCAATAGCCAAAGGATTCGAACAAGGATGCAAGCCAAGGGATACAACGTCCACAAATATCACTTCGGATCATAGTGCTACTCACAGCATACCCATGCAATCATGGAGGATTCACTGGAACACAACGGACGCTGCCGCACAGGAGGAAACAGATCGTGCACAAGCCGTACTCACGGTATTATCATAATTATGTCTAGGACTCAGCATTGGTGGATGACCCTTTAGATTACCATTTTGACCTATATCTCACGACAGGCCCCCCTAGGAGCAGCAGCATACCATAAAACACCAAAGAGGGTTTTTTGCATGCCTTCATCTGGGTACTCTCAATTCAAAAGAATGCCAACACAGAAAATCACTCGCATCTCTCAAGTAGGTTGTCTCCTCGCTCCTTCTAATTTGCCTTTACGCTTTATCACACCAACCCTATGAAGAGCCCAAGAGCACGGCAAGCTCCATTTACCCATAAGCACTTCTGTAACTGCAACGAACTCGATACCCACGAACTCAACACGCTGCGAACTCTGTAATAGGGACAAGCTCTACACTTTCGACAACCCCGTCACAAACACTCTGACGCTAGGTATACGTAAAACATCAGCAGCAACATAGAAAAAAAACACGAAAGAGGCTCCCAAGCACAAGATATCCAAAAATGCGGTGGCCGCAATTGAAAGCGGAAGAAACCCCAACAGTACTTCAAAGATCCTTCCCGGCCTGAATACCGTGGATGAATACAAGAAAGGGCAAGGGCAAAATATGTGCATATTGAGTATAGGTCAACATTTTACGGTCGTTATAATAAACAATTGGTAGGTTTATCTAATTCAAGGCACACGTTATGGTGAAGATGGTGCGGAAGAGGATGTTGAAGCCGATGGAAGGAAGGAGGGAGGGGACGGCGGAGAAAGGTGCTTAGTGATAGTATAGAGGGTCCATCGATTCATCTCCAGTCATAAAAGTAATAAGCGCATACACCTGGTGGCGCGGTTCTTGTGCGATCATCTTTGTTGGGGGGGGGGGGGGGAGGGAAAGAGAAGGAAGGCGCGACTGGATAATGACATTACGCGGTTCATATTATCCAAGGTCGGCAATCACTTCAGAAACCTCGCACTCGACCTAGCGAAGATGGAAGGTCAGCAGAGAAAAGAGGGCCTCTTGACTGAAGCAGAGGCCCTCAAAAAAATGGCACTGACTATAGCAGTGACCACTGCAGAACCCTGTCTGAGGAAGGTTTCCAGGAACAACTTTGGCCAGCTGGCTGTGTATCAGCCGGCTTCCTCAGCTGCACCTGAGCATGGGAAGTCGCCCTCTGTTCCGCCTGCGTCTTCTGACTAACCATGCATGCTCAAGGACAGATGAGCACAGGCTAAAAGCAACAGCAGCATCGCAGACAACAGAGTAGGTAATGATTCTTGGTAGTAAACTCGTTGAGTCATTGGAAGTACTCGGCCATCAAATGGATCTCCTCCACATCGAGAACCGGAAATGCTCGAAAGAATCCGATCCGTAGACATTGAACTCCTCACCTGGAGGCCGCGGAGCGTTGTCTCCCCCTGAATCCTAAGCCGCGGTAACGCGCCACGGAGGAGCATGCGGTCCTCTTGGACCAGTCGTATCAACTGTTCGACAGCCATCTTGGGTTGATTATATGGATAACGGGGTAACGTGGGTTGCGCCTTCCAAAAAAAGAAGACTTGAGGGGCGGCTGTATTTCCTCAAGGGATGCTTGTGCTGCTGTGCTGTGCTCTTGGGTCTGAGCGAGGGGTTCAGATAATGTTTTAGGGTTCTCCTTAGGATGTTTCATCGTCTGAGACCAAACCCTCGAACTCTTTTTCTTTGATTCCCATGTGCATGCCGCTCTTTTTTTACTTTTTATTTCCCAACGGTTTACGTTCCAAAGGCTGACACGTCGCCAACTACTTCAGACAGTCGTTTGGCCACCACTATATTAGGAGATGGGAATAGACGCATGTCTATAGCCCTTTATACCTGTTAACCTGTTATCTGGAATGCACTCCCCACTACGGGACAATACACTTGAATTTCTGTGCGGTGTCTACTTTATATCTAATCTCCTGCCAGTTGACTATCTATTCTTGGAGGCGGTACAGTCCATGGTCAGGACTATGTGAAGTTGCAAATAAAAAACAAAAAAAAAAAAAACAAAAAAAGAGCGGACTGAAACACGGAACCGGAATCACGGAGATACGGTTCCACGCCCTGCTATTATCTATCGTGGATGCATCGTGCATTGTGTAAAACAAAAAAATTATTTGATTTTTTTGGTCCACAGGGGACGAGCACAGTGGCGGGGGGTGCCCGCCTGGGGCCACAAAATGTAAATTAGCCGCTAATTCTAAAAAAGGGGAAGTGAACCGTGCGGCAAAACATCGAAGCTGCATGGAAGCTGCATGTTCACTATAGACTATGGCCGCCCCATTTGTTGACAAACAGGGGCTAGTGCTGGAATGCACTGCCAGCGTTAACGGTTTTACACAAAAACAGTGATGCCTCTCATGAGCATGTTGGCGTACTCTTTATCGGAACGTTCTCAGGACACCTTTCTAAAACCCGCGTCGCGTCAGGTATAAAAAGGATCCGCCATGGATCTTATTTCCCCTCATCCAAGCTCCTTCTCTTCTTCCAGCTCTTTCCAACACTTCAGAAATAAGCAAACTTACTCTCTTCTCTTTTTCTTTTTAACCACATACACACACAATTCTCATCAACATGACTCCACGAACCCGATCCCTCAGCTCTGCATTCCTCCTCCTCTCGTATGTTTCCACGCTCCTCTTGAGTGCCTCCTTTGCACCTTCGGTCTTCGCTCAGTCCTTCCAACCAGATGCCAAAGCCGGTCCCTCTTCTGCCTTTATCGAAGGCCAAGGCCTGTACATCCTAGGCGGTAACCCCCTGTCAAGCGACAACAATTCCTCACCCGCAACCCCTCAGGCATTCATGATCGACCTCTCCGTCTCCTGGAGCGCAAGCAGCCCAGCCTACAAGAAGCTCCCCGATGGACCCAGCGCCTGGTCTCGTCCCAGCACCCTCTCTTCTGACAACAAGAACTGGTTCAATCTCATCAACGGTACAGGTTACGTCTATAACTTCGAGTCCTCGCAGTGGTCCACCGCCATTCAAAGCAGCAGTATCAACACCGCCTATAGACTCGGTGCAGTCACCGACCCTGAGACCGGTCTCATTTACGTGCCTAACGGTTATCTCGGCAAAAACAATGAAAGCTCGATGTTGAAGGTTGATCTAGAGGCCAAGACCTTTGAGGGTGTGCCCATGTCCGACGGGCTCAGCGAGTCCTACCTTTACTCCGCTGCATGGAGCGCCGCTATCAAGAGCCTCGTCCTCTTCACAGAGTCGAATGATCCCTTGTATACATACAGCACATCCGAGGGATGGACCCATGTCACCGCCACGGGTGATCTTCCCGGTATACGCAGCGACAGCTGCCTTGTCCCAGCTTATGGAGGCTCCAAGATGGTCTTGTTTGGTGGTTACTCGAGACAGCCGGGGCTCCAGACCAGCCTGAACGATATCTATATCCTGGATGTGGCCACTATGACCTGGTCCCGCGGTCCTGCCACCGATGACTCTGAAAGGCGCGACTCCTCTGCCTGTGCGATCTCAGGCGATTACTTCATTGCCTGGGGTGGTGGACTCACGGAGGGAGACAGTGACGATAAGCTCGCCCCTGGAACTCTCGTCTACAACCTCAAGTCTCAATCGTGGACGACCGACTACGTCGCCTCGCCATCCAACTCTAGCAGTTCACCCTCAGCCATCACTTCTCCCTCAGCCATCACTTCTCCCTCAGCCACCGCTTCTCCCTCCTCGTCCTCGTCTTCGTCGGCCATGTCCTCACCTTCTTCTTCGGAAGGCCGCAAGCCCAATGTTGCCGTCATCGCCGGATCTGTCCTCGGCAGCTTGTTCGTCGTCGCCGCTGTTGCCGGTGTGTTCTTCTACCGCTCTCGTGTGAACCGCGCCAAGGTCACCCAGGACATGAACGAAAAGGCGATGTACTCGCCCAACCTGCGAACTCGCCACGATAAACTCGGACAGACTGGCTCGAGGGGCTCTTTGGTTTGAACGCACTCACACGCTACTACTATTTTATTTTGCATCGCATTCTTCCAACTCTTGTATAGCTCCCCTCTTTTTTTTTTTAATTCTCGACATAGCCCCCTCTTCCCTCCACCCCTTTCACCATTATGTTCTTACCTGCTACAGCCATTTTTTTTTTAAAAAAACTTGTATCTTATGAATTCATCCATGCATAGCAATGATCAATAATAAAAAAACAACGACTCTTATCTAAGAATCTCTCCAGGCACCACACTCAATATGAAAAATGTAAATGATAAAGTAGTTCATGTGCGAAGGACTATAAATGTTTTTTTTCTAACATTTTATTAAAATATAGTACTTGAAAAAAAAAAAAAAAAAAAAAAACTTTGCAGAACGCACACTTGGTCAGCTTTAGGGGCTATGTGTTCAGTACGGCTGAACTTCTGTCTGTCCGAGTGCTTCTCCGGGCAGCGGGCCTTTTTTTTTTTTTTTTCCTCTAGTTAGGAGGGTGCGCGCGTGCGTGCCATCTATGTCTCAACGGTGCGTTATAGACTAGTGTATTTGTGATGGGGTTTTGTGTATATTGCATGTAGCACAGCACAGCAGCTGCAGGGACTTATTGTTGCAACACTGTCAAATATTTTAGGATCTGTTTTATATAGGTTTCAGTGAACAATTGAAGGGGTTGTCTCTTTATTTCCCACAAAGTCGCGCCATGACCCCTTCCCCTCCTTTATTTTTATTTTTAAAATAAGAAAATATGCGCCGCGTGTTTTTTTTTAAAAAAAAAATACCTTCCCCCCGCCCGTTATCCTGCGAGTAAAACACTTTAGTTTCTCCTGTAGGCGTGGCGGGTGGAGGGGGGCGGCGATATAAACAATCTAATCGGGTGCTTTGTTACAATGCGACCTTTGTCACCTAAAAAACCATGCACAGCATGCCATGGCTCTCAAAACCCCCCCCCTTCTGCAATATGCGGCAAAATATGGCAATTTATGTGTATAATATCGTGGTCATGACTTTATTCTATAGTTTTTCAGCGGTGCTGTATGTGAGGGAAGGAAAAGAGAAAAGAGGGAAAAAAGAGGAGGGAGGGTTTGTAGGTCGAGTCTTCTATATTATTAGTCATCAAAATAATCGTCGTTTATCACCGTTGCAGAGTCATCCATGTCCATATAACGGCCCTGCGAAAAGCTCTCCTCGCTACGGTAGCCCTCAATCGCATGGGGGTGCTGTGACGCGCGATGAGATCCGAAATCGCCTGCTTGAACGTTGCGTCTCTCCTTCATAGATTCCTTCGGAAACGACATGTATGGATCCTGCGGAAATCGATTGTAATCACCTCCATCTTGCATGCCTCGCCTCATCCCGCCGGGTGGCTCGTACCGCGAATGCGAACGCGAATACTGTGAGCCACCCCAAGAGCTAGGGACGGCGCCCCGGGATCTGTCTTTGAATACGGAGTGCTGTCGACTAGTGTCATAATTCGACTGCCATGAAGGATCGCCTTGATGGCTGAAAAAGTCGTCATCACTGCGATGCAACCTGTGCCTGGAGCTTTGTCTCATCTCGTTCCGACTAGCAGCAGGAGGCGGCGGTGAAATATAACCAGTATTAGAGTAGTATGCCTCAGAAGTAAGAGACCGCGGCTGGTAGTTTGGGTTGTACATATTCGATCTCTCAGTAAGCATCGGCGACATAACGCCAGGGCTCGATCGATAGGAATCCGATACAGTGGGGCTGTGTCGAGTGTGGTGTACTGTAGACGGAGAGGGGCCAGAGGGGGGGAAATCCGAACTTGGGATGCCTTTCAAAAGGGCCAACTTCTTACTGTAGGGGTCGCCCTTTTCCGCCTTTCGTCTCTTGTGGGAACGGTATAGAACGAATGCTTGCGCGGCTACAACCAAGACTATGGCACCCGAAACCAGTCCCAGGATCAAAGGGAGATGTTTGGTGATCCCTGAACTTGATGTTGATCTTGACAAGTCGGCGGACGAAGTGGGAATAATGGTGGGATGAGGGGTGAAAGCAGTGGTGGTAGGAGAGATGAATTCAGAGGTAGTAGGGGTGATGGTGGTGTTGGAGACAGTACTGGTAGCGTTAGGTGCGAGCGATGTAAACGTGGGAGAAGGGGTTGTGGTGACATTTGGCTGCACTACTGGAGCGATGTACTGGGATACCCAGGTTTGATTGTTGATGTCGTAGATCAGAGGCGTGTTGCCGGCGTATTGCATGGTGCTGGCGGGTTGAGTGTTGTCGTTTTTTATTGTCAGACCGCCCCAGGCGATAAAATACCCGTTCGAGACGGCGCATGCAAGTGATGTTCTTGATTCCGGGGCTTCGGGTCCACTTGTCCATGTACTGGCTGTATTGCTGTCTTTGAGTTCCAGTATGTATATATCTCTGAAGCTGGTCGTCAGATCAAGACTGTTGCCTCCGAACAGAATCATCTTGTTACCTCCATCGAACGGGACAAGGCAGGGATACGACCGCTGAGTAGGTCTATCGCCATCTGCCACCAAAGGCATCCAGTTGAAGATGTCGTTGTAAACAAACTGCTTGTCGGCGGTTCCTCCAACTACAACCATCTTTCGTTTAGAGTCACTCCAAGCAGCCGAGAACCCCATTGATTGCTGCAAGTCTGGGGCCATAGGAGCGGTGGTATATTTATTTGTGTTCATATCCAACCTCAGCAGCTCCGGGAGGCCGGAACCGCCGATGACCCCATTTGGCACGTAGATAATGTCTCTGCTGGGCCCAGCAACAGAGATACTGTAGTTGCTGTTGACCTTGAAGTTGAATTTGCTGGATCGCTGCCATTTAGAGGTAGTAATATTGAAGGTCTGCACACCGTCAACGAATGGGATCGCCCAGGTCTGGTTGTCGGCTGCAATGGCGCCAGGGACAATTGTTCCTTGTTTCGGGCCTGTTGGTAAATCGGGCAGTTTTTTGTAAGCTGGTTTGGATGCGCTCCAGGAAGTTGAGAGGTCGATCATGAAGGCTTGGGTTCTATCTCCTTGGCTCCCTGTGCTTGCTCCCAAGACGTAGAGTCCCATGCCTTCGACGAACGAGCTCCAGGTCCCATCGGAGACCGTTGGCTGAAATTTCCCGTTTTTGCTTTGAGCGTGGGTAGTGGGGAACGTAGTTATGCAGAATAGCGATAGGAGGGCGAAGGCGAGACGGAGTAGTGTGGAGCTGGATAGTAGAGTGAAATGAGGCATGCTGTCAATGAGGTGAAATGTACAAAGTGGCGCGTGCAGATGAATTTAATGAGGGGTAAAGAGGCGAGAGGCGAAAAAGTGCGATTATATGTGCGAATGGAGGATAATGATGACAATGAGGAGATAGGAAGGAGACGCGTTCAAAAGAGAGACTAAGAAGTGGGCAACGAAGAGATAGAAGGGGGTGATAGTGGGATAGATATGAATATAAAGAGAACAAAGAAAAGAATAATGAGAGAAAGAGAAAGAGAAAGAGAAAAGAACATGAAAGAACGCTTGGAGTTATATCCCAGGGCAGCTGGACTGGGGAGTACCGAGAATGGCGATGGAGGGCCCCGCAGGATGACCGCACGATGAAACGACACGCCCCTGCCTTATGGATGAGTGCTGCCAGAGACAGGGGTCTTGGGCGAGTTTGGGACAGTTTGAGGTCGCTCGTCGTTACACAGACAATGTTGATAATATCACCCGCCTCTTTGACTATGACCAATGCATGCTCCTCAAACAAGTAACTCCCAGTCCGCAGGTGCTGTGCTGTTGCACACAATCGCTATTTCTGAAAAAGACCTAAAACTAAAACATACTGATCCGCCTCCTCCCCTGTATTTGAGTAAATATCCACCTTTCATAATACTCGGATATAAATGTACGATGAAAATACGCATTGCCTTTAGAGCGGGGGATTAGCATGAAATAAGACAGCGCATCAAAGGGACTTTTGAACAGCTCCAGGTATGCCCAAGACACCATGAATAAATGGCTCGTGTTCAGAGGTTAAATCAAGGTTCTTTTTATTGAAATTACCCTGGAGCCTCGGCCGCTCACCTATCAGTTATTCCACGCACCGATAGTCCCGCACCTGTGGTACCCGCCCCATTCCTCATCTCATTGTCCAACCACTCCCGAAGCACGCGTTCCACAAGCCGCAAAGTCGTCGGACTTGTAGCCCGAGGCTGAGGCTCCTTCCTTTCTGGCTCAGGCTGCTCAATCTTGATCAATGCGCTCTCTTCCTGTGTTGGCGATTGCGACAGCTGCTGCTGTGATAAATGGTATCGTGCCCTTTCTTCGGCCTCCTCCTGCCCTGGCACTTTAAGCGAGCTCGAACTGCTGTCGTTCGACAACTTGCTGTGCCCCAATTGCCGCTTCCTATGCTCAACTTCAAACGAGAGCACTGGACTGGAGCACCCACTCCGATCTGATGCCCACCGCGCCAACGATGTATTACTGCCGGTACTACTACTGCTGCTGAGGCGATCTCTGTATGTCACTTTTGCATGCTGAGCGCGCTCCTGTTCCAGCAAGTCTTCCTTTAGCTGCTGTTCGTACAGTTGTCGTCGCAGTGTTGAATCCATATCTCCGCCGCCCAGGTCCCGAAGCAGGCGAAAGATCTCGGCGCGTTTGTAGGTGGCACGTTTGAGTTGGGTATTGGTCAACAAAGGTCCCATAACGCGGAGGTAAGCATGGCGAAGGGATTCCTCCTCCTTGGGGAGATCCCAGAGTTCGCGGATAACAACGTCGACAAGGACATGGAGATCGTTGGTGTAAAAAAATTCGTAGAGATTTGGATTTGTGAACAGGAGGTATAGGAGCTTCAAAATCAACATCTGGAGCGCAGTTTCCTCTATGTTGAAAGTGTAATAAAGAAATACAAGGACGAACAGGACATGTTAGAACTGCACAGAATAAAGACATGTCTTAAGGAGAGGGCATGAGCGTGTCTGTAATCCCGAACTCCATGGTACCTGCTCGGTTCAAAATGAAGATCAGGTTTTCGCCAAAGGTACAGCTGAGTCCCGGTCGGTCAGTGAGGACGGTGAGTAGTGGATTCCCGGTGTAGGCAGGTTTGTTCCCGACCTGGGTATAGTGGGATCGATCTGACATGTAGAGCATAAACTGTTCGTTGAAGACCAAGAGTAATTTGATCGCACTGTAGTTTAAGGTCTCGGTTTCATCTGTCCGTGTCCGTTCGACAAGGTCTAGGAGGTAATGCAAAAACACTTCATCCACCAGAGCTTCGTAGTCAATCGGCAGTAAGAAAAGATTTGTCAGCATGTATGGCTTTGGTTTTGGTTTTTTATCCGCATTGGTAATGCAACTCGCGATCGTTACCTAGATCGCATTCTTTCAGCTGTTGCACTCGGCACATCTCATACATTATATTGACAGCCAGGGGTTGCATTCTTGTGCCTGAAACCGTCGAAGGTAGACGGAAGGATAACAATGTCCGAGATCAGGAATCATTTAGTCGACGCAGCGCAATCAAGCACCAGATAAAAAAGAGCTTGCTTTACCTTCCTGCTTCAGGATCTGATATTTCAACTTTGCAAAGAACTCGCTCTTGAGCATCCAATGAAAGACCTTGGGGAACTCCTTGCCGGCGTAAATTAATACTTGGTATGTGATCCACATATCCTTGTCCTCCGGGCTCTATTTCGACATTAATTCAAAACGGATTATTATTACCCCCTTCGACCGATGATATATAATTCTTTTGAAATGAGAGAGTTATGGAGGCAATGACGCACTTGGATAGCCCGGTCTATGATCGACCGGGTGATTATCTCCATATACCGCTGGAAGACATTTGAATCAAACAGGCGATAGCAGCATTGTGCCAAATCTTGACCGGATCCATCCAGGAATTCATCTGTAGCACAATCAAGCAAGAAACGTTAGCCCTTCCGCACTTTCAGTCGGATGAGCATGAGTGCAGAAGTGTGTTCAATGATGTACCTTGATAGAGCACAATTAATGAAATAAAGACACCGACCTGGGATTCAGGGCTGTCATAAAACCCACCTCCGTCCAACACATCCTTAAGCTCTATAGTAAAATAGTGTACATCAATGAGATAAAGTATTGGAGTTAGACGGGGCTCCTGCTGTTACAGGATGGTAGGACAATATACGAAAAAGAAGTGTCTGAAAGTCGAGTGCGCACCTGCGTAGAACTGCGCCGGCGAGTCGAACTGGTATGTTACAAAGTCCATTAGGGATCAAGAAGGAATGAGAGGATTCGATCAGATGGATGCAGCCAAGAGCATGAGGAAGGCGAGAGAGGAGGGTGGTCTACTAGAGAGTGAGCGGCATGTGCGAATGAGAGGAACTGTGAGATGTAGGATCTTTCAGGAGCTGTCTTTGTCAGAACGGCGCTCGCGCGTGGTGACAACCTTAAAGATCTCATTTGTCCTGCAATCCCAAAGTTATTGCAAAAAGGAGAAAAAGGCGACCGATCCATGCCAATGCACTGATGAATCTGTTTATTTCATATCACATAGAGACCTAAAGAACTTCAAGAACCACATTACTACTGCCAGATGTCGGACCGTTAGAAGGACGCACGGGTCCGTGGTGCAGACCCTGTCGCCACAGGAACCGGTCCTTGGTTCCCTCGAACTGAATTTCCGTCATCCACTTGTAGACCAGCCACTGCATACTCCACCAACCCAGCACCCCAACAATAACCATCATTCGCCTCAGCCGTAACCGCCCAACTTGCAACACCAGCCCTCTTTGCCAGCGCGACTTTCGGATGGCCCGCGATCGCGTCTTGGATCTCCTTTCATCAACTCGACCATACTTCTCGTCCTCATCGTCGTCTGAAAACACCTCTATAGCATCGCCGCTGCTCCAAGATGATTCCCATATTGCCCTTCCTCTTTGCAACGCCCTATCCATCCCTGACCGACCACTGGACCACCCATCTCAATCGAGCTTCTTCACACGCTTCTTGGTCTCGGACGGGCCCGCCAAGGAGCTACCGGCCTTCTCATCCTTGACGGGGTGGCTCGAGTTGTTCCAGTAGAGGGCCATCTGCAAGGCGAGGATGCAGTTAAAGATGGTGCTGAGGAGGAAGCCCGACAAGATAATGATATCGTCCACCTCCGTCAAGGTCGTGTACACTCTAGCCAATGATCCTGCAAAGTAGTTGAAGATCGTGAAAGCCGAGAGCTGTCCTGTGCTGCCGTTCTTGTAATTTTCAATGATCTGAGGAACCTTGGAGAACAGGTTGATAGGGATAGTCGCGAACTGCAAGAAGGCCAGGGCACCCTGGGAGACCAATGCTGTGGTGACGACAGTACCATCGATTTGGGTGAACTGCGAGGTCTTGGAGAGAATGTTGCCCATGAACAAGAAGGACGTGAGGATCACAAAGGCCGTGGTGTTCTTGCCACTGTAGTGGAGCATGAGGACCAGGATAATGAGGTTCTGGATGGTGACGAAGAATGTCTCACCGTAGGTCGAAATAGGGTTATTCTGACGGAAGTTATAGGCGAGCGAAATCACGCTGGCAAGGGTCTCGAGCATGTAAGATGACAGCGACACACCCTGGGCTGAGTGGGCCTGGACAATCTTGATGATCTGGGGCACTTTGACGATAGCGCCACCAGCGACGATACCGAGGCCAAGACCCTTGGAGATGCCGTATTTGATGCAGTGCACATCGCGATAGTTGAAATCCTCGATCAGCGAGTTGTAGCAGGTCTCGCCGATGATGGCAACGGCTGGGGTCTTGATGAAAAATGGAAGCTGCATGTCTGATGGTTTATTGGATCGCGCCGCGTGGAGGGATGAAGAAAGAGCAGATGCAAGCGAGATGACCAAACGGAAGGAAGGAGAGAATGTCTCTACTTTCCAAAATTAATGATAATATTACAATATAAAGTTAAGGAGAAACACGACATACCATGCGCACCGCTGGCTATGGTTGGTGCACGACTCTCCTTCATTACCCCCTACTCCATCACCATCACCATCTTCAGCTGCCCCTGCTAGCGATCACTTTAAACACATACGCGAAAACACACGAGGCAGCTTTCAAACATACATGGCTTTACCCCAGACTACGGGAGGGCTCCCAACGTTTGGTCAAGGCTACGTGGCCGCGTCCTCATCTTCGCCCTCAACTTCAGCTCCTATATCGTCCACGAGACAAACACGCAAAGAGATCCTAAACTACTCGGCACCATGGCCAGTCTATGGTCTCGACTGGTCTAACCAGCCCACCGAGCGGGAAGCCCTTAGACTGGCCGTTGGAAGCTTTATCGAGGATGGTAGCAATAAGGTGTGAAAGTGGTTCTGCTATTGAAGCTCGACGTGAGGCGCATTTTGTTCGTTTGACTTACATGGCTACGTTGCTATCACTCAACGCGTTTAGATTCAAGTCATAACGCTACAGGAGTTCGCAGGAAACGATGGCAAGGAATACAATCCCACCTCCATGTCAGACTGGGTCGCCATAGCGGAGACCAACCATCAGCAATACCCTGTAACTAAAATCAAGTGGGAGCCGTACAAGGTAGGTAGCCCAGGATTGACTTGCTCTGCACTCTGGCGACCGAAACTTCAGCACAAGCGCTGTGACCGACCAACGCACTTAAAACGTCTGTTTTCAACAGGGAGGGCATCGTAAGCCGTATGATCTACTGGCGACAACTGGTGACTACCTTCGGTTATGGGATCTCAAAGATGACTCGGAACATGACAATGGCGCAAGTAACACGATAGGACGGCGACATCCACCAGTGATGCGTCAGCAGCTGGCTCAAAGAGCTGTCCTTGCAAACGTAAGTATCTCAAGGATGTAGCTCAATTGCTTTCGATGAAGCAAGTACGGAGCACTAACGGATCTGTCTTTATGCCTTATGGTACAATAGACAAAAGCCAACTTTTGTGCGCCATTGACCTCGTTCGACTGGAACACATTTGATCCCGCTCTGATTGTGACTAGCTCTATCGATACAACATGCACGGTATGGAATGTGGAAACTCAGCAGGCAAAGACACAGCTCATCGCCCACGACAAGGAGGTCTACGATGTCACATTTGCGAACAACAACTCAGACATTTTTGCCAGTGTAGGCGCAGACGGCAGTGTGCGTATGTTTGATCTCAGGGCACTGGAGCACTCGACCATCATCTATGAGACGACTTCGTCCATCCCAGGCTTGCAACCTAGTAGCTCTCAGATTGCAGCTCAACCCCCAATGCCACTACTTCGACTGTCATTCAACAAATTGGATGCAAACTATCTTTCAACCTTTCATATGGACTCTTCAAGCGTACAGATCCTCGATATCCGAGTACCTGGAATTCCGATCTCAGAGCTACGTGGACACAAGGGGGCTGTCAATTGCATGGCTTGGTCTCCAATCAGCAGCTCCGAAATCGCTACAGGGAGTAAGTGCTTCGCCAAACGTCTATTCTCGTTTTATACTTTGTGAATGACACGTTCGTTGACCCTTTTTTCATTTGGGATTTAAAACGACTGCTAGGCGACGATCATCAAGTATTTATTTGGGAAGTGAATCAGATGAGACACGACAGGGGCGAGGACCACCGCAACGTTCACCATACCAAAGCAGGAACTGCGGGTGGTGCTGGCAACTCCAAGAGCCCGGTTCCCAGTTCGTCGACTCGGGTCTTGCACGAGCCCTTCCGAGCAGCCAATGTCGGTGGTGAGGTTAATCAGATTGCGTGGTCGAGCGCAAGCCCAGACTGGGTTGCTGTTGGTTTCGGGCGGACTGTGCAGGCGCTGCGACTATAGTCGTCCACCAGTGCTGAAATAAATGGGCTCTGTGTGACTTCAACAGAAAGATGCCATTTTAAGGATCCAACTCTCCGGCGCGTGCATTCTTTTATTTTTTTGTCTCTTGCATTCACTTCACACTCATTCAACTCACTCGGCTCGACAAAGCGCTTGTCAACCATGCTCCCTCACCTCACCAGCGGATCACCCGCCTACCAGAGGGCCCATCAGCACTACAGCGCATCGTGTCCACTCGATTGTCCCGCCAGGAGGAACCCCCATCAGTCATTGCATTACCCTTCACACAACTCTACGCGGTACACCTCAGCAGCACGACATCCTCACCTCGGTATTGAGCCCTAACTTCGCCATTCTCCCTTGCTGCGCCGATATTGAGTTCTCTCTGGTCTTCTAAATCAAAAGTCCCTATGCTTATCTCTTTTTTCTACTGAGCGTGTTAGATCCCTCAGTTCTACATCCAGCATTTTCGGGCTTGTTCTTTCAGCAGCGAAGAAGTCATGTCACTCAGTCCTTTCCGCAGGGGCTACCGGTACCACCTTTAGCACTAGCCAATGTCCCGATCTCTTCACCATTGCCATCGTCATCGTCATCACCATCACCATTACAGCCGCAGTCTTTGACACTGCAAAGGAATACTTTTGCGACAGCAGCAGAGCCGGTGCTAATGGATCCCGCAAGAGTATCGCCCATCTTTTTCGGATATTCACCAAATCCGGACAAAGCCAAGATGTGAGCGGACTCAAAAAAAAAAAGACTCGAGCGAAAGAGTACCATTGCCATGCTTGTACAATTCATCATGCCCCGACCTTACCCAATGTCATAACTATTGCAACAATATAAGCACATGTTTCAAACTTCTACTTTGCGATTATATGTTGTACATATTACGTATTATTATAGGAGGCTATACAGGGTCTATGAGAACATAGGTCTTTACAATGAGGGGACGCGGCAAGGCGAGGGAATGTGGGAGGAAAAGGAAGGAGGGAGCGAGGAGAGGAGGAGGGAAAGGAGGGGGGGTATAAAACAGCGACGTGAGATGAACATGAGGAAACAATACAACGAGCATGAGAGGAGCGAAGCATGACAACGCGAAGTAGTGAAAAGTCTCGAAAAAGAGGCGCAAAGATGAAGGAAATAAGTGGGTGTGCATGAATGAGAGAGAGAGAAGGAGAGAAAGAGAGAGACAGAGGCATATATACATGAAGGAGCGAGCAACGTCCAAGAGGGTGGAGGCATCATATTGTTTAGAGACGTCGTCATGAAAAGACGAGAGATAAAGACAGGGGCAGAGGGGATCCTCTAGAGATCATGAGAGGCAGAGACCAACTCGGCAACGGTGCTTAAATGGCTCTTTTGCTCATGGTCCAAGAGACTGGACAGAGCGTGAGCAGGGTGTAGAAGTCTGCTGACCAACGCGTTCGAGTGAGCGGCCGAGACGAGGAGAGGCGTTGGGGACATGCTCGTGGTAGGCGTCGTAATAGAGCAGCTCAGCGAAGGAGCAGCTGAGGGAGGCGGTGAAGACAAGGATGCGGAGGATCCCGACGCTGGGAGCGACGCGAATGAGGTTGAGACACTCAGTTGCTGCTGCTGCTGATGGAGCCGCTGCTGCTCCTGCTGGATCTGCTTTTGGATCATCTGGTTTTGAGTCAGCATGGGTGAAGACTCAGGCTGCTGGTACCCTTGGCGTTGCTGCTGTTGTTGCTCATAAGAGTGCTGATTATGCTGCTGTATCAGGGGCATGGATGTCAGGGACATGGCAGCAGAGTATGTGGACTGAAGCTGCTGCTGTTGATGGTCGTTCATTGTATAGGATGTGGTTGTATACTCGTTATTCTGGAAATGGTGCTGCTGGTATGCGTGGGCGTGGTAGTGATGATCCAACAGAGGAGAGTACCGAGTACCTATTGCATCGATCTGCTCTTCGTCGTATTGTTCTGATGAGGATTCCAAGGTGTTCTGGTGCTGAGTCAAATGGCCGAGGGGTAGCAAGGCGCCAGCCATATTGGGGTCGTAGGGCTGTATGAGAGGCAGATCCATCTTGGGCAGAGCAGTTGGAGTTGAACAAGTGCTGTTGAGGTCCGGTATCGCTCCGTGAAGATTGTAATGCCCGGTGGTGTTGATATGACCGAGCCCTGATAAGCTGCCAAGGCCGCTGACATGGCCATTTCCGAGAGACATTTCCGACAAGTCCAGAGTCATACCCATGTGTTGTGCGTTCATGGCATTGTGCATCTGCTGCAGCTGTTGGTATTGAAATTGGGTCAATTGGGACTGAGTGTAGCTGGAGTCAAGCTGCTGCTGAGTACTAGTGCTTCCCAAAAATCCAGAATTGACCGAGTGCATAATGGGCGAGATAGGGGTGATGGTGCCCGTCTCAGGCTTGGTGATCATGCCATACTGTTGTTGAGAGTGGTATTGAGAGGTGGCGGAGGAGGAAGCGGAGGAAGAGCTGCTATAACTGCTGGTATCGCAGGTGAGCTGTGCCTGTTGCTGCTGCTGCTGTTGCTGTTGTTGTTGATGGTGATGGTGATGTGGGTACTCGTTCTCGTTCAGGATGGGGCGTTTATTTTTGCTGTACTTGCGGACACCAAGACATGTCTGGCAGTTCTTCGTGAAGAGCGAGACCAGTTCTGCAGGGACCTTGGAGTACGATTTTGTGATCTGTATGAAAACATCAAGGGAGAGAGCAGGAGGAGCATGGTCAGATCAGGGGGAAAGGGGAAATGGATCAGGTAATTTTGCCATACGTGCATTAGCATTGGCATTAGCATTAGGGAGCACAGCATTCGCATTTGCCATGCTCAGCCGGAGCAGACGTAGGCATGGCGATGATGCGGCTACTTACAGCAGCAAAGGTCTTGTCGCGTCCTCCATGTCCAATGATGTGATGAAAATAGCAAACCTTGTCATACAGCTGTTCCCGCACACACACAGGTTTACCATTCTTCTTATCCAACAAAATTCGGAGCTCACCCACGACAGTGAACACAAAGTGCTTACGGACCCACCACCGGAATTTTGGGTTGAAGATTGCAGTGTTCTCTGGGTTGGTGAGGACCATCAAGCAGTCGTTGGCGAGCTGTTGGGTGATCAGAGCTTTGTTTCGTTTACGGACGTGGAGCTGGTTGATGTACCCCTCGACCAGGGTCTCAAAGGTCTCTGGGCTCAGGAACGAGTATGTTTGTGGATGATAAAGTCCATCGGTGTTGTTACTATGCGCCATAACTGTGGACAGGGACAAAGGATCGGCGATCGTTGCTATGGCTGTTTGTTAGTTGTGTTCGGTAAGAATTAAGGAATTATTTCGAGGGGGTTTGAGGTGGTGAGAGAGAGAGGGAGGGAGGGGGGGACGGAGGGGAAGAGGAGGAGGAGAGGGAGCGGGAGGAGCGGGAGGAGCGGGGGAAGGATTATATGAGGGACGGATAGCACACGAGAGCGATGGTCGCGTTATGAGGAGAGAGGTTGATCGTAATGTGCAATGGTCAATTGCGGAAAGAGGAGATGAGGAATCGAGATAGATGTGAAGGACGAAGAGAATTAAGAAAGTGAGAAGGCATATGGTGGAATTCCAATCCTTTTTATTCCTTTTTTTATCGTCTTTATTCTTTTCTACAAAAATAAGGTCGTCCGCCGGTACTGGGCGCGCTTGCGTATGGACTCATATAGAGCCATGTGGATGCGGATGTAGACGTGGATGCGGGGTTGGCTGCATGCGCGGGAGGAAGGTTGTTCTCTCTTTCCGCATTTGTGAGAATTGTCCGTGTGAATTGAATGTACGTCTGTGCATCGGATCGACCTGTCTGTGCTCGCATGCAGCGTCGACTAGAATGTGGAATGCGTCCATCTGCTGCTCCAACACACACACACGGGCTCTTTTTTCACACACATATGCATGGGCACCAGAAGTAACACACAAAACTTCTTCCACGGCTCTCAGCCTCTTTTTAATGACACGGTAGCATTGTCTGCACATGTAGATTGTCGATCGTGCTACCCAATGAGGCCTCTTCTTTTCCTTGCCATTGGAGAGGCATGTTCTCTTTCGCTTCAGTGTTCTGCGGCCACACAATCGATAACGATGGGCTAGAGACCCATCTAAGAGGCGTTGTATCCCGCGAGACAGATTTTTCTATCTTTTTCTTTTTTTCTTTTTGTCCGATGATAAAGAGATAATGCGAGTGCCCAAAGGAACGGGTTGTTGAAAACGAGGAAATAAACGTAGTCGTGCCATGACTTAACGCTACCTCCTGTATCACTAAAGCTTTGGGCCATTAAGCCATTGAAATAAGACACGCGATGAGAGGTCGTGCCTAGTGCTTCTCTTCTGCTTGTCTCTCTTCTCATAGTGGGGTTCTAAGCTCAAAACGTAATGCGCCTCCTTTACGCTCTCCTTGCTCCCCTTCAGCTTAGTGGATCGCTGTGTTTCTCCGCCTAGGATCGGCGAATAGCTTATGTGATGAGCCAGAGATGGTGTTCTGTGCAGATGGAAGTGCGTGTCATTTTTGTGCATCTGTATTTACGGAGACGCTGGATTGAGGAGACAGAAAATGCACTTCATGGTATCGTCCGATGGATTGAGAGTCCATCCTACCTTTCATCTCATTCTTTCTCTATATCTTGCACAAATCTTTTCTGCCGGCATTGAGTCTCCTCCCCTCCTTCTTTTCCTTCTCCCTTCCATCTTTTGTCTACTGTATTGTCTCTCATGGCGGCCTGGATTTATATGTAGTCTCCTTACAGACAATTACATAAAATCTATTGAATGAAAAAGAAAAAGGCACGCGGGCATTCATGAAATAAGGAGACAGAACTCCTTCATGCGCCTTTTTGAAGAAAGCCTGATTCCGCTAGAGAGGACCATATGTTCGACACAAATACGCCTGAATCTGAGATCTATCCCTTCGCTGTGCTTTTTAGTCGCACGCTGCGTAGCAGCTCTCTTCACCACAAAAAGATTTTCTCTGCGCAGATAGTTTGAGAATCTTGGTACCATCCCGGACAGATGCCTCGCCCATCCCATACGATTCTGGATACTTTAATACAGTTCGTTCGCACAAAAGGGCTATTTATCCAAGCCTGTAAGACCACATGTCTCTGAAGCCGATTAATGGCGATGAAGAAAACACTCGTCCTATTCTAAGTGCGCCGAAGTCGTAGAAAGATAAGGTTTGTCACGTCGCGTCAAAGCTGCGCGTGTCGCAGCACCGCAGCACCGGGACTGTCTTTGCCTATTGTTGTTGACATTTCGCTTTTTTTTTTCTTTTTTCTTTTTTTGCCACCATTTTGCCCTGACCACCCGCGTCCTTTCACTATCCTCAACTCCCTACTCCTCCCACACGCGACCCAATATGAATGACGGCGTCCCACCGCAGATTCCTATCACCTATGAGCCACGACTGATTCAACCACCACTGGCGCTCAAGCAGAGTTCGGCTTTTTCACATGGCGACATCTACATCTTTGACATTGCCGCCAACAGCTCTAACCTGGTCGTCTCAGCTTCAAATCACGAAATCAAGCTGTATAACCCAGCAACGCTCGCTATCAAAAACATCCTCAAATTTCATACGGATACCATTACCCAGGTCAAAGCTTATGGTGAGAATATCCTTATGTCCTCCTCAAAGGACGGCACAGTCGCCTGCTGGGATCTCAGAACTGAAGGAGGTCCGGTACAGGTCTTCACCAGTAAGTCATCTAATTACTCCCTAATGAGGCGACATCTTGCGTGAATTAATACCTATGTGCTTGACTAACTCAATAAAATCCCAATGGGTCATACAGCTCCGCAAAAACATGTGTTATTGTCTTTTGATATCAACTCTTCGGAACAAGTCCTCGCTGCTGGAACGGAACTCAAGGATTATGATGCGAACATTCACTTTTTCGATGCTAGGAGCAACACCTCAGCCATTATTGCGACGTATTCTGAATCCCATAGCGAGGACATTACCAACGTCAAATTTCATCCAACCAACCCTGTGCGACTGATGACCGGATCCGTTGATGGACTGATCTGTCAGTTTGATCTTACGGATATGGACGAAGAGGAGGGTCTGATGGTCGTGTCCAATACTGGCGCCAGCATCAACAAAGTAGGGTACTTTGGTCCAAATGCAGAGTACATCTACTGTCTAAGCCATATGGAGACTTTGTCTCTATGGAACAGCGATGATGCGGACGCGATCCACCACTTTGGTGACATTCGTGGTGTCAGTAACCCTGCTCTAGGATTGACATTGGATTACGGAATCGATTGCCATTTCGAAACAGAGACCGGGCGTCTGTTCTTAATCTCTGGATCGAACGAGTACGTGTACACTGCGGTGTTCTCTGGTATCTCTTTATTGCATTGACGATCGCGATACTTATTTCTATACTCTGTTAATGATTCTAGGGGTAATATCAACATCCTGCACGTTCAGACAGACTCGCTTCAACTTTGTCAAGTATTGAATGGAGGACACAGTGAGATTGTCAGGAGCACATACTGGGATTCCAAGCGAGGAATTTTATTTTCAGGGGGCGAGGACGCTAAACTTGGGCTCTGGACCTCTGCCTCAGCTATAGCCATGTCCTCGCCTCTTGCAGCCAGCGCTTCGTCAAGGCACAGCTCACCATTACAACTTAAGGTACAGACTAGGTCCTACCTCATAGCATACACTGTCTAGTGGCCATTGCATCCTGGTATCTCAACTGACATCATTCTCTCCCCTTATATAGACCGAGGGCAAGTCTGCACGGTCAAACCCATACTAGATACCGTCGCATCTGCATCAAGCATCTTAACAATAATAATAATAAAAAACTCCGTCGGAAAATATAGTGGTGACCTGGCTTCCAGGATCCAGGATCTTTTGCAGACATGTGTCATGAACTGGTGATGTCTTTGAAACAAAGAGTACTCGTTGATGCCATGCAACAATTAGGCTACAGCACAACGTGGATACGCAGGCGTGAGCCTGTTAGATGCAGAAAAACGGGGAGATTGCCATGCGCCAAGGACGGAGAGGCTCCTCAGGACCACTTGAGCAGCATATATTGAGGATCTCTGGGGCAATGCGTGGGGACATTCGAGTGATGTGGATGGGCGCACAAAGGAAGCAAAAGAAATTGGCAGGGGGGCAACAACGGATGGCCCATGGGTCGAGAGCGAAGAGCAAGAGCGAGGGCACTGTTCCACTGCCTCACCATCCCCATCGTCAACATACACCCTTCCATTATACCATTTCTCATTCAATCTCGCTTTCACATACACACACATACGCACAACCACAACCGCAACCATAATCACAACTACAACTACAACCGCAACCACAGAACACTCACTCCTTCCTTCTTTCTCCTATACCCGCCTGCTTGGTTCTTGTTTATTGGTCAGGACACAAGTCGGATTGCGCAAGACTAGACCCCTTCATTCACATCTTCACGCACTCTTCGCCTGGTACGTTTGTCATGAAAATAGGGGCCAGAGCAAGAGAGCAAGAGAACTGAGAGTGAGTCCGTAGTCTATCCATTTGCTGACCGCGGACTATCGATACCATTCTTAGTTCAATAGTCAACGCAACGGTCAAAAGCCAACCCTCAAACAGATAAAGGGAAGAACAAAGCCCGTTCGCTGAGCAGTCGGACGTACCAGGCAAGGCCTCAAAAGGAAAAGAACAAATCCCGGGTATTGGGGTAAAGACAACGTTGGCAACTTACAGCGGACGTGTTCAGGAGTAGCCAGTCCATCAGTCTCTCAGCCAAACCATGAATACCTCACGACCCTCCTCGAGGAATCAAAACTCCGTCAATCAAGGCACCGTCGCGGCCCCGGTAAGGCGTGCCAAAATCGCCAGTTCGGCGCAAATCAGTATATCGTCAGCTGCATTCCCTCCCAAAACCGGCTCCCTTCCAGCCTCCAGCACAGTTACCCCAACGAAATCCTCGCGCGGGTCGTCGTTCAACCAAACTGGAAACAATGGATACCCCACTATCAGCGCCAACAGCACCAGTAACAAAACCACCAACCCTGTTGTATTCAGCAGCAATCCAAACAGCAACAGCGCGCCACCACGCCTAGTCTCAGTACGGACACGGTCTTCCAATTCAGTGGCCACAGTGGCATCCTTTCGGAGCACCAACGGGACAAGTAGCGGTGGCAGCGGAGGTGGAAGCAGTAACAATCGCCAAGACGGCGGATCTACTACATCAGACGATGGGACCGTCTCTGAGGATTCAGATCGAGCTGGAGAGGATATGCAGCTCTTCACGGGAGGCCAAGCAGGCGTTGGTGGAGGTATCAACCTCCCATTCGGATCCTCCGGTCGCAACCCAACTTCCACTGGATCGGTAAAATTTGCAGCAGGCCCAGGTGTCGGAGGTCTGAATCGTCATAGGACATCGTCCAGCACTGTAGGACTGAGCAGTGGGGACAGCACCACACCAAGTCGTAAGCCAGTGCGGATCGCAGCAGGTGCGTTCATGAGGATCGACTCAGCCCCAAACCATCAATCCGGCTACGCCTCGACATCCTCCTCCCACTCGACCTTGGGAATCTCTAATTCTTCATCAACCACAGGAGCCCTCGTTGGAACAAGCAACCCATCTCATACCACTTCGGCATCCATGCCCTCCTGGACAACAGCTTCATCCGCCTCATCGCTGCTAGGAGGAAATCCCGTCAGAAATGGATATCCCCGAAATGGAGATGAAGGATCAATAGTCAGTATGAGTTCAGCTGTTTCGAGTTCGACGCCCACGATACGATCCACGAAGGTCAACTCCACCGGAACCACAACAGCCGCAGTCGCCAGTAAGTTAGCTGAGGAGAACCGTAGACAGGAGGAGGCAGCGAGGACAAGGCGCAAGATTGCAGACCTGGAAATTTCAAATGCCTCGCTCCTGTCGATCAACCAGTCGCTCGAAGCGACCATCCGAAAACAAGCGAGCGAAGTGCAGGAACTCAAATTACGGATGCAATCGTAAGTCGTTGTTGTTGTTTATCCAGGCGTAAGTCGACGACCTGTTTGGTGTGACATGCGATACGATACAACGCTAATTCATACTTTCCTTTACTCCCTTTTTTTCGACACACATTGTTTTGTTTACGTTTCCGCCCTGATGTTTATTTGGACAAACAAACCGCATGGGACTCTTTTTTTTCTTATAATTCACGGCAACTGTCCATCTTCACTACTGAACTTCCCCGACGTATGGATGCATTCGGAAAATCGACTGCACTCGGACTTATCACACTCATATAGGACACATTTCGGAGAACTGGGATACACTGCTGCGGATTTAGTATTAGCGCAGAGTGTCGAGGCGATCGAGCTAACCGATGCAGAAAAGCAAGATGATTTGACATTCAAACGGCTCTGTCTATCTATCGACCAAATGGTATACGAAGCGAAGCTAGCCCTAGATCAGGCAACAAAGCCCACAGGCGTCAAGGTATTGACGCTCCATGACATGTGTAAGTGGTGACTAATAGTCTGTTATTTTCCGCTGTTGCAGCAATACGAAGAATGAGGTTCTCCATTATGCTAAACGACGTTTTATGCTCTCTTTATCTTGACGCAGTTGAGAAAGAAGTTGCAGAAGAAGCCGAAGAAGAAGAGGAGGAGGAGAAGGAGGAGGAGGAGGAAGAAATCGAGTCTATTGACGCGGATGTACAGGACGGGCAAGATGAAGCACTAGAGCAGGTAGAATCACAGAACCAGAAACGGGAATTGGACATACGGGATGGAAACGCAGACAGAGATGTACTGCCACCCACACTCGACAAGAATATGATTCCGCCTGCTCTTCTGGAAACGCCCCTCAGTATGGTGAGATGAGACGAGCACCAACTGGATTTTGTTCTATCGTGATATACCATCCCTCACCCTGAATTCCATGCCGACACATATCCACTTTGTTTTTTTTTTAGCCATCGCTTTGTGTAAAATCATTTCTGACCAATCTTTCAAGCACCCTCAAAAGGTGCAACTATACCATACTGTTCATGCCCAACGAGGATAAATTGGTGAATGCGAGTAAATGTAACGCATAGCATCTTTCTCAAGCATCTTTCCAAATGTCACCCTCGAAAACAAGAAGGGGTGGTATGTGCTTCCTCATCATGATTGACTAAGCCGTCAAACGAGGGTGCAGTAAAGAAAGGCACCCCAATTCTGTTTCTGGCCGCAACAAGTGCTGTGGAGTAAGTTTATTCAAAGACGGCGCTTTTGAAATAAGGTTTATGAAACACACAGGGTGGACGTTTGAAACGCCAGGGGATATGATAAAGACATTTCCCTGTCTGTCTGTGCGCGTCCCTCTTCCAAACAGTAGAAGATTTACTCCTGGAGGGCATATTTATTAATTATTAATTTTCAATTACATTGCGTTGCAATGCTGATATCTCGCCTCTGTTTGGAGCAATGATGGGAGGCGGAGAGCAGATTTGAGTGGATGATAAAGAGCACAGCACATGCAGGAGACACATTTAAACATGCGACATGTATCCAGGATTCTTTGTCAAGATGGATGTGTCTCAAAGGGCTGTAGTTGTAGATGTCGGTAAAGAACCTCAATTCGTATGATGCACATCTTATTAAACAACCGTGCATGAACATAAACGAAAGCAACCCTGATGCACTTGAACAATGTAAAGGACGAAGGGAAATTTGAGGAGGGTCATAGCGAGACTGTGCGCGTGCGGGGCTTTGACGAAATAGTGCCGGTAGGCGTAAAGCACAGAGACAAAGCGAATGCTGTTTCGCGGCATGGATGATGCATATAGCACCCATTTGGACATGATGTGATGGAGAGGCGGGACATGCCTAGTTTCATTCATGTACCACCAACTTTCTGTGGGATAGGATAACAGGGGTCGCCGCAAGCCGCACAGGAAATTTTCTATTTCAGACAAGGTTTTGCAGCGAGACAGGGGCGGTTTCATCTCTTTTGTGTACATTCCACTGTGATTGTCTCTACCCCATTCCTGGTCTCCCTCTGCTCGTCTTCCATGCCAACCCTTTTACTATCCTCTCGTCTTCCACTTTCCACTCCTTTATTTTGTTACCTTACCTCTTTATTATCCCTCTTTGCCTACCTGTTCCTCCATCCTCCACTCACCCTGTCCTGCGTTGTCTTATTCATCCTCACTCACCTCCACGCACAGTTTCTGTGCATCTTCCTATCAGTATGCCTCGTTCTGCTGCACTTTCCGGCCATACTCTTCTCCACCTTACATACATCCTTCTATCAATATTCTATATAATCACATTTCCCTGCGCCAATGCCCAACCACCATTTCAGCCGACATCCACACTCGGAGCCGCCAGCGCGTTCGTTGAGGGTCAGGCATTTTATATTCTCGGTGGATACACTCAACTTCAGGGCAGCCCATATCTTCCACAGACTTTCATGATCGACCTTTCAGCATCGTGGACAGGAATCAACCCAGTCTACAAGCAACTAACTGACGCTCCTGCCGGCGGAGTTGCGCCCAAGCTTAGTGCTCTGAGCGGTCAGAACTGGGTCAACCTATACAGTAATACCTCCTATATCCTCGACACCAAGACCGGTAATTGGAGTCAAAGAATCACGATCGCCAGCGTCAATGAAAACGTTATAGGCTCGACAGCGGCGGATCCAGTAACCAACAATTTCTATGTACCTAATGGATACAGTGGCGCCGGTGGAGTGTCCATGCTACAGATGAACTTCCTCACTAACACCGCTGGCAGCATTCCAATGGATCCGCAATTAACTCAGCTGCAGACATATTCCGCTACATGGAGCGCCGCTATTCCGGCATTAATTCTGGTGGGAAAGGGCACATGGGCTTGGAACATTGACTTCGGTTGGAAGCAAGTGGGCCAAGGAAAGATACCCACCGGACGGTCATACTCATGCCTCGTCCCGGCCTACAGTGGAAAGAGGATGATCTTGTTCGGTGGATACGACAGCACGATCACCAGCATGAGCGACATCTATTTCCTAGATATGGATTTTATGTCTGGAACGCTGACCTGGACCAAAGGACCGGACGCCGGTGTGCCAAATGCAAGAGCAGGGCATGCGTGTGCAGTTTCGAACGACTACGTTATCATATGGGGCGGGAGCCGGGTTATCAACGGGGCTTTGCTAACTACCAGCAACACGACTCTAATCTTCAACATGAAAACCGGGAATTGGGTATCCGAATACATCGTTCCAGGGGTACCAATCAGAACCATGACAACAACCACAACAACCTCGACAGCAACTTCGACAGCTACTTCAACCACATCATCTATCTCTGAGATCTTCACCGCCGCGACAAGCCCCACCCCTACACCTGACGCCACAGCTTCATCGAGTCCTAGTCGTCTCCCTTTGATCCTGGGAACCGTTTCTGGGCTATGTCTCTTGGTCGGCAGCGTGCAAGGTTTCGTTCTTTACCGATCTTGGAGGAGACGTAAGAATAAGAAGATCGCCCCTCAAAGCAAGGGACCAGACGCCATTCCACTCCCAGGACAACCACCTTCCGATTCAGCATCGTCATACAACTTTCGCCACTCCCCACAACCAACTAATTCCAGTAGTCACGCACCCAGTACATATACATCTAGAACCTATACTACATCAAACCGAAATTACCCACTACCACCCCCTACTATCGCCGATTATGAATCCAGCTACGGGTACACGCCACCGTCATCTAGCCGTGGTTACGAACCTAGCTACCCGCTACCACCCCCATCCACCAGCGGACGATCATCCAAATTCGGCTACATGCCACCGCCGCCACCTTCCACCGTCGGCTCCTACCGGACAAAATGCAGCTCCGTGAAGCGGAAGCCGCGTGCCCCGGCTACGATCATCGGGGAGAGCGAATTCGACTATCCTAGTCATCTCGGCCCAACATCAGATTCTGGGCAGAAACGGTACCCGTCGATTATCACGGATAGTTCTCGACGGACACCGCATGCGATGCAGCAGTGGCGGGTAGATACGCCGACCCGGATAAAGAAAGCAGCTCAACGCGAGGAGGACTACAGTCCTATGCACCGCTCGTTCGATTTTACGGAAGAGGATATTCCCAAGGCAAAACGCAATGTTCAGGAAGGCCGCTTCGGCGCAAGGAGAGTTTCGCAGCATCCACATACGGCCATGCAGGGTCCGATAGAAGGGTATGCTGATAGCGCTGCGGGAGAGGAGTATTACTGCCCAGGACCGGTCTCTAGGCATCCGCACGTGGGTGTACATGTCCTGAATGGGGTGGTGGAAGGGGAGGAGGAGAAGGACGAGGATGAAGAGGAAGACGATTTCCTAAACGCTTATTATGACCCACACACCATGCCGCATCTTTCATCAAAATCCAAAAACACCAAGGCTGGCACGCCCAACTATTATAATAGGCGTAGTTAGACGACCCTGGTTCTTGTACATTATAAAACAGAGGGAAAAAAGCCAACTAATATCATAACATCGATCATATTTAAAAAAAAAAAACATTCGAGATATTCAAGCCTACAATATGTTTTGTATCCGTTGACCAGCAATTCCGGCCTTCCTTTTTTTTTTTTAGCAGAGGACCAATACAATGCGCCTTTTTTTTCAATCATTTTATTGTAGTAGTCAAAAGGGGTCATAGTTCAGGCACATACAGGAAACCCGAACACCACCACTTCTTTTTTTTTTGTTGTTTAGTTAGGAATGCCGCTGTCGAGGCAGTTCGCGCAGTAGTTCAGCGTGACCTCACACGCACCACCATTGAAGGCATGGCTACCGCATCCCTTGCATCCCTGACCCCCATAGATCGGCTGGAAGAGCGACTTGATCTGTGCACCGGTCAAATTGGGGTAATCGCCGTCGCATCGGTAGATGGCAGTGCATTTTCCGTTGACACGGGAGGTAAAAGCGTTGTAGACGGTGGTATCGGTGAAGCGGTTGAAGGCGCCGGTGCAGAGGTCTCCCATGCCCTTGTTGCACAGGCCACTGCCGTGGCAGTTGTCGCTGTAACCGGCCTCGGTGCTCGCGAGGGAGGCAGCAAGGACAACGAGGAGGGCGAGAGACTTGTACATGGTGGGATTTGGGTGAGGGAGATTTTTTTTTCCTAAGGAATGAAAATAGATGCGATGGGATTTGTTACTTGAGAGTTACTTCTGGTTGTTATATTTCCAAGGGCACCAAGATATTGTTTTGTTCGATGCTCAGTAAGTGCTGCGTGCTTACAGGTGGTGGGTGAAGTGTTTTTAGAAGGCTGCGAGCGAGGGTGATTGAGGTTGCTTGAGAAGATGTTGCTGTTGAGGATTGATGGATGCCTAGGGAGGGTGGGCGAACGACCCTTTTTATACGCCATCTGACGCGTATAGCCACTCTAAAATAAACAGAGTCTGTGTGACCAAGGACTAGTCCTATGCTTAATGGCCAATCGGCGTTCGAGGAAGGACATCGGCATGGGGGTTTTAGGGGCCTTGCCGAGTCGCATTTCAGGGAACAGATGGGGCGCGTACTTTGCAAGGTTGGTTTCATGCATTAAAGAAAAAAGGCTTAGCGAATAAAGTAGCGAGTTTGCTTCTGGAAGGGGATGTCTAGCAATTCAGTGGGCAGAGTTGGAAGCAAGGGGGAGGGAGGGAGCTTAGCAGCTAAAGATGCATATGGGAAAGGGGTAGTATCATAACGAACATAGGCTGGCTTATCCCCACCATACCGTACCTTCCACACAATGAGGATGCGCGCGAGCATTCTCACCAGCGCATCCGACCGATTGCCACCTCTGGTCACCACTTTCTCACTAAGTAAGGTGCCTGCGATGGATCCTCGCTCACCCAGGCCAACTGCTGAAGCTGATAGGTATATTACATTTAAGGCTGGGAATATAAAATTTCGGGAACTGCAGGTGGGTGAAGAGAGTGAAACTCCACGAGTGAAAATATCGTGCGGATTTCCCGTATAGCCTTTTTTTAAGTTCTTTGTATGCCGCTTGTTTACCCGAGAGGGCAACCCTGTCCCGTAGCGCTACGCAGTTGGGCTTTCGCAGTTGGGCTTTCGCAGTTATTGTCGGGGACACAAGGTGGCTGACAGACCGTCTTGGGTGTCGAGGGAAGGGGCACTGCGTTGCTCCTCTAGATTGAAACCCCTGTGGATCAAAGATGGATCAAATTCGAGACTGTCGGCGATACCTTCTTTTTTAAGCCGGCGCTGCGGGTTGGTGGGCAGACACTTCAGCACGCTAGAAGGCATCCTGGATCGCATTGCAGGCTGTGCCTCGAGAATTTTTGAGCTAGTCCGACTGGCCAAGCTCGATGATCTAATTACGTCTGCTATCCAGGGCCCTGATACCCATCAAGTCCATTGCTAGCCAGTCGCTTGCAGGTCCGTCGATGTCGGCAAGAACAGTCTCGCTAACTGGGCCCTCTTATGCATCTGCAAGTATTTTGGTGCATGCGCCCCTCTTTCTCGAATACCTCTTCCCATATGCAATGCGTGGCTAGTTTATTATCCGGCGTCAGTTAAGGGCATGCCGACAGCTCAAACTTTTTTTTTGCTACAGCAGCAGCAGTAGCAACTAGTCCTTCCTCACTAACCCAGATAGCCACGACATCACCACGGAGGAATCTATGCGGCATATGAGGGATGAGCTCTCATTTTTTTTTTTGGATATCTTGCGGGTAACTGGGCCACCGAATGCAGTCGCTTTATACGTCTCCCAGAGCTGATGTAACAGGGCCCGGTAAAAGATCCAGGGATGCGGACGTCCTCTGAGCGTTCCGCACTTGACCCGAGCCGATCTGTCTGCACGGATTAGCTCCACATCTGCAGCTGTGACCAGGAGCGGCAAATCAAAGGCGCTGACTTTTCAAACAACAAAATGCTATGGTCGACGCGATCTGTGCCCAAGAGTTTACGGTTACGACCAAGGCTACGGTGATAGGATCGAGGCCATCCAAGCGTGCTATGCAAAGCACGCCTAGAGGTTTTTTTTTTATATTCAAATTTCATCGCAGCTTTCATACGTTTTTTATGTGTTGCATATACCTCATTTTTATTCCTGCATATCTCTTAATAGTGATTGCCATTTATTCTTGCAGCTCATAATGCGACGGACATATACAGAAAAGTGGAGCTCGTTCAGACATTGATCGAATAAGAAGGGCAAAGCTCAGAGACAATCATGCAATAAAAAAAAGAAAAGAAAAGAAAATAAAAGGAGCCTAGTAAAAAGTTCTACTAGCAAAGATGCGTAGGAACGGATCGTTAAACATGGCCGCGCAAACAAAGAGCACAGTAGTACAGTGTATGGGTCGAAACCTTAATACGGTGTCCTTGACCTAAAATGGTAGACAATCAATCGAACTCAAATAAGCGCAAAGCTGCTTTGATTCAGCACAGCGGTCTTCAGTACGAACAGACGGTGTTAATCTGAAGTATGAAGAATGGTTCAGGCGACATGTTCAAAAGAGTTTCCGGCCCTCATAAAGAAGCTGATCTCGCTTGTTCATGCCAATAGAATCCCATCAAAAGGTGAGGATGGGCAAGCATATCCGAATCGAGGCGGAGATAGAAACGGCCCGTCTGGTTGCCTCTCTCAGTCCCACGTGCAACTGCATCGACCGATAAAATGCGAGGGAGCAATGCCGTTTGTGCCCCGTATCTCTGTGGGTAATCTATCTTCAGTAGTTACGAAAAATGGCATGCCATCCTCAGATTTGTTGTAGACCTGCAGATAAAGGCCATACAAACAGCACTATGCTGCCCTGAGATATTAACAAGAGAGCAGTTGTCACGATGCAGAGCTCTATGAGATGCGTCCAAGGTCCTGCTTCCGGTACTGCTATTCACGCCCAGTAGGTCTCTCTTTCGCCGCATTGAAGTCAGGGCCGAAAAGAATGTGCTGTGTGTATTGGCATATTCAGATCGGTGTTTGCTGTTAGTGCACCATCATTCTCCTGTGTCCCGACTGCGATGTATAACGCTGCCTCACTAGTTCATCAGAGCCTTCCACTCTTGTTCAGCGCATCAGATTCCTTGCCCTGGTACCTGTCATCTAGCAAAGTCCCTGCTGTCGTGATTTGCTGCATATCCTGTCATCGGAATGAGCAGCACGAACAGGCGATGCTCCTGCAGCTGACCTGAGTTGGTCTGTGAGGAGCTCCTCTCAAAGTGCCCTGTTGAATCCCGGTGTCGGTGGTTTGGCTGAGGTGCTGTATTCTTGTGGGATGGAACAGACTGTGTCAAGATGCTGAGAGGAAGTGAAGAATATCTGTGTCAAAACGAATGTACTCATATACGTTTGAACCGCAGATAGAAAGAAAGAGAACGATAAGGAAGAGAGCATGCAGCAAGAATGAATGAAAGTGAAGCAGAGAAGGAAAGCAGGGTGGTCATCACCGGGAAAAGACGAGAAAGGAGGACGAAAGGTTCCTCCAAAAAGCAGTTCCTCAGAACTCTCGAGTTTTTAGAATAGAGGATCAATTCAAACGCATGATGGGGCTTTTTTTTTTGTCTCCCTGCACAAAATCCATGTGAAGCCTTTCGCCTGCGCAACTGCCTCATCAAGAACTCCATCACCATCATCTCCCCTTTAATCCCTAGACGGTTTCTAAGACACGTAACCTACGTCTGGACGGAAAGACGTGTCTACTCCTGCTGGATCCCCCTGTTTGCGAGGAGCCAGTCATCGCGCCTACGAAAACCACGCCCACCAAGACACAGCTTCTAAATGTTTCGCCCAGGAGAAGCATGCGACTTGTTTCAATCTCCTCCGTCCAGAAATCCAGAAAACGCGACTCCCCCCATCACAACACGACATCGCTCAACAGCTCCCCTATCCGCTACCAGTGGCAGGCCCCAACCAATTCTCAACTTCGCTACGCCGATACTTCCACTAAAGTCACCCCTAAGCACAACAAGCCTGTCACCACCTCTTCTCCAGATCCTGTACCTGGCCCAGGGGGACCGCCTCTAACAAACGACAGCACTCTTCCTGCGGTCAGTCCAGTCGGTCAAGCGGACAACCCATTTTGGAGCGCTGAGTCTCCCGCCGACGCCAGCATTGGCATCGATACGTTCAAGGATGAGCATGGCAGTTCAGTCTACGCACCCCCTGAGTACAACTCCTGGCACATGTCTTCAAGAAGCTGACTTCACCCGACACTCCTTCCCCCGCCCAAGACTGAGTGGAGCCCCTTGGGAGGGACCATCGCATCAGCTGTCGGCTCTGACTGGTGCAGGGAAGCGCACCTGCAGGAAAGCAGTAGCATTCGCAGAAACTGGAACCATTGACAACAAGGAGGAGACTGACCGACCGGAACAACTTATAAAAGTACTGGACGAGAACCTTGCTACCAAGATTCGGGACATCATCACTCAATCCAACAAAAAAGGACATCTCAAACTCAGTTAGCCTTATTTCGAACGAACTGAAGATGTAATATAACATCGAGAACAAGCGGCCGCTGCAGGCCCGATTTGTGCAAGACAGTGTCTACATCTGGCCTGCTATCGGGGAATACCACCTTGCAACAAAGCCGAAAGAAGACAAGAAACAATACGAAACTGCGTTGGAATGCAATGTCCCAAAGGAGATTCTTGGTTCCAAGATCATTGCTGACAATCACAATTATCATGGCAACTTCTCGGCAGGTTTATTCGACAGGATTTTCAAACAGCTATGCATCAACCTTGGCAAATGGGATATGGTTCTTGCAATATTTTCTTGGACGGCGCTTTATACCACTTCCGCAAAATCAATAAAAAGCCTGCCAGATCCACCAAAGTGGATGATATGATCAAATGGATTCAGAATGGGGGTTATGAACAGCCGGTGACTACACGACCAGATGGAATACCAATCAAAGTGGATGTTGCAGCACATCAAAGACCTTCCCGATCGATCCAGCTATACCATTCATGACATTGCATCTGACAATGGTGGCCACTTTATATACAAACCCCCTCCTTACCATTGAAAACTCCAACCAATTGAGAATATCTGGGCCGACATCAAGCAGATGGTCGCAAGCCAAACCACAGGGAACCTGCCACACTTGAGTCTCAAGACGATGGTTGATAGACGCGTTTTAGATACACCTCCCAGTGCCTTTGTCTGTGTGTGGAAAGCTTGTGTCAGAATCGGACGAGGACAGGATGCAGCCAGTAATAGAGCAGCGCAAGCCTCCTCGACAGCAACGCCTTTTGTGGAAGGGCCTGAGGAGGAGGAGGAGGAGGAGGAGAAGGAGAAGGAGAAGGACCATGAAGAGATGGTGCTGAATGAGGATCTTATGGGAGAAGAGGCATGGACAAGAGCCCTTGAGGTGGTCAACGCTGCTGATCCCTATAAAAATGGCAACCTTTTCATTATGGAGCCGTCGTCAGAGGATGATCAAGAGAACAGCCACAATATTCACGATGGCTACGAAGCCATTGGCGATGATGGTATTGAGATTTGTATGGCCGTGGATGGCCTCAGGAAGCATAGATGTGAAGAATAGAATGGCCACACCTTAAACCCTCAAATTCACTAAGGTTCACGATGGGAGTATTGTAGCTCCATTGAGGGCTCTAAAAAACAACAGAGGGTTCCAAACATTGACATTCGCCAAACAACAAGCGCACCATATAACGCGCCCATTCAAACCTCGTCACTGGTCTATGACGAACTTCATTTGCGTTTGCCCACAACCAGTATCCGCATGCTCTTCTGGGGTTTCAGCTTTGTGCTTGTATTGCCTCATCCATCTACAACTCAACATGGAACAACCATCACACCACGCATCTCCACCTTCTTCTCCTTTCCCCTTCGCCATTGCCTCCCATCGACAAGGTGATACAGCACAATTGCATCCTCTGTTCTTTCATTGTCATCGTAGAGGATCGTGAGGATGATGAGCTGCTCCAGGTTGGATAGTAGCTGTTCGCATTCCGACTTGAATGGCATGGGGCTCATGTTGGAGGTTGACTCCGCTCATCATCATTTTTTGAGCTGTAAATGTCACAGGCATGTTGGATTGAACATTTTCAGTCCTCGAGGTGGCAGTGTTATGAAAATCGCGTTTTGGTCACAAATAACGCGCCCTAAATTGTCAAAGTTTAAAATCTCCTAATAATATGCACGGCATACATTGAACATCCTTCTGCCTGTCTTTTGCTTGTGTTATGTGTCCATCGTTTTGCCCCAGCCCAAAATAGAAAGAATAGAATGGCGAGAGCGCCTGCAATGACGCCTAGGCAAGCATCAACATCGCATTCGCCCTCATCCACTCTGAATTCCACACTCTGTCTTTCCCCTCTATAACCGCTCTTTTAGCGCTGCGCTGTTTCAATCGTACCTGAATTCTCCCCTTGTCTATGAGAACAGCACACCTTATCCACGATCGCTTTCATACCTTCGCTTGATCAACAAAAAAAAAAAACTTTGGAATCTGCTCGTTCCTCGCTTATCCCACCTTCGTCTCCACCTTCGCCATTACCTTCACCTCCAACCATGGCGAACAGCAGCAGCAAGAAGCCGCGCTGTAGCCGTTGTCGCCCTTCTGCAAATTCCTCGCTTCTCGCCGCAGCAATCCTCCTCCTCGCAAACCCTTTCACTCTCCTCTCCCAGGCACAAACATCGTCTGTACCTCTCACCGTCTCAGGTCCCGCCTTTGCCAGGACCGCCACACGTCTCTACGTCCTGGGGGGTCAATACGCCACTATCAATTATGGCCAATTCTTCTCGCTCGACCTCGCCAACTCCTGGAACAGCACCACCCCCCTCTGGACGCAGCTCAATGATGGACCCCAGCAAACCATTTTCCCCGCTGTTTTCTCCGCAGACCAAAAGACCATGGTTACCTTCCATTCGGGCAACTCAGCCTTTGCCTATCATTATTCTGTTGTTACTGGTCAATGGACTCGAGCGACAGTGCAGGCACAGTACGGAGACTATCAGGGTATCGGCGCGGTGACAGACCCTAACACTGGGTTGGTCTATCTTGCGGGTGGGTACACATCCGCCGACCGCAACTCGATGAACGTTTATAACTTTGTGACGGATACGATGTCAGCGAACGCATTGCCTCCGTCCACCACAGTTTTTCCGAATCGCGCGTATTATGCCAATGTTTGGTCACAGAAGCGGAAGAGTATCCTGTATTTTGGCGGGTATAATTCTACATTGGGTGCGATTCCAAATGGTAACACTGTAACAGAGTTTGTGCCCTCGACTTCAGCGTGGTCCACATTGGTAAGCGATCAGATATCTGCGCGACTCCTCACGACATGTGTTTTATATATCTATTTTTTACTCACCAGGTCCCCTTGCTGTTTTTTTTTTATTCTCTGGCAGGTCACATCAGGAATCGCCCCAGCAATGCGAGCAGACCTGTGCATGACATCGAGTATGTCGCCTAGTACCGCAAATATACGCAGCTGCCTAGGGCTTGTTCACTTCCGTACTATCTTAGCTTACCATTTCTCATTCTCTCTCTTCGGGATAGATGATGATGGCTCACTTATGGTAATCTATGGAGGAAGGCTGTCCAACAACACATTCAGTGGCGAAATCTTTATTTTTGACACTGTCAGCCAGACCTGGAGACAGGGCTTGACCGGCCCTCCTAGACTTTACACAGCCTGCACCATTGCCGGTACCCAGCTCTTGGTCTGGGGAGGAGTGGACTCGACAAACACGGCCGCGCCTGCGGCGGTTTTGATCTACGACCTGAACAACAACGCGTGGATCACACAATACACTCCTCCAGCATCTTATGTAGCTGCCAGGGCGTCCGAGACTATCTCGAGCTCACCAAATGCGACAAGCACGAGCTCACCCTCGAACGATGGATCATCTTCGAGCAATGCGGGAGCGACTGCAGGAGGAGTCGTTGCGGGTGTAGCGGTGCTCTGTGCGGGAGTGTTGTTCTTCGTCTTCCGACGACGACAACAACAGCACAAGGCCATCCCATTGGACACGGCGAGCGATCATATGGGTAGCGAAGGGTCCGGGTGGGCGACACCGCCGCCGGCAGTGAGTACTCATGATGAGCTTCAACAGGTGCGGACACAACTCCAGAGCCATCAGGAGCAATTGGAGTTACAAAGGAGGTTGCTGTTGTTACAGCAACAGCAACAGCAACAGCAACAGCAGTTACAGTTGCCGATCCAGCCGCAGCATCAGTATCCGGATGCGACATATAATTACCAACCGCCGATTTTCTATTCAGCAGCTGGGGGACAAACAGCAAACCCATTGGTTGCGACGACGACAGGTTCTCCACCACTAGAGTGGGATACAGCGCATGCATCGCCGGATTCGATGAAGTTGGTGCTGATGAGTGGTGGGCTGGCGGGTACAGGGTATGTGGAAGGAGGAAATAGCTATGCGGGCGCGCAGCAACAGCATCTTGGGATCATGCCTGTGGTGTATAATCCACCACCGACGACCAAAGGACCCTCGGGGGCGGCAACGGAGGGGAAAGACGAGCACGAGAGTAATTACAGGGAGAAACGTCCACTCGGCAACCCGCATGCTATTATTGAGAAGTAGACGCAGGGATGTGAGTGTTAGGAAGACAGGAACATAGAGGAGGCGAGGAAGGAAAGGGTGGGGGAAAGATAGACCGTAGTTTATTGAAGGATCGCCTGGCTAATGTTTTAATTGTTCCATACTATATCCACAATGCATCGAAATGGTCTATTCTTCACCTCTGTAGGAACAAATAAAAAAAAGCGCATGCGTTCTTGGACTTCATTCTCTTTCCTTCTTCCCTCACTCTCGTTCCTTTCTGCTTCTTCACCCCTCCAGCTCCACCATCCTTCACTGCACCCCCTCTGTTGTTGTCGCTGAAAAGCACACTGTCAAATACCCGATTGCCTTTGCAGTTCAGAGGTCAGAAACGTACAGTGGGTATGCTACTACTACTACATTAATGTGTTATTGACCGTTTGGCCATCGCTTTAGCGGTACCATTGATCCATGGCCCAAAGGAAGCAATAAGCACGTCTACAGGGAACCGATTTTCATGGCAGAAGGAGGACGGAATGAGAGCAAAAAGGGCACAGGAAGGGTGGGCGATGGCGGAGGAAATAAAGGCATGCAGTTGAGGAATCGTGCAGCTCATTCACAGGGCGTGCAAGTAAGGGCCGTGCATTTAATGGGTTGGCGTACTTGGAGAGAGCACGTGCAAATAGAGGAAAACGGGTACATCATGGCGCCAGGGCCACGGACAATGCAGCCTGTTGCACGCCTGCACGCCTGAGGGGATCTGGCTTCAACAAAAATAAAATATGATAAAAAGCCAGGGCCACGACAGTCACCCGCACACCGACATGGGACAGTGGGAGGCGAAGCAAGGCCAGCTGACAGCCTGCCACCACTCCGGGGAGGGTTAAAAGTCCAGCCCTGCATCCCCTATTAGGCTACATAAGGTGTGATAATTTTGCTCCGTGGTAAGAGAACCCTGCCTGGACACAATAACTATGAAAGGCTAGTAAATTTTATTTGCAGGCAAAGTGGATCGACATGGCGACGATCCTGTTCATGGATAGCTTATACCCATGAACGTCATCTAGAGGACACCATCTTTCCGGGGCACATTCCACACCCTTTTTCACACTTTTTTTTACTCTCTCCCGCTCTTTCGGTATCTATATCCTTTTCCTACTCTGACTTTCTCTCCATCTCTCTCTCTCTTCTATCTCCTCCTTCTCTTCCATATTGCACATATACTTTTCTCTTTATCCATTAACTCATTATATCTCTGCCTATCACTATCTACCAGCGTGGAATTGGTGGTCAAGCAAAAAATAATAATAGAAGATACAGTATTATTCTAGTAATAAGATGACGCTCGATATGGACGCCGTGCATTGATACTTTCTGTTGAACAGCGTAGCACAATTATGAACAAAGAATCGGTGAAATCCAGTGAAATCCAGTGAAATCCGGTGAAATCCGGTGAAACTCAGTGAAATAGAAGTACTATTACCATATGTGGAATTCACCAGTGAAATTTATTTTTCACCGGTCGGTGTTCACCGCGGTTAACCGTTCACCGGTGAGAATCACTAGATGCGATCGCGACTCAATTCAAATGATAAACTTCAACGGTCTGAGTGGTAATCTACCTTTAACTATGCTCATGTAAATTGGCTCACTGCACGAAGAAACAGCCTGTCGAGGTACTTGTCATGGATATACAATACCCACTATTCTGGTGCCTGGTGTGGTATGAGGATGCTGCATCATTAGTCACGGATGCAAGGGTTCAGGGCGAGCCAGGCGATGACCAGATCAGTAACCAGTCTCGATTTGGTAGACAATTTCGGACACGGCGGGGCGCCATTTATTTGAGGGCAATCGTTGCCGACCATTCCCTATCCTTTAGCCTCATTAGCATCATTGGTCTTGCCATCATCCTCACAGCGGTAACCATATTACAAAGACGAGAATAACATAAGCGAGGCTAATCCAAGGGCACCTTGTGGGTACTTGAACACTCTCGACCTCTATAATTTTATCCGCATGGCAAGCTGGGCACCATTACGTTTGAGACGTCGAGCAGTAGGTATTGCGACGTTTAAACAGAGTGCTTGGGGAATCAGGAGGGCTCCACTTTTTTTTATGTACGACAGCGGGAAGACAATGAGGGACAGTTTCATACAATACGATATGGAAGCGTAAACTCGGCTTGTTTATGAGTGAGCGGAAGAATGAATCCCCGTTGCTCACTACACTCTTTCTTCCTTTAATCCAATCAACCCTCACCTTCACCTCCATCACCACATCCCCATTCCCTTTTACTCACAGAACACAATATCTCCTTTCTTCCTTTTCAGTAGCTATAACTGTTCTGCTGCGCCGCCGTCCTACGTTGCTCCTCTTCCTCCTTCCTTCAGACCTGGCTCATTTACAACGACGATCGAACACTCCGCCAGCCGCATTTCACCATGCACTCGGCACACTCCTCCCCTCGCCATGATCGACACGTATCCCTACCACTATATCTACTCCTCCTCGCTCTCCTCATAGGGCTTACCAACAGCGCAGACCCAATTCCCATTGCCATAAAGCCTTCCACAACCAGCACCATCAAAGCCCACTCTTCCACCACTTCTACCTCCCCAACACCTACTATCTCCATCCCTCCTCAATGCCAAGACTGCTACAACTCCACCTCAACTCCTTCTCTCACCTGCTATAAAAATACCCAATGCATCCCTATACAATATCTCTGTTCCACTCCGATCTCCTCCTCGACTTCTACCTGCACAGACATGGACGGTGACCAAGACCCCGACGACCCGATCCCCTGCACCACAGATTCACTGTGTACCTTGCAGAACTTCCTTCCCCTCCCTTCCCCAGGCTCCGGCAAGATGAGCCGTAACTCCTCAACAGGTTGTCTCCTCGGTTCTTATTACTCTCTCTTTGGGACCACTCCCAAGTATACACAATCTTGTGTAGAACCTTACCCCAGCGCACCGACCAATTGTCATCCGTGGGAGTACCTCGTCCAAAGTTCTTGCTTTCTCAGTACCTGTGGACCTGGGCTAGATTGTGTACCGCCATTCATGTGCAGGAAATTATCTGAGAACGAGTTGTATGGGATCTGCACGAACCCAAATGGGACAAGTGGCGGTATGGGATCGACGACAGGAGGAGGGGTGGATGGAGGCGATGGGACTGAACGATATACAGCCAAGGAGTATTTGGTCCAGGGACTGCTGATCGGGATATGTTGTCTGGCGCTTGGGGTTGGTTTAGGAGTTGGGTTCTGGCACTATAAGCGAAAACGGTTTACGGCGCGATGGTTACATTCGGAGAGCGAGGATCCCGGACAGCAACGATATGGGGTTCGACGTGGAGGATCTTCGTCGGGACAGGAATACAAGGGCTCAAGTGTGCTCTCGCGAATCATGCGCTGCGGTCGCACCGCCTCAGCACATTCTTCGGCAGTGGATAATCATTCTACCCATCGCCACTACCAGCAGCAACAACAGCAGCAACAACAGCAGCAACAAGATCAACATCGAAACTCGGTCGCCGAATCTGAGAGCCATGAGGGCTCGATCTTCAGCAGCTTACGTTCCTCACGCAGAGGATCGAGCATTTTGTTCGCTGGATCACTAACACGCTGGCGATGGGGTGCAGCTGCGAATGCAAACAGTACACACAGCATGCCAAGGGCTGTGGTCGCGATGGGTGGGATGACAATTTTTCCAGAGATGGAGCCGCCGCCCATGTATCACAATGGCCCAGACCTGCCGACCTATGGTGATAATATCGAGGAGATCGCGCTGCACCGCGTCCACATGGATCTGGATCACCACCACGATCAGCGACAAGCAGGACAGGTCCAGGGTGCTGTGATGGATAATGACATGGACAATCTACCAATGGAGATGCCGCCGCTCAGTCTGGTTGAGAGTCCGTCGACGCTTGGACAGCACACGCGTAGAGCAGTAATAGCAAGACAGGAGCAGGATCTGAGCGAGGAAATCGCTGATGTGGACGATAGCAACGTACTGTCGCCCACTTCATCATTCCATGGCCACAACAGTGATAGCATACCGGACCAGAGATTGGGTGTCGCTACGCCAGACGAGGCACACCTTCGGAAAACGGAGAAATGATCTAGGAAAACGACTTTTTATTTTACTTGCATATCCCCTCATTCGAATCATCATAATCCTCATTTCATTCATCTTATTGTATATTTCTTTTTGTTCTCCATGTACCATATATTCTTTTCTCTTAATAACAAAACAAACATATCCCGCTCCATAAAAAGTTTGCTCCGCATCTGGTTATCAATCCTCCGAAGAAAAAAACAGGGCTATTATTATGATTACTGTATAGATTCCTACATATGATTACTGTGTAAGATTATTACGGCATGATAGACCGAATTGGTATGGCTGCAGATATATATAAAGAAGAGTGCCGGATTAGGAGGATATACAACAAAGAGATTTTGGCACCTAGTCCAAAAAACTATCGCGCAAAGGCAATGCTGATGAAGGCCACAATGAAAATGGTCCCAAACGTAACTAGTGAGCAAATAAAGCTTCCCCTGGACGGCCCAGGGATCGACTGATCCGTGTACAACTCAAAAAGCTCTGGAAGTCTTGGGCCTGTTGACAGCGCAAACGTCTCGATCTCTGAGTGCATCCCGTGCAGAATCCGGACCACACATCGTCGTCTGCGTAGGCTTGACGGGAAGGAAGATGAGCGCGCCTCAGAGATGCCACTCGAAGTTGAAGAAGAGGAAATGGACGGTCGTGCATGGGACGATGAAGGAGGTAACGCGGAAGCTAACGAAAAAGAAGCATTCAGTGGTGAAGACACTGCAGCGATAGAATCGTAGTTGGATATGGCTACATTATCTTGGGATACTGCAGCAGTATTGACTCCGTCCTCGATGATGTACACCTCCGCAACCGTACCTCCTTTGACGCGCTGGCCCATCACAAGCGAGTCGTCCCGCACCAGCAGAAACATGCGCGGCTTCTTGGTCGCTCCTATCACATCCTCATAATCCGGCGACGCTGGCATCGACAAAGTCGTAGCAGTTGCAGGGCCCGACAACGACGGTGCCACAGCTTGGGTACCCTCTGCAACCCCCACCTCCACAACCCCCTCAGGGCCTGCCTCCTGTAGATCCCGCATCCTGGATGCCACGGGCACTACTGGTAGTTCTTGAGGTTGAGGCTCATACGCCTCCTCGCGCCATGCATAATACAGCCCCCGTACACGCATCGTGATTTCCATCGACTCGTTATGCGGCGTCGAGGACCTCAGGCTCAACCACCGATGCCATCGATCCTTAATTCCTATTGACTCCTCTCGCTGGTGCTGTGGCAGCTGCCTTCTCATCTCCATCTTCTTCTGTCTTTCCTTCCGCCTCTTCGCCTTACCCTCCTTTGAATAGTAGTCGGCCCTTGTTCGCCACCACATCATCACCTTCTCATACGGTCCCTCCTGGCGACACCGCTGGAGATTCGTCTCATGATGGGTTGACCACCAAATCCATGTCTGAGGATCGTCAGCGGAGACAAAGGCGTACGTCGGACTCTTGAAGAACTCGGACGAGAGCGCGTGGCTAAAAACATTTCCGAGGCGGGTTTGAGTGCTGAGGCGCCCTTCGGCCGTCTCCATGGCAACAGCATCGGCGAGGGTGGCATCCGCCTCTTCGCCTTCGTAGCCGTCGTTAATCTGAACATGTTGAACAGATGGTAGGGTACCAAAGGGGGACTCTTGGGATATTCTTGCTGGTGTTATTGGCCGTTCTTCGTCCGTGGTTACTGCAGTCGGCTCCACACCGATGCTTGATGTCGCTACTTCCACTTCTGGCGCGGCTTCTACTGTGGCTACAAAAGCTTCGTTTCCAGATGGGGGGGAGACCGCGGAGTTGTTCGCTGCACCCGCCGGTGTCGCATGGGCAGTTGAATTGGCAATCGCCTCCTCCGGTGGCCTTGTCCTAGATAAGCTTCCTCCTCCGATGAGAGTCAAGGGTGTCGGGCCCACACGTCGCCGCCCAACAGAATGCAGTGATTCAAGATTCTCGATCGCATGGGGTGACAATGGCGCCAGCAAGGTGTTCCGGATCCTGTTCAAAGGCGGTGGTCGTCCACGAATATGTCCGGTCGGTACTCTCTCCATATTTGTCATGGCATGTTCGCCAGAGATTGGTGGCATCCTACTCTGGCAACTAGCCATCGTGCTGAGCTCAATCATACCCTGTATAGACCCACTATTGACGCCTGCTGCAGTTTCAACCGCGGTAGTCCTCCCTTCGCTTGGTCCTATTGACTGGCGTGACTCTTGATATGAGCTCGGTGAAGGCTGACCCTGCGCTGCCGCAGGGGCAGACCTAGTAGTGGTTGTCGAAATATCATTCGTCGTGGTTTCAAGTGGTGCGGGTGCAAGGTTTGTCGACTGTATCTGTCTTGCTGTTCTGTTGGTAGTCATTGTTCTGGGGACCAGCTCTGTAGTTCCTGATAACTTTGGGTCCATGAGATAGCACAAATATTCAATTGCGTCCTCAACCCAGTATTCTAAGGTCCAAGCGCCTGGCTGAAGTTGTGTAGGCGCGACCTGTCCTACTCCATCAAGTCGCTGACCGGGCTCGCCTATAGACTCACGTCGTCGAATAATGTCTGCGTCCACCGCACTTACTCCAGCGCCGCTCTGAGGTCTCGTCCGACTATTGTGTTGATTATCTGAGTAAATATCCATCGCCCGGTCCGGTTGCGGCCGAGGGTCCCTGAACTCCGCAGGACCCTGACTTGGTATGACAATGTACGTCGTGGCCGTGTCCTCTGGGAGCCGGAAATGCAGGTTGACCTCAAAGACAGGAGCATACCCCGGTAACTCATCCTCTTCTAAGAACGAATGGCGAAAGCTAGGCGAAAGCACGGATGGCAAAGTTGGAAGCGGGCCTGTCTGTTGGACTCCTGATCCGTCCTGCTGCAACCAAGAGATATGTCGCGGGTCTATAGACCCATTAAAAGATGCGCTATTCGTCCTGTCAGACACGGTCGATGAACTCTGAGGCGCATCCTCGTCCACATATGCCGGCGGTTCTGGCAGTGAGTCTGAGAGGTTAATTGTCACTAAATCCTGCGGTTCCGAAAAAGCGCATGAGAGAGGCGGAAGTGGTTGATAAGAAGTGGTGTCTGGAGTCAAGGAACGTTCCTGTCTAATAGCTCCGGTAAACGTGCTTGCATTCTCCAATGAATCAGCATTCGTGTAACGCCCACGGGGCGAGACCAGCAAAGGACCCGAAGATGGTGAACCTTCTTGGTCTCCTCGGTGAGACAATATTGGCAACGTGAGTGAGAGGGTCGAAGGACCATCAAGAGATGGAAGGTCCTGCGGAGACGGCTGCAAAGGCCAAGGTTGAAGAGCTGACGGACTAGTGTTTGACCGGGACGCCGAGGATGTGCCGAGGGGGTTATGTTGCTTGTCACTGTTATAAGTGTGATGGGTGGTGTCCTGTAAGGTCGATGGTACCGCCACTGCAGGCTGCGACTCTGCAACCTCGATAACAATGTCGTCCCTTGACAGTGGAGAAGAGCTCGTCTCACGAATATCGCTGCCACTGTCTGCCCCCCTATATGTGAGTTCCATGTTCCCACGAGATATTTTCCTTTTCCGGTCTCTCGGTTCCTGCTCCTTCTGAACCCCTAGAATTCAATTAAATCGATACGGCTCCCCAGGGTTCTTGACAAAGTGGGGACGATAGAGCATTCAACGAAAGGAACATATAGCAGTTGAAAAGCAGCACGAACATTAGTACAGTATTTTGACAAGGCGCTGTAATGCGCAATGCCAACTGAGCTGATTTCAACGTACTGCTTTCTTTGAGACGATTTCCCGACAGTAGGGGCGACGTAGGTTGGGTGGATGCGGACAAAATAGATGGATGGTGAAGGAATTTGGGTGTAAGAGATGGAAGGAAAGGAGGAGAATAACGACCGAGGGAAGGGCCTAAGCCAGCAGGCGCCAGTGGATGAAAATGCTGTTTGTGTGTGAGCACCAAACTTTGTGCGCGTAACGATCATGCTTCTCCTCTCGCATATAAAGCTATACACGATATTTAACATACCCCCCGTATGCGCCTGTAAACACGTACACAAAGGTGCCGGAGGAAGACATTTATGTGTCGTTGCAAGGAATACCAACTCGATGCATAGCGTCCTGCAAACATATACCGAAAAGTCAATTACTTGATCATGTTTTTCATGTAGAAAGAAATGTCGTGCATCGCGTCGTTAAATCGAGGATTGACATGAATTGAAGGAGGAGAGGGACAATAATACACTGTTTGATGTATAGGTGGACCGAATCATTGGACTGTATCGTCAAGTGATAGTATAGGGAAGAGGAAGCATGAGAGAACATGAGGGAGGAACATAAGGGAGTAAGAGGGAGCAAAAGGAAGTAGGAGGAATAAGAGAGCATGGAGAATAATGAAATGAGTGTGCTGAAAAAAAAAAAAAAACCTGTGCAAGAGAGGGATCCGCAGGAACCAAGCGCGCATGCATTCATTCAGACCCTTGAGGCAAATCCTGGGAAGATAACTGTCCATCTCTTCTTCCTTGGGCTGATGCTTTGTGCTTTTGCTGTTTATGCAGGGTAAGGTAGATGAGGAATTAGATGGACCATGCTTTACAACTTCAGCTGAAAAAAAGACAATAAGAATGCAAAGCATGTGGCCCTTCCTTTTTGTTGTTTTCATTCCTGTTGTTTCTGTTTGCGCGAGAGATCAGAATGAAGAATGGAAAAAGCACTGTTGTGGTTGAAGAGTCGCGTGCTAGTCTGGTGGGAAACGAAGTAGCAAACAACAGAAAATAAAGATGGCGTTCATCTGTGGATGGAAATCGATGTCCATCCATCTGGTGGCAAGATCAGTGCCCTCATTCTGCTCCCATCTCCCGCCCCGGAACAGGAGATGCATATCCATTCACATTCAGGGGTAGGGAATATATAGAGATGCTCCATCATCATCGCCATCACCAACATCTACCAAAATGCCAGGAAGGGAAGGAAACGCCTTGGCAATCATCTTTTTTTTTTTTGCGAGCTATTTAGTTTGAGCTCTAGCCAAATGATTGAGTAAAGGATCTAATATTTGGTACCTGGTGCCTGAATTTTTGTGGCATTGACCACTGAGACACAAGCGTTGCAAAAATCCTCTCCAATCCACATGCCAACAGAGCGACAGCTCTAGCTCACCCAAACTGATGTGAATCATTCCGAGTCGATGGTGCATGGTGGCAGTTCCGTGCGCGCGGGAGATGGGGGGAGGCATGAAGGGACACAAGCACGCGCATGAACGATGACTATGACGCCTGTTTGCATCCTTGAGGGTACAAACGAAAGCAAAAAAAAAAAGGTTTGGCCACGAGGTATAGGGGCAATCCTCTGTATCTTATTGAGCGCGGGATCGTCATGGCCATACTGTGTTTATGGCAACTGCCACTACCACTGGGTAGGAGGATGATTAGAAAAAGGGGCTAATGGAGGGAAGAGGTGAAGAGGCGAAGGTGAGAGGGTTGCCATGTTGCCGAACCCGTATTTGTCTCTTGTGCCAGGGGAGGAACGTGTTGTGTGTCATTGTTCAGGGTGCAACACCGAAGAGGGCTGCCGCTGCTGCACGATGCAAGGTGGAGGAAGGAGTTCCCTCTTCTCTCTGTTGTCAGTTGTTGAATACAGATGTCGAGTACTCCTCTTTATCTTTTTTCTTTTTTCTTCTTCTCGACTCAATTAAACCTCCCCATCACTCATCCTTCTCCATCACTTCCTCCTTTTTCATCCATCCTTACTCCATTACGAGAACAACATCGACAGCCAACACTCTGATCCCCAATCCCTATTTCCCCATTCCGTCTTTACATTTCTTATACCTCCCTCTTTTTCACAATTGCACGCCTCCACAAACTTTTGCACACCTTCCACAAAATCCAATTGTTGCCTTATCGACCATTGCTGCCCATCCGTTCTTTTCCTATCCTCTTTTCGACTCCATTCACTCCCTGACAGCAGAACCGCCCAAACCCATACCACTGAAAAATCCAGCGCATTTCGGGCACGTATCGCCTCTTAACATCTACACAACATGTATCATTCAATGGTGCAAGGGAACGAGGAGCAGGACGTGCCACGCTGGGATGGTATGTAGAGCAGACTAGCGAAAATGATTCTTCACTTCTACTTTTGGCCGTACCTTCTGCAAGAAACAAAACAAAGCAAAAAAAAAAAAAAAAAAAAAAAAAAGTTCTTCGGATATACTTCATTTGATTGCATAAACTCATGCAGCCAACTGCACCTTTTACGGCGACCGTCGCCACTGGCATCATATGTGTGGTCCGAGTACAAAGCAATCCGCGTGTAGGCTGGCGCACCTTTGATCGACAACTCCACTCCCTCTCTCCCGTTTCCTTTTTCATCGGATTTGTAGTAATTGAGCCAGCTGACCCAGTCAATGAATGCACTCAAGTGCTAATTTTTTTTTCACTTTTCTGCGCTCAATTGGCTGTAGAGGTACTACGATTTCTGCCAGGACAACTCCGCAACAATCGCTCGTCAACCTCGCTCGCGTCCAGAGCGGTAACGATCTACGAGGATGACGAAAGCTCACCCCTGTTATCTAGCGGGCTGATTCCAACACGGCGACAGGTTGCACAATGGACCAACAGTATATGGAAACGACAGGCTGTCCTGCTCGTTCTACCTGTTTCTATCGTAAGTTGCCCTTCCCTCCACTGAGGTCCTATGCGTCTTGTTTTTTTTTCTTGTTCTATTGTTGTGAGAGGATGGATGAGTGAATGACCTTAAGCAAGAATTGTAGCCCCTCCTTCTCCCTTTGCCCTGTGGACATCGTTTTTCGGACTAACACATTTTTGATTTCTCTCACTCAAAAAAAAAAAAAAAAAGGTCATCATGTGGTGCTCAGTTCCATTGAGGACATATCCGGACGAGCCAGAGGACGGCGGCGGGTCCTCCAATTCAACCTGGCCCTGGGATGGCTTCCCCTGGAGCCCCAATAAGGACACGACCAACAATACGCTATTGGCAGTCTCAGCAACACTCGGAACAGGGGCAGGAGGGTTAGGGATGCCAGGAAACATGACCAACATAACGATGCTCCCGACTGCACCACCGCAACCACCCGTGCTAGTCAACTTTTGGTGGTTCCTATGGTTCTACTATGGATTCTACAACGCCGTCGCCCTACTGCTAATCACCAAGATCTTCAACATCTACTCGCTCAATTGGTGGCCCAAGGCCCTCGGGGGTCTGACCTCGTACTTCATCTTCTGGCTCTCGACGCAGCTAATGGGGATCTTGGTCTATTACTTTACGGGATTGGAGGGATACCAACTCACATGGGTATTTCTAACGTTCTGCACGATGACCATTCCATTACTGGTTGCGTTTCTGGTGATCCGGTCCGAGAACCGGAATGTATATCGACATTCGCTCACAGTCGCCCAGAAGACTTTCTTGTCGGCATCCTCGATCGAGGCGAGAATCCCGGCCTCGTATATCCGGTTCTTATGGTTCTGTGTCGCCCTCGCGATTGCGCTCAGTACGATCGTGACGGGACAGATTTATGCGGATCAATATATCAAGGCCCCCCAGGATAAACCGCGCACGACGATTGAGGGACTGATTTACGTCTATTCTTGGGTCGGAACGATCTATATACTGGATGCAATCACGGATTACATTGTCGAAACCCGAGTGAGATCCTATCCGCTGTCATCGATTTTCAAGCTCTATTACTTCATGATCTACTTCATCTTCTACAGGAACCTTTTTGTCCGGTTGAGATCCTATGAGCAGTTCGTCGTCATCCAGCTGGCCTCTTCGTTTTGGGTCTGCATTTTCCATCCGATCTGTATGACCCACACCGTATACAGGACGCTCGTCTATTTGTTCGGGATCACAAGGACATACGAGGAGTACAAGCGCCAGGTCGGACGCGGGTTATTCCTGAGGAACCTGGCCGAGAATGTGACCATGCTTGCCTTTTTGTGCTGGGTCAATATTCTCTACTACGGACCGAACGCGAAAATATACCAGTATTTTCAGTTCAAGGACCAGTATCGGGAGTACGACCATACTGTTACCGTCTATGCATCCGTCGGCATCTGGGCAAGCGAGCTGATCTCGAATTTCATTAATCGGTCGATCTGTAAGCGGTTCATGGGGCATCATGTCACGAAGGAGGCGCTGAAGGACTTCAAGGAATACCCAGAGTTGATCGTCGCGTTCGTCTTGGTCATGGTCCATATTTTACAGGACATGCTACTCTCGCTGCTGGACCTCAACTTTGCTTAAGAACCAAAGTAACAAAAATACCACCATTTATCCTTCTTTTTTTTTTTTCCCTCTCTTGTACAATGATATCTTTCCTTCTCTTGTCCCTGCTGTAATTACATATTGCATGCTTCCCCTATCCATACCGCCGTGTGTTCTATGACACCTTTCCTTCTTTTGTTTTTATCCGCATGTTGTAATTTTATGCATACACCAATATAACCCTCGGTCCTTCCCCTCTTTCACCCTCGCCATCGTTTTGAAGTTGCAGTTTTACACAGTAATAAAAAAATAAAACAACAATCCTTTCGACCAAACTTGGTTTCTTTGAATGATCTCACTACGATTTATTTTATGATGATATCTAAGAGGGAAGTAATATGAGTGAACATCTTGAAAACATGCCTACTTGGGCGGTGATCTTGGTGAAAAAGGTGGTGGCTGATCGAAAAGATTTGCTAATCCAACCGCACCAACAGGTGGAGATCCAGAGGCCGTAGTTTTGTCCCGTCCTGATTGCGTCTGCGCCATGGTGGGCGATCTGTAGTTAGCTGAAGACGACCCGCTATATTGCTGTGCTGTCGGGATGGCTGCGTTCGCTTGACCACTACTGCCTGTACCCGGCCGCTTGAGTGAAATCGAGTTTTGAGTGATATGATGAATGCCTGCCATCCCCTGCTCTGCTGCACTAAGCGACATTTGCCGTCTAGGCAAAGACACATCGCCCGAGGACTGGTTCATTTGCTCCCGCTTCTTGATCTCCGCCAATGCCTGCGCCAAATTTCCATAAGCTCCCGAGGCTCCCAAACTGTTAGCGTTGACATGCATATTATATATTTCCTGTTGCTGCTGCTGGCTCAGCCTCGAGGTCTGTCGTCGCAATGAAAGGTGCTGCTGATTGTTATGATACGGCGGCTGCTTCTGCTGTGGAAAGTACGATGTTGGACTGGTATTCGACTGCTGGTGCAGATGCTGACTGCCGCCGCTGGGATTAACCAGATTGACCGCACTGTTGCTATGCGGGTGGCGCTTGGCCCCTATTGCAAGGCTACTCAGATTGACCACCGATCCCGCTCTAGAATTCGCGCGCGAGTTGCCACGGGAGCGACCTCCTAGGGGCGAGGGTAAGAAGCTTCCCAAATCGACGCTCGACCGTGCACTCCTGGCCCAGGCTTCCAAGTCCTCTATGAATCCATACGCGCCGAAATAAATTACCGCCAGATCCACAGCGACTTGTAAACAGCAGAAAAACGCCATGATCCCCAGTAGCGCAAACGGCGTCATCTGCTCCAAGGGTACCGCAATCAAACATAGGATGAGCGCCGAATTCAGGAATCTGGATAGATATACAATCTTCTGGAATTTGTCATACGACCGTAAATTGATCCACTTGATGAGCGAGCTGAATAAGAACACAAGGCTGCATGCAACAAGAAAGTATTGCTTCGTGAGATTATAATCCGTGTCTCGCCCCGCTTCTAATCCGCCGCCAGAAACCGCACTCTTGACTCTTCCTAAGGGAGTCTCAAATCCCAGGGCAGCGTGTCTGCTCAGCTGGTCCAGGCTTGTCAACGATGACGAGGTCATGTGTGAGGGCTCCGTGATGAGATCCGTGATGTGGTGCTCTAGTTTGTAGAGGCGGATCAAATCCAGGGCGCCGGTTCCGACCAAGACTATGCACACATGAAACGGTAGATGCAAATATGCCCAAAATTGTGATAGCATCGTTGTTTTATGAAAGATCTAGCCATGAAAAGAGACAGCGATACGTTAACCATTTGTTCTGTGCCGCGCGCCATGCCGAACCACCGATCGATTCTTTAGTTACTTACATCTTCAGAAAAATCATCAAAGTAAAGCCACCACAACGCGTACAGGATTACCACTGTCAAAAAGAACAGAAGCCTATAATGAAAAAGAGTGGGCTGCGTGAGATGACTTGAAGAGAAATCACTAGTGATGTGGGTTCCTGAATCGATACTCACAGGAATGTGTCCTGCCCTGCCACCCATGCGCTTGCGCCTGAGCTCAGTCCAACCAACCCGATGATATTCTAGTCAAGTGAACGACGACTGAGGTCAGCAGGTTGAATGATACAAAACAGTCCATAGATGGTTAACAAAAAGTGAGAGTAATTACAACTCACCTCTCCCAAGACAAGGATGGTGAATAGGGCGAAACGTTCGGGCAGATGGCTCCCAGCAAACGTGACAGATGTCCTTCGTCCAAACGACACCAGTACTCCCACCTCGACAATGATTGTGATATACCACATAGTATAGCGCCAGGCTATGCTGTGGACCAGGATTGATAGACCCCATATCAGCATGGCTAGCATATTGCTCCCAATTTGCAGCAATAGCGGCGTCAACGACTTTGCGGAACGATTTTTTCGTGCCCAAAAGAGAACTATTTATCAATAGCAAAGTGATAAACTCCACTCATTAGCGATGATAATGCCATATTGTCTGCTGAGACGTCCATAGCAGTCGAATGAATAGACACTAACCATTTCCATATTCAATGACTAGAACACCTTTGAGGACAATGTAACTGGCGATAAATCCGGTTGACGTACGGCCGAGGTGATCGGACGAAAATGCGCCAAATGAAACCAGGGCACAGAACTCCACTAGTTTCCAGACCTTCGTGAACAGATCATCCATGTCGTATCTCGCAGCCCAGAAGGTTTGTCCCGCCCACTATTAATTGAAACCAATACAAAAAGACTTGTCAGCACCATTACGCCAGGCTGCAAAACGACCTGTTCTTCAAATTAGCCACGTAGACTTACAGACCACCACATAATCACGAACCAACCAATATAATGGCCGAGTGCAGCTATCGTTCAATGATAATGATGAATGAGAAGCGTGAGCATGTTTCACGTCGTAAAGATACGTTTCATATAATCAGTGAAGGACTTACGGCCTCCCGTGATAGGATGGTTGTGAGTAAAGTCGGTCAAGTTGGCGACGAATAGAAGATCATAGAACAACTCTAATAGAAGCCAGCAGTGTCAGGTTAGTTGGAGAGCTGCATGCTGTCAACCATCATCCCCAATAGGAAATTGCTTCTTATTTTCTGAATGTGATCCATGGTGCGTTACCTAACCAGCTTGCTTTTGAGTCTTCGATAGGTATTGTGGATAGATCTGTTGTAGGTCGCCTACCAGAGCAAAGATAAATGCCAGTATCAGTGTATCCCCTTCTCCCTCGCGAATGCTCTCACCGAAGAACGAAAGGTGGCAACTCACTTGTATTTTTCCTTCCGACGGCGAGTCTTTTTCTCCCTGTCCAATGACAATACAGATTCTCTCCTGACCACAGCCATCGACTCGCCATTAAGTAGGTGTTGATCCTGAGCAAATGTCACTCCTGGTGCTAAAAAACATGTCAGTTAACACAGAAAACATAGGCTGTCGGGTTAGCAGACGAGCAGAGGTAAATCTCAATGCGCCAATACTTCAAAACACGAAACCTACATTCTGGAGTGTTGTCCGAGACGATGATTTGGACATCATAGTTACGATGGATTTTATCGAAATAATCTGCCAATCCCTCCGTCGTCTGGATCGCCTTCACCTCTGCGCGCTCCTGTGCGTTGAGATCCAGCTCCTCGCACAGCGTAGTCAAGTTCTTCTCGCTCAGCGGACAGATTGGTTCACTTTCTACACCTTCTTGAAGATGGATCTCTGTGGAATAACGAATCAAATATTAAGGAAGCGAACATATCTTCACTTTCAACATGACCCATGCGCTCTTAGTTTATCGAACTTACCAAAGTGAACGCGCACCTCAAGTTCCTCGTCCGACGTTGCTGATTCAGAGTCCGAGTGAGGCCTAGTCCGATCGTATACGATTCTCCGTGTCAGCAACACAACAATGCTCAAAAAGGAGGCGCACTGAGTAGAATGATTTTCACCTTGTTTCTGGAGCATGCATTGTGCTAGATCGTGGGATACCGTCAGGGATACCTGCAGCCAATGCCTTGGCCGCCGCCTGCACCCTCTCCTGTCCATATGGTGGCGGAATGATCATCTTGCTAGGCTGATCCCTGACTTTGAACTGTGTCATGCTAGGGCGAGAGCGTGGCATGATCGGACGGGCGACCCCTGTTGCAGTTGCAGTGGCTGCCGCTGCTGCTGACGACGGTCCTGGTGTAGATTGTCTAATGTTTAAATACATGATCAGGATACTATGGATGAGCATTGTGTAGGACATTCAGTTGACACAGAAAGTTAGCTGTGGAGCTCTACATACTTGATGTCTGTCTTGGGGTGTATGCGTTCAAAGGCCTTTCTGCGAAGGGATTGGATGCTGCCAGTCATGCCCTCTGCAAAGGTCTGACTGGCCTGCAGTTGGCTTCTCAGAGGCCCAGCTGTCGGATTCGATTGCGATCTGGTAGGGCCATCGGGCAGGTCACTTGTGGATGCGGGTGTGTTTGGTGAGGAGGGCTGTAGCGAGGTTGGAGACTGTGTCAACTGGTTGGAAACGTCTTGCATGGCTGTGAGGGCCGGTTGCCGCGGAGGAATGGTAATCCTTGCTGGCCGGTCGACAGTGGAGACGTTGGTCACATCATTTTGGGCGGAGGGGTTAGAAGTAACGCCAGCAGGGAGGCGAGAAAGTTGCTGAGAAGGGCTGTTGCTGGTGGCTGTACCGTCCTCTGTTGGGGAGGAAGGGGTCATGCGTAGTGGACAGGGTACAGTGGCGGTGCAGACGAGAAAGGGATGAGCTAGGTCGTGAGGGGAGAAGAATGTTAAAGAGGAGAGAGAAGCGGAAGAGAATACGGGATGGAATGAGGGCCGGTGGTAACCAGGATCGATGGAGGATCTGGAATCGCAGAACGATCTACTGAGTCCAACTCCGTCGGCGTCTGGTTGTTCCACGCATCATCGGTGCACGCTCAATTAATTTAAGCCCAACGTCTTAATGTGATGTCGCATAGGTCATGGAATAAATGGAAGAGTGAAAAGGGTGTTTATATAAAATGTGCGTCTATTAGAAATAGCAATGCGTCGTGATAATGATGATCGACTTCGATTAGTCGGGGTTCAGGGGCCTGTTCTCTCTCTCTCTCTTTCTCTCTCTCCCGCTTTAAGCGGTCGTAGGCTTGAACTGGTAGACCTTCGTGTTCTCATCAAAGTTAACACCGAGCTCGAACAGCTTCTGGGCAACCTTTGCAAAGTCCTCAAAGAACTTCTTCTCGTCCTTGGCGTAGACCTCGACCCACTTGCGGAACTCCTTGTCCTTGGCCATGGCCATATCCGCGGGCAACATCATCAAAGACTTTGACTCCTTGTCCTCGAACTGCTTAGGACCTGACCACTTGCGCTCGACCCACTTACGACCCAACAGCTCGGTGTAGAAGGCGTTGGTGAAGACCGTGGGCGAGGCGGTCCAGGGGCCATCGAAGCCGGACCGGTCGCGGTGACAGCGTCCCAAGGCGTGAGCTCCGAGGAGGGCGACGATCTCCTGGTCGTTGAAGCCCATCTTGTAGAAGACATCACGGGAATGCTGACCATCGGCTCTGCCAGCATCGGGGAGACGGCCATCTGGGGGAGAGTGGTTCTCCTCGCCGTCAATACGGCCAGGTCTCCAGTTCACAGTAGGACCACCCTATGTTTCATAAAAAAATGGACGTTAGCGCAAGTCCTAGGTTGAAAACGAATACAATGCAAAGCAGATTCCTTGTAGAAACATGTCCCGGACGCGATTAACATACCAACTCCTGAATGGCGGCAACACCGGCCAAGGTCCAGAGATCGCCATAGGAGATCTCAGGGAACTGATCCTTGACACGGTTCAAACGCTCACGGGCAATTCCCAAACCAGCGTTGGCACCGTGACCAGCCTCAGGCTTGTAGCGCATGGTCGCATAGTTCGAGCCACCGTCCTTGGAGTTGATGTCGTAAGTACCCGAGGCGTGCCAGGCGAGACGGAGGAAGACGGGGCCGTAGGAACCATCGTCGTAGTTCTCATCCTCGATGATCGCAGCAATGGCATTGTAAACCTTCTGGTAGTCGAGGGGCTCCTTGGGCTTCTCTGCAGCAGCGACAGCAGTGGGGACAACCGACCCTAGATGCACAGAAAAGAATAGAAAATAAAAAGTAAAAAATAAGTATTCGAAGGAATGAAATTCGAGTATGATGTTTCCGAGGATCGTGTTTTTGACAGCTAGGATCAGTACATGTGCGTACATGCTTCTAATTGTGTTTTTTGTGCTGGTTTATTGGCTGCTGCTTTCCGAACACTCCGCACAAAGTAAAACGAGTCCCGGACTACATGCTGACATTAAGGTTTTCCGAGATGGGGAGAAAACCAAAGTGAACGTGAAAGATACACACACCCATACTTTTTTTTTCCAATGGTCTTTTGCTTGCGAATACAAAATGATGAGGATGTAGCCATGGAAAACAAGAGAAGCGGGAAGGGTGTACGAAATAGCGCGATCTGGTGGTGCTCTGTCAACATCCATGGCGAAAGACAGAGGGGCTGATCGAGTTGCTTTCCTCGAGAGATCACTTCAAAAATAAGATTTTGCCCGAATAAAAAAAGATTCTCGTGCCAACCAGTGGCCCTCCCCTCAATCATATGAGAGAAACAGCAGGCAAGAAAAAAAAAACGAACAATGGCGGTGATGACCAGCATTGCTTCCCCCCACCCCCTTCATGAACACACAGCAATGCACAGATGACACTGACGAACAAAAAACAAAAATGAAATCAACTCCGAGATACGCATTATTTCGGATTTTTTTTTTATTATACAATCCAGGGTCTGCGCAGCAGCACACCCCCTGGTTCCTGAATCTCGCACAGACATACACACACACACCCTTTTAAAGTCAACTTACTCTCATTCTCAAGGTACAGATGGTATCCAGCAGCGCCAGCACCAGCCGAGAGCGTAGCAATAGCCAACTTCGAGCCGAAGCCACTACCTCCGGACGAGGCCTGAGAGGAGTAGGCGCGGTTAGCGACACGAACCGATGAGGCTATGGCGACGCGACGGGCGATGGATGCCAAAGGAGCGCGGAGGAGGGCACGGGAGGCGAACATCTTTAATGTAATATGAGTTGAGGAGGGAGAGGGGAGAGGAGTGGAGAGGTGGAGGGTAAGGAATGAGATGAGAGATGAGAAAAAAGAGATGAGCAAGCAAAAACGGAGGATGCTGTTTTATACGCGGAGGACGCGGGGGAGCACTTCGGTCGTCTGTGGGATAGAACAGACTGAGTAATTGCAGACCGAGAGAGTGAGAGAGGGATGGCTTGGATTAGAGTTCCCCGACTTTGTGTGGATCACATGTACGCGCAAGGGAAAGGCAGCGGGGACTTGCCACCAAAAAAGAAAAGAAAAAAAAACGTCCGGCCGGATACCTTGCGCGTGTTGCCATTCCATGTGTCCATCTGCCATGTGCGCATGCGGTCCGTAATCAGCGACCGTTGAGGAAGGCGTCGTCGCGTGTAGTCTGTGCGTACGCGCATGCGAGACACTGTGCGTCTTGTGTAATAGGAGGAGCGAGAGTAGGTGGCAATGACCGCATTGTGTCGCCCATTGTCGCCTGAAAGAAAACATCATACAGTAGCCAAACTACTGCGCTAATTGCCCTGAAACAGCGTGCCTTTTCATCTCATAACCATCGCCGCCAACTATTGCATCCATAGACCCCAGCAAACAAAACCGTCGATGCCTCTGACGCGACCGCCGTGGTAACGGTACCAGTATCTCTTATGATGCAATCCCACGCACCTCGATGGCCTTGATTTCTGACAGCCATCAAAATCGGTTCTCTTCAGGCAATAATCACACTGTACGGTTTGCATATCTGGCGTGCTTGTTGCTTCCTTTGGGCCACGGGTTAATAATGCCGCTAAAGCGATGGCTAAAAGGTCAATAGTAAGGTCCTAGCCTCTGACCTGCAAAGACAATCGAGTATTTGACACCGCACATTTTTTTTATCCCCATTTCGATGCACTGTGGACACAGTATCCGATGAGATGAGATGCAATTAAAACACTAGTTAGGCGATCCTTCAATAAACTATGGGGTATCATTTTCTTCGCCCTTTCCTTCCTCGCTTTCCTCCATGTCCCCCGGCTTTCTAACGCTCGCACTCCTGCATCTATGTCTCAATAATAGCATGTGGGCTGCCGAGTGGACGTTTCTCCCTGTAATTACTCTCGTACTCGCCTTTTACCTCCGTCGCCGCCTCCGAGGATCCTGCAGTCGTCGGTGGCGGATTATACACCACAGGCATGACCCCAAGATGCTGTTGCTGCGCGTTCGCATAGCTATTTCCTCCATCCACATACCCCGCACGCGCCAACCCACCACTCGTCGGTACCAGCTTCATCGAACCTGGTGACGTATGCGCTGTATCCCACTCTTGTGGCGAAGAACCTGCCGTCGTCGCAATCAATGGGTTTGCTGTTTGTCCCCCAGCTGCTGAATAGAAAATCGGTGGCTGGTAGTTATATGTCGCGTCCTGATACTGATGCTGCGGTTGGATCGGCAACTGTAGCTGCTGTTGCTGTTGCTGTAGCGACAGCAACTTTATTTGCTCCTGCTGATTCTGAATCTGTGTCCGCATCTGTTGAAGCTCATCATCATGAGTACGCGGCGGTGTCGTCCGCCCGGACTCTTCGCTACCCTTATGATCGCTCGCCGTGTTCAATGGGATGGCCTTGTGCTGTTGTCGTCGTCGTCGTCGGAAGATGAAGAAAAACGCTCCCGCACAGAGCACAGCCACACACGCAACGATTCCTCCTACAATCGCACCCACATTGCTCGGAGATGATCCGTCGCTCGAGGGCGAGCCCGTGCTTGTCGCGTCTGGTGAGCTCGAGGGTGAGCCCGTGCTTGTCGCTTTTGGTGAGCTCGAGATAGTCTCGGACGCCCTGGCAGCCACATAAGATGCTGGAGGAGTGTATTGCGTGATCCACGCGTTGCTGTCCAGGTCGTAGATCAAAACTGCCGTAGGCACGACCAAATCTGTCGAGCTCTGTCCTCCCCAGACCAAGAGCTGGTTGCCGGCAATGGTGCAGGCTGTGTAAACTCTAAGAGGGCCGGTCAGGCCCTGTCTCCAGGTTCGGCCGACAGTGTCAAAAATAAAGATTTCGCCACTGAGTGTGGTGCGGTCGGACAGCCTTCCTCCATAGATCACCATAAGTGAGCCATCATCATCTATCCCGAAGAGGGAGAAAGAGAAATAATCAGCTAAAGTAGTACGGAAGTGAACAAGCCCTAGGCAGCTTCACAACCAATATGTATTTGCAGAACTAGACGACATACTCGATGCCATGCAATGGTCTACTCGCATTGCTGGGGCGGTTCCTGATGTGACCTGGCAAAGAATAAAAAAACCAGCAAGGGGGCCTGGTGAGCAAAAAATAAAAATGAAACACATGTCGTCGGGAGTCGCGTAGATATCTGGTCGCTTACCAATGTGGACCACGTTGATGCCGACGGTACAAACTCTGCTACAGTGTTATCACTTGGGATCATATCCCATGAAGGACTTGAGAAACTATATCCACCAAAATAAAGGATACTCTTCCGCTTCTGTGACCAGACATTGGCATAATACTCGCGATTCGGAAAAACTGTGGTGGACGGAGGCAATGCGTTCGCTGACATCGTATCCGTCTCAAAGTTATAAACGTTAATCGAGTTGCGATCTTCGGACGCGTACCCACCCGCAAGATAGACCAACCCAGTGTTAGGGTCTGTCACCGCGCCGACACCCTCATTGCTTCCGAACTGCGCCTGCACTGTAGATTGAGTCCATTGACCGGTAACAACAGAATAGTGATAGGCAAAGGATGCGTTGGCTGAGCTATTCGAATGGAAGGTAACCATGGTCTTTTGATCTGCGGAGAAAGCAGCGGGAAAAATGGCCTGTCCGGGTCCATCCTTGAGTTTTGTCCAGAGAGGCGTGGCGCTGTTCCAGGAGTTGGTGAGATCGAGCGAGAAGAATTGGCTATAGATGGTAGCGGCGTTTCGACCGCCAAGGACGTAGAGACGTGTGGCGGTCCTGGCAAAGGCGGGCGCAAAGACGGTGAGAGGTGCAGACGATGTTTGTGCCTGAGAAAGGAGAGTGAGAGGGCTGGCGAGGAGGATTGCTACGGCAAGAAGCGAGGTGTTGGCAGAACGGTGACAGCGGCTACAGCGCGACTCCTTGCTGCTGCTGCTCGCCATGGTTGGAGGTGACAGAAGTGAAAAGGGAGGAGCGACGTTTTTTTGTTGATCAAGCAAAGATATGAAAGCGATCAAGTTGAAGAGACGGGACGCATGAATAAGGTGTGTTGTTCTCACAAACAAGAGAAGAGGATACAGGTACGATTGAAACAGCGCAGCGCTAAAAGTACGGTCAGGGAGGGGAGAAAGACAGAGTGTGGAGTTCAGAGTGGATGAGGGCGGATGTGATAAGTTGATGAGTCGATGTTGATGAGGATGTGCTTGCCTGGGCGCAATAGTAGAGCACCCTCAGCCTTTCTATTCTTCATCATGGACTGGGACAAAACGGTGAACACACAAGAAAAACAAAAGACAGGCAGAGGGATGTTCAATGCATGCCATGCATATTATTAGGGGATTTTGAACTTTGTGACCAAAGCGCGATTTCTTGTAACACGCCAAAATGTTTTACAGTTCAAAAAATAATGATGATCGCCAACCCGAGCCCCATGCTATTCAAGTTAGAGTGCCAACAGCTACTATCCGACCTGGAGCAGCTCATCATCCTCACGATCCTCCGCGGTGACGATGAAGGAACAGAGGATGCAATTGTGCTGTACCACCTTGTCGATGGGAGGCGATGGCGAAGGGGGAAGGAGAAGAAGGTGGAGATGCGTGGTGTGATGGTTGTTCCATGTTGAGTTGTAGATGGATGAGGCGATACAACCACAAAGCTGAAAAGTTTAAATCATCCTGTTTTTTAGAGCCCTCGCCACAAACACTTGTTTTCCTGGTATATTTTTCAGTGAACCTTAGTGAATTTGAGGATTTGAGATGTGGCCATTCTATTCTTCACATCTAAATCTCAACACCATCATCGCCAATGGCTTCGTAGCCATCGTGAATATTGTGGCTGTTCTCTTGATCATCCTCTGACGACGGCTCCATAATGAAAAGGTTGCCATTTTTATAGGGATCAGCAGCGTTGACCACCTCAAGGGCTCTTGTCCATGCCTCTTCTCCCATAAGATCCTCATTCAGCACCATCTCTTCATGGTCCTTCTCCTTCTCCTTCTCCTCCTCCTCCTCCTCCTCAGGCCCTTCCACAAAAGGCGTTGCTGTCGAGGAGGCTTGCGCTGCTCTATTACTGGCTGTGCCCTGTCCTCGTCCGATTCTGACATTAGCTTTCCACACACAGACAAAGGCACTGGGAGGTGTGTCTTCAAAGTATCTCTTAAACATCGTCTTGAGGTTCAAGTGTGGCAGGTTCCCTGTGGTTTGGCTTGCGACCATCTGCTTGATGTCGGCCCAGATATTCTCAATTGGTTGGAGTTTTCAATGGTAAGGAGGGGGTTTGTATATAAAGTGGCCACCATTGTCAGATGCAATGTCATGAATGGTATAGCTGGATCGATCGGGAAGGTCTTTGATGTGCTGCAACATCCACTTTGATTGGTATTCCATCTGGTCGTGTAGTCACCGGCTGTTCATGACCCCCATTCTGAATCCATTTGATCATATCATCCACTTTGGTGGGTCTGGCAGGCTTTTTATTGATTTTGCGGAAGTGGTATGAAGCGCCGTCCAAGAAAATATTGCAAGAACCATATTCCATTTGCCAAGGTTGATGCATAGCTGTTTGAAAATCCTGTCGAATAAACCTGCCGAGAAGTTGCCATGATAATTGCGATTGTCAGCAATGACCTTGGAACCAAGAATCTCCTTTGGGACATTGCATTCCAACGCAGTTTCGTATTGTTTCTTGTCTTCTTTCGCCTTTGTCGCAAGGTGGTATTCCCCGATCGCAGGCCAGACGTGGACACTGTCTTGCACAGATCGGGCCTGCAGCTGCCGCTTGTTCTTGTTCCATGACACAACGAATGCGGTGAATATGACAAGAAGCAGTTTCCGACCTGGTTCCGAAACGATGTCACCCTTCTTAAGAATCCATCGGTTTGCCGCAGCATGGTCGAGATGACAATACGACTCGTCCAAAAATCACCTCAGGGCGATGTGGTCTGATCTCATCATCCATGCCAATCAGGTTCTTCAAGCGACGTTCAAGATAGTCGAGTCGATAGGCAACATTTTCCAGTGAGTCGTGCATCATGTTCTGGTGCACACCTTTTCCCCAGTAGCGCTACTTGCCATGAAACAGTGTGCCTTTTTCATCTCATAGCCATCACCACTAATTATTGTATCTATAGACCCCAGCAAACAAAATCGTCGATGCCTCCGACGCGACCGCCGTGGTAACGGTACCAATATCTCCTATGGTGCAATTCAACGCACCTCGATGGCCTTGATTTCTGGCAGCCATGAAAATCGATTCTCTTCAGGCAATAATCTTACTGTATGGTTTGCATATCTGGCGTGCTTGTTGCTTCCTTTAGGCCACGGATCAATGATACCGCTAAAGCGATGGCTAAAAGGTCAATAGCACATTAAGGTAGTAGCAGTAGCATAACCGCTGTAAGCTTCTGGCCTCTGAACTGCAAAGACCATCGAGTATTTGACATCGTGCGCATTTTTTTTTTTTTTTTTTTCATCCCATTTCGATGCACTGTTGACACAGTATGCGATGAGATGAGATACAATTAATACATTAGTCAGGCGATCCTTCAGTAAATTATGGTCTATCTTTTTTTCCCCTTTCCTTCCTCACCTCCTCCATGCCCCTGTCTTTTTAACGCTCACACTCCTGCATCTATGTCTCAATAATAGTATGCGGGTTGCCTGGTGGACGTTCCTCCCAGTAATTACTCTCGTGCTTGCCTTTTGCCTCCATCGCCGCCCCCGAGGGTCCTGCGGTCGTCGGTGGTGGATTATACATCACAGGCATGACCCCAAGATGCTGTTGTTGCGCGTCCACATAGCTATTTCCTCCTTCCACATACCCTGTACCCGCCAACCCACCACTCGTCGGAACCAGCTTTATCGAATCCGGTGACGTGTGCGCTGTATCCCACCCTAGTGGTGGAGAACCTATCGTCGTCGCAATCAATGGGTTTGCTGTTTGTCCCCCAGCTGCTGAATAGAAAATCGGCGGTTGGTAATTATATGTCGCATCCGGATACTGATGCTGCGGCTGGATCGGCAACTGTAGCTGCTGTTGCTGTTGCTGTAACAGCAGCAACCTCCGTTGTAACTCCAATTGCTCCTGCTGGTTCTGGAGCTGTGTTCGCATCTGCTGAAGCTCATCCTCATGAGCATTCATTGGTGGTGGTGGTGTGGACCGCCTGGACCCTGCGCCATCCTCATGATCGCTCGTCGTGTTCAATGGGATGGCCTGATGCTGTTGTCGTCGTCGTTGTCGGAAGATGAAGAACAACACTCCCGCACAGAGCACCGCCACACCCGCAACGACTCCTCCTGCAATCGCTCCCGCATTGCTCGAAGATGATCCATCGTTCGAGGGTGAGCTCGTGCTTGTCGCATTTGGTGAGCTCGAGGTAGTCTCGGACGCCCTGGCAGCTACATAAGATGCTGGAGGAGTGTATTGTGTGATCCACGCGTTGTTGTTCAGGTCGTAGATCAAAATCGCCGCAGGCGCGGCCGTGTTTGTCGAGTCCACTCCTCCCCAGACCAAGAGCTGGGTACCGGCAATGGTGCAGGCTGTGTAAAGTCTAGGAGGGCCGGTCAAGCCCTGTCTCCAGGTCTGGCTGACAGTGTCAAAAATAAAGATTTCGCCACTGAATGTGTTGTTGGACAGCCTTCCTCCATAGATTACCATAAGTGAGCCATCATCATCTATCCCGAAGAGAGAGAATGAGAAATGGTAAGCTAAGATAGTACGGAAGTGAACAAGCCCTAGGCAGCTGCGTATATTTGCGGTACTAGGCGACATACTCGATGTCATGCACAGGTCTGCTCGCATTGCTGGGGCGATTCCTGATGTGACCTGCCAGAGAATAAAAAAAAAACAGCAAGGGGACCTGGTGAGTAAAAAATAGATATATAAAACACATGTCGTGAGGAGTCGCGCAGATATCTGATCGCTTACCAATGTGGACCACGCTGAAGTCGAGGGCACAAACTCTGTTACAGTGTTACCATTTGGAATCGCACCCAATGTAGAATTATACCCGCCAAAATACAGGATACTCTTCCGCTTCTGTGACCAAACATTGGCATAATACGCGCGATTCGGAAAAACTGTGGTGGACGGAGGCAATGCGTTCGCTGACATCGTATCCGTCACAAAGTTATAAACGTTCATCGAGTTGCGGTCGGCGGATGTGTACCCACCCGCAAGATAGACCAACCCAGTGTTAGGGTCTGTCACCGCGCCGATACCCTGATAGTCTCCGTACTGTGCCTGCACTGTCGCTCGAGTCCATTGACCAGTAACAACAGAATAATGATAGGCAAAGGCTGAGTTGCCCGAATGGAAGGTAACCATGGTCTTTTGGTCTGCGGAGAAAACAGCGGGGAAAATGGTTTGCTGGGGTCCATCATTGAGCTGCGTCCAGAGGGGGGTGGTGCTGTTCCAGGAGTTGGCGAGGTCGAGCGAGAAGAATTGGCCATAATTGATAGTGGCGTATTGACCCCCCAGGACGTAGAGACGTGTGGTGGTCCTGGCAAAGGCGGGACCTGAGACGGTGAGAGGTACAGACGATGTTTGTGCCTGGGAGAGGAGAGTGAAAGGGTTTGCGAGGAGGAGGATTGCTGCGGCGAGAAGCGAGGAATTTGCAGAAGGGTGACAACGGCTACAGCGCGGCTTCTTGCTGCTGCTGTTCGCCATGGTTGGAGGCGACAGAAGTGAAAGGCAGGATAAGGTTTTTTTTGCAAAGGTATGAAAGCGATCAAGTTGAAGGGGTAGGGCGCGTGAATAGAGGTGTGCTGTTCTCACAACAGAGGGGGAGAATTCAGGTACGATTGAAACAGCACAGCGCTAAAAGTACGGTTAGAGAGGGGAAAAAGACAGAGTGGAATGCAGAATGATGAGGGCGGATGTGATGAGTTGATGAGGACGAGGAGGAGGACGAGGAGGACGAGGAGAAGAAGGATGGGAGCTACATAAAATCAAGGAGGAGAAGAGAAGGGAGGGACGAAAGGGCTCCTTGGGTTCACTGGGTGAGTGAGCCTTTGAGCAGTTCAGCGTCATACGTGGGATGTGCTTGCCTTGGCGAAATAGCAGGCTCTCACTTTCCATCATGGGCTGGGGCAAAACGATGGACACACCACAAAAACAGAGAGATGTTCAAGGCATGCCATGCATATTGACCTTCTAATTAGACCATCGATGCTTAAAAGGACCCTAGACTGCAGCATAAAATATAGCGTCTTTGTGTAGCACTTGGAGTGGATAAACCGAAGATGATCTGTGGCGCCGTATACGCACGAGGAACGGTAGCCATGTGGGAAATTCATTACTCTGCCCCATTTTCTGGAATGCCCGCCTGCAAGCATGCGATGCTTCTCGGAACTAGTCCCTTAAATGCGGCGGCATCCCCCCTCCTGGGCGCCAATTATGCAATGTCGAGTGGGCGCTGCAGTTTCCCCAAAGCCAAACATGCGCCGATGGGGGCCCCTTTCTACGAGACGCGGTCACGATGAGGTGGTCGTCGTGGTGGTCCTTGCGCTGCCCGAAGCTCATTCACACACACATACTCTCTCTTTCTCTCTCTCTTGTCTCATTCGCCTCTTTGCTCATTCGCATTCCCTTCTCTTCTCACGCTCAAGCAGCACTCCAAGCCGAACCAGCATCCTTTTCCACAAACAACGACACCGACACAAGGACTCGAACCATGGGTGCCATCCAATCCTTACTCCCCAGCGACTCGGACAGAGCGTCCGCTGGCGCGCCAGACAGCAGCCGGGGCCCTCGCTCTGGCGACCAAGACGGCCTTTCATGGGCCAGCAACAAGATGCACCGGGACATGGCCAGCAAGTTTTCTGAAATCGAGCTACTCTCGTTGCGCCAAGTCTTCCAGCAACTAAAGGACCGACAGAACAACGACCCAGAAACCGATCGTTCTTCTGAACCACAGCAACACCAGAACAAAGGCACAGTCTCCAATGTAGCATCGGCCAAACCTACGAAGAAAGACATCTGGATCGTTCCAGGGATCACTGAGGCGACCTTTGTGGTACGCATTTTGCTTTTGAGATGTTGAAAGACCATAGGTCCATCTATCTTTGAACAGTCATGGCGGTGTCCAGATATAACCTACACACATCCCACAGTTGACAAGGTTGATATTTGCCGCAAGGTACTGAAATTGATATTCCTTGTTTTGATGTCCTGTAGGAATACCTTGGCATTCCTGCGAACAGGAACCGCGCCGGTCACCTATTCTTCCGCTCATTCTATAACCTCTCAGTCTATCCCGATAATCCTGATAAGTTGCCAGGCCAGGACCTGCCGCGACATCTGACCGTCCGGGATCTCATCAAGCCCTTGGCACTCTACTGCCACAAGATCAACGAGAACGCGCTATTGGATCTCAAGCCGCTTCGGGTCATCTTTGAATCTTTTGCTGAAAGTGTGGTGTCCCCGACAGCCTCAGCTTCGACCGACACTGCTGCCACCAACGCTGACGCTAACGTCACGACTAGTGCAGCCGACAGCCCAGATGCGAACACAAACTCAACTTCTCATCTCGAGAAAATATTGACATTAGAGCGGACAAAGACAATGGAGGATTCGTTCAAGGACCTGACTCTTAACAATCTCGAATGGAATCCAAATGAAGAGGATATGGCGGAAGTTGGGCCCAAAGTAAAAGCAAGTGACTTGGTGGAGATCCTAGATGGCCTGTTCTGGCTGATTCAGCAAGTGGTCGAGGGTCGCGAGAGCAGCAACGAAGAAGTCGGATCAGATCCTGCTATGGACTCGTCCCATCGACATCGAGCTACAAGGATGGTGGAACATTTGATTCAATACAGCAAGAGCATCTCGTCCGTGGACATCGACTCCGAACTGATCGATTTTGCCATGTTCACGAAATACGTTTCCCGTAATGCACCAAATCTCTTTGAGATCCTCTCCCAGTACTTCTATAGCATGTTTCTTATCGGCAACACCCTTTGGCGTACAGGTCCAGGTGCTGCAGAAAAGATGGAGCTGCCAGGCGTATCTCCAGTTCCCATCTTGGACTCGCCTTCGACCATTCTTACGCCCGACAACATTGCTTTGATCTCTTGGTTCCTTCCGCTTCAAAAGACAACGCCGACGATGACAAACCTCTACACTGGAAGTCGGCATGGATTCAGCATGAACCAATTCGAGGTCCATATCTGCAAGTACCCCGCACCGACGTTGCTTCTATTGCTGGTCGAGCGACTCAAGACTGGAACACCGACCGCGAACCGTCGGCAGTCTATTTCGTTCGGTAGCGTTTCCTCGCGTCATCGCCCCCCAGCCAGCAGTAACTCACCAGCATACAATGTACACTGGACAGTCGATGGACGGCAGACCTCGTTCGATCAATTAATAGGTCGCACTCCAACGACACCTGCATCCCCGGGCAGTGTCTTAAGCACGATCTTTGATGGCGTGCCCTCCGGTACCACGGTAGTTGAACCGACGGAGATAAAGAGGAGCTCAATAGAGGCTGCGCCGACGATAGTGACGCCTAGGAAAGTCAAAAAGGAGAGACTGGTGCTGGGGGCGTACGTTACAGAGACCTGGAAGGTGTCGAAGGCAGGATGGGGTAACGACTCGTTTGCGGTATTTGAGCTTTCGCCTTGCTTTGAAGTCTTCCCAGCAAAGAAATCCGATGCTTCCTCCTCAGGACCACCGTCATCCAGAATCTTCCCTCCAAGACGAGATGCACCAAGGGCAGGAGACAGGAATGAAGCACAGAATCGACATTTTATTCATTTTCTCAAGAATGCGGGTGTAGGATTTGGAAACCAGGCGTCAGAGAGCTGTTTGTTGTATATGGATGACAACCTGATGTATGGCAGCTATCGACAGGACTTTGCGGATGGAAACGTATACATGCGAGCCGGTGGACCCAGACAGACAGGGTTTGATGTTGAGTTTGAGGTGGTGGAATGCGAGGTGTGGGGGCTGGGTGGACCGGAGGCGAAGGCGCGACAGAAGAAGGATTGGGATTTTGAGCAGCGCGAGGCGAATAGACGAGCATCGGTTCATCTGCGCGGCAAGGATGGCGAACAGGAAATTGACCGGGATCTTCTGGTGGGTGCTCTTTCTTTATTCCTTATTGTTGTTGCTACTGTTGTGCTGCCTTGCTGTTTTCATTAACAGGTTCTGCTCACCAACACCTTGGCACTAATGTTTGAATGGAAATTGTCCGATACACACACCAATAGGAGATGGCAGGGGTTCTTGACCCAGATCGGGGACATCGCCATGCCCGGAGACAAAGCGCTGTCTGAGCGGAGGACCGTGTGTCCTTAACCTTGCGACCGCGACCCAAATGCATACACACAAACACGCCAAGTGCGAGAGAGAGAGTGAAGACGAAAGTGAGAGAGAAGAAAGCGGAGGGAGGGACAAAGCAGAGAGCTTCTTGGTCTCTCTGTTGATGTGGAAAGACGATGACACTTGGGATCGGCTGTATTCATCATCAACTTTGCATCAGCATTCATCCTCAAAAAAGCCTGTGTTTCTCATCTAGCTGCAATGGTGCTCACAATAAAAATAACCATACAGTCATAAATACATACAAACATATCCGTTGCCATTGGCCTTTCTTCTTGTCCTTCCTGTCCTTCTTGTCCTTCTTGGCCTCCTTGGCCTTCCTTTTGTCTTCCCTTTTGTTCCTCCTTCATTCTCACGTTTGTTCTTGACACTTCCCGTTTCCTTGTCGCTGGCTGTTCAGGAACTGTATTCAAACAAGTGGCACTGCAGGACCTCGGCAGCAATTGAAACCAATTAGGACACCCAGGACAAGTGGACAGAGTGATCGTCGACAGGAGACAACGGATCCCGTTATACCCCTACTTTTACGCCCTCCCCCTCATTTCTCGCTCCTTAACCTGCTCAGGAAACCGGCTCATATACTCTTCCTTCTCTCTCAAAGGGTACCATCGCCGTCTTCGAACCACAACAGTAATAGTGCAGGGGTGACACAAGGAAACATGGGACACTGGACTGCACCATCATCAAAAGGAGGACGAGGAGGAGGAGGTCGTTACCTTCCCTCACGACCCCAGCCAAGACTCGGCGCTAGAATCGTCCTCTCACTCATAGCAGCAACGCTCCTCAGTACCCTGTCCATCATCACCAGCCCTGGATACCACAACGGATTCGTCTCTGCTGCACCCCTGGCCAAGCACGCCGACACTGCCACATCATCTCTCAAACGACAAGTTCCCGAGCCAGGCAACACCCCGCAGCAGCAGCAGCAGCAGCAGCCAGAGGAGGACCCATGCGGGATCCTCGGGCAACTTGTCGAGCCCGAGATCACCTACATGCATGTCAAGGCCTGTTATGAGAACGTGCCTTATAACGCGACGGAGGCCAACAACGTGCTGTCGACGCTCTATACACTCTACCGGGACTATTACATCTTTCTGGACTCGGCCATGAATCCCAATCTGGAGAAGCCTTTTACGACCCCACCGGTCGATATTTTGGGTGGACTGGATCTGATCTCGAGACAGGATTATCAGGGCGACTTTTGGTTCCAGAACGATGTGGATCTCCTGGTGAGCAAGCTGAATGATGCCCATGCGAATTATCTCGGTAAGTTTGCTGTGTGGTTTCTTTGTTGGTATGGAGGGATAAGAAAAGGGAGGAAGCACTAACGAAGAAAAAGGATTTTTCTCGGACTCCGGGTAATAGCAAACTGCTACCGGCACTATCTCTTCGTGCAACCGTTCGAGCTCTACGCCCCAGTCGCCCACAGCATTCAGGTAATATCACCATCCCCCCATCGAACCACAGCTTTCAGGCTGGGTTTTTTTTTATTTTTTCGACTCTCTTGCCGATACAAACCCAGATACTAACTAACCCTTTCTTCTTTTTCTTTTCTTTTTGGACCTTTAGACTGTTCGGATATTGGTAGACAAGAGCGGCCAAGATCTCGAGGATTGCCACGTCCTAACCATCGACGGCGTCAACGCCCTCGACGCCATCCAATCCTACGTCGACCTCAACTCGGCGATCTCCAAGGACGCGGGCGTGCGACTGAACAAGGCCCTGACCGCCCAGGTCTACGACTCTGAGAACCTACGATGGGACTACCTCCCCGGGATGTTCACCACCCGGGCCACCCTGCCCGAACGTCAGGCGATGCTCTATCATGTCCAGTGCGCACCCTCGCCCGCGTACCCGGATGGACGGGACCTGCAGCTGAAGGCGGATTGGGATGTCTATCGACTAGTTTCGTGGAACGAGTTCGATAGCACGGAATCGTTCTTGACCCAGAATTGTTATAAGGATACCGACCCTCGTTCGAATGAAGAGACTCAGGCCTCGGCGTTGAAGCAGGGGCGTGCGGGAGAGAAGCAGAGGGATACAGGAGAACCCAAGGAGAAGGAGAAGAAGAAGAAGAAGAAACGATTCGCGTGGGATGAATCTCTCCAGGTGGCTGTGGAAACCCCTCGACTGGAGACCCTTCATCCACTATCAAAGCTCTCTAAGCGTCAGGAGGCTTTTGATCCGGTCTCTCGATTGATCTACAACGGCACAACTACCGGATTCTATCAGCTCCTCAAACGACCAACGACCGGTGTCGTCGTCATCCCGACCCATTCGGTGAAGCTCGATCTGGAAACCGACGTCTTTGTCGAGGGCTTCGATCGGCTCTACAAGGTCGGAGTTCGCAACGTGATCCTGGACCTGACCTCGAATGGAGGCGGCTACGTCAATTTCGCATACGATCTCGTCGACTGGATGTTCCCCGTCGATAACCACTCATCCGTATACCTGTCCGATCTGAGATCCTCCGCGAGCGCCAAGGCCCTGGCGCAGAGGGATCTGGCAGAAGTCGAATACGCAGGCTACTTTAATCCGGATTCGTTCTCGGACCCGGACACGAACGAGGACATGTCAAAGAATTTCTTCCTGGATGACCAACTCCAGCGCAGGGTCAGTCGGCGATTGGGTTACACGCCTTTGGTCTATATGAATCATAACCTCGGTGCGTTCGAGCTGGGCATGCCCTGGCAACATGATCCCCAGCGCGTCGTCGTCATGACCGACGGCTTCTGTGGGTCCGCATGCGGGATGAGTCTGAACCGGCTCAAGAACACGCACGGGGTGAAATCCTATGCGTTCGGTGGACGTGTCGGTGAGGATCTCTCGCTCTTTTCCTTCCCGGGCGCATCCGTCTACGGATTGGACGCGATCCTGAACGATTTCGAGAACCTGGGGGTCGATCCTCCGATGAGCCGGTTGAGGTACAAAGGCACTTATCGGGTTCCGATCCTCGAGTTCTTCATGGAGGGGGATCCGGTCCCGATCGAATTCAATCCAAAGTACTTCAAGGCAGACTTTCATGTGGATTATACCCCGGTGACGGCAAGGCACCATGAGGTGCTGTGGGAGATTGTCGCCAATAACCATTGGAGGGCTGAGGGTGAGTCTGGAGATCATCCGTCGATTGAGAAGCCGTCGGCCGGGAGATAGAGCAATTATCTGTATAATAATAGTAATAATAATAATAATAATAATCGCTCTA